TGGCGGTGTTGGCGGTGTTGGCAGTGTTGGCGGTGGTAGCGGCGTAGCGTCTACACCGCAATACGCTCCTCTCCCACCGCCCCACGCTGCTGCAAACATGGGCGTCGATATTCCTCCCACTCAGTCAGCCACAGACAGCATTAGCCAGACACTCGCTAGTCTCCCACCCAACCAGCTCCTCGATGTTATGGCCCAGATGAAGGCGTCTGTGCACACTGAATCTAACACTGTCAGACAGCTCCTAGTTCAGAACCCACAGCTCTCTTACGCCCTCTTCCAAGCAATGTTGATGATGAATCTGGTTGATAACCACGTCGTGCAGGTTTGTCGGGGTGTTTTGAAGAGTTTAAGCACTCACAAACGTATCAGAGACTCATGCCGGCAGCTGCTGCGCCACCACAGCCTCAGATGGTGCCTACTCCACCGATGGCTACGCCTATGTACCAACAGCAGCAACAGCAGCAACAGGCTATGTATAGGACTCAGACTCCTACTTACGCCCAGACCTACGCTCAACCACCGGCTTATGCACAGCCTCCAGCTCCTGACCCAGTACAGGCAAAGGTTCAGGCCCTGCCTCAAGAACAGCAGGCTATGGTGATGCAGGTGTTGTCATTCTCCCAACAGCAGATCGATCAGCTGCCTATGGATCAGAGAGATTCGATTAGGGCTTTGGTGGGTGGGTGTGTATCGCTTTACAATACTGACAAGTCATATAGCGTCAACAATTTGGTGTCATGTAGGAACCGATTTAATTTATTTACAAACATTGCGAGCGTGAGATTATTCCAAATGCGGATGTTATTTGGCTGGTTCGGATCAATTCGCCGAGACATAGAGATGAAACGCACAATAATGGCCATTTCCGGTAAGTATTCATGAGTAAATTAAACGGAATATATTGAGCCGGGGAGCTGTCGTTAGTTGGCTCAATTATTCTCTCTCACAACCCAACAACTGAACAAGTCAAGATGAAAATTTCCACATTAGCTACTATTCTCGCAGCGGGTACAGCTGTGAACGCAGTTCCAGTGCAGCAGGTGAATCACGAGGCTGTGGGTGTAGAGTTGTGTCTACACACGTAACTCACACTCCTCACAGAGACAAGTCGCAGATGTGTTGCAAGGCCTGATCGACAAAGCGGGGAAGCTGAATCCAACGCAGGACGCTTCTGCCGATTCAACGGCAGCGACGAAGGATGAGGTGTTGGATAATGGCCTCGACAAGCTCAAGAAGCGTGCTGAGGGGGATACGAGTGATGATGCAGAGACTGGCGCGTTCGACGAGGGCGGCAGACTCGATCAGGCTCTCGAACAGCTGAGGAGGGGACTGCTGAACGACTATGTCGACGACTTGATGAGCAAGGCTGCACCGGGAAATCTCCTCAAACGCCAGGAGGACCTTGAGATGAAGATCAACGAGACCATCTCGGATGCTATCAGCGAGGCTAACGATATGGTTCCTGATGATGTATCTATGTCAAGCAAGCGCCAGGCTGATCTACCAGTTGTTGGACCACTTCTCGAGCAATTGGCTGGAGGGTCTTCGTCATCTTCAGCAGCACCTTCACTCCCACTACCAACGAAGCGCCAGGCTGATTTGCCAGTTGTTGGACCACTCCTCGAGCAATTGGCTGGAGGAGGATCATCAGCAACACCAGCAGCACCTTCACTCCCACTACCAACGAAGCGCCAAGCTGATTTGCCAGTCGTTGGACCACTCCTCGAGCAATTGGCTGGAGGTTCGTCAAGCACGCCAGCAGCACCTTCACTGCCACTGCCAACAAAGCGCCAACTGGACAGCGCAAAGGAGATGCTGAGCGGGATGCCAGTTGTTGGTACAGCCGTGGAAGGCCTACTTGGCGACGAGGAGGAGTCGGAGTCAGCCTCGTCTATGCCCTCAAATCCTCTCCAGCAAGTCAGCCAGCTCGGTAGCCGTGACGTGTACAGGTTCTGGGAGGCTAATGGAGATACCTACCTGGCTGATGTGCATAGGGTGGACAAAGAGAGCGCATTCGACGCAACCAACCGCGATGGCCACCACCACAAGGAGACGCGCCAGAGCGAGGGTGAGGACGCAGAGAGTGGTGCAGAGGAGGCACTCGATGGGGAGTCCTTGACGGGCTTGGACGACGGCTTGGATGCTCTCAAAAAGCGTCAACTCGATGGTGTTACCGATATGGCTAAGGATTTGCCAATTGTCGGTGGTTTACTCGACAATTCATCTGGTGATTCTACCACAGACACTCCCTCCGCTGCTGCTGCTGCTGCTGCCGCTGCATCTTCTTCCGACACCAGCTCACCACTCGATGCACTCCCACTCAAGAAGCGCCAGCTGGACAGTGTCAAAGATATGGCAGAGGGGTTGCCAGTAGTCGGCGGTATGCTCAACGGCACAAGTGCGAATGAGTCAGACTCTAGCTCACCGCTGAGTGCACTCCCACTGAAAGCGCGCCAACTGATCCCCTCACCTCCCGATCTCAGTGGTGTCTTGGAGGGAGGCTCACCCTCCAGCAACCCTGACGCAAAGGGGCTCGACAAATTGCGCAGATTGCTCGAAGAGGAAAAGCCAGACCCCGTCGCTGATGTTTTCGACGGGCTCCAGGGTACGGTGAAGGAAGTCAGCGATACACTCCCAGGAAATGGCGGCACAGCTGAGACATTCTTCGAGAGGAGGGCTGATGATTCTAGCGATAGCTCAAACTCAATTCAGAATATCCTCAAGTCGCTACAGAGCGCGGGGGAGATGGAGAGCACAGCTACAGCTACATCTACATCGGCACCGACATCCACACCTTCATCCTCATCCTCATCCACACCTTCTAGCACCCCTAATATCTTGGATGACCTCACTAATACGGCTGCACTGAAGAACGGACTGAGTAGTGCAATTGATATGATTCCAGAGTGAATGAGGTAGGACACCTTTACATTTCTTTCTAACATGCGAAAATGGACGAAAATTGGACAAAAACTATTACGTTTCATGTTGTAAATATTTCAATTATTCAGAGTAATAAATAAAAACAAGCAATTGGTACAAGATTTGAAAAAAAGCAGCAGCGTAAGCAATGTCAATAGCAAGACATTCACACTCTCAGATATCTCGAACGTTTATTGCGATGGTAAGATTTAAGTATTTCGTGAATGGGAAAATGGTCGCGGTATCTCAAAGCAGTGCCGTGGTTAACGAACAAGACGTCTTGGGAGGGCATTAGCGTCGGTGAGCTGGTGAGTGGGATGGGATGTGAGCGTAGGGAGATTCAAGGAATCTACGCGCACCTTGACAGGTTGGATAAAGGTGGTGTCGATATCGGACGGCACTTGCTCTTCGAAGGAGTGGCTGCCTGGGTAAGCGTTGTATCCCTGTAAGCAGGTGTGAGGGGGCATCGGAGCATTGGAGCTTCACTGCAAGACACACACGCGCATCTTTCACTTTTTCTTGGTGCATTTGCATTTGTCAGTGATTAACAAACAGCCCACAGTCACCACATATCCACTCGCACTCACGCGCACGTAATGGTAGAATATCCTGTGCGCATCTATGAACCCTTCTTGGTCGCGCTTGGCGATGCCCAGCTCATCCACAACCCCTTGCCATTGGAAGAGTGGTTTCTTTCAGCCTTGGTGGCATTCGGCCTGCGTGGGAGGTGCGGCAGTTATCGGTCGATGCGCAGTGATTCGCGGTCCTCTTTCCTCGAGATGGTCTTCTTTTGTGTGGGTGTGGTGGGTGTTTGTGGGATGAGACAGTGTAAGCGTGGCATGTAGCGTGAAATTAGCATGTATATTTAGATGAATAGCTACAGCAACAGCAATAGCAATAACAATAAAGGCTGCTTGTTTGTAATTTGCTATTTTTGTTTACCTTCTCTTTGTGAGGTTGGCGTCATGGGCGTCGTTCGCGGTGGCTTTTGTGGTAGTGGGAGTGTCAGCCTTGTCAGCCTTTTCAGCCTTCTTGTCCAGTTTGTTGGCCATCTTCACTTGCGTTGGCTTTACTGGCTGGAGAGGAGTTAGATGGAGCGAGGAATAACAAGACACAACTGACAGCTTTGGGAGCAGTGCTAGAGGCACCACCAAGCACACCGAGCAAACCAGTAAGAAGAGTGAGGACAACAGCCACACACGCAGCCAGCACACTAGCCACATCCCATCTTTCCCTGAGTGCGTCGAGTGGGTGAGTGTTGAATCTGTCCACAAAATCGACGAGGTGACTTCTAGCAATGGAGATGAGGCCTCTGCGCACCTTGACATCATCATCGATCGTAGCTTCAAGCGCCTCCCTCTCTCTAGCCTCCTCGATAGGTTTCGTGATGGCGTAGGTAGCTTTCGTGAATTCCGCCAACTCGCGTTCGTCATCGCCTATGAAAATGTTGTCGAAGAGAATTCCGGCGGACATGGACCAAATTTCAAACCCAACTGCGTAGACGGGAGGGAGAGCGTGTGGGTGATTGTCGAGGAAGTAGTCTGGGTTCTCGATCTTGCGTGGAGACCAAGGACCTTTGTAGTCGGGGTTGACGATGCTGGGGGGTGTCCAAGGCCCTTTGTAGAGTGGGTTGGGGATATTTGGGGGGGTGTAGGTGCCGCATCCAGACAGATTTTCACAATCCGGGTTGGGGATGAGCGGGGGTACAAACTCACCATCTTCCTCCTCATTCCAGTCTTGTGGCTGGGTGATGGCGGGGTCAGGAATGAAAGTGGGTAAGTCTTGGCGCCAATTTTCAGGCTTGGGGGAGTGTGGGTCTGGGATGTACGGTGGCTGCGATTCGTCCCAGTCGTCTGGCTTTGTGGCCGATGGGTCCGGGATGACAGCGTGCTCAACCCAATTGCCAGGCTTTGAGTCGTGTGGGTCGTGGATGAGATGGGGAGGGTTGACTGGGGGATCAAAGTCGGTGAGGAGGCTGCCGGACCTGGCCTTGTCGCCGTTGATGAAGATGTGGAACGAGTTGTCTGGGTGGATGGAGAGCGTGTATAGTGAGGATGTCTTGCTTTGTTTGATAGGGGGTGGCTGGGTGAGGTGGTGTTGCGTGTACTCGCCGGTAATTGGGTTCAAGTGGGTGAATATAAAATGAACCTTATTAGTGAAACCACACTTGTCCGGACCAAACATGATGGAATAGGGGGTGTCTGGGGTGATATGGGAGTGAATATTTTCACTAAACAATTTAATGTAAGCACCGCCGCAATCAAGGCCATCCTGCAATTTGACTTGGTATTGGAGGAGGAAGGGGGTGTTTTGGTGGGTTGGGTGGATGGCGGGGCTGAGTGGGGAGTGGATGGAATAGTGAGTAGCTTTGTCTGCGGCAACTAGCCCAGTGTCCTTGTCGATGCCAGGATAAACAGAAGCCACGTCTACAACGAACTTGGAATGCTGAGGCTGAACCCAGTTGTCCAGCGAATTGAATTCTTCTGTGAATTTAAAACCTTTTGTTAGTGTTGCTGTTGCTGCTGCTATTAAAATTAAAAATGATTTCATAGTCGTTACGTGTTGGTTGAAGGTGACCATCATGCCACATAAATCTGATTCAATTATCCCCGATGCTATTGTGATTGGCGCTGGATTCTCTTCTGCCATTCTCACCCACACGCTGGCCAAGTCTGGTTACTCGGTAATCGTCTTGGAGGCTTCAGAGAGGCTGGGCGGGAGAATGAACACGCTTGCGCTCAACAACCACGCTATTGACGCTGGCTGCTCGTTTATACACGGCTACTCGCACACACACCCACTCCACTCTCTGGCAATGGACTTGGGCGTCGACATCGAGCACCCGCCACCCACCAACGACTTGATCATCGACAGCAACGGTCCACTCGACCCCGCCGCCCAGCGCTCCATTCAAGCTGCCCTTTCTCTCGCAATCAACGTCGCTCAAGATTCCTGCGCCGACACTCCCCTTCTCCACCTCCTCCGTTCCTCTCTCTCCTCCTCTCTCAGCGATCAGCACCTCCTCCACCTCGCTTCCCAACTCATCCACTCCTTAGACGCTCCTCTTGGCATCCCTATTGAAAATTTTCACGACGCTCGCAGGTTCCACTGGGAGAAACCGCTCCAGGGTTCTGACGCGGTTGTCAAAGGCGGGTATGCCACTCTCCTCAATGCCGTCTGGGATGATGCCGTGCGCACCGGCAAAGTATCTGTCCTGCACGAACACACCTGTGTCTCAGTCTCAACAAAGGATCCCGTCAAGTGCATTGTGTCCACCCAGCGTGGCCAGCTTGAGTCAAAGGTAGTAGTGTGCACTGCCCCACTCGCCACTCTCCCATCTATCCAGTTCCAGCCACCCCTCCCTCAACAAAAACAAGAGGCTATCACCGAAACGAAAACTGGTTTACTCGAGAAACTCATCTTTACTTATAGCGAAAGGTGGTGGAGTGGTGATGCCAACCCATCATTCACCCTCCTCCCCACCACAGACTCCCAGCACACTCCCAAAGAAATCCTCCTGAGCCACGTCCTTAACGTGCAGACATTCTCCCACCCCTCCCTCCTCATCTATCTCCCTCCAGGCGCAATACGCGCACTAGCCATGTACTCCAAGCAAGACGTGCAGCGCGCGGGTGCAGAGGTGCTTGCTGAGCGTTTACCTAGGGTGGCTGGAGTAGCGCACGCCGCGAGCACCCCTCTTGCCGCACACCTCACTACCTGGAAGAAGGACAGCACCTCGAATGGCGCCACTACAACTTACACCACCCCTCAACAACTCCACGCCCTCCAGGCTCCTTCCACTGACGGCAGACTCGGTTTCGCCGGTGAGCACACTGAGATTCACAACCACGGCTCTGTTAATGGCGCTGTGATGAGCGGGTTCAGAGAGGCACATAGGGTATCTGAGTACCTCTCTCGCCGGGCGAGTGAGTGAATGAGTGAGTGAGTTGTATCTATATTTCTATATCTCTACATATCTCAGTCTCTATATCTTATATCTATATCTTATATCTATCTCTATCTTACAATACATATCACATGCCATAGCTAGCCAGCGAAGCTCTGACATCCTTCAACCCGCGTAGCCTGCCCTGCGCCACGACGGTCGGTTTACCTGACCCCATACCGTTATTCAACGAGCCTTTCTCCGGCTTTAGGATGCGCAGCGCGACCCTGCGAATAGTGTCGAGATCCACCTCATCGATCCTCGCGCACATTTCATCCACACCGATGCGCTTCCCATTCACCTGCACCTGTCTACCGAGATCCTCCACCTGGACCATCCGCGACTCGAGTGCCATAATCAGGCTGCTCTTAAGCTGATTGCGCGCGCGCGCAAGCTCCACCTGGTTAATACCGCCAAGGAAGGACGGCATAGTGAGGAGGTAAAGTTCACGGCAGAGTATATCGACAATCTTGTGGTTGTACGCAGGGAGCACACTTGCACTCACCCCAAACAGTCCACTGTCCGAGTAGCAGTGGTGGAAGGATGCGCAGAAATCCACCGCGTGGTGGTAGTTGAGGACGTGCGTGTAACACCGACTGTACATCCCCTTACCTGGACCACCGGCCGAGAAAGAGCCTCCTCCGCCTAGTATCATTTGCAGGATGGCCGTCGCGTACACGTCGTCATCATTGATGCCCACACCTTCAAAGGCTATGTACACGTGCGTTAGCTCTTGTGAGGCGTCTTCCAGGTAGAGATCACCGCCAGTGTACGTGGCGCTGTCATGCGTGTAGCTGTCTTTCTCCGGACCTTTCGAGCTCGCCATACCGCCGAAATACTCCTGCGTCAGCTGCACCAGCTCGTCATGGTCCATTCCGCACCCAGCGACGACCATGCGCTCGGGTTTGAACCACTCTTTCAAATAGCGCTGCACGCCATCGGTAGTGATGCCTTCTAGTCCTTCTTCCGGACAGAGGAGGGGATTGCCGAGTGTGTTGTAGTTGTACGCCACGTTGTGCAGCAGCTCCGGGAGGATCAGATCAGGCTTGCTCTCGATCTCCTTCACCTCCCAATGTGCGCTCTGGAGCTGATAGTCGAGCACCTCGGGCGTGATGGCCGGGTGGAGGATGGTGTCGCTGAGGATATCCACCGCTGCACGCGTATCGCCGCGGAATACCGCCGCTTGGTACATGAGCGTCTCGCGGCTGCTGCTAGCTACGAATTGACCACCGAGCGCTGTGATCTCGTCGGATACGGCCTCAGCGTCGCGCGTCTGCGTAGCATTGAAGGCTAGCTTATCCACTATATGCGACATGCCCGTGTTGGGTGCCCCCTCAAACCGTGAGCCTGCGTGCATGTACACGCCGAGTGAATTGAAATGCCCCGGAGTGGCGTCGGATGCAACGCGTATCTTGTTAGGCAGCGTCGTTATCTGTGCGCTGTTCGCTGCTGATCTTCGCAGCAGGCTTGCAAACATGGTGGTGTAGGCACAAGAACAAGGAAGAACAAGGACGAGAAGAGTACAAAGTTCACATAAATTTACTCCACAATACAATCACGATGAGCAGCACTAACACGGCAATTATAGCCCATGTCATCGCCTTCTGCTTGATAGAATGTCTCCACATGTTCTTGAGCGTTTTGAGCGACCTGTCGATGCCTGTGCACGTTATCACGTCAGCATAAAGCCCACCTGTACGCTACCACCCACCTGTATCCGCCTCGCCTAGGGTATTGTGCGTGTTCTCTATTTGCTCACGCTGCGTGCGCAGATTGCGGAGGATATCGGCACCCACATCCTCAGTATCGAGAGCGATGCGGTGGCTGTTTTCGAGGCGACGGTTGCCGTCCTCTACGCGGTCTACTCCTTGCAGCAGATGACCGCGTTCGTCGTGCGCGTCGGCGTGTACGTCATACGGGCTATCTGAGTTGCTGTTCCCACCGAACAACTCATGCCTATCTGACGTCTTTATCAGCTCGGCCACTTCCCCTCTCATAGCACGCAGTAGCTCGCTGTTCGCGCCATGTTTCTCGGCGTAACGCTGCTTGAGCTGTGGTGTAGCCATCTCGAGTCCAATCTGGCTGAGTATATCCTCACACTCGCCCAGCTCCGATTTTACATAGTTGAGCGTCGTCCTGCGCTCGCCTGGTGCGTGTTAGGTGGCGCACTGCCACTGCCACTGCCACTCACTGCCAAATTGCGATTTAGACTCGTCGAGCTTGTGATTAAGCGTTTCCATAATACTGTTGTAGTCATCCAGGTAATTCTCAATTAATTCCATCGATTTCGCTGTCTTTGGTGGTGGTGGTCAGGCGCAGAGAGACACAGGCACAAACACCGGCAGAGCACAGGCACAGAGGCCGACAGACGCAACACCATAAATCCATTCATCCATCTACACTCCTTTACTCCAAATACTTTGAGTCCTTCTTTGGATAGCCGTACACAGGCTCTGGAATGTTGAGCTGCTTAAACACCTCGCTGCTATCGCTGTCGTGTACTGCACGCCACATATGCGCAGCAACAGCAACACCTTGCGTCTGCTGGATGAATTCTCTAACACTGAATCCATCTCTAGCCACATCTCCAGTGTGTTGGGTGGTTTGCCTCACCAATAGCACGGTATACCTATGATATCCACTCCCTTTGGCTGGGTGTGGAGGCGTATATGGGAGCACACCACTATCTAACATCTCATTCAGCTCCACCTGCGTCGTTGTAGCGCTCAGTTTCAAATTTCTGCCCAAATAATGGAGATATGGCTTGTACGAGTGGCTAGACGCGTCTGGGACATCTGGATCGACAATGATAACACTGTAAAGCGCTTCTTCGGCGTCGAATATCTTTACCGAGATTTCTGGCCTCTGTCTACTCAAACCAGCCCTTACGTACGCGCCTGGGATCACTGGACGTACTCGCTTCTCTGAGCCTTCTTCTGCGAATTGGTCCGCGGGGAAATCGACGACTAGCTCTACTGATGCGCTGAATGGCGCTGTCACATCTGGAATAACCTTCATCTGATTAAGCCTCTCCATCAGCTTATCCCTTCTGCGCTGCTCAAAGTCCTTCCTGGAGAGGTAGCGGTAATAAGCCTTACTCATATCGACAAGGCCGTGCTTGAAATTGTGCACCACCTCTGGATCATTACTACCTTGGAGTACCTCCAATTGGGCAATACGGGGTGCGTGATGGCTGTGGCTGTGCTTCTCTGCGTCGGCTCGCAACTCCGCTAGCTCCACCTGAACTCTCCTCTTATCCTCCGCTAAGACTTCCAACGCCAAATCATACACAGGTAATTCTCCAGCTGGGATCGGCCTGTGGTAGCTTCTAACCGCGTGCCTCTGTGTTGCCGCGTGTCTGTGTACTGCTCCCCTTAAAGCTTGTCCAATCGCCCGTGTCCACATTTTTCACTTGTCTTCTCTCCTCGATGAATGTAATCAACGAGTGAATAGCATTTATCATTTTATACAATTCCTTCTATTCTCTACACGATATTAACTATTATCTACTCTATTTACCTCTTTCCCGTTTCCTGTTTCCTGTTTTTACTCTGTCTACTCTGAGTACTCTGGGTATTGGACCCACGTCCTCTGCCACGCCCACTACGCCCGCGACCACCCCTACCACCTCCACTCACACCCACCTCCATCGCCTCCTTGGTCCGGCGCTCCTCCTCCGCCCACCACCTCAGAAACGCTTCCTCCTCCTCGCGCTCTCTCTCCTCTCTCTGTATCTCCACCATGCTTTTCTTTTGCCGTGAATGCTGTGCTGAGTGTAACAAGGCCAAATCCCTCTGCTCGCTCTGTATCGCTTCGAACGTGTTGGAATGCAGTGGCAGTGAATGTGTATCTGCTGCGTTGGGTTTGTGTTGGGTGTGTAGTGTACTCATACTACTCAGCGGTGGACTTGCAAATGCCTGTGTCTGACTCCACGCCTTGCCACTTGCACTACTTCTGAATCTCTTGTTAGTAACGTCCTCTCACTCCACTCCAAACTCACCCCTTTCTCCCTTCTCTACTCGGTACTATCACGTTGCTCTTTTCGCTACGCCGTGCGCTGGGTGAATTGGATGGGTCTTTCGATGGTGTTGTTGATGGTGCTGGTCTTGTTGACGGTTGTTGTATTGCTCCTGATGCTCCTGCTACACCTGCTACACCCTCACTCCCCCACGCCCAAGTTCGCCGCTCAGGCACTCTCCATGCCGGTGTCGGTGGTTTGCTTGGCGATCCTGACAATCCCGACAGCGTGCTCGCAGCTCCACCAGCCACTCGCTCCTGCTTCTCCTGCTTCTCTCGCTCACTCGCCAGCTTCCGTTTCTCCTTTTGCGATATTTTACTGCTACTCAGTCCTGGTGACTGTCCATACAACTTGGGTAAGGCGGGTGTGGGTGTCGTTGCAGCTGACGTTCCCGTCATCGACGTACTCGCCTCCGCTTCAGCTTGGATTATCGAACGTAAGTCTGCAACCTTGCTGCTTTCCGCACTGTTCGGCGTCTGTGCCTGGTGTGCCTGCTGCCACGGTGATGACATATTCTTGCCTCCTGCGTTAGCTGCTGGCGTGCTCACGCCACTACCACTGCCACTGCCAGCACCAATATCTCCCCCTCCCCCTCGGTCTTCGTCCATGTCGAATATGTCGTCCATCGGCGGTATGTTGGCGGTGCATGTGAGATTGAGTGGTGCAATATCCGGTGTCGCTGGCGGTGATCCAGTTTCAAATCCAAATCCAGAAACACTCTGCCGCGCTTTAGGTGACATGATCAAGTTGCCGCTTCCACTCATTCGGTGTGGGCCCGCCTTGGGAGACTTAGTGTTGCTGTTGTTCCAGTAGCGCATGTGTGTCTGAAGAATGGGCTGCGGTATGTCCTCCTCAGCCAGCCACTCCTTGTTACTCTCCACTAAGCCATCCACTAGTGCCGCGTACACCTCCTTCGTTGGCATGTGTGCGTGTTGTCGACCGCGTATTTGTTTCTCGAGCAGCAGAACTACATCCCCACTCATCTCCTCCAGTACGCCCTTCTCTAACACCATCCCCACTTGCGTCGCCAGATCCTCTAGTATACTGTCGACCAGTGCGTGGCACTCATAGTGGAGTGCCTTCTCCACACACCCGACGGCACTATTGAGTGTAATCAGCGGTCGTATCGCACTTGACACTACATCCTTCAATCTATCCATCATCAGCTCATTCGCATATTCTACCACCTCAAACAGCGTGTTGAGGTAGTCGTTCATATCCCCACTCGCCGCACATGCTGCATCGACAACTTCCCCATCACTGCATCCGTATGCGTAGTGCAGAATGTACTCGAATATTTCCAGACGCATGTGTGTCAAATTGATGTGAACCTGCTGGTCACGGCGACGACGCGACTCTGTCCAGATGGGATTATCGAACATTGCCTTGAAAAACTCCACACGACTCTTTAAGACGACACCATCGACAATGGCATACTTGTTGTCGATAAAGTTGAGCCTTACGTCACCGTCCACTACGCCAGACCGTATACGTCCTCCCAAATCTATGCCGAGTGTCCTAGGTACGTCCCTCACCACTAGTGTTTCCAAGAATGGTTCAAGACTACCAAGCCGGAGCAGCTTGCACAGTGCGCCGAGAGTATCCCTCACTCTGAGAGCCTGGTCGTGCGTAGTGTACCCGAGCAGCGGCTTGATTACTCTGGGATCCCAAATCGACAGCAGTGAGTCAGTGTACAGATACTTATTCAGTATATGCAGTGTGAGAGGGTGTGATAGACTGTCGGGGAGTTTCAAAGTACTGCCAGATAGCGCTAGCCCATCTAATCTGTCCCCCTCAAGCAACCCCTTCAGAACAGGCGATCGCGATGCGTAAACGCTCTTGTGGAACGGTATCACCTCTCCACTGTTGCACTTCAATCTTCCGTCAAACCCGCCAACATGACTATCGGAGTAATGGGCGTCACTATTATCACTCCTACGGGTGTATCTGCGGAAGAAAACATCGCATTCCGCAATCTTGACATCAATATCATCATCTTCCTCATGCTGACTGTTGTCGTCGTCCACTACACCCTCAGATCTTTTGTCACCACTTATACTCACCTCCTCATCTTCCACTCCACCACCGAGATACATGCCACTCCTCATATCATCGCCCAAGCTATCTCTACCACCATAGATAGCTTTGTGCGCTGGGGGTTTTCGCAATGCTGCAAATGCTCCTGAGTCACTGGCATGCACTTCGCTGACGCGGTGGAGGTAAGGCACGCGAAAGAATTTTGAGGACTTAGTCTTGCTGCTCTCCTTCCAACTTGGAGGTATGGTATCTAGAGTATTCTTTGCAGTCTTGACAAAGACACTGCCAGATAGTGTACACAAGACAATAGTACCATTCAACCCGACGTCGAAATCTCTCACTGCGGTGAATTGGTTGCGAAAACTCCAAACTTTCTGCGGCTTGATGGTGTTAGTGGTCTCGTTTGGAGATGCAAATACAAACACCTCTCCGAGCGAACTTAGCGCACCGAATGTGTTAGATGAGCATTTCACCTTGGTGATTGTGGGTCTGATCCTTGCGGATGCTGCTCCCGTCCCCATTCTATCGCTTTTGAAGTGCGGAAAACTGAGTTTGGCGTATGCGCTGTTGTAGAACGCTGTCACATCCCCACTATCCGTCAGCACACACATGCTCCTATCCGATATAGCAACAGCGAGTACATTTTGCTTTATGGATGTCACCTTGCGCGGTGTGTTTTGTATAGGTGTCGAAGATTTGTCATATCCTTGAGAGTGTTAGGTGGGTGTTAGTGGCAATCGCACTGAGACATACCTAAATGACCCTCATTCGTTCCCCAAGTAAATAACGTGTCGTTTTTCCAGCACGCACTAGCAGTCTTCCCAGCGGCAACACCCTCCATCACTTCCTTCTTCAGCGCCCCGAAGATTCGCTTCGGGGTGATCTGGAATGGGTCGCTCGAGTTTGTGAATTTGGCGTGGTGTGAGGTAGGTGCGTCAACAGCGTAACCGAGCTGCTGGTGCTTGTTAAGACCGAAAGAGTATACGTGCCCGTCAGCGTCGAGCAGGAGAGTGTGTTCTTGGGCGAGAGCCATATCCACCACTTTCACGTCGAGTGGGGAAGCCAGTGGCTCGAATGCATACTGTGCATGAACGGATCTGCCAAGCCTGCCTCCATTCCCGAATCCACAGAAACGGACGTTGTTAGTGTGCTCGTCTGTGATGATGCCGGTGTGCAATTTGGACATGAACACTCTGTCGACATTAAGATACTTGAACTTGTCTACGGGATTTTCGTGATTCGTGACGCGCTTAATGGATATGCGCTCAGGAAACTGCCGATCGTCGCCGTGGGCGTTGCCGAGGACGTAGTTGCGGTTCGTGCCCCACGTGAACAGCTCGGAGCGGGAAGAGTGGTGTGGATTGGGCAGCGCACCGTCGATAGTGAGATTGTAAAGGTCGAAAGCGGTGTAGCCTTCTCTGTCCTTGACAGAAAGATCGACGTCGTCTCTCGCGAGGAGGAGCCTGGCGAAAGCGATAGAGGCGCCTGGAGAGCGTGTCAGCGGTCACTCAGAGCCAGTCGAAGCACATGACCCACAATACATGGCCCTATGCAGGGCTGTCCAGCCAGACTCCGCGTCCTGGAGGTTGACGTTGATGTTTGGCTGCGAGAGAGCGAGACGAGCAAAATCGAGCTGGTTCTCGTCGCGCATGGATGCGATCAAGTGGAGAGCCGTCCTCCCTTTGTCGTCGCGCTGGTTCACATCGGATCGCAGCTCGGTGGCGGGCGTAATAGAGTGCGCTGACTTGCTCAGCGACGACGGCTGCTTTGTAGAGCTGTCTAGGCTGAGTCTGAAATTGTTTAAATCCTTCTGGAGAAGGTGGTAGAAGAGCGGGTTCATGTACTTGTTAAATGGCCACAGCTGCTACGCCGTAGAGATATTCCAATTACCTGTGGCAGCCATTAGCACGAACCGAGCTCGTTCCGCGCTCCTCACTGTCTGCAGTACTGGAAATACGTTATCTATGATGGTCTAACACAAGCAACGTTGTCGAAATTAAAGTGTAAAATATTCACGCCTACAAAGCACTAGAATCACCGCGTCTCCTCTGAGCTGTCGAATATCGTCTCTGGTTGTTGCCTCTGTCTCTCTTCCACCGAAAGCCTCTCGTAGTGCTGCATTTCCGTGTCTTTGTTATCTCCAACCCCGCCGCCCCGCGTAAGATGCATGTAAAGGCTCATGTTTGTTGTCACCAGCAAGTAGAGCAAGAAAGATATTGAGAATATCACCATTGCGTACGTTGCGTGGTCGAAATTGTGCGAGTCCGCCACCGAGAGCTCTTCGTCAGTTGCACTCATGAACAACGATCCTGAGAGTATGAGGAGGTACGGCGGCAGATGCTGGAACGTGCGCAGGCTATATGACTCCTCCTGATTGCTTATGAAGCAGATATCGATGATCCTCGTCACCCCTGCCGTCATGAGCGTGTATCCGAATAAAGCGTGGATCTGCGAGCGTTGAGTATTGTGCGTAGCTATTCCCGATGCCCTCACTCACCTTTGTGGAAATCTCCATGCTTTGAGCGTGCCCACTCATCACGTATCCTGTCATGATAATAATCCCAGCGGGTATAATTGATCTGGTGCCTTTGCGCGACATGAACATGCCGAGCGCACCGCCACACCACCACAACACGCCGAGCATGGTGTGCTGGAGATCCTTGTGGGTCCATGGCCCGCCGTGGTGCTCAGTGAAGGTGTTCACAATCCCCCAGAGCATGATAACTGTTGAATCGACCATCTCCTGGCTTCCACCTCTCGAAATGGCTGACTGTGCGCCGATGTGCAGCAGTACGGCGTACAAGACACCATACCAGATAAAAGCAGAGCCCATAATCTGAAAAGCAGTAAGAAACTGAGTTTAACAACGCAACGTTAACCTCACATAATGTGCCAAGCACTGTCCGAGACTGCCGCCACGGCAGTACGACCCGACAGTCGCGATGCCGAAGACGACCTGTACCCAGCCTACGATAGGAAAGGTTTTACCGGTAATTCCGTGCGTCTTCACGATCCACGATCTGAGCCTGGTGTCCTCCATAACGTGCAGCTTGAGGAAGATACCCATCGCTGCCTGCGCGACGAGATAGAAAATGAGAATAACTGACATGGTAGAATGCACTGAGCTCGGGAACTGCCGCCCTTTGTGCTTCATGCCACTGAGGTAGCCCAGACAGCCTGTCACCAGCATCGCCGCACTCTGCACGGGTACGTGCCATTTGGAGCGGGTGCTGCCGAGAACCATGCCAATCGGGAACACAACGAGCCACACAAGCACCTGCGTTACGATGTGCACGATTATTATCCAGTCGAGCGGCACTTTGTTCATCTCTGATCCCTCCTCGGCGTGATGATGGCCCGCGTGTGCCGCCGTAAGCGTCGCAAGACTTGTAAGCGTGGCTGCCGTGCTTATCGCTCTTCGAAAGCTCATTTGCGTTTGCAGATTGCTTCGTCTTGGTGGTTGAGGTTAGAGAGACAAAGTCGGCTATTAATTCTCAACGCTATCGTTGCATTCAGTTGATCTTAACGCTGAATGTTGGTTCTCGAATACTCTCGTTCCTAGTCACGTAGCTATCGGCATACACACAGCATGCGCTCAGAAGGCAGAAGATTAAAACGTCAGAATGACGCAGCCTCAGTAAAATTCCGAGTTCGCGGATTTTAATTTTTAGTTCTACAATCCCGCTCTCCGATTATCAATCCTGCTTCCCGTGTACGCCACTTCGGACTCGGCAGCATTCATAAGTTAAATTTATCAACTTTATGCATAAAATAAAGTCTATACCCAAAATGTAAACAAATAAATAATCCATACGCGTTAGTTCGATTCCTTTCCATCGCTATATGCTATAGTGGAGGACTCATTGGATGATACTGGATTCATATCCTTCTTAGAGTCCTGCGCTGTGTGCTCATCCTTTTCTGTAGGCTCGTCCTGCTCTGTGTGTTCTTCCTGCTTTGTATTTTCGTCTTCTGTCTTCTCCACATTTTTCTGCTCACCCTTTTTAACAGTATTTGTTCGCATTTCATACCGCTTAATAAAAAGTGACGAAATCAAGCCACAACCAGCCAAAACCACAACCATGATGAAGATTTTAGCAATCGCCTCCGAGTAAGCAGCCTGTACTTGTACTTTCAACGACTCTGGCTGCATATTCTTTATATCAGTGAGGTTTTCTGTGCTTAATCCAACAAGAGATCCAGCGTTGGGGATGTTCTGCAACTTCTTCTTTGACACATTTGAAACAATGGTTCCAGATACGGAGATCGCAATGCAGCCACCAAGACTTCGCACAAACACATATGCTCCCGTCCCAGTAGAAACGTCAACAATGGGCAGGCTTGACTGCATGGCCAACAAAGGAACCTGAAACAAGCACCCAACGCCCAATGACGCTACAAGGATGTAAAGGATTTGCTTAGCCGTGTTAGAGTCATTCCGAAGCGTTGTCATCAATCCATAGCCAAGCACTTGAATCGCCCAACTCAGCCAGATCATGATGCGGTACTTGTGGAACCGAGCAACCAGCAAACCACAGACGATGGAGACAACACTCGCTCCCAGGGTGTAAGGAAGAAGCCGGACTCCTGACTCTAACGGCCCTGTACCATCGGCTACCTGAAAAAAGACGGGTAAATAGTAGCAACTGGCCAGATAGCCAATGGAATGGAACAAGTTGCCGATCAAGATGCTAGTCGTTGTCAGCGTTTTAAACAGCCGAGGCGGAATTATTGCAGAACTGGTTGTGTATGTCTCCCATACACCGAAAAAAATTGTTACCACACCACCTACCACGACCAACGCGATCACAGCTGGATTCTGCCAGCCAGAGTTTGAGGCTATTGAAAAGCCAAGTATCAAACACACCGAACCAATGAGAATTGAAACTAAACCGACATAATCAAACTGTATCAATACTTGCTTCCAATTTGGCCTCTCTCGCGGGCTCAGTTTGAGGAAATAGCATAAGGCTGCCATAACGACTGCGGATATTGGTAAATTGATCCAGAAACACCAGCGCCAGTTGGCATGTTCGGTGATTGCGCCTCCTAGTAACGGCCCTAACACTGAAGCGATACCCCATACACTACCTATTAGCCCGCTATAGAGACCCCTGTTGCTCAATTCCGTAATAAGCGAGATGACGATCTGGACGGAGCTCATAATAGTTCCGCCGCCTAATCCCTGCACTCCGCGGGCGATACATAGCCAAAACCCTGACTTTGCACCTGCACAAAGGCCACTACCCAAACAGAAACATAGAATTCCGACAATAAATATCAGCTTCTCGCCGACTATCGTTCCCACTTTGGAAACGACCGGGATCAACGCGCAACTTGTGAGAAGATAAGCCACGCCGACCCATGAGTACTCAGCGGAATCCATTTGCAAGTCTGCGGATATGCTTGGAAGTGCCGTAGTTATGATGGTAGAGTCCAACGCACACAAGAAGGTGGCTGCCATGATACACGGAAAGACAATAAACATATTGTTATCAGGGATCTCTTGCGCCTTCTCATCTTTCCTCCACTGTCCTCTGAAAGCTTTCTTCTCTATGCCCGGTGATTTGGCGGGCTTCATGATTTGGGGAATGAAGGAAGTCGCTATATTAATTTCCGAGGAAAGCTAATTCAATAGGATAATAATTTTCTTAAATTTGAAAAGGCCGAAGATGATCGTTGGTTTGAGAGCCGGCTCGAGATAGCTCCCGATTACAGTTGGATAACGTGGGTGCGTCAGCAGCGGATGAGTTCAGGCAACTCAACCTTCGCTAGGGTTTCCAGTGACGTAAACAATTTCATTCAGTAGCCAGTTGCGCGATTTACATTTTTGCCACTGAATGCCGTACTTTTATCTTGGGAGACATTGGGCCAAAAGGAGTGATATTAGAGAGATATTTGAGCGATGCTTCCAGTACTTGAGGATTAAAATAACAGTCTTAATAACTTGAGGGAATTAATTTGCTATACCGAATCAGTGAATGTAAAAGTGACATACAGCCATGAATAATAATGGCAATCTGGGAAATTTCGGAGTACTTTTAACATTATTAAGGTGTAAGCATTCAAAACATTTTTATTTCCTTCATACATACAATATCCACAGACTTGAAATTTCCAAAGATGACAGTGATATGATCCTAACTGGCCGACTTCGGAGTTTTAATATTCTCCAAATAAAAGGTAATTTCGATAGATTTGGATGAGAAAAGGTTAAATGCACATCCCTTCGATTAATATCTCGCCCTGAAAGAGTTTCTGAAGTGGCGATTCGACGTCACTCTTTAGCACCAATAGAGCATACACGGAGAATCTAACGCGTCCATCCGATACGAGCTACTAGCACAAGGCGATAGAGACCGCAAGCACTCAAATATCCCAATAATTCAAGCCAATCCAACTCTGAAATCAGGACTTTGGCTTCACAGGTGCATTTCGAAAAATCAGAAAATGTGGATGGAAATGCGGTTGAGATTTATAGACTTCTATATAGCATGATTGTAATTTTAAGGCATCAAATAATGTTAAGACCATTATTGCGATTGCTCTTGGATACACTTTGAAATGGCGTAAGACATTAGACGTCCTTGCAAAGATTTAGGCATGAGAAACAAGTTCATTCTAAATAGTACAAAACAATAATTACAATAGCTAGGAGGGGGAAGGAGAGCTTAAGCGCCAAATTACAACCGTAAAGGACTCTTCCTTGACGCTTGAGGGCGTAGACGACGTCGAGAGCGGTGACAGTCTTTCTCTTTGCGTGTTCGGTGTAGGTGACGGAGTCTCTGATGACGTTCTCCAAGAAAACCTTGAGGACACCGCGTGTTTCTTCGTAGATGAGACCAGAGATACGCTTCACACCACCACGACGAGCGAGACGACGGATAGCTGGCTTCGTAATACCCTGAAGTGTTGTTAGATGGGAACATCGATAAAATAAACTTCCAACCCACTTGGATATTGTCTCTGAGAATCTTACGGTGGCGCTTGGCACCACCCTTTCCTAAACCTTTACCGCCTTTTCCTCTTCCTGACATTTTACTGAGAGTTGTTGATGGAGATGGAGAGAAAAACGCGCTGGCTATTTATGCATTTGGAGCGCGCGCGAGAGATCACGACCTGACCAGATCAAATTTGGTTTTCTTTATATAAAACGCGTGATGCTACCGTGTAGAGGACTCAAATGTAAAGTAAAAACACATCATCTAATAGCTAGAATTTTCTGCAGTCTGCGCGTGGGTTTTTTCCGACTCTCCTATCCCTCCACCAACCACCACCTGTTTTAGATCATTTGCGCGTGATCCCAAGTAGAAAATGATTCAACGACGCGCGCCTATATAACGGGTCCATAGCCTCTCTTTTAAAAACAACACATATCTACAAATAAATTAAAATGGCCAGAACTAAGCAAACAGCCCGCAAGTCTACAGGTGGTAAGGCCCCACGTAAGCAACTCGCCACTAAGGCAGCAAGAAAGACAGCCGCCCCACAAGCAGCTGGTGGTGTCAAGAAGCCACACCGTTACCGTCCAGGTACTGTCGCCCTTAGAGAAATCCGTCGCTACCAAAAGTCGACCGAACTTCTCATTAGAAAACTGCCATTCCAACGTCTCGTCAGAGAAATTGCCCAAGACTTTAAGACAGACTTGCGTTTCCAATCGTCCGCCGTCATGGCTCTCCAGGAAGCCAGTGAAGCTTACCTTGTCTCACTCTTCGAAGACACCAACCTTGCTGCCATCCACGCAAAGAGAGTTACCATCCAACCAAAGGACATTCAACTCGCCCGTAGACTCCGCGGTGAGCGTGTCTAAGTTATTACTTATTACTTGTATCTATTTATGTACTATTTATTCATATATTCATCTGCATTAATGAATTGTCAAAATTTTCAACCTTTTTATCTACAATGAACCGGCTTTGAAGTGTGATTAGTGGGATACGCCGAATAGCTACATTTCCTACCTTTTTTCAAACCCCTTGATATTCAAATCATCAAGACATTTAACGCGTGACAGAGCAACATAAGCCATGCCGTGTTCGAATATGTCTTGAAAATGCACCGTTATAGAAGGGAGAGTTTGGCTGGCGGGGTTTTAGCAAGTTGGAAAGGTATTTCAATCGTACTACAAAACGCTTACCCCTGCGATTTGTGTATGGTCGTCGCCCAAGCCAATACGAGTGGGATTTGAAAGCGAGTAGCGAGTGTATCGCCGACGTCATCCTCCATCTCCTGCTTCACGGACTCGACTAGCCCGCGCAATCCGTTATTGAATTGCACCAGCACGCCTACTTTACCTTGTTTGCCTTGTTTGGTTTGTGTGGAATCGCTCATCGGTTTGTACACCACTTTGCGCCCTCTGGAGGACGTGAGTGAAGGGATTATCATCCATTCATTTCCATCTCCATCTCCATTCTCATTCTCATTGTCTTCTTTCTCCTCGCTGAGCTTGGTGTATGTACCCACCGACACAGCCACCCCGACTGCGCCATTTACTAATCCCCTACCTGTGTCTAGGTTCTTGACGAGCATGACTTGCGCACCTGCTGCCAATTCGACTTGTTCTGGAATAGGCATAGCCGCGTTGAGTGCCATTTTTACATTCCTGACTGCACCCTGTTTCACTAGCTTGTCTTTTGCGCTGAAGTAATGTATTGGTTTGTTGAGATTATTGAGCTGTCTGCGGTTAGCGGCGTCGACGTGCGCCCTCCTAGCGAACCTGTGGAGTGTGAAGAGTGAGGAGAGCACTGCAAACACATCGCGACTCACACCTGCAGCGGCTGAAGGGGTTTTCTAGCAGGAGGTTTTCTCTGAACGGCATACAGCGCCAGTACACTCGCATCGCTCAGCTTGCCAGTACGAGCCTCGATGAGAATATTCTGAAACGCCTCGTCGCCCGCCTGTCTGAAGGAGGATGGGAGAGAGAGGGTGATAAGACCGCACTCATGCCACGCCTTGCCCTCGAAAGCGAAAATACGCCGGCTGTTCCCAGCAGCCACTGGCGGCAGCTGGTAGAAGTCGCCACACAACACCAACTGTATACCGCCAAATGGCTCGTCACGTCTGCGCACCCGCTTGGCAACTTGGTTGAGCTTGTCGAGGAATAGTCCATCGAGCATGCTCACCTCGTCCACTACGAGCACGCGCGTAGCCGTCCACTTGGCCAGTTTCGCCTTGTCCATCTTGATGCTGACGACGAGACCGGCGACTGAAAGACTCGAGTTGGTGATGCCGGACCAGCTGTGTGTTGTAGTGCCCGATAATTGGGTAGCTGCCACACCAGTCGTTGCCGTTACGGCTACTTTCCCTCGGCCATGAAGGGCGCGTAAGGCGTCGATGGCGCATGTGAGCAGATAACTCTTACCACTACCGGCAGCGCCAGTGAGGAAGACTGATTTGCCTTGGAGGATTGCATTTAGACTGGCTTGCTGGGCGGGAGAGAGAGGGGGAAAGTAAGACGCGCTTTTGAGGTCATAAGAGGGCTGGCTGGGGATCGCGTGTGAGCTGTGCAACGATTTCACTCTTTCGCTCTTTCACCCACTCTAAAACGCTGCTTTTGCGCTTCGAAGAAGACCGTGGGGCTGCAGGTGCAGTTGGTGCTGCAGAAGAAGCTGGAGATGCTGCCATTGATATATTAAAGATAATTTATCCAGATTTCCTTCAAATTCCCTTCAAATTATCGAAATTATCGAAATTATCGAATCGCCGTCGTCTTGAGCTACAACGATGACAAGTCAAATTCGGTGCATCCACTCAACAACGAAATTGCTGGTATCAGGTCCACCACGCCAACTGCCACCAGATCTATCAACTCTCGGCGCACCGCCAGCCCCAGGAAAGGGTCGCTCACGGCCAGGACAAGCGGGTACAGCGGTGGAGGCGCCAAAGAGGCTTCCATTGGGCGAGAAGCCACCATCAGCCCAAGGTGGTCCAAGAATACAGCGAATGGATCCCTCAGTGACGAATTGGCTTGAAAAAGGTGATGGATTGAGTTATAGGCATGGCAGGACAGGGCCAAATTGGATAGGCAATACTCCATTCCCTCTTAACCCCACTTTTAAACCTCCGCCGCCTCTGAGCGACGCACTCAAAACGAGAATACACTCGCTCAACGAATCAGACCCGCACAAGTACACACCCACAAAACTCAGCCTGGATTTCAAGGTCAGCGTTGACAGGATACACGCGCTGCTCAGGCTCAAGGCGGTTGAGAAACGCTGGGTGGATGAAGGGCGCACACTCCAGCTCGAGCACCTCAAGGGAATGGAAAAGCACCTCGGGGTGGCGTCACTCAACACCAAGCTCAAGGACGACGTCGCGGTGATGGATCTGGTTAGCAAGACGCAGCAGGTCGACCCAGAACCAGCTCAGGTACATCCAGAACCAGCTGCAGGCGTGCTCCCTTCAAACCCACGCTCTAGTCACAAGACGTCGCTCGCGGAGCAGAATATATTCCTCGCACTTGACAGCAACCAGGCTGAAGAGGCAAAGAAGAGTGCCGAGCAATACGAGTCCACCCTCGAAGAGAAACACAAAGTTGCGGCCGAGAAACCTAAAAAAGAAGCCGACGAGGGTAAAGGGGTTACTGTGAAGGACAAGTGGGAATTTATAGACACCTCACAAACCACTCAGCGTAGAAATTTGTCCAGAAATTAATATTTTACATTCTTGTGCTGCTATCATTGTGATGACCATGACGAAACGCGTGGAGAAAGGCGTAGAAGAAGGCGCCGACCTTCCCGATGAAATGTATGTGTGCTTTATATCCACGCACGCGATTGACGCGTCCAATGAAGCCACGATGATTTTGAGCATATCAACGATCTTTGGCAGGAAGTGTACAGCTCGAATGTGGCCAGTGAGTAGGTGTGAGCGTGAGAGTGCTGCGGGCTCACCCACAGAAGCTACGGAACAACTCCCCGCTGAGGTTTATCGAAGCGGCGGTCTTCTAAACCAAGTTACTCGGGTACAGCGCGAGAACTTGGCAAACTTGGAGAAGGATACGTTGGGCTATATACGGGGGAGACTCGACAACACACCACCCACGCACACGAGCAAACTTCTTTACCAACTCGGCAACTACGGCACAGACGCCCAGCGGCTATCCGAGGAGAGAGTATCGATAGCGACCAGCCTGCGTGATATCATTGCACGCAATATCAAGCTCATCGAGACTGGCATCGAGAACCAGCAGACAGAGCTCCAGATTGGCGTCAGGCCGGGCACACAGCCATCGCACAACGAGCAGCTGAAAAAGGAACGCGATTCCAGACTCCGTTCTCGCGCCGTCAGAGAGGAGCAAGAGAGAGCGGAGAAGGAGAAGAAGGAAGACGATGAGCGTTACTGCTTCTGCCATCAAGTCAGTTTTGGCGATATGGTGGGATGCGATAATGGTGGGTAAATGGCGCGTTAATAGCGCTTTATAGCACTTTATAGCTCAGCGTTGCTTACTCAACACACCCAGAACAATGCCCCTACCAGTGGTTCCATCTTGCGTGCATAGGTCTCGAAGACGCACCCAATGGAGATTTCGTATGCTCGTTCTGCCAGCAGCAGCGGGAGGTGGGCGAGAGTAAGGATGACGACAGAGAGAACGGCGAGAATGAAGATAGCCAGAAGAATGATGTGAATGACTCTTCAAATACCCCTGCCACGCCTAATCTGTAACAAAACAATGCAAAGACATATTGAGACTCTTTCAAATTTACCCAGGTTTAGCCCGAGGACAGCCGCGGCTATACTGGCACATGAATTGTGCCTTTCTCGGGTGCCTTATTCGGCTGCTGTCCTTGTCGCCGGACAGACGACTAATCGCGGCGGAGGAGAAGCCTTAGGCAGGGAACTGAGCGGGCGTGTAAATAAGCCACAAATGACAGCCAAATACTCAACATCGGCGGAAACAAGCCATTCAAATCCACGAAAACGGATTCGTCCGTCTGGATCATATCTCTCATCACGACCACCAACATCAAAATGTTTGTAAATGTAAAACTGGCTGCAGCCGACGCTTACACCGCCTAGGACATCTCTCGCTAGCAAATTGAATATCACAGACATCGACGTCGCTGAGAAGCGTGTCCTCATCCGCTGCGTGGGTCTTGAGCAGAGCCATCGACACGCCTCTGACGCCCACTAGGATTTCAACGTTCCTCTCGACAAGAAGACTGGCCAAATTTCAAACCCAGCGGTGAGTTTTAAAGTTTGGGTGATACGCTCCACAGCACTCACACACCGCAGAGAATCGTTGGTGCCCTCCCAACCATCAAATACGCCCAAGAACACGGCGCCAAGGCTGTCGTCCTCATGTCACACATGGGTAGACCAGATGGCCAGCCAAACGACAAGTACTCGCTCAAGATTGTTGCTGACGAATTGGAGAAGCAGCTCAACCAGAAGATTATCTTCACTAAAGATTGCGTTGGTGAGGAGGTTGAGAAGACTGTCAACTCAGCTCCAAAGGGCTCCATCGTTCTCCTCGAAAACCTTCGTTTCCACATCGAAGAAGAAGGCTCGAGAAAGGACGCTGACGGTAACAAGATCAAGGCTGACCAAGCTGCCGTTGACGCCTTCCGCCAACAACTCACTAAGCTCGGCGATGTTTACGTCAACGACGCTTTCGGTACCGCTCACAGAGCACACTCTTCTGTCTCTGGTATCAAGCTTGACACTAGAGCTGCCGGTTTCCTCGTAAAGAAGGAACTTGAGTACTTTGCAAAGGTTATCGAGGCTCCTGAGAGACCTTTCCTTGCCATCCTCGGTGGTGCCAAGGTTTCTGATAAGATCCAACTCATCGAAAACATGCTCACCAAGGTCGACTCTCTCATCATCTGCGGTGGTATGGCCTACACTTTCAAGAAGGCTGAGGGTATGGCTATTGGTGACTCACTCTTTGACAAGGCAGGTTTTGAGAAGGTCGGCGATATCATGGCGAAGGCTGCCAAGAACAATGTCAAGATATTGATTCCATCCGACTACGTCATTACCCAGGAGTTCTCAAATGACGGTGCTAACAAGGTCGTCAAGGAGTCTGAAGGTATCCCAGACAAATGGGAAGGTCTTGATATTGGTCCAGACTCAGCAGCTGCATTCGGTGAAGAGATCAAAAAATCCAAGACTATCCTCTGGAATGGACCAGCAGGTGTTTTCGAGTTCCCTAATTACGCCAAGGGTTCAAATGCTCTCCTCGAAGCATCAATCGAAGCTCAAAAGAACGGTTCGAACGTCATTATCGGTGGTGGTGACACTGCTACTGTTGTCGCTAAGGCTGGAAAGGAAGATGCTCTGGCTCACGTATCAACTGGTGGTGGCTCATCTCTTGAATTGCTCCAAGGTGATGTCCTCCCAGGTGTTGACTACCTCAGTGAAAGGAAGTAAATTGGTTGATTTAGTTTCCGCTTAGAATTTTGTACGATGTTAGTTTATCAAGTATCTCGGTATATTCGTAAGTCTGGTGTGTCTGAGATTGGTGAAAATCTTCCTCCTGAATGTGCAACGGTTGTAGGTGAAGTTTGTGGGTTGATAATGGGATTAGTAGACACATAGTGGTGTTACGTTTATGTAAAATGTTTGCCACACTCTCATATCTCTATCTTAGTTGAGTTGCTAGTTATACTCATTGAAGCTGAACAATATTGATGTCAAGTGGGAAGAAAGGGCTGTGGTTGTGGAAGTAAGTTATATTCTTGAGATACATTTAGAAGTAGTGTTAAAACCCCTCCTCAACCCGAATACTCCACTTAAATGCTGTAATCACAATCGCCAAGTACTTAACTATGAAGACGTGAAATGAATGAAAGGGAATCGGGCATTCCAACGAGCTTATCAGGCTAAAACAGCCTATTTGAATTAATTGCGTCAGAGCATTCCAGTTGAACGCGTGATATAGTAACGCGTGGAAGGGTGGATGATTGTGAGCGTTTTCGATGGAACTAGTGGTGTATTTGTAGTTTACACATATAAGGCCTTAAATAAACGCGTTAAAATGATTTTTACATCTTTATCGACAATTATTCGTTCTTACTCTTGATCCAGTACGACGACGACGAGGATGCCAGTAGTGACGAAGCGAGCATCAGAGGCGAATCTCAAGAGAAGATCGAAGACGTCGTTGAACACACGGAGACGCCTGAAAGCCACTGGATCGACTGACAGGATTGGGAACGATGAGAATGACGGGGAAGTCGCGCGTGGACAGAACCAAGCTAGTGGAAGTGGAATAGGCACGGGGATTGGCGTTAGCGGAGGGAACGCGGGAAGTGCCGGGAATGCCAACAAGAAGGCTAAAACTAGCAATGGTAGACGCGCTTTACTTGAGATCGCGTGGTGGACGGGTGAGTGTGGGTATTGGTGGTAGTACAAATGACTCTTACAATCACAGTGACACCAAATCTTGGGGAATACCTCAATACAAGTGATGGACACATGTCTAATGTGGGTTTGTTTTTATTACCAAGTGTAACTCACTCATACGCGTATCAGAGCTATATCCTCTATAGCAGATCACCAACGCCTTCATTTGAATTTGAACAAAGGCAGCACACTCAGGCTACCCCACGACCAACAATCTCAAGGGCTTCTTCAATGAGGTGATGATGTCGTTGATGACGTCAGAATATTTACATAGGAATATCAATTGGAATCATTTAACACGCCTAATCAGGCTCACACTCTCTTTAATAGCAAGACACACTCACTTAATAGCAAGACACAGGTTTATACGGATGAGACATTCCACTTACACAGCCAAACCCAATTAACACAGAATATAACGCAATTTTGTAATTTGTTTTTATTTTCATCTAAAATCATGTATTCTTTACCAATAATCTCCTTGTTCTCAAACGTCCATCATCTAATGTCTCCTCCCGGTTCTCCCCCACAGCACATCAAGGACCAAGAAGCCACGTCTCAAGCCAGCAACCAATCTTCTCCTTCCCTCCCCGCCCAATCTTTCGGAATGGAGCAATTGCATCATCACCACTCCCAATCCGCTCACAGTCTCCACCACCCATCCAGATCCGCGGGCCAAATCCCCGATATCGAGAGGCTTAAGCTTGATAGCGGTCCCATCTCGCCTGTACCATACACAGCATCCAGTGCCAATGCCGGTATACTCAAACAGCTCGACCAGAGCACCAACGCCAGTAGACTAGCCAGTAGAGCCCCATCCCGCGCACCCTCCGTCGCAGGCATTGGCAAGACAGCTGCCAAGCCTGATTACTCCGAAGCTAAAATTGTCGTTGCGATGGTCGGTCTCCCCGCACGAGGCAAGTCGTACCTATCCAACAAGCTGATGCGTTATCTCAAGTGGCTCGAGTACGATGTCAAGGTGTTTAACGTAGGTCAATACAGGCGGAAATTGGCGCGCGAGAAGAAGGCAACGACGGGCGCCCGCGATGACCATTCAGCCAGCTTCTTCAACCCTAACAACGCAGACGCGATGGGGATGCGCGAGAAGATGGCCAACGACTGTCTCGAAAATCTCATCGATTGGCTTAAGCAGGGTGGAAACGTCGGTATACACGACGCTACCAATTCCACTATGGAACGCAGACAGAAACTTGCAGAACGTATTGAAAAAGAACGTGGAATGCAGATTATATTTATCGAATCCGTCTGTGAAGACCCATCAGTCATCTCGGCTAACGTCGCTGGGAAAGTCAGCGCAGGCGATCCAGATTACAACGGTATGACACCAGAGCAGGCAGAAGCAGATTTCAGGAGACGTATTAGTCATTACGAGGCTGCTTATGAGCCAGTCAACGAACCTCATATTAGCTACTGCAAGGTTATCAACGTGGGTGAGAAGGTCGTGTGCAATCTCATCAACGGTTACCTCGAGTCGAGGATCGCATTCTATCTAATGAACCTTCACGTCTCACCAAGGAGCATCTTCCTCACTAGGCACGGCGAGTCTATGTTTAATGTCGAGGGGAGAATCGGCGGTGATAGCGACCTCAGTCCTCGTGGTGCAAGGTATGCGCAAGCACTGCCTAATCTTGTCAGGGATAATGTCGGCAATGTGCCGCTAACTGTGGGTGATGATATGAAGATGCCTAGTGTGCTTGATACTAACGTATCTACAGCTGTGGACTTCGACTCTCAAACGCACCATCCAGACTGCTTCTAACCTCCCCTACCCGAAACTCACATGGAAGTCGCTCGATGAGCTCGACGCGGGTGTGTGCGATGGGATGACGTACGAGGAAATCGAAGAAAACTACCCCGAAGACTACGCGAATCGAGACGAGGATAAATATAACTACAGGTACAGAGGTGGAGAGAGTTACCGCGATGTCGTTATCAGACTCGAGCCAATCATAATGGAGATGGAGAGACAGAACAACATACTCGTTATAGGGCACCAGGCCATCTTGAGAGCTATCTATGGGTATTTCCATAACATTCCTCAGGAGGAAATACCGTACATCAAAATACCGCTGCATACAGTCATCAAGCTCACACCTAAAGCGTATGGATGTGACGAAGTTAGGTATCAGCTTCCGATCGAGGCAGTGGATACGCACAGGCCTAAGCCTAGTGTGAAAAGGAGTGATAGTACGGCTAGCAGGTCGAGCAAGGGGGTATGAGAGGGTGTAATGAAGGATAAAGTGTTGAAACCGATGAAATAATGTCAAATGAAAATTTTCTACTCTTACTTTTCTTAAAAGATATGGTACAAGTTGCGGAATGAAGTCTATATTCTTGAGGAATCTTGAGGGTTTTGAGGAGCGTCTGAGTTGTCTGTGGTGTTTTGAGTGTCGATTGAATCTGGATTTGCGTCATCGTCATCATCTGCAATCTCATCGCTGTAGTGTTCTGGATGGCTTCTGAAGCAGTCTGTGGAGGTGTTTGAGTGAAGTAACCTATCAACACATCAATACTCACCTTGCATGCCTTTGAACGCCTCAACACAATCGATTCCCTTTGGATCAGCTTCAGAGTAGACGAAGCAGGCTATAAGAGCGTTTGAGTTTGTGTTTGCCCTTTTATAACACATCACACCCACAGAAAGCACTCTTGAAGTCTTCGCCACAAGGGCCATGAGCCATTCCGCCTAAACAGGGACAGTCCCAGTTTATTTCACTGGGGAGTGTGTGAGAGGCTGTGTACTGTGTGTCTTGTCCCCTTTCTTACCCTGTTTCTGGGTCATATGCGCCGCCCGAGTTGGAAGGGGTGGATTTGTTGTCATCCTTGTCGTCGCTGTCGACAGCATCGATATTATTTAAATTGCTGTCATCAATTTTCTTATCTGTATCGCTCATTCCGCCTGATTATCAAGAATTACCAAGCGAGAAGACGACAAGTCGGGGAAATGAGGAAATGAGAAAATATCATTGAAAATTCAAACTTCAATTATCTATAAAATTAGCGACGAATACAACATCCTTACCAAATACTTTGCTAGCTTTGTGATGTAGATTTGGTGTTTTTGAGTTATTTGGTTGATTTTTCACCACACTAACACCATCACCGATGAGCACAGGCGAGACTGTAACTACTAGAGTATCGGCCAGGGTGTCAGATAGGGATGTTTCGTTTGCCGACGCGGCTAGAATGCTCTTGATCACCGTTGCACCACCTTCAACCATGAATCGCGTAAATCCAAATATCTGGCTGAGTGTGTTGAAGTGTTGTCTGTTGAGTGGTGTGCTTGGTGTGAGAATATCAACCACTTTCACTCCACTCTCCTCTAACGCCAGTCTTTTGTCGTTCTTGGGTGAGTCTCTATAAGCCAGCAGGATAGGCTGTTTACCAATTCCATTGTGGTAGTTTGAGATTAATTTCGCTGTCACTGGCATCTTATACTCGGGATCAATTGCAATCGGCGTTGGTTGATTATCTAGCGGTGCTACAACAGGCACACGCGCATTTAATCCCGGATTATCGTTCACCAGCGTACCACTCCCAACGACAATTGCATCCGAGAGAAGACGGAGGTTATGCGTCATAGCCATGCTTTCTTTGCACGATAGAGTTATTTGCCTGCCATGACTCCCAGCAATGAATCCGTCCAATGATTGAGCATATGTGAGTAACACGTGTATTCCATCACGCCCGCCATTTTCGTAAATGGCTTGATAGAAGCTATCCATCGTCGTTGTGATCGTTCAAGATGAATATCCTGATATACGATGATCAAGGCTGCAGCGCCACCTCTATAGCGCATCTCAAATCCCAACTCACCCGTTTCCTCTCTCCCTGCTACTCGATCCAATCAGTTTCAGCGGCTGTACTCGCAAATGAGCCTTGGGAGGAATACACAGCGGCTGTTGTTATTCCAGGCGGGCGTGACCTGCCATATTTGCACTCTCTCCGCGGCACACTCATTGCGCGTCTCAAACGGTACATTTTCAATGGCGGGCGGTACTTGGGTGTCTGTGCCGGTGCCTATTTCGCGTGCAAGCGTGTAGAGTTCGCAGTGGGGGATGAGTCGCTGGCCATTGTAGGCGACCGCCCGCTCAACTTGATTGACGCACTCGCCGTCGGACCCGCTCTGCCCAACTTCCAGTACAACTCTGAGCGGGGTGCGCATCTGGCTGAGGTGGAAGTGGAGGCGAGCACGCACAAGCACACACACACTCGTACACAAGCACACGACAAGCTACTCCTTTATCTCAATGGCGGGTGTGCGTTCGATATCGGCAGCACAAGCACACAAGACACAGACACAGACACATCCATTCTCGCTACTTACTCGCACAACGGCTCCGTCGCAGCTCTGCAGAGGCGCTACGGCAACGGCAGGGTGGTAGTGACGGGTGTCCATCCTGAATTCAGCCTCAAATGTCCGCCAGCCAGCCTGGTCGCGGGAGAGCAGCACCTGCAGCATCTCGAACTGGACCAACTGGAACAAGCAAGAATTGCGCATCTTCGCACTCTCCTTAATGCCCTAGCCCTCCATCTAAAACCGATCGATGAGGCTAAACCGGTTGGGCTCCTGCCGATGCTCCTCGTCGGCAGTAGTCGCGGGTTGTGTGAGTGGGTGGCAACAGTGACAGAGGGGCGCAACAATGCACCACCCAGCCATCCAACTCCCGTCGACAGCGGGAGTGATGAGGTTGTTATCCACGGTTCTGGATTCAATGAGCATGTGGAACGCGAAAGGATTGCTCACACTAGAGCAGATGTAGAAGCAGGTGTGACCAACCAAACCAAACATATCTACATTCACGCTCTAGACGCGTTCAACAAACTCCCACCGCACACGCCCAAGTTTGACACTGCTGCGTACTTGGCCCTCCTCCAGAGCGTGCACGCCGGCCGACTGCTTCTGTATGGCGAGGCCGTGGGCAGTACTCAGACGCTGCTCGATAGGAACACGCGGATGCTACGCAGCTGCCCGCACGGCTTCCTCGCTCTAGCTTCCCATCAACTAGCAGGGCGAGGGCGCGGCGGTAATGCGTGGGTGAGCAGCAGCGGCTGTCTGCAGTTCAGCCTAGTTCTCCGTCTACCAGGCACGCGTGGCTCGCGCGTCGTCTTCGTGCAGTATCTTATTGGTCTCGCTGTCGTGCAGGCGTTGCGCGCACATGATCCCTCTCTCGACATTGCGCTTAAGTGGCCAAACGATATCTATGCAACGCGGTACAATTCTGAGGGCGCTCAGCAGCCACTCAAAATAGGCGGAATCCTCACCACCTCACATTTCATAGACGGCCAATTCATCCTCATCGCTGGCGCTGGTGTTAACATCTCCAATAGTCAGCCAACTACTTGCATCAATGATATCGCGAGCACACCATTCACCTCCGAATTGGCTTGCGCTCTTATAATGAATAGGATCGACGAGATGTGGGGGGTGTTCGAGAAAAGTGAAAGCGGTTTTGGAGAGTATCTCGACGATTATTACAACGCCTGGATGCACAACGATCAGGAAATCACCCTCCAGCACACCGGTCAGAAAGTTAGGATTGCCGGTCTAACACTCGACCACGGATATTTGCGCACATACCCAGATATCAGGTGCCCTGTTACTCCAAAATCTCTCCTTTACAACCCTATAGACCTCCAGCCTGACGGTAACTCTTTCGATATGCTGAGTGGTTTGATCAAGGTGAAAAAGTAGAAGTTTTGTGTTAGAATTTGTGTTTCAGAAGTCATGTGTTAGAAATTATATGTATAAATAGCATTTACATTACTCCCTTCGCCTGTAAAACCCTCAATTCCTCCTCTGCTTCTTGTTGCCGAAATTCTGACCACCGCCCTTGCGTTTCTTGCCCGCCTCGTTGTGTCTGGTGAGCACAGCCTGTGCCATGTTCTTTGCGTTCTCAAGGTAGTATTGCTTCTCCTCCTCCTGAGAAGGTCTGGTGAAGGATACAGCGACGTCATTAACCTTAACGTTATTATTGAGGGTGCTGATATCGCCATCCTCAACTGGTCTCTTGTATCCCGACATGCCGTTTGTTTTGGCGTCGTCGACGATGACGAAGGATGGTTCAATGTGCTGCTTCATGCTAGATTTCAGATCGCGGAAGACCATATCACCCAGAGAAGAAGGAGCAGACCACTTCAATACGGAACCAGGGGTGAATTGGAGAGCAGACTCATCAAACTGACCATTCTCTTTATTCACCTCGATATCTTTACCCATCAGAGTCATAGTGAGTGGCTGTGCAGCCTTCTCACTATCCTTGTTCTTCTTGTTCTCCTCTTTGAAGGCGTTGAAGTGACCCTTTGACTTTTTGTTGCCAGATCCAGGAGTAATGCCCTTCTCCTTGCATTTCATTTCAACGTATGCATCCTTTGCCATTGTGAGTAGGTCGCTATCGTTGTACCTGCGCTCTTCTTGTGGAAGTTCGAGGAACTTCTTTGCGTCGTCTACAGATTCAAATTCCACAAAGACAGAGTTCTTGAAAGCCTTCTTTTCATCTCTTCTCATTCTCACTGCGAGTGTTTTACCGAATTTTGCAAAGAAGTTCTCAAGGTCAAGTTGAGTGGATTGAGTTTCATCTGGGAAACCTTTAGCGTAGATGGATCTAGATTCACGGTCTGTGACTGGCTTCAACTCTGTAACACGCTTAACATTACCGCCGTCTTCGCTCACAGCCAGCTTTGAGGATTGACGGAGAATATCAGCGACTTTGTCAGCACCGCCAGCCTTCTCTACAGGCTCTCTCATGCGCTTGAATGATGCAATTGTCGATATAGGTACCCAGCCCTCATCGTTCTTCTTAGTGAGCGACCACAAAAACTTATCGAAAGGGAGGTTTGTGTCTGCAAAGTAGAACTCTACTTGATTGAGGATGGTTTGAGATGGCTGGAAGTGTTAGCAGTGGCTTTGGATGTTTAATAACTCACGTCTTCCATGGTGACTGTGTGTATCGAAGAAGATAATCAATAATCTAAATACATTTATAGAAGTAAGGATTCTCACTCATTGGCTTTGTTGGAATCGTTTTCTTGGTTAGTGTTGGTGTTTGGCTTGCTATAGATGGTGCTGGTGTTGTTCTACTACAATCTCCCTTCAGCTGTTGAATCGGCTGATACATGTTTACAGTCTCATTCTTTGCCCAGAATTCATCATTCGGTGCTGGTACTTGTTCCTTTCAAGTCTTTAGAGATAGACATAGAGATGACCTGAGACAAACCTTTTTGATCAAGTTTTTCGATTTATTTTGATCACTTGACATTCTCTGTGTAATCTAATGTACATTTACTCATTTTCACTTAAAAACACAGCCACGGTTGCTATCACTCAGCTATCAGTGATGCTATGCGGTGCTGTGCTATGTATTAGCTTAATAGGATGAGGAATTGATTTTTTAAAATTGATATTACTCGTGTGTGTATTCCTCATATCTTTTCTTCTTCTCTATCACCTCCTTCCAATTACCATGGTTTTCGGTTTGAAATCAAAGGACCACGCAAATTCAACAGAGCAGGAGGACAACGCTGCTCAACTGCAATCTGACGTTGAAGGACTACAAAATGAAATGAAGGAATCTGAGAAGGCAGGTGGTAGAGTGCATACCTTCGACCCCAATGAGGATCCACATAGCAAGAAGAAGGCTGCTGCTAAATCATCAGGCGCTCCAGAGACTCCAAAGAAAGCTACAGACGGTGCTGCACTCGACCTCGATGATGATAGCGATACTGCAATTGACCCAACGACGACACTCGATGACGCTGCCAAAGCTACAACCGATGCAGCTGAATTGGGCGATGCTAAGGATGATGAAATATCAAGTGCAACCCAAGAAGCTGAATCTGAAGGTGACTTTATTCCGGGAAAGATTCCTCCTTGGTATAAAGTTGGTCATAAAATGGCACTCACTGCACTCACAACCAACCTGAATGATGACGTTGAACTTAACAAGCTGGCTACACGTTTCTTTGGTAGATGGTACATGAATAGCGGTATACTCATCCTATCCATGTCCCTCACTATAATCATCGGTAAATTTAATCTTGGTGTGGGTTGGGTGCTCCTAGTCCTCGCTGCTGCTAGCACCTACTACAACACCCACATGAAACGTGTTAAAAGAAATATTAAGGATGATATCAGCCGCGAATTATCTATCAATCGTCTCGAATCTCAACGCGAATCTGCTGAATGGGTTAATAGCTTTTTAGACAGATTCTGGCTCATTTATGAACCTGTACTCTCCGCTGCTATTGTTAGCAGCGCTGATCAAGTTCTCAGTCAGAACACTCCCGGTTTCTTGGATAGCATACGTATGACTCAGTTCACTCTCGGTAATAAGGCTCCTGATATTGAATACGTTAAGACTTGGCCCAGTGCAGGCAATGATATCATCCAAATGGACTGGCGCGTCTCTTTTAAACCAAGCGATACCTCCAACATTACCCCCAACGAAGCAAAAAAACAGGTCAATCCAAAAGTTGTTCTCGCTGTGCGTATTGGTGTAGGTCTTGTCGGCAAAGCTCTTCCTATTTTGCTTGAAGATATGAATTTTAGCGGCTACATGAGAATCAAATTCACTCTAGACAAAGATTTCCCTTTCGTACAGCTGGTCAGTGTTTCTTTCCTCGAGCGTCCTAAATTCGACTACGTACTCAAACCAATTGGCGGTGATACTTTTGGTTTTGATGTTGGCAATGTGGGTGCACATGCTATCTTAGCCTTCACTGCCTCTAACACTCTACTCAGATTCCTGGTCTATCTGCATTCATTACTGGTCAAGTACATGCTAATATGGGTCCAATGATGTATCATCCCAACGCATTCACTCTCAACATTCAAGAGTTGCTCGCAGGTACCCCAATGGATGCTGCTGTCGGTGTGCTCAAGGTGAATATCAACTCAGCATACAATCTCTCAACCTCTAAATTTGGTGGCGGGAAGCCCGACCCCTACGTCTCATTCACCGTTGGTCCCAAAGTCGGGATTGACCGAACAGCAACAATACACAACACATCCGAACCTACATGGAACGAAACCAAATATCTCCTGCTCACTAATCTCAACGACATGCTCATTATGAATGTGTTGGACTACAACGACCACCGCAAGGACTCGGACATGGGTCTAGCGTCGTTTGATCTCGCCACTCTCAACGAAGAGCGCGTATGTGGTGATAAGAATGCCAAGTTGATTTTCGACGATAAGGTCCATGGAATGTTGGACTACGCCGTGCACTTCTTCCCTACGCTCGAAGCTACTAGGGATGAAGAGGGCAATGTGATCCCTCCCCCGGATCTGCCTTCTGGTGTGGTGAGGGTGAACATAATGCAGGCACAGGATCTCGACAGTAACAGTGGTAAACTTCGTGGTCAGCTCAGAGGCCAGCTGTCCCCATTCGCCACGCTGCGTGTCGGGAAGAAGGAAATACATCGGACGCAAACGGTTAAGTCCACTAAGAATCCTACCTGGGGTAGCAACAAGGAATACCTCGTCAAGAATAAGGATAAGTCAATGGTGACAGTGGAAGTGTTTGATGATAAGGGTTTCAATCAAAGTACTTCTCTTGGTTTCGTCTCGGTTAAGTTGCGCGACCTTCTCACAGCTAAGGAGAGATCAATCGACTGGTTCTCTCTTAGTAAGGTTAAGAGTGGTCGTATCAAGATGGCAGCCACCTTCAAGCCCATTGATTTCGATAACTGATCTTAACTCCATAGTATACGTATACGTAATGATTTTTAATGCTACACAACTTAATGTATTTTTTCGTTCCTTTTTGCTTTCTTTTTCACCACTTTGTTTACCGTTCCCGACGACAGCGCGTGTGGTTCTGGGGAGCGCGTTGTGCGAGGTGTGTGAGGTGTGCTCAGACTAGACTGACTGGAGGAGGTGGGGAGAGGGGGAGATTTGAGTGAGTGTGCGCGACTGCTGGTGCTGCTTTTATTTTCATTTTTGGGATAAAATAGTGCAGAGTGCTTTGTGTTATCATGCTCATCATGCTCATCATGCTGGAAGTTGACTATCGGTATGCTATCCACATCGTAGTGATTTTTCTCCTGCTCTTCTTCACTCTGACTCCCTCTTTCATCCTTACTCTTGATGTAGTAGGGATTTTCAGCGCGTTCAGCTCTGAGCGCCGCCTTGCGCTGTCTCCTCCGTCTGTTTTCTTCTGCTGTATCCACAGTCACTTGGATTGTCGTCTTGTGATTCTCCTCCTTCTCGTGTTCGTCGTCCGTGTAAACCTCATCGCAGAGATCTGCGATCAGCGGCGCATCTAGATCAACGTTGCTGGCCATATCAGCCTTGTCCAACGGCACAGCGCCTGGCTTATCGAAGTATATGCTGCTGAGAAGATAGAGTGAGCGAGGAGCTTCCGAAGCGGTAGCGACGGTGTCGCCGTGATCTACGTTTGTATTTTCCTCGTTGTCCAATTTGACATTCACATTGACGTTCTCTTTTGACTCATTCGCCTCATTCATCGCACTCTCCTCACTCTCCTTCCCATCCGTCGCTTTTTCACCACTCCCGCTCTTGCGTAACTCCCCCCACACAACAGAGAGGAGGTTAACAAGAAGACGAGCTCGTTCGACGACGTCCACATCGTTCGAAGCTTGACAAGGCGTAGCAGCGTCAATAGCGGCGCGAGCGAGTCTGGCCATCTGCGCACTCTTCACATTGCCTGCATCCTCCTCCCACGCATTAGCGAGCAGCATCGCATGTATCCCGTAAACTTTGCCGAGACTGGTGAGGGCAATTGCGACGGTGCAAGGCGAGAGGCGGGGTGTGAGGAAGGGGTGGAGGTGGGCGAGATGGGCGAGATTAGACACGGCTGCGTGTGGTGTGTCGAGGAACCTGATTGAGTATGTTAGTAGAGCGCACTAGCCGGGAATAACACAAATCTAAGTACACCTACATTGCATATTCACCGAGGATGTATACAGCGGCTGGTAGCATCGCATGCTTTATACTACTCATGACACCGCTGCTACTGCTACTGCCAACGTCTGTACCATCACCGATACTGCTACTGCTACTGCTACTACCACTGCTACCGCCATTGCTGCTCTCCACATACTCTCCCAGCAGGGATAGCGATATATTCACACTGTACTCGCGTGTCTGTGGATACGTCACAGGTATTTCTAAAAAGGTGGACTGGAGGCATGTGGCCAGATCATCTTTGCTGGTAGCATCACGACCAGTATCACCGTCCATCTCCACACCTGGAACAACCTTGGCGAGTTGCACAACGACATCAATCAACCACGCAAAGGAGGGGATGTTAGTATATTGGTCGCGTTTGCAAATATCGAGGACAGTGTGAGCGAGTTTGCGAGTGTAAGAAGGCGTGTTGGTGTTGCCAGAACCACTGCCATTGATGCGGGGGTCTTTCAGCGACGCAGCGGCATCTGGACGGGTTGGGACGAGTTGTTCGAAGAGTTTATTCATAACTGGCTCGACATTTTCAGTTGTGACGATGGCGCTAACGACTTTTAGACCCTGCAGGCGTATGGTGAGGTCGGGGTCGTCGAGGGTGCTGAGCAGGTCGTCTTGGTGTACATGTAGGAGGTGAGCGTGTGTCGGTATCATCTGCGCTATAGCTAGCAGTGCTACGTATTTCACTTTTCCCTCGTCAGATATGTTGTGTGGGTGTCGCAGAATGGATAACTCACAGTTGTGGTCGTCGTCGGTGAGGAACTTTGTTAGCTTCTCGAGACAGTTCTCCGCCATCTGGTTCTTGTGCAGCATACCACCGACTATGCAGGTGAGAACGCATTCGTAGAGCACACTAACAGCTGTTGTGCTCTCGATGAGGTCGGAGAGAGGGGCGTAGAGCTTCTTCTGGAGACGCTGTTCGTGTGGTAGTAGCGCAGCAAATAGCTTGAGTATCTTGATAATCATCCAATTGTTGTTGGATGATGTGAGGAGGTCGTAGAGCGGCGGAGCAAAACCAAGAGATTGGGTAGGGTATAAAGAGGCCAGTTCGGTGATGGCGGAGACAGTCGCACTGAGAACACCCGCGTCGTCGTCGTGCAGCCTTTCCCTCAGGCGCTTCTTGAAGTCAGCGAGGTCGAGGTTGTTGGACTGCTTGATGGCTACGAGGATCGCAGCTACAGCCTTCTGACGAATAGCGGGGCGTGTGTGGGTCGACAGCCTGGAGAGATCGGCGGATAAGTCAACTGATAGCTCCGGCGTCGCCACGGAAGAGAAGCAGCTGAGTGCGGCGGATGGCTCACTGGCGAGATCCTTCTTGAGAAGATTCGGCATTAGAATCATTACGTCAGTTTGAGAAGAGAAAGATAAAGACGCGGCGAGATAGCCAATAGATTTAAGATGTAATTTTGAGGAACTGGCTGTCTCGATGATGGGGAACGCGGACTGAAGTGGGGGTGAGACGCGGCAGAGTGAGACACATGTAACTAACCCAGGAAATGTCATAACCGAGCATTTCAAGCTGTGTTTTGGTTAGTTAAGCGTGTAGATCACGACTATTAACCCGATTAACCCACATAACTCAATTTGAGTACAGCTACAGATTTAGTTTCGATATCAGCGCTTTTGATCTCATTCTTGATTTCTTGTAAAGTTGATTGTATAAATTTATCCTCATCGTCCTTATTGGCTCGTAAGCCCTGGATATGGTGAGATGGTGAGATGGGGAGAGATGAAACAGCGCACGCACCTTGATGAGGCCAGAGAGGTGCTACAAGGCGTAAGAAATGAAATAATTTTTAAATTCCAGGCTCACCTGTATAAAGAGCATGACAGCGCAGGTTGAAGAGCAGCAGCCATGAACTCAAACTCAAATTCAAATTTAAGTTCAAATTCAAACTCAACGCTACCAAGCTACACTTTAATTAATTTTGAAATCCTCGATCAGCCAAACGTCGCTGAGTTGCGCCATGCGCTGGAGAAAGGCAGTGACGACCTCAAACTCGAGACGCTTAAGAAGATAATACTACTCACGCTAAATGGCCAGCCACAGCCACAGCTTCTAATGCCCATTATTCAATACCTTCTTCCCAGCAAGAACAAGCACCTTAAGAAGCTTCTTCACTTTTATTGGGAAGTTTGTCCCAAATACGATGACAGCGGCAAGCTAAAGCAAGAAATGATTCTTGTGTGCAATGCAATTAGAAATGATCTGCAGCACCCAAATGAGTTCATTCGTGGTTCCACCCTTAGATTCTTACAGAAGCTCAGTGACAGTGAGTTGCTAGACCCTCTGATACCCACCGTAAGAAGCTGCTTGGAACACCGCCACAGCTACGTTAGAAAAAACGCGGTATTCGCTGTTTGGTCTATTTACAACCAATTCGATTACCTTATTCCAGACGCTGCGGAGTTGTTAGAAGCTTTCTTAGCAGCTGAATCTGATTCCACATGCAAGAGAAATGCTTTCGTTACACTCTCTGACATTAATCCTTCGTCTGCTTTGGATTACTTGCACGTTCTATTCGATAACGTCGCGTCTTTCGATGAATTGATGCAATTATCTATCATTGAATTGATAAGAAAGGATTGTCATAGCGAAAATCCAAACAAAAATCAGTACATAAGGACTATATATGAGTTATTAGACAGTCCTTCTCACTCTGTTAAATATGAAGCTGCTACTACTCTAAACGCTCTCACAGATAATCCTGCTGCTGTAAAGTGTAAGTTGATGGCTTAAACCCAATCTACTGCTCTCACACAACCCCTGCAGCCGCTGCCAGCGCTTTCATCAACCTCATCGTAAATGTCTCAGACAACAACGTAAAACTTATTGTCTTGGCTAGGTTGAACGATATGCATACAAAACATAACCACCTCCTCGACCCTCTCATCATGGACATACTCGACGTTCTTTCAGCCCCAGATATGGAAGTTAAACGTAAAGCGCTGAAAATTGTTTTGGAGATGGTAACTTCACGTAACGTCGACCAAGTTATCGATTACTTGAAGAAAGAACTCATCAAAACAACTTCGTCACAAGATTTAGAGCGTCTAGTTGAGTATCGTCAACTACTCATCCAATCCATTCACAACATCTCCGTCAAATATTCTCAAGTCGCGTCCTCTGTTATTGAAACTCTGATGAGTTTCCTCGGCGACTCTAACAACCCTTCGGCAATCGATGTGATAGCTTTCGTCAGGGAAGTTGTCGAGAAGTTCCCCACTCTCCGTCCCACCATAATCAACCAGCTCTTCAAGACATTCCACCATATTAAATCTGGTAAAGTATTCCGTGGAGCTTTGTGGATAATTGGAGAATACGCTGAATCTAGCGACGATATACAAATAGCTTTCGAGAAAATGAGGGGTGTATTAGGACAAATCCCAATACTTGCTGCTGAGCAGCAAGCGTATGATGCGCAGGAGTACACTGAGGACAAGGAGGCTACAAATGAGAACAAATTGGTCACCACCACCAAGGTGCTAGCAGATGGTACGTATGCCACCGAAACGACCGTCTCAACAGCCGAGGATGCGAGTCGATTAGCAGCTGTAAAAGCAGCGACAAAGCCTCCGTTACGTGGATTAGTGCTTAATGGCGACTTCTTCACAGCCAGTGTGCTCGCATCCACACTCACCAAATTGGTTCTGCGACTCGTCAGCAACAACGACACTGACAGCAGTGTACAAAATGCCCATAAAGCGGAAGCGATGTTGATGATGACGTCTATTGTACGCGTCGGGCAGACCAAATTTGTTAGTACGGCGATAGACGAAGATAGTGCTGAGCGTATACTCGGATGTGTGACAGCTCTAGCAGAGACGAATGCCGCGGCATCCGCGAGTTTCACAGGGGTATTTCTCCACGACACGAAGCAGGCATATGCAACAATGGTGGCAGATGCCGAAGCGAAAGCTGCCGAGAAGGCTAGATCAACTGAAAGAGTTCACAAAGTGCAACCTGACGATGTCATCTCGTTTAGGCATTTCAAAAAGTCACGCGATGTTGACACGCGCGAATTCGAACTCGACTTGTCGCGCGCTACCGGCGGGACTGAGGCTGATGCTGTCGGCGATGATTTCATGTCGAAGCTGCAGCGTATTGTGCAGCTGACTGGTTTCTCAGATAGCGTCTATGCGGAAGCCTATGTCAACATACACCAGTTCGACATTATACTCGATGTGCTCCTCGTTAATCAGACTGGGTACACACTGTCTAACCTTAATATAGAATTCGCTACACTGGGCGATCTCAAGATTGTCGAACGTCCTTCAACTACAACTCTCGCACCACATGCCTTCCACACTCTCAAGGCTAGTGTCAAGGTGAGCTCCACCGAGACAGGAGTTATCTTTGGGAATATCGCTTTCGATGCTCTTGGCAGTGGCGGTGGAAGTGGAGAGGGAACGAATATAGTGCTGAACGATATCCACGTCGATATTATGGACTACATCAAACCTGCTACATGCACAGAATCGCAGTTCAGAGCTATGTGGAGTGAGTTTGAGTGGGAGAACAAGGTGCACGTCAACACTACGATAGACGATCTTAGAGTGTATCTCCAGCATATCATGAAGAGCACCAATATGGCATGTCTCACTCCCGACGCTAGCATGAGCGGGGAGTGCGACTTCCTCTCGGCGAACATGTACGCGAGGAGCGTGTTTGGGGAGGATGCGCTGGCTAATATCTCACTGGAAAAGACGGTAGATGTGGGTGAAGGTTGCATACAGGGACACGTCAGGATCAGGAGCAAGACGCAGGGGATTGCGTTGTCGCTGGGAGATAAGGTGTGCTTGAGGTACTTGCAAGGGAATCGATTGCTGACGTCGCTAACAGATCTCGCTTGCGCAGAAGGTTGTGGAGGAGTAAAGTGGAGTGCCAATGTGTTTTATAACAATTTGAAAGTACATGAGAATTCAGTTAGATTGGCCGTCTTGGTTGATTTTTTTTTGGCAACAAGGAGAAGAAACCCAAGTGGTTTAATATACCAAGTATTGTTAGATAATGATTCATAAGGTTACACGTCAACTGTCAAGAAGTAGTAGGTGGATGGAGGTTGATAGGTGCGTTGCTAACAAATTCCAGTGTCGCAAGGATTCAAAGTAACTTCAACCCCAAATGGTGGGTGGATTGGATCATATGGTGCATGATGGTTTTGACACCCGCGTAGCACCATCAGCAGTAGGGCCATACGTACAAGCCATTACTCACAACGATGTTGTTTATGCATCTGGATGTATACCACTCAACCCAACGAGTATGACAGTCGTGGAGGGTGGTGTAGAAGCCCAAGCAAAACAGGCACTTGGAAATCTCAGCAAGGTGCTTGAGGCATCTGGGTCATCTATGCAAGACACCATCAAGACAACGTGTCTTCTCAAGAACATGGAGGACTTTGTCGCAGTGAGTGTGAGCGCAGAGGCAGAACACGGCTAATCAGCGTACACAAGTTCAACAAGGTCTACGAGGATGCATTCGCACCACACAAACCAGCCAGAAGCTGTTTCGAGGTTGCTAGACTCCCAAAGGATGTTCTAGTAGAGGTTGAGGCTATAGCAGCAGTGAGCAAGTAAAGTGAGTAAAGTGAGTGCAATGGATTGAATAAGTACATATGTCTAGATATTTAGCTTCTCGACTGGAATACATCTTTGAGATTGCCTTGTGCGTTTGTGAGTTCCTTCTGCATGTAGCCCTGTTTCTTCTCGAGGGCGACTAGGTCTTCTAGCAGGCTACGCTCTTGCTTGACTAGGTCTTGGATGAGATCATTTCTATCCACCTTGATGAACCTGTGTTGTTGAGCCGTGTACCAGCCATTTCGCCCACCACTCACATCTTCCCAACGCCGTTGTACAGAGCGCCCTGTCCATCGTCCGGGATGCTCTCCAGCTCAGCTCTAGTCAGCTGCACCAGGCGCTTCTCACGACCACGGGACGCCTGCTGCATGGTGACAGTACGCAGTGCTTTCTCTGCACCTACAGCCTGTTGCTGTATATTGAAGAGAACCTGCGGTCTGTGAGTGGATTACTGCGAATTGCACTCAACCACCTTCTGCAGCGCTTCGTCGTTAGCGCTCATCGATGTGTGTGTCCAACGTAACACAATAAAACACAATAAAACACAATAAAACACAACAGAATGCCCATCTGCGTCTACTGCCAGTACACGCTCACTCACGCAGCCACCATGTACTCAGATGTCGATATGCGTGTCGAGCTGTGTCCACGCTGCTCGCGTCTGGTCGACCCGTACATTGGCAAACGCAACATCAGTCTGCTGGCGGATCTGGTCGTGCTCAAGCCAGGTGTTCTCCGGCACCTCCTCTTCAACAGACTGAGCCAGGTCGCTTTCTCGGAGCGCTACAAGAGCGTTGTGAGGGGCAGGGCGGGTGAGCACAACGCGCACGCACACGCACGCACAAGCACAGCCATCACTCCACGCTTGCAGCTCTTCAGACTCGGCGGTATTCTCGTCCTAGCTGATGCCTTCGTGCAGTGGGTGCACAGCCTTACACCGCTGAGTGGGATAAGCGGTGGGTGCCGCAGGTGGCTCATGCAGACACCCTCTGACATCCCTCGCAGCAACATCCCACACGTCCTTCCTCTCATTCCTCTTTCGCGCATTCGTAGACGCTGTCGCTTACCACATAGGCGTAATCCTCGCCGTGCGCTGTCTACACCCCAAATACCCCACACTCTCCCTCCCCTCCACTCAAATCAGCCTCGCTATTCTTTACTCAAGCTTCGCTAAGCTTTTTCTCCTTCTCCTGCTCGTCATTGCCGATCCGAGTGGGGGTGCCGAGCGCACCGATAAGCGTGTTGGAATGCCCAATGACTTTTTAAGCTATAGTACTCTCACCGACCCCACAAAACACTCCGTTTGGCTCATTTTCTCGGCTCTCGACGACGAGTCTATCGATAGAGCGTACGTCGTTAACACGGTCGTCGGTGGCATGTCTGCTGGTTTCGGCCTGCGCGTGCTCCTCAATACCCCACCAATTACCACTACCCTCATCATCCTCGCTGGCTGGCTTGTGCGGTCTGTTGCTCTCTACTGCCTAATATAGCTATCTATTGTCTGTTTATTACAAGATCAATATCAATATCAATCTACGTTGTCGTTGGCGTTGCCCTGGTTGGCATTCCCTGCAAACATGCGAGCAAATCTGTCTATTATCCCGGGCTGCTGTGTGGCATTGTCCTCCGGCTGATCATGCTCATCACGCTCATCACGCTCATCACTCTCCCCATCACCATCGCCCTCCTCTTCCTCACTCTCCCAATCACCGCCAAACCCACCAGGCATACCACCCTCCTGCAGCTGGTTGACCTGCTCCTCGAACGCGACGCGCGTATCTGGATCCATCTGTCCGAGGTTAATATCGCCGCGGAGGAGGCTTTCTATCAAAGACACTATCCCGCCAGTGTGTGAGTGTTGCTGTGATTGTGAGTGTGCACCCATCTGTCTGCCCCCTCTCATACCCGCGAAATAGCCCGCGTCGTAGCCACTACTCGAGGTGCTCGGAGCAACTGGATCAAATGCATCGCCTTCGCTAAACGTTTCTGGCAGAAAAGCTTTAGCGTCTGTTATGTTATTGATGATGGCGTGTCTTGCGACGTTTTCCGGGAAGGTTTCTGATGGAGAGATAACCCCACTGTCCATCTGCCTCTGTGCCAAATCAATCTGACCACGCTCACTAACGCCGTCCGCACGCAGCGCATCGAGCGTATGGTCGACTATCGCCTGCACTGGCAACGCAGGGTCGCGATAGAGAGGGAGGGAGTGAGCGCAATAAATGCGTGCGAGTGCTTCGTTACGGCGGGCGTGTATTGGTGCATACTTTTCATAATGCTTCTCGACGACGAGCACATTCTTCAACACCTCCCCACGCTCTGCTGACACTCTGACGAGGTTGTGTTCAAGTAGCAGCGATAGTACCAGCGGATGCGCAAGCACGGCCTGCAGGAAATACTTGACTGTCGCATCCAGTGAGACGTGCTTTCCATGAACACTTCTCCCTTTATAATACGTCGCCAGCGCCCGCGCATACGCTATGCCAGGGAGGAATGTTGTGTCTGTTAAGTGTACGCTGTGCGTATGGTTATACGGCCACTCGCCTGCCACGCCAAGCAACCAGTCGTACTGACCAGCTTTGACGGCGAGGAAATCAAGCTGGAGGAGTGCGCCGTGTGGGTCAGTGAGTGGGTCGAGGGCGAGCATCACCTTGCCATACTCATACGCCGTCCTCCAACACCCCTTCATGCGTAGATGTGTAATCAGTCGACTGAGTCCCAGCCACAATGCGCGGTTCTCCACCCTGTCGAAATCTACCCTGCATCCACCCGAAAGTGCACTGAAACCCATCGCAAACCCTCTCTCTATAGCAAAAAGCATCCTCTCTGTAAAATCACCGGCTGTACCATTATCACCTTGCATTCTAAACACTTCCGAGACTTGATTGAGTGTATCGACGTGGTAAGGGTATACTTGCAACAGTGCCATGAGCGTGTTTGGATCGAAGCTTCCTGTAGCGTCTAAGAACTGGTGTTGAACGGATCTGTACGCAGCGTCGTGCTCGAATGTCCACCAACTTCCACTGTTCTGCAAGTTGATAGTGGGGGGAAGAGCGTGTCTCTCTTGCCACTCTCGTAGCTCGTCCGCGCTGAGCTGTCGCATTGTCATTCCATCCAACTTTGCTGATGTCGCAGGTGGCCAGGTTGGTTTGTGTTGGGAGAGGTTTGAGCGCGGTGTGGCTTTGTGAACCATCTGCTGCATCCGCGCTTGCCGTCCACGCGCTCTCCCCTGACCGTAACTATTCATCGTCGTTGCTGAGCTCACCACTTTGCTGCCAAACATCTTCTTCATTTCCGCAGACGCGTCGAGGTGTTTAGGGTCGACGGAAAGGAGAGTGCGGAGGGTGGAGAGTGTGCTGTGTGGAGTGTTTGCCTGGTGTGACTGCGCCTGTGACTGCGTCTGTGCCTGTGTCTGCTCGTGTGGATACTTGATGTTGAGCTCGCGCAACGCCTCGTCGATCTCATTCATCCCTTTCTTATGCTTTTGGGTTGTGTGGGGTTGTGTTGAACGTGGTTTGGACTGCAAACGCTCACCCTCTGCCACATTCACATCCGCCTTGCTCTTCTTCTTCTTCTTCTTCTGCGGGTGGATTGAGCGGGGATCAGCGACTGGGACTGCTACACACCTTGTTTGATGAGGATGTGTGCGTGGTGTGAGATGATGCTGGTGCTGGCGTGCCAGACTCATCCTCCTCATCCTCTTCGTCCTCACCGCCACCGCCTAATGCTGCGAATGGATTGACTACTTTGGGTGGCTGCTGTGGCTGCTTTGATTCCTCGTGCACCTGCTCATGTTCATGTTCATTCGCTTGCAAAGCCTCTAATTCTTTTTGCTGGCGTAGTCGCCGTGCGTTCGACATGGTAGTTACGTCACAAGAGAGAAGACCACAGTGATTCAGACGGGGAAATGAAAAAATGAAAAATTCAAAGATATCTTTTTACAACTGAAACAAACACCTCAATTATCCTTCACGTTGTCTTGGAGCAGCTCTCAAAATGGTGTCGACTCTGAGTAGCATTTCTGTTGCTTCAGACGCAGAAGAGACGACCTGTTTCTTGAGTTTGTATGATTCTGTAATACCTAGCTGCTTCATGTCTCCAATTTCTCCTTTGAGCATATCCAAACCAGCTTTTTCATCACCATCGTAGTGTCTCGCACGCAGTTTTGCGACAAGTTCAGCAGAATCGTAACCAGCATTGTCTGCAAGAATAGTTGGCATTTGGAGGAGTGCCTTGGCGAATGCTTCAGTAGCAATAGCCTTCTTTCCAGGAGTTTTGCGTGCTTGCGCGTCGACAGCTTTCGCCATTAGAGTCTCTGCACAACCACCACCAAGGACTGTTCTAGATTCTTTTACGGTTTGTGAGAGAACAGAGAGAGCGTCGTGGAGAGATCTCTCAGCTTCATCGATCATCTGTGTAGTGGCACCGCGTAAGACGATGGTGCATGCTTCACCTGCTTTGACACCGGAGAACTTGATTAATGTGTCTTCACCGATCATAATCTCCTCAATGAGATCACATTCACCAACTCTAACCTGGTCAGGATTGTCAAAGGTGCTAGCAATTTCACCACCAGTAACCAAGGCGAGACGCTCAACACCTTCAAAGTCAGCGTGTTCGATCGAGGTGATGTTAGATTCAGCGAATAAGGATTCAGGGTAGTTGTAGATGAGTTGGCGGTTGACAAAGGTGTTTATTCCGTGGGATTTGATGCGTTGAACTTTTGACTTCATTTTTTCGCGTTCAGCTCTTTCTAATTCGGCTAATTTGCCAGTAGAGTCAACCTTAACTTGAGCACCAAAGATCTTAATCTTGTCAGTATCCATGGAGGTGTTACCAATGAGAATTTTAGCGTTTTCGACTCTCTTTGGACAGTTTGTGCCAATTTTCTTGTCTAAGATGAAACCCTCGTCGAGGTAGGAATCTGTGAGTTTACCGCCGACTTTCTTAATGACTTGGATATTTTCGAGATTTGTGGAGCCTTTGAGACGTAAGACAGCGTCAACAGCCAAGTTTGCAAAGTAGTCCTTGTCTTGGGAGAGGACCTTTGAGGAGAGGGTGGTTCTAGCGATGTTAAAGAGGTCTAATCTGAAGGCATCCGAGTTGGCTGAGTTGTCAATGGCAGCAGATTCAAGTGATTCCAAAGCAGCCTTTGTAGCAATCCTGTAACCATCGACGATAACTTGTGGATGGGTTTTTGAATTGACCAATCTTTCAGCCTCTCTTAATAGCTCACCGGCTAGAACAGTAACAGATGTAGTACCATCACCAACTTCGTCATCTTGTACCTTTGAAATATTTACCAAGATTTTAGCAGCTGGATTGTCTAATGGGATTGATTTGAGGATTGTTGCACCGTCGTTAGTCACTGTGATACCACCATCAGTACCAGATTGCAATATCTTGTTCATTCCCTTTGGACCAAGCGTTGACTTGACTAAATCACCTAACGCTGTTCCACCCACAAACGTAGACAGACGCGCATTCTCACCTCTCTCTTCTTGGGAATCCTTGGAGAAAATTGGTCTAATTGGTTTATTAATATAAAATATTTATATTCCCTGCTTATAACCCACTGTGACATATCACCGTTCGTTTCGAGAAGACGTTGGTCCTATTCGATGGAATCTGATAATTTAAATTTGAATAATTTACTCGAATTGGACGAATTTGATGAAAATATTCTAAATCTTCTTATAAATAACCTGTCTACATCTCTTTCCAGTCACAGTCCCAGCAACTCCAATGACCCCCTCCTAATCACCCAATTAGTACGTTGAATACCGCGTTTTATATGTCTCACTTTTCTAAATTACTCAAACCAGCTAATTACCCACTTTTACAACTCAAATCCTCCTTCCGATACTCACTTCAATCAGCTACTCAGCCTGCGACTGTCTAGATCCGACGACAGCCCACTCACCCACCACCTCACCATCCTCGTCATTGAAATGTTCAACGTCGAAAGTCTGTCCTACAGCGTAGACCACGGTTCCTCCATTGCACACCTCAACCATCCGGACAACATCATCGACCTCCACAACTCCATCCTACAACGAGTTAACGACCCTTCTATCCTTCTCACCTGGTCCTATACACTCTCTAAGATCACTCACGCCATCCAATCATACAGCAGTCCCCTCCCTTCCTCCTTCTCCCCCCTTAGAGATCTTCTCCTCCCAACACACCACCCGCAACCCCTTTACCAGCTCCTTTACAGCCACCTCCTCCACCCATCCTTCAACTTGTTCCAAAAACTCTCCTCTTTCTCCCTCTCCCCCACCTTCCAACGCCCTTCCACTTACAACCAACTAGCATATAGATCCATTTTCAAGGGTCTTCTGGACGCCACTCTGTCCATAGTACACCCTTCGTTCATCTCCGACTTTGATGGCTTAGTCAATTCCTTCTCCTCCCTCCTCTCCTCTTCATCTACGCCCATTTCTGCTCCCCTAGCCCATCAATTCTGGCTCCAATACGACTCTAAACTGCCCGCCTCCCTCATTATAGACATCGCTAGGGGAAGGTGGCCCCTTGACTTCTTCTCTCTCCTCAATCTCCTCATTTCTCTGTCCGGTGTCTCACCTTCATCCACACCCACACAAGACCACCAACTTCTCCTGCAAGCTTCTCATGCTTCTGAAAGAGTCTTTCTCTACTTTTCCTCTCTGCCATCCTATACCACCCTCTTCGACGCCTCCTCCCACAACGACGAGTCTGATCCACTCATCCGAATAGCGAACCATGTCAGCAATCTACCCGGCTTGCATAGCCCTCTCCCATTACACTCCATTGGCCGTCAACTCAGCCCTCTCAATCTCCAACCGCCAGCTGTGATATCCTGGGATGTCCCTGTCAGCGGTTGGAATGTCGTTGGAACGCTCCTCTCTGACTGGTTGTCTGCTAGGTCAAACACACGTGGCAGCTCTACAGCACCACTTTTCCAACAGAATGACGAGTTATACGACACTGCCGTTCTATCCTCGTTGAACTTGATAGGGGGGGTTCTCAGCGGCAATCCTGACATAGCGCCGCTACTAGTGGAGCACATAGGCGGGAGCGCTGAGCGTGATTCTGGTCGCGGAGAAGGGCTGGACCTAGTAGCAGTGCTATTTGCCACGATCGACAAATGTCTATCGGCACTACCTACGGTGGGGCGCAGGAATGGGAATCAAGCAAACAAGCAAACACTCACGAACATAGTCTCCGCCTCGCTCGACATTCTTTCAAGTCTCTTGCAATCGTACCCTGGACGCGTATGGACATTCCTGCGCGGTAGCACATCGCTATTCACGCCATCGTCGCCAGTGGTCATGCACGAGCGCACGAGCGGGGTATATGGCATGACACTGAGTCTGCTCCGACTCCTACACGCTCTCTTCACCGAGACGCAGCAGTCAACCCTCACCTCCACACCAGCTTTCACGCGTCTGAAGGGGGGCGTGCTTGAGCGGGCTGTGGCGTGGAGCGTTGCCGATGTGTACGCCGTGCACGCCTCTTGGCGTTATGTGCACCTCGCCGATAAACTCGCTATGGGGGGCATCCTCACTCGCCTTTATGCTGATATCGTCGCTGATCGTATCACTCTTCCCTCGCTTAACAACCTCGTCGGGAAGTGTCTGTTGAAAGACGCGAATGCTTCTACCCTCACACCTATTGTGGGAGTAGTCGCCGGCGGCGCTGATACTGTGGATAGACTTGCACAGGCTGGCAGAAATCAGGATGCCGCTCTCGCTGAAGATCTCCTGGAATGCACCCTCAGACTCGCCCATATCCTTCTCGTTAGTGAGGATGAGGGCGAGGGTGAAAGCGAGGGGGAGGTTGAGGTTGAGAGTGAGGACACCCCTCGCAAGCCAGGCAGTCTCCTGCGTCGAGTCTTCTTCGACCGCTCCGTTGCACGCGCAGCGGGCGCATCGGTGCGGCGTGAGGAGAGAGAGAAGGAGAAGGAAAGGGGGATCAGCGGCCACACACAAACCCAAGAGCTGGAATTGGAGCTGGAGCTGGTAGACATGCTAGCGGTGTACATAGCCAGCAAACACTCCACACTCGCCATCCGCCTGCAGTCGACACGCCTCCTCACCGCCCTCTGCGCCTACACCCTACCAAGCTCTTCGCTGGCTGGCTTTTTTGCTGACCCGCACAGCACGGTGCGTGGGCTGGTGGATATCGTCGCGGACCCTTACGCAGATGACCAGCTCAGAGGCCATGTGTGGGCCCTCTGCGCTGCCATTGTCGCCACTCAGCCCGGTCTCGCCACCCTCCTTCTCACCGGCCAGAGTGTCGGCGCTGCCGCGCGCGAGCTTATCCACGAGCGCAGCAGGCAGTCTGTCGCCGCCAGCACAAGCGCAAAAGACATGGAGAATAGGGATAACACTAAGGATAACTTAAAGCTAAACTTAGGTGAGAAGGAGCTACAAAAGACTGCTTTGGATATCGCTTCTGAGAACGTGGAGATATGGGTGAGTAGCAGCATGTTCAAGCTCTTATTTTGACCCCCTTTTCCAACACCCCCACAGCCGCAGTTATACGATGCTGCCCCAGCGCTCCTCAGCGCCGTGTTGCATTTCCTCGACACCGTCTGGCTTCATCTCGATGGACAGCTGTCTGCAGTAGCCGGGCTGCGCAGCGACGAGCGCTTCTGGGGTCAGATAGGAGACGTAGGGGAGAAAGATGCGGGGCGTGTACCGCCCACACACACGCATGACACCGAGTCGCTCATAGACGGGGACGACGGTGACACATCAGCCTACACCGCTTCCACTTCCGCCACCGCCCTCAGTGTCGCTGTCGCCGCCTACGCTCACCGCCGCTCAGCATCCGCAGCCGCCCTGTCGATCATCTCTAGCGATAGACGCAGAGTAGCGGGCGAGACCGCCGCTGGTACTGGTGCAAATGCAAGTGCGAGTGCGCATTGCACCGCTCGCCTCGCTGCAAATCTCGGCCAACTCGTCGATGCTGCCATGGTGAACAGCTTTGACACACCCTTGCATTCCACTACCCGTTCTAGCATTCAGCTCGCTTTCGACGGGCTGGATCTGTCGCAATACCACAATCACCTTCATACTCACATGCACACTCTCACTCACACTCACAATGCCGTCACCCACTTCGGCTCCGAGTACGTCTTCAACACTGCATTGCTCAAGGTGAAGCTGGATGGGTTTGTAGCGTCGGCCGGTGATCCTGGCGATCTAGACGGTGACGGTGCTGGCGAGGCCGCCGTCGATGGCGATCTCGTGCACGCAACCATGGAACACATCATGCAACTTAACCTCGACTGGAGCATCGTCGATGCACAAATAGCGTTTACCCGCAGTGTCGTTGGCTTTGTCGAGAAGGCGTGTGCGTCGATCAGTGTCAATGACAGTAATGGTAGCAGTGGTAGCGACACGCCCGCCTCTCTCTGCGCAATTCGCGCCGCCGGCGAAGCTGCATCGGAGTCGCGCCAGGGCAGTGTCATGGTGGGCGTCCACGCCGAGCGCCTCACGCTCATACTCAAGTTGCTCGAGCTGGGACTAAAGAAAAGGCGGGGAGCTGACACTCACACTCACGCTGACAAGTTCAACCCCGCTCAGCTCATCATCGACGTAGAGAGAATGGTTAATCTCCCTTCTATGCCTGTCGTCGATAGCTGCAGGGGTAACCTCACGCCGCCTTTCCACACTCAAGCGATGCAGATCGTCTTCCTCACCATGCACGCAGCTGCACAAGTAGATATTACTAAGGAGAAGAGCAGACAGGTGGGCAGTGCATGCCGCGACTTACTCGCTACTGTTATCACCTGCATGGCGACATCGCTAGAAGCGGCCAAAGACGGTGGCACCACCAGCAGTGACGAGGAATTCGATCTGCTAGTGATGACATTTATGGCAATAGTCAAGAACCCACTGGCTCCCAACGTCGCTTACTGGCTGCCTTTGCTGGTGGAAGCCGATGTGGTACGGCTGTCGCTAGATGTGTTCAGCAAAATACCTGTCAACGCAGCTCCGCAGCCGACCAGCGACGTTGCCGCTAATGCGATGGCAGCAGACGCAATGGATATCATGGACGAAGGAATGGCGGAGGATGACGTTGATGCGCAAATCACCTCTCGGCCACCGTTCCTGCAGGCTGTCGTAGACCTCCACCTCATCCTTGCGTCTTTCCCACCCGCCGCTGAGCGCTTGGCGCTAGATGGCCTTGTTGCAGCATACGCCTCGTCCACTCTCGCCGGCCTTGCCGAGCAGGGAGCTGTGCTGTCGTGCGATCCTGCATACATGGCCACACGCAATCCATGGCATACGGCATGGTGCCGTATGCTCTCCGTTCTCACCGCCCTCATACACGTTCTAGGCGGCAGCTCGCAATTGATCGATGTGGAGATAATCGGCTTTGTAAGTTACTAGCGTATGAGTGAGAATGAGTGCGTGTATGCTAACGCTCCTGCGACAGATTCAGCTCAGCGGCGCGCAGTTAGCGGGAGTGTTATCTTGGAACACCGAGACGCCGTTCAACCTCGCTACAGTCGAAGAGCTCCGTTTGACGGTTGGACTGTTCGCATCGATAGCCAACTCGGAGCACTACGCACAGACGACGTCTTACGGCCACCGCTCACAGCCTAGCAAGGCAGTCCTGCATGCGTTCAACCTGCGCGCCATGCACCTCCTCCAGCAGCTCACATATGGCCTAACGCACCCGCACCTCGTCCTGCAGCTTGTCGAGCCACTTACGGCACACGAGCGTGAGCGTCTGCATGGCGGTGAGAGAGAGTTTAGTGACGGTCTCCTTGATGCGCTCGTAGCACTTACGCAAGATGTCCTCTTAGGCCTCACTAGCTCTCTCGACTGTCTCGCCGTCCTCACACGCCAAAGACCCGAATGGCCTGCTGAGTCGTATGCACTGGTCCAGCCCGTGCGTGTATTATACGTGAGGTAACTCTCAAACTAACACACACACCCCAGAACGCGAACATCAATATGGGCGAGATGGCCTCCGTAGGCACGCTGCTCGACCTCGCTAGCTACTGCATCGATAACCTTAAGAGCGGCCAGAAGGAGTCGCACGGTGAGGAAACGGGACGCGCAAAATGCGTCCTTGAAGCTACCCTCGTCCTTACCGCTACACAGATGGCCATGTGGACTAAGGTCGGTGGCGCGGGGTATTCATCGCTCAATCGCTCCTCCACCCCTTCCTCTACCTCCACCTCTAGCTCGGCCACCCTCAAGAGAGACATCAGCGGCGCACTGGCAGAAGACTTTAACGCCGTCGTCGACCGCAGCAAGAGCGTTCTAAACGCTACAGAGAGAAGACTGCCTGTTATCATTGGATCGTTCATGGAGCGAGTTGTTGTAAATGGTTAGATTATGCTTATTTATTTATATTTTTTGAATTCTCGCGAATGATTCTTCCTCCTCAGAAGAGATAGACGGGGTTGTGTGAGTGTTCTGTTTTGTAAGCCAGATAGCGTGGTGCAGCAGCCGTCGCCTAATGGAGCTTACTTTGCCCAAGTTAATCTGCAAATGGCAAAAGAAACGGGAAGATAACTATTGCGATGTCCCATAATGACATTCTGCGCAATTTAGCAATATAGCTGCACCAGTATTATAATCCAAACCAGGCATTCTGAACAAATATTCACTTTATTTACCCACTCTCTGTCAATCGACTTGAAATTTCCAGATGGCAGTGATCAGATCTCAACTGGCCGATTTACGAGTTTTGGAACTCTTCATACAGAAAGGCTTGTTTGTTAGCTCAGAGTTTGCTTTGGCAGCTTTTGTTAGAACAGTATCTCTGGGATTCCTATCGCGCTCTGCAAGAGAAGAAGTGGCAATTTGACATTGCTCTGGAGCAGTCAATAAAGCCTTTACGGAGATTATGACACGCCCATTTGTCATTGACTGTTATTTGAAGCTGATTGAGACTACAACCACCCAAATATCTCAATTTCACAGTCTGTTAGACGCGTTTTATATTTTCCGACGCGTAGCGTCCACAGGGCTCAAGGCTAGCTCCAGGGAAAAATTAAGGCCACCCAAGGTCACCATGCACAGAAAGCTATTTACGCAGCAAAAAAAAAGGGGTTCAGCTTAACTCTAAAATCGGAGGTTTGACTTCTGACCAGTGCATTTCGAGATTTCGAATAATGGCGGTGTGAAGGTGATTAAGGCTGCGTCGTAATTGTAGAAATGGTATAGTATTAATTTGTATTTTTGAACTCAAATTATTCTTCTTACGACGTATCACATAAAACAGGTGGAGCACAGTGCATTACAAAGCGCTAATCACACGATAAAACCACTCTCGAACTAATTGCAACGTCAAATTCGACAATATTATATCATTATTTCTCAGTTTTGCATTAATTAAAGCGCTAAAACTAACACGTGATTGAGGAGGCTATTCTCAACCTGGAGTTGACGAGTTTTACATATGTGATGTGTTGAGAATAAGGTAATAATCCAGCTATGATAGAGTACTCAGTGTATGTATTTGACTTGATAAATGTACCGACTCCAAAATTTTGCGAGTGTTTGACCGTCTCTGAGCTATCGCTGCTCTGCGATGATCAACTGGTTGATTAACAATGCTACAGGTGAACTAGTGAAAGACATCTCAATCAAGTCCGAGTCTGTAGTCGTCTTATTGCTTCGCAGGTTGCTAAGTTTTTCTTAGATATCAAAGGCATTGTCATATCATTATCACCTGTTTTTGCATTTGGTCTTGGGGAAATTAAGACATTATCGTTTTACTTTAATGATATATTTGCTTGATTCATCGACCACCCTGTGAACTCTCTTCAACCACAAATCCATCACTCAATATGGTTGGTACCATGGTTTCAAAGCCCCGATTATTATCTTGTCTATATTTGCGAGATGAAAATGCTTCTCTTGCCTCTTTCACTTATAATTTGATTGATTCAGTCTGCCATTCTTTGTCCTTTTTGTTGTCCGCTCACTTACAGAATTATTGTGTCATGGATGAGTAAAGGATATTCATACATACATTAATATATCACCAAAGTCATTCCTAGTGTCCCACCCCACAAGCACTCATCCAGGACTCATCTCTTTATACCTAATGACTTCAAGATGATTTCATGGGATTAAAGGGTAAATTGAGTATTTGTCTTAGTACTTAAAGACGCTTGCAGTAATAAGAGATATTCTATTGAATAAATTATGTTCGAGAAGTCCTGAAAATTACCAAGGAAAGTGTAGAAACCGAACGCAGAGACATCATATCCTGACAATTTGAACAATTTAGCGATAACATCAATTTCATGACATATTCAGCATAAAAAATACATCTCTATATCAACCATCCCTCAATATCTCCTAAGCTGGATTTCTCGACTAACGCCTATCTCATCTCAGATGGCTGATTTACAAGTTTTGGTGATCTCCAAATGCAAAATAGTTATAAATAGCTCTGAATGATATTTTAAAGATGTTGCTAGAACTATATCCCTGAGCCTCTAATTGCGCCCTGCAGTCTTTTCGGAAATTGGAATCCGACATCGCTCTGTGGCATGCTATAGGGTATATATAGTGAAGACTTGACGCATTCTGTTGATAAAAACGAGCCTTTCTAGCTGGCTGAAAGTACAAGCACTCAAAAATCCTCAAGTATTCGGCTCTATAAACGCGATTTACATTTTCCGGAACATAGCGTCCACAGGAATCTAATATGGCTCCAGGGAAAATCTGTTGACATTCAAGATTGTTGCAATTCTATTGAATGTAATTGATTGGGAGAAAATGTGGGGTCGCCTCAACTCTGAAATCGGGGATATGGCTTAACTAAGTGAATAAGGAAGTCAAATAACGATAGTAAATGTCTAGTAAAGAGTGCGTTGAAATCGCAGATGTCGTAATATTATGAATGTGTATTTCAAGATAGCTATTTGCTCTTTCTGCAACATGTCATTACAAATCGGAACACGACACTAGTCACATTAAGCACTCCTTACATCCCTAGCAGCTTTGTTTAAATAAACTACTTTAGAAAGAAGCTAATTACAAAGCGATGGTATGTGTTTTGATCTGAGTGAATTGTCTAATACCTTCTGCGCTGTTCTTGAAGCCCTCGGCCGGGTCCTTAGATCCTGCAGACAGACCTACGCCTTTAATACCGATGAGACCTTCATTGATATACAGCACGCTGACATCGATACTCCTGCCGAACTTAAGAGCGCGATCGATATTCTTCGACTAGACACTAGTGGTCGATCCGCAGTGTGTATCGTTTGCTTGGTTCCCGATAGTATCATCTTCCCTCACTCCCTCCTTCTGCTTTGATTTCTGGATGATTGCAAGAGGTCCGAATGTATCCTGTCATTTTGCCATACCAGAATTGACATCAGTGAGGAGGATGTTTGGAAGTTTGTTCGACTCAATGTCGACCTTTGATAGAGGCCAGCTGCCAACGACGATCTCGGTGCCTTATGGGAGTTTCGTCGGCTAGACATAGCGATCGATGAGGAGGATGGTGGTGGGGCAATCCTCTTGAAATTCTCAATAAGCTTCTAGTATGAAGATGAACCTACAATCACCCTCTCCACAGATTTGCACACATGTCCGGAATTAAACCAGACATAATAAAATGTGTTGTTGACGGCTGTGGGGAGATATGCCTCATTAAGCACTATAATTGAACACGTTCCAACGATCTGATAGAGTATTAGAGAGGTGTTTTCACTAAAACTCAATACTCAACTCGCCTCCAGTTCGGAAGGCTTCAAATAGTAGTCTGACAATCTACCCATCTGCCTACCAAGATTCGATGAGCGACTAAAGCAGACTTCTCTGAGACGATTGTCAGCGAGAATCTTCTCGATTACCGAAGGTGTGCTTTCGCGGGAGCTGTGGATAATGTTAAGACAACCATCAGGCAACCCGGCTTCCTGAAAGATGCTGTGCCAGATGAGCTGAATTTTAAGCGTGATTGCAGAGTTGCGCACGAGTACTGTGCTGCCTGCTGCCAAAGCAATTAATGATGGGTTTGATGGAAAAATTGATCGGCACGCTCCACGGCGCCATTGTCAGGTAGATTCCCAGTAGTTCCCGTTTAAAGAGGTAATTATCATCGTTTTCGCGCCTGTTTGGTGGTATGTCTTCTGTCACAGCGGCCGCAATAACACTAGCAGTTGCTTCGATTAGATGGCACGCGGCGATGACGAGATATTGAACAAAGTACTTGTTGATTTCTTGTTCAGACGTATACGCTTTGTGCATTTCACTTACCCGTTTTCTGGTGATGTGAGCTGCTTTTAGAAGAATGTCTTTGCGCTAATCGTGTGTAGTCTTTTCCATCCCTGGAAGGCATTTTGGGCTGATAAGAAAGCGTCATCGATATTGGAAACGCTCGATGATGCCGCTGAGGGCACTAATTTGTGGGAACTGATGCTGATGCTGGCGCCTCCGCCTGATGCGCTGCTGCTGTGTTTGGCGTGCTGGATTTCATTTTGCATTGATGTTGCTTTTCAAATGAAGATGCGACTGCACACGTAAGTTGTTTCAACCCGGCCAATTTCACAATGCAAGTCTCGGAGCGGCGGGTGGGTGCCTGAGTGAGCGACCAATTTCAAACAAAGTGTCAGACGTCCTCCCCCTTGAAATTTAAGGGGAAAATTGACTTTAACACAACTTGTTTGGCCTGTTGATTCGGCACGCCATGTCCCATATGCCAAAATAGATGATACGCAGTGGCATATCTTCGTGATCTCGATTGTATGTAGTATTTGTATATAGACTTCCGATTTGCTGAAATGTTAGAAGTATATTGAAGTCGGCGTTATATCTCCTGAACAATGAAACACGGACACAATCCCTGAGAATAGACGCAAAACTCTTACAAATCCAGGTATAAAACAGTATACTCCCATAGATCTATTCAAGGCGTGTAAATCTTACTTTTTATGACAGCTCGAACCTCTTAGACCGATCGCATCGGCATCAGTCCTGGACACTGGGGTCGTTTAATGAGGTACCCCTTAAAAGCGTATAGAACGGTAACTAAGTAATTGTGAGTGAATCAAATATTAATTTTCGCAACAAAGGATTCATTTAGGCAATGTGGTCACAAGGTGAAATTTTTAAAAGAGTGATGGAATGTGAGGCAAAAGCACTCGAATAGCTGGTAAATGATATAATCAACATGCTTCATAATTATACATAGGATAATAATTGACAAATTCAACTGCGCGATAATCCTTGAACTACAACGTCATGGTGAGTGACGCGCATAGGCTAAAATCAATCTAATGAGTTGCACAGGCTATTTCAAAGAAATCTGGGAACAAAGCAAAGCCTGATAAGCAAATAGCCAAGGTCGGTTGTATAACAGCGCATCACAGCAGTGGCTGATGATCGCTACAGGCAGATTGGAAGGACAGCTTCAAGAAGAAGCAAGCTGGCGTTTCTGACATGACGCTCCTTACGACCATATCCAATGAATCCATCAACGAAAATCTCAAGAAACGTTTCCAAGTTGGCGAGATCTACACGTACATTGGACACGTATTGATTTCAATAAATCCATTCAAAGACTTGGGCATTTACACGGAAGACATCCTTCGCTCTTACAAGGGCAAGAACAGGCTCGAAATGACCCCACACGTTTACGCTATTGCCGAATCCATGTATTACAATATGTCCGCGTATCAGGAGAACCAATGCGTTATCATCTCCGGTGAATCTGGTGCCGGTAAGACTGAGGCTGCCAAACGCATCATGCAGTATATCGCTGAAGTCTCTGGCGGTCATGATAGTTCGATCCAGGGTATCAAGGATATGGTCCTAGCTACAAACCCCTTGCTTGAGAGCTTCGGTTGTGCAAAGACGCTCAGAAACAACAACTCAAGTAGACATGGAAAGTATCTCGAGATTATGTTCAATCGTTCTGGCGAGCCTGTTGGTGCCAGAATCACTAACTACTTGCTGGAAAAGGTGGGAAAACTGTTTAATTGATAGTGCTCTTTTTAACATCACTCAGGGCCGTGTTGTTGGTCAAATTAACGACGAACGTGACTTCCACATATTCTATCAGCTCACAAAGGGTGCTTCCCAAGCACAGAGAGGTATGCAAGCTCTTCTTACACTTCCTTCGCTCACACGCGCTACCAGAGGCATTCGGTTTACAAGGCCCTGACGCTTATGTGTATACCTCCCGCGCTGGTTGCTTGGATGTAGCCGGTATCAATGACGAAAAAGACTTCTCAGAGACAATCGACGCAATGAACATAATAGGTCTTAGCGGCGAAGAGCAAAACGAGATCTTCCGAATGCTTGCCTCGATCCTTTGGCTCGGTAACATAGTCTTTGTTGAAAACGATGACGGAAATGCCCAACCTGACGACCCAGACACACTCGAGTTCATCGCTTACCTGCTCCAAGTGAGTAAGGCATCGTTAGAAAAGGCAGTCACGTGTCGCGTCATGGAAACTCAGAGAGGTGGTAGACGTGGATCAGTCTATGAAGTGCCCCTCAACCCAGCTCAGGCCACCTCAGTTCGCGATGCTTTTTCCAAAGCCATATACAACAACCTGTTCGAGTGGATCGTTAGCCGTATCAATAGATCTCTTGCACCAGCTCAAGCGAGCGACTACGTCATCGGTATTCTTGATATCTACGGATTTGAGATTTTTGACGATAACTCTTTCGAACAGCTCTGTATCAACTACGTCAACGAAAAGCTTCAGCAGATCTTCATCGAGCTGACTCTCAAGAAAGAACAGGAAGAGTATGCCATGGAACAGATTCAATGGCAGCCTATCAAGTTCTTCAACAACAAGATTGTCTGTGATTTGATTGAAGAGAAGCGTCCCCCTGGTATCTTTGCTGCACTCAACGATGCATGTGCTACTGCCCATGCGGACCCCGCCGCGGCTGACAACTCATTTGCCCAACGTCTGAACATGGTCTCGAACAACCCGCACTTCAACCTCCGCGGATCTAAATTTGTCATCAAGCATTATGCAGGTGATGTCACTTACAACATCCAGCAAATGACAGACAAGAATAAAGATGCACTGTTGAAGGATCTTTTGAACCTTATCGACGAATCTAGCAATTCATTCCTACAAGGATTGTTCCCAGAGAGACCTGATCCTAACTCGAAAAAGAGACCACCTACTGCCGGTGACAGAATTAAAGTGAGTCATTGCCGTAAAAGTTGTGCCCCAAGCTCACTCGATATAGGTATCTGCAAACTTGCTAGTGGAAAAGCTTATGGCATCTCAGCCATCTTACATACGTACCATTAAACCCAATTCAAATAGATCACCCACAGAGTACGACGATGCTGCAATACTTCACCAAATTAAATATCTAGGATTGCAAGAGAATATAAGAGTTAGAAGAGCAGGATTTGCGTATAGAAATTCTTTTGAAAAAATGATTGAACGATTTTACCTCTTATCCCCATCTACCAGTTACGCAGGCGATTATATCTGGCAGGGAGACGCTAGATCTGGATGCGCACAGATGCTCACTGACACCGGCATAGCCAAGGACGAATGGCAGTTGGGTATAACAAAGGCATTCATCAAGAATCCTGAAACACTTTTCGCTTTGGAAACTATGAGAGACAAATACTGGCACAACATGGCCAGTAAGATCCAGCGTTCATGGCGTGCCTATCTCCGTAGAAGACAAGAGAGCGCGCAGAAGATCCAACGATTCTGGATGTCGAAGAAGGAGGGTATCGCTTATGAGAAAATAAGAACATACGGACACCAATTGCTGGACAATAGAAAGGAGAGAAGAAAATTCTCACTAGTCAGTCAGAGAAGATTCATGGGTGATTACTTGGACGTCAACGGCGGTAGTCCTACTGGTGAAATGCTCAGCCGCACCTGTGGGATTGGCAAGGCAGAGCCAGTATCTTTCTCCTCTCGCGCAGAGATCATGGTTTCTAGGTTGGGAAGAACGTCAAAACCAAGTCCGAGGTTCATAGTCTTGACGAATAAAGCATTCTACATTGTCGTGACCACCAAAGAAGGAACGACTGTAGAACGTAAGATCCTCGTAGGTTCGGTCAAAGGAGTTTCATTCTCCAATCTTCAAGATGACTTTATAGTGCTCAACTTGGGAGCTACTGAAGAAGGCGACCCAATATTAATAGTCAAGTTCAAGACTGAGCTTGTCACCCAGCTAAATAGAGTCGCAGGTGGGACGATAACTGTAAACGCAGGACCAACTATCGATTATACCAAAAAGAAGGACAAAAAGGCGCAGATCAAGGCAGTCAAAGGGGACACATCGGCAGTGAAGGCACAGGAGAAGATCAGCGGCGCAGGATACAAATCTCACACTATTACTATTGGAGGTGGAGAGCCAGCATCAAGTGTGTCGAGACCACCTGTTCCACGAAAAGCGCGACCAGCCAAGATGGCTACCAAGAGGGGAGCGCCAAGGTCAACAGCAGCACCACGCAGTGTTCCGTTACCTGGAGGGAAAGGTAAGCCTTCGTTGAGTACGCCGGTGCCTGCACCAGCGGTCAGGACAACACCTCCAGTGCCAGCTGTGCACGAGGCTGGGACCAAGGCAGGAGGTGGAGGTAAAGGTGCGGCAGCAGCTCCTCCAGCACCAGCACCAGCACCTACTCCCGCCACTCCACCACGGCCACCGGCCAGACCTGCCTCGCCGGCAAAGGACCTGTGGAAAAGTGTCCATCCCTTCGATACCCAAGAAAGTGGGGAGCTGTCACTAGGGAAAGATGAAGTAGTAGAAGTTTTGAATCAGGATGCGTCAGGTTGGTTCGGCGGTTTTAAAGGGAATGCAACTAACAAGTAATTTGTACAGGCTGGTGGCTTGTTAGGAATGACAGAGGGGTTGAGGGGTGGTGTCCGTCTACGTATTTGAATAAAGCACCACAGCCGCAGCAGCAGCCTAAGCCAGCAGCTAGGGCAGTGCCACCTGCACCTGCACCGGCTCCTGCGCCTGCGCCTGCTCCTGCTCCTACGAGCGCGCCATCGAATGGGACGAAGAAGGCACCACCGCCAGTCAAGGCCAAGCCAGCTGTAGCACCAAAACCAAAACCAAAGCCAGGTATGAATGGTGATGCGCCTGGTGATGCGCCTCAAATGAGTATGCCAACTAATGGAGGGGCTGGGTTCGGAAATGATCTTGCAGCCGCACTTTCAAAGCGTCGGCAGCCAGGAGCGGATGAAGAGGAGTGGTAGATGATATAAAATTAATGAATAAATGTAGAAAATGATAAAATGTTCTTTGTTATCAACCACGATGAGTGATGATGTGCTTGGAGAGTCGAACAAGCAGCCAGAGCAGCCAGAACAGCCAGAAGAGAAACCAAAGCGGTCACGGCTAGTGATACACCAGCTAGCACTTATAAATTTCAAATCATTCGCGGGTACTCAGGTTATTGGACCATTTCATAAAGTGAGTACGCGTGTTTGCGCGTAGAGTGCACAGCTGAAACGGGTAAAGTCATTCTCCTCTATCGTTGGACCAAATGGAAGTGGAAAGAGCAACACTATCGACGCGTTACTCTTCGTTTTCGGTTATCGTGCCAACAAGATGCGTCAATCGAAGCTATCTGAGTTGATACATAACAGCGCAGAACACCCAAATTTTGATCATTGCGCTGTGGAGGTTCACTTCAGGGAGATTTTCGATGAGCCTGGCAGCGAGGATTTCCAAATTGTACCCAATAGCCAGCTTGTTGTTACTAGAATGGCAATGAGGAACAATCAGTCAAAGTATTTGATCGACGGCGAATCTTCCAACTACGCTACCGTCACAAACCTCCTCAAAGGCAGAGGCATCGACCTTGATCATAATAGATTCCTCATTCTACAGGGCGAGGTTGAATCCATCGCTCAAATGAAAAGCAAAGCCCCTTCTCCGCATGAGGATGGCTTGCTTGAGTACCTTGAAGACATCGTTGGCACAGTCACCTACAAGCAGCCCATCGAGGACAGCCTGGTCGACATGGATAAGCTCTCTGATGAGCGCAGTGAGCGTCTCAGTAGACTTCGTATCGTTGAAAAGGAGAAGGATCGTTTAGAGGGTCACAAAGATGAGGCTGAGTCTTATCTCAAAGACTGCAATTCTGTAGCTCGTAAGAAAAACGTTCTCTACCAACGCTATCTCTTCGATCTTACAAACAACATCTCCGTGTGCAATGAACACCTCCAAGAAATCTCAACCCAACTCCACTCGGAAGAATCCAAAGTCTCAGGTCGTAAAGATGCTCTCTGCGACCTCGAAGCTGAACACAAACGTCTCGAGAAGGAGTGCAAGGGTATGGAAAGTGAGATGAAGCGTATAACAAAGTCGCACGAAGACAAAAACAAAGAGAATGTAAAACTCGACGTTAAGATGAAAGATCTCAATAGCAAGATTAAAAAGCTGAAAAAGTCTCTGGCGGATGACTCGCACGCACACAAGACAGCTCAACACAATATCACCGAGCTCACTGAGGAGATGGAGAAAGCTCGCGCTGAGACTGAGAGTCATGAGGCTGGCTTAGGCGCAGAGGAAGGAAAGCTAGAATCTATCATAGATTCACTGAAAGGTAAGAGCGTATCATAATACTCTCAACAGCACCATCTGATTACGTATCCAAGGCAAAACACAAGTTTTCACTGATCAGATCGAATCGAAGCAGAAAGAGCTGCAGCCATGGCAAGCCAAGCTGTCCGACCTGCAGACGAAGATTGACGTTGCAGACTCTGAGCGCGACCTCCTCTCATCCAAGGCCGATAGTGCGCAAAAAGCTGCTGCAGAAGCGGATGAGCAGCTGCAAGCAGTCAAGGATCAAGTTGAAACGAAGAAATCGTCTGCTACTGACATCCAATCGGAACGTCAGCGAGTATCCGCTGAGATGAGCCAACTTGAATCACAATTGAGCGATTTGAGAAAAGAAGAAGGGAATATGCGTCGCCATCTCAGCCAAGCACGCCACAAAGCCGATGAGGCGCGTTCTTCACTCACTGCAAACCGCTCCCAAGATGCTGTGTTGGCAAGTCTGACACGGTTGCGGGACACAGGTCGAGTTTCTGGCTTTCATGGCCGCTTGGGCAGCTTGGGAGTGATTCACGACAAGTACGACATTGCAATAACGACGGCCTGCGGAGGGCTAAATAATTTCGTCGTCGATACAGTGCAAGCTGCGCAGACATGCATTGCTCATCTCCGTGAGAATAATGTCGGTAGAGCTACTTTCATAGTGCTGGAGCAACTTGCCGGTAAAACGCCAGTAAAGTTAGCTACACCGGAGGATGCGCCGCGTCTGATTGATCTTGTTCAGCCGCGCAAAAAGGAGTACATACCGGCGTTCTACAAGGCACTCGGAAATACACTCGTAGCGCAAGACCTTACGCAGGGCAACCGCATCGCCTATGGAAAAAACAGATGGCGTGTCGTTAGTTTGCAGGGCAATGTTATTGAGGCATCGGGAGCAATGTCGGGTGGTGGACAGCGGGTCTTGCGCGGCGGAATGGGCTCGTCTTTCGCTAACCCTACCGACACCGTGACGATGGATACCGTCAATCAGCTAGAGAGCGAGCGCGAAAAAGTTGAGGAGAAGCTCAGAGAGATTTTAGAGAAAGTGGCCAGTATTGAAAACGAATGTGGCGGACTGAGAAAGCTTGCGCCTGAGCTCGAAATTCAGGCTGAAAAGGCTGAACTCGACCAGGCTACTTTCACGAAACGGATAAGCGAGGCTGAAAAACATGCGAGGAAGATGAAAGAGGAGAGTAAGCCAGATGCTGGAGATTCGAAACGTATCAAGTCACTCGATACGGAAATGAGCAAGCTGAAGAAAGAGGTAGATAAGCTGGTGGACAAGACATCATCAATTGAAAGCGAGATAGAACAGCTCCAGGAGAAGATATTGGAGGTCGGTGGTGTCAAGCTGCGCGCGCAGAAAAGTAAAGTCGACTCAACCAAGATGATGATGGGTTTGTGTAGTGAGCGCATAACCAAGGCTGAGGTTTCACTGTCCAAGTCTAATAAAGACATTAGTCGTTACGCGAAGAGCGTCAAGGATAATGAGAAGAAACTCGCCAAATTGGAAGAGGAGATTAGTGCAGTGAGCGAGAAAAACGATCAACAACTGTCGAAGGCTAAGGGAGTGAGAAGTGAGGTTGACAAAGTGAGAGATGCGCTGGAAGGAAAGCAGGAGGAGTTGAATGAAGTCAAGGCGCAGCTTGATAATGAGGCATTGGCTATGCAGTCGTTCAACGCTCTCGAGACGGACCTGAAAGGACAGATGGATGAGACGACCAACATACTCAAGGATTCTGAAAATAAAATAGGTATCTATAGAGAACGACTGGGCAAACTTACATTGCAAGATGTGGACGATGAGGAGGAACAGGAGTCTGCGCTAGCTCAATCGGATGAACCTTCAATCCAGCAAGAGGGTGAAGGTGAGGGTGATGAAAAGATGGAAGAGGATGAAGCATCATTACCACAACCACAGCCAACACAGACAAAGCAACCACCTAAACCAGCGTCTGCACAGCTTGAAACATACTCGCAGGAAGAAATCCAAGAAATACAGCTGGATGTGCTTAAGAAGGAGATAGTACGAGCCGAAGATAAGGTGGAGAAGTCAACGGTGAATCTAGAGGTGCTAGCAGAATACAAATCGCGCAAAAAGGAATACAGAGATCGAGCTGCTGATGTCCAGGATGTGACTCGTCGTAGAGATGAAGCTAAGAGCACATACGATGAGCTGCGTAAAAAGCGATTGGATGAGTTTATGCATGGGTTCACGATAATATCATCCAAATTGAAAGAGATGTACCAGGTGAGTGGGGGTAAATTGGCTAACAATACTGATATAATACGCACAGATGATAACACTCGGTGGTAATGCCGAGCTTGAGCTAGTTGATTCACTGGATCCATTCAGCGAGGGCATCATCTTCTCGGTCATGCCGCCAAAGAAGAGTTGGAAGAATATCAGTAATCTTTCTGGTGGTGAAAAGACATTGAGCTCGCTGGCCTTAGTGTTTGCGTTGCATGCATATAAGGTGGGTGCCGATCAGGCATAAACCGAGTATTTGCTAAATTTTTCAGCCCACGCCACTCTACTTTATGGATGAGATTGATGCGGCCCTCGATTTCAGAAATGTGTCGATTGTGGCAAACTATATCAAGGACAGGACGAAAGATGCGCAGTTCATTATCATATCGTTGAGGTGAGCAAGAGAGCTTGGAACGTACAAGGTGCTGATTTGTGTTTCAGGAATGATATGTTTGAATTGAGTAATCGACTTGTTGGTATTTACAAGACGATGAATGCGACCAAGGTGAGTTATATAAGGATCAGGAAATACCCAACAGACCGTCTAACGCTGTTCACAGTCGCTAACAATCGCTAATACCAACTTGTAAAAAGATGTATCTATTTATTGTATTATGAGGAAGTGATGCAAGTTGGCAAATAATTTTACAAAACACACTTGTAATGTACAATAAACTCACAACACGTCAATCATCACTGAAATTGTTTGATTGTTTGATATTCAGAGGATAACGTGAAGAAGATACTAATGAACGAGCAAGACATAAAGATAACACGTGAGTTTGGTATAGGCAAGTAGAAGACTAAGCTTAGATGTTATGATATCAACAGACGAGAGGCTATTACATGCAGCTAAGCAGGATGATGAGAATTTGCTAGATGAGGTTTTTGAGGAGGCAGACAAAGTTGGAGAAAGTGGAACACCGTTTGATATAAACTACAAGGATGGATTGGGTAACACTGCGTTACATTATGCAGTGAAGAACACTTCAATAAGTGTTTTGGATGGATTGCTTACGTTTGATAATGCGGATGTCGATCCACAGAACAGGATTGAAGGTGACACGCCGTTGCACGTACTGATGCGTGACGATAAGATGGATAGAAGGGCTAGAGAGTATATATGTAAGTGGAGCGTCTAGCTGGGCTGTCTAGTTGAGAAATTACAGTAACTGAGCTTATCGAGGCTGGTGCAAACTTCAACGTGAAAAATAAGCACGATCAGAAACCATTGGATGTTTTGAGTGGAGTGGATAACTCAAATGACTGGATCAGAGAGGCTTATAAGGAATCTCAAGTACAAAAGGTTATGGATGATGAGGATGTTGTGGATGACGACGATGTGGCTGATAGCACAGGGAGTGGGAGTGGAAGTGAGAGTGGGAGTGGGAGTGAGCCTGATGAGCCTGTTGAGACTACCAAGAATACATAATAAGATATATCCATCATTCATTCAAATTTAAGCCAATGATTTGCCTTTCGCCCGTCTTCTCTCTCCAGGATTCCACCAAGTCCTAGAATACGATAAAAGATAATAATGAGAGTTACACAGAAGCAGCTACAGATTTCATTCCAGCTTTCAAACAGCACGTCTACACCAACCAGAAGCCTATCTAGAAGCCTCTGCAGGCGTAGCAAGCAGTTTAGTACATCCACAAAATTATCATTCAGATCAACGTCTCCATCTTTACAGACCAAAGACCCTTATCAAGTACTTGGTGTTAACAAAGATGCTCCCACTTCTGAAATCAAGAAATCCTTCTACCAAGTGAGTTTGCCGTGTGGATTTGGGCTACACTCAACTCACAACTCACACAGCTTGCTAGAAAATTCCACCCTGACACCAACAAAGATCCAAACGCTAAAGAAAAATTCGTTGAAATCCAATCCGCTTGGGAAACTTTATCCGACGATACAAAGAGGAAGAACTACGATCAATTCGGTCCTGCCTCTCAACAACAAGGCTTTGATCCAAACATGTATGGCAGCCGCGGTGGTCCTTTCGGTGGTGCAGGTGGTTTTGGTGGCTTTGGTGATGCTTTCGGTGGTGGTTTCCCATTCGGTGGCGGTGGCAGCTTTGGCGGTGGCTTCGGTGGTGGCAATGCATCTGATCTCTTTGAACAGCTTTTCGGAAGTGGGGCTGGCGGTGGTGGTAGAGGTGGCTTCGGTGGCAGCACAGTCACTCGCGGCGACGACATTGAGCTCAACGTAAATATTCCCTTCCTCGACGCTGCTAAAGGCAAGACAGTAAATCTGGACACTAAACCACTCAAAAACTGTGGCACTTGCAAAGGTAATGGTCTTAAAAGAGGTAAATCTAGATCAACATGCAAGGCGTGCAACGGTATGGGTACGCGCACTTTCGTTATCCAGGGCGGTTTCCAGGTTGCATCTACTTGTCAAGTCTGTCAAGGTTCCGGTTCTTCCATCAAGAAAGGCGATGAGTGCGATAGCTGTGATGGTGTAGGTAAAGTACGTGGTAAGGGTGCAGTCGAAGTGAAGATTCCTGCCGGTGTAGAAGATGGAATGAGAGTTAAAGTGAGTGGTAAAGGAGACGCACCAATAAGCGGCGATGGTCCTACTGGTGATTTATTCGTGCGGATCGGTGTCTCACCAAGCAAAGATTTCAGCAGACAGGGCATGCATCTATTCCATAATGCTAAAGTACCTCTTCACGTCGCAATGCTCGGTGGGAGACTGAGAATACCTACGCTAGATGGCGAGGTTGATATACGCGTGCCTAGTGGTACACAGCCCGGTGAAGAGATGGTGCTTAGAGGCAAGGGTGTGCCTAGGATCGGCAGAGGTGGCGAGAAGGGAGATCTGATGGTCGGATTCCAGGTACAGGTCCCTCGCAACCTCACACCATTACAAAGAGAGATCGTTGAAGAGTTTTCTGATGTCACTGAAGGCAACGCCGTGCGGAGAAAGTATCCAAGCGTGACTGAGGAAGTGAGGAAGGCGCAGGAGAGCAAAGGGGTGAAGGAGGTAAACGCAGGGGAGAAGGATGACATAGATAAGAAAGACGATGCAGATTCGTCAGACGCAAAGGCAACAGATGGAGACGGAGATGTAAATAGAAACTCATCAAACTCATCAAACTCATCACTATGGGGAAAAATCAAAGACAACTTCTGCGCAAACGACAAGGAGAAGGAAGAAACCCAAGGGAAAGATAAAAAATAGAAATTGAATGTAGAAATAGAAATTGAATGAAATATTCTTGATAAGAGCCATGACAGACGCGAGTGGTAGTCTAGGTGTAAACATAGGCGGTAACGAAAGGGCTGGAACAAGTAAAGGGGATTTGTTGAATGAGTTGATTGAGTGAGTTTTGGTTCAAGGTAAAGAGGAGTTTCACAGATAATCGATCCACAGTACACATTTAAATATAAGAAGCCAGAGGGATGAATTGTATGAAATTTTCAAGCGCAGGGAATTACTTAAGGGCTCTTTCGGTGATCAAAGCTGCGCGAAGATAGTGAAACAGCGATATCAGGAGGAGTTGGATGTGCTAGAAGAGCGATATAAGAAGCTGAGTAGAGAGATAGAGGATGGTGAGGGAGTCGTAAAGGTGGCTGCTCAGGTTATCATGGAGCGTGATGAGCTTAATGACGCGTACGATCTCCCAAATCAAGCAACAGCATCTTTAGACGCAACAAACAAGCTAAGCACAGAGCTAGACACGCGTATTCAAGAATTTAGACAAAATTTATACACACTAGACGTACTCAACGAAGGTCACGTAGCTAAGCTTAATAAAAGGATTGATGGATTATCACATAGAGTTTCAGAGCTACAAGAAACCTTACATACTGTCAACAGTACTCTTGGTACAGTGTTCACAATATTGGGTAAAAAATAAAATAAATTTAGCAAAATCAATGAATGGCTTTTCCACTTGTACGGTGATAAGCGATGAAATTGCTCAACAGAATGGAGAGAGCGCCGAGTAGTGGGAGTAGTAGCAGTAGTAGTAGTAGTAGTAGTAGTAGCAACACCAGCGTTAATGACAGTAGAAATACCAACAGCAACACCCACACCCACACTAACACCACCACCAACAGCAATACCAACTCCAGCAATACCAACTCCAGCAAAAGATTACTCGACAGAATCGGAGGCTCAAGAAGCTCTAACCCAGGAACAGCTTCGAGTTCTTTAGCTAACAGGATTGGTCCACCTCCTACAGCTTCAACTTCCCAACCAATTCATTCAACTCAACATCCTGCTATCAAGAGGAATAGAGGTACTGACCTGATAAATGACCCTAATGATTCTATAAAGAAAAAGCCTAGACAGGAAAATGAATATTATAAGCTCGAAGAATCAAAGAAGCACACGCTAGCAACTCAACAGCCTCAGCACCCTCCTAAATCTACTCCCATGCCTCAATCTGTGCCTCAGAAGCCATATCAACAAGAATCAGCTCAACAAGCAAAACATAGTGCTTCAATAAGGTCAACTTCACCCCCTAAAAAGCTCAAATCATCAAAACAGCCAGAACAAGAACCAACAAAACAGCATGTTAAAGATGCAACACCAGAGATACTTCCAAACTTTGCACCACAAGCAGCTCCAAAATCTCCAAATCAAACATCAAACGTTACAACACCATCTGAACAAGTCGAGGATAGTGCAGATGTGAACATGCAGCAAATCGTAGAGACTCAACCCGTGCAACCATCACAATCTAGCTTATACGAAAATCTCGCCATCAAATTGAATGAGATAATCAACAAAAATTTGGAAATGAAGAGATCAGAAAATGATCTAATTGAGACATTTGAACAGAAGCAATCTATAAAGTCCTCATTTGGATGTAACTCGATTGGCATTTCCTCAACCAACTATCAAAAAGACTTGCACAAATTTGATCTGCGCATAGCTCAACTAGAGCATTCCATGAGCATTGCTGGCAAGTTAGCTACCGAATTAGCTGGAGAGTTGTTAGTCGAATTGAATGAGCTTTGCCAAAGCAACGTTAAAGCTGTCAATAATGCCGAAGACTTTGTTGATTTGAACAAATTCAATGACTTTAAGGAATTCACATTTAATGAATTCAAGAAGATTACCACAAATAATCCAAATAATCAAGATCTTTCACCTAGAAGCTCGGAAATAAAGAACACTATTAGCGCACAAACGAATTCTATCAATTCCCTCAAGGAAGGTTTCAGAACTACTCGTAACGATATTTACGAAAAGATGAGCAATGATATTGATAGGTTGGAGGAGTACACAAAACGTGAAATACAAGGCGCAAAGGAGTACATTAGGCGCGAGTTGCGAGAAATGGACCCCTTATTGCAAGATTTAAACATGAGAGTGGATGATACCAAAGAATCGGCTAACAAGATGTTAGCTTCGTCAAACACCTTGACGAGTCAGGTACTAACAGATGCAACTGACTCTATGCGTGCTGAAATGAAGCGAGTGGAAGAGCTGTATAAGGAGAAGAGCAAGAAGAATGAAGATGAAATTTATGCACAGAACAATCGTATAGGCGTCTTGACTAGTCAAAATGAAGAACTACAGCAGGACAGCCTTCGTACGAAAATCTCGTTGGGTGAGATTAAACGCCAATTTACATCGCTTCAATCTCAGATCGATGCGATGAAAAGACAATCGACGCAATCTGCGCAGACTTTCCAAACTCCTCAGACAGTTCGCCCAGCAAAACTTCAACCCTCCATGCCCTTTCCGGGGAATGGGAGAAGTGTGACACCTAGTCCTAATATCAATCAAAATCCTTACCACAATCCTAATGCTAATTCTGCAGGGGGAGTAGGGCAAAATATGGGTCGCGGCGTGTACACCAGTCAGAGTATGCCACCAACTCAACAACAAAGTATGCGTCCCCAGCATGTACAGCGGACGAAAGCGCGCTTGTCTGCTCCATCATTGACGGGTAACAGACCACTAGCACCGCAAGCATCCGCTTCCCATCCACAAGTTCAGTCTAATCGGCAACAGGGTACGCAGCAGGGTACGCATGCGCCGGCCCTCAACGTGAACGACACGAGTGGGCGTCCTTATCCTCCGCATCAACAAAAAGGATTCAACAACCACAGCCAAAATTGGTAATATCAAAAGGTTTTTTTTTCATTAACCGCAAATTCATCCATTCACATTCAACAGACTGATTTTGATAAATATAGACCAAATTTTTACAGAAGGAATAAAAGTGATGCTGTTTCCAAAAAGCACTAAGCATAACCTAGAGGAGAGACTTGGCGACATTGATGGCTTCGTCGATTTTGTCAACTTCGCTACCAACACCCTGAGCACTGTCGTCTTTACCACCAGCCTATCATTCATGTCAACAGAGTATCCAAACAGGAACTTCATACACACCTTTCCACCGACAACTTCAGCAACCTTTGCTGCCCACAACTTAGCATTGAAGGAGTCGTTGAGCTTATCTTTAGGTATGTAACACTGATGAGCGATCTTCTTAGCTTCTCTGTCAACGCTAAAGACATAAACAGTCTTGTTAAGTGGTCTAGCGGCTGACAAAGCCGCACTGAGAGCTTTGACGTTGGAGCCGAGCTCAATTTGACCCACAAAGTGAGACTCGCTCTCGTGTTCATTAAAGTAGTTCTTGATTGTATCTTGCGCAATCTTTGCCTCTTTAGCTGCCTGAGCTTTCTTGTGATCATCTACCACCTTCTTAATCTTGTTAAACTCGTCTCTCAATTTGATTTTACTGATAGTAGAAATCTCAGCCTGGCCAAGCTCAGCAACAAAATTCTTTAATTGCAAGTCCTTCTCATTCACGTCACTGAAACCGTTGATGAATTGTAGCTTATTTTGCAATTCTGATGACTTTCTAATAACTTCAATAGCATCATCTGCAGTGACTGCTATTATTCTTCTAATGCCCTTAGCGATTGAAGACTCTTCGATAATCTTGAATAGCTTAATTTCACCAGTAGTGTTCACATGCGTACCACCACAGAACTCAATCGATGACTTGGACCACTTTGGATTCTCTATGTCTTGTTTGATATCCTGTGGGTTGAATTCGACAGACACAACTCTAACAGGATCTGGGTACACTTCACCAAACACAGCCCTCAATCCTGGAATCTTCTTTGCGTCGTCGAGGTTAAACTCTTGAGAGAACACTGCAACATTCCTCTTGATGAATTGATCGCATATATCTTCAATCTTAGTTAGCTCATCAACGTTCAAGCCTGACTTGTGATTGAAGTCGAATCTCAATTTCGTTGGGGCGACCAAAGATCCCTTCTGGTCAATGTGATCACCTAAAACCTCCTTAAGCGCATAGTTGAGCAAATGTGTACCTGTATGGTTGTTTTTGATTGGCCATCTACGTAACTCGTCGTATGTTGAGATGACATCGTCATTTACTTTCAGTTCACCATACTTTAATACACCCGAGTGCAGCACATAACCAGAGTAGGACTGGACATCATCCACACCAAAGTCTGATACACCGTCGATAGAGATAATACCTGTATCGTTTTCTTGACCACCGCTTTCAGCATAGAAGTTGGTCTTGTCGAGGAGAACACCGAACGGTTTGGTGGAATCCAAGTCTTTAGTGGAGTTGTAAAATTGACGGTTTTGGAAGATGGAAACGACCTTGGAGTTGATGGTACCAAGTGTGTACTTGAAGCTGTCATCCGTCTTGGTAATCTTGTTCGAGTCGAGGGCAGCTAAATCGTGTACATCAAATTTGACACTCTCCGCTTCACCTTTTTTCTTTGTAGACTTGGACAATTCATGTGACTCCTGCCTAGCCTTCTCGAACTCTTCTTGGTTGATGGTCAGCCCAGCTTCTTCTGCCATCAAGAGAGTCAAATCAACAGGAAAACCGTAAGTGTCATACAATCTCCACGCCTCCTTACCACCAAGCTGCTTTTGAGGTGTTTGAAGAGCTTTTTGGGCGAAGCTTTCGAAGAGCTTCTCACCTCTATCGAGCGTTCTACTAAATGATTCCTCCTCCTCATCTAAAATCTCCTTGAGATCGTCATATTTATTAGTGATCTCTGGGAACATGCCTCCCATTTGCTCAATCACAACTGGAGCGAGAGAAGAGAAGAAGCTACCGATAGCGACACCAAACTTCTTTCTTACGTAGCGAGAGCCTCTTCTCAAGATGCGTCTGAGAACGTAGCCTCTACCGACATTGTTTGGTACACCACCGTCACTTATAGTGAAAGTAAGAGTACGAACGTGATCAGCGACAACTCTGTAAGCAGTGTCTATGCCGTCGACATCCTCAGCACCGAGTTTGCCAGCGTATGGGCGAGCTCTGGTGAGCTGTTGGATTTTGTCGAAGATAGGAGTGAAGACGTCGGTGTCGTAGTTGGATGATTTGTTTTGCAAGATGGAAACTAATCTCTCGAAACCTAAACCAGTATCAATGTGCTTGGCAGGCAGCGGTCTGAGACTTCCGTCTGCTTCACGGTTGAATTGCATAAAGACATTGTTCCAGATTTCGATAACGTCTGGATCGTCCGCGTTGACAATGTGTGCAGCGTTTCGGCCACCAATTCGGTCGTAATGAATTTCTGAGCAAGGACCACAAGGACCGGTAGCACCCATTTCTAAAGGTGTTTGTTAGATTCTGAAATGATAAAGGACGTATAACACACCCCAGAAGTTATCTTTTGCATCACCGGTGAGAATGTGGTCATCAGATAAACCAAGGTTTCTCCAAATATCTCTGGCTTCAAAGTCAGGTTCTAAGCCTTGAGATTGATCGCCTTCGAAGTAAGTAACGTAGAGTTGGTCTGGGTTGAGTTTGTAGACATCGACGAGCAACTTCCAAGCCATTTCGATAGCTTCTTTCTTGAAGTAATCACCAAAGCTCCAATTACCAAGCATTTCGAAGAAAGTGTGGTGGTAAGTGTCCTTTCCAACGTCGTCGAGGTCATTGTGCTTTCCACCGGCTCTAACGCATTTCTGTGAATTGACAGCTCTTTTGAGTTGACCGAATGGGGAGTTCTTATCAGCCGTACCGAGGAAGATGGATTTGTATTGGTTCATTCCAGCATTTGCGAACAGAAGCGTTGGATCTTCGTAAGGGATGGAAGATGAAGAAGGCACGAAGCTGTGATTGTGCTTTTCTTTAAAGTAGTCTATATACGTCTGCCTGACGTGTTTTGCCGTCCATTCTGTCATTTTTAAGAGACGGTGTGATGGACGTAGCATCCCAAGGACAAATTGAGCTCTTTTAGCGAAATGTAAAAAATGTATCAACTAGCTGTGAGTTGTGCTAATACGCACTGCTTTATCTCCGGCTTCCGCGTCTTCCGCGTCCGTCTACCCCGTGTCTTCTCTGTTCATGTACTATTCTTTACAGTAGTTTAAAAACAAAGGCACATCCTAATCACATTTCAATGAGCATTCTTTAAGCGCATATCTACCCACCTTGGCCAACTCGTTTGGTAACATCAAATTCGTGAGCCCATCAGGCAAGAATCCTGCAGCAGTACTTGTCGTCGCTGTAATCCACTCTACGCCTTTCTTTGTCTCTCTCACACGCTCTATTGATGTATACTTTGCTCTGACGACCTTATTCGTTTCATCTGGCGGGGCGTTTGGATGATCAGTGGCAATACTGATAACGAAAAACTGCGCTGAATATCCCTCTCCGCCATCCTCCTCGTGCGTCAGTACCAGCGGCGTAAAATCTCGAGTAGCGATACCCGGTGGCATGCGATAAGTTATTTTGAATATCTGAGCCTGTGGACTGATGTATTCTACCAGACTGTGTGATTTGATGGCTTCCACATACTCAGCCTCGTGAGCTGTGTGGTCGTGCAGCAACACCTCCTTGAACTTCTGATACGATGGCGTCGGGTGCTGCGATAGCCTCACATGCCACTTGCTGCCTTCGATCGTGGTGCTGCGACATTCCACACCATGCTTGTCGCGCAGGCGCGTCAGCTTCCACCTATTTGCCGTATCTATAAGCTCGCGAGCACTGTCGACTTGCTCAGCTATAAATTGCTTGATATCATCTCCTATTTCACTCCTGCGAAGTACAAAGAACTCTTTATTCGTTGACATTCCCTCTTTCCACCGCGTGTTTTGATGATTGACTTTGTTTATCCTTGACAAGCCCTGTGCTTTGAAAATACGCGCATTGTGGGTAAATGTTAAGCCATTTCATTGTCTTACCGAGTTATTAAAGTTGTCGTGTATCTGCGATACATATCCAACTCCATCTTGCCGCCCTTGTGCCACAGCACAAGCGAAAAAATTCACATATACCCATGCACTACTCATTCAAGGTAAAACCGTTCATGACAATACGAGAGACAGTAGATAATACAAAAATACTTTAAAAAGCGTATTAAAGGGAGTGAATAACTTAATTTATAGAGGCACGAAGCTCGCACGTATTGAATAGACCAATACTTTCTAAACCATATTCAGGTAATTGGAAGGCGCAATACCCTCACCCATACCATTCGGTTTGCGAACTCTCCACCACTTGCCAGAGTTATCCACAACGAGGAGCGTTTCGCCCTTAGTGAACGATATCTCATTAGGGTCGTCAGGACTAGCCGAGTAAGCGTATAAACATCTCGCCTGTGCCAATTCGTGATCTGGGATATGTGCGCCAGTTGTACCGCTACCGCTTCCACTACCTGGGGCGCTTGAGACATTCGAATGGTGCAAGCCGTCGCTTGGTGTATTTGCGGTTCTATTGCCCAAGCTACCGTGTGCAGAACCGTAGTGGGATGTAGGTGCGCCTGGGCTGGCTGTGTGTTGGATTGGTGCTACTGCTGCTGGTGGTTGCATCATTGGCTGTGGTGGTTGTGTGTGTTGTTGTGGTGGCTGTTGCTGTTGCATCACTGGCTGCTGTGTGTTTGTGTTGCGGTTGCTCCAGAATCCTGAATGAGAGTTGCTGTCGTACGATGTAGAGTCCTGACGATTCAGCTTATTGAGGTTCGAGAAGGGGTTCGAGGTGGACGTGTTGCGCATGGCTTGGGGGTGTGAGCTTATTCCGCCACCACCGCCACTGGATAAGCTGCCGAAAGTAGGAGCAGTGCACATTCTGAATACGCCCGCGACTGGTGTGTTTGGCTCGCTTGTAAGGTGCAGGATGGAGAGTACCTAGCTTTTTCAGCTCTATGAACATCGCGTAAGAAATCACTCACATTCAATATCGCCAAGATAAGGAACGCGGCGCCTACCGCCTCAGCGGATGATTCGCGCTCGTATATCTTGCGGTTGACGGTAACAACGGCAAGGGCAAATGAAGCAGCGTTGAATATAGACAGCTGAATTCTGTAGAGGTGGAGAGTGCCCATGTAGTCACTGAGGAAGTAGGCCAACACGATAGCGAAATTGAGGAAGACGTTGGGCCATGCCTCTCCGGATGTTTGGCCAGGGGAAAATGGGCCCTCGTTGCCGAACTCATCTGTCTCATAGCACATGGCGACTAATGCGCAGAGAGACGCGCAGAGACCGACAAACGCGTATCCCATGGAATAAAAAGAAGGCATACTCGTCGAGAGCTTGAAGTTCATCTTAGGCTTGTTACCACCGTTGAATAACTTCATTTTCTGGTCGTGGTTTTAGTGACCGTTGGGAGTAACGCTAGCTGTAAATGCAAATATCGACGCAAATGCTAAATCCATTCCACCCAAAAAGGAAGGTCAGATTCCAGTTAAATAAAAATCATTTTATTTTCTAAGACATAATTATACAAGACACTACGTGTTTCATTGTTTGATATTCATTCATCCCTCTCGACGGACTCAACCACTTCAGATATAAAATAATTCGTCAGTCCAGGTATCAATCCCTCGGCAGTATCAAATGCATTCTTGAGTGAATTTACCGCCATATTCGCGTCAACAGTATCTACCTTGCGCGTTATTGTGTCTAGCACCGGGTGTACAACTGCGTCCAGCATTGTCCTCTGCTCCAGAATTTGCTCATCATACTCCACTGTGCTCTCCGATGTCATTCCACTATCGCTCCTATTAATGCTTTGATCATCTTGGTATGAATATGGTGTTGGCGGTGGCTGTCTACTCGCCATACTGTCCGTGCCAGGACCAATACCATCTGAAATAACTGGACTGTCATATGTAGCAGCTGTTGGCAACAATTCACTCCTATGTGAGCCTATAAATGAGTCAGGCGTGTTAAGTATGCTGTTTTGGGCTGGAGATTTTACATCTTTGGGAATCGGTGGCAGATCTCTATAAGTAGAAGCTGTGCTTGACCTACCACCACCAGCAGCAGCCTTACCACCTTTAAGCGTATCCACGTATCCCATTGTGGATTTGGTGGGTGATGGTGATGGCGATGGCTTGTTGCTGAGATTATGCAGTGGATCACGCTCCTTGCTCTGCTTCATTTCCCTATCTCTCACGAGACCTGCCCGCAGAGTACTGCCTGATCTGTAGGAGCGGTTTGTCACTCCATCCTCGATTGTCATACGAGATGTAGACCGAAGCATGTCGTTTTCGTTAAGTTTGGTCTCCTTTTCATTTGTTTGTGCTGTTCTAGCGTAGTCTTTATGGTGTATTTGTGGAGCATAAGCCTGATTATACGCTTGCATATTCTGTTGAGTTGGAGGTGGTATGTCTGTTGGCAGCGGTGGAACTGGTTGATTGCGTATGGATTGTGGTGCAAATCCCCCTCTCTGTGTACCCTGAATAGTACCAAAATCCCACAAGTCCTCAGATTGTCCACCTAGAGTATTTTGATCGACGAGCATATCACCCTTATTCGCAGACTTCGAGAGACCACCTGCCATTTTGAATCTATCTAAACGCTCAATCAGCTCTGTTAGATGAGAAGTCTTTTTAGCGCCTTTTATGAACTTGTGCTTAAGCAATTCTCGCGCACTTGGTCTCATTTTGGGGTCTCTTTGTAGACATAAGCTGACAAATTCCTTGAACAGTTTAGAGTAATTGCCGTCCAAAGAAGGAGGGCTGTTTTTGGGTATCAAGAAGAGAACTTTCATAGGGTGTAGATCAGCATATGGGGGAGTACCTTGAGCTAATTCGATAGCAGTGATACCCAAAGACCAGATATCAGCTTTGTGATCGTAGCCAGATTGTTTGATAACTTCAGGGCTCATCCAATAAGGAGTACCAACGAAGGTATTCTTCTTTGTCATTGTGGAGGTGAGTTGACCACTTACACCAAAGTCAGCCAGCTTTACATCGCCAGATGAGTTTAAAAGAACATTTGCTGCTTTGATGTCCCTGTGTAGTTTACCTTGATTGTGCAAGTAAAGTAAACCACAAAGTAATTCACGTATAAGGATAGCAATAAACTCCTCTTTAATCAAGCCGGGCTTCATGAGCTCAGAGCAGCTGCCACCTGAGCAGAATTCCATGATAATCCATAAGTGAGTCTTCTTCAAGTATGAGCCGTGGTATCTGCGCGTGTTAGAAGGAACAAAACAACAATCCGACATACTTTGTAACGAATTTAGAGTCCATTTGTGATAATATGTTTATTTCCTCTTGTATGTCCTCTATTTCATCCTCGGCGGATTCCAAGTCTATTATCTTAACAGCGACTTGAGAGTTATTGCGCTTATCGTACCTGTAGCGATTGTTGGGTGTGATGATGCGATACAAGCGATCCCCACTCACCCCTTGTAGACTTCACCAAATGATCCTTTACCGACGCGTTCCTCCAACGCGAATAACTTTTCAGGATCAATAGCCTTATTGCTCTGCATGTGTCTTTAAGCGAAATTCCTCAATATACTCCCCTCCACGCTTACCATTTACGTTTACGTGTTGGATGTTGCAACGATAGCAGACGATCACTTGAGTCAACTCTAAATTGAGTTGTTCTGGAAATTTTATAAAGTTTGACGCTTACAGCGCGAGCAACGCGTGATTTCTTCCAGATACACGGCCAAATTGGAACGTGTAACGTAACTTCATTCTCCATTTCATCTGTGATCACATTCTCGCTGCAGATAAGTTAGGAATGGCCGATGAATTATGAGGACAATTCTCTACATGAATGATATAAAGCGTTGTTTACTTCTTCCTCTCTTTCCTACAACTCAAACAACTGAAATGAAACTTCAAACACTCGCATTAGTCGCAACCATCGCAGCTGCATCTGCTAGACCAATTAGTGACCACTCTGGCCACAACGCTGGTACAAAGGACACCAATGTACACGGCAAGGATGGTAACTATCACGTTAACACTAAGGACGCCTCTGCTGGCTCAGGACATAAGCAAGACAATGACCACGGCGATGGCCTCCTCAAAAGATATGGTCACGAAGAGCACCACGGACACCACGGATACCCTCACGAATACCACCACAAACGTCAAGAATGGGGTGAAAAATTAAACGAACAAAGAAAAGAAATGAACGATAAGCACGGAAAGCACGATGATAAGCACGGAAAGCACGATGATCACCACGGTCACCGCGAACAAGAGCACCACAAGAGAGGTGAGCCACAACACCACGGTCACCACGGTCACCACGACGATCACCACGGTCACCGCGAACAAGAGCACCACAAGAGAGGTGAGCCACAACACCACGGTCACCACGGTCACCACGACGATCACCACGGTCACCGCGAACAAGAGCACCACAAGAGAGGTGAGCCACAACACCACGGTCACCACGGCCACCACGACGATCACCACGGCGATAAAGAGCATGGCCATGGTCACCACGACATGCACCACGATGAGCAACACGACCACTTCTAATCAGTGTCTGTACGGGAGAAAAGATAGCACTATTAAATTTCATTAAGACCTATATTTATGATTGTAAAGACTAAAAGATTTCGATAAATGCTGGACAATTGATACCTTAGAGATATAGATACGTAGCAAGGTATGAGCGAGTGAAAAGTGAGAAGGCCAAGTATTGAGTGTAAAGCGTGAAGTGTATGCAATGTATTACTTTTAAATAACTTAGGTCAGTAAGTTAGACTGAAAGGGGGTGAGAAAGATTAAAACAGCAGGTCAGATTTTCCAGCAGCCACGATATTGAGAACGAAGTCATCGTCGAGGTATTTCGCCATAAGGTTCTGACCATCACCGAGGCCCTTTCTACGTCTAACTTTGAGCATGAAGTCGCGAGCAAGATGTTGAGCAGGAGCTGGTTCGAGCAGTCTGAGCTGTATGCCGCTATCGACAGGATCGCCTGGAACAATAGCCCAATGATCGAAAATTTCCAACGCGAATGCCGTACCAGCTGACTGGGTCCTGAGGTCCGTCTCGAATCCGTTCGCATCCATCACCGGTATGAGTGCTTTGACAACATACAGCGGAGAGCCGGCCTTAGGTTCATCTTTCGTCACATGTCCGCGACGTTTCGCTAGCAGCTGGTACACGAGTGGAACACTCTCGGCGGTGGTGAGCATCTCGACATAGTACACTGGCTCCATCAGCCGCGGTGTCGCCATCAGGAAACTTGAATAGCAGACACGACGCGCTGTAGGTATCATTTGCCCTCCACCACGGTAGATGGGCTCTTCGGCTACCTGTGCATCCATTATGCGGAACTTGACCCCACGCAGTGCTGAAGTTTGTCAGTAAAGTATGTTGGTCGCTATGTTACTCCCACTTACGCTCATCTGCTAATGGACCCTCGCGTGCTGCCCATTGGAATCCCTGTTTGATGGATTCTTTCACATTCCCCAGTAACACCTTGTCGACCTGAACTAGATTAGTGGGGGTGTTATTCTAAACGAGACAATTAGCTCACCTCCGATGGCAGAGTATCGTCGATCAACACATTCGGACCATCTTCTTCAGGACCAAATGTCCATATACTTCTGCTGGCGAGAGCATCCCAACCATACTTATCTTGAAAGAATTTACCTCTTTCCTTGTTGGTCATCCACATCCCCACACGTCTCTTCTCAATGTCCTCCGCAATGCCCTTTTCAAGAGGCTCAGCGATGATAGTGATTTTGTTCTTCTTGTTGGGTGTATCGGCATAGCACTTTATGGCCGAGGTTTCGACGACAGTTTCGCAGAACTTCACGACAGGGTCGCTCACCTTAATCTCGATCTCTGCAAAGAGGGTACGGAGGTCATGAAGAACTGAATCGAGGTAGATCTCACCCGTCCCGAGAATGATATGCTCACCACTTTCTTCCACTTTAGTAGTCAGCAGCGGATAGCTCTTGTTGACTCTGCGCAGTCCGTCGAGTAACCTTGGCAACTCAGGTGGATTGAGCGGCTCGACAGCGACCTTAAGAATAGATTCCGTAATATGCGCTATCGGCCTAAAGATGTGTAGTTCGTCTGGACTTGCAACGGCATTCGATACCACTGTCGAAGTCTTGACGATCGAATCGTCCACTCCACCTAACAACACCCAAGAGCCTGCTGGGATTTCCTGTGCAGCAACTTTGTAGCGCGCCTCACTCACCCACACATCCTCAATCGTCGCTGTAGCCATATCCTCCTCATCCTCGACCGAATATCCCTCACCGAGCACTTTGACGCTATCGCCGACGCGCGCGCGTCCCGACATCACACGGCCGAATGCGTGGAACCCTTGCGCATCGACAGTCGTATACAGCTTCGTTACGTGTATCACCGCTGGCGCTTTGCTGTCGCAAGCGAGCATGCCCTGCGCAAGTGGAGTGTCGAGAGGTCCTGTGAAGTGTCTGTACACTTTGGTGGCGTTCCCTTCCGCTGCTGACGGTATGTGTTCGAGGAGCATATCGACGATGCCTGTAGATGGACCGAAGAATTGGTCGAGACAAAGTTTGAGCAATGGGCGTGCATCCATTTTGTACGCAGATGGCTTAAGTGTTATACCCAGTCCGGCTAGAGTGTTGGCGAGATCGCTGACATCTTCTCCAATCACCTGTAAAGTTAGTCAAGTAAATTTAAACTGCTTGTTCACCAACTCACCTGCGTATAAAGCTTATAAAGAGGCTCCAAGACAAAGTGTACGAATGAGCGTGGCGAGCCTTGTGGCGCTTTCTTGACGAATTTCCTCTTCTCAGCATCGAAGAAGATATTGCCCCAGAGGCGAGCAGCGAATGCGTTTACATCGAATGAACCAAAGGTATCTGCATACATCTGTGAGAAGGACTGGAGGGTGAAAGACCAGTGCATGTCTGTTGAAGCGAAAGCGACATTGCCGAGTTCTGGAGAAAGACGCGAGCTCTCGTCGGGGATGACGCTTGAAACAACACTGTTTACCTCCTCAATCGTGCGTTTCACCTTGAAATAAGCTTCTGAGGGAGGCAAACGGAGTTCTAAGAAAAGGCGTTCCATCTTGTTGAGTACTAAGACAGGCTTGAGTCCTTGCTGTAGAATATGTTTTAAGGACAGTTCAGTGCCTGCCATAACTCCTTCTACAACATCGACCACCACGATCGCACCATCAGCGAGTCTAGTAGCATTTGCCACCTCGTCAACGAAGTTCGTGTGGCCTGGAGTGTCGATTGCATTTACTAGGATAGATTTACCGATAGTGGATTCCAAGACAAAGGACATTGGAGTAGATTTTATTGAAATTTCTCTTGCGCGTTCAAGTTTATGAAGGTCAGTGTATCTTTCAGGGGCATCTGCATTCCAAATGAGTTTGTGAGTTTGGAAAGTGAGGAGATCTAAGAGTGATGTCTTGCCGTGGTGGAGGTGGCCGATAACGACGACGTTTCTAACCATTTCTGGGTAGTACATTAAGTCGACCATGAAATTTCTATCAAAACGGGTTTCAGGGAGATCTTTCTCCACGATTTGGAACTTTCTCTCTTTGATTGGCTGGACGATTGGCTCCGAGATGAGCTGAGTGTCTTCTTCTTCGACGCGGGTTTCAACGTCTGGCCCGTAAGTCTCCTCAGCAGAAGGATAATAGCGCTTGTCTTCGTGCAAGACTACTTGGTTTTGTGGGTTGGCTGAGTGAGTGGATGAGATAGGTAGATGAAAGAGAGATGGGAATCTCACCGTCAACTTGGGCTACAGTGGAGATGCGAAGATCGTTTTGAGCGGCGATTTCGGGGTCGTCATCCTCGTCATCGTCGTAGCCTTCTAAAGGAGCGTGGGCTGGCTGGGCTGGCTGTGAGCGGACCATCTCTTGATCCTCATCGTCCTCATCAGAATCGAGGTCATCTCCCAGGTAATTACCAAATTCGTCGTACAAATTATCGTCCATCTCTAGTGATTTGTGGGTTGTGCGTTGTGCGTCGATTGATGATGATGGTAGAGGATCAACCGATATCTCACCACCTTCAACTCAAACAACCAAGATCAATTGAAATATAAAAATTAAAAATGAGCGTATTAGGCAGTGAAATGTTATTCTTTAATGTGCGTGTGGATAAGAGGAATAGCAGTAGCAGTAGTAGCTGATAGAATCATCAGGTTCAGAATGGATATTTGGAGGGAATTATCAGGGGATATAAGGCGGGACTACTCACTCAATCGAACTACTCAAACTTACAGCAGTGCGATAACTTGGAGGGTGAGTTGAGTTTGCTTTCGTCGTGGCCACAGCTTATCCAGCTCACGCGTAGACTTGAGAATGCAATTGAGTGCCACAGATTATGGCAACTTTCTATCCAATGAAACGCTTCCATTGGTGGGTTCAATCCAGCTCAAAAGTATCCGCTAACATTCCCAGTCCACTTCCACAATATCACAGAAATCATCTCAAACGCTCGTCGATGAGTTCAATTACGTCAAATCAAACGCATCTGAGCCTCTATCCACTTTTTTAGACTACATGACTTACTCTTACATGATCGATAACGTTATTCTCCTTATCACTGGCACTTTACATGAACGAGACACCCACGAACTTCTCGATAGGTGTCACCCACTCGGCAAATTCGACGCTATGTCCGCTCTCTGCGTAGCAACCAATGTAGAAGAGCTTTATCAATCTGTACTCGTTGAAACCCCTCTAGCTCCGTACTTCAGAAGCTGCCTAAGTGCATCTGATTTGGATGACTTGAATATCGAAATTATAAGAAATTCAGTCTACAAAGCGTATTTGGAAGACTTTTACGACTTTTCTCAATCATTAGGTGATCCGACTGCGTCTATTATGGCTAAATTACTCTCATTTGAAGCTGACAGGAGATCAATAAACATCACGCTCAACAGCTTTAATACAGAGTTGACAAAGGAAATGCGCAACTCTTTATATCCTCAATTTGGTAGATTATACCCTGCAGGCACCTATGCACTAGCTAGAGCTGAAGATTTTGATCAAGTCAGAGCAGCTTGTGAGTTTATTCCGGAGTATTACCACATGTTTGATGGATTCTCGTCGAATAACACGGACAGCGATCACAATAACTCGCTCGAAGATAGATTTTTTGCTCATGATGTCCTTCTTAACAAGGAAACATTCCTCCAGCAATTCAATTACGCACCATTCTACAGCTATTTCAAACTTAAGGAGCAGGAAGTGAGGAATATCGTTTGGCTGTCTGAGTGTATAGCCCAGTCAGCTCCACAGGAGAGGAGAGCTGTACCCACCATCTTCTAAAGAGCATTTCCATCATTTTGTTATTTAATTCGAATCGATACGTTGTTTATACACGTACACGGCCATTGCCTTCCTTCTCCACGTACATCCATGATAAACAGAAGGGCTGCTTCTATAGCAGTTAGTACACCACGCGGATACTCATGGACCACCGCTGCGTCTCTAGCACGAGCAGCCGCCGCACACAAAGCCAGCTCGCCCATAACGGTCGATCCATTCACTCTAGTGGGGAAGGAACTGAAAGGTTTAACGACCAACATAAAAATGAATCTCGGCAGCAATCTCCGTCAGCTAGACACTTTATCCAAATATTACTTTGAAGCACCCGGCAAGCATCTCCGTCCGACGATTGTACTGCTAATGGCGCAAGCAACTGCGAACCTGTCACCACACTACAACACCCCTAAACATCTTATAAACGTTCTCGTCAACGATCCACTAGCCCCGCAATCCATCCTACACGACACCAACCCCTCTTTCCACAACGACATTTCCCAGCGCGGCCAAGATGGTGTACTTCCTACGCAGAGGCGGCTTGCGGAGATAGTTGAGATGATCCACGTAGCCAGTCTACTGCATGACGATGTAGTCGATGATGCAGACACTCGCAGAGGCGCTCCATCTGCACCTGTGCATTTCGGCAACAAGTTGACTATATTTGCAGGTGACTTCCTTCTTGGACGTGCTAGTATTATGCTCGCACGCTTGCGCAGTCTCGAAGTGGCCGAGTTGGTCGGAGCGACTATTGCGAATCTCGTACAAGGCGAGGTAGAGCAGCTCAACGAGACGTATCAGTCGAGTTCCAACGACCTAAATACCGTTGTAGATGAGGCTTTCCAGAGATACCTCGCCAAAACTTACCTTAAGACAGCGAGTCTTATCAGCCACTCAGCAAGAGCTGCCGTGTGTCTGGGCGGTGTGGGTGTGAATGAGAATTGGGCACAGGGCGAGTATCTCAAAGACGCTGCTTACGATTACGGCAGGAATCTCGGAATGGCTTTCCAAGTGGGTTGATCAGCTTCACTGCGATGACTAGCTCACACCCCGCTGCAGCTCGTCGACGATCTTCTCGATTACACCCCCTCCGCTGACTTAGGCAAGCCTGGTGAAGGTGCAGATATGCAGCTCGGATTGGCCACTGCACCTGCGCTTTTCGCATGGCGCGAACTCGGCGACGAGATGGGGACCATGATCAAACGGAAATTCAAACATCCCGGTGATGTGCAAAATGTGAGTTTTGGATTGGGCGGTTTAAAGCTCACAGACTCAGACTGATACTCACATAACCTCTTCTCTTACAGGCTAAAGCGCTAGTTGCAAAATCAAACGGGATGCCAAAAACAGCTGAATTGGCTGCTAGTTATATAGATAAGGCTAAAAGTGCGCTGCATAGGCTACCCAAATCAGACGCCAGGGACGGATTAGAAGCGCTTTGTTTGAAAGTATTGGATAGAGTCAAATGAGTTGCTTTATACTACAAATTGAACAGATCGGATGAATTCTGCGGCACTTGCGGCTTGATTTCGTCGCGTCGAGTCTGTGTGTGTGAGTGGGGGTGTCCCGATGATGAACTCGCTTCAGTCTACTTACTGGTGCTGCTGCTGCAGATGCTGCAACCAAGAGGAAGAGCAAGTTGGACAGATAGATGTGCATGATTGTGTTGTGTGTGTTGTGTGTGCAAGCTGTAGTCCACACACCAGTCCCCTTTATAGTCCCCTTAAACGTTTATAGAAAGTGGCTGGATCCGTAAGCAGCGGAGATGAAATCGCGAAGACTACGCATGACAGACTGCGCATGAAGGTGCATTCCAGTGGATGACTATGTTTTTAATTGCGTTTACATATATTTACGCTGCGTGCTCTACCGTCAGGGATTGTTCTCTGTCGCCCAGCTTCGAAGCAAAGTAAAGCGCGGAAAAAGGAGGGAAAGAGGGTGCTAGATAGCAATTTCATTAGCCGCCATGTACACAGAATAAATGATAATTTTCAGCAACGTCGAGTCACCGATTTTACCCCGAAATGCTGAGTGTTGCGTGCTTCTCTCGACCACCAGAAAATGACTAAATTTATTCCAATTCCTACGCCGCGTTCGGGCAGTCCCCATGACGCCGTCAGAGCGAGCAGAGTAGATGCCGTGAGTGGCAGATGTGATATTCAGATGCCACCGCTCACACCCACCGCAGGCATCTTCTGCATCGCCGAAAGCACTCGTCAATAGGAATATCCTCGCAGCTGCACTGGAGCAGTACAAACCAGCGTCTGATCAGCCATTCAAGACTGAACAGCTGCGTATTCTCCTCCTTGAGAACGTCAGCCAGGGCGCAGCGGCGCAACTCCGCGAAGCTGGATTCCACGTCGACCACTTCGCCAAAGCGTGGTCAGAAGAGGAATTGCTCGCTGGTATCGGCCATTATCACGCTATCGGTATTCGCAGTAAGACGAAGCTCACCAGCAAAGTCATCAAGGCTGCCTCCAAGTTGTTGGTCGTCGGTTGTTTTTGCATCGGAACCAATCAGGTCGATCTCGGTGCTGCTGCCGAGTCTGGAATCTGTGTATTCAACTCCCCTTACGCAAATTCTCGCTCTGTTGCTGAACTCGTCATTTCTCAAGTTATTGCCCTCTCGCGCCAGTACGTCGACAGGACCAACGAGCTCAAGCAGGGAATTTGGAACAAGGTCAGCTCCGGCTGCTGGGAGGTACGTGGTAAAACGCTCGGTATTGTCGGATACGGTCACATCGGTAGTCAGTTGTCAGTTCTCGCTGAGGCTATGGGAATGAGTGTGCTCTATTACGATGTCCTACCTATCATGCCACTTGGTCAGGCGAGACAGGTGGACAGTCTCGAGCAGCTGCTGTCCTCGTCTGACTTTGTCACGTTGCATGTCCCAGAACTGCCCGAAACTAAGAACATGATCGGTGCAAAGGAGCTCGCGCAGATGCGCAAAGGCGCTTATCTCCTCAACAATGCTCGTGGAACGGTGGTAGATTTGGAGGCGTTGGCGGAGGCTCTCAACTCGAAGCACCTCGCTGGGGCTGCTGTTGACGTCTACCCCACTGAACCTAAGGGTAATGGAGCTGAGCTGTTTACTGGCAAAGAGCTCGGCCCATTCGCTGACAAACTCCGTCAATGCCCTAACCTCATCCTCACACCTCATATCGGTGGTTCCACCGAGGAGGCACAGCGCATGATCGGAATTGAAGTAGGTACCGCGTTGTTTAAGTACCTCACCTACGGTACCTCAATCAACGCCGTTCAGTTCCCTGAAGTGGATCTTAGAATACCGGTTAAACCAAAGGAGGGTGAAAACCGTCAGGCGAGGATACTGCACGTGCACAAAGATGAACCGGGTGTGCTCAAGGAAATTAACACTATCCTGTCAGATGAAAACACTGGTCACTTTAACGTTAGCAAGCAGTACTCAGATTCAAGAGACGGCATCGCTTATCTTATGGCTGACGTTACTGATGTTAGCGAGGTTGATATTGGATCAATATTTGACAGGATCTCTTCGACTAGACATAACATCCTCACGCGTATTCTGCATTAAATGTATTGCATTGGATTTGCGACAGACAGGATATTAAATTAACATGAAACAAAAGTCATTCAACATCTACGTATATTGCACATCTCGCTAGGATTCAACACCTGCTTATTATTCTTGCTCACACTCACTGATATTGTCAAGTAATGGATACATAAGTGTATAATACAGTGTTAGAAGTAATGCCGGAAGCGTCAGTCAACTACCTCCCACTGGTCCTCGCTGTTGTTGCTCTCGTTGCTGCTGCTGCTACTGCTGCTCTTACCGCTCTTGATGCTCTTACTACCATAGAGAATGTCTTTGATAGCTGAGAGGGTTACAGGTAAGGTCAAGTGAGTTAGCGGATTAACACAGCTGTCGCCGAAGCTGGTGGCCCCTAGATGGGGTGATTCTGCCAAGCGAGACAGCATGTTCACCGCAAAGGCCACATTGGACAGCTCGATAGGAAACCCCACGACTTTGAGTAAGAAGGTGAGATTGCAAATGAGCATGCTGAGGGCGTGTATGGAGGGGATGGAGTGGGGGTGCTGATTGTAAGTGTGAGAGTGAGTGTGATTATGATTGTGAGCGTGATCGCACATGAACACTCTCCTACTCTCTGAGAGAAATAGCGTCGGCTGGAAGGTATACACGCGCACGCTGTTGTATGGCAGCGGCAGACTGAGGTAGTTGGAGAGGTGGTGGAGGAGCTGGGTAAGGATGGCAGTGGTGTAGATGAGGTGTGTGTGCGGGAGTGCTGTGTGGTGCGTGAGGGTAGTGTGCCTGCGTGCAATCATGTACATACCATGTAATCGGTTCAGGGGCGGTACTAGCACGCCCCCCAACTCTGTCCCGCCACTGCTGAGCCCCTGCAAACCAAAGATATTGAGACATTCGGATGCCAACACGCGTCGGCTAGCTTGTAAATCCGAGAGAGCGGCGGAGGAGTGGGTGGTGGGAGAAGGTGTATTATAAGTGACGATATCAGCCACTTTGTCTAGATTACGTCGTCGGCTGGCAATGTTATTCCGTTTAATGGTAATTTGCGAGTGGACTAGAGTGGAAGAGTGAATGTGAGTATGGATACACACCCAACACACAACACACCCTCTCTGTTTGCCTGTTGAGTCTGTTTGACGCGCCCAATCAACGCACAAAGCTGCCTGTGCATGATAACTACGTCATCGCTATCTTCCCGCCGGCGTTGTTTCACGGCAGCGACGAACGCCACGACAGAGCTGCTCTGGCGGTGTGAGCGTATGGTTGATTTGGCTGAATGCTGCGTGTGGCGTGCGTCGCTGAGCGTGTTGTCTGTGGGTGTGAATACATTCACATCTGGAAATACACCCATCACTCACTCAGACAGCTTGTGCAAATCAGCCGCTGGTGCCGCTTGCTGCAGCACCCACATTCACCCGTCTTTGTCGTCATCGTCGTCGATCAACACCTTGTTATCGAACGATGAAGAAGAATGGAATCGGAATTAAAAATAAAAATTAAATCATCTTCCTTACGCACTTCCAATCGAACACCAGCGCCTGTTGCTGTTGCTATACCCACTACCGCGATGGCTGGCAACAGCAGCAGCCACGGAGATACAATCCAGCCCAGGAAAAGCCATGAGAAGCTCAAATCCCAGCAGCGGCGATGTGACAACAGCGCTGAGAGGAGCGTGAATGAGCGGGAGAGAGAGCGGGACAATGTGGGGGAGACAGGCAAAGATAAAGAACTCGCAGACATAAAACTCAGGAATAGGCTGCGAGTGCGGAAGGGAATGCGTCGCGATGTGAGTGCTGCGACGAATGCTCACCACATGCTCACGGAAAACGCAGTCATTCGAAAATGCCCAAGGTAGCTACATGTCCAATGATAGTCCACGCCAACAACTCAATTACCTCCTTAAAAAGAGGAATGATGTAGACACACTGCCCGTGCCTGGAAACATAACTCAAGAAACGTGGATAAGCGAGCATATCAGAAGTATGGCTACGGACATAAATACTCCCTGGATGACTCTGATGCAGGATTACTGCGAGTGTGGTGATATGAGAGTGGATCAGTCGACGACGACGAATGCGTTGGTTTGTGTGGCACACTCCACTAATCGTACCACCTCATGCTCAGCATTAGAATACTCGTTACACAACCTCAACAGCGTAGTGGCAGACGTATGTCTGATTACCTCATCAGATTTATTAGATGCACTAGATGCACTAGATGCACTCACACCAGACACCCAAGAAACCCAAAAAAGCTGCCTGCGGAAACTAGCAAGAATCATCGCTCACTTTTACTCAAACCATCGAGATATGTTTCTCGTATGTGAGTCTGAGACGGGTCTTGCGCGGCGTATTTCTCGCCTCGCTAAAAGGTATAACATCCTCCCGCCATATATTCTTATATGGGATGGCGATATGGATGTAGATTTGGATATGGAGAGAGAAAACGAGCTTGGCGATGACTTGTGCGACTTGAATGACTTTAAGCCACGTCGCACACCCGCTCAACCCTCCAGACAGCTCTTCGATGTTGGTCCAGTGTCTGGTGAAGGCGATGATGAGGACAGCGATGATTATAGCAGCGATGATGACTAGATTAAAGTGAATGTATTTATTGAATGCATTGGTACAATATTAGTAGAACAGTACACTTGCACTTCACTTGCACTTTCTAAGGAATCGCAGGACATACGAGACACCGCTGGCCAGTGACAGCACGGTGAGTAAACCACCTGTCAATATAAGTGGGGTGCGATACACACGTGCGGCATGTTGCATTTTCAACACACTCAAATAGCGATCTCTGAAAGCTTGAGCGCAGTGAGAGTTTATTGTCGTATCAGGAATCACAAACAGGCCGTCCGTATCGATGACGAGAGCTGCACCAGTAAGGGAGGTGTCCATACCAGCGATAAGGAATGCGCGCACCACGGGCTCTGCCGCGGCCATCCCAATGCCAGTCAGCAGGATGCGCACAGACGACTCGACCATGGCCGTGGGCGTGAACCATGGACACACGAGATTGCACCGAAAGCCCTCGTACTCTCCTGTCGTGGCGAGTGAGCGCATCAACGAGAACACGGCGTGTTTCGACGCTGCATATGCCGCGGGTGTGGAGGGCGACGAGAGGAAGGAGGTGAATGAGCCTGTGAGGATGATGGAGGGATGGCGCGTGTGGGGTTTGCTATTGGTGCCAATACCGCCACGAGCATTACTCCGCTTATCCTCCCGGAATGCTTGCACGGCAAGGTGCGTTGTGTATAGCACCCCTTTGACGTTCACGTCGATAATATTCAGATCGGGGGGTGTTGGAGTGTCTGGAATTTGTCTCGGGTTTTAGCGTGCTATTCTGCCATTAAGCCTTGGTCTTACCTTGTTCACCCACTTGACCCACATCGGCTAAATAGCCTGACGTCGCTATCCCGGCATTGGCATACACGGCGTCTATCCTGCCGAACGTGGCGCGCGCGTATCGGAACAGGGCGAGCTGCGACGCGTACTGCGTGACGTCCACGTGGTGTATGTGGAGGTTGGGGTGCTGTGGGAGTGCGTGCAGCGCGCGGGTGTCAATATCTGCAGCGACGACGGATGCGTTGTGGCGGAGAAGTCTGTGATTGAGTTGAGTATGAGTGTGAGTGTGAGTCTATGCTTATGCTTACGGCTGTACCGCACTCACTCCTCCACTATCCCTTTACCAAGTCCGCCAGCCGCACCGGTTACGATGGCGTGCGTACCACTGACGCTGCTTGTAAGTAGGCCGTAATCGCGCTGCAGATTTGGCTCAAAGACGCTCCTATTGATTGTGTTCATCGGGTTTATCCAAGCCATCCCGGCTATCACCACCCATTATCACCCTTATCCACAAACGGCCATGAGCTCAATGACGTCGCTCGAACACGTCTTCACATCGGCACGTGTCCATGCCGCTGTAGATGCCGAGTCAAAGCATGTATATTTCGGTGTGTAGCGCTCTGCCATCTCCCCATTTCCATCTCATCTCACGGCGAACGACACAGATGAACGGCTAGGCGTGGTCGTCAGGTTGTTGTTGGGGGAGGTGGACGAATGCCGCGTCTGGGAGCTGCTCAGCCATCTCCATCTCACCGTCCATCTCAGCTACGTCGATAGCCAGCCAGACGACACGGACACGCCACCAATCTTGGTATCTTCCGTCCAATCCACCGCTGCTTGGGGCCTGCAGCGAGAGAACGGAGCGGCGGGTGAGAAGGCCTGCTGGATCGCAACCTCGGTTGTCCACGTTGACGCTGTGCGCGTGCGCATGAATATCTCCAATCCACTAGCTGCGCTGACGTGCAATATCACTTATATGCGCAGCCATCGAGACGTTGCTGGTGCGCACGCCGACGCTGACGATAACACCAACACACCCACACGCAAAACCCCCGATAAAGACAGCGAGTTGCTAGAGAGCTGGGACAGCTGGGACAGTATCAATCTGCTGGAGGACATTGCTCCCGATATGCCGCAGAAGCATCAGAACATCGATATACCTCAAGATACCCAGGGCACTCAAAACACGCTGCACTCACTCTCACTCTCAGACACTACTTATATACCCATCTCATCTGCACTCAGTGTCCGAATGCGCGCTGTCAATATACCCTTTCTCCTCGACTCTCACCAGCCTCACTTGGCACTGGGACTGGAAGTGGAGAACTGCACCGCGCGTGCTCTGTTTATACACGACGCTGGCGTGCGATTGAAAGAGGCGAGTGTCGAGAATAACGTGGAGCTGGTGGCGCGGAGGCATGACTTGAGTGGGGCTGAAGGTAATGATAACGGTGATGGCCATGCTCATGGCGATAGCGCTATTCCCATTCAGATCCTCGCTTCCGAACAAGTCAACCTCATTTACGTCGTTGTCTTCCAACCGACACAGGAGGTTTCAAACTCTCACCAACCTCACCGCCCTCGCAGTAGTCACCGCTCTCTCGCCAAGCAACGTAAATTCAACGTGCACATATGCATACGCACAAGCACACGCACACAAAGTTGCTCACCGACGAATACACTGACTGACCCAGTTTTGGAGATGAAGTGGAACAGTGTGATAGATATCTCTAATGCACTGATAGACAAGAGGCCCTGGGGGAGTAGTGCTTTGATTAGCTCTGGCAGCGGGAGTGCGCCGCGCCTAGTGCCTCAAGCAGCTCCGGTGGCTGGAAATAAGAAATACGCCTTCTCAAGTCTGCAGCGCTCGGCGGAAGAGGCAGCTGCGAAGGATAGACGAGGGAATAGTCATGCTCGCCTCGTACACAGTGAGAGCGAGAGTGATAGTGATAGTGACAGTGAGGGTGAGGCTGAGTTGCCAGACAGCACCGCAGCAACCTCGTCGAAAGAAACAGTTCTGCTAAGCGTGTCTGTCCTTAAACCCACACGGTCAGCCAGGGCGGACCAGCGCTCACCGTCGATAATGAGTCCAGGAATACGCACCTCTCTCACCCATACCCACACCCACGCCATCAAACCACTCGACATCTTCCCTGTCGAAGTGTTTCTCTTCAATAATAGCACTATCGCCAGACGCTTCGTTGTCAATTTTGCATCGCATACCCAGTCCCAAATGGGTCTGCGCAGTCAGCGACTGTCGTTGGAGGAGAGGCTGCTCGGTGAGAATGAAAATGAAAAGGAGGCAGAGTCCGGGGCTGCTAGTGAAAGCACACGCGTAGGTGTAGTGCCACTTGAGAACCTCGTTAGAATTGGCCCTCTTCTTCCGGGCAGCTGCCAGAGCGTTCACGTTAACTTCCTCGCTCTCGCTAAAGGTACCCATGCTATAGATAAATTAGACCTGTACGACCCAGATACCGGCTTTAGGTGGGTTTTATTGCGTTTGAGTGCTCTCTAGAAACTCACTCACCTCCCAGCTCGCGTCAGAACAACGTCGCAAGTATCGTCGTTTCGTGAGATGTTCGTTTAAATGGATATTTACATGTATATACTTGTGTACTTCTAATGCGTAAAATGAATATATATTTGAATTTGAAAAATGGAAATCGACAGCGTCATCGATAACGTCACATAATCAAGCTGTGTGATCGTGGCTAAAACTCTTGTTCTTTAACACAAACAATGAAATTAAGTATTGCAATTCTAAGTGCTGCAGCGTCAGCAGCAACTGCACTGCACCTTCCAGTCTCCATTTTCTCAGAGGAGGCCGCTCTCCAGCGCCAGTTCGTCGACACCTCCAAGGGCTGGCTCAACGAGTTCTTGGGCAATAACGGTGAAACTATCGACAATTTGGCTGGGTCTAGTGAAGTCACTGATAACGCATGGGATATCCTCAAGGGCGACCCTAAGAAATTCAGCAAGGTGTGTAAATTTTCACTTTGTCACAGACGACTCACAGCTTACATCACCCACTCAGTTCACAACCATCTTAGAGAAGTTCTCTCCAACTGCAATCGACCACATTAAGGACGAAAAGGATTTCACCCTCTTTGTTCCAACCAATGACGCCATTCCAGACCACAAGCACAAGCACAAGCACAACGACGACGACAAAAATGCCTACTTAAACGCAGATATCTGGGAGGACCCAGTACCTAGCGTCTTGGGCAAGCTCTACGCCATGGCTGATAAGGTCGATATGACGCAAGAAGACGACGAGTGCAAGAGACGTCTCAAGAAATTTATCGAGGCTGTTGTTATGTACCACACAGTAGCTCAGAAGCTAGATATCAACACTCTGCACGACTTTAGCACTATCGAAACCATCCTCAAAGAGCCAAATACGTTCAACGGGGCAGGTCAAAGACTACGGGTTGAGCAGCAGTATGTGCCACCAGCCACAGTCATCAATCACTATGCAAAGATCTCGACACAGAACATCCAGTCTGCAAATGCTGTCATCCACGCCCTTGACCACGTCCTCATCCCTCCACCATCTGCAATCAACGCCTTGTTCATTTTCGCTAGAGAGTTCTCCATCTTCACATCAGCACTCCAGAAGGTGGGTTTGGCAGAGGAGCTTGACCTGTCATTGGACGGTAAGACGGGCAATGGTCAGCTTACCATCAACGCACCACTCAACAGCGCCTTTGAGAGACTTCCACCAAAAGTTCTAGGCTTCTTCTTTTCTCCAATGGGTAGCAGAGCTCTGAGACATCTCCTTGAATACCACATTGTCCCAAACAACGCCATCTTTGTCGACTTCCAATCGGGTGAGCAAGCCAAGTCAGTTAAGTCCGACAACGACGACCTCTTCCACAAGAAGATCAAGGCTAGCACCATGCTCGAAGACGGCGGTGAGGTCGAGTATGATCTCATCAAGTCGCAGACTGTGCCATACGGCCCTTACACATTCGATGTCAAGTTGCAAGGCAAGAGTGTCTCATGGCACGATGGCATTTCGCGCAACGCTGCTTTCCAGGTACTCGAGGAGTTGCTTATGCCACCAAAACACGACCACAATGGCATCAATGAAGCAGATGTTGACGATGAGTGGGCGTGGATTCAGAGTCTCTGATTGCTACACTAAGTTTTCTTTCTTGTATGCGATTGATTACTTTTGCTCCAGCTCCAGCTCTTGTATGACACTTATGAAAGTATACGATTTGTGATGTTTGCGGTAGATGTGCCATAGGTAAATCTTGTCTATTTCTTCTCAATTTCTCACACGCAATCATGCATTCAACCATTCGCTCATGGTTGCTGCCTCGGAGAATTTACATCTGCAGAGAGTGATATGCTCAAAACAACATATTACACCTGGTATTCTCGTGAGATATATTGTGCGTATTTGCTAATGTACAGATGTTGCAGATGTTTTCAATACTTCTCCCGGTCTTCACCCTCGCTTAGTAAAAGTGTTACCGGAGCTCTTGTACCGGCCGATAGAGAACATGTATAAGAAGTTGTGACTTGATTATCTATCTGGTACTGCTCTTATGGTTATTTTTGTTTACGTCACCTCTATCGCGCTATCTCTAACTTAGCATTGCCTCTCAGTACGAGTTTGCATCTCAGGACAAGTTGACTAGATGGAAAGGTGGTTTAGATGCTTAGTCTATTGCATCGCGGGGATTAAATTATAGAGAACATTTGATGTAATTGTATGCACTCACCTCAAATGGCCAACCAAATGGGAAGATGTGTATGGCGATGTCAAGTAATAGTATTCTGGGAGATATGACAGCACAATTGACTTTACGAAGAATCAAGAATTCTAAATAACCTTCATTATCCACCCACCCAATATCCGCCGACTTGATTTCTAGATGGCAGTGATCTGATCTCAACTGGCCGATTCGCGACTTTTGGAATTCTCCAAATAAAAAGTCTTATTTGGTGCCCCGAAGCGTTAATTGGTAGTTGTTGTTGGAATTATATCTCCGGTGTTGATTTCGCGCTCTGTAAGTTGTCCGGAAGTGGTGATTCGAGTTCACCTTGGAGCACGCCATGGCGTTGAGGGGTATGTAAAGCGGCCGTCCAACTCTGACTGCTATGAAAGGCCGATGAAGGTCTCAGTCACCCAAATATATCAAGAATTACCCCTTTAGACGCGTATTACGTTTTCCGACGCGTAGCGTCCACAGGGGCCAATGCTTACTTCAGGAGAAACATAAGGCCACTCCAGCCCATAAAACGCATATGAAAAACGATCTTTGCAACAAAGAATGGTGTCAGCTCAACTCTGAAACCAGGGGTTTGGCTTAACCAGGTGCATTTCTAAGAAGTTATGCAATAAAAGTAGAGAAACGAGCGATTGTTCTTTGGTATCTCGAGGATCGAAATATTATGATGGCTTAATTGTAAGTCCAATTTCCTTTTTCTGTTACATGTCAAATTCAGTCAGACAATTACAGAGCGCTACACAAAACAAGTTACCGTTAGCAAATTCCCACCCTTTTTTTTCACAACCAGCAGCTACAGAATGATAGTAATATTGCGCAGATTTCTTCGACACACGGTGGTATTACGCAGTTGTTGATAAAGTTGCCATTCTAGGCGCGAATATAAAAGGTGGAGATTGGTGTCAACAGCACACATGCTTGCTGAATTCAGCTTGCATTTGGACTGTCGATAGAGGGAGCTATTATGATGTCTTTGTACTGCGATTACTTTGTGTTATCGTTCTGTGCGTGTTTAAGATTTTAGCAGTAGATTGGGCTCCTAGAATGGTATGAGATGTAAATGGCAGAGGATTTTGATCATCATGATATTTTACATGCAATTTAACTCCTACCTTACGCAATATCCATCTTTGATAAGGATCGTCATCACTGAGAATACGCAATGCAAGGCTTTAATAGGTACTACCCGCCAGATTATGATCCAAAGAAGCATTCCTCGTGAGCTATGAACCTTATTCACTATCTCACGGCTCATAAGATGCAGTCTTAATGCGTATCATGGGAAGCATGCGTAGGTGGAGTAAAAAAGCCGTAGAAGCCAATTCACACTGCTTCAGTCTGGGAGACAGAGCACGCAAGCTTGACAAGGGAATTCTCATTGTCCGCTTTGAGTTGCCATTTAATATTTGGTGCGGTGGATGCGATAAGCATGTGGCCCAGGGAGTGCGCTACAACGCAGAGAAAAGAAAAATAGGGAATTATTACTCTACGCCCGTCTACGCTTTTAAATGCAAATGCCACCTCTGCTCTCATTGGTTTGAAATACAGACTGATCCCAAGAATACACGGTACATTGTCAGTGAAGGGGCCAAGCAGAAGGCAGAGTGGGAGCCTGAAGAGGGCGAGACTATTACGATGGGTGGGTATTTACTTACTTTACTCACGCAACTGACAAGGTTTTAGAAACGGATCCATCGAAGAAACCCGAGGTAGATCCGTTTGCAGCGGTTGAGAAAGGCACGAATCAAGTAGAAGCGCAGAAAAAGGCGTTGCCTAGACTGACGCAGATTGAAGACGCCAACGAAGCTACATGGTCTGATACGTATACAATGAATCAGAAGCTGCGGGATAAGCATCGCGTTGAACGGCGGAAAGAGCATGCCGAGAACCGGAGCAATTTGGAGCTGAAAGATAGGTATGGACTTCCAGAGGATATGCGAATGATGGAAGATGAGAGCGATGTAAAGGAAAGTCGCAACTTCAAGCAGATACAACAGCGGCGGCGATCAGCGCCAAAGACGACGGATCTGAAGCGATCGCTATTAACAAACACGCGCCAGAAAGTAGATCCCTTCGGTAGCTCTAGTAGGCGAATAAAATTCAGGAAAAATTGAAACTTGTACCTGAGACAGAAGAACCCTCGTCGTGCATGTAGGGGTTAAAAAGACTTGAATTAAATTAGTTCCTTCAACTCGAACGACCATCATGTTAATTATAAAAGCATTTACACTCTTTTTCGTTATAGTCACGCTCGCTTCCTCCTCTGCTGCTACACATGATGTGCGTCATCATCTCTTTCCCACGCTTTTTAACACATTTTTAGCGCGAATATCCCCGCAAAGCCCACAGGCGTCAACTTAATAGGCTCAAAGACTTTAATGATATTAAAAGACAAAGACAGGGCGGCGGCAACAATGGCAACAACGGTATGAACGATAACGACGGCGCTGGCGGTGGAAATAACAATAACGGCGGTAATAACGACAATAACAATGACAACAACAATGACAACAACATTAACCAAGACCCGCAAGAATCTCTCCGTGTGTCTCGCTTTCTTTTTTGCAGTTTTTCCGCTCACAAGGCCACAGAACTTGATCCAGATCTTGTCATGCCCGGTTTGGCACAGAATGGCCAACAAGAAGGCGGTGCAGAGGCTGGACAGGTTGCATCACTCACCTCCGCCAACAACTTTATCAACTTCTGCCTCACTGAGCCTGACCTCCCACTTACGAACGGCAGGCAAGTTAGGGTGAGTTGGCGACTTAATATACCTGCTTAGACTCACAAAGCACCACTCGCAGGGCGGCTCATGCAACCCTGTTCCAATCGGCGTCATCGCTGCTACAAACAGAATGCCATCGGCCAAATTTGTCAATCCAGAGAACGGTGCTACAATTGTGAGTTTTTGTTCCTCTCATATCTGCTAACAACCACACAGCAAGCTAACCAGGACTTCACTATTCAAATGGCTATTCGCAACCTTAACGCTGGTAACTTTGTCAAGTGGGTTTCAATTGATTGATTTTGGCAGCCTAACAAGCTACAGCCCAAACACCAATTACTTTGCTGCACCAGTGCGTGTTTGAGTTAACTCTCGATGTCTCACTCACGCAAATAACAGCAAACCACAAACAACAACGGTCAAATTATTGGTCATAGCCACGTTGTTAGTGTGGTATTATATTGATCTGTCTACTCACACAACGCCCAGGTCGTCGAGCAACTTCCAAATTTGCAAAGTACGCAACCACTCGACCCTGCAAACTTCGCGTGAGTGTATGAGTGCCTTGATCTCAAGCTCACCCAGAATAGCTTCTTCAAGGGTCTCAACGAACCAGCACAGAACGGTGTGTTGTCTGCTCAAGTCTCAAGAGGACTTCCAGCTGGTGCCTATCGCATGTGCAGTATCAACTCATCTGCGAACCATCAGCCAGTAATAGTTGCAGTAGCACAACACGGGTCTTTGGATGACTGCTCATATGTCAGTGTGGCTTCAGTACGCGCGCGTGTGCTAACAGAGAGTGCAGTTCACAGCTGAATAAATGGATGCTCACTAACGTAAACACGAAACGCATGAATTACATAATTGTAGTCATATAATGTGTTCAAGTATTAAGCTACAAATAGTCTATTGCGGTGTTTGTATTAATGCAAGTGAATTGAACGGTAGTAAGTGGGCTAGATAGAGTATTCCTCTTCATCATAAACTTCATCTACAGACCAGTAGAATAGGCGTAAACGCCGTATAGCCCATCTTCGCGCCCGAGCATACCCTGACCAGAGAGGACCTGCGATTGTTAGCGTGGTATTAGAACATACGACCCACTCACCTCCATCTTCCTCGAATGCCAACCGATGTAGGAGGCAACGTTACCTCTAGCCTGGGACAAGCTCTCCATTTGCTGTCTCCAAGGGTCACTCTTATCAAGTTTCCTAGCAAGCAGGCCATCCTCGAGTGGTTTGGTGGACACGTCAACATACCAGCCTCTCCTACCACGCGAGCGAATTACTCTCCACGAGCCAGCGCCACCCTGTAGAGCATTGAGCATTTCAGCGCCAAGTTCGATAACGCGTATGGCAGTTGGCGGTGGGGATTGTTCTACTGGAGATGGGGACGTGAGAGAGAAGTGAAAGGGAGGATTAGTGAGCACCTTAATAAAACTAGTCTGTAGCGTGAGAACTGCCGAGCGCACAGTTGATGATACTCCCGGAATAACAGCCAGTTCTGGTGTAGACAATGCGAGATCGACTATCTCACAACCGGGCGCTTTGTTCTTGATGAACTCCGCCACAGCGCCGAGAGGCAGACGAGGGATATTGGCGAGACCGAGACTGCGGAGGTGAGGCTGCGCGGCGAGTTTCGACAGTATCTCTTTGGTCAATGGCGCACCGGCTAGATCTATATAACGGAGATTTCCACTGATGAAGCAGGGCGCACGACGCAGAATTACATCCAACTCATACACACTTAGTGGAGATGGTACCGCACTGTCGCCGTACAGATTCAACTCGCGTAGATTCTCCGTCACGGGAGAATCGACGAGAAGACGAAGGAGACAGTCCCCATCTAGCTTCTTGCAGCGGGCAGCAGCAAAAGACTCCAAGCGGAGCGTGGGTGAGCGTGCCAAAGCACGTATGAGTCCGGGTGTAGCGCGTGTATTCGACAAATCGAGGTGAGTAAGAGCGGGGAAAGCCAATACGAATGTTTTCAAGGTAGGTGAGAAGACATTCACCACATTGGATACATTCAGTCGCCGTAATGCACTGTAGCGCCCAGTGTGTGGGTTGGAAGGGGGACGGTGATGCGCATGTGCTGTGCTCTTGTAGGCTAGAGAGCGCGCGCGCACATCGTCAGGATAGCGCTCATCGGCCTGCTCATCAAAAGCATCCGATTGGCGTGCAAAGAGGTGTTTGTTGACGAATGCTTCCAACGCGTCGAAAAATGTCGCGCTCACACATCCACTCAGGTCTAGAGCATGCAGCGAACGACCTGGAATACATTTCGCACGGGAGAGACTCGCACCGGAAGAGTTGATGTGAAGGTTGCTACTGCTACTGCCACTCCCACTGGCCCCCTCGTCGTCAACTGTGGATTGCGTGGGCGGGTCACGGACGGAGTATGCTCGCCGCAGTCGTGTACGGTGAGTTTGCGGCGCGGGAGGCTCGCGTAGAAGCAAGGACTCGAGCACTGGCAAACTAAGCGCGGAATCCATATACTCACTCGCTCCGAACCCCCGCACAGCCCGACATACATCGAGGAGACGCTCGAGACGCTCCGGAGTACAGAACCGCTCTTCGGTGCCCTGTGCTATAGACCGCCTCAGGCCGGCTGTGCGGAAAGAAGTGAAGGAGATGTGGTTGATGTGACGTGCAGGGTAAGGAGTTGCGGTGACTGGACAGAAGGGATCGAGCCATGTGGAGTTGTAGTTGCTCCCCCACAAAGCATTATCATGCTCATCTGGACTCTGCTCGCGCCTGTATTAATAGTCTGATAGTTAGCGGTCAACTCATTGACATAAAGCACCCTCTCACATCTCAGCTAGCCCTTCACGCTCCGGACTAGGCTCACGAATAGCGATAGTGTTGTTGTGGCGGCTCTCGTGCAGATTAACAGTGACAGGGCTGGCACTACGGAGTCGCTCGGCTTCGACGGAGAGTTCGCGAACACGGTCGAACTTCCTACCACGCTTTTCGGGACTGTGGGTGCGCGTGATGCTCTCAGACTCCCGTTTAAGCGCCTCAGTGGTAGCATTTACCATTTCATCAACGTCCATGTCTCTGGCAGGGCTCATGCTGCGCGCACGAGAGGAGGTATGGGCAGAAGCAGTTCTGATGAGGCCTTCGTGAAAACGCCGCCGGCCACGAGAGTTGGCCCCTGAGGGGGACTGCGAGCGGGACGAAGGGGGAGTGTTTTCTTGGGTAATGGGTGGATGGGCGAAGAAGGTGGAGCTGATTGATGGGACGTTGAGCGGTGAGCTGACAGGCGGCGATGTGGAAAGAGGGGAAGTGACGGGCGTGGCGAGTTCATTGGTGAAAGAAGGCGGGGAGAAAGCGTTGCGGGAGGTGTCGAGCGTGGGGCGTGCGGGAGGAGCACTGCGCGTGTCTTCAGAAGACTCGGGGATAGATGCGATTCTAAGCGAGGATTGGCGGTAGGGACGTGGCAGAGTGGGTCCGTCTGGGAGAATAGCTTCTGGTCTCACAGGATCTGGCGGTGGCGATGACAATCTGATAATCTCATCAGATTGCTGCCGGAGTTGCTCAACCTGCTTGCCTGCGACGACGTCAACGACAGAGAGAAAACCACCAGCCAATCTGAAGTGAAGCCTGCGCCAAAGAAACTTGCCTGCTTCATCGTGCCAATCCCTATTGACGCGCGATAAGGCGTAGAGCGTGTGACGTGCGTCTTGCTCGGTCCAGCGGCCAGGCTCTGGGACGGGATCGAGATCCATTGCAGGTCTGCTGGAGTAGTAAACAGTCTCTGCGATGAGCGGGAGTAACGGCAGCGGAATCGGCATGTGCGTGTGCGCTGTGTGCGTTTAGAGATGGCCGTAGTGATGAAGGAGCAGAGCAATTAAAATAAATTGAAATGTAAATTTTCAAACATTCTAACAGCGTGTGCGGCGTCTGCGTTGTCTGCGTGTTTATGGACATCTCCATCTCGCCCGTCTCGGCCATCAACATCTCTCACCACAACCGCCATGTTCTTCGGCAGCTCTCAGAAAGTAAAGAATCTGCACCCAGTGACAGAGGAATTCGAATCCAGCGAATATTTCGGACCGCTTGAACCCGAAGACACGGAATGGGCGACGATTAATTCTAATTTCGTTGCAGAGACGCAGACGTTCTACTCGGTGCTGGAGGATGGGCAGTGCTTGAGCGTGCAAGTAGTGCACTCACATGTTGGGTGCGTCTGGATACTTATACGCTAGCCACGCTCACCACTCACCGCTTACAGTTTCTGGTACCCACAAATCCAATTTAATTTCATGCTCTATACGCCGTCCACTGGCCAGAAATTGTGGAAATCTATCAGCGCAAACAACTTTAGCAGCCCTCCTTCGTTCTCCACCAACAAATACGATCGTCGTAGCTGCTCTGCTGACCAGTTCTCCATCCTCCACGAACAACTCCCAAATCAAGATGAGTGCTACAGAATAAACGCTAAAATTGATAATGAAGTGCAAATTGTTATCAATTTCATCCGCCCAGCCTCTTGTTCCGGCTTCAAACTCGGAAACGGTCCAAACGGCGGTTTCACATCCCTCGGTAACGACAAATCGAGCAACAAGAGGGACGGCTACGTTGTGCACAGATTTTGGCCAAGAGTTCGCACTGAAGGTCAGGTCATCGTCAGAGGCAAGCTCGTCGACGCAATTGGTCACGGTACTTTCATACACGCCATCCAAGGTATGAGAGCTAATGTGAGTGGCTAGCTCTGTTATTTTTATTAGTCTAACACTCCCATTAGCTTATCGCGCGCGCTTGGAACTTTGCTCTCTTCCAATCCAATCAACATGGCGGTGTGGCATCAATTCTCATGGAGTTCGAGAGCACTGAAGGCTACGGCGCTGCAACCAGAACTGAAGGCGGTGGTGGTGTCAAAGTTACCATAGGCGCTCTCGTCGCTGGTGATAAGCTCCTCTCCGTCACGGGATCTACCACCTACCCCGGCCAAATGCCTCAGGGTTTAACCGCCGCCGAGCATCGCAACACGCTCAAGGATCCTGAAACCTCGTACATTGTGCCTTCGGAGGTTAGATATGTCTGGGGTGGTACAGCTATCGAGAACAAGAAAGCCATCCGCGGTGAGATGCTTGTGAATTACAAGGAGAAGAATGATGTGTCTAGGGGTTTAATTGAGAAGGTAGACTTCCTCGCTCATATTCCATACGTCGTTAGAAAGGCTGTGCACGTCTTTGCAAAGACGAAACCGTACATTTATCAGGTGAATATTTGCGATAGACTACTATAACACAGCTAACAAACAACTAGTACCTCAATCCAACAGAATTGCAATTGGACCTCCCCGAAGGAGTCGCCGAATCTACCAAGCTCACTGTTCAAGGCACTGCTTTCACTGAACAGTCATTCATATCGCCTTAATTCTGCTTGATGTTTTGCTTTTTCTTTCTTAACTCATTAGCCACGTGAATCAATTTAAAGGGACCTACAATGAATAATCTTTTCATCGATCGATAGATATCAAGCCGTTTGAGAAATTGAGACATTGATACAGAAGATGAGTAGATTGAGTAGCATAACTGCACATGATTACGTCTTGTGTGGAAGATATTTGAAAACATCATGCATAATCACCTACATCTGCACCCGGATTTGGTCAATATGCCCTGCCTTGACTAACCAGTCACACACACACACACAATTAGACAGAAATTCCATGTATTCATTTTCATCGTTCACTGCAACTGCCTCGGCATCGGCTATCTCGAGAAGTTTTAGGCCGGTTGCCACATGGCATTTCGTTGTGAGCTACTACCATGACGGACACAGCAGTGTGAGGGCGTGCAAGTAGAGAGCGGGAACTCGGCTAACACAGCGAAGAATAATAATCGGTGCCGGTATCTCGGGAGTTGCTATGGGCCACAAGCTCAAGCATGAACTGCGGACGGATGAATTTGAGATATAGTGAGTTATTTGTAGAGCAGGCTGTGATAATGCTCACACGATACAGCGAGCGCGAGGAGCAAGTTGGTGGCACGTGGTACATTAACGTAGGTGTATAGCGCTGATATTTATATTGGTGGCTGGCTAAGAAGGATATAAAGAACTACCCAGGATGTGCAAACGATATACCCATTCAGCTCTACTCGTTCTCATTCGCTCAGCGTAACTGGGGCAGCACTCTGTGGGCAACCCAGCCAGTCATAGAGAGGTATATCCAGGACGTGGTGAAGGAGCACAGACTGAGTGATCATATATACCTCTCACATTCTATCCTCGATGCCGATTACGATGTGGCGCGAGAGATTTGGACGGTGTCTGTGAAGAATAATGGCACTGGAGAAGTGTTCAAGCGTACTTGCAATATCCTTATCACTGCACACGGTGGTTTAGGTTTGTGGATTTATATTCACTTAAACTCACACTCACACCAAATCAAGACACTCCACGCCCTATTGACACACCAGGTGTCGATACCTTCAACGGCAAAGTGTTGCGTTCACAGCGCTATGACGAAAACGTTGATATTACGGTGAGAATTCGAGCTTGTGAATGCGCAATCTAACGCGAACCAGGACAAGAATGTCGTCGTCGTTGGCAATGCTTGTACAGCAACGCAGATCATAGCGTGGGGAGGACGTTATTACAAAACACCTATCCTAACTACTACACACGCAGTGAGATAGCACCCAAAGTTAAATCTCTCACGCAGTTTGCGCGTGGCAAGCAATGGTATATACCCAAACCACCCAATCTCGCCAATTATCCACGTATACAGTGGATGACGGAGAATATACCGAGTATACACACTTTTATCAGAAACTTTATATTTTTTGCGACAGAGTATTACTTCGCAGGTAAGTTGTTAGGTGTTGGAGGTGCGCTATTTCACTAACCGTGTGCTCATAGCTATGTACGCGGAGAAAGGCAAAGGAGTGCGCAAGGCGCGTATGGAAGAGTCCGCGAATCAGTAAGTTTGCATTTATATCCCCCTTTCCCACAAGACTCATCTAACAATGGCGCCTTATCAGCATGAAAAACCTAGCGCCTGCCAAATACCACGATGCACTCATTCCTGATTTTGAGATATTTGCGAAGCGGAGAGTGTATGATGACGAATATCTCAAGTCACTCAATTCCGAAAAAATAGACTTAGTGGCTGAGCGACCAGCACGGATAACTTCGACAAGCGTAGTGAAGCAAGATGGAACAGAAGTGGCAGCGGATGTGATAATATTCGGTGGGTGGTATATTAGAAGATGGGAGTAGTCTACTCACCTAAGTGTAACCATAGCCATCGGATTCGACACCACTACGAATAAATTCACAGAGCATTTCCACAGCAACGGCCTCAGTATACGCGAATATTGGAGGAGATCTAATATGGGCGCGTATTTAGGCACGGCTCTAGCACCATTTCCCAACTTGTTCCTCCTCGGCACAGCCAGTCCGAACACGGCGAGTGGGCACAACTCGGTGCTATTCACAGCGGAATGCACTGCCAACTATATTATTCGCTTGGCAGGGCCAATAATACGCGCGAAGAAGGGTAGCGTGCGCGTGACGGAGGGTGCTGAGCGGGAGTACCAGCAGTGGATCAGAGAGAAGCACCAAGAGTGGGTGTGGGTTGTTAGTGGGGTTGACTGGTATACTCACACACGCTACAGGATGATATGGGAGAATGGGGGAGCGCACTCCTTCTACCAGGACGAAAATTCAGGAAAGAACGTTGCACTTTATCCCCGCTCACACACGCATTACTGGTGGAAGACGCTCATACCGAACGATGACCATTTCACGTTTAGTGGCGTGTCTAAACCGTGGCTTATGCGCCTCACTTCCAGACAAGCGTTGACAGCGTATGGCGCCGTAGTTGCTGCTAGCGTTGCGACGTGGTGTATCATGTGAATAAATAAATGCATGCTATTTGCATTAATGGAGATATAGATAGACAAAGACACCTCAAAGCATCTTCTCGTGCAGATAACCTCTGCGCGAAAGTCTGCCAGCCATATCGCAGGCTATCAAGAGGGGGATGATGAGGTAGGGGGTGTATGCGCCGAGGAGGATAGTGCGCTGCTCCGGCGACAGAGCCAAAGCGCCGGTGAGTGGTGGAGGGAAAGGAGGAGCGTGCACGGGGAGAGCGAGCACAGTAGCCAAGCAGGCGAAAGTGGTGGTAGCTGCGGAAACGCCGTAGACTAGAAGGGGAACTTGAACGCTTCTAGAGCCTGGTGGGTGAGTGAGTGTGTTGCTTTTGTCTTAGTATCAAGTAACACACCCTTATATAGCCCATACGCGCCGAAAATAAAAATGGGAATCTGGCCTACAGCCTCCAAAGCTAAGAAGGAACGCGCCCACGCCCAGAGGGGACTGCCACTGCCACCGCCTTGGAGAATAGGGTCGTTGGAGATGGAAATCCAGAAGCGGAGGAGCTCCTTCAGCGGTTCTGGGATGAGATGTTGCGGGTAGAGTGACTGAAGATCGACAGCGAGTGTCATTGGGAGGTGGATGGCGAGAAATACGGCGTAGAAGAGATCCACAGGGCGTTTAGCTACTTTGGGGATATCAGCGTGGATGATTGTTTGTGTGGGTGGATCACTTACTCGATGTCATTGATGGTTGTCGTGGGTGTAGGAAGAAGACAGTGGTGGCGTATAGGCGCGTAGGCATGTAGGCGTGGAATGCTGTGAAAGCGGGAATATATTTAATAACCACGAATATCCGATAACTCTTTACACCCGCACAATGAGCATTAAGCTATCACCACGCGTGGATCTTGCAAGCGTTACAAGGCAGAATATCGGTACACTGAGGAGACTGAATGGGGTAATCTTACCAGGTGCGTGGGTTTTTGAGCCATGGGTATTACCACTAAAACACCCACCCAAGTGCCCTACTCAAATGGCGTGTATGAGCAAGTACAATCACCAGAACTCGAGGATTTCTGTAAATTGGTTTATTATAATGATATCCCCGTTGGTAGCGTCTGCTGTAAGGTGGAAGCCGGGAAGCTGTATATCATGATACTCGCTGTACTTGCACCGTACAGGAGACAAGGACTGGGGAGGCACATGCTCAATCATATACTCAAAGCTGCAGTCAGCGATCCAGAGCCAATCATAAAAGGTGATAAAGTTCAGCCGAGGAAGAAGCTCGATAGCGTTTATATGCATGTACAGAAGGAGAATGATGACGCTATAGAATTCTATAAAGCTAATGGCTTCTCAATTCAAGCAGATGTCAAGGATTATTACAAGAGGCTTAAAGGGGAGGGTTCTAGAGACGCGTTTGTTTTATCCAAAAAGTTGTAAATTACTTGAGTTTACTTGGATTGCTTAAAATTTACTTGAAAACATTATAAATTTACTTGAAATCGGATAAAGATACCGACATTTGATAAGATCCAGGGCAGGTGTCTCCAAGTGAGCAGATTTGTAAGGTACCTGGGTTTTATAGGGTTTTATCGATTGTAGAATGCTCATACGCACTCAATCTCTCACTCACCCAGTCTCCCCCTAACTCAGCGCAATTCTTCAGAAACCCGGCTTAGCTCATCACCATCACCGGCCATCACTCATAATTGAAATTATCTGTCTTTCGCTCGCCAATGAGCCACAGCTTGAGCTTTAATCAAATACACAGCAACGACACCCACAACAACCATTTCGATCTAGACTCCTCCTCCCACCAGAAGCGCAGATATGGCGATAGCTGTGAGCAGTGCAGGCGCAGGAAGAGGAAATGCGACGCTCATGAAGCTCCTTGTGCTCAGTGCTTGAAGAGCGGTTACGAGTGTGTCTTTCCTGCCACTGCTGCTCCCGCACGCCTCGCACGTACAATCAACCAACTCGATTATCATAAGGACTTTATCAATCAACTTACTTCTGCTACTGATGACCACAGGGCTGAGCTTCTCGCTGATTGGTCACGCAAACACTCTTCCATCCACCTCTCGGCTTCCGCAAACAATAGACGAAAGAGGCGGAAGACTGACACTAACGCAAATACCACTCCCAGCGGTAGCCTCACTGTAAAAGAGGAACCAGGAGTTAAAGAAGAGTCTGCGTCGGAGCCCAACGCTGCTTCCCACCTCCACGTTCTCGATGGCCAGAGCGACAACATGCCTCTTACAAATGTTCCTCCTGATCGCACTGAATTGCTTGTGTCGAGCGTTTTGGGCAGTCAAGCTCTCTCCCCTGCTTCTCAGACTATGGTTCACGATCAGTACACTCCGAGTCAGCGGCAGTCTGAGCTTCTTCTCACTACTTACTTTTGCTGGCAGTGCCCACAGCACCTCACTATCACTAAATCTCTCTTCCTCCGCGATATGAAAAATGGCGGTGGTCCGTGGTACTCGCCTTTTTTGCTCAATGCTCTTTACGCACACGCCTCTAGACATCTCTCCACTATCGAAGCTGGTGGTGACTACGCCTTTAAGGCCCGTGTCTATCTCGCTGGCGAACTCGATAAGCCGTCCTCCATACCCACTATTCAAGGACTGCTCATCCTCGGTGGTAGAGATTGCGCACTTGGGCGTATCTCACAGGGCTTTATTCTCGCTGGTATCGCTTTTAGAATGATCTCCGATCTCGGTATTGACAGGGAAGACGAGTCTGCACTCGCTAGCTACTCTCATGAGGAGCGTACCGTGCATAGGAGAGTCGTCTGGAGTGCGTATACCTGGGATAAGCTCATCAGTCTCGTCTTGGGCAGAGCTCCCACTTTCCCCAAACCTCCATGCCCTCTCCCCCACTATCATGATGACACGGATCATGAAGATTCATGGGCGCCTATTTTCTTAGAAGATGATGGCCCCCCTCAGGCTGCTAATTACCCATATGCACTCGCACATGAGAGTCTCACTTTTGAAAATTCGTGCAAACTGTGGATGGTGGGTGTGTGTTTGGTGTAGGATGCAAATACTGATAAAAAAATTAGATTATTGAAGATATCCTCACTACCGTGTACGTTACGCGAGCTCCTTTCGAGGAATGCAACCAGTTCGTCAGTAACACGCACAAACAACTTCAGACATATATGTGGACATTACCGGGGAGTATATCTCTCGATGTGCGTGCACTCCCGAGTGCGTGTCCACCAGTCCATATCCTTACATTGAAGTGGGTAGAGGGTACAAGTAATGGATTACACCGCTAACACAGCACCCTTCAGCCTTCTCACTCGTACGACGTGGATATTGCTCTATAGACCATACACCCTCGCATCGCCCACCCCTCCCTTCTCTAACACACCTTTCCCAGACTCTATAGATATATGCCGGCGCAATGCGGCTGAAATCAACGCTTTGTTCGGTCTCCATGAGCGTTCATTTGGACTGTGCAACATGACGTATCTGATGACATATTGCGCTTATGTCAGCGCGACTATTGATCTTGCTGAACTGTTGTCGAACGATCCCGTGCGGAGCAGCGATGCTCGAGAGCGACTGGTGCTAACGTTCAGGGTGTTAGCCAAGGGAGCGGAATACACACCTGGTCTACAGAGATCGATTGCGCTGTTAAGACAGCGCTATCTGCAGAAAACTCAACAACAGGCTGAAGCGCAGGAGGCAGCGGCGTCATCGAACCTAGCGGGAGTGTGCCGACCGCGCGCTACCGATACAGGCATACACCACACACCACCAACTGCTCACACTAGTCTGCCTAGTGCGCAAAATCAGACTAATGCTAGTGGTGGTGGTAGTGCTGTCTCGGTGGTTAATAACAATAATAATAATAATGCCAGCAATAACACCAGCACACCCGCGCCCATCGTCCCTTCAACAGCCACTAGCTTGCCAACACCTGCAGATGACGAACTCGATCTGGATGGCTGGTTCAGCGCTATGACTCACGGATCACTAAGCGACATGTACTTTGATGGGACAGAGTTAGGTCTGCAGAACTTCTTCTCTCAGACGCCGACAGCACATTCAAATACGAATTCCAACCTCAATTCGAATAATTCAGCTCAGGGTGTTGCAACACAGCAGCAACAGCAACAACAACAACAACAACAGCAGCAAACATCGCAAATGCAGCAAACGCAACACACACAGATACAATCACACCCACTTAACATGTTCCCGCCTAACGCTAACACACCCTATGCGGATTTCTTTGATATGTCGCTGGCGACGTTCGACAGCCTGCATGGCTCGTTAGCCGCGTTTCCGAATGGTGGAGAGAGTGAGACGCAATAAGTGAAAGAGACGAATAATGGAATAGACTTGTAATTTTTATATTTTTATATTTTATACTCCCCACACAGCTTCATTAGCAGCGACCAAGATTAGTAGCGTCTACGGAGGACGTAGAAGAAGAGAAGGACATAGCAGAACAGAAGGAATACGCGCAGGACTTAGAGATATATTCGGGAGTCACCGGCGACATACGATTACAGACGCGTTGCACACACCACACGCACCACACGCACACAGACACAGACACAGACACAGCACAATGAACACACCAGCAGGATTCGGATTCAATCAATATCGACCACAGACACCGACGTGGTCTAACATAGGTGATCTGCGACAACCTCATGACTTCTTCAATGTCCTTCATGGACCGAATGAAAGTGGTTTCTTCAATAACATCTTCGATCGTATGCGTTCACGCCAGTTCGGCGGTGGATTAGGCACACACGATGCATACGGCATGCACCAGCAGTGGATGGCAGGCGTAGATCGTCACGCTATGTCGCCTATGCAGATAGGTGGTGCAGCCGCGAGTGAAGCTGTTTCAGTTATGTTTCACCATCGCAGTCGTTTTCATCAACAGACATTCATGGAAAAGCATATAGCGCGCGAGAATTGCGCCGCTCTCGCTATTGCTTATGCTAGACAGTAGGTGGGGTGGCTTTTCACGTAGATACTCGCTCATGACTCCCTTTTTTTTTACAGATTCTGGCACGAATGCTTCGGTATGATGCCAGATCCTGCTATGGAATACGCTTGCGAAATCGCTTCGGCTTCCGCTTGGAGGATGTACGAGGAGGCGGAAATGTCCGGTATGGGGATGGGTGCTGGTATGGGGATGGGTGGTACGCCTGGCATGGGTATGGGTATGGGCAATAGAGGCGGTATGGGCATGCACAGAGGTGGTATGGGTATGCCTTATATGCCCGGTGGCCTCGATAGCGGTATGGGCGGAGGCATGGGTGGTGGAATGGGAATGGGAATGGGCGGCATGGGTGGTGGAATGGGTGGAATGCCTGGTGGAATGCCTGGTGGAATGCCCGGTGGAATGCCTAGTGGAATGCACGGTAATGGAATGACTGGTGGTGGAATGCCCGGGAGCATGGTACCAAACCAAGGAATGGGGATGAACCCAATGATGAACGGAATGAACGGCATGAACGGCATGAACGGCATGCCTGGGATGAACAACATGAACGGTATGTCCCATCGCGGAAGTGAGTCGCCGCGTCCCGCTTACGCGCTCTTCGGAACTAATCTAAAATAGGCTACTACGATCAACCGAACACACGTGAAATTATATTCGTGCCTCAAGTGTACACGGTACCTATGGAACAGTACGGATATCCCCAGTACGGCGGGATGTACGGCGGGGGATACCAGCAAGGATACCCAATGGGGATGGGCGGGATGGGTGGCATGGGTGGGCCAGGAATGATGGGCGGATACAGATACTAGAACTATATAACACGATGCTATGCCTATTTTACGAATACATGTATTTAATTTCAATTCATTTCTTGATCAAGTACAGCCAACACGACGCAAATGGACGAGGATATGGAGCACGTCAACGACAGCAGCTCCACATTGTCCAGTAGCATCTCTTCTACCGCTAGTATACCCGCTGCGCCCATCAAAGCCGCTCCGTGGGGATCGACGCCTAATGTACGTCAAGCAGAAGATGCCCAGCTCTCGCAGCTCGGTAACAAAGACAAAGAGAAATCTGAGCGTGATGGCTCGCCAGTCTCTATACCCATAGTAAATCGCTCGCGGGATCCTTCCGTCAGTTCCTCCGCTACCGTCGTCGCACATCTCCTTCCGAACAACGGTAGCAGTATGACGCCACCAGGCTCTCCAACGCGTCAGAAAGCTATGAATGGCCCTACCACTAGACCTACACTGTCTGGCGTGCGCTCGCTCAGTTCGAGCACACAGCCACCGCCTAAAGCGGGTAAGAGCAAGGATGATTTTGTTTGGGGAGATATTATCGGCGAGGGTAGCTTTTCTACTGTCACCTTGGCATGGGATAAGCTACCGACGCACACAGTATCATCTCAGCCATCTCAGCCATCTTCTCAACCATTACAACACTCTCAAAACCATCAGTACCCTCAATTAGCCACCTCTCCAGTTAAAATGAACACTTCCATACCCTCCTCGACAAGCTCATCAAGTAGTATGTCGTCCCAGTCGATACCTCCGCCCAAACAAGCGCGGATCTACGCTATGAAGGAGCTCTCCCAGGCGCATATTGTAAAGGAGAACAAAATCAAGTATGTCACTATCGAGAAACATGCTCTGCAGATCCTCAACACTGATATATCTAATGGATCGTCGCAATTGAGGGAAAATTCGCAAGAAAATATTAAGAGCCCACAGCAACGCAAACCCAAGCGACAAAAGAATGAAGGGAGCTCCGGGATTATTAGACTATGGATGACGTTCAGAGAGGGTCGGTCGGCATATAGAGGGAGTGACCATTTACACAACCTTGCAGGAGATTCTCTCTTCTTTGCGTTGGAGTATGCGCCTAATGGCGAGCTGCTATCGTGGATCAAAAAGGTATGTATGAGCGTGGAGGATGTTTTTTTGTGAGATATTGACTTGTCACAGATGGGCTCATTTGACGAGAAGAGTGCAAAGTTTTACGCTGCACAGACACTCTCAGTTATTGGGTTTATGCATGGCCGTGGTATCATACATCGTGACATCAAGCCAGAGAAGTGGGTGTGGGTGTGTTATGGTTGCACAGCTAACGCGATGTTGCTTTAGCATCCTCCTCAACTCAGATATGGTGATCAAAGTGACTGATTTCGGTAGTGCAAAGATACTTGATCAGTCAGATGCAGATATAAACGATGAGCGTAGTAAATCTTTCGTCGGTACCGCTGAATACGTTTCACCGGAACTCCTCCGAGACAGGAGTGTTGGCAAAGAATGTGATTTTTGGGCACTCGGGTGTATAATTTACCAGATGATCACAGGTAAACCACCATTCAAAGCGACGAATGAATATTTGACATTCCAGCTAATAATGAAGTTGGATTACGTATTCCCTGATAACTTCCCACCAGTTGCACGTGATCTGGTGGAAAAGTTGCTGGTGCTAGATCCAGAAGATAGACTAGGGAGTGGTGAGGACGGGATAGAGGATATAAGAAATCATGAGTGGTTTAAAGATGTTAACTTTCAGCAGATCTGGAGTACGGATCCGCCGTCAATAGCGACTGGGATGAACGAGCCTAGTCCACAGTCGAACATACCATCAGACGCATATTTCGAGCTTGGATGGGAGGAGAGTGATGAAGATGAGTCTGAGCAGATAAAGGATGAGCAAGAGGAGCAACAACAGCAGCTTCGTGATGAAGAAGACAACAAGCAGACGGATGAAAAAACGACGTCCAGTCCCGGCTTCAGTAGTGATAGTGACTATCTTGCCCCGCTCACTCTCTCATCAATAGTCAATGACGGCAAGGAAATGTCGGATGAACTCAAGTCGCAGCTGTGAGTCGGAGGTATGTTGATGTAGGCAAGGTGATACTAACTTGAAACACCACAGATACACCATATTATTACCTTCAGAAAAGTTACATCTCGCATCACCCGTGCTTGTGCGCACACAACGCAAATTCCTTAGCAGGACGAAGCGGCGCTGGTTGCTGTTGACGGATCTGCCTCGGTTGCTGTGCGTTAAAGAAGACACGCTCAAGGTAAAGTTTGAGGTGGATTTGGGTATCGGTGATAGCGAGGAGCGTGCACGGGTGCGACTGGCAGAGAAGAACAAGGTCATTGTTAGCGCTGGTGGAAGAGATGTCGAATTTAGTTTCGATGAGGGCAGAGATGCGAGTGTGGGAGCTACTTGGTATGCCAAGGTGAAGGACTTCCTCAATAGTGATAGCAATTCGAATAACAATGCCGTATGTAATGGAGGCGATACACATACACAAAGTCGGTCAAGATAGCAATTTGCATATAACGTAATTTCAAACGATTAAAAAATAAAGTCAATGCATTGAAAGTAATGTTACTCAACTTGGAGCACGTCTTCGTCATTCTCGATAAGCGTGTCTAAGAAACGAACAAATTCTGCGAGAGGGAATCCTACGACGTTGTTGTAGTCGCCGGTGATGCCCTCGACCATAAACGCGCCCAATCCCTGCACCGCGAAACCACCTGCTCTATCGATACCCTCGTTTGTGTCTATGTAGCGGTCAATGGTGTATGGATCGATATCGAAGAAGTGAACGGTAGTGGCATTGGCGAATGTCCTCTGCGCATAACCGGGTGCTTGGAGGGTGGGGTAAGCTGTAGGTGGTGAGAGAAAGTGTGCATACGAGTGCATTTACCCACTAATACACACTCCAGTGACTACCTGCAGTGAGCGGCCACTAGCATCGGCGAGCATGCGATACTGGTCAGCTTTATCGATGGGCTTCTCACAGACAGAGTAGCTCATTTCTCCATGCGCCTCATCCCAGCTCTGGCCCTTGGAAAGAGAAGGAGCGTTGTCTGGGACGAGAACGACTGTATCGGCTGTGTGTGGGAGTGTGTGAGTGTGTGAATGGTGCTGTAAACTCACTACTCACCTGAAATAACTAAATCAGGTGAATTCTTATCGTCTTCCATCTGCAAATAGGTTAACTGGCGTCATATGGCCATATCGTTAGCAACTCACCACCATTCTTTCATAAACCTCTTTGCCTTTTTCAGTGGCCGTGTTTATGGGGTATGCGTGTGCATCGTGTGCAAAGTCTTCCTTACTCAGCGTCTCGGCGAAAGTGGACGGGACGACGTGGGGATGTATTCCAACTTGCGCGAGTATGTCGCGACGGCGCGGTGAGCTGCTTGCGAGTACGACGTGCTTCCCACGTAACTTTGCGAGACTGGGGAGGTTGAGTGGTTGAATGGGCAGTGCGGGTATGTTCGTGCTGCTGGGTTGTTTTTCATTTGCATTTGCCGATGCTGCTGCTTTTAACGCTTCCATAGCTGGATCCTTTTCTGCCACGCTGCCACTGCCATGGCCACTGGAAAACAATTTGAACAAGTTGAACATGATGGTGGTACAAGATGACGTCGAGGTACAAAACAAAGTTGCGTGTTGCGTGTTGCGTATTACAGACAGATTATATTAGTTTCAGATACGTACTATACACTCAACACCCCTCTTAAAGCCGCAGCAGCTTCTTCTCCCGACTGATCCACGCTATCGAGAGAAGAGTGACGGTGTATGCGGCGAGCACAGCTAGCGACGTTACCGTACCTGCGTAGATGGTTTGCATGGAGAGGTTAACGAGTCCCGTGAACACATTTGCCTGGTTTGTATAGTGTGAGTTGTGCATCGCTACAGCTATCGCGCGGAGTATCAACCCACTATTAGGAACAGAGCCAGGGCATTGCTGTTGATAGCGCCCATCATCCCCGGTACAGCGAGCGACTGGCGCGCAGGCGTCTTGAAGTGCACCAGATCGATGAGGACGAACAGCGTCAAGAAAGTGGTGTTGAACGCTGCTGTCCAAAGTACATAAGGCAGGTTGGCGATTCTGCGCGAGACGCCCATATTCAATCCACGCACTACGCCATATCCACACCAGTACAGAATCGCATAGGAGAACAGCACACTCAGCAGCTTTCCCCGCTGGTCGGCATGGACGGGCTTAGTGAGCGTGTTGCGGAAGTAGGCGTATGGGTGCTGGGGCAGTGAATAGAGACCAATGTCCAGCCCGAAGAGGTATATGCAGAGGTATCCCACTATGCTCACTAGACCCTCCTTGTTATGAGAGAGGAGATTTGCGCGCGGTGCATTCAATGACCAGTGCTGCAGAGATGTGAGTGCCAGTACCAGCTGAAACACACAGCCAATGACGATGGCCATCCACGAGAACTGAATGCGCGTATGGATGTTGAGGATGGTCAGTGGCTTCGCCAGCAGCGGCAAAGCAGCTAGAGTGAGGAAGAAGTTCCAGTGGGTGCCGTACTCCGAGTAGTGCTGTGGATAGTTGGTCACAGTGACGGATATCAGCCTCATCATGGCTAGAACGACAAGTGGAAGTACTTTGCGCGTGTTGTACTTGCCAAGCAGGTGATATCTAGCATCCACTAAGCCAAAAGCCAATGTAAAAGACCCGACGCCTAGATCCATGAAACTCGTCCCGAATGACTCTGTTTTCGACAGGACTTTTGGGAACACATTAAAGTCCACAGCTAGGATGGATATGAAGGTGAAGAATAACAGATAGCCGCGGTAGTTGGTGATGTAGGATTTGTTTGTCAAATGGATCTGGAGCGACGAGTGTACGGGGAGTGGGGACGGTGGCTGAGTGTTACAGCGGGATTGGTTATCAAAATCAAATGATGTAATAGAGTTTGCGTGTTTTGTGTGTTTTGTGTGTTGTTGAGGGATTCGGTGAAATTGCGCGGTGAGTGCGGTGACAGCGAGGAGACAGCTGTTGAATAGCGTGAGATGGGTGTAAAGCAGCGTAACTGCCAGAAATTGTGGTATGAAAAGTACGCAACTCTGCGCCAGTACGCTCAGTTTCCACCGCTTAACCAAAATCGAGTAGAGTAGGAATGAGTTTATCGAAATGAGGGCTAAATTGTTGATGTTCCACACTGAGCTACCGCAATTGCCGCTTATAAAATGATTTTTAACTTGATTGTAATCCATAAACTCGTCTTCTTCTTTGACTCACTCAGCCATGTCATCAGACGAAGCCCCAGTATTAGACGCGAACGGACAGCCACTGACCAAATCTGCCTTGAAGAAGCTCAAGCAGCAACAAGAGAAAGACGCAAAGAAAAAAGCGGTCCAGGACCGTTTGGCTGCAGAGCAGAAGGACAAGCAGGAGGCCAATGCCATCGACACAGCTGCCCAGAACTACGGCCCTATCTCCGTGCACTCCCAGCAACGCACACACATCCCACGCACCCAAATTGAACACATAAACGCATCACTAAACAACCAACACATTACAATCAGGGCTAGAGTCCACACTTCCCGTGCCCAAGGCGCCAAAATGGTATTCTTCAACTTTCGCCAGCAGGATAAATCCATCCAAGGTGTTCTCGTTGCCAGCGAACCCGCCGTCTCGAAGCAGATGGTTAAATGGGCTGCCTCACTCGGCGACGAATCGATCGTCCTTATTGAAGGCTCCGTGCAACTCCCAAAGGATCCCGTTAACTCTGCAACCCAACATGACGCTGAAATCGCTATAGAGAAGCTCTTCACTATCTCTGACGTACCTGGTGGCTCTCTCCCATTCACCATCGAAGACGCCTCGCGCCCTGAAGCTGAGTACGAGAAAGAAGACGCTCAATTTAACAAGGTCCACTTGGAAACCAGACTCGACAACCGTGTCGTCGACCTCCGCACTCAAACCAACCAAGCCATCTTCAAAGTCCAGTCTGCCATTTGTCGCCTCTTCAGGCAATCTCTCGACTCCAGAGACTTTATCGAAATTCACTCTCCTAAGCTCATGGGCGCCGCGTCTGAATCTGGTGCGTCTGTCTTTAACGTCTCCTACTTCAAATCCCAGGCTTTCCTTGCTCAGTCCCCACAATTGCCAAAACAAATGTGCATAGCAGCCGATTTTGAGAAAGTCTACGAAATTGGTCCTGTCTTCCGTGCAGAGAATTCAAACACCCACCGTCATATGACAGAATTCACTGGTCTCGATTTAGAGATGGCGTTTGAAGAACACTACCACGAGGTCGTCGAGGTGATGGACGAGATGTTCAAGACGATCTTCCGTGGCCTGAACACGCAATATGCCAAGGAGATTGACATCATCAAGAAGCAGTTCCCTCACGACGAGTTCGTCTTCCCTGACCAAACTGTTAAGCTGCACTACAAAGACGCGATCAAGATGCTTAGAGAGGCTGGTAGAGAGGTCGACGACTTCGAAGACTTCAACACTGAGACGGAGAAGTTCCTCGGTGCGCTCGTCAAGGACAAGTACAACACGGATTACTACATCCTCGACAAATTCCCTCTCAGCTGCAGACCATTCTACGTGGGTGAAATTTCTGCGTGAGGCACACAGCTAACTAATTACTCCACCAGTCCATGCCTGATCCTACCGACAACCGCTACTCGAACTCGTACGACTTCTTCATGCGCGGCGAGGAGATCCTCAGTGGTGCGCAGCGTATACATGACCCTGCCTTCCTCGCACAAAGAATGCGCGAGCACGGCATGAATCCCTCCGACATGCAGGGTGAGTTGGTGTTTAATTTGTATTATTAAGACTGACTCCACACAACAGGCTATCTCGACGCTTTTGCCGTTGGTGCTCCTCCTCACGCCGGTGGTGGTATTGGACTCGAGCGCGTTCTCATGCTCTTCCTTAAGCTCAACAACATCAGACGCGCCTCCCTCTTCCCTAGAGACCCTAAGAGATTGGCCCCGTAGATATATCGTTTGGATGCATTTTCTCCGATTTTTTCACTATCCTCGCTTTTCCCGTTTCTTCGCTTTCTTTAATCCTGTCACGTTCGTCCTGAGCCATCACCCACGCATGATTTTCGTGTCTTGGCTGTTGATGTAAGTTGGTGCACGCAAACTGAGTGCTTCCTCTCTCATTGTTTGCTGCGCTTTCTCTATGCTAAGTTTGTCTTTCGCTCAGCCCTATTTTCATCTTTTCCCTCAGTCACAGGATCGAAAATGATTTTAATGACAAGAGGAAGGCATATATAAACAGCTGTGACAATCTTATACCCCCTAGAGCATATCAATCACCTTCTCCGGCCTCTAAATCACTCAAAGTCATACTAAATGATATCTTTGATGACGTTAGTTGGGTCTTTGACATAGAAGGGTGGTTTGAGTGCTTTATCTAGTACATTGACAGTGAATTCGATGAGCAAAAGCGATATACAGCACTTCACTGAATTGGACCTGTTCACCTGGCCCTGTAAACGGTAAAGAAAGTGGGAGGCGATGTCACAAATGACATTCTGGGAAATAAATTAGCACCGTATCTTCATATAAAATCAAGCATTCTGATGTACTTTTATTTTATTCATCCACCTAAAATCCGCGGTCTTGGAATCTCCAGAGGGCAGTGATCAGATCTCAGATGGCCGATATATGACTTTTTGAATTCTCCAAATAAAAAGGCTCTGACGATACTCGTGGACAATTCGAGGAAATGTAAGCTCAAATGATATCCCTGGGGCTCAAATTTCGTCCTACAAAAGGTTTGGAAGTAGCGATCCGACATCGATCTGAGGCACGCTATAGGATAGATATAGAGTATCTAATGTACTTGATTGATTGCTATAAAATCTTTTGACTTATAAAGACCACAAGATTCGGAAAATTTTAAGTGTTCATCCGTTTAACTTGCGTTTTCCGACACTTAGCGTCTCCAAGACTAGATGCTGACTCCAGGAAAATATGTGGCCACTTCAATTTATCACGTACCTATCGAAAGCTATTGATGTACTAAAAAGTGGGGGTCAGTTTAACTTTGAATCAGGGTTTAGCCTAACCAGGTGAATTTCGAAAAGTCATATAATTAGAGTAGAGGGTTAAATAAGTGTGCGTTGGTACCACAGAAATCACGATAGTATGAAACCTTAATTTTAAGTCCCAAATCACTCTCTCTGCAACATGCAAAATACAGTCAGACAATTACAGAGCACTGCATAACATTAGTCATCAGGAATACCCCCGCCCTGTTTGCGCAACCAGCAACTAAAAATCATAACATTATTACCCATGAAAGCTGCAGTCTCGGTGCTATGACGCACTCGGCTTTGAATAGAGAGGATTCTTAGTTGACAATTGAACAAGTCCTTCCACATAAAGGAAGCTAGGAACAAATTCCAATAGAGCAGGGATCAAGACACTATCAGTGAAAGTGTGCTTGACAGGATAAGACGCCCAATTATTTCATCTCTGCTCAAAGAAACCCTCATGACGTTAACAAACACAGACAGTTAAAGGAAATGATTAATCCTTAGTAGTCATTAGTATATTACAACACAGCCTCATTTGGCATCCTCGCTTAGCCCAATCGACTTGAGTTCATTCATGACTAAATCGCCGACATTCATAGCGGGATACTTTGGCAGGTGCTCGGGCAAAGGAAGCGAAGAAGAGAGATGGTAGAAAAATGTGCTTGAAACGCGAATCAATGGCCGAGCTGGATGTTGCTGCATGTGATTCTCAATCTGACTGATTGTCTTGTCATTAACAACAACCTAAGTTTGAAATTAGCGCATAACATGCAAAACAACCAAACCCACCTCATGGAATCCGGCCAAAATCTTCCCGCCAGTGTAATGTTCTAGTTGTTTACCTGCTTGGACGAGGTAACAGCCGTCTGGTATAGACACTGGGATTTTCTTGCCCGTGTTGCGCGCCCAGATACTCAAACCCGAGAATCTAGATTTTCCGTGTATAGTGAGAAAGTTCAAATCCGTCTGCGAAGGTTAGTCGAGTTGAGAGAGAGTGCCACACCCACATGGAACCCGGCCAGGACTGAGTTGAGGTAGCCATACTTACTGAGATCAGAACCAGTTGGCGCAAGTAAGTGATTGCCGTACTTGGCCGAATCTACGAACGTGTCAGGTGGCAAACCTAGTCCTTGAGCCAAAAGAATGGAGAGGTGCTCTATTGCGTTGAGAAACACCTTTCCAGTATCGTTCATCACACCCTCCCAGTTCCTGCCTTTGAAGTCAGCGGGAGTGATGTTCTGGAGCATATCAGTTGCGTATTGGGTGTTGGGATCTGGCGTCGACATTCTATGGAAGAAACGACATTTCAAATCACTGCCGTCGCCGTTTGCTTCCACAGGTGTCGGTCTCTCGCTCTCCTCGAGAGAATTGATAACGGAGACACAGTAAGCATCGTGTGTCTAAGGATAACTGAGCACCGCCATAGAATTTAAAAGGACGAATGACGCACCGAAAAGCATTTAGCCTTTTCAATACCGACAGTACATCCAACTTGATAGCTGTGCTCAGGCCTCTCATCCGCTTTGAGCTTATCGATAGGCTGGTCAAAGTAGTCCTCCATCATGTCTGTGAATGTCTCGAGATTATCGCTCTTTGGGACTCTGACGAATAAAACGCCATATGTAGATAAGCCATCTGCGGCTTTTATTGATTCCTCTTGGGATTTATTGTGTAAGTCTATTATTGGTATCATTTGAGTAGATGGCGGTTGTGGTGCAACAGCGAGGAGATCGAATTGAGATGGATGAAGATGAGCTGCTGTCGACGTTCAATCATCTCCAGGACTATAACAGGTATTTAAGTACAGTACTAGATGAAGGCGTTGTCGATCTACGCGCCAAAGATTCCGCTGTCTATCAAATTGGTTTGATTGTTCGTGTTTTGCCATCCCGTGAGCGAGAGCTTACGGTGGACACAGCTAGAAATATACCAGGAACAAAGCTATCTGCTCGATCCTTACTTAGATCGGATGCTTTCTCCCGCTATCAGCGCACTATCGATATCGTTATCTCATCAGCACAGCGATAGCGCAAAGAATACGCTGTCGAGACTTATATACACATTTTGCAAAACTAGAGGTTACAAGGTTATTAGCAGGTTCTTCCCTCATTCCATACCAGACTTGGTTTTGGTTATCAACGCTTCACGATCCTTTACTCAAACTGTGACTTGGGAATTTAGATACGTTGTGCTTTTGTGGCTTTCTATTGCTATCAAAATACCTTTTGATCTTGGCAAGATACTTCCAGGCGAGGATGTCGCTGCTCAGTTGCAAGGGTTGTGCACAGAGTACTTCTTCTACCCAGGAAAGGAGCGTGAGGGAGCTGTTCTCGTACTTAGCAGGGCATTCATGAGGTCCGTCTTTCCAACAGCTATGACTTGCTTTTACTCAATACTCCCTCAGACAGGACATGAAACCTTACCTCTCCGGTTTCGTTGGTTGGTGCTCAGATCAACTCAGCTCACACGAAAAGAATGCTTTTATCGTAGGTGTAGATACTCGCAATTATACCCTCTAACGCCTTTACAAGGCACCTTCAATCCTCCAATTCTTTTGCGAGATCCTCAAAGTCAGTCAAGGCGCTACAGTGGCGGAGCTCCAGTCACCAATAGAAGTAGCTTTATCGCGCACAGTCGATAAAAGTAGCTTAAACCCTCTCCTACGCAAGTACCACGTCAAGTTAACAGCAAGAGTTTCCAACAAGCTCAGCACAAATATCGACAGAGTCGAAGATACTATTGGACAGCTTCTAGACTATCTCAGTGATAGTGATACAATAGTACGCTGGTCAGCAGCCAAACATCTCTCGCGGCTAGCTGGCAAGCTTGATGAGGGAGGCAGGCGCGATATTCTCGAAGCAATTCTGTCTCTATACGCGTATGGGACTGATGTGGAGGATGCGACAACCGAGGCTTTTGCTACATGTGATTATGCGCAGGTATCCGAGAACACGTGGCATGGAACCACGCTTGCACTAGCTGAATGCGTTCGAAATGGCATCGTACCGCCGTACTTCATTCCTAATCTGATTCCAGCTGCTGTCGCAAGTCTGCATTTTGATTTAAAGAAAGGTGCGGCGTCGGTAGGTAGCAATTCGCGCGATGCTGCTGCATACCTTTTCTGGGCAATGGCGCGAAGCGTAGCACCACAACATCTGGCCAGTATCATTGACACGGTTAGTGTTAATCTCATTCAGAAAGCTTTGTTCGATCGTGAGGTTCATATACGCAGAGCTGCTAGTGCGGCATTTCAAGAATTAGTCGGCAGGACAGTGAGTATCTGTTTTACGTGGGTGCAGACGCTCACTTGTACTTGATAGAACCTCGTAAAATATGGTATCGATGTTTTGCGCGCTGTCGATTTCTTCGTTGTTGGCGTGCGCCGTACCGCTTTCCTTGATGCTGCCGTAGAAGTATGCGAGTGGGTACTGCGTACTATCTTAGCATCCAGCTAATCCTCTCGAAGGTATGACTTTTATCGCAATTCAATCATACCATTCGTCGCCAGTAATGTGCTTACACATTGGGATTTTGACATGCGCAAGCTCTCATCCAAATTTATGGGCAGGGTGTGTGAGAAACACGTTTATCTCGTTGACGAAGTAGTGAATAAGCTTGTGAGTTAGCCTTCAAAGTCAGTCTTTGATTACTTAATTGAAATCAAGACACCGCGCATATCTACCAACGATCCAATCCTATTGCATGGAAGTCTTGCCACACTCTACCAACTTGCTTCTGCTCTACCTTGCGCAAATGAGCTCCATGATCGGGTGAGTTTGTTGAGTATTATTTAAAACTGATTCTGAAGCAACCCGATGTAGGTTTTCGGCCAACTCAAGCAAGTACAGCTTTGGGCATTGCAAACACCCCGATTTAGTCCAGTGTTAGAGGTGTGCAATAATGTAATAGGAGCAGTTTCGAATACCACCAATGCTCCCAAACACCAAGACATAGCTCTGAAAATTATTAGCGCAGGTATGACGCATAAGTCTGAAGTAGTAAGATTCGCATCCTCAAATGCGCTCGGAAAACTAAGCAAGAATTGCGACTGTGATAGAGTAATAGTCAAAATGATAAGCGACTTTGACACCGCTGAAGAGGCACATCAGCAATCAATACCTCTGGCATTAGGCCATATTCATTACTCGAATGTTGGAGTGCGCACGGAAGCTCTCGAATGCTTACTGCGTATCTGTAAAGCTAAGGTTGTTGTGGAATGTCGGGTGAACGCTTACGAGTCTTTGTCAAAAGTCTTCTCATCGCTCGACGATGATGCACAGAAGGAAACTGTCTTACATAATTTTTACAATGGGCTGTGGGATTATGCAATTGATCAAAGAGGAGACGTGGGTGCGTGGGTGCGTCAATCGTGCGCAAAAGGGCTAGGAATGTGCATTGGAGCGCATTACTCGTCTAGATTTGTAGAGATGGTAATCAGTCGACTGGTAGGCGTTAGTCTCGATAACATCTACACAAGCAGATGGATTGCGCTTGATGAGCTGGAGAAGATATTACCATTCACCACTCAGTCACTGGCAACACCACTTGAGCACTTTATCGAGGACACTAAGCAAATGACTGAGGATGTGTACTCGTCCAACAAAATATACGAAAACGTGGTACCTCTTTACGAGAAATGCGAGCCAGTAAGAGATGGAATATTGATGGGACTAGCTTTGGCAATTATCAGCAAGAATGAAGTATCGGTTTATAACTCTCGTAAAGCTGTTCTGCGTATATCTGAGGAGCTGCTGGATGATGTAATGGTACGGTGTCAGAAGCTGGCAGGAACGAATACCAAGACTAGCTTCTTTACTGGATTGGCCAACATACTTTTTAACGTTGCGGATGAGAGCGCATTTGAAAAAGAGGATCATTTTAAGCAGCTCGTCACGTTCAACGAGAAATACTGCCAGAAATCAAAAGTAATCTCTCGGATCACGGTTGGTATGAAGATTGCAACGGTGTTATACTACAAATTTGGCTATTCAGAAGCTCATCAAACACTGAGACAGTACCTTTTACATCCGTTACCGCGTATACGTGCGACAACGGCAGAAGAGGTCTACATCCAGGCGCAGACTTATGCAACCTCCTCGGATAAGCAGTTGGAATGGCTGATGGATACAGACTGGCTGAGTAAATCAATAACAAGAATAATAGCATCGGAAGTTTATTTGTAAAGCATGCAAGGGTGAAATTATACAAGAGATTGAACAATGTCTTGAAAAAGAGAGGGAAAGTAATATCTAGATTGAGGAGCTTGGTTATCTATCCAAAGAATACCATCATCCATCACAGCCTGTCTAAGGGAATTTCTGACTCTCTCGACAGTCCACGACTGAGCATTTTGGACAAGGGATTGATCGATCCAACCATGATTAGAATGTGCGAGTGAGAGTAGTGATAGCATGTCGTTATTGAGTTCTTTAGGTTGTGAGCGCATGTATAGGATTTGATTAACAGGTATGATCTCATACTGATGTCGATTATCATGCAGAGGTGCCAATACCTTAATAGACTTCTGTAGGTCACTTAGTGTGATTTGGGTTTTTCGCTTGAGGGAGAGAGCGTTGAGAATATCTTCAACTCTGACTAGACCACCTGTGAGTGTTGCGGTAGATACGCACATATCAACGAGTTGTACAGCGAGAGATAAGTAGAAATCAGAGAAACCAGTCAAATTACTGAATAGACTGCCTCTACTGATATTGAGTGGATCAACGTCGATAGTTGAGCACATTTCAGTGAAACGGTTTCTGAATTGAACATTGCTTTCAATGTCTTTGCGATGGTTTTTTGAGAAATCAGTGAGATATTGTTTGAAAGTGGATATTTGATGATGTATCGATTGTAGTTGTTGCGCATTTATACTGTTCCCGAGACTGCGATAAGCGTCGTTGTTTTGGTGATGCTGCTGGTGCAATGATCCAATGCCTTTGTTATTCCGTCGAGACATTTATAGCGCGTGTACCTCGCCGTCGCGTTTCAACTAGCCACACACTAGAATATCGACGGCGAGGATGGATGAGAATAATGTCAGCGAATTGGAGAATGCGGTGTTAATGGAATATACGCAGATAGCTCAAACGATGAAGAGGGTCGGTAGTTTTCTAGCAGCACTGCCACGCTCACAAATCTCAGTTCAATCACGTGTGTAAGGAGCTCAGCCAGAATCCAAATGAGCAGCTACTGCTCCAGCTGCGCCATTTAGAGCAGAAGATGGGTTTAGTGTTGACGCTGTACAAGGCCTCAGTATGGAGTGTGATTATGGACGAGCAGCAGCAGTAGTAGTTGTAGTGAATAGTAGCAGTAACAGCAACAAACCACCCAATAAATAGAGCAATAATGTTTATATAATCAGTGTACAAGTATCAACAACCACTATTCTACATCCAATAACTGTTATACGCGCTTGGCAAGGCGTTGAATTGCCTTGAATTGGTAGAGCTTGAGCTTGATTGCTGTGGAAGCTGCGCTTGCTGTGTTGTTTGGTATGAACCCTCAGGTGTAGTTATAGTCGTTGTCGACGACCCGTCACTGTTTGTGTTAGTCTCGCGCGTTTCTTTCCTTCCATTTACGACGGTTGTTGAGATTGATCTGCCTGCTGATCTACCCATTCCCATTCCTCCTGGTGACATCATGGATGGCATACCCATCCCGCCCATGCCCATGCCCATGAAACCACCGCCACCCATCATATCTGCAAATGGGTCGCGTCTTCTGTGGGAGGGAGCAGTGAAAGGATCAGCGAAGAACGAATCTCCGCCCATACTATCACCGCCAAAGAAAGGATCGTTGAAGAAACCAGAAGATGATCTCATTTGGGCGAATAGCTGATCGAACATGGAGAAAGGATCAGCGTATGCTTGTGAGTGTGAGCTAGAGGATCTTTCTGAAGGTGGTTGCGTTAGAGTTTCATATGCCACACTGATCTGCCTGAATGACTCCTCTGCTTGGGGTTTCTGTGAGTCATGTACTTTATCTGGATGATGCTGCCTGGCTAGCTTTAAATACTGCTTCCTAATTTCACCTTGTGATGCTGTCTTTGGCAACTCAAGCACTTGAAATGGATCGGCCATGGCTGTAATTGTAAAGTGCAGTCTCGATGCGAAATACAAGAAGATTACTTATGTTAATAGACTTTCATTGAATATCCATAACTTGAACTTGAAATTGCAGCAAGCGTTCTCCTTAGCCAGTGACTCTTTTAGCGTCGTCTACGTCGATGACGATGGGATCCACACTAGGCTACAAACCGATAACGATTTAGATGAGTGTTTGGAGTATTTTGGTGGTGACTGCGATGATAATATCACTCTCAACTTGGAAATCCTCGTCGATTACGATGGCCCTTCACTCTCTGATGCTGCGACGTCGATATACAACTCTTCTTCTTCCTCTGAATCGGTTAGCTACGGCGTGAAGGATGCTGATAATTGCTCTATTTCACTCTCTCAATCCTCTTCTGAGAAATCAACTAAAAAGTCATTCTCACTGCGTTCATCACTCTCGAAACTATCCGTCAAGTACAAAGAGCAGGCAATGAAGATGGCTTCTAAACAGCCAAAGTCACTAGCCTCGTCATCCAACCACAATACAAAGATTGATAGTATCTCAGACACTATGACGCAACGGCAACCAGAGGTACACAATGAGCGCGACGAAGATGGTGATGTTGATGATGACTATGAATCAGCATCTCAAGCCACTCATAACCCATTAAAACCGTCAGAGTCTACACCCTCTCTCAACACCTCCACTGAGCTTTCCAACAAGCTTGTAATCGCAGATGGTTCTAATAATGGTCCAGATAGAGGTGATTTAGCAGTGCGTTGGTTTGCTGATCAATCTGAAAGAGCACTTTTGGCTACATTTGGCACACAGCTAGCACCATCTGAGTCTACAGCTACAGATACTCTTACAGCTACGTCAGATGACTATCAATCAAATTTCGATTCTGAGTCTGTCTCTCTAGCTCTAGAGCGTGACGGGAAGGGGTCTTATAGGTATACGCTTACTGGATCAAATGATGGAATATTCATCAATAATGACGTTCCTCTTTGCAGCAGTTGTGGAAAATTACTCGATAACTTACGCTACATCTGCACAACTTGTGGTGTATCCAGTTGTGAATATTGTCCGGATTGCATTGAAGGAGCAGGTGCAGTACACGCAATTGAAAACACTCCCAAGCACGCTTTCAGGGAGTGTGTTAGATCAGATCAGGGTTGGATAGAAGTAGATTATGGTGATGAAAGAGATTGCTCTATATGCAAAACACAGCTAGAAGTTAATTTCAAATGCGTCAGTTGTCAATCCCTTAACCTTTGTAGGAGATGTTGGAGTAGTGTGGGAGATATACACCCCTCACATGCTTTTCTTGAATTGCCACAAACTGTGGTGGGGAGACAGACGAGACAGGCTGAAAGAGAGAGCGCGACGGAGAGACGCTCGCAAGCTGCTGGTGCTGCTGCGTCGAATGGATCTCTAGCAGCGACAAGCACTCCACAGCATAATCGTAGGCTGCTATTGTTTATTTTACAGTCACCACTCACTCACTTCATAGGTAAACACCAGAATGTTTTCTGTCATCACTGTCTGGGCGATATTATTGGACCACGATTTCACTGCGCAGTATGTGCACTGTACGATTTGTGTCAGAACTGCGAAAGTCTCGGAGCGGCAGATGGGAATGGTCATGATGAGACGCACGTGATGATGAAAATACCCTTGCCGTTATCGTTACATGAAGTGCAGCAGTGGGTGAGGAGAAGGTAGATATTCAGATTACTCACTCAGCTGCAGGGTATCAGCGCGCGCAAGACGCATGTGGAATAGCGATAGGAACGGTACACCTACCATCCAGACTGAAAATACTCAGTTGCGTGGTATGGAAAGTGGTGTGGTCACCCACAATTTTACTCCAACTAACCATCACACGCGGTGTAATGGTTGCAATACCAACATTACAGGCGAGCGTTATGCGTGTTTGCACTGCTCTGGTGAGTATAATCTGTGCTCGGAATGCGAGAATATGTCGTACGTTCTCCACGATTCATTGCATATTTTCCTCAAATTGGATTATCAATTACGTGAACCAGGATTGAGAGGGATGGGAGGTAGTATACCGGTGTTATATCATTTACCAGCAGGTAAAACAGTTGATGGGAGTGATACACACACTGGACCTAACGAGTATCTATCGACAATCAGACATGACAAGGTGGTTTGTGATAGGTGTATGGAACCAGTAATGGGAAAGTGGTTTAGATGCGTAAATCTAGCTGGTAGTTACGATCTATGCTCGTCGTGTGAACCCAGTGATAGTCATAAAGGGGAACATATATACCTAGTTATGAAGAGTATAGTGGATATGGATTTATTCGCGGATTTCGCAGAAATAGGTAGCGACTCAGGCAAAGCATTGTTACCTGGATTAGCTTATGCTAGTTGAATAATAATACAAAGTTTAGAAACAATTTAGGGTTATCAGAAACGCTGACGTTTAAGATATTGGTTATCGTTATCATTAGAAGAGATAATGTCATCGATTGAGCGCTTGGAAGTTGATAACGTTGGTTGAATCTGAATAGAATCTTGTATTTGGTGGATGTGTTGGTGTGGATGTGTTGTACTTCCCATTAAAGCTAGCTCGTGTTGCTGTTGTTGGTTATAAATGTCCTGATTCTGGGGATAGTGGGGGTCTTCTTGTTTGATGGGTTGTTGTGGGTGTTGTGGGGATTGTGTTTGTGGCTGTGGTGATTGTTGTTGTTGCTGCTGCTGCTGCTGCTCCAATTGCCCCCCATCAAACAAGCTAGACTGACCCAAACCAGGCTGATGTTTAAGCAAAGCTTCAAGTAAAACACTTGTAAAAGTGAGATAAAAAGTGAGATAAAAATCTAAACCCACTCATTCTCATCTTCAACTTCCTGCAACGCTGATTGAGCTTTACGTATGTTTTCCTTAATTTCAACAGTTTCATGCTGAGTTTCATTCCATCTCTCTCTAATTATCAGATAAGCACGCTTATATTTTGCAGCTTGTTTTGCAGTATGTGTTGCTCTGCCATGGACAAGAGTCTGAAATAAATGTTTGTAAAATCCCATAGATGAATAAATAGCTCACTTTTCCAGGGAAACTGGGGAAATTTGGGTGGTTGGGATAACTTGATGTCTGCGCGTCGTGATCAGTTGGAAGTTGCATTAGAAGATGAGAATTAGTTAAATTAAGTTAATATATGAGATTTCTACTTTGTATATGTGATTTGCTTATGTTCTGCGTGGGATGTATCAAACACCCTCTCTAACTTGAACCACCAACAGCCATGAGCATAATTGCACGCCCAGCACTTAGACAAATAGCCAAAGCACCAAGAGGCGTTAGAACAGTCCACATTGAAAATAAAGTCAATGAAGTTAGTACAACTGGCTTTAAATCACTCAATTATCTCATAACACACACCAGACAATGCCATTCAAAACTAAAGGCGGTGGATTCGGTGTCAAACTTACAATCGTATCTGCGATAGGACTTGGTACTCCCTTCTTCGCTGCCTGGTATCACGGGTGGGTTGAATCTAGTTTACTATGATGACTCCATCTAACAAACGCATCAGCGCTTTCCATTAAAACTTAGATTCTGTCTGAATTATAAATAAAATTTTGATTCTCTAATTAATTCACTCGTTATTCGCTTACACCTATCATGTCCATTTACTCACTACTCACTCATTCAATCACAAGAAGCGATACAGATGCTTTTACACAGCCATCTTCTTCTTCTGGATCTAGCAACAGCAACAGCGTCGATACTCATTTAAAGGCGTTGTTGGTGGAGATGCACAACATCCTAAACACACTACCCACATCTCTCACTAACATTTATCAAGAGATTCAAACTGACAGACAATCTGAATTATTCAATACAAGGAATCTCGGTAGTTTATTGAATACCCGTGTGTAGATGTACTGACTTGATATCACAGTCTACTCTTTCGCAGATGATCTCAACAGGCGTTTACATTTATCTGCCATTGAACAGAGTAAATTTAATGTTCAAATGTTGGATGAGATTAAAGCACTATCTAATCGTCAATTGGAGATAAATACGGCAATGATGCAATGGATACAACAGCAGCAGCAACAACAACAACAACAACAGGAGTATCACCAGCATCAACAACAAAAGTGCCTTGATGCATCCGACAAATCCACTCAAACTAACTCTTTTTCTTTGGCAGCAGAAATGCTAGAAACCAGCTGATCATTCCTTATTCTTCATTGGGAATCATATTTTAGTCACTTTCAACTCCTCTCTCTCACTCACTCACTTCATGAGCATCTCCAATCTACCCCCGGAATTGCTCCTTCCCATCATACACCACCTCGAACGCAGCGATCTTGTCAATGTCATCAAAACCACCCGGCATTTATACGCCTTAGGAGTTGATCATCTATATAATTCTATCGGTGGGTGGGGTGCACAGCTTTTTTAATCATATAAACTTGTTTAGCAGATTTTACGCACTACTCTAACCACCAACTTCGTTCTGCTGTCTCTAATCTCACACATACACTCAAAAATTCATCAGTCAACGCAAATTACATCCGTAGATTAACTTTTAGATACTCTACACTCAAAGAAGAGCTCGTTTTTAACAATTTACTACAGAATTTACTTAAACTCATTCCAAGTGTAACCTACACACCAGATGGACAGAACAAATATTTTGAGTTGCAACTCACAGAGACTGAACCAGATGACATATTAAACTCTGAACGTATCAATTTAGTTTTAGCTCAAATACCAAAGTTGGAATTTCTCGTCATTTCAATTAAACGTACTTCAATCCATTTAAGTCTTAAAAGAGATTTGAGCAATAAAGATGAGGAGCTATATGAATTTGTAACATAACGATAATAAGCGATAAATGGTGATAAATACATAAATATTGTCATAACGAGTTGTTAAAAAACGTACATGTGAGATTTCACTTTTTCGTCATACGTAAGACAACGTAAAACAAAACACGATAAACGAAAGCAATGATCAACATTGCGAAAGCGAATAATATCTTATTCTTATCCCTAATCTCAAGATATCCTAAAATATCTTCTCCAGGAAGTGCACAAATACCTTGATCTTCAAGTGACGAAGGATACGAGCATTGGCATTTTCCATCTGAATTTTGAGTGCAGCTAAACAACACACCCTCCAAATCATTTTTTGTACTAAGAACAAATCCGTATGTTTGGAATGATATCCAGTGCACAAAATAGTAGTAAAATTTTGGCAGATTTGGCGCTCGTATGAAATAACCTTGAACACACATCCAAAATCCATTGATGAACGATCCTAGGCTTATCGCTGCAACGTTATCAGGAATCGCTGTTGCTATCAGAACCGATTGGCACTCCGCAACGAACGAAGTTAAAAAGTAGTAAGCTAGGAACCTAAACCAAACATCAACTCCAGAGTTAAGATCAACTGCCCAGTAAATGATCAACAAAAACAATGTGCAACAAACAAACACAAATGGAATTGTTATAAGCGTTGAACTAATCAAGAATGCTGAAGGTCCGTATAAACCGTTAGCCCTCTCCCTAACGTAAACCATCCTTTCTTCTAAAAAGGATGGTATCCCACTGACACTCATAAATGAAATGAATGTCACAGCAAACGAGTGTACCGACAATCTTTCGTTCATTTTGTCTGAACTTGTTCCAAGGTGCAGCCAAACTGTGGCAATAAGCAACCCCATCAAAACATACATAATCATTCTCGCTGCATACGCCAGAAGATTACGTTGACTGTTGAGCTGTGATCTATGACACAATACCGCTACTTTATAGCACCAGTCGGAAAAATTTGTTTTTGAAGATTTTAATGCAAGGCCCGAACCAGAATTTGACTTAGAAGTAAATGATTCCGCTGGTGTCGCATGCGAATCCAAATAATCTTCCTTGAAACTCGAGCTAATTGATCCATTCCGTGAATAAAGCTTCCATTTCTGTGACAATCCATTCAAGTAATTCTCGCTATCGAATCCCGATGACTTGTTTGAGAAATCCGTATTTACTAGTGTAATTGCATGATCTGCTGGATTGGTGTATGCAGGGCAGGGTTTACCGAGAAAGTCAAAGTAGTTGATGAGGTCGAGTGTAGGTGCTTGATACATTGTCTGCCCCTGTGCGAGCAGCAAACACTGGTCAAACATTTGAAATATCTCCCATTTAGGTTGGTGAATCGTGCAAAGTACTATAATACCTTGCTCAACTGCCAGCTTTTTGATTGATTGCATCACTTCTTGTGATGTCTGACTATCCAGTCCAGACGTTGGTTCGTCTAAGAATAGTATACGTGGATGTGAAACGACTGCACATGCTATAGTCACTCTCCTCTTTTGACCACCTGATATTCCACGTTGGATGGGTGATCCTACTCTCATGTTGGCTATCTCGGATATGCCCAACGATTCCATTGTAAGATCAACTCTCTTTAGCATTTCGGCCTTTGAAATACTTTTTGGCAAGCTGTGACAATGTCAGTCACGTTTAGCAGATTCAATGTCGTCACGTACCTCAATTTTGCCGCGAAGACAACAGTCTCTCGAACGGTAAGAACGCCAATAAGAGCATCGTCTTGCTCAACGTATTGTGCCAAATCTCTCATGTTGAATTTCGAATCTTCGTCAAAAGATATCTGTCCATCATTAGATATGTGATAATAGCGGAGATATAAAACGCACAACAGTGCCAGAAGATCCTTTGGCTTTCTTGCTGATAACATCTAAGAAGGTGGATTTACCTGCTCCCGAAGGTCCCAATACTGCGGAAGACGTGTTAGGCGTGTATGACTTTTCGACAGGCCTGTGTACAAACCAGCCATCATTTCACCGGAATAAACAACTCCGTTTTGTTCAGATAGGATGGTCTTTGCTTTCTTGCCGCTTGTCCTAAATCCCAAATCCGTCCAGCTCAGCTTGTGCTTTTCTTTCAACGGTGTAGGTGGGTATAATGAGGCAGGTGTAGGAACGCCATCTGCCTGTAATTACATTAGTGGTGTACACCTGAATGCACACCACTCACTTCCAAATCCATATAGTTATCACTTATCCCATTGTTAAGCATGGGTATGTGCTTCGAGTGTGCTAGCTGTATTCTAAGATTCGGATGCTTCACCATATCAACTATCGAACCCTTTCGGAAATTTCGGTGTTTATGGGTTTGTTTAATTGAAAGTGATTTTCAATATCGAAAACTGACATAACATGCCAAAGACCGACGCGTGAAAAACTTCTTAAACCTTCAAATTAATTTCAAGCTGATCTTTTTAGGCAACAATTACACGACTCATTTTACTTAAATCGATTTTGTCTAAATTGCTCATTTCATCTATCCATGCTGATCTAAATGTGTTTGGTCCTCTGACGTCGTTTCGGGTGCTTGCAATCTCGGCGGATATTTCAAGAGCCAATACCCTAAATTGGTTTGCTTTGTTAGGCCGTTTACTAATTGCGCTGCGGCTTAACTACTCACCCTGCAATCGAAGCTATAAAGTGATCACCTGTGGTCAATTTTCCATCTTTATTCATATCTCCCTCTGTCATTGATGCTACTGCACAGCACGTTGCTATTGCTGTTCCCGTGACACATCCAGATCCTGTGATTTGCCCCAGTAATTGATGTCCATTTGATATCTTCGCTGTACGTTCGCCGTCACTGATGTAATCATCCTTACCAGTCATCACAACTACGCAGCCTGAACAGTAACATTTTTCAGAAGGTCTTATCGTATGAGCACATAATAACCTACGTTCTCGGTTCGCCAGGGATCGAACTACCAAATACGGATCTTTGAAACCAGGTCCGACGGAATCGACACCTTTCGTGGTAACCTCGTTTAAGCCTGATAAGGCACCGATCTCTGCTGCGTTCCCTTTAATCACTGTTGGATGCCAGTGGCTGAGCAGCTCTAATTTCGGTTAGTCTCTTAACGACTTCATGCCTTTTGCCCACCTTTCCCGGTTTCCCTGCGGAATGATGTGGCTCCTACAGCGACAGGATCGAAGATGAGCGGCTTCTTATTAATATTCGAATAGCGTCCTAATATAATTTGAGTTTTGGTTGAGAAAATTACACAACTTACCTCCAGCAAGCATAGCACGCTTTTGCTCATCGGATACGGTTCCCATGTTGATCAAAAGTGCTCCAATGTGTGGATTGAGATCCTTTTGATCACCAACAACGCTTTGTATGTGTCAGACAAACAGACATGGTAGAAACAGGACATACGCAGCCATGACTGGACTAGCACCGAGTGCAAGTGTAGCATTGGCTTGATCATTAGCCGTAACAATGTTAGCCATTTGCTGGATGAGCGGGCTTTGATCTGGTATTGCGTTTATAATCTCTGAAACCTTGTTGAGGACAGAATCGATGTCGTTAATGGCTGGCTCAGGTTTTGTGTTTTCATTATTCCTGAAAGCTTGGACAAGGCGAGCTAGATTTTCTGTAGCTTTCCTTGGCCTAGGAGACGAGACTATGTCGCTGACGACAGCCACGCCATCGAGATATCTCTTTGTATCCCTAAAATGTACACCGTGCAGCACGCGCAATACATTATCTGACTTGATACCACCAATAACGACAGTTTTGATTGGTGAATGAGGGTCCAATGCTGCCAAAACGGCTCTAGCTCCTGCTGGTCCCATAATCTTATTGGATACATCCTTTGTTTGAGTGCCGTATATTGCACCAATTCCCAAGTAATCAGCACCACCTTTCTGCGCAGCTATTGCTTGATCAATATTGCCTGCAGAAACGCCGATAACCTTGTTTGGACCGAGTAACCTACGAGCAACGGCAAGGGGAGCATCGGATTGGCCGACGTGGACGCCTGCACAGTCAATAGCGAGTGCGACATCAATCCTATCGTTTATAAGGAGTGGAGTATTGTACTAAACTGCACTTTAGGCTTATCGGGCGAATGATGAATGACGCACCTTATCACAAATCGCTTTAGTGGATTGAGCGATTTGAATGAACTGGGAAATAATTAGGTGGTTATGGCTATAAAGCTTGTAAGTCACACACGAACCTCTCCAGTGTCAATAGTCTTCTCTCTGAGCTGAACGACAGTCACGCCGCCCTGCAGTGACTCCTCGAGAGATTCGAGATAATGCTGGCAGTGAATTAGAGTGGATTTGATTGGTGGATCTTGACGCACCTTTCCAACTGGCAATAGATCTCTCGCTGTGACCAAATAAACCGAATAGTCTATCTCACTCCTCATCGCGTTTGTTCAAGCTTCTTCCATCTCCACCAAATGGCTTATCAGCGCGGAAAAAGTAAGAACTCCGCTGGGGATAATCTGCAATCGTACAGTTCAGGCTCGGCATTTACACACCAGTCAATCGCCGTGGATCACAAGTCAACTCGTGGCAGTTATGTGAGGATGGCAGACAGAGCAGACTTACGCTCTTATTTACATTTCTAAGGATAAGAAAGCGCCTACGACTATCACCGCTACCGGAAAGGTTGACTGGGTGATCGGTTTCCTTCTTGCTTCCGTTGCGCTGGCAATCAGATTCCATAAAATAGACCATCCAAGCGAAGTCGTGTAGGTAAAATTGGCGTCAACTTATACATCTAACGATCTTTCAAGCTTTGATGAAGTTCATTTCGGGAAAGTCCGTCTGCCAAGATTACAACGGAAACCTCCTTACAACTCCCACAGTTCGCAGCTTATTACATCAAGAGAGAGTACTACTTTGATGTTCATCCTCCACTCGCAAAGATGCTCAACGGTCTCGCTGGCTACTTGTCTGGTTTCAATGGCGATTTCCGCGTGCGTTTCTTCTCGCTATCCCTCCCTATGCTTACATTTGGCAGTTCACAAACATCAACGATAGCTACACTGCAGGCGGTGTTCCATATGTTGGTATGAGATCTCTGTCAGCAGTCTTAGGCTCATTCACCATACCTCTTATCTATGGTATCATGCGTGAATCCGGCTATCCTAAAGCTATCGGTATTCTCTCAGCTGCGATAATGCTCTTCGGTTGGTAGCTACTTTCGTATGTCGATACGCTCACTCCAATCCAGACAATGGCCACGTCGCTCAAACGCGTTTGATATTACTCGATGCAGCCCTCGTCTTCTTCATGGCTTTGTCGCTCTATTCTTACGTGAGATTCTCTAAATGTCGCAGAAAGCGCGTAGTAACTTTCCAGGCTGCTTAGCTAATCCGATTTACAGCTCATTTACTCCTTCCTGGTGGTTCTGGCAAGCCTTGACCGGTGTCTCACTGGCTCTGACTCTTGGCTGTAAGATGGTTGGTCTCTTCACCTTCCTTACTATCGGCGTAGCCGTTGCTATTGATTTATGGAACATTCTCGACATCCGCAGAGGTCACACAATGGTAAGCACGTCTCATAAAATTTTATCTTGCTAACAACTCCTCAGAATCAAGTAACTCGCCACGTTGCAGCTCGTGTACTCTGTCTCGTTGTTGTCCCTGCTATAGTGTATCTCTCACTCTTCTGGGCTCACTTCAAGATACTCAAATACTCAGGCCCAGGTGACACATTCATGTCTCCAAGATTCCAGGAGACTCTCCAAGGTAATCCAGTACTTGAAAATAGTAGAGGTAGGTTGTAATGTATCAATTTGATGCAGTAGTCTAATGTTACTCAGAGATATTCTACTATGACACAGCTACTCTCAAAAATCGCGACACAAGCAACTTTTTACATACTGAATTCCAATATTACCCTCTTAGATACCCTGATGGAAGGGTCAGCAGCCAAGGTGCGAGTTTTCGAGACACCAATACACCCTCTGACCACTAGAGTAGGTCAGATAGTATCAGGTATACCTCATAGAGGTTTGGATAACTACTGGCAGATTCTTCCAGGCGAGGGATCGGCTCCTAAGGATGACTTGAAATTAAGAAATGGTGATATCATCAAACTGTACCACCAGGACACTGATACAAACCTTCTGACCCACGATGTTGCCTCTCCGTTGACCTCCACCAATGAAGAATTTACAGCTTGGCCGCATAACAACACAAACCGCCGTGACCAGGAAGAAGAGTTCCAGATTCATGTTCTGGGTGCCCAAGAGGGTGAGGTTGTTAAGTCCCTCGCCAGTCACTTTAAGCTCGTACATGTCGATACTGGCGTATCTATGTTCATGAGTGGTAAGGGGCTGCCATCTGGATGGGCTCCTGGTAAGTTTGAGGTGAATGGAAAGAAGGATGAGTCTGAGCAGGGTGCTACGTGGTACATTGATGAGTTTGAAGCTCATCCAGAGATGAAGGCTGAGAGCAGACAGAGTGGATCTACAGGAAAAAGAGTCAAGTCAATGAGTTTCTTCAAGAAATTTTTTGAGTTGGTGGGAGTCTCCTATTTACATGTTGCATTGCTGATTGAAACCCAAGCAAACCAAGATGCTGAAGCATAACGCTGGCCTGACTAACTCACACCCATACGCTAGTGCACCAATAGAGTGGCCATTTCAACTAAAGGGCATCAGCTTTTGGACAAACAACGACACGCAACAGCAGATCTACATGATTGGAAATGTCTTTGGTGCTTGGGGGTCTATAGCGGCGTTGTCAATATTCGCAGGTATTTGGGGAGCTGATCAATTGTCGAGAAGGCGCGGACAGGAACCGATTGAGGAACGTAAGTGGGGTCGAATGAGTCGATGATTGCGCTGAGAGTGTTTGCAGATGTCAGACGTAGAATGCACAACTCAATTGGCTTTTTCATAGCTGCATGGGCTTTCCACTACTTGCCTTTCTTTTTAATGGGCAGACAGCTCTTCATTCACCACTATTTACCAGCTCAGGTGAGTTGCATAGCGGGCAGCTGACTATTCTAAACGCCTAACAGCTTGCCAATGCACTAGTCGCTGGTGCAGTGGTCAACTTTATCGCTACAGAGTCAGCCGACTGGCCCCTGACAGGATCAAGGCTGCGCACACGCATAGAATTCCCTAGAACAGCCAAGATAGTGATTGCGGGAATAATAGTTTGTATTGTCGCCGTCTTCTGGTTCCTCTCACCATTGACGTACGGTACGCCCGGTTTGGAAGGCAGCCAGGTGTACCGTAGAAAGCTACTAGACACTTGGACACTACATTTCTCGCCCAAGTGAGGCAAAACATTGTAAATTATTCGTCTAAATTTTATTCGCTAAAATACGGCACATAACATTATGAGCGAATCACTTGCGCATCGACATCCATCACTTAACGATAAAATGATCCCGCGTGTGACGAGATTGTCTACGCGTCTGCAAGCAAGACGCTTACCAAGCATTACACAGCCCAGGCTGCGCAAATTGGCCACTTCGGTGCAAGAGGATGACGGATTCGCTGGTGCAAACGCCTTCTACGTTGAGCAGATGTACAGGCATTGGAAGGAAGACCACTCCTCTGTTGACGAGAGCTGGGATGTGTACTTCAACAGCTTGGATGGAAAACCTCCCGTTCCTTCAGTATCTGCCGGTGCAGGCGTAGGTGCGATCAAGGAGCCACCAAACCAAGCATTCGTCAATACTCCATTAGATGTTCCAAAGACTGACTCAAATAGCCTGACTGATCACCTCAAAGTTCAGCTTTTGGTTAGAGCTTTCCAAGTCCGTGGCCACATACTCGCAAAGACTGATCCACTCGGTATCGTTGAGCCTGAAAGACAATTGAACATGCCATCAGAGTTGGAGCTTACCCACTACGGTTGGTCTGAATCTGATCTCGATACCAAGCAATTCGACCTCGGTCCAGGTATTCTTAAGCGCTTCACTGACACTGGAAAGTCCAGAATGACCCTGCGTGAAATTTACGACCTCTGCAAGCAGATTTACTGTGGTCCCATTGGTTCTCAATACGTTCACATACCAGAAAAGGACCAATGCGATTGGATTAGAGACAGAATAGAATCCCCACAGCCTTGGAACTTTTCCTTGGAAGAAAAGAGAATGGTTTTGGATAGACTCGTTTGGTCTGATTCTTTCGAACGTTTCATCGCTACCAAGTTCCCTAATGAAAAAAGATTCGGTTTGGAGGGTTGTGAATCACTTATTCCTGGTATGAAAGCAATTATTGATCGCTCTGTTGAGCACGGTGTCAAGTCTGCCGTGATTGGTATGCCACATCGTGGTCGTTTGAACGTTCTCGCCAACGTTATTCGTAAGCCAGGTGAAGCTATTTTGTGAGTTTGGAGTAACGAAACCCTACCACTTACTCACATAATCAAGCAACGAGTTCTCCCCAGTGGCATCAGCTGACGATGAATCTGGCGGTGGTGACGTTAAGTACCACTTAGGTGCAAACTACGTTCGTCCAACACCATCGGGCAAAAAGGTTTCGCTCTCACTTGTTGCCAACCCATCTCACTTGGAGGCTGAAGATCCTGTTGTCTTGGGTAAGACCCGCGCATTGCAATTCTTCGATGGTGATAAAGAAAGACTCTCTGCTATGGGCATTCTTCTCCATGGTGATGCTGCATTCTCCGCTCAAGGTGTTGTTTATGAGACTCTCGGTTTCCACTCTACCCCAGGATATGGTACTGGTGGTACGATTCACATCTGTATAAACAACCAAATCGGTTTCACCACTGACCCAAGATTCTCACGCTCAACACCTTACCCAACTGATGTTGCCAAATTCATTGATGCACCAATCTTCCACGTCAACGCTGATGATCCAGAGGCAGTCGTTTTCATTTGTCAATTAGCAGCAGACTGGCGTGCCAAGTGGAAGAAGGATATTGTTATCGACTTGGTTTGCTACCGTCGTCACGGTCACAACGAGACTGATCAACCTGCTTTCACACAACCACGTATGTATCAAGCTATTTCTAAGAAACCAAACATCCTCGACATTTACGTCGATTATCTTCAAAATGAGGGTACATTTACTAAGCAAGACACGGATGAGCACAAGAAATGGGTGTGGCAGACTCTTGAGAAGTCATTCCAGAACTCAAAGGAATACAAGCCAAGTCCGAAAGAATGGCTTTCATCGTCTTGGGATGGATTCCCAACACCTTCAGAGCTTTCACAACTTGTTCTTCCAGTAAATCCAACTGGTGTTCGTGAGGATAAGCTGGTTGATATTGCTAAGAAGCTTGGCAACTTGCCAGAAGGTTTCACTGTACATCGCAACTTGAGCCGTGTGCTTAAGAACAGAGAGAAGATGGTTGAAGAGGGCAAGGGTATTGACTGGTCAACAGCTGAAACACTCGCGATGGGTGCACTGGCTACAGAGGGTAACCACATCAGATTATCAGGTCAGGATGTCGAGAGAGGTACATTCTCGCAACGTCACTCTATTATCCACGATCAAAAGACGGGTGAAGCCTTCATGCCATTGAACCACCTTGGTGAGAAGCAAGCACCGGTCACTATAGTTAACTCAACATTGTCTGAATTTGGTGTTCTTGGGTTTGAGCTCGGATACTCGCTTGTCTCTCCAGATTCTCTTACCATTTGGGAGGCGCAGTTTGGAGATTTCGCTAACAATGCACAATGTATGATTGATCAGTTCATTTCATCAGGAGAGAGGAAGTGGTTACAGCGCACAGGTTTAGTACTCTCACTTCCACATGGATATGATGGACAAGGACCGGAGCATTCAAGTGGTAGAATAGAGCGTTTCCTGCAGCTCTGCGACGATAATCCACTTATATTCCCAAGTGAAGAGCAACAAATCAGACAGCATCAAGATTGTAATATGCAGGTAGTGTATCCAACGACGCCAGCTAATTACTTCCACGTCCTTCGTCGTCAAGTGCATCGTGGATTCCGTAAGCCATTGGTGTTGTTCTTCGCCAAGAGCTTATTGCGTCACCCAATGGCTAGATCGGACTTGAGTGAGTTGAGCGGTGATACAAGTTTCCAACGTTACTTGCCAGACCCACATCCAGATCATCTGGTTGCACCTGAGCAAGTGCGTCGTCACATACTGTGTTCTGGACAAGTTTATCACACGTTAATAAAACACCGTGATGAGAAGGGAATAAAGGATGTGGTAATCTCACGTCTTGAACAGTTATCACCATTCCCATATGACATGATTAAGCCAAACTTGGATAAGTATCCAAATGCTGATTTATACTGGTGTCAAGAAGAACCAGTGAATAATGGAGCGTGGTCATATGTGTCGCAACGACTTATTACGCTGGTTGACAACACTGAACATCACAAAGGTAAGGTACCATTATATGCGGGTAGACCACCATCATCTTCAGTTGCAACTGGATCCAAGGCATCGCATAAGTCTGAAATAGAGAATTTCTTGAATGATGCTTTCAAGGAGTGAGATGAATGGATTTAAATGAATTTGATTTGAATTTGAATAAAATGATTTACATATATAAATATCTCTTGACATAATTCATGTAGTTGTAATGTGAAACTTTTGAACCATCAGCTTTGCAGAGATTAAGAGTTGATTGGTATGAGTAGAGATTTTAGACGCCAAACGCTCAATCAAAAACAAAGCTAGTTGAAAAAACCTCTATAAATTCACATTTTTAGTGCATCTCGTCACACAACTAGGTCTCGGTGCGCAAATGAGATATAGTCAGGCTAGATACTCTTATTTCAAACCATCTTTGTGCAAGGGTTAGAACTCATGGCATTGAGGTGAAAACCGAGCCTGAGTACGTTGCTGGTTGAAATCTACTCCAAACCCTAGTGCTTTGTGTCCTCTGGACCATAGCCAATTTTTCATTAGACAGCTCATGCTGCATTCTTTCTCTGTTCAGTGTAGGCGTTAGTGCTAGCATTGTATTAAGAAGGGTGTTTTGTGTGCGTTGTTAATAGATACCACGTTTCTAGACATTAATTGCCTATTGATAATTGGCCTGGGTGCTTCTACATGAGATGAAATATTGTACTTAATATAATATTATTGACTTGATATTCTAATTCGAATACTTTGTGTCTACTTTATTCTTATAAGGCAAAGTTACAGATTTGTAGCAATATTCGTACTCGTAAAAACGCAGTTAACGCACGTACGCACGTACACAATACATACAATACACACACACAACACATATATATACACCTTGATAACCAACACTCACGTCATGTCTACAGCGCCACCAAAACCCTGGGAGAATGGAAACGTCAACACAGATATCCAGCCGCAGCCGCAGCCACAGCCACAGGACTCAACACAGCCAGCTATCCCTCCAAGACCATCCAACCTCTCAAATATCAATCCGATGTATGATAACCGTAAGTCTCACGAATCCATCGGAACAAATTTGACTTGTTTTCAGCCTATAATCAAATCCAGCAGCCATTCACTGGCGGTGGTATGAATGGAGGTATAGGCGCTGGCGTTGGCAGTGGAATGTACGGCGACTCCTTCGGTGGAGGTTACGGGTGAGCTATAAATATCGTCGCAGCATCGCTGACTAAACAGCTCATACGGCAATAGGTTCGGTGGACCGTATTCACGCTTCGGTAATGGCATGGCTGGTATCGGTGGCTTCGGCGGCTATAACTCTGGCTATAACGCTGGCTTCGGCGGGCTTGGCTATAGACCGATGGCGTATGGTGAGCCGAACAGCGTCGGACAGCGAATGGAATCGGGAACGCAAGCAACGTTTCAACTGCTTGAAAGCATAGTTGGAACTTTCGGTGGATTTGCTCAGATGCTCGAATCAACATTTATGGCAACACATTCGTCATTCTATGCTATGCTCGTAAGTGGAGTATCGCTTCCGTCGGCTAATTTGATGGAGTATGAAGGGAGTGGCAGAGCAATTCGGGCATTTAAAAGGATACCTGGCACAAATTCTATCCGCTTTTAACGTTCTGCGATGGATAAAATTGATGATCGCCAAAGCACGCGGAAGGAAATTACCCGAAAGGGCAAGAGATGTTCAGAACAAACCAAAGAAGAAACCATTAGTAATATTTCTCCTCGCCGTGATTGGTGTGCCATATATTATGGCAAAGCTTGTCAAGATGGCATCACAATCTCAGATTAATCAGCACCTCTTAATCGGCTCAAATGGGGAGAGGATCGATCCGTCGAATTTGACGTTTGTGCGTTGCAAGTATGCATACACACCACCAGAGGACAGGAAAGGCACAGAAATTGAAATCAAAGTGGGTGATATAGTTGCCGTCATAAACAGATCGGGAGAGTGGATACAAGGCCGCACGCGAGATGGAAGATTCGGCTGGATACCTAATAACTTTGTAGACAGCATTGAGAAATGAATAAAACTAAATGACAATGATCAAAAATAAATCCCGATTGGATATGTGCGCACATCCTGTCGGATATATGCTTAACAGACGCTCCGGCATACTCCGTGTTTAAAAGAGGGAGATGAAGGGCAGGTATTTTTTGTTTAAATTAAAGCAATACGCTGTAGGCAATATTGTCTGCTAAATGTGTTTTTTAATACCGGAGACTCTCCATTCGGCAGTAATTTTCGATCCGTCGATCGAAGAGACAGCGCTTCTTCAAAAACGACAAACGAAAAACGAGATCAAGTAGGATAAATGTCCGATACGCAGCAACACCAATGTGATCAGTGTCAGAAGGTTTTCAGTCGTTACGAGCACCTCGTACGCCACATAAACTCTGCGCGTGAGTGGACTACAACTGCTCCCGTATGGAATGTTGAAGCTAATTTTTATACAGATACAAAAGAAAGGCCGCATATGTTAGTTTATATGGTTTCATCCTATTCATTTCACCCCCACTAACCCCTATAATCAGCTGCACCTTCTGCGGGCGCTCTTTTGCGCGCTCAGATGTCCTCACCAGACATATGACGCTCCACACGCGGCCATCGAATCCGCTTACCAAAGACAGACGCCATCGTATACTTAGAGCGTGTACAAATTGCAAGAGCAGTAAGCTCAAGTGCGATGGACTGAAACCGACGTGCAGTAGGTGACACATGCGCATTCCACTCGGCAGCTCATTTAAAACTAAAACAGCACGCTGCAGCCAAAGACACAAGGATTGCAGTTTTACGGATGAAATGCCTAAGCCAGAGCCAATCGCACCACCCTCACCACCCTCCACCAAGAGACTTCGATTACCACCGATCAGTAGCTGGGCCCCTGATCTCTTATAAACAACGTATCATGTAAAAACGTAGCTAGCAAACTGTACTTATTTAAACTCCGTTTACAATATCTGTGTCCTAATCAATTTTCATTTATAAGTTAAATTTATTAAGTGGGACAGGTGTTCAAATTGTGTATGTTTCTAATCCAAGCAGTCTCATTCCCTCATATCTCATATCTCATCTCAGTCCCGTCGCCATCTTCTCTTCTCTCACTACATCCATCACTATGAAAAGAGGCGCTGAAAAGCAGCTCACGCAGGACGATCCTGAGGCAGAAGGAGATGACAATGTGTGTCTGCTCTAGATTCTTATTCGCTGCTCATCTCTTTCTAGTCCAACTACGAGGAAGGAGCCAAGCCGTTTGCACGTGCAAATGATTCTTCTTTATCGCAGAGAAAGTGGGGTGGATTATTTGATTAGCATTCCTTTGCTAATTCTACTTGTAGAATACGCGGAATGCCAAAAAGGATGCAATCTGCAGCACCACCGACTCAACCTGGGAAGACGCAAGAAGCTGCCAAGGTTAGTGGTAGTATTAGTATATTTGAAGATTTCCTCTGACGTTCCCTCAGATCAATCCCTTTGCATTCAACCCTCCAACTAAATCAGAAGATTCAGCACCAAAGGTAAATACTTACTTTGGCTTTCTCTTGCCATGTGATCTCACAGAGCCCCATAGAGCAATCCATTTTCTGCTTTCTCTGCAGCTCCAGCTAGGAGTGTACCAAAGGTAATTGCACTTAGATGGAATAACCAACAAGACGTACTGACTTGGTTCTACAGTCTACTGGATCATTTGGTGCCTTTAACGCATCTGTTAGTGGATTTTAATCCTTCATTAATTACGCTAACGCGATATAGACTTCTTCTGCACCAAACCAACCACCATCAACAAGCTCACCGTCTTTCGGCTCTTTCGGATCATTTGGTTCTTTTGGAGCACAGAAACCATCAGAACCATCAACATCATCAAAGCCATCACCACCTCAGCCTCAGCCTAAGGCAGAAGAGAAAGTCGATGATGATGATGTCCATTACTTCGCCTCACTCAAGGGCCTCAACAAGTCGCTTATTGATGCGCTCAGAGTGGCAACAGAAAAAAATCCATTTGTTGATCTCTCTACGGCGCTCGTTTCAGTCACCGATGAGTACAAGAAACACTTGGGTTCTATCAATGAAAAGACATCAAAGACAAAGGAGCAGCCAAAGGAGTACCCAAAGGAACAGCCAAAAGAAGTAAAAGATCAAAGACCAGAGGTTTTAGAATCCTCAAAACCCGCGCAACCACCCATCGCTCCACCTGCCTTTTCTATGCCTGCAGCTGGTAGCTTTTCTCTCAAACCATCAACTTCATCCAGCTCGGTTGGCCAAACTGGCACCGGGTTCAAGCCTACTGCCACTATTGCTCCTGTGAAAGAATCCAAGTCACCATTCTCATTTCCTCCAAGCGCATTCGCATCGTCATCGAATGAAAAGAATAATGGTACCTTTGGATCTAAAAATGAGGACAAGAAGGAATCTCCCAAGTCAAATACTTTCAACAAGTTTTCTGCACTTGGTGAGAGCGATAGTAGCAAGAAACAGGAGCAAAAGGAGGATGACAAAGTGGATAAGGATGAAATGCCAATGGAAATACCCCCAGCTCCTAAGCCAGCCTCAGCCGTACCAAAACCTCCAACTGTCCCAAGTTTATTCAACCCATCGAGTACAAGCACACCATTATCATCAGCGCCATCGACGCCTAGTGCATTCGAAAAACCTACTCAGAATAGCTCAGCTGGTTCCATACCAAATCCATTCGCAACAAAGCAAAGTTTAGGTTTTGGTGCAGCTTTGGGCGAAAAAACATCACAAACTTCACCCGGTTTTAGCTTCGGACAGGCATCTCAGCCGTCTGGATCTGCACCACCTTCTAGCGAAAGCACACCATCTAAAGGAGGATTAGCTTTTACATTTGGAAGCGCTTCCAGCTTGCCTTCTTTCCCTAAGCCAGCCGAAATGGATAAGGCGCCACCAACGCCACCCAAGTTCTTATTTGGCGGTGCTTCCCAGAGTGACAAGGAAGTGGTGAAGGAAGAGGTAAAAGAAGTGAAAGAAGAGGATAAGGAGAAGAAGGAGAACGAAGAAGAAAGTGGGGTTCGCACGAGCACTATGACCGGTGAAGAAGACGAAGACGATGTCTATCAAGTTAAAGCTAGGCTTTACAGATTCGTGGATGGCTGGAAGCCAAGTGGAAGTGGGTTATTTAAGATTAAGCAGAATCGCGAGAATAAAAAGAAGAGAATTTTGCATAGAGATTCAACCACAACCAAGATACTTTTGGTGAGTGTGGATGTCTTGATGAGAGAATGAGGCTAACGAGGTATAGAACTTTAACATACACCCGGAAATGAACCCATCAGCTGACGGCAAGCAGTTTTCACTCACAGGAGTGGAGGCAGATGGGTCGCTCAAGATGTTTAGATTGATGGTCAAGTCGAATGAGCTGGCGTCAGAAACAAGTGACGCTTTGAATAGGGAGGTGAAAGAAATACAAGGATGAAGCGTAGCTGTTTGAATTGATTAGATATTTATTACTTCATTATGTCTCTTCTTGCATTGAAACTGCGACTGCGACTAGACAATTAAAATGAAATCATTGAGAAAAGTGCTTAACGGGGAGAAAGAGACATCGAGCGTGACGAGGCTTATTGAGATATACTGTAGTAAAGAATACGAAGAATCTTCAATTGATGGGTGAGTTGGATGTATTATCATACGGCAGCTGAGCTCAGTTGTACACAGCGTATTCGATATCGTTGAAAGCATGCAGCTTATGAAGAGGACTGGTCAAGTTGAAGCTAGCAGAGCAATGCGCAAGCAACTCAAGCATGGCACTAACCATCAGCATATCCGTGCTTTGACAGTGGGTTGACTGTATTTGCATGGATTACTATAACACCACGCTTAGATATTTCACGGCTGCGTATCTAATGGCGTCTCAAGTGGTGATTTCCCAGACAGCGAACTTGAGGCACGATTCCGGTTGATCGCATCCGATCCAAACTACGATCCTAAAGTGAAAAAGAAACTTAGAGCGGTGCTGCGATCGCTATGTGATGAGAATTCTCATAATAGCCGTTTCAAGCAGCTCTATCAGGATTGTGGGAGTGGTGCTGTAAGTGGTGCTTTATATCCGCGCAAACCTCAACTTATACAGCGCATACAGCCACCTAGACCTACACACAAATCAACCTCATCCAAGTCCCGCCAATCAAGCTCGTCTATACCAAAATTTAACGCGCAACAGAAACAAAGGATGGAGGAAACGCCAACGGATGCAGAAGATCCATTCGCTGATCCACCTGGAACGTAATAGACGCATATAATATATCCCATTCTTTCACTTGTACAATTTTTGTGTTTGTGCGCCGTTAGCCGGGTTCGTGAAACACAACAAACAAAAGGCGTGAGTCACGTGCGTCTCAGCCGCCGCTGCGGTGTTAAAGCGGAACTCACGCCTTTCTTATTTTCCTTGCGTTTCGGCGTCTTGGGGCCATAGGAAGACGGGTATAACCCATTCCCTGTAAATAATTTGCGCTACTCCCAGTAAGCTTTATCTCACTCGTCTAACTCTCTCTGACCTTCAACAAGACCTGACAGTCTGTCTAAATCCCGCTTTGAACGATACTCCTAACAAGTTTGTTATCATCACTTGGACTCTTTCACCTCAACCACCAAGACGAGGCAGTCCGCAAATAATGAGCGCAGAGTTATTCAGTTTGATAGACCAGTTACAGAGTTCTGCAAATGATATTAGATCTAGAGCAGAGAAGGTGGGCGTGGCGCTGCGTTTGGTTGCGCACTAACACCATACAGATCTTGCAGGATAATCTGGTAATTGCTCACCCAGACGATACACTAGCTGGGATTGCAGAAGTAGCTGCCACACATCAAGTGGAGCATGTGCGTGTAGGTTATTAACCTGTTCCACTTCTTACCTCCCACAGGTGCGCTCTTTCGCTTTGGTCCTGATGAGAAGACTGGCGTTCCAGCGTCCAGATCAGACCAACCCAACACAGGAACTCTGGGCAGATATCCTGCGTCTCGAGACAAGACAAAAAATTGTGCGGTTTTCTTGTTTTTGAGCGGTCTCTACTTACAAATCATGGTTACAGTCCGTGAGACTTATCAATCAATTGGTCCATGAACATGCCCAGGGAGTAAGGAATAAGCTGGCAGACACTCTTGCAGAGCTCGCAAGAGATAGTCTCAGCAGAGGCCAAAGCTGGAACGAGCTTTCGTCCGCTTTGTTCCAATGCGTCGCTAGCGATACACCTTCCATTCGCGAATCTGCATGGAGAGTTTGGTCAGGTGTACCCGTTATGCTCATGGACATGCCAATGGATCAACTTAAACCATTGTTCTCACAAGGATTGCAAGATGCTCATACCAATGTGAGTTGTCTCACTTATACAACTCACTCATCTCACACTATTTAGGTTCGTTTGACAGCCCTCAAAGCATTCTCATCTACCCTCATCGACTCGGATAGATCAACTCGAATTCAATTGTCTCCAATCTTGGTTATCACGTTTGAGTTGCTCCCTCCACTCGCTCAAACTGGTGATTTCGACAGCTTGCGTCATGCTCTGCTTACATTCACATCTCTTGCCTCTTCTCATCCAGCTTTGTTCGAGTCGCACCTCAACAACGTCCTCAACTTCGCTGCTGAGATCGCAGAGAATGATGCATGCCCATTCGAAGTCCGTCAACCTGCTCTTGAGCTTTTACTTAGCTTGGCAGAGGGTGTCTCAGCTGCATGCAGACGCAACGCTCGTTTTTCAGAAATTTTCATCAGAATTTGTCTCAAGTGGATGTCAATTAGATCGTCCGACGAGGATTGGGAAACGACTGAAGATATTGACGACGTTCCAGAAGAGGAGGAACAGGCTCAAGTTGGTGAGGAATACATAGACAGACTTTCCAGCGCTCTCGGCGGTAAAGCGATCCTCCCACCTGCATTCACGCTCATCCCTGCGATGATTTCTTCACAAAATTGGCAAGAGCGTCTCGGTGGTTTGATGGCTATCGCTTCAATTGGCGAAGGTTCATACAAGAACTTAAACTCGGAACTAGACAAGGTCATCTCGCTAATTGAGCCTACTTTCAACGATCCTCATCCTCGCGTTCGTCATGGCGCTTGTCATGCTATCGGTCAGCTCTGCACTGACTTTGCAGAATCTCTCCAAGAAGCTTTCTACGATCCTATCCTAAAGGCTTTGGCGAGCCTTGTGCAGGACAGAAGTCCAAGAGTTCAAGCACACGCTTCTGCTGCACTTGTAAACTTCTTTGATGCTCCACCTGAAGTTGAATTGTTTGAGCCATACATGGATGGCTTGATTGAAAGGCTCTTGCATCTCCTCGGTACCAGCTCGAAGCGCTATGTGCAAGAGCAGAGCATCACTACCATTGCTACTGTTGCGGATGCAGCTGAGGAGAAGTTTGCAAAGTATTACTCCACTGTAATGCCATTACTTATAAACGTCCTCGGCGCAAACCTTGGTCCGGAATTCAGGATGATGAAGGGTAAAGCGATGGAATGTGCAACCTTAATCTCAATGGCTGTTGGTCGTGAAACCTTCCTCCCTGATGCAAATAAATTAGCGGAGCTCCTTGCCGTTATCCAGAGCCAAGTTACAGAGAGTGACGATCCACAGATCAGCTACTTAATAAGCGCATGGGCTAGAATTGCTGGTGTAATGGGACCAGAGTTTGCACCATATCTTCCTTCCGTGATGCCACCACTGCTTGTAGCAGCACAGATCAAGCCAGAGTTGCAAGTAGCCGATGACGATGAGGTAGATAAAGATGCCAACCCAGAATTGGAATGGATGAGGATGGCTGATCAAAACGTCGGAATTCAGACATCTGCGCTCGAAGATAAAAACACTGCAATGGAAACCCTTGTCGTCTATGCCACTGAGTTGAAGGAGCATTTCGGTCCATTCGCAGTTCAATCCTTGGAGATCGCTCTGTCTAGTTTAAAGTTCTACTTTCATGATGGTGTGAGAGAGGCATCTTCACAGTGGGTTTGATAATTTACAAATGACGGCTGCTAACCAACAAATGCAGTCTCGTTCCACAATGTGCAGAGATCGCTAAACTCACCGGACAAGCTAGTGAGGAGGTGATTGACACGACGTTTGCTAATGTCGTTGAGGCAATTAGCGATGAAGTTGATCCAACATTCTTAGGTGTGTTAGTGAACTGCTTCTACAAGTTAGTGTCTACGTTTGGAATTCCAAACCTGAAGCAGCCAATTGCGACAACTTTCACCAAGGCAGTCGAGCAGCAGCTGCATGATATGCATGAGAAGCGCAAGCAGCGTATACAGAAATTTGGGAAACACAACAATGGCGGTGATGTCGACCAGGAAGATTTGGAGCTGGTGCTAGAGGAGGAGGAAGCTGAAAATGGTGCTCTGGATGAGATATCGGCGTGCTTGAAGATTCTTGATGCTCAATCAGGCCTGCTGATGGGTATTGGTGCAGTAGCTCAGATGGAAATTGGTCCCGAGTGGGAGGATGAAGAGGAGGAGTAGATGAAATGAAACTTATATATTTTGTTCTAATTTGTCGTTTATAATGCTATACCATAAGTATATTACATCTGCACATTCACACTATAGATTGGAATGCTTGGTTTGAAGAAGAGTATTTAAGGGCAGAGGGGTACACGCCTATTCAACTACAACCATGCAAATCAAGCTGCTTTCTTTCACCCTCGCAATCTTTGCAGCTGTCACCGCTGCACAACCAGCCGTTCGTCTTCTTGTGCGGAAGTGCAATCTGCTGACAATCCCACTAGTTAAAGCGCGCAGGCACAAATGGCGACTTCCAATTCGCAGGTACCAAGGATACTGCAGCCAACAGTGGAGAATTTAAGGGCAAAGACGGTAACTTGCTTTAGTGCAAGTAAGAGATCTCGTCAAGAGGCACATACCAAAGTTCTGTTTGTAATTGATCGATACATATCCACGCGTTAGTGATGAGTGAGTGTGCAATAAATATAATATGTATAAGTAGAACATGCTGTCTATGCGGTTGCAGGTGTAGGTGTATCCGCACTGCCACTATCACCGCCAATTTTGTTCCTCCTCCTACTCCTCTTCTTCTTTGGTGCGTCTTTATCGTCTTTATCAGTGTCATGCTTCTGTGGCTTTGACTTTTCAGGTTTCTTCTTCTTCGCAGCAAGAGGATTTGGTCCTTTGGGCCCCTTCCTCTTCTTTTTCTTTGGTTGTTCGCTATTTTCCTCCCTAGGTTTTTCACCCGCTTCCTCCTTTGCCTGTCCGTCGAGCACCTTCTTTTCAACAACCGACTGAGACACTTTCTCGCCCTCAATTTGTTTAATACGGTTTGATGTTGCATCAGATGGCGGTTCAAGGACAATAACCATTCTATTATAGTGGAGTATTGGTATGCCTGGGATAGAATGGAGGTGTTTCCTGAGTTCAGTGTTGGTCGTCGCTATGACGTATCTATGCTTGTTCGTATCCCCAACGACGCTTTTAATACATTCGTGTACTGGAATAGTCTCTCTATGATTACATTTACGCCTTTCGAATGATTTTGCGAGATCGACGGCGGGTTGACACTCTGGACCGCGAGCATAAAGGGCCTGCATAGTACACTGAGTAATCATGATTTTGGTTTCACTGCGCATAACCATATCGCATTGCTTCTGTGGGCTTAGCTGGGCGCGGTGTAGGTTGAGCGCGAAGGCATCGTCGATAAGAATTTGGTAGGGTTGTCGGTAGCGAAAGTATCGCTCGTATGCTGTCATTAGACGCTCATACGCTTTAGCACGTTTCTGACGCATTCCGGTTTTTTTAGAATTTGTAGGTGATGTTAAGAAAAGAGGAGAGGCAGTGAGGAGAATGTTGGTGTAGCAATTTATCGTCATCACTCAACTTATTCACAGCCAGTACTACCTCAGCCAACAGTCCCCCACTCTACCCTTAGCGCTATTATCATAGAGTTATGTGACAATAGCAGCTCCTTTTATTTGATAATACATTTGTAAATACAATCACCTTAGAATGTATAACGCAATAATTTTTATAATTGTCCAAGTAATCTCAAACGCGTCTGACTTTGATAGCGCGTTGCCGGGTTCGCTCAAACGCCCACGACGACTAAATTGAAATGGCAGGACGGCCAAGTAAGAAAGCGCGAATTGTGAAGACGCTAGAAGGTGCGCATCAATTAGGCTAAAACGTCAATTCTCACTCAAATCTCAGCCAATATCGTCTACACGATACTCCCCTCATCTCACACTTTCATGTCTCGTACTCAAGCCATTGAAGTGGAAGTGGTACAAAATAATTTTGGCTCTTTTGGGCGCTGCAGCCTCCGCGATTGTCTCACTCAAGCGTGCGTAACGAGGTGAGTATCGTGTTTTCAGAAAATCCAACGCGCCTTACAAATAAATTAGCCCGGAGTTACTCGATGACTACACTTTACACGCTATGAACGCGTATGAAAGTGAAAAAATTAGCACCGTCGAACATCAACCAGTGTTCGCCATCGAAGGCGCTGTCAAACGTTGTCTCTCAGATCAAACGAAACTCATTATAGGTACGCTAGAGCAGGGTGATCCTTTTGAAGATGACGGTGATGTCCTCAAAGTGGTCCTCAGATTCCAGAAGGTGGGTGGACTGTGCGTTGATAGCACTCACTCATACTAAACAGAATAATACACCCACTCAGTACCTTCCAAAACAGAGCACTAGCTCGAGTGTTAGCAATGGCAGGGGTAGACCACGAAAACGCGCTCCATCGACACCACCTTCGCGCAGAGTCAGCAGCTCTCATATTAAGAAGGAGAAAGAGAGGGACAGTAACAAAGACAGAGACAGGGAAAGAGAGAGCCATGTAGCAAAAAAGATTGAGAGTGAGTCGTCGTCTCTGTTAACATGTTTGTGCTAATACCCGGCCCTAGAAAACCAGGAGCAGTGCGTAATATGTGGCACGACAGATACCTCGGCCTGGCGATTTGTTGGTGAGCCCTCATCAGCGACTGGTCGTGTCAGAGCGTGTAACTGTGGGTGACGAAGGGTGTGCAATTTTTACTTTCTCCTAACCAGTTAATTACCAGCATGTGGACTTTACTGGAAGAAAAATAATAGCATGCGTCCTGAAGCTCTGTGGAGGGCTGAGGAAGAAAAGAAAGAGTTAAACAAAGGTACCAAGAGTCGGCGGAAAATTAGCACACATTCGCGCCGAGATGAGAACGTAAATGTACATACTGGTGACGGCAGTCCTGTCCGGAGGTCTTTTAGTGTTTCTCAGTCCCAAAGTTCCCAAGCACTGACGCAGACGCAAATGCGACATAGCGCACATGATTCATACCCTCCAAAACGAAACAAAACAGCCCTTTCAGGTCTTGGCAATGTGCTGGGCGATTTAGGCGCAAATAAACTCAATAAACGCGACAACTTACTCAAAGCACCGCCGCGGAAGGAGGCTGAGCCAGGATTCAAAATACCGACTGGGCCATATACATCACCACCGCGAAAGACGGCGTATAATAATGAATATCTCCAGGATATACTTAATAGCAGTCCTGGTACGATGCTCAAGCATGTTTTCTCTGAGGCGGATGTAGATGCAAAGGAGCAGGACAAAAACAGCTCCAGGTATAATTCTGTAGATAATTTGGGCTCATTTCCTTTGCAGCAGGAGCACACGCAGAACCCGTCCCCGCTCAAGTGGGCCATGTCGTCTGAGGCGGAGGATGATGATGATGATACGACGGTTGTGGTAGGCGATGCTAGTGCAAGAAAAAACAGCAATGCTGCGACACCGTTCGATTTTAGTAAATTGCCGCCATCATCACCGCCTGACAGTAGCGAGTTTGTCTCACCTGTGAATGGTAAGAAAAATGACGTAGTGCTGCATTTGCCAGGATTTGAAAAGAGCAGTAGTACACGAGAGGATGAGGATGAGATTGACGAGCTCGCGAGCAGCCCGCCTGATTCAGCGAAAAGGAGCAAGTATGGCAATCTCGATGAACTGTTTCAGCTGATTAGCAAAAAGGGAAATGATGATTCGCCTTTTATTGTTGACAGTCCACCCGAAGAGCCTTATCCAGTTTGAAAGGAAGTGACGTAATAGAAAGATAGTAATGTTGTACAATATAAAAATGAATACAGATAACCGTCTAGATGTAATTGAATATAATGATTATGCAGAAGGCTATAAGCAAACCCAAAATGATAGAGTCGCGCTTGCGTCTAGCGCTAATAAGAGTGAGAAGGCTGTTAACACCTGGAATTGAGTGCATGGAAGACTTGAGGCGGAGTGAAATGCTCTTGAGAGACGCGCCTTGGTTGCTAAAATCAGCGCGAGTTTCAAAAGCTTGAGAGAGAGAGCTGTCTAGAATGGAATGGGAGTTGTCTAGTTTGCCACGTTCAGCAAGGAGCATGTCTGTGTCAGACTGGTGAGACAGCTTATACGCGTCGATATCGTTTCTAACAGAAGACAAGAGATTAGCGGAGTTGAGAGAATTGGTAAGTGCAGTAGAAATCCTATTAAACTCAGATTTATAGTTTGAGTGTATCGACTGGTGCCTGTCATAGATGAGTTGCTGATTTGGGTGATTTGAGTTTATAGAAAGCTGTTCAAGTAATTTACCAAGCTTTTCAAATAATTCAATAGTCTCGAGATTTAATTGGTTTATTTCAGTCTCTGCAACTGAAATACTAGTGTGTGACTTCAACAGATCCTTATTAAATTTTATTAATTCATTCAATTTACTATCCACAACCTCCTCAATCCTTATTAACTGTGTTATCACCTTGTCGTGCTCATCCTCATTAGCGTCCATGATGAACAGCCAGTTACCACAAGACATTAGAGAAATATTAGAAAATTCTATTGCTGAGCAACCACCTGATCCCGTACCTGTTTCTAGGCAGAGGCAGAGGAGCAGCAGTGTTAGTAGCAGCAGTAGCAGTAGCGTTAGTAGCAGTAGCAGCAACAGCAGCAGCAACAACAGCGACCAAGAAGATGCACAAGATCAATGGGAAGTTGATTCTAATCCTATTGTAGACGATACCGTCAATCAATTAGAGATAAACGACCCAGACGACCCAATCCCTTCAAATTCTCAAGCTGTTCACACTAAAAACGAGCTCATTCAACATACCATACGCCCACTGCCTTTTGAAAAGTTCCCTGAATCTGTTGAATTGATTAAAGTTGGTCACTTGCACTCACTCATCGAAAATACGCTTGTTATCCAATCTTCTGTTTCCGGAAAAGACAAGACTCTCGATCAAGGCACGCTACTATGCTTACATGACGGCAAGCTACTCGGTGAGATTTTTGAAACCTTTGGCTCTGTTGACGCACCTGTTCATTCCGTCCTTATTGAAGACGGTGCTGTTGATAGGAACTTGGTGACTCACAATGACCATGTCTTCTACGCTCCTCAACACGCTACTATCATCGACACTCGCTCACTCTATCAAGTTAAGGGCTCCGATGCGTCTAATCTCTACGATGAAGAACTCCCTGATTGGCAGCAAGAGCATTCTGACGATGAGGCTGAGCAATCTGCTAAGAAGGAGAAGAAGGCGGGTAAGAAGAAGAGCAAACCGCAACAGCCAAATCAGCAACATCACCAGCAGAGACATGCTGATGACTTTGTCGATTACACACCGCGTCAAAGGCCTGTCCAGCTCGATTACAATGCTGGTGATTTCAATCCTGAAGTTGCCCTCCAGCAGCAGCCAGTGCAGCAATCACAGACGCCAGCGCAAATGTCTAATCAATACAATCCATATCAATTCATGCAAATGCCTTTTAACCCTATAGTAATGGCCCAACAATATGCAGCGATGCAGGCGCAATTAGCAGCGTGAGTGCATGCATTGTAGATTTTATCTACTAACATTGTTTTAGAATGCAAAACTGGCAGAATCAAAACAACAACAACCCGCAGTGATATCCTCATCTCGCCATCCACATGTCAATCTCCCACCACCAGGAACGAAATCTTTTTAGTTTAATTTATTTACATTCTTTACATTCCGCAATGTTTTACGTTAGTTAGCGCTTTCTTATCCCCACGCTCTGCTCATCTCTCTACAGGATGACGATATCGACAAAATTTGGAGTTTTGACGGCAGAGTGGGTTCACGGCGTTGATTTGACAGGGAATTTATACACAAATCAGAACTCTTCATTCAAATCTCTCAACTCGGCTTGGCCTGCTGTCCTCAGCGCCCCTCCTGCGGTCGTCGTGGGTGTAGCGCTAACACGACGACCGCGCTAACCAGCGCCAAGCTCAATACGCGCAACAGCAACTTGAATTTCAGAGAAATGTTGAAGCCTAATAGTGATGTCAACTACGCAGGTGCGCTGATTATGACTCTTGTGCCTTTGTCACACACGTCTAATCACCACATAGAGGTCGTCCAGCGCATCATTATCAAGACTGATCAGCAGGCCAGCATCTTTCTGCAACAGAAACTCAAGTCACTCGAGCGCCCACAGCTTGATCTTCTTGTTGATGCTGTTCTCAACCGCGCTCTGCCGCTGTCGACTAATCGCTTCGGCAACTTTCTCATACAGAGGATCCTTGATGTGGAAGACATTAGCTATAAGTTGCGTATAGTCAATGCCATCAGTGGTCAGATCGAGGGTGTCGCTATGAACTCGTACGGCACTCACGTCCTCCAAAAGCTGCTGGCGACGTCTCCTGAGCATGTCAAGGCGGGTTATATCATGAGTCTGAGCTTTTTTTAACACTTTGTTAAAGCTTCTCATTATAAATGAGCTCCTAGACAAAAATGTCGCTCAGGGAGTCACGCATAAGGTGCGTTTGGGATTGGCTGCGACTGTGGATACTCCTGACTTCTTCTAGAACGCTTCGCATGTTTGGTCAAAAGCGTTAGAAGTGAGCGAAGCACTGAAAAATTAGATAACCAGCTAATAGGCCGACTTTGCAGATCAAATGGCTTATCTACACTCCTCATATCATGCCCACCGTCAACGCCGCTATGAAGGGGCGCTGGGTGCACTGCGCGAATACGGACACGGGCTCGCTCATCATTCAGTCCATTCTCGGTAAAGATGGTGCTGGGGCGTGTTTCAATGAGGTGTGTTTGGGTTTTACAGGATTTGCCAAGCTTAAAACGAGTAGATTCTCGATAACATAACTTCCTGCGCACTAAACAAATGGGGCTCCACCGTCGTACAGTATCTTATAGAACGCGCTTCGGAATCTTCACTTGCTCGCGTCACTACCCTGCTGATCTACTCATATAAGCAACTGTCCGTTGATTTTTACGGCGCGCGTTGCCTTATGGCCTGCCTCACTATGGGGAGGAAGAATGAGTATGCTGTTGAACTTCTGTCGAGGCTGCTGCTGAACGATGCAGAGACCATGTGAGTTGATTGGTGTGTCAGTCTATCAGCTAACGAACAACAGTTTTACAATTAAAGTGATTGTTGACAGCTCAATCGGCGCTCAGTTCCTCGTGAACATCCTCTCTTTGGTGGGCGCAGTGCACCGTCTTTAGATTTTCTGTTTAGCTGACTCGCAAAAGATGACCAAGAATAATCATCACAGACTGCTCACTCTCGTAAGTCAAATATTATTCACGTGGCTTGTCTGTTAATATATATAGATTCACTCAGCTAAAGAGCTTAGCGCTGGCGTTGAAGCATGAATGACTTCGCTACCCACCTACGCTCTTTTAATTTCTTATCAGCATCTTCACAAACACTCACATTTGCAATTTACCATTATTTATAAGCAATCGCGACGCATTAGCAAAGGCAGTTCTATCGCATTTTCCACCTTTTTCATCCTAGTCGTTCTTTATCTAAACTAATGGGCTTAAAGCTTTTATTGGTTTCCTTGTAATTTCTTACTTAATGTTTACCGCTTTTTATTCTGCGTTGGTGTCGTATTGCATATTCAGTTACGAGACACCAGGTACAAGCAAATGCTAGTAATTCAAGTACATTGTATGCACTGTCATAATTTGCATCTCTACTCGACACATTCATTGTCTCCTGAATCGCTCTTTCCATTCATCTTCAAATGGACCAGATTGATTAATGACCTCTCTTTAGCACTTAATTCTGAAATTACCATGGAGAAAAAGGTCTTAGCTGTACCTTGGAGCTAAACTTACCAGCGTACACGTGCCTCCAAGTGTCATTAATATCCCGTGGTTACCATGTCTCGGTATTGTTCACAGGGTTCTTCGGGTATCTATAGACGTGTTGTTAGATCTCTAACCAAATTTGAGGTGAACAAAAACTTTTAGGTTATCAGACAATATGTAATAAAAGACACATGAAGGTTAATTATCCTACGGTGGTTCAGAGAGTTGAGGAAGAAATAGAGTGGAGAGCGGCTGATGATAATTAAGTAGCTAGATATTAGACTTGAGTGTATCGTCTTCCTACCTATCAATCGTATTGCGCCTACTAAAACTTTCGAACTTAGCCTATTTATGGAACACAACCATCAAAAGACTTTAAAAGATCCTGTAATTCCGAATAAGTCATACTAACGACACCATGATTCTTGTGTCATCCACTAATCAAAATGCGTGCCTTAGTTTAGGGAAAACTGAAAAGTTGCCGGAGGAGTAAGCCGTTTTGAGGTCAATGTACTCTTTAAAATCCGAGAGATTACGCCAAAAATCAAAATTAAAATATATCAACTATTTAAAATGTGTGAATTAGGTTAGGGTTTGCTGGAAGACCGACTGGGCCCAACATAATCTATAAATTGTTGAGATTTTTGTTATACCCAATATGACCAAGAGTTAGGAATGAACTATAAGACACGGTAACGAAGAAGAAACACAATGAATGGTATTCCCTTGCTGTTAGGCTATTGGCACGCCACACGCCCCACTTCACCTCTTCCCGGTCTGGTACTTAGAATATTCGCTACATCGCTTTTTGTGTAATGGAAAAAGGTTATGATGAAATACCCACAAAAACTTCAAGAAGTATATGAAATAAATTAGTGGGTACTACGTCTGGGGACAGTATGGTGAACAAAATATTCACTGCATTTTAACTGTGTCGTCACCACCTATCAATCTAATGCTACTTCTAGCTATATAAACGAATGAAACACTTACAAAATATCTAAAGCAACAGCGTGTTGCAAACTCATGTACAACCTAAGTAATGGACAAAAAAGAGAGCTAAATTAAATTATGCCAGAATTCTCTACAACATTACAGACATGCACTCGTCTAAAAGTACCGAAACGCTGTTGGCAAGGATAAACTGAAAAGTGGGCGGAACAGCATGACGTTCGGCCTATCATATTCTCAATAAGAAAGGAACATAAAACAGGAACATCACACAAAAATTCGGATACCGAGAGAAATCCGAGAAATGTCTCGGTTACACACATTAGACTTCAGGGCGACATTGAGGAGAGTTCACCAGGTACGCCTAGAGGTATCATTCGCAAAGCTCGCTTAAGCAAATGTAAACGCAGAAAATAAAATCGACACATTCGCATTCAAGCTACGCATGATTACAAAGTTATAGTTGGCACATTGAAAGATGTGTTACCCTTCGCAGAATTCTCTAACAACAGCTCAGTCAAGAAAGTGCCTTTAAACAACACAACATTGACAACAAAATAAGTGTGGGACATGAGGGCCCTGTTTTCGAGGTAAGTAGGATAACGAGTGCACTCAATTATATTGAAGATCGACAACTATAAGCGTAAGTCTCAAGACGCAATATACTTGGTGCAGCGATTCGCCTTTTTATACGCTAAAAAGTCTTGACGGGAAATTGACTTCGAACATCAAAGTTTCCTCCTGGTCCACAGATTGAGATAAATCTTCAAGACTATCTTCAACAGTTTAGGGCTCAGCACTTACTTAGTTACGGATGGGTAGTGCTTTCAATATACGTACTTTCGTACAGCTTATCTTAATCTTTTCATTACATTGCACAAGATTGATACAGCTTTTGGAATGTTGTAGTCGTACCGTAAACGCTCATTTTGCACGACTTTCGAGCTCATTGTACAAATAGTACGAGTACAATCGTATTATACACTCTTGCAGTCAAGTTGAAATCAACGTATTATGGAATTAAAAAAACTTCGATTAAACAACTATCTTATCCAATTCTATCCCTTTATTACGTCCATTGACTTCGATCTATTTGACAACGAACGAGAGTCGTATTTTATAAAAACTAAAAGCATACATGCATTCATACCGATTAAAGAACGACCAAAGCCTTAAGTCTTTACGTATTTGTAGTGGTACCTCAATCGAATACTTGCAGACTAATTTCAAACAAGGAACTCCCTAATGCATGATGACATACATGTTTTATGGCTAGAGAGAGATTTCACTGAAACGTTAGCAAGCAGAAGATAATGAAGAAAGAAAGACTGCACAATTAAATTTCAGGGCACATTAGAGCTTAGATGGAATCGCAAAAAACTAACTCGTCAAAAAGGCGGGATAGGTATCTAAGGTCTGGATATGAATTAAGTATACGATGACTCACCTGTGTAGACATCTGAATGATGCAATCGAAATCGAGATTTTAGAAACTCCAAATGCACGATAAAAGATCGCTATACACAAAATACTCCGGCAGTTGGCTTGAATTCGGTTAGGTCGCTTCTCAGTTAGCCCAATCAACCATCCTTCGACAGTTTCGACAACTAACAATTCAGAAATCGAAAAGATATGATCAGTCCCGGTATCTCTCAACCATTCAGTAACAGAAATGGACTAGGAGAGGTGACAGCTATGGAAATGAAGCTTGATCCGAAAAGACATAAATATGAGTCAATGTATTACACGAATTAAGAAATTAATATGAATCTCTAAGGATGGCAAGTCACCTCATCGTTAATCATGCCATAAAATTGAAATTTGGGTTCATTAGGAGAAAAGGAAAAGAATCATCAAGATCGTAACAGTTTTTAACTGCTTTGATTTTACAATGAATGATAGTAAAACAAAACATCTTTAAATTAACAAACCTACTTACACCACAGCAGTAGCTAGAAGCAGCATGACCCTCAAATTTGAAGCCATGGAAACAAGGCTTGCTTTCTCTTAATACGAAGGGAAAATTTCAGTGCCGAAGATGAACCAACTACTTGGCATATGCTCTTTGGGTCTACTAACGAAAGTTTAATGTTCGCTTCCCATTAGATTATAATCAAGGCTCATGAAGTCACTGAAGGCTCGCGCCAAAATGAATTTTTGTGGAGGCATAAGCGAATCTCCCTGGCAATGCACAAAGGCAGCTCCAACTCCAAACTCAATGGTAGCACATATGTAACGTTTTGGTGTTTTACTTGATGAATACAATCAGATCATCATCATATCTTTTAACTATAGGCCACATGCCAAAATCAGTAATGAAAGACTGATTGATTTCGATAGAAGTAAGTTTTATTTCAGTGGCTAAGAAGTAGTTTCTCTCAAAACAAGGCCATTATACTAGATTGGTGATCAAATAGTACTTAATTTTGCTAGTCATTAACTTTCAATTGGGAGACTAATGATGATAAATACTGCTTCAGCGGAGTCATTAATCCCTGTAACTAAGATTCAACGAAGTTGTCCTAAGCATACGTCCTTGAAATTTCTCACTCGTTAGGCTCTATAAAACAGACATGATCTTGATCCAGTTTATTTAAAAAAGAATTTCGATATAATGTTTATTGCTAAAATGGATGAATTGAAATGTTGTATTTCATAGAAGCCATTCATGATTAAAAATTAATGTCCTGAAGGTGCTCACAGATCTTGGCCTATGGAGGCCTTCATCTATACAAACGATAATATGTTCTACTTATCGGTAGCGAGAACTCACAGTACGCCTGTGTTACCACTACCCATTACCCTTCACTGGTTTTGGATAGGCGATTGTAAAAACATATACGAAGGTAACAAAGTACCAAGTCGGGCGGTTTTTAGCACAACCCATTTGCAGCTTAAGGCAGTATAACCCTTTTTATGTTTTTGTTGGATTTAATAACGAAGGAAGCCTTTAGCTTAGAGGTAAATTAGGTATGATTTAATTCTTATCTTTCAACCAGACTAAGGTTTTTTGTAACTCCTGACCACCAAATGAACTCAAAGTCATACTTTGCAGATATCTGTATTTCAAGTCTTGTTTCCATAGTTATCAAAGTATCCAATACTTTATCCATAAAAATTGTTAGAGCTTTTTGTTACAAAAGCTTACGAAGATTAATAGTTATCGATTGAATATGATGTACAACTTCTTTCATAACTTAATTTCTTACACTGTATTTTTCTTCGAAGTTTCCTGGAACAATGTCCTTAACGTTTAGGCGGGATTATCACAGTCAGATTTTTCAGCTTCGCTGTTCCGAACATTTGCTGCGTTTTCTGTTTAGTTGTATTGAAAATCTATAATGGTATTTTAAGGCGATGAAAGATTTATTGATTGTCATCATGCAAAGCAAAATGCACAAAAACTCTTTTTTTTTTTCGTCTGGACAATGCTAGGGATCTCCTCACAATAAATTCGTTAGTAATTGTATATTATAAGTTGTTTCTAGACAAGTGCTTGCACTTAACTCTATCAAGTAGAAGTTATAGAATTTCATGGAGCTGAACAAAGTATGTTTAAGTTGATTCAGGTTTTGTTATTGGTGAAGTCTTTTGAAAATTCTTACTCTGAGATATCTTTGTAATCATGAAATTCCAACAAATTTGTGTTTGTGTAAAATGTCTCATTGATAAATCCATGGGCCTTCCTGTAAAAATTTAAATTATATCCACGAGCTTAGTTTGCAGTTTCAACGTTTATCGTTTACTTATGTACAAAAACGAGTGTTCCTACAATTTGCCCTGGCTATTTCGTCTGAGGGCCTTCAACAGAGATAACACAGGCGTACTGTGAGTTCTCGCTACCGATAAGTAGAACATATTATCGTTTGTATAGATGAAGGCCTCCATAGGCCAAGATCTGTGAGCACCTTCAGGACATTAATTTTTAATCATGAATGGCTTCTATGAAATACAACATTTCAATTCATCCATTTTAGCAATAAACATTATATCGAAATTCTTTTTTAAATAAACTGGATCAAGATCATGTCTGTTTTATAGAGCCTAACGAGTGAGAAATTTCAAGGACGTATGCTTAGGACAACTTCGTTGAATCTTAGTTACAGGGATTAATGACTCCGCTGAAGCAGTATTTATCATCATTAGTCTCCCAATTGAAAGTTAATGACTAGCAAAATTAAGTACTATTTGATCACCAATCTAGTATAATGGCCTTGTTTTGAGAGAAACTACTTCTTAGCCACTGAAATAAAACTTACTTCTATCGAAATCAATCAGTCTTTCATTACTGATTTTGGCATGTGGCCTATAGTTAAAAGATATGATGATGATCTGATTGTATTCATCAAGTAAAACACCAAAACGTTACATATGTGCTACCATTGAGTTTGGAGTTGGAGCTGCCTTTGTGCATTGCCAGGGAGATTCGCTTATGCCTCCACAAAAATTCATTTTGGCGCGAGCCTTCAGTGACTTCATGAGCCTTGATTATAATCTAATGGAAGCGAACATTAAACTTTCGTTAGTAGACCCAAAGAGCATATGCCAAGTAGTTGGTTCATCTTCGGCACTGAAATTTTCCCTTCGTATTAAGAGAAAGCAAGCCTTGTTTCCATGGCTTCAAATTTGAGGGTCATGCTGCTTCTAGCTACTGCTGTGGTGTAAGTAGGTTTGTTGATTTGAAAATAATGCTATAACTTAATATGCGCAGGGCCTCAACACCAAGCCAGTTAATGTTTCTATGCATAGACTCTACATAGCACTTCAGAATACTTCGAAAGTTGCTAAAATGAGACCATCTTTCAATTACATACTGAGTCAATACTCTACAGTAGATAATCTTTTAGCGCTTGGATAATAAAGGGTGCCATTTGATTGATGTCAATTCCATGTGGGGGGACAGCAGAAAAATTCAAAATTTTAGACAATACTGTCTTACCTAATCCTTATGACTTAATGTTTACAGTGGATTTATTGCAGTTCTGATTAGTTCATTATGACCTTCGCCCGTTGAGTTACAAAGCTATCGAATGGACTTCTGTCTTTGCAGCTTCGCTTCTCAACATTACCTCAAATACGCATTATGGTAAGCGAATGTATTTATGTCCTTATTTGTTTATCGCAATCCTTGAACTTTAAGTAAATGCTAAGCCCAGAGCTTTTCTTTTTCACACTGCTTCTTGTTATCCTGGGGTTTCCTTATACGTGCATAGCTTTGTATTTCTTGTATCATTCACCATCTATGCCTGCGTCCTAGCACCTACTTATTGATTCAATAATTGTTATCATTTTAATAGATAATACATTTTTAACATATTCCTTCCATTACATAGTGTAAATTTCGCTAATCTTGAAAGTGATAGGCGGCTGTGATGTGCATTGGGCTGTACAGCGATTAAGTAGATTTAATAAATTGAGTTTTCAAATAAGTGTAAGATACTTCATGGGAAAAGGCATGCTTGAACAGTGATGATGATGATGATGAAATATGAATATGTTGTTAAGACGATACATATTATATACTGCGTCCATCAATACTTCTTAAAGCATGAGCAGTCGAAGAGGGTCCTGAATTTTCCTGGAAGCGTTTCTTAACTAACGCATGCTCGAACAGTATGTAGAAGTTGTTGGATTCCATTCTGAAACTTCTGGAACTTTGGCTCTGGAAGGGTGACGTGGAGAAATTTGGACTTAGTTGCGGTGTACAGCGTGATGATAGCTTAACAACAAGCTGCATGTGCCGTTAGGCGTAATTTTTCTTCGTTCATGCGCTTAAGAAGGCACTCGTATCTTACTCATATTCTTTACAATAAAAATCCTTAAAATTTAGGTAATTGTGTTGGTCCTGGTCATTTTACCAGTACGCCCTAACCTAATGCACGCACTTTGAAATTTGGATTTATTTGATCCTTTGTTTCATGGAATAAATTGAGCCTTGTCGGTTCCCACTTCCAGCCACTCGTCAGAGTTTTTAAGATGACATCACGAGTCCAAAGTGAGGCTGCTTTATTCTATCGTCGTCGTTTGAAGAATATTTTTCCGGCCGCTGTTTTTCCGTCACTTATCGGCTGCTAGCCGATTCATCTTTGCCGCTACTAATCATAATTCCACGTTATCACTTTTCATTCGTCACGTAGTATATTTACTTCTTTTCTCCTATAAACGCACATAATATGCTGGTTTCATTTCAGATTGAGACCGCTGCAATTATATTTCTTATCTATAAAATTTCTTCGTGGATCCACACCAGCTCACTTATAGACTTGAATGTTTGTTTAGAGTACTGCCGATCAAATTCATCGCAATATAAATCCGCATATTTAAAGTCTTAAAGTGTACATTGTATTTAAATATTCTGTGGTTACACTTATCTATGTCGATTCTATTTACTTTGAAGGGGTCTTCGAATCTTCACGCAGTGAATAACACTTACAACCCATAAATTTTACTGAAGAGTATAAATTGTTGATAGTATTAAAAGGAATTTTTCAACAAATTCATTAGACCGGTAACTTTGTCAGCTAGAGTTTCGGCGTAAACGAGTAAAATTAGTCCTTTCACAAAATGCCATGATGCGGTTGTAGATTTGACTGGATAGTCCAAAGGCTTAGGTATCGGAGTTCTTATCAATGAGAAGAACCTGTCTTCAATAACAGCTTTCGGATTGCACAAGCCGTATAATCCTTCACACCCACCAAATCTTCCATATCCGCTTGATTTAACCCCTCCAAATGGCATAGATTGATTCAGATAAAAGACGCCAAAGTCATTCAGGCTGATAAGGTAATGAGACAATCATAACGCTCTGTTGGGCAGAATCTTACCTGACCATACCGCATTTCATATTATGAGCAACTAAGGAACACTCTGCTTGATCGTTGCCGAAAACTGCACCACCAAGTCCAAATCTTGTATTATTTGCTAAATGGATGGCGTCCTTAGTTGATGAGGCTTTTATAACTGTCATAACAGGAGCGAACACTATAACGTATTTAGGGATTAGAACAAGTGCCTTAATCAACCTACATTCTTGATGGAATATCTCCATTTCAGAGGTGACGTCGACTAGCAATGTACTATGATAATTTTTAGTTTAGTAATAAAAAAGATGTAATTGAACCCACGGTTCAAAGTAGTGACCATTCGGATATTCTGGATGAGTGTACCTTTTACCGCCATGCAAAACCTTTGCACCCAATTTAACGGCATCATTTATCAGGCCTTCCAGCTGCTGAAATCGTGTATTGGATATCATTGCACCAACGTCGACGCAAGTATTACTGCCAGATGACGTTCCGAGACGCAAATCTTTGATACGGTCGTGCATTCTACTGACAAATTGATCGTAGATGTCATTGTGAACAATGAACCTTTCAATACCTATGAATGAGACTAAGATGGTTTGAAAGATTTGACAACGAATTGGCATACCAATGCAATTCTGACCAGCTGCTTGAAACGTAGCTCTCAAAAAGGTTGATTCGAAAAAGTGCAAATCAGTGGATTTTAAAATTACGGCAGCATCTTTTCCGCCCAATTCAATGCAACAGGGCTTGAGATTTACAGAAGCGGCTGAAGCAACCTTTTTACCCACAAGCTCTGAGCCAATGAAGGTAATATGATCGATATCACGTGAAGTTGTCAGTGTTTCAACGATATCTGGGTAACATACAACGAGCTAAAGAGATGTTTTAGGCAAAGAAGGTCAACAGGTTAAAATAACATACCTGAACCAGATTTGGATCTTCACCATTCACTCTTAAGGCTTCCTTGACAGCTCCAACAAACCAATTGGAGGACCACGCAACAAATTCCGAAGCTTTGACGATACAAGCATTACCTGTAACTAAAGATGAAATAATTGGTGACAGTGAATTGTGAGCCGGACTAGAATGATATGAATCAGTTTCTGTAAAGTGAAAAGCACAAAGTAAACGTACTAATTCCAGGAAACAGAAGCCAAGGTGAGACCTAAAGGTTCATAGTAGATCTATTAGTTTGAACTGAGTGTGAGTAGATTCAGATGATAAGATAAGTACCTTTGAGGACTTGTGAGCGAGTAACAGATTAGTCGGCCTGGACTGAGGGGACAATATAGATTTAGCGTTTTTTAAAGACCATTTGATCTTCTCTGCGGTTGTCAAGATTTCACCGAAAGCAGCATCGATTTCTGGATGGGGTTAGTTACGATGATACTTTAGGAATTAATAAGGACGGACTAGTTTTACCAGTATCCCTGCAAGCAACATCAACTAAATTGTCGATATCGCGTGTCAACCAGTCCAAAAGAGTGTTTAGAACATTGAATCTGCGTGACCAGGATGAAGCTGACCAACTATTTTGACAGGATTTAGCTAAACTGATTTTCGCATTGATATCAGAGGCATTATCAGATTTGATTAAATCGATGAATTGTGCGGTGGAAGGATCATAGCAGGTTATGTGATCTCCGAGTCGATCAGCGCCTTGAGGAAAGAGGGAAGGATCAGATTTATGTGAAATTAAGGAAGGCTTATCAATAGTTTTACCAACCCAATTAGCATTTGCTTGCTATGAAAGATAAGAGAGATAATCAAATCATACAAGAAAACTAACAATTGGTTTTGGATAACTTATTGAAACGACTTTTGACTTTTTAAAAAGTAGTCTATAGCTCCAAAGAAATAAAATTATTATCAAAAGTATCCCAGCCAAGCTCGCCATCATCGTTGACAACATTTACGAGATGGATCAAAGCTCGGAGATCGCAGTGGTAAGATTCTCGTAAATTTCTCTTCATTATTTTACATCTAAAAAAAGGCAGGCGCTATTGCTGCATTTTTCGTTGATGTACTCTTCTGTATGCATGATAGAATGACTACTGGTAAAATCTAACAAAATAAAGATCCTTCCGATACGATTAAAACAAGGTTAATTGTATTACTCTGACTTAGGCTCACTCGACTTACTTTCAACACTTAGAATGCAGGCATCATCGTCGACCTCGTCTTCGAGAAGTTTTATCAGAACTTTGAATTTTAAGGGGCTGTATAATGGAGTTGGTAGTGTTATAATAACAACAATACCTGCATCCGCTCTATTCTTTGTTGCTTACGAGAACGCAAAATGGGAATTGTCGCATTTGTTTAATCAACCTTTTACTCAACTAACTTCATCTTGTTTAGCAGAATTGATCGCTTCTATAGCTATTGCACCCGCAGATACCATTAAACAAAGAGCTCAGATTGAATCTAATCAAAAATCTTCACTAAGCATAGCAACGTCATTCTTTAAATCTCCATCAGCATGGACAGATGTCAAGTATGGTTATAAAGCTGTTGTTATTAGAAATCTACCTATAACGGCGGCATATTTCCCGTTATATGAAAACCTCAAACTTAATCTAGAAAATAGGTATCAAATATCAAAACCAAATGCAGCATTAGTATCAGGTGGACTATCTGCCATACCCTTAGCATTAATAACTACGCCATTAGATGTAATTAAAACGCGTATAATGTTAAATCAAGTGGACAGCCATGATAAATCCAATTTGATGAAGGTAGGACTGAGCATTTCAAGGACTCAGGGTTTCAAATTTCTATTCAAATCAGCTTGGCTAAGGATTTCTGTTGCTGGGATTGGAGCAGGGTTAGAACTTGGGTGTTATGAGTATGCCAAAAAGCATTTGCGAAATTTTTCAGATGAATAAATTGTATTGATAGACTATTTAAACGATTTTAGTTGTGGTATAGATGGGAATGAAGATGTCCTTCCGGACATTACATTCGAAGGAGATAAAGTGGGAAATGAGGGACTCTTTGGAAGATGAGCAGCTTTATCATCTTGATTCGAAAGATTATCCATTAAGACTTCTTTATCATCATTATCTTCTTCTCCGTCAACGTTCAAAGACATCAAAGCGCCATAACCTTCATTTAGATCAAAAGGATCATCAACTTTGTTGGCTTTATTGAATTTACTAAACCAAGATTGTCTGACTCGATTTAAACGGGAAGTTGGAGGAGATTGATTGGGTATAGGAATAGAATTGATTGGTTTCTTCTCACTCGATGGTCGAACGATAGGAGCAGATTGCTGTAGATCATCGTCAAAGTCATCGTCTTTCAAGTTAATATTTTTTAAGGAAGAACGCGTCTGAATTGAAGTAGTAGAGGAAGAAGATGAAATATTGGGAGGTTTAGGTGGTGGTGGTATAGTCATTGGCAGGGAAAGGGAGGTTCGCTTACTCTGATCAGATTGTAAGGATTTTATTATAGATTTGAGAGATTTGTTTTCTTCAACCAAGTTGTTATTGTAATTTTCAATCTGAGATTTAGATTTCCTAGCCTCAGCGACCATATTATTAGCTTCTTCGAATAAAGCTTGAGATAGAGATTCAAATTCCTCCTCAAGTTGAGATTTCTCTTGGGAGAGAATAACATTCTGAGACTTCAACTTTTTGAGTTGATCGAGTATGTTAAGTTGAATGGAGTCAGATGAGGTAGATGAATTACTACCAGCGAATCGAGTACCATTATGAATAACTTGTTCAAGCATTTCAAAATTAGCTTCAGAAAGAGTTAAATTAGATCTAGCGACTTTGAGATCATCACTCAATTGCGAGTTGTTATCTTTTGATTCATTTAATTCATTTGTCTGTTATGATTATTAGAGAGTACATCCAAACGTATTCGAAAACTCACCAAATGCTTAATCTCATCTTCTATCCCTTTCCTATCCACACCTTTGTCCACATCACCAGACATCATCGACTTTTATTAAGTGCCTTTATTCAACTTATTGGATGAATATAAAATTTTATTAATTCAACTTCAAGTCAAACTCAAAAACACAGACACAGTCGTTTAGTTATTCTCATCTGAATATTTTTATATGCGTACAACCGAATTTGAAGCAAATGAGTTACCTTTTTACTTCTTCCTATTATCTTGTGTTAGTAGTTAATTATCAACATCAACATCTACTCACTTTGCTTCCTCTTCTTCGGCCTTCTTAGCTGCGCGTACCTTACGTGCACCATCGTGACGTGCGTTTGCACGCTCTTCACGAAGGGTACGGTATGCCTTAGCTTCACGCTCACCATCAGAGATCTTTCTTGGACCTTCTGGTACAGTTCCTGCTGGAATTGGTACAACGGCTTGAACGTCACGTGCAGTTTCACCAGATAAGTCCTTGGAGTCAGTCTTGGCTGGCTTCTTGGAGTTGCGTGGGAAGACAATCAAACGAGCCTTGTATGCTTGAAGACGGTCGACGTTTAACTTGAGACCCTCCTCGGAGAGGTTACGACGACGGTGGTCAACTGGAATACCGATTGAGAGAGCCTCCTTACGGCGGATACCAGCAGCCTTCAACTCAGCCAAAGAGAAGCCCTTACCAGCGCGAAGCTTACGGTTGTAACGGACGGTTGGGCAACGAACAGCTGGGCGAAGGTTTTCCAATGGTCTCACACCGAGAGCAGCGGCCTTGTTTGAACGAGCAACGCGACGGCTCTTCTTCTTACCAGGTTGGTTGAACCAAGTCTTGATTCTTGATTGCCAATCCTTCTTGAAGTGGTTGCCTAGGGAGAGTAAGTTTGAGTTGGAGTGGGAATTGGATTAGACTAACGGTGAAGAACGTTGTTGTGGCGAAAACCTATAAAAGAGTAAGATAACGTGCACTTGAATGTAAATTAGTTTCTAACCCATTACCGTAACCTGAGAGACCTAGAGGAAAGTTTGAAGAAGGCGACGAGTTGAACGCAACGATCAATTTAAAAAAATTCAGCGGGGTTTTTCGAGGGAATGTGTAAATGTATGAGATAGTATATTTGTAGTATTATAATTATTTTTAAATAAAAGCTTAAATTTTATTTGATGGGTTTCGAGTTGATAACATCACATTGAGTTGAGTGCTGTGTGATGTGTGGATGATATATGCATAATTGCTATGTATACCCAGATTTAAAGCTATAAAAGCTATATAAAATCCCTTTTACTCATTCCTCTCCACCTCGAGCTCACCTCAGCAGCCTGGCGTGTACAGGTAGGTGGTATTCGTCAGCAAATCATATTTTGCAAACTAGGAAAATGAATAAAGATAATACAATTAACCAAATACTACGGTTTTATACTCCAATTTCCCCCTAAACTACTAATTTTGATAATTTTTACTTGCTTCGATTCAAGCTTCACAAGTTTACCAGCCCTATTTGTGACCAATTTTTATGTGCTTTGACCAATTCTGTTTAATGCACTTGCTCTCATTCTTACTCTTATAACACTTGCTGTTGCTGCTGCTGATAAAACGCTTGTTGTTGATTGTTCTAGGATCTGCGATAAATGCGCCCGCATCGACGCCTCCACATCCAGCTGGTGCCTGGAACATTGCATGCCGCATACCAGCATTAGGCACTTGCCCCTGATTTTGCTCAAGATACGCGCCAATCATTTATTGAGGCTGTGGTTGTGGTTTTGTCTCCATCAAAGCTTGTGTTTGAAGAGGTGGTAGCGCTGCTTGTTGCTGTTAGATTGGCACTGCATTCTGCGCTGCAGCACCCAACATCTGTGCTGCCTGTACTGGCTCTAATGCCTCAGCTGGCATCTCCGATTCAGGTACGCCTGTGTTTTAACCCTCGTTCCACGCCTGATCCATTCCCGCTTGTAATTTATCTGCATCTTCTGCAACCCATGATCTCGGTTCGTTGTATGTATTAGCATTAGCACACATCAAGTGGAAGTCGCTCAAACAGTCCCTACAGTTCCCAAATAGCTCTAGCGCCGTATGCTGGTGAGTTTCCAATGCCAAATGTTCGAAACTCTCATACCTCACATTTAAACGCATCTGCTTCTCCCCTAGCATCTTATCGACTTAACTGATACGCAATCTAGCATGTCTGATAGACCTGTGGTTGAGTTTGTTGAAAAACAACATATGATCAAGTCGATTGAAAAGCTCCGGAGAGTACATTCTCTCAGCCCGTTCTAACACCTCTTTGGTAGCTTCCTGGATAACATTCTCATCTGGACTCTCGGTTCTGAGATACTCTCAAGAGCCGAGGTTAGAGATGGCTGTAATATTTGTTTCCTAAATTTAGGCTTGAACTTGGCTATCTGTCAAGGTGCATTCATCGAGCATTTGTAGCACGATTTTGGATATATCTTGATGTACCTTCCCAAACTAATCAAGCAGTACGACTGAGTATGGTCGACGTCTCATCACTTCTGATAACTGTCCTGATTCCTCGTACCCTACATATCTAGGAGTTGCACCGACCAAAGGCGATACTGTATGCTTTTCTTGATATTCCGACATGTTGATGTTGATCAAAGCTTGTTTCTGATCATTTAACAATGCCCCGGATAGCTTTCTCGATAGCTCTGTCTTGCAGGTGCTTTTTGGGCCGAGGAAGAGAGATGACGCAACGGATCTATTGTCTGATTGCAAACCAGCTGGTGACATTTGGACGGCATTTGCACTTGTATCTATGCGGGCCTGTCCAATAGTCCTCTCAATCGATTTGTTTTCGAGCTGCGTGTGGTTATTAGTGTAAAGAAAACAGCGAAAAGCAAGACATGCACGTGAAGCAATTTCTCAATCTCGCCTTATATGAGGTTGTTGATTGGTATGCCAGTCATCCAGGAAACGACTCTTGCTGTGTCATCCCTTCTTTAGCTGCTTCCCCGCTACTTTAATATCACGTTGAAGCGATGGGTATACTTTTCTAGCGCAGTTTCAACGCCCCTCGAAATCACCAAGTTTTTGTGAAATTCCCAGTCATTGTACGCTCTTTCGAGCTCCTCTTTAGCGACCTTGGCGTCAGAAATCTTGACTCTCCCTTCATTTCAAACTTTGGTCAGTCTCTCTGGCTCGTCTTTGTATTCGTTGACGAGCTTTTATAGCGTATCTCTGCGCCTTTTTAGACATTGTAAGAATTGTAATTTAATATACCGTACGAGTTGGTGTATTTACCAAGATGATAGAAGTCTGCGCTGTTGTATCTCGAGAATGTTTCAGTCTAGCTTGGCCAATGACTCTAGTTTGCTTTCCTGTGCTAATTTGAGGGTGGACGAAGCTTCGTCTACAGGATCGATAGCTTTATCTGGCAGAAAGTGATCGCTAATATATCTATCTTTATGTTTAGCAGCGACTAAGAGAGCATCGTCGCTAATTGTGACACCATGATGAGTCTCGTACCGAATCTTCAAGCCTCTGAGTATGGGGAGAGGGTAACTACAAGGCTAAGTTATTCGAATATTGCACAGGCTGGAGGCGTCTAGCCAGACCGCCATCCTTCCCAAAACTTTGCAATATTCATCCGCGATAGTTGCACCACCAAACTGCAATCCACGCGCTGCTTTAGGTTTAGTAAAGATCCCATCATCGATGCTGCCCTCCGCTTTATCAAGGTTATCAAGTTAAAGTTAAATGATAATCTTTACTTTTATCTTCTATAGAGCTTTGTAATGAATCATCCCCAAAGATACAAGCCTTTAATCTCACTTCATGACAAGACAGGTTAATTGTTAAAGAGATTTGTTTGTGCCTGAGCGATTGCAATCGTTATTTTATCAGTGATGGCTTGTGTGGGTTTCTAGTCGATATGAATTGGGGAAAGAGAAATCGAAACGCAGAATGCTGTAAGGCAAGCATCTTTTCCTGCCGCGCTTCTCTTAACATTGATTGTCTTGTCGATCAATTCTACTTAATTGAAATCTCCGGATCCTTACGAGCAGAGTAAGTGGCTCAACAGGGAAGGTGATAGCTGCAAGGTGATACAGTTAAAGAAATGAATGATATCAATTGAAAAATGGATATTACAAATGTGTTACAACATATGTGATATTACAAGCAATACGAGTCAGTACAAAGCTTCACATATTCCTTTTCTTGTTATAAAGAGTGCGATAGGTAATATTGGGCTTATCGCTTCCTGCTTTGGCCTTTCTCTTATCAGCTGCTGCGGCTGCTTTAGCGGCGACGGTCTTGCGGCGATCGTGTTGGAGTTGAAGATTGTCAAGGCTTTTCTTATAAGTCGCCGCACCTTCGATACTCGTGTTGAAGTAGTCCATTCCATCGTAGTGAGTTTTCGCCTTCTCTAATCCCTCGGAAAGAGCAGAGGTCAAATGCCATATGTCAGACATTGCAATCTAATGACGCGACGTACTTGACGCGGGTTGAGGAAGTTGGGACGCGAACAGATAAGCATTAAAGCTTCGTTTTTAGAGATATGTTTTACTGATGCCAAGAGCATGGCATCGTCCTCGCGCTGGTTAGGATTGACGAAAAATCCCCACTCGGTCTTAATGACAGTTTCTGTCTTTTCCTTGTATTTTTTTAGTGCGTTTTTGGTCTTTTTGCTGATCTCAGCTATGTTTTCGGTGTAAAGCAGCTTCTTATTCTCCTTATCACGCTCCCTGTTCATCATAGCGAGCATTTCTTCGAATTGAGCGTTTCAAGCCATCCGTTATAGTGATCTTAGACAACAAACTGGCTTTTCTGTACAATTAACCTCTTATTTAAGTACTTGTGGCTGCGCCTTGTCGTCATCCGACCCGTTTCTCCTCGTCAGCCCCATTTATTCCCAGGAGTCGAACAAAGATGTAAACCGGTGTAAATCTGTGTAATATCTACATACCGCATTAATACTTGTTTTCCTTCTAAACTAAAATAATCTTGTTTGGTTTAGAATTTTCTAGAATATTCTCTTCGTCAAAACTTCACCTCGCCCACTATAAAATCTGCGCTCCTTCATTTTTTCTTTTCTCGGTCGATTTTAAATTTCACCCAAATCGAAGTTCATCTTAGGGTTTCGCTGAATTGGACTTACGTTTCTTTGCGTCCTTGCCACCAAGTGTAATAAAGTAGTGCGTTAAAAATAAAAGTATCAAGCAGTGAAACCTAACAAACTCATAGTGGGTAGAAGACCATTCCGTTGCTACAGATACATCAAGAACAAGCCATTCCCAAAGTCTAGATACAACCGTGGTGTTCCAGACCCAAAGATTCGTATCTTCGACTTAGGTCGTAAGAGAGCTGCTGTCGACGACTTCCCATACTGCGCTCACTTGGTTTCTGACGAGCTTGAACAACTCTCCTCAGAAGCTCTTGAGGCTGCACGTATCACTTGCAACAAGTACATTGTCAAGACCGCTGGTAAGGAAGCATTCCACTTGCGTGTCCGTGTACACCCATTCCACGTCGTCCGTATCAACAAGATGTTGTCATGCGCTGGTGCTGATAGATTGCAACAAGGTATGAGACACGCTTGGGGTAAGCCATACGGTACCGTTGCTCGTGTTCAAATTGGTCAAGTCTTGATCTCCATTCGTTGCCAAGACCGTAACGCACACGTCGTTAAGGAAGCTCTCCGTCGTGCTCGTTACAAGTTCCCAGGTCGTCAAAAGATCATTGTCTCTAAGAAGTGGGGTTTCACTAACCTCGACCGTGAGGAATACTTGAAGATGCGTGGTGAAGGTCGCGTTCAAAAGGATGGTGCTTATGTGCAATACATCAAGCCACAAGGTCCATTACTCGAGAACCTCAAACGTCAAGCCGCTATCAGAGCTGACCTCTAAACTCTTTGACGCTTTTGAAATGTACTCATTATTTACAAGTTCTTTTGAATAATAGTGCTTGGTTTTTACTTTAGTTAATGTGTGTCATTTTGTTTCGTAAACGATTGAGATATTGTCATGTATTATTGATAATTCGCTGATTCTTAAACAATTCAATTCACGTGAAAATATTTCATTACATTCTTAATCAGCAAAACCTTAACAGTATGCAAGAGCACCCATACTGAGCAAGTGTTAGAGATTATTCTATCATCCAAAACATTTCTACTCACGGATCATAGCAAGGTAGGACGTGTACATCATCCTTGTTCTCAAACACCGCGTTAAGATCCTTTGGCGCCAATGATTTGTTAACAACAACCTGGTAAACAAACTCCTTGAACCAGTCAACGGTACAAATGTAATAGCCGTGCTGTCCTGCATCCTTACCCCAGCTATTCTCAATTCTAAATCTCTGTACTTTACCATCAACAATGTGAGCGGCGTTGATACTCATCGCGTGCGTCATTGAGGATTCTCCAGTTGCTAACCTATCTGCTTTGTTCATACCAAGCTTAAGATTGAATGCAAGTTCATAGTCAAACAATTTTGGATCAAGTAAACCACCATTCCTCTCACTAAATTTTCCAACATCACAACCAAAGAAGACAGGTTTGCCATTCTTCAAGTGTGTAACGACTGCATCTACCAATCTATCAGCCGTTGTGTTCACGTACAGGACTGGTCTTCCACCAACGACGTTTTGTAGCTTATCGACAGTGTAAAGCTTAGAGTATTCGTTACGCGGGTCGTTAATTAAACTGTACCAGTCATTGACACGGAAATTATTGAGGTATTTATCAGTGAAACCAAGTGGTGTAGTCTTAATTGAGTTGACTTTATTGTTCTTATCTTTATACTCAAATACGAACTCTTCATCCACACTAGGTGGTGGACCGAATGCAATAACGGCAGCGCCATAGATCTCCTCCAATAATTCATTTTTACGTCTACGAACGACACTTTCTGGATTTGAGGTGAGGTGTTTAGCAGATGTACTCAACTTGCGCAATTCTAAGCCACCCTCGCGCAACTTTGTAGTTAATAAGCTGTTTATCTTTCCTGAGTTAGAACTATTATGCGATTCTGGGTAAATTGTTTGAGGAACGACACCATACTTGTTAATGAGGTTAACAACCATATCAAATTGACCACCATCACCGATTGGGCTGCTGTTAATATAGTCTACGATACGACTTCCAATTGGTTCACCAGACAATTCAATTGAATGTTCGAGATATTGATTCGATTTTTCAATTCTATCCCAGAACGACAAGTAGCTTTGAGATAATTGGAACTCTTCAATGTTGAGTTGCATCTTAACCTCATTTCTCAGCAGGTTTGTTGAAGCAAATAACCAACAGCGACCGCTTGAGGCTTGGTTGGTGACGTCCTCAATCTCGGAAGCAACCAAGTTGAAGACGTTTTGATCAGATATTCTAGCTGCTCTTCCAGAGAGTGTGTTTGTGATGTCTCCCTTAGAGAAAGTTTCGACAGCCAATTTATTCTTTGGATTGTTGAGTAAGTCATTTTCCCATCTCTTGCAGGTATCGATCTGTGTGATATCAGGATATGTTTGATCCAGATTAGATAATTTACTCACCTTGACAGTCTCAGAAGATTCCGCTGAGCTGCTCGTTTTCAGGTTGAGGGATTTCAGGAGTTGTTGTGATTCGGATACCTCATCAAGATAACAATGTTTTTCATCGATAGGAGAATCTTGAGGTTGTCTAGCTTGCGTAGCTTGTGCTTTGTTGTCTGTTGAAATGATGTTGCCCATGACTGTTATGGTTCAAGGCGTTGCTCACTGACGTTATCTAATCAGTCGATTTAAATTAAAGTCATCAATTCAACGCTGTTCAATTGCCCATTCAACAGCTTTGAGTACGTTATCTACAATTACACTAGGCTCATGCTTTGGGATACCGTGTTTATACACACCCGTCCTAACTAATGCCGATTGCCAGCCGAAATTGTTAGCACCCTGAATATCAGAATCAGGATTATCACCGACCATAACTACCATTGGATTCTCTGTTGAGTTACTTTTCTTTTTTATGAGCTGTTGAAGCAGGTTATCCGCGTATTCATAAGTTACCGCATACGGTTTCCCGTACTGCTTATATTGAAGATCGATATCAGGGCTTCTTATATTATGAACCATTTTTATAGCTTCTATGAACATTCCTTGACCATGTCTAGGCTGAGGATACTCGCTGTGCATGATTAGATCATTTCCTTATAAAGAAAGTTCAGCTTACGTAGTCCAAATGAGATCAGGGTTGGAGAAATGCAGCTCCACACCTTGCTTGCCATTATCACTTTCCGTACCAATCAAGCCATCTTTGCTACGAATCAGGTCACAAATTATCTGATGTCAGGTTAATTGAGATAAGAGTAAGACGAATCACGTACCTGCATATCTAATCCATGATTCGCACTATCTTTGAACAACATTACAGCAGAGAATGGTACGTTAGCGAAATCTACATGCTTTTGGCGATAAGTATGCGACTGAGGAAGACCATCGTGTGGTGCAGGTGGAGAAGCAAATGGATAGATGAACTTATTCCAGCACAGTATGTCAGTAGGAACGTAGACATTCTTAAAACCGTAGGATTCAGCAATTTCACGGCACTTTTGGCCATGCTCGTCACCACCGACAACGAGAACGTTTTTATCACGTAAACGTTGAGCTAGAGGTTTCATTACTGTGTGTGAGAGTACCATTTGTGACTCGTCAACGTTAATTTGAAAGTCTTTTGAGATAGCTTTCGCTCTTTCGTTCTCCATAGTTCCACCGCCATTTGTAATGAATATGTAGGGAACGTTGAGTGCATCGAGCTTTTGTAAAGCTTTCTTTGCTTCTGGAATGATAAATCTACCATGCTTCAATACTCCATCGATGTCGAAAGCGAAAGCGAGAGGTCGATTGGAGGTAGCTGCGATGTAAATGAATATAATTCATGTATAACGAATAGATCTTACTCGAATATAGTCTAAACTTCGCGGCTGAGACTTTAGCAGAACGGAAGAATATGGTCATGGTTGTGGCGATAGACAAGTGATGACGTCGAATACATTTAATCGATAACAATTTACAATAAACAGATTTTATGCACAACAATGAAAGCAAAAGTGAGAGCGTGAGTTTCTATAGACTATAAGCTTGGCTCATCAGTAAAGAATTCCACTCACCGTGATAAATTGGTAAACAGAGTTATAATGCTTGATATTAAAGGTTTATGAGATCTAAAAATCGAAGTCAGCACAGCTCTCAATGACGAGCAAAGTATTAGCGCTCGCCCTAAGTAAACAAAAGATTGACCTCTTGCAAGACATCGTCTTGAGCGGGAATCTTCTTAAGCGCAGGGAAGCGGCTTGGTTTCTTAAATTTCATGAATTAGAAATCGTTACTTTACGTAAAAAAGAAAGCAAAGAAGCCAATCACGCTTATTGATCGGCTTTGAAGGAGGATTGAGGTGGAGTAGGAGGTGAGAATGCTTTGTAAATCTCTGAAGGTGATGCAGGGCCAGATGGCCTACGAGCATGAGAGCGCGCAGCTATAGTAGAGGCGATAGCATTCTCCTTCTCCCTCCTTCTTGATTCCTCACGCGCGAATTGGGCATTCGATGCTTCATCGGAACGTACCTGTTCCTTTAAAGAATCCTTAAGGCCAAAGTTCTTGCCTTGAGGCATAAAAGATTTCTCTACTTTCTTCTCTGGTTCTAAAAGTAATTTAAGCGTGTGATTATAACGAGGATATAATCAACCCACTGTTCAGAGCGAATGCTACAACTCCTGTAGCAATTAGAAGCAATCCCACACCAAATCCCTGTAAATTCAAGCGTGAGAAATGTGGCAGTGATCAACCCAACCACAACTAACAGGTGAGGAAGAGCCGTTCTTGAGATTCTTTGGTTGGAAGCTTGCCATTTGTGTTATATCTTGGTTGAAAGAGTTAAAGATATTGCGGATTCTGAGGAAACTAAATCCGTGTGACATAACTGAATCTGAATCACATGACATCAACGCAGCGGCATTGAACGCGCAGATTAATCAAAAATCAAGAAATTAAACGTCAGATATGTATTTAAACTATTTGCATTAAAGTTGGAAAGGCGTCTTTTGGTATTGAGTTTTGCCAGATGCAGCGTCGTCAACGAACCAGTAAACCTTTCCTGGTGGTGCTGGTCTAACCTTTGCGCAAGGGAGGTCTCCTGAAGGGCTATCGAGAATTTGATGTAAAGTGTCCTGCTTACCTTCACCAGCAGCGATGAAAGCGACGCGATATGCATGATTTATAACTGGGAAAGTCAAAGTTATTCTCACTGGTGGTGGCTTTGGTGAGTCATAGACGTATGCAATCCAACGCTCAGACTCCTTAGAAACTGGGTGGCCTGGGAATAATGATCCTGTGTGTCCATCTGGTCCCATACCTAATAAGATCAAATCGAATGTAGGGAAACGTGCAGCTTCACGTGCAGCAAATGCGTTTACGAGTTTCTTTTCGTATTCGTCTGCAACATCTTCTAACATGTCCTGTAAATCCTCGGATTCATCAATCTCTTTAGCAGAGGGTGAGCTATCTGGGAAAAATTTCTTGATAGCATCGTGATCTGGGTTTAAAGCGTGGATTTGAGAGATGTTTACTGGTGTCTTTGAGAACAACTCGTCGTAGATTGCCTTAAAGTTAGATTCTGGGTGATCTAAAGGCACCACACGCTCATCTGCGAGGAATACTTCCCTATAGATATCATTAGCCACTACGACACACTTAAACGCACCACAATACTACTCACCACTTGTCCCACTTGACATCATTTCTATTAAGCAATCCTGTAAGATTCTTTGGCATTGAGCCACCAGACAATGCGATAGTGAACTTGTCTCTCTTATCGATGGCTTCATTTTGTGCCTTGACGACAAACTTAGCCACTGCTTCAATTAGATCCTTTCGTATTCGTCAGTTGGAGTTGAGTGGTATTTCACAACGCACGCTTGATCCAGGTAAAGAGTGGAGTACTGGTGGATGAGGCGTTTGTGATGGTACTGTGGCTACTTAGCTTTATACAATCACTCTCTCACACCTACAAGATGTCATTGTAATTTGTGGAGATGTTTCGACGCAAGGACACCGTCATATTATTCAATTAATGAAAATTTATATCTTTTCTACTTGATTGTAGCCCACAGACACGGTTTATACATGTGATGCCCCTCTTTCCGTCTCTGTGGATCCTTTTGCGTACCCACATCATATTCGGCGAGCCCGCAACTCTAGGCGCAAGGGCTTCCCTAATAATCAATACCGCGCCCTAATCACACCACCTCCACTCCCATCAGCCTTAAAATCTGTCGATTTTTTTTTCTCCCTATATAACCGCGCAATTTTCTTCTTTGATCCCTTGGGAAAGGCCGTCTTAATCACCAGTCGACTGCAACACAACAGTCGATAGGTTTCATGATAGGCCTAGAGTAACGGCTGTATTTCGCTAGCGTGCTTAGCTCGAGGGCCCTGAAGCGACACTGATAGTAATCAGCTCAACATCTCTACAACTTGATTTGTTCTATGCATTTTTTATGACTTGATTAAACAAATACAACCCTTGGCTATTTAAAATGAGTCTATTAATGCTGTTTTTGGATTGTATTTTTCTGCTGTGCGCAAGTTGACTACCCCTCCTGCGACTGAAGATAAAGCAAATCCGTAGAAGTACGCGCTATTTGCCATTATCAGCTGCTCTAATAACGATAGCACATCAGTGTATAATGCTATAGGTCCTAGCTCGTCTCTGTCTGTTGGTGTGACAATGTCCGACAACAGCACACCTCCTTGCGACCTTACATACTCCAGGTTTGTCGCGTTGCGCTCATCCGTGCCTATGTAAAAGTAGTCCCCCTGCTGTGGCATCTTTGGTGAATCGTTCGATCCTGAAATCTTGTGAAGGTATTTGGGGTTTTTATTTATCATTTGAATTCCACTATTGAGATGATCCTTTATTCTATCGAGATGGTCATTAAAGTTGGCTTCCATCGCCCATCCTTGACTCTCAAAATCGCCTCTGCGGAGGTGAGCAGCTCTGATTGTTAAATAAGCATCAAAATCTACTCATTTGTTGTTTCAACTTACGTCCACGCTCTACCATCATTCTTTTCGCGCATACGCTCATCGATAATAGCAGCCAATTGATAAAGCCTTGGCAATGGTCTCATGTCTTGGAGGATAATCTTCTTGAAGTCATTCCTCGCCCCTTTCGAGGTAAAGTGAACAGAGCCAGGAGGCCTGTAAAGGTGAATTTCACCCTGCACATGGAAAATCTTCGCTTCCTCGTCATGTCCATCCTCGTAGAGACCGCGAAGAGAAGACTCCTTGGCAACTCGCGCGATAGGATTGATAGGACTTTTGAGGAAATCCATTCCACCCACTTTATCGTATGTATACATCAGACGATAACCAAGAGCTGCAAATGCACCTGCGGGATCATCTGGCATCTTGAAACCACGAGACTGTAAAACAATGCGAAGATAAGACAAATCTTGTACAGACTCCTCTCCAAACATCTCTTCCATTTTTGCAGGTGTAAGGCCTTCAGGTACTGCTTGAGGATCTGATATTGGAGGTTCACCGACTCTGTCTACTCTGACAATTTCTTTTGGATCCCAATCACTGGTTTGTTGTTAGAATGGGTGAATCACATCACATGTAATACCCCTCACTCATTCTCTATGACGTGATAGCTATTGTCTTTGTTGTAGTATTGTTGCCACTGGCCATTCATCGCTTTGTGTCTCTCAGTAACAAGTCATACAGCCGAATGAGAATCACACACCTATTATGTCAGCAGGGAGGCCTTCGACATCAAAGTAATCATCAAGGGTAATAAAGTTCTTGTAGGTATGCGACAGATGATCTAAGTCAATCATAGCCTGAGCACAAACGTTAGCTTACCGATGAGTGCATATAAGCCCACTCACTCCTAGTGGTATCTTCCAGCCTTGTTGTTCAGCCTCAGGCAGATCATCCCATTGACCTGTTCCAATTGCCTTTCCGCGATTAACTTGCACTGCGAAAGCACCACAAGTAGCTTGATCGAATTCACACGCCCGCGCATATACGTAGCTGGGTAGCACTGCAGTTCTGTTGAGTATCTGTGCGTGAAGTAACGTGGTCTCTATGATATATCTGATTTATATTTATAAGATTGTGACAGATTATGCAAAAGAAGGACGAACCTGACATTATTCCATCCCAACCAGACGCTGTAGTCTCTGACAAAGTATCCCTTGCTGCTGTCAACTAGCTCTTTGACTTGTTCTTTAGATTTATATTTGGAATGACCAGCAACGACGGCCATTGGATCGCTAGAGAGATGTCCGCTCTCGCTATCATGTACCAGGTCTCCATTTGAGGGATATGGGGGGATTTTGGCGCTGTTGCTCGTGAAATTGGTTGCTAACGTGTATGCTACATGTATGATGAATCCAAATACGAATGACAGTCTACGCAGCTTGTAAGAATTATAACCAATAGCCTCTTTACGCACCCAACAAATACCAAAGCCTTGCTTTTCTTCCCCCACTGTTTCCTGCTATTGGCTGCTGCCCCAGATAAGGGGGAGTAACCAGGCGCGTGCGACGAAGCATTTGGAAGCATTGCGTAGCCTTCACCAGCTTCCTCATCTTGCTGCTCATAATTATTTGCATTTATCGTCGACCTTGACGCCATCTGTTATCGTCGTACGTTGTACGAGGAAGAGAGTATCAAAGCAGCTTAAAGTAAATTTTGAGCCTCGCTACTATTCAATGCAGCGCCTAGACATACTTCAAGTTACATTTCTCTCTCTCTATCTTCACATTTACACTCCTGGAGAAGATCTGTTTTCTCGGCTTGGTAAGTTAAAAGGCGCAGGATACGCGTATGTATTCGCGTAAATCTCTCACAGTAATGCTAGACGCGTACTTCTTACCTTACTTTTCTTTTAAGAATCAAAACTCAAACTCGGGAATGTCAAACTAAAGTGAAGAATGCGATTTACTTAAATAGTGTCGAATCACTCTCTGCTTTACCAGAAACCACCCACATTTAATCACAAATAGCAATGTTCAACTCAGCCCTCCTCGCTCTTGCCGCTACTGCATCTCTCGTCGTCGCTGACGATTTCAAGAGAACTGATGGCAAAGGCTCTTGCAACGTTGGAGATGTAAAGGTTTGTACTGGCGCTGATTGTGTACTATCGCTTGCTAACAACTCACTAGTGTTGGTATGTTTATACACAATAACGCTAGTTTCATTTAACATCCGCTCAGTAACATTGTTAAAGACTACCAGGAAGCAACCGGTGAAGAAAAGGATCTCATTGGTCTCAAGTGAGTCGTCCGTCCTTTATGATGCGTGTTTTGACGCGTATAACAGTGATATCGTTGGTCAAATCGGTATCGAATGCTCCCAAATCCCTATCCTTGGTGTAGCTTTGCAAGATATGTGTAAGGTTACCCCTGTGTGCTGTGAAAAGGTGTGTATAATGTTTTTTTTTGCCTCCGCTTATACACTACAGGTTGAACAAAATGGTTTGATCAACCTTGGTTGCTCAGTAAGTGACCTACTTGCATAATTAAATCAAACTGACAACATTCCAAGCCACTCAGTGTGATCTAGAGGAGCTAGTTATACTCCTTGCCTACATTAGGGCATCGCTGCTATTCAAACATGGGCACGCTCTTGACTCTTTTGGAATATTCCCTTATACATTTTATTTTATATATGATGATATCTATAATCGAATGAAAATCACGTATTGTTCGCGAGTTTGTTAAGTGACATGAAATTTTTACAATTAATCCAATTTTTGTACACAGGATCAAGCCCATTGACCCAAAATTGACATTACCTGTAACTTTGTTATATTTGTAGTATATGAAAACCTTTGAACTCACCATAGCACCGAGAAGCATCGATAAGATAGCTCCAGCTACTCTCTTGTCGGAAGCATCTGCTAAACCACCATCTCCCATGAAGAAATCTTTCGCCAAGAGATCAACTGTAGCTCCATAAATAAGTAGACCAGCAGAGATAGAATCAAGAACACCAATAGCAAGGATTGTCGGAGGAGAATTTGCGTTAAAGAATGAGTAGCAAATTACTCCTAATGCTATACCGATTGGAGTGATCAATGAGTAAACAGCTTTGTTTTATTAGCTATGAATTACTTTGATGGCCCTCAACCCACAGCACATAAGCGTTAAGCGAAGGTATTTCTTACTAGTGAACTTGACATCCGCAATGCGTGTACCGATAGCAAATCCATCGCACATTTGATGAAAAACAATTGCTATCAAATACGGGGCAAAACCAGAGCCAGCAGTAACACCAAGCCCTAAACCGACCATTACCGCTAATACTTGATTAGCGGGGTATCAACCAATTACCTCATACTCACAGTGAAATCTAATACATAATTAGCGGTAGTTCAGTGGTTAAACCATACTCACACAATACCGCCCTCGATAATAAGCACATCGAGATACTTTTCCCTGTTAACCAAAGTCTCAACTTGATTGATCTTCTCTTGTAACTCGTCATTCAATTGTGGATCTTCAGGTGAACTTTGCTGAGAGATTTTCATGTCATTGAGCTGTGAAGCATCTAAACCACTCAACAACATCATTTGTTTCTTGCGCTTTCTGAGTGTTCTGGCGACAGCTAAATCAATAACGAATATAACGAATAGTGATGCCATAGCTATCGCAGGAGCAGTCGGATCGTAAGCCAATTGAATACACTCCGTCTCAAGCTGCTCGAACGCCTCAAAAAGCAGATGGACGAATGCGGTCGCGATAATGACCCCGGTACCAAAGTATCTAGATCTTTAGATAGGATATTTAGACTGTGATATAACTGAAATGTCACCCTTCAAACTCACACGAAGACTGCTTCATCCCATATCCTCCTAGCTCTTCTCCTCGTAGAAGCCAAACCCTTCGTGAGAATAGGTAGAGTGATCCCTAAGGCGGATGAAACCAGAACAATGAAGATTGCCGCTATATGTAGACCTTTGTCGTATTCCTCTTTAGGGTCTGATGAGCAATCCTGTGACGGTCTGCCGTTTGTTCCGAGAACAGAAGGAACTAAGGCGAAGACGACAGTGGTATAGGTTGCTGCACCAATTCTCTTTGCTACATTTGGACACATATAGACTATTAGACCGCCGTTGCCGATGACTGTGGTAGTTTAAGATGACACCGCAGCTGGTAAGTTGAGTTATATTTAGAATATATGTTGGCGTCGGCGTTTAAATTTAGCTTAATCCATTTACTTGGATTACCTGGACACAAATTCATATTTACATATTCGTTATCTCGCCCGCTCGCTTACTAGCGGTGATGAAATTGATTTTCTTATCATCCGCATAGAAGCAACAGCGTAACTTGTTAGCGATGCTTTAAATATCGACTCCCAGGAACTATAACTGAGTATATTCAAGGCAGATCTTGGCAGTCGCTGTTAAATTTCTATGTATAGAAGCCAGAAGCGGTGAATAACTAAGTATAATCAATGTATTCGAGTAGTTTATGTAATTACGTGAAGAATCATGTCAAAGAGTCGTTAATTACTTCTTGTAGACGTATCTATCGGCAGCGGTTAGCGGGATGGTGATACAGTGCGGCTTCAACTCACCCTTGTCCTGTAGCTAAAGCCAAGAAGGTAACTGAAGCAGCAGAGATGACTCTGCGATCCCAGCGTTCGTTCCAGTTCTTGAAACCCAAGTAGCCAGTAGCAGATAACAATGACGCGTTGACTGAGGTCAAGTAAGCTTCAATTGTAATCGCATAAGCCCATACACACTCAATGAAAGAGCAATCTGTTGATTCTTACGATCACCAGCCAAGTTTTTGACTTTCTATTACCGCTCGTCAGATCACGCAAATCCTCTGAATGCAACACCCACTTGTAAGCACGTAAGACCTGCCTCCTCAGCTTTCTCAACCTTCTTCTCAGTCTTTGGCTTTGGCTTACTGTGCGAATGGTGCTTCTCGCGGTGTGTCTTCTTTTCCTCGTCTTGCAGTCTATTTTGGGCAGCTTGAGCAGCTTGAGCACCCTCAGTGGATGGATGGTCCATGTATTCGTGCTCGACAACGTTTACTTTGGTGTCCATGTCTGGGAGTCCTGCCCTCTCGTTGTTCTGTCCCTCAAGGAATTCGTTGCTTGGTTTAACCTGCTCAGATTCTGGTGGTGCGTTGAATGCAGCTGCGTTAGCGTATGACACTATAATTTAATCAGTCTATTTTTTATTTATTTCCCGCTTTCCCCACTTTATGATGATGGTTCTACCAGAACTGAGGAGCACTCTATACGTCATTTTTCGCCACTGAAACATTTATATGCCAAATTTCAATGCATGCTATGTAAATCATCTTATAGGTACGCCTATGTCCCCAGCTCCCCAATTGCCGACAGCTTTCATACGATCGACACCTCCCTTCGATATCAACTCTGCATCCTCACCACCTAGCAGATCAGCGAGCATCTCCCAAGGGTCTCTCCCACCACCCCATCTAAGCACCTCTTCGCGTAATCTGTGTCCAGCATCTCGGCTCAGTGGGTCAGGTGATAGCACATCCTTGTAGATCTTCGATGCTAATGCTCGGTCAAATAGATATGAATAATACGTTGCACCGTATCCGCTGTGCATTGTCAGTTTGTTCCAATAACTTGAAATCTACTCACAAAAGATGTCCGAACTGAACTTGCCATGCAGTGTCCTTGATTGGTGGTATGACTCCATGCTGCGACTGAACTTCGTACCACATATCAGTTGACCAGCCTAGCTTTCCGTTTAATGGCGCTTGCTGTGAGTGATAAGCCTGATCAATCAACGCCATTAGTAGCTGTCCGTGAGTCTCGAGAGCAGGCAATGCATTCAATTGTGCTAAATGCGCTTCAACGAGCTTCGGTGGCAAACTTTTCCCAGTCTTCCAATGTTTACCAACGACTGATTGAATTTTTGGGTTTGCTAGTATATGCTCCATCAATATCGATGGCATTTCAACAAAGTCCGTCGCACATCTCGTACCAGAGCAATTTTGATACTCTGTCCTCCCAATCATCGAGTGAATTGCATGTCCCATTTCATGGAAAATCGTTTCAACCTCCTGCCAACTAAGAAGAGTTGGTTGATTGGCAGATGGTTTGTCGAATGTACACGCTAAAACGACAATCGGTAACTGAAATCTACCGTCTTCGTTTTGAATTACTGATCCTGACTCTCTCCTGTCCTCTTCACCAGGTACGTAGTCGTCATCGTCCACTCTCCTTGAGCACTGCACTGTATAGTGAGCCGCTGTGCCTTGCTTTGGATATCTAGCAAATAAGTCGGCATAAATTGTTCCCACAATCGCATTGCTAGACGTATCATATACATCCAACCTTCTTACGCTCGGATCCCAGACCTCGCCTGCTTCAACCTGACGAGGAACGAACTTTATACCATACAACTGTTCCAATACTGAGCTTAATCCAGCCATAACATTACCAAGTGATAAATATGGTGATAGTGGTTCTAGAGATGAGCTTTCCCCGATACTGCTTGCACGCATTTGCATGAAAAATTCTCTATCTGATGCCTTCATTGGCGGTATTGAAGGCACACCAAGACTTTCTTTAGCGGAGATTAACAGCTTGTTGACGTCACCACCAGCAAAAGGTTTGTTCACGTTGACAAGCGATTCCAGGAAAACCAGGACTTGGTTAGGATCATCAACCATCTTATCGGAGAGTGCGACGTGCGAGTAAGTTGGGTAATTGATAAGTTTAGCAGTCTCAGCGCGTGATTCGAGCAACTTTTCCAATGTATCAACTTCCTCTTCAGATGCTGCATTCGAAGCAACATGTATTTTGACTCTTGCTTCTGGTGATGGTGCGAATCTGTACAAAACTTGAGCTTCCCAGCCATGAGCGTCTAATATTCTATTGCCCTTATTGTCTGATGGTGCCAAGTGTCTCAAAAATTCTGCTGGTATACCCATTAGATCTGCCGGCGACAAAGTCACCCTCCGAACGTCACTATCTTGACCCTGATTCATCAGGAACTTCCTTCCAAGTAGCAAAGACTCTGATGAGAGTTCTACGAATCTTCTTCTTGAGGCGTCTGACAAGTGTATGCCAGATTTCTCAAAGTCTCGAAGGAACAAGAGTGCAACTTGATTAGCAGAGTAATCTAAATGAATAGCAGGATTCTGCACAGTTTCTCTAAGGGCCTGGTATAATCCTACATGAGTATTAAGCTCATTCATGTACTCGCAGAGCCTATCGTACGTGTTATCGGCCGCTTCAATCCATTTTACATCAGGATGAACGTTCCTCACGAGCTCAGCCAAATCGATCACCCTACATAATCCATCAGATAAGCGGTCGAGGTTCTTGACGACCTTGCGCATCTCTGAGACGCCATTTGAGGGTGCGTTGACGATTCTATCGACCAATGCGCTAGAGTAGATAATTGTGCGATCGCTTATTGGCTTAAATGATTCTGGTGAGGTAAGTTGAGGGAATTTGAAGAGCCCGCCACTCGTCGTAGCCTTTAATGGCTGTGGATTGCTTGGATGATCGAATGCCTCAACAAGACCACTAGAGTAACTTCGTGCGTTTCTCCACGTCGTTCCAACTGCCTGCCTCGATATTCGCAACATGACGGTAATCAATAGAGTCTTGCAATACTAACAATAAAATAACAATAAACATAAATATTTATACAAGTTCATTTCATCCTACATTTTGTACATCTCTCCTCCACTGATCAATCGAATTGATCTTCTTTGTTTGCTTCTCTTGAATGTTTTGCGCATGTGGTGGTGCTTGAAGATCTGGTGCAGACAATTGGGGTATTGAAGGTGCCTGCATCTGTGCCATCATCATTGGATCCATACCCATGCCTGGGTATACCCCATATGGTGGCGCAAACCCTCCCATTGGGGGCATCTGCATTGGCATTGACATTGTAGACATTCCTGCCATAGGCATCTGTGGATACCCTCCCATAGCAGCTGGGTTCCAGCTCATTGTTGATCCTGGGTAGCCAAAACTCATGTTGGATTGTCTCGATGCCGCCGGATACATGCTGTTGCGCTGTTGGAATGCAGCTGCGGCTGGTCTTGATCCAAGAGCAACATCGTCATCATCTTCTAGTCTTGATTGTCCGTGTGAGTTCATTTGTGGATGCTTTAGACCTAGCGGTACATCATCTTCGTCTTCCTCTTTCTGTACTTCTCTTTCAGAGTCACCAGGAAGCTCTACTTGAATCTTTGGCATGAGTACTTGCTCGCTTGGTGTCCTTGACGGTCTGATGAATGTGGATAATGGTCTTTCATCCTCGCTCTCGTCATTTTCTACTTTTATATTAGCCCGTAAATCTGATTCTTGGGATCTAGATCTAATAATATTGGATATTGGCATGGTATCCTCTTCATCGCTATTCTCAGGGCCAATCGATTGAGATGATTGCAGCAATTCAACTGGAGGTAACGAGCCATCTGGAGCCCTGCTTGATGCTGGAACGATAGACTTTCGAGGCGCGTGCCTCCATTGTTCATTTCTCTTTGGTCTTAAAAATTGCTTTGGTTCATGGTCTATAGATGGGCGTCCTGATGGTAAGTGCGTAGATCCTGAATCTGATCCGTTAAACCTGAGATAAAATTAGAGTTTGCCAATTGCATCTACGCTTATCTTACCATTTGCTTACACCAAGTACAGTTTCATTTTGCATAGACGGTGTCACTGCTTGAGGAGGAGCCACTTCTCCCGTGTCGAGACTTTCAGAGGTAGCATCAGCGTTCTCTTTGTCATTAACGCTGACTGAAGGAGTCTAAAATGTGTCAGGAGCAGGTCTCACAAGGTAAGACAACACCCACCTGCGGTAAGCTCTGTTTGGAAGGACTGCCTTTCAAACTCATCAAATTCTTTTTGTTGCTCTTCTTCAATAATCTATTTTGCTCTTTCTCTACAGCCAATCTTTGCTTTCTCTCAGTATCAGCTTTTTCAGCAGCTGCGAGTGTTTCAGCTTTAGCTTGATCGCGTTGCCACAACTCATCAACTCCGAAAACTGATTGCATGCGGGTGATGACTGGTGCAGAACTTTCCCTGCCATCCGCAGTCGACCCTTGCGGACGTTCATCACCTCTGAAAAATCTCCTTTTGTCTTTCTGAGCTTGCTTACGTGAATCGATATCGTCCATTAAGCTTGATCCAAATATAGTTCCAGGCTGCATCTCCGATGTATCCATTTCACGAATTTTTCGAGCTCTAACCATTGCCATATCATATTCATCTTCGAGTTCTTCATCATAAAGTTGAGCTTGTTCACCTTCAGATTGAGCCGTTGGTAGACCAGCACTAGATCCAACGTGAGGACCTTGTGCATGTGAGTTAGCAGCAGAAGGTGCAAAGACACTGGCTCTTGAGTTGCGATTTGTGAAAGAAACGCCGTGTTCAGATTTACTATTTAAAGGAACAGCAACAGAAGCTCTATTCATAGCTAAAGCTGTGTGTCTCTTTTGTTCTCTAGCCCTTTTCAAAGCCTGGGGTAAGGGTACTTTGAGCTCGGTTGATATGTGATGGAAATCTATATCGTCTCTATGGACGTTAATATCGTCAAGTGAGCCTTGGAGTGGGGCAGGCATGATAAGGGTCTTTGGGCGAAGTAAGGTGTTTCTTGAAACTGTCTTTACATTGTCTTCTTTGGGTAATGAGGGTCGCAAATGAGGAGGTATATCACTACGATAACTATCAGCAGACTTTCTGTGTTCAGTGGTGGTTGAATTGATAATTTCTGGATCAGCTTTAGACGTGAACTCGAAGGGTGGCAGAGTGAAATCTGATTTTGCGTCTCTGTAAAATCCTAAGGACGATTGAGCTCTTTCCCTGCCCTCTTTATCACTAGAATCAGCCTGAGGTTCTCTTGCTATATCAACAGCCGAAGAGTCTCTAAAGAGATTTAGATTCGCAAGGGAACTGTCATCACGAGCTCGTTCTGAGTGTGAAGTGTGATAAGCAACAGCAGCGATATCAGAGACGTTTGCAGCATCAGATAAAGTTCGATTTTTAGAGGCGCGTGCCTCACCAGGCTGAGGTCTTAGAGGTGGTGGTGGTGGTAAATCAGAGGAAGAGCTTTTGACAAGGAACTGATCCAAGCCCCAGCTATCGAGATCCACGTCATCGAATTTATTATTTTCATCAAGCTCGCGCTGTTGATGAATTGGGTATGGCGTATTGAAACCAGCACGATAGGCTTCAACCGACTTAGCGATATCAGATTTAATAGGATTGATTGAATTGACAGGATCATCAACTGCGCTGGATTTATCTGAATGATCTGGGTGATCGGTGGAATCGCCGTGAAAGGTAGCGTATTTGTTGTGACCATCTTTTGCAGTGAGAGGTGCAGGCGCAAACAGGGCAGAATCTTTAGCCTTGTTTGTACCGTCATATTCTAGTAACGCAGCTGCCAGCGCTAGTCTGTTGAAAGACATGAATGTTGATAACCAAGTGACTTGGGTGGTTGATTACACACGCTCACCGGTAATGGCCACCAAAACAAAAAGATATAAAGGTCCTTTAGATTTAAAGCGATGGCATTGGTATGGGATGTTCACGTAAGTTGTTTATTTGCTTTATCAGGGCTATCAAGGCTATCAAGGCTATTGCTGGATGCAAATTGATACCCCTGAGTATGAACATGTATCAGGGCAGTTATTAACAACATTTCAGGTGGTTCGTGGCTCTCATTTTCCCTCCTTTTGGCGCACTCGTTAGATTTGGTATGCTTATAACCTCGTGACTTGGGGTATTTATATGACGATATTAACATTGCCTTCAATCGCAGGCGTTGGTAAAGATTTCTTCATCTGCTTGATACTCACTTTACTTGGATGGATTCCAGGTGCGTTAGGCGTTGTTGATGCTTATCTACATGTCTCATACGCTCCAGGCCAAATTTATAACTTCTTCATACAAAACATAAGGGATAATACAATGAAAGAGCGCACTCCTAATTTCGCAATCAAATATAAGTTAGTGAACATCGATAAACATAAGAAAAATCAACAGAGGAACTCTTGGAGACAGCGATATCAATCAGGTATCAATTCTGCTGGTATTTTCGATTCACGCACTTCCTTGTCTTCTGAAAATAGTGCAAAACATTTCGATTTACCTTTCAACACCGGTTCTGGCCCTGTCGATAGCCATAACTCAAGCTTTGTTAACGATTTCCATTCTACAAATATTGCGCATACTAGTAAATTTGGCTCTCTGTTCAAGAATCCCTTTGGTAGACGTAGAAAAGATCCAAATTTAAACAAGAATCGTTGGGAGCGGTCCCGAGTATCACATGAACATCCACAAATTATTGATCCCGATGACGACCCTGAGGGTCATGATGGATCCGATGGTCCTGAGGAGCCCGTTGGAATGTATTATAGCGCAGAACACTCTAAAGATAATCAACCAAAGGATAATGGAAACTTGGCCACCGATTTAAGACACGAGTAAGTTCGCAATTCACTCACCATCATATACTCACAAGTGCTAGATTTTAAGCGTTAGTTTCACGCCCAATTGTATTATTAGAATATTGTTACACCATTTTATGCATTAAATGTATGTATCTGAAGTTTAGTGAATTAAGTAAAATAACGTAGGGTCGTAAGAATTGGTTAAGTGAGTGAATGATAAGATATCCTTAAAAAGAATGAATTGATGTTAAGTTCCTTCTGTCATTATTGAATTAAATGTCAACTAGGCGTCTAGACGTAGCTAATATCCCGATGCTTCGATGACGACCTTCCAAAACAAATTCCGAGCAGAGAGAGTATTGTACCGATAATTAAGCATCCGGCAGCGGCAACACTCAACCACTCAGCGTTGTCAAGAGATGTATTTACTGATATTCCAGTTTCTTCAAGTTTATCTTGCAATTCGTTCTCAAACACCTTGAACAGTGCGACGTTGAGCGCTAAAGCTACGCAACCAACTACAGCAGTGATTCCCTCAAAAATTGTGAGGAAGAGTGCCGTTATTCTTCCTCCACGGATAGCCAGGCATCCAAACAAGCTAACCAGGAGAGACAATAGACCAGTAACAGGGTTGAGAATGAGTGCGTACGTTATATGCTCCAAAGCTTCGTTGTTAATTGATATGTTGACGCCTGTTATCCGGTTGACTGGCTCCTCCAATCTGTAACCAAGACTTTCTTCTGAGCAGACATCATCGAAACACCACCCAAGAAACCCGTATCTTATGGTGCCGCCGTTTGTGCGGTAGTTTCCTGCCGAAACCGTTGGAACGTCGACGCTGTGACTGTCAGAATATTTGCAACCAAAGCCAAAGACGACTCACCTGAAGAAACGCACTTGGTTCCACACAGGTGAAGACACTGTTATGCTATGAAATATTAGAACTGCAACATGAAAAAATAGACTCGACCTACAAAACGTAGAGGACCAACGCGGCAAAGGCGAGGAATACTGCTGGAATTGCTGCACGACCCATCTCTATGATTGTAACGGAATTTTTTAACTTGTGCGTCAGACCGTGGCCGTCTTAGAACAAGAGAACTTGTTTGGTCCATACAGCTGGTTATGGCTATTTCTTCATAATTTTTTACGCTGTAAATATTGGCTATCAATCTCACACATGTCTCTAAACTTAAATTAAACCGATATGGCTGATTTCAGCACAACGACAATCAGTGATGCTTTATACAAGCTCTGCCCTGCCGCAGACACTGGGGGATATCTTCCAGACCTCAAGCTCTTTGCTGGATCTCACTGTCTCTCAGGACCCGTTTTTCCCGTTCAATTTGAGTATAAGTGGTCGAATCCAGCTCCAATGGCCGAGCACTTCGTAGACGCCTGTCCTCCTGGCTCCGTGTTACTACTGTGTCCACCCAGTGATGCTACCAACGCCTGTTTTGGTGGTCTACTTGCTAGCTCAGCCAAAACCAAGTCCATTGCGGGTGTAGTGGCAAATGGCCGTGTCCGAGACCTAGAAGAGCTGGAAAGCAGTGGAATGTCTGTAAGTATCATTCTCTCGTCTCTCCTTCTCTGACAAGTCAAAGATATTTGCCAAAGGTACTAGTGTTTGCGGGCAGTCCCCATTCTTAGTGCCTGTAAAAGCAGGCGAACCAGTTCAAATCGAACATGAAAATGGTCACACTATGTCTGTCAAACCAGGCGACCAACTCTTCGCTGATAGGAATGGGGTTATCATAGTTGACTCAGCACGTCTCAATGAAATCGTAGAAGTAGGTGTTAAGTCTGAAGAGACTGATGAACTATGCAGAAAGGCGCTACTCGAAGGTGCAGGCGTAAAGGAAACATTCGCAAAGTATCGAGGAAAGCCAAAGCTTTAGATAGTCTCGCTAAATGATCAACTAATTTTTGATGGCATGTGTTGTAATTATAAATATGATGACATGAGAACGCTTATGCTTTGGATTGATTTACTGCTTCCCATTGTCTCTCGCCTTCGACCGCCTTATCACCAACGTCATCCAGAGGGCGGGGACAAGCGGATTTAATGGATCTTAACAGCAACGTGGTGTATAGAGTGGTTGTAGGTATGCTTCAGTATTTAATCCTCCAAGTAAATTGGTGCATGGCGATGAGGTGGGATCTCCGGCCGAGAAAAGCATGCTCAATGACGAGTTCACCATAACACCGCCAGGCTGCATAATTGACAATTTTGTAACATTCTGTAACAAATAACTGTGAGAAATCTGCGGGTATATTTGTCATGATTAGCTTAGTTATGTGCTCTACAATTGTCCAGCTAGATGTGACATGCTGCAAAGAGTATGATCTAAAACTCAAAAATATGGGTTCCTACCACCCTAACTTCCACAATTCCAACTCAGCCTTAATCAAATTCACAACCCCACAATGTGACGTCTTGAAATGTACCTAGTGAAGCCAAAAACCCGATTTCAGAGTTGGGCTGACCCCAACTTTCTATGTCTAAATCTCTTCTTCCAACTGCCAAGTGAGACGAAACAGCAATAGTATTCCCCAGGTGTCAGGTTTGATAGCTGTGAACGACATGTTTCGTAAAACGGGTTTCGCGTTTATAGAGTCGTATAATTATAAAATTAAGTGCTTGCGGCCTATGAATTCGAATTTTGCTAACATTGTTTAAGCGTGTGAGATCCTTCGCCAATATCCAGTAGCGTGCTCTAGAGCGATTTTGGGTCGTTGCTTCCGATCAGCGTGCAGGGTGCAATTTGGAACGCCAGGGATACAAATCTGGCAAAATCACATTTGTTCTGGCCACAGCTATCAACCAAGTTCTTTTATTTGGAGACCACCACAAGTTGTAAATCAACCATTTGAGATGAGATCGGTGACAGGAGTAAATTTAAAGTCGGTGGATATTGGGCAAATGAAGGAATTAAAGGTAAATTAGAGTCCTGAAAGGCATGTTAATTTAAAGGCGGACTTTAAATCTGTTGATTGCTAGTAAATGCTCCTGCACCTGTGTCATTCAGCGTTTTACAGGGCGACCATAGCCCTAAATCATTGAGCAGTACTATTTATCACAAGTTTTTTCGCTTCTTTGACTCTGACGCATTATTCGTTCTCTGCTGTTCGCAGTTCATGCCGACCTATTTCACGGCAGATGGCCAAATCTCGTACATAGAGCCGAATCTATTGAATTTTGAGTGTTTTTAGTCTCCATTAGCTAGCGATGTTTGTATCCATCGATGAAGCGCGTATAGTCCTCCATATCTATCCTATAGCATGCTCCAGAGCGATGTCGGATTGCAACTTCCGAACAGCCTACAGGGCGCTATTGAAGGCACAGGGATATAAATCTGGCGATATCATGTAGAGCTCGTGCAGGGCTATCTTTCAAGCTTTTTTATTTAGAGATCATCAAAACTCGTGAATCCAGCCATGGAGATAGGAAAGGTGATAGTCGAGAAATGCAACTCGATAGATATTGAGCGGAGTGCTGCTATAGGGATATGCTTAAAATCCCGGAGCTGCTAAGAACTAATATTCTGCTCATTTGTTCCAATTGTCAGTATTCATTATCTCTACGTTCGTCTGACTTGGCATTTGCAGAGTGATTTGAGCAAACGTAGTTCCATCAAATACCTCATACTGCGTTAAGCGTCATTAACACTCAAAGAGCTATAAAAATAACCTGTTATCCCGTGAACACCTCTTGTAGTTATCAGACTGGATAAAAGAGTCCCAACATTGTGCAGTAATGGGGTTTACAAGAAAGATGGCTGCCATAATCAATTAATTCGATCAAATGCACTGGATATCTGTATCAACTTCCCTAGAGTATCGGTGTTGCTCGCAATTCATGATTAGTGGACTTCACCGCGCAGAGGCCATTGCTTCTCATATTTACTTAAAATACATAAATTGCGATTTACAAATCATAGCGACTATTTAGCCATAATATAGTTGGCCAGCTTGTTGACCATAACCTTATCCAAGCCAACAACCGATCCACTCTCTTGTTGCTCTGGCTCGAGGGCGTGCTTAGCAAATGTCTCCAAGTTAAGGTTGTGTTCATTGCAAAGATGCAACAGGCAAATAAAGCAGAAGCTCGTAGACAAGTCATCCAGCTTCTCAGCGGGATAGCTAGCTTTAAGACCATCGATGACACTCGAGAACCGTTTGCCAACATCCTTGTTTTCGTTATCTGTTGTTCCGGGTGGTAGATTCTCCCGATCATCGTCATCTTCTGGGGCTTCCAAGCTATTCCAGATATTGTCCTTCAATGCTCTGACATCCACACGCTTTGCGCGCTTGGAATAGTTTACGAACTCAGGCCTGACTCTGTTCAATTGTTGGAGATGTGTCTCAGCCAGTGCGTCATCTTCATTCAAGTGCGAGCTCTGATTGCCAGGATCAATCTCACCACTGACAAGATCTTCACCCATATCCAGGTCGTCTTCTTGGAAGAATTGCGAATCAAGAGGTGCAGCTGGTGGTTGTTCACCGTCGAACTCCATACCATCAGGAGCACCAGCCCAAAATGCAGCATCAGCACCAGCGTCGTCGCCATTACCCTTACCTGCTGGGACCATTTTGCCTGATTTCATCCGGAGTGATACCTTAGGTTTGAGGAATAATCTTAACAGTTGCTTTGAATTGAAATGTATATCGTCTGGTAAAAGGTTATCTCCATCGCGGTTCTTTTTGGGCATAAATATGGATGCTGATCCTGCTCCCTTAGTTGTTGGTGGTGCAAACAGTGTTTTGCTGTTCGAGGTGGTGGGCTCATCAAAATCTATCATGGGGATGGTCTTGTCCTCTTTGCTTTTTTCTTTCTTTGGTGCAGAGGCGGCGTCTCGGTTTACCGACCGACGCACGCCCCAGTGTTCAGGACCAGCCCAACCTTTTGTCAAATTCTTATCAAAGTAGTCAAACATGCCTTCAGAATTAATGGGTACTGACGACATAACCATATTACCTCCGGCAGACGGATTGAAAGGATCATTTAAAGTCGGGAGTTGTTGTTGCTGATTGCCACCTTCAGCGACCGAGTCTGGAATATTCCAACCATCGTCATCAACGCCTCCTGCATTGGCCGCGACATTTGGATTAACTGCCCAGGCGTCATCGTCAATCTCAACCGGCTCTTCATTTGCTGCCGACTCAAAGAAGTCATCCATAGGCGCGTCAGCCATATCTGCACCACCACCATTGAAGTCATCTTCGGCGTCTTCAGCTGCCGCTCTATCTTCCAGCGGAGTTACTGGTCGCTCAAATGGATTTTCTGTTACATCGTCTTCTGTTGGGTTGAGGGAAAATTTGAAAGTTGACAAAGATGGACAAATTTCTTTTTCATCTAGCTCTTGAATAGATGGTAAGAATTTCGCTGTAATCATTATTAGTATGTACTATGAATATGCAGTAACTCACACTGCAATTCTGCTATGTCTATGCGGGGATCCTGCTCATTTTCGTTGTACTCGTCTTCATCTTCGACCATAGCTACGTCGGAGGAATCGAAAATAACACGGCCTACGCCATCGACACCTAAGTGATTCATAAGCAATCCACCTGCACCACCTTCATCGAAATCAGCCGAAGTCTTCTTGAAAAGTGGATCAATTGCAAGTTCAAGTTCGAACTCCTTGGCCTTGAGGGAGTTGAAATCATTGACAAGCGTCGAGCCAGTTCGTGGTGCCTTTGTGAAATATATCAGAGTGTGAATAGTTTCATCTGAAGCTGACTTACTCTTCTTTTCTTGCTGACTTTCTCTGTCACCTCCTCAGCGTCACTATCATCTCTATCTTCAGAGGCTTCTTCGCGGTCATTAGTACCTGATGTAATAGTTAGAGCGTGATTAAACTGAGTATAAGAGACATACCGCCTGCAGAAAGACCGTTGATGAGCTTGCCAGCTTCAGTTGCGACACTATCAACTCTCGAAGTCCAAATCTTAACACAACCGTCCAAGGTGCAACTAGCTTTCTGGAAATTGATTGAATTTTGGCTGTCGTCATTTCTCAGCAGAGACATGTCTGCAAAATAATCAATCAGAGCGAAATTCCAAGTATTTGCCGCGTTAATTTTCTATCGCATGTCAGGATGACTGTAAGAACGCCTCAATTAAACACGCACGTTGTCCGTGGCCATTTTCATCCATTCTTCAAAGTTGGTCGTCATAACATCCATACTTAGAGCGGGTGCATTACCAGCAGGCTGAGGGGCGATAGTAGTAGCAAGCTTGTGCCTAGCTACGCGTGATCCGACGTTTGCGCCCTTGGATTTGTGAGATGGAGAGTGCTTATTGCTGTCGTCATCCAAGTAGTGTGATTTCCGTCTTCTACGCTTCTCAGCCGCGTCGTCATCGCCATCAGCACTAATAGACTGCCTCCTATTAGTTGCGGCAGCAGCTAGAAGGGATTTGCGCGGTCTAATGAGTGACTGCCTACGCGAACCATTGGAAGTACTTTTATCGGGAGAACCTGAATCGTTTAAAGGGGCTGTTAAATCCTGCCTCTTGTTTCTCTTCGTAGGCCTTGGAGGCGTCATCGTGCTATCTGTATCTGAACTCATGAGATGGAAGTCAAATTGAAACGCGTATCGAGATGCGCCTCAGTTCAATTCAATCAACTGGTGGAAATATAAAAAGATGGACAGCGTGAGTTTTCTTATTTGGGTTTGATTATTTTCTGACTTTAATCAGCAAATGAAGGATTTCGACGATCTCGGTATGTGTGTGTATCATACACCCTGCACAGCTAACCTTATAAGTCTATGACGACAAGTACGAAATGGGCACTGGCCAGGAACTCGCCAGGGCAGAGGCTCAGGCTTCCGAGGACATGTTCGAGAGAAGGAAAGTGCTTAGGACTCTCGCAGTACCAACAGACGATACCAAAGTTAGAGAGAGGCTGCGAGCAATGGCACTGCCAATGACTCTGTTCGGTGAACGTGTACGTTCTCGTTTATCCCTCTATGCAATGGCTCAAAAAACCGCAGAACGAAGACAGAAGGAATCGTCTCAAGTCGATTATTGCAGATATGCAGCAAGAGGCTGGCGAAAGCTCTAAAGTAGAAAGCGAGAGTGAATCGGAGGTGCGCATACCAATACCAGTCTAAACCTCTAACGAGAATGCCAGGATGAAGAGGAGTTCTATACCGTCGGTCCACAGGATCTGCTAAACGCCAGGAAATGGATCGCAGAGTACTCAATACCTCGGTTAGTTTAATCTTCTCGTACGTATTACTGTGCTGATAATATCAGTACAAAAAACAAGTTAGAGATAGAGCGCCAAGACTGGAAAACACCACTAAAATCAATCATCGACGCGAGAAAGCGCACGTTCGAATACATAAAGGTGCGTGCATCAATAAACTAGTATGAGACTCACAAAACGTCAGTCATTCAGCGTACTGGGATCGCAGGTTGGCGACAGCCGACCGATATCCCAGGTCAAGTTCTCACCTAACAACCAGCTGTTAGCTACCGGTAGCTGGTCTGGCAGCCTGAAGCTGTGGGACATACCCAACTGCAACCACCAGATGACTTTCAGAGGCCATGAAGGCCTAGTAGGTGGCGTTGCCTGGCATCCTGAATCCACGCTTAGTCAGAGCAAAGCAAGCGTCAACTTAGCGTCAGGTTCTCAGGATAACACAGTCGCCCTGTGGTCTTTGGACAAGGATACACCGTTGGCGACTCTCAAGGGACATACCCACCAAGTGCGAAGAGTTGCGTTCCATCCTTCAGGTAGATACGTAGGCAGTGCATCATTCGACGAGACATGGAGATTGTGGGATGTTGAAACACAAACTGAGCTGCTGTTGCAAGAGGGACATTCGAAGGAGGTCTACGCACTCGCTTTCCAAGACGACGGTGCGCTGGTGGGATCTGCAGGTATGGACGCTATTGGACGAACCTGGGATATGCGCACTGGAAGGACTGCCATGGTGTTAGATGGACATGCAGACAAGATTCTCGCAATGGACTTCTCGCCGAATGGGTTAGTGAAGGGCTATATTCAATGAATTCAACTGACTTATTGTGCAGCTACCAATGTGCAACTGGGTCTGGCGATGGTAATATCATGATATGGGATCTTCGAGCGTTAAAATCTATAACGTCGATGCCTGCACACAATATCTCTGTTGGAGATGTCAAGTTCTATAGACAACCTGAACCTATTCTCAGATCTAGAGGCGACACTCAAGATGTGAAGATGGACGAAAGCACTGACACTGACGAAATGACACCTATTGTGAAAGAACCTTACTCCAACGGCTTGTTCTTAGCTAGCGCTGGATTTGACGGTTACACCAAGCTTTGGAGTGCAGACGACTGGATATGCCAGAAGGCAATCCGCGAAAACTCTAAGATAATGTCAGTTGATATATCAACCAACGGAAAGCACATAGCGACGGGCGAATGGTCACGCTCGTTCAAGTTATTTGGAACTGATTTGTAAATAGACGCATTAAATCATGTAAATTATTGCCTTGACAAGAATGTGAATATGTTTGTTGCATGTTGCTTTACTGCTTACTGCTTCTTAGCCTCGCGTTCCTTCTTACGTAGAGCTCTGATGCGGATATCCTTTTGCATCTTGTGGTTGTACCACAGTTCGAGCTTCTTAAAGCCACTCAAGCAGAGGAAGGCGTCGACAATTGCATGCGACCAGTAAGGCGTAGAAGCGTATGGTCTTGAAATTGAACCGCCAGAGAGGCCAATTCTTCTAAGAACGGAGCGTACGTATGTAGCAGGTAAAGGAATTAACTTAGATGGTCTGCGAATCTTGGACATGGACGAAACGACAAAGTAGGTGTTAACCAATTCAACAGTCACACCCTTTGATTTGACTTCCTCGCCAAGGGCTTGAGACCAGCTGACCAAAAACGATTTTGAGCCTGTGTAGGTGGCAAGTAATGGTGTTGGTACTGTGCCTGCGAATGAGCCGATGTTAAGAACAAGTCCGTTCTTGCTGTATTTGCAGTTTTAGATGGCGCAATGCATCAAAAATTTCACTCACCGCTCAACCAGTTTTGGTAGAACAGCTTGAGTGACACGGAGTGTTGCATTTATGTTGATCTCAATTATACTTTTGACTTCATCGAGTGGAGTTTCCTCGAATGGAACAGGCATTTCATGCGATTTACCGACATTGTTAACGAGCACACCAATGTTAAGACTTTCAATGGACCTATCGAATGCCTCATAAGACTTATCGTCGCCAGCTGAAAAGTCGATTGATTGAGTCTTGGTCTGAATGTTGTATTTGGACTCTGACGGAGCTTTGTGAGCAATTCAATGAGACAAAGATTGACGCACCCAAATCAGCAGCAACAGCGCCCAATTTCTCAGCAGATCTTGATGCTAAAACAATATTGAAACCAGCTTTGGCAAGTTGAAACGCGAATTCTCTTCCGATGCCGTCCGTGGCGCCAGTGACGACTTTAATGAGACGATAAGAGATGATTACAGCGAATAAGGCTCACTCACCCGCCCAACTGCCTTTACCTGCGCCGAACTTCTTTAACTGGAGATGGACGTCAGAATCGAGAAATGGATAGATGGCAGCGCATACACTGATTCCCTTCCTAAGTGTGACGTCGTAGAGCACGCTGAGCAGTCTGAGCAGCGTGACTCCAGCGACTGTCGCTCCAAGCATTGCCAGTGCAAGTGTTAGCGGTGGGGTATCTGACGCTGGGAATTATGTCAGCAGCACACGCCGAACAGCAATTCACCCACGAAAGCCAAATTTTGTTAAATAATCGCAAATCATCATCGTTGCTCTTAAAGAGATTCACTTGCACCCAAACTCCCAAATGGGCTTAATCGAAGTGGGCTGCTAGACTGCAATTCTTATTCACGGCTTATATGCTCCCGCTCAAGGTTATTGCTAACGATAGACTCGGCACAAAGGTCCGCGTTAAGTGCGATTCGCACGATACCGTTGGTGACCTCAAGAAGATGATTGCTGCACAATCCGGCACCAAGCCGTACGTTTGAACATGGCGGACATATGATTTGTATTGACTATTCCCAGCGAGAAAATCAGACTGAAGAAATGGGTGAGTTGTCTTGGATGTGTTTCTTCTCCTCTGACCAACCCAAGTACTCGGAATTCAAGGATGTACGTACTCGCTTTACACCACCATGAAAGACTCTCACACATTGCAGCACATCACACTCTATGACGTGAGTTAGATATTCACATTTACCTAATATACTCATCATTTTGCAGTATGAAATGTACGTGAATTTCTATTTGACTCAAACTGCTCTAACAGTTTGTAGAAATGATGGTAAGTTACTATTGGTGGGGTATCCCGCGATATGAGCTGACAAGTGTTTAGGTATGTCGCTCGAGATGTACTAGATGTGATTCCTAGTGTGATATGTGGGTTTAGTGCAACTAATCCTCAAACATTCTCTCTGTAATGATGCTTAATTTGATTGATATTAGACATTTAACACTTACCGAATTCAAGCACTCCTGTGTCTGTATTGCCAATAACACCGAACGTGCCCTGCAGCTGTGTTCCCAATACTTCAAGTTCATTTATAAGCGAACGCATGCAAAGAGCGTAGGCAAAAACTAGAAGATGTGACGCAGTTGAGTTTATTTCCAAGTCTTGCGTTGAGGAAGTAGAAGCTTGAGCAGCCATTGCTGCTGTCGCCGATGCTGTTGAGCTTGCTGCCTGAATTTTATCCATCAGTGCTTGTCTTGATTTGTTAGCAGGTGGGAGATACGGTGCCAGTGGCGACTTGGAGTAGAGTGCACTAGCAATCACGCTAAAGAAGAGCAGGACGTTTCCAACCATTTCTCTCCTCTCTTCTCTGAATTTGTCCATGAAGCGTCGTGCGTACAAGTTCTGCGGCTGCGTTACCATTCCCAGAATATGCATTACCTCAAGTATTCTTTGACATGAGCCAAGTAAGTCTGCATACTTCTTTACTGGGAATGGTCCTTTTATTCTGGGTTCATTCTTGGTCTGTGCTAGCAAGTTACGCAATTTGATCAAGTGTATTTGTATGTGCAATTCCATGGACATGAACTCCTTGGATATCTGCTCCTCTCTCTTTTCTCCCATCATTGTTTTTTGTGGACTAAGCAAGTTTGTTGTTTCCGAAGCACGCTCAGCTTCCGATGCCAGATCGAACGAATCGACAGACTGTGGACTGAGACAGAAAGGCACTGGCGAGACTGACTGCGCTAATGTGTGTCTGTTATAAAGATATCCTAAATCTAGAATCAAATCACCTAGTCCAGTTCTTAACTCTTTGCGAGCTTCAACTGGCCACCAAAGTCTTGAAACTATCATACTGAATGTAATTCCCAATGTAACAGCCGCTGAGCGCTTTGCGGCTATTGTTATAGGATTCATATCTTGCTCGCGCAAATTAAATGCGTACAATGCTACGAGGTTGTACGATTGAAGAATGAAACGGCCAGTCGAAGAATATCTGCTCGATCCAACAACTATATAAAAACATGGAAGCGAGAAAAACAAGCCGACAATAGGAAATCCTATAGCACCGACTAGTGAATGACCCAGTGCGATGAATGAAATGACTGCGACAGCAGCACCAACAAGCGTACCGAGAATACGCTGGAAGCTGATATATTGTGAGTAGTGTTAATCACACCTTGGTATGTCTCACCACATGAAATTTGTCTGTCCGACTGTGGGAGAGAGAGATGCAAAGCAACTAATCAACGCCCATTCCAGCCTTAGGTTCATAGCAAACTTTCGTAAGTTGGAATGGAAGGAGGGCATCGAGAGTATAGCCAAAGCACCACCCGTTTTAATAGCAAACTTAACATCCCTTCTTCTGCTAAATCTGAGTACTTTCCATAGCATCTGATTGAGTCGATCTGGGAAACCAATACTCTCCTCCTCAACAACCTTACTGCTTCTCCAGTATTTAGATTGATCGTCTACCTTAAATTCACTGGGATCAATGGGAATTAATTTGGATAGAGTTTTTCTCATTCTTCTGCGCAACATTGGTGGACGCTGTAGCTTAGTGCTGAAATAAGAGCTGCTCTCGTCAAAGACACTTTCGTCATCTTGATAATTCTCATCAAGAATATTGGAGTTTCTCAATGAGATTTTAAAGACGAACATTAAATCATGCTCGCTTATCTCATCTATCAATAATAGAAGGTGGTATAGCTCTGTTGCTAGCTCTCTTAGATTGAATAAATAGAACTGAGTTATCAGCGATGGCTCCTGTATTGACTTGACATCTATTCTAATGTCTGGCTGCGAAGACTCGAGCACTATACCGGAAGAAATATCAAACTTTCTTATTGCACGTTGCATTCTTTCACTAGCTATCAACATAGAGCGGCGCGTTTCAGTAAGCACGTCAGGGTTTGAATCACGTTTGAACACCAACTTTGCTTCTTTCAGCACGTTCACAGTTGTCTCCTTGAAAGTGAGTTAGCCATAATCCAGAGTTTAATATTATACCCCACCGTAAGTTCTTGCATGGGTTTTCTTGCTATGTCAATGCTTGTCTGGAATGCTTTTGAGAAGCTTTCATCCTGAAGCATCATCTCATCACGCATATTAAGACAGCTTCTCAATCTGTAAATAATGTCAGCTAACCAGCCTGCCTAAGTATACCCCACAAACCCTGTCAAATGCTGAGCTAAACGTTCGATAGCTTCCACTGCGTGTTTGTATGTTTGACGTATCTGACTCTTGTTAACGCGCTGATCTTTCAACCATCTTTCACGAAGGGCGTGTGGGAGCTCAGCTTTCAAAGTGACAAAAGCTTCGTCGTGCGCTTTGACAGCTTTATCGAAAGCATCTTTATCGAGTGGCTTTTCGCCGTCTTGAGTGAAATTGGAGAACAGTGTATCTAATAGCATTGCAAAACTATCCATGCTGTCACTGAGATCTCTTCGCAGTGCACTTGTTGAGCTTTTCGGCCAGATTAAGAGGCAGACGGTGGATGAGATGATAATACCAATCATCGCCATACCCAGATACTGGATTAGCCTGGCTATACCGCCATTGTTTACCACAACTGAGTAGAAAACAATGCAAGACATGGTCGCTGCTGAGTTGAACGTCTGATTGGCCATTTTGAGTCTAGCGAAAGCGGCGATAGCTGAGCCAATACCGATCCAAACAAAAGCGACGATGAATTCATCGATATCTGTAGACCAGTACTCATTTTCCGGATCAAAATCCACGAAAGTCAACGTGAAAGTAGCGGCTAAAGATAAAACTGTGACGAATGCTAAAGCAGTCAAAGCAAAGAGAATAGCTTGTAGCATAGAGCCGCGACTACGCGCAGGATTAAACCAGACGGTAGCAGATGCCAGATTATGGGCATTCACTGCCACTTTGGAATATTTAGATTGGTCATTAAAGTCTAAGGCACTTATTAGACGATTTAATGTTGGATTAAAGGTGAATAAAGTTGCAATAGTGTAAGCGATTGCACATTTGATGACGTCTTTCTTTTGATCAGATGAAATCCAATCACTCCCACTACCATCATTCTCCTTGCTATCATCACTCTTCTTCACGCCGCGCCATTCATCAACAGCGACTCTTGGATCTTTGGGGCCTTGGACTGTGAATGTCCTAGTCAGAATATTCTTACGCTGACGGTTGTTTCGAGGCGCATCTGTGTGCGACCTCTTCATAGTTAGTAATTAAGAATATTTATCATGAAATTTGATTTATGGATACATTATTAAGCCTTGTAAATCAGGCGCTGTTTGCTGTAAAATCCTCCGAACTTCTTGAGCCTCCATCGAATCTGCACCAGACGTGTAGTGAACGTCAGCTCTGCTAAAGCCATTAAATGTTGATGCAGCGCAGATCGTGTATGCTCCCATCTCATCCCACCTCAACCAATCACCAACTTGTAACCCTTTCGCCAGCTTGTGAGACTTCATTACGCAGTCTAAGCTATCACACGTTGGTCCCCAGATTGAGCAAGATATTTCCTCACTGTCAACCTTTCTTTCGTTGAGCTGAACATCTTCAAGCACTAACTGTGATTGTACTGTCAATGGTCTTGCTTTAGGCTCAGCGTGATCGAACATGACGCAATTAAAGGCTCCATAGACACCGTCGTTCTGGTAGTACATGACTTTAGGTGACTGATCATCCATATCTTCATCAATATCATCAGCCGATCCTCTCTTTGCAATTATGTTCGTAGCCAATGAGAAGGCATCATGGACGTAGAATCTACCGGGTTCAGCGATCACACGAACTCCAGTTTCTGCTGGAAAATATTCGTCCACAGCTGGACCCAATGATCTTGCGAGTAATTCAAAGTTGTCATGACCAAATCCCCCACCTACGTCAAGAAGGTTGAACTTGTAACCAAGAGATTCACCAACTTCAAATGTCTTCTTTGAGCGTTGAATAGCATCTACATATGATTGAGGATCATAACAACCCGATCCAACGTGGAAGCTGACACCGATGACATTCAAACTCAAATCCTTCGCTGTCTTCAACAAGTGTGGGACTGCATCGAGTGGAGCGCCGAACTTGATACCGAATCTACAAACACTCTTTGAGTCATCTGTAAGAATTCTGATGACTAGTTGAGCACTGGGATATAATTTGGCTATCTTGTGGAGTTCATCGGTATTATCGAATGTCATCATTTTGACTTGGTTTCGACGTGCGAACTTGACCATTGAAGCAGCTTTGCATGGGTTTGCGAATATAATGTTATTGGAAGGATCTTCAGTTGCAGGGCAACTGGTGGGTAAGCTTAGGATGGTGTTAATTTCAGCTTGAGAAGCGCAATCGAAACCTAAGCCCAAAGCGGCTAACAGTCTAATGACATAAGGATCAGGATTGCACTTTACGGCAAAGAAAGGCTCGATTCGAGGTAGTTCATTCTTCCACCTAATGTGCTGCTTGTAGACGGAAGAAATATCTGCAACGAAGAAAGGATTTTCTTCAGCGAAATCTTTGTGGCTTTCAAGTAATTTGATTTGCTTAGCGAGTTGAGATTCAGTTGAGCCGTGATAGAGATTTGGGAGGGATTCATAGACGCATTTCTGCCTATCTAATGGGGCAGGACTGGCGGAGTGTGATGGTGGGGGAGTAGGAAGATTATGACGGATAACGTGGTTCTTTGGGGAGTTGTTTGAGTTGTTTGAGGCTGTAGGAGATAATTGAGGATGGCCTGTGGCTGGTGTGGATTCATAAAATTGCATTGTGTCGCTCTTTGACTGTGGTGAGGTAGCCGTTGAACGCGAGAAGTGCCTGATTGGCCTCTCGCTTATAGTGGCCGTCAGTCGAGTTCAAAATCCCCGCTTCGATTCGCGAGGATCTAAGAATATAAAGTTTAGGTGCTGACGCTTGAACAAGGTTTCTAGCGGCAGCAAGTGGAAAAGTCGAAACGATAAACTGCTTGAGCTTGTGCAGGTCTACGCAAGTCAAGGAGGTTTAAAAGATACCCAGCCAGTGAACTGTGGGACACATTAGATGGGTGTCTGCGCCCACCACAATAAACTCACTGTGAGGCCTAAAGCGTGTGGCGAGGGAGATCGAATTCCGACGAAGTGGAGTTAGTTAAGGCTTGTTGCTTGAGTTGACTCTGCGTGATTTGAGAGCCAATGAAGTACTTGGGATTTCTACTGCTGTCTCTTTAAGTGCTACTCTTTCTCCTGGCTGGGATTGAGTTATTCGCAAATCCAAAGAGATGGCTGTTGGTCTGGAAGAAACAAAATTTCGCCAATTGCTCCAACGACTCGCAAAAATCATACATAACCGAGCTTATTTGGTTTTTTTTTGTAGCTTGTTCTTATTTCTTTTTGTTATCTTGCGTGTATCGTTTATTTCTTTACATCCGATTCGTTACATTTCCCTCGAAAATTTGTGCTCGGAAGCTGTGAGCAGTGACGTTGTACAGTGTGATTCTAAGCGTGTGGTTTGGTGTACACACGTAGCACTCGCTCATGCTACAGTCATATCCCCTTCAAAACGATTAGAACCACCAACAAGCTGCGGAAACAGTTGTTCAAGTACACTCAACATGGCACAGAAATTTCACTCTACAGCTCGCAAGATTGTCGCAATTGGACGCAATTACTCTGAACACGCCAAAGGTCCGTTATTCCGGCCCAAATTATGGTCTGACGTGCAGCAGAGCTTCAAAACGCAATTCCAAAGGAACCTTTCTTCTTCTTAAAGCCAACAAGCTCCTTTGTACGCACCCGGGGCAACATTGAGATTCCACAAGGCGTCGTTGCGCATCACGAAGGTGAGCTCAGCTTCTTATCAGCGTCTTGAGTCCGGTGTCTGATCTTTGGTTAGTTGAGCTTGGTGTCGTCATTGGCGAGACTGGAAGGGACATTTCGCACAACGACGCCCTATCGCATATTGCTGGTTACTGTTCGTCTCCCGTATCTTTCTTGATATCTTCCTCACACAGATACAGCGCTAGCTATCGATATGACGGCTAGAAACATTCAAGACGAAATCAAGAAGAAGGGTTTGCCTTGGTCTACCTTGAAAGGCTTTGATAGCTTCACTCCGATTGGGTATGTCACTTGCACCTCTCAAGAACGACTAACAGTAGCAGTGATTTCATCCCTAGGGAGAAAGTATTCGATCCACATCAATTGGGCTTGTGGTTAAAGGTACGCTTGTTAATCCACTCTGGCAAATAACTCATATCGTATAGGCAGATGATGCCATCAGACAAATGGGACGCACTTCTGATATGATATTCCGTATTCCAAGACTTATCCAGCACGTTTCATCCATCATGCGTTTGGAGGTATGAATCGCGTGCTTAGTCAGTGTCAATCACTTACCCACTCACCAAAGGAAGGTGATGTTTTGCTCACCGGTACGCCTTCTGGCGTTGGACCGCTGATACCAGGTCAAACAGTCAGTGCGGGTGTCACGCAAGGGAAGGAGGAGCTCGACAGACTTGAGCTGAAAGTAGTGCAGCGCCAAGGTGGATATGTCTACGAAGCAGACAAGTGAGGGTGCTAGATCAAGTAAAAAGTAATAAGCAATAAGCCAAAGACTATTGTAATATAACGCTCAGTCACTGAAATACTTTTCACTCAACGGATAACTCGCGCGCGTGCACTTGTCAAAGAAAATTTGCAATAACGCTAAAGTCAGTCGGAAATCCATCGAAAGTCAGTCACTATCAAGTAGCAAGATGTTTTAGGACCCATATATCATATACGTTGAGAAAATGCATACATCTGACTGAACTTTTAACTAGCAGGATTAGAACCAGTTTACTTCTTCTTGTCAGAGGTAGCTGCCTTGTTCTTGGCGGTACCGCGAACCTTCTTGCTCTTGTTCTTTCTCTCCTTTCTGAGCTTTCTAGATGGCTTTTGTACCTTCTCAGCGAGACCGAATCTTACCAATCTGTACTTAGGCTCGAACGACTTAGCAGCGGCAGGAGAGTCGTAGACTAAACCGAAACCGGTTGATTTACCACCACCAAAGTGAGTACGGAAACCAAAGACGGTGACCTGCAGTTTTGTAAGACTAAAGCTGGTCAAACCAACGATAAAGTATAGACATACGGAATCGAGCTCAGCCTTGTACATCTTTGCAAGGTTCTCGCGGAGCTCAGCCTTTGAGACGTTTGGACGTGTTGGGTGGAGAACGTCCAAGACGAATTGACGTCTTTGCAGCAATGGGTTTGCGGTGAATTTGCGAGTTCTCAATGTAATGGCACCGGTTGGATCCTATACGTCGTGTTAGCCCTGGTATTATCGCCTCCCGCTGTCTTTTTACCATTTTGCTGCTAGTAGCTCGAACGCAACGTTGAAATTTGCGAGTGCTTCTCTCATCAACACAAATTTTATTTTTATTGCCAATTATTTTGTTTTTATTGTATTTTCATGTAAATTGGGTGGCTAGTTATATTATAGCAATCTCTTTTGATGCTTTATAGCTCTAACTTCTTTCCTTGTGTTGCACTGGTGAAATGGCGTGCAGGCGCTATCACCGAAATATAGACACTCAATATTCATTCATTTGCATACATCTATCAATTACAATCTACTTGAACGACTTCATCATCTCTATAAGCTTATCTGCGTCTTCTTCCGTTATGCCGTTGTACAACGATGCTCTGATTCCTCCAACGGATCTGCGGGGGATTAGCTTACTACGGCTTCTCCCAGTAGTACACCAATACCTACCTGTGTCCTTTGAGGTTCTTCAATCCCAACTTGTCAGCTTCATTAAGGTATCTCTTCTCCGTCTCCTCATCTGGAAGAGTAAACACAACGTTCATTCGACTCCTGCTTTCTGGTGATACCTTTGGTTTGTACAACCCGTTGGAGTTGTCAATCACTTGATAGAGTTTACTACTCTTTCTGTCACTGCGCTTTGAGTATTCATCAACGCCTCCGTGGTTCAAAATATGCTCAAATGTGAGTCCTGAAACGTAGATTGCGAACATAGGTGGTGTATTGTACATACTCTCATTGTCCGCGTGACGTTTGTAGTCACACAGGTGTGGGACTTGAGGGATACCGCCGAGATTGAAAGCTGCGTCTGTGTCTACGAGGAGATCCTTGCGGACAATCACCAGTGTAAGACCAGCGATACCCGCATTCTTCTGTGCACCACCGTAAACAACAGCATGCTTGCTCACGTCAATCTTGCGAGAGAGTATGTTTGACGAAACATCCGCAACGAGATTTGTGTTTGGTGGGAGTGAATCATATGGGAAGCTCTTATCAAACTCTACTCCGTTGACCGTTTCATTATCGCAGTAATAGACAAAGGCTGGGTTCTCTGAGTACTTCCATTCGTTAGCTGGTGGGATATTGGAGAATGATTTGCCGTCTTGGCTGTGATTGCGTGCGTCCAAAGCGACATTGACGGAGACATCGGTACCTTGAGTCAATCTCTTAGCTTCGCCTGCCGCTTTATTAGACCAGCTGCCTGTGACGATGTAATCTAACGTAGTCTTAGCGTTCGATTCAGGGTTCTGCAGTTTCCAGGCAGCGAGCAAATTGAGTACAACGGTGGAGAAGGCACCCATACCGCCACCCTGCATAAGAAGAACCTCATGCGTATCTGGGACATCCATTAGGGTCTTGAAATCGCTCACAGTCTTCTCGCTAACTGCTTTGAATTCCTTTGAGCGGTGAGAAATCTCAGCAACGCCCATACCGAGGCCATTGTAGTTGAGAAGACCTTGAGCAGCTTTCTCAAGCACTACGGTTGGCAGCGTCGATGGACCTGCTGCGAAATTTACGACGTCGTTACGATTTGGCATTTTAGTGATGGTTTAGATAAAACGCCCAACAGCTAAAGAATAAAGAACTCCTATAGAGAAGTGGGATGAAAACATTCTTTCGTTCATTTCAGCACCAATTTAGGAGCATCGTAGCTCAAAGCCCGTCTGCAACTTCTGGTGGTCCCGGCACAGGTTTCCATCCTGGCCGCAATTTCTATCAAGGATATCACGTGGGTTTTAAATTTGAACTCGTTTGCTTTATCCTTATTCTTTACAGGGCTACGGACGCGCTTTTACTCAAGCCAACAACAACTCAAACGACGACGAAGAAGGCCGCTCTCCTTCGCAGGCTTATAGGAATAAACTTTCTAGACGCCAGAGCGTTAGCAACTCATCGCGTGGCGAAGTCGTTAGGGCTATTCGTGATCAGCGTCGAAATATCACCACACAAAGTGTTCATCCGGCTCAGATTGAGCAAAGCGGGCGCCCTAGGAGTAATTCAACGACTTCTGTAGAAAATGTTAAAAGCGGTATAGAAGATGCAGCTGATCATATTTCCCCGCCACAGAATACTCATGACTTGCACAATCTTCAACTCGGTAACACACAATCTGAACTCGGTAACGAACTCATCTCACGTATTAGCGCGGCTAAAGACTCTAATGACTTTTATGCGGTTAAACGGATTGTTAGCTCAGTATACACGGTCACTGATCCAACCGTCGAATTATGGGACACTGCTCTTGAAGCCCTCTGCGTCACCCGTCCTGACTCTTTCACTGTTGATGATGCTGTCTCTTTCTACAATGACATGATAGCTAGGGATCTCAAGCCCACAGCGAATACTTACGCCAATCTGATCACTATCTTGTGTCTCAGGGATAACTTTGTTCACAACAACCTCAGCTCCATCAATGCTCGTAAGCTTTTAGACCCTTCGCTCGAGGCTGAAGCTCAAGCACTCGAATCGGAACAAAACTTCAAGATTGCCATGTCTATCTTCAATATGGCCGTTAGACTTGATCTACTCCCTGGACGCGTTCACACATACAATTGGCTTCTCATGGCTTGCAAGCATCACAGAGATATCGACACAGCTATTAATGTTTTCTCAATTATGGAATCTCACCCTAAGATCAAGTCCCAACACTGCACATACGCAATTATGATCGATGTGAGTAAGGTTAAAGCGCTGATTCTCAGCTAACCGTTGCAGCTTTACGGCTCTGTTGCTGATTTGGAAGGTGCTACTGTTATTTTCGAAGATTACGTCAATGGTTTGAACTCACACAAGATCGACAACAAGCCTTCATTTGCTACCCTCCCACTCAATAAATCTTCAACGGTATACAATTCAATGATCTCTACAAACTTTAGCTGCAACGAGCCACTCGGAGGTGTCGAGGTATTCCAAACTATGCTCGAGTCATCACTTAGGCTTCGTCCGGACACTGTAGCCGCTGTAATTGAAGGATTTGCTCGCGTTGGTGATAGCTCAAGTGGCTTAGAATGGCTCAAGCGCACTGCCAAGACAGCAATGGAAGGCTCCCAGATTCCACATCCACCAGTTTCATCCTTCTACTTTATTATGACGTCTTTGTTAAAGGAAGCCAAGTTTGACGAAGCTGTAGCCACCCACGAGCTTCTTAAAGAGTGTCAAAATTTATACACGATGGACCCAACGGGTGTTGAGTTGAACACCTTTAGTGAGAATGTAATGGAAGCTATAATCACCAAACCTGAACAAACAGAACAAGTCATTGAATTTGCCAACCAAGTTCTCCGTCAGCAAATGATTGAAAAGTCTTCTAAAGGCATTTATTACCCTGCAATTCAAACTCTCATCTATACTTGTGCATCTTTCGGTCGCTTCGATTTAGCCATGGGATTGTTCATTCAATGGGCTCAAGCTGGCAAGATTCAGTTTGTTGATCAAGGTCATCTTACTGGTAGACGTATCTGGCATAAATACATAGCTGTGGTAGTGAATCTTGTCATCAAAACACCAAATATCTCTCTTCAGCAGATGTTCGACGCGTTCCGTATGGCCTATGACAACAATGTTGTCTGCTCGGTTGAAACTCTAAAACTCATCCTTGAAAAAGTTAAACAAGCTCGAGTAGACTGTGAAGGCGACTTTAAGTTGATCAATCTCACCCTCGAGCAATGGAAGATGTACACTACCGTATGGTTGCAGTCTGCCAAGAACGAAATTAATAACGAAAGTCAAGGATTTGTCAACGCAGAGTCAGCTGAGCAGTTTGTTGCTGATATTATCAACACATTTGGCAAAAATGCAGAAGATGTAGGCAGAGTTATCAATGTCAATGATCTTGGTTTCGTGTTATCCAAAATGCTGGACTACAAAGCTTCAGCAGAACTCATTGAGGGTCTTGGTTACAGATTTAACGGTGCAGAAAGCTACACAAGTGGGTACGTACCAGCTGATAAAATGCAAACGGAGCAGGCTGTCGCAATGTCGTACCCATCATTTGATTCCAGTGATGCATCACTCGACCAAACTCCACCGACAACGCCAGGATCAGTCGAGCCTGAATATGTCTTCGATGATGAATTATCTGAACTCGTCAGCAGGCATGACTACCGCAGGAATATGGGTATATCTCCTTCAGACTGTTATAAGACTTTGATGGATGGTGTATCCAATGGTTTGACTGCTTCGATCAGTGCTCTTGCCGGTCTTGCTAATGCTCTTGGAAGGATTGGTGAAACTGACAAAGCCAAGAAGGTATATACGCATGCCTACGAAGTCCTTCAACTCCTTACTAGTGTGGAAGAGCGTTCATCTGGCTGGTTTAGATTGGAAGATGCCATGATTTCTGGTCTCGGACATGGCGGAGATATTGAGGGAGCTACTCAACACCGCTTACGTATCATTCAGGCTGGAGGTGCACCATCAGCGGACTCTTATGCTGCGTGCATTAACAACGTCAAGGAAACGACTGATGACGCTACACTCGCAAAGGAATTGTGGGAAGAGTCGAGAAAGTTTGGTGTTAAATCCAACACTTTCTTGTTCAACTCTATCATATCTAAACTGAGTAAAGCAAGAAAGGCACACGAAGCTCTTGAGATATTGGACCAAATGATGGCAGAGCGTGTGAGACCATCAAGTGTTACTTACGGTGCAATAATCAACGCATGCACACGTATTGGAGATGAGCAGTCAGCCATTAATTTCTTCAATACTATGGTCAAGCAGAGCAAAGGTCAGCTTAGAGTACCGCCATTCAACACTATGATACAATTTTACACGCAAACGAAGCCAAATAGAGATCGCGCTTTGTACTACTACGGGGAAATGTTGGCTTGTCGTGTTGCACCTTCAGCACATACGTACAAGCTCCTTCTAGACGCTTATGGATCAATTGAACCCGTAGACAAGGGTAGTCTGTACAAGGTTTTCGAAACTGTCGTCAACGATCCACGTGTTAAAGTGTCTGACACACATTGGGCATCGCTTATTCATTCCGCTGGATGCATTGAGAAGGATGTCGATGGAGCTGTTGAGATATTCGATAGTATAGAGACGCATCCTTCTAATAGACAGGGAGAGCTTCCAGATGCGATAGTATATGAATGTAAGTTGATGTGTTGTTTAGAAGAGCCAAACTAACGACAAGCGTAGCATTGTTGAATGTCTTTGTTGAGAACCAACGTCAAGATCTTATACCAAAGTTGTTAGAATCAATCAAAGCTTCAAACATACACCAGACCGCCTACATATCGAATCTATTGATTAGAGGATACGCATCGAGTGGAGACATGAGCAAGTCTCGGGAGGTGTTTGAAGCAATGGTAGACCCACCAATGGGAGCAGCAGCGAATGGCAACCATCCAAATGACTTGGATAGCATTGATAGCGCTGTTGTATTCCGTGAACCATCAACATGGACAGAAATGATCAAGGCTGAGTTAGAAGCTAAATCGGTAACGAATGCGAAGAAGCTGATTTCAAGAATGGAAGAAAGGATGTATCCCTTAGCCGTTACTAGCAAGATTGCTAGCCTTATTGTATAATTTTAGTAATTTATTCATACTCACTGCTTATAGAGAGAATGTCTTAGAGGAACATTGAACAAAGAAAGCAATCGCAGGGTAGGAGAGAACATATAAGCTTATAATTAAACATGGTTTCTAAACTTTTTTCATTTTTTCCTTCAAGTTTCTCGCATGATCGAGTGATCTTCTTCTTTGTACGTCGCTATGTCATCAGCCAACTGGCACTGGTAAGTAGCTCGAGAGAAATGAAGAACATAACTCATACAGCGCACAGGAAGCAATTGGATTGCAGCAATTTCGCAAAAGAATACTTCAAGGAGAAGCTCGTTGGACTGAAAATCAACGATGAACTCACTATAGAAGAACTCAAGGAGTGTGATGGAGATGTAACTCTCGGGCAACGTAAATCAAAGTGTGTTTCAGGTGCTATTCAAGCTTTGTATTTGGTACTGACGCTCATTTTAGATTAGTAACGATCTACGATTTGAAGATAGTCATCGAATGGACAGTCGGCGAGCTTAGAGGCCGCACACACGTACCAGAAGTATCTCATGAGGCTATCGATGGTCTCGACGAGTACGTTTTCGATTCATCGATACTCAACGGCAAACCAGATGGAAAGTTCGACCACATTCGCAAACAAGTTATCCCCCAAACCCTCAAATCTATCTTTGATCAATTCCCTGTTGATCTCCGTGAAAAATATGCCTCTCACGTACAAGTTTCATCTCAGTCGACCACCCCTTCACAACCATCCACACCCGCTCCAGAAGCTTCAGCTGTGAAGAAAACTGAGAAAGTAGAGGTTCCAAAGAAACCTGTGGCTCAGAAAGGCTCACTCAATACCTCCACTATAAAATTGGAAGAGCGCTACCAGATTTCTGCGTCTGAGTTATTTGATGTTCTCACCAACAAGCAGCGCGTGCCCATGTGGACTCGTGCACCTGCAGAGATTGAGCCAAAGGTTGGTGCCAATGTTGTTCTCTTTGGCGGCGGTGTGAGAGGTAAGGTTACCGACGTTGAGGCTGAGAAGAAGATTACGATGGACTGGACACTCACAGGCGGAAAGTGGCCAGAAGGTGAGTTACGTTAGGCTTATTCTGCACATTTAACAATTCAAAGGACACAAGGCTTCTTTGACTATCGATCTAAACCAGAGTGATGATTCAACTGCTGCTGAGTTCATCTTGAATGGCGTACCAATCGGACTTGAGGATGATGTTCAGCCTAGCTTAGAACAGTACTACATCAAACCTCTCAAGTTGCTGTAAGTTGATATCTTGTTTGAAATTCTTCCCACTGCTGACCGAACAAACAGCTTCGGTACAGTTCTTTAGACTTTCAATTTGTTCTAAGCTCATTCATTTCAAACTTCTTATCACTTAGTTAGAAACCAATGAAATATATATATATATATAAGTGTCCGTTTAGGATTCCAGGATATAAGAAAAGTCCTTTATGAGATAGTGTTCCTAGGTTGTTTTTAAAAAAAATCCAAGAGAAGGCTAGAGTCCGTTTGATCCATCAATCATTTAGTTCAGGCAAGGTTGCGAACGCGACGCATCTTGTGATGGTGGTTTTTGTGGCTATTGCGACTGAAGATTTTGATTCCACTTTCGTCGCGCTTTTGCTGGTCACTGCTTAGTATTTTGACGAGAGCATCAACATCAATGACATTGCGCTTGTTGTTGCCACCGCTCAATACGCTAGCGTCGAGGTCGGCATCAACGAGATCGTCACGCTTAAATGTCTTGATGTACTCGTTGCGAACGATAGCATGACGCTTACCAAGCTTGATTCCTGCACCGAGGTTGAGGAGGTGACCAACATGTGCACATGCACCGACATCCAAAAGTGATCCGTCACCAATGTTGAGACCAGTGTCAAGATCAATGAGAGCAGTTGAGTCACCACAGTTTCCATCGTCTTTTCCACTAGTAGGTGTCCCAGACACCGCGGCAGAAGTCACTTTACCTGAGTTAGTGAATGTGACTACTGGTTTAGAGCTGTTTTGCGTAGCTGGGGTAGTTGATGGTGGTGGTGTCGTTGAAGTTGATGGCGGTGGTGGTGGTGTTGTTGTTTCATCACAGTCTTCACTTGCGTTGTCTTTTGGCTTTGGTGATGGTGCTGGTGCTGGTGCTGGAGTATTAGTTGGTTGAGGCGATGGGGTGGTGGTTTCATCGCAGTCTTCTTCGTCTTTCTTATCATTGCCGTTACCATTGTCAGATGGTTTTGGAGATGGTGCTGGTGCTGGTGCCTTAGTTGGCTGAGGTGCAGGAGTGGTTTCGTCGCAGTCCTCTTCGCTTTTATCACCGCCTTTTTCATCCTCATGGCCACCATGTCCGCCTTTGTCATCGTTATGGCCACTGTGATCGCCATGTTCATCTGGCTTTGAAGGCGCAGGATTGGTATCATCGCAGTCTTCCTCGCCTTTGTCACCGCCATGGCCACCACCATGGCCACCGTGATCGCCATGTTTATCTGGCTTTGAAGGTGCAGGATTGGTATCATCGCAGTCTTCCTCGCTTTTTTCACCACCATGATCACCGTGGGTGCCGTTATGGCCCCACCACGTCTTTGATCCATCGTGTGAGCCTTGGTCTTGGTGGTCACTTGGACATTTACAGAGAGGGTTTCCTTGATCGTCGTAGTGACGTCTGATCATCTGAGCAGCGAGCTCTGGTGATTGGCGAACAGCGTGCTGGGTGAATGTGAGCAGACTGACTACCAAGACATTCATGTCTCACCTCAAGAGATTGACCACGCTTAAAGAGAGAGTCCCGGGCAAGAGCAGCAGTAGCCGAGCCTGCCAAGAGGATCATAGAGAGTTTCATAATGAGTGACTTGTAAACGAGTGTGGATAGTTGAAAGTTACGTTGAGCTGGATGGGTGATTGAAAAGAACCAAGTGTAGATGCGACCAATTTATACGTCGGATTCTAGACCTGCAGCTGCGAGAACCGGAGGACGTAGACGTCTGTGCATTCCTGTCAGCAATTTGTCCTGAAACTCATCCGCCGGCGCCCTGATGAGTTCGGAACCTGGGCATGGTGAGCTTGATAAATTGATACATCAATGTAAAGTAGCAATATCTGCTGTTTGGAGTTCACTGGCAGCTGCTTGAGCTTCAAATGGAATTTTCCATGTCAGTCGAGAATGTGTCAATTGCTTAAGTTAGATCGAGCAACCAATCGTCTACGCGTACTCTTATAGATGTATTCATATAAGAGCTCGTCCGCCTCTATAGAATCACTATGAATCGATTGAATTTAAGGAGGAGTAGATTGACAGCTGCACGAGCTGAGGCAATCATGCGCAGGAATATAAGGCCCATTTGTAGAACATAATATGTGCTTTAGATAGATACGCGGTTTAATCCCTTTGATCATCTTTGATATCTCTCACACCAACGATCACCACAAAGCCGCCCGGTTAAGCGCACCCAAATGCAGTCAGCTCTGGAGGAGAGTCTAAAATATGTGGAAAAACTGCAATCTTTGAGCGTGAAGCAAGAAGTGGCAGAACAGCCAGATAGCGTTCCCTTTTACAAAGCCAGTAACAAGGACGATGAGGACCAGGATTGGAGTATGTTAGTCGACGATAATGGAATGATCAACGACGACGACTTTGATTTCTTCGACGAATCTCCAAAAACTGCAACTACACAGCAAACACCAATCACACCGTTCACCCCCGCTACACCCACCCTCAATTACTCATTCATCGATCACAGCTTGGATAATTTCAGTCTACAGCCAACCAACAGTGTGATTCCTAATGGATTTCAGCGACTTGCATTTAATAGGCCGACACGCTTAGTCAATTACAGTAATCACGGCAAGTATGCCGTCGAGGAAGGCATGCTTCCCGCAGCAAGCTTTCCTCCGCTTTGGTATGAATCCCTATCCAGGCCGCATCTAGAAAAGCGCAACAAGGAGAAGAAGGACACTCGACGGAAGCTTATCAAACGCAATCCATCTGCTTCTCCGTCTTCTACAGAAGAAGAATTCGACGACGAACCTGTCTACAATTCTTCCGATGAGGAATTTCAGTTTGACACGAATCAATTCCCTTCATTACCGCTAAAACTACATTCCAATGGTAGTCGAGGTACTCGGGATAGTCGGGGATCAGACATGGTATTTGAAAGTAACACGAATGAATACAGCATAGAAGCTAGGCTAGCAATCTCAGAGTGTCGTTGGAGTACTCTTGAGAATCTGCCTGCCCGTAAATATATCCCTGGAGATGTCTCATCAAAAGACCTTATACCACCAAAGTTCGCGTTAGGATACGATGACCAAGTCATTCATACAGCTCCTGTAGGAATAAGCTATTGGGAGAAAGCTGGATTCGCTCCATTCGGAGGTCGTAAAGACATAATGATAGCGCTATCGACTAACACATCAACGGAAATAGATACAAAGCTACTACATGAGTTTAGTCAAGCATTTTGCGATATATACGCATTTTGCAACTTGGGTAGAACACGAATAATTGATAGTGAAAAGCTTAGAAAGGAAATCGTTCCAACTGGCTTCTATGTCGTCAGATTGGATATAGCGAGGAATTTTCAAAGCTCTCTACATCTTTCACGCGCAACACAAGCAGCACTAGTAGATGAAGTCTATCAAGTGCTAGACGAAGAGAAGATAAAGGATATAATTAAATCACGTGACTGTGCGCGATCATTCGCAATTAGGATTTACGAAAAAATATCCCTACCTGTGCAAAAATGGACTTCTGGGAATCACGAAAGTAATGAAATTGCAGTGAATTTTGAATTTCCTGCATTCACTGTAGCCAGGAACGTAATCCCGCAAGAGCAGATAGATATAACAGATGACAAGTCGAGTGCATTTAACAATGCAAGAAAGTTACATATTGCATATCATTGCTTTGAAGATACCGTTTTAGTTGCAGCCATTGATGAGTACGCCCACTTCAGTGACGTACAGATACTACGCAGAAGCGAGCACACTATGGGAGAAACAATCTATAGCTACTGGAAAACATTCGAGCTACAGTCATCAATAAAATGGAGCTTGCGTTTAGTCACTTCACCAGATATATCGAGTGATGAGGTTGAGGGTGGGTTCTTCATTAGTAACTTTATTAAAGTGACTGATAAGTATACAGAATGGGGATTGAACAAACCAGGTGAAATGCTACACTCTTACACTTATGACATACTTGAAGGAAGGCATAGTAAAAAAACCGAGTATGGAACGGAACACGACGCAAGATATTGTACAATTGGTATCGGAGAAAACAGAGTATTAAAGGTAAAGGAGATTACCTCAGCATCAACAAAGAACAATCCAGACGCATCACTCAGCAATGTTGCCGACTTTGAATCATACATTCAATCACTGCATAACTTAACGTTTATTACGAAACACAAAACCCATCCGGCGCAACGATTCCACTTACCTTTTCATCTGCATAAGTTGTTCAGCATCTCTCAATCAGAAATTTCTGATTGATGGATATATGTAATATTAACCTCGTGTATAACAGCATTCACATTAATTTGAATATAAAGACATAAATGAGAGCTCAAAAAGAAAGTACAAAATTTGTATTACAACACAAAATCAGAAAATCCCAAATGATATCGGATTTGACAGAGAAACTTACTGCTAATTGTTGATTGAGGTAAAGTCATGTCAATGAGAGGAATGGATCTCAATTATATAATTGAAATGATGCGTGTGTGTGTGTGTTAATTCGTGCTTGAGTTCTGGATAAAACATCCTTGATTGCTTGCTTAACTTACTGTCCGTTCAAGGATTCTAGCTATATCTTACTGTGAAAGCATGAAAGGAAAAAAAAAAGGTTTGTCGTGCTATTGTACACGTGGTCATAAAGATTGAAAGAAGGGTAAACTGCCTGATTGAAGAAGAAAAAGAGTGAATCAACCACTTCTGTTTGTTATGGTTTGAAGAAACTAAATGTAGGCAAGAAGGAAAGCTTGCGTGTCTTTTCACCTTCCTTCTTAGCATTTATCGCAGCTACATTGTTAAGTGTATCCAATGTTGGTGGACGATAGTTAGCGGCTGCGACACTAGGTGGAGTGATAAGAGTTTCCTCATCAAAGCTCTCACCATCACTTGAATCTCCGACTGGATTATCAGTCAGATTTGGTATAGAGATAGGGTTTGGTTGAGAGCGTAAGAATGAATCCTTGTATGATGATCTGCGGTGATTGAAGATGGAGGAGTCTGAATCAAATGAAGATGGGTCTTGTTCGTTGAGATTATTGAACTGCTTCCTCGCATCAATCCCGATTGGGTTCATTGATAAAAAGTTGGATGAACGACGGTTGACAGTTGGGACTGGGTTTCTTATTGAAGCTGCAGCTGCGAGTATATCCATTGAAGTGTTCGATGCCTTTGACGCGTTCGTACCGAATGATGTTCTTAATCCTAAAGAAGAGCTTGTAGCTGGTGTTGCGTCGTCCTCATCTTCGCTTTCATCACTTGAAAGCTCTTCTCCGGATGCTGAGTCATTATTTTTGAAATGCTCAACATTATCTTCATCCTCTTCATCCTCAATTTGAGGAAGTAAGACTGCCATTTCAGGTTCATCGTCACTAAACACGTCTGACTTATTTGGTGAGCGCATTTGAGTAAAAGAGTTGTTCATCTGTATCTTATTGTCGCGTGGTAACGACGAGGCGAGTCTTCTTGAGCTGCGTAAACCGATGCTGTTAGATTGAGATGTAATTGATAAATTGCGTGACATTGCAGGTGCTGAAGGTGCACTTCTCGAGAGTGTAGCTGAAGGTCTTCTTGCACGTTTAGCAGGTGGGTGCTCCTCTTCATCATTGTGCAAGTGCTTGCGAGATTCATGAGGCAACTCCGATTCCAACGCAGGGAGCGAGACGTTATTGAGGGCGGGAGTGAGCGTAGTTGAGTTACGAGATTTCTGCTTAATTGACTCATCATCTTCATCATCGTACGACTTGCTGTAATCGCTCTTCTTAGATTTACGGTCTCTACGCGGTGCGTTCCTTTCAATCTTGGCGAGATCATCTGCAGTTGAACCACGGGAGATAGTCGGATGAGACCAGGTAGAAGGCATCATGCGATTAGCTTGACCAGGTTTATTGCGTCTTACAGTTGAAGTACGTGAGAATCCATAAATCTAAGTTTATAGTTTAGTTATAATTCTATGAATAGTTCCGAACTCACGTTCATCTGACGTTGGAAAGTTGGGTAAGCCGAAGATCTCCACATAGTTCCCATAACCTTCTCCAGCTGAATAAATATTAGTATTAGTTGAATATTTATACACACATTCACGCCATCACATCACTGAGGTACAAAGACCCGTGACGTGATGTGACGCCGCAAAGGCGTGATGCATGCATAAATTGAGATCTCGACTAACCTCAGCAGGCTGTAAGGGTAAAGTAAGTAAATTGTATTTTTTTGTGGCATAAACCGAGAGAACCCGGATTTGGGAGGAAGACGCGTGCGCTAGATCCCGGTGGAGGCGGGAATCTTCTCAGAAGCCGAAAAGAGAGACTCACATCATGGATAAGGACGAATTTGCCATCTTCCGACCACGCAATAACATTGTGTAAATCAGGATTCTCTAAAAGGCTGCGATATTGGTTAGTTGACAACACAGCATGTGAGTTGAACGTACTGAAAGAGCTTGTCGGGGAATCTACCACCAGATTCATTGCCATCCTTCCTTGTATGAGATTGGTGGCTGCGGGTTGCGGTGGCTGTTGCAGGGGTCTGCTGGGGTACTGCCGGTGAAGGCTGCTGATAAGACTCAGACTTTGGTTGAAAGAGTCGTAGATGAGTGAAAGTAGAGCTGTTTATTGAAGGTAATTCCATTTGAAGTTTGTATATTTGATGTTCGCTGTTCGGAATTGAGTTAATTATTCAAGAAGGCAGTCATTTTAATTGGGCGATCTGCAAGGCACCCTTTGATTGAGTTAAGCAATCAACGAAATGAAATTAAATTCGCTACCAGTAAAATCAGCTGATGAGTTCTTTAAATGCATTCCATTCAATTCTTGCTTCGTTAGCGGTTTATTCACCCAGCCGTGGCTCAATATCAGCAGAGCTATTGAAGCGGATTTTGATATACTCACACGAGATGAGCACACTGCAAACATTACAGTACCCATTGAAATTCAGCAGCCTGGATTCCCGTTATCTGCTGACTCTCGGCACGAGATTCCGTTGAGTGAGTTAGTGCCATATCAGTACCCTAAATATCTAAACGAAATTACATTAGATTTATTCATTAAGCTCTTTATACAAAATCAGCAACAATTAAAGCCTAAGATTGGTTATCTAGCTCAATTTGATCTCATCGCCGCTAGTCCGTATCTTCAGCGGATGTTTCCGATGATCCCTGAGCTACACCGGTTAAAACCCAAATCCAGCAGCTGGCTTGGTCCTCAATCTACCCTCACTCCAATCCATAGGGACGCAACAACCGAAGGCAATCTCCTCCTTCAGGTTACCGGCTCAAAAAGGGTCAATGTGATCGATCCAATTTACGCTGACAAACTTAATTTACACCCAGATAACTCCCCAATGCGCAATTTTAGCAGATTTCTAGATGAATTGCCCAATGCGCATCTCCCAATTCAAGTTGAAAGCGGTGTATTGAATCCAGGCGATGCTGTGTACATACCACCTGGCTACTACCACTCGTTTAAATCTCTATCAGATTCTTTCAGTGTAAATTTTTGGTTCCAAAAGTGAAATTAATCTTGTTTCTCCTGTCCATCAATGTCCAGGTCAAGTTCAAGGCCTTCGTCACCATTTTCTGAGCGGCGTAGAACTGTTCATCAGCACAATGTCCATAATGTACACAGAATCATTTCTCCCATCCTTCGTCAGTTTGAGTTCGCTAGAAAGTCCGAACGCGATCTGAAGAAAATGCCCAAGAAAGTCAGTCTAGTGCCATTATCGTGATAATTATATAACTGTTACACATCAGATAAAAAGTTTTTATCAAAAACAAAATGAAATTCTCGATGCTTACGCTTCTGTCGATGACTTACTTGAGTCGAGCTACCCACACGATGTACTGGCTAGACTGCGCGGTATAGCAGCTGGTGATGAGCAGACTCCTTTACTGCACTTCCCCAGTGAACAAAATGAGAAGAACCACAATAAAACCGTGAATGTCGTTTTGAACGGTGAGTGATACCGATTTAGCCACCTATTCTAATACGATAAAGTTAATTTAATCATTAACATCCTCCTACTTGGTGCGAAAGGTGCCGCTGTCCTCCTTTCTGACAGTGTCTCATTATTTGCGTCATTGGTGGAATCCGTACTTGACTTGTTATCAAGTTTGATCATATACGGTACAACTCTTTGTGCAGGTCATAGGGATGACAGTACTAGATTTAAGTACCCTGTTGGAAAGCAGCGTTTCGAACCACTTGGCGTTATCATTTTCAGTGTGTTCATGATTGGCTCTTTCCTTCAAGTCCTGTTCGAGTCTATATCCAGACTACAACACATACCCATAACTACTTTGCTTCCTCTTGCTGGTATACTCAGCATGGTGATCACCGTCATTGTTAAAGCCTTCATCTGGGTTTTCTGCTTCAAGATTAAATCCTCCGGCGTACAAGCCATAGCTCAAGACAGCTTGAACGATGTTGTCTTTAACATTATTTCTCTTAGTTTTCCTTACATGGGTCAAGTGTTAAATATACCCCAACTCGATCCAATCGGTGGTATTATTCTCTCATTATATGTGAGTTGAATTGTACAACCAGAACATTTCGTCATCATGCTAACAATACTAGATTATCATTGAGTGGACAGGAACTCTCATTGATAATTTCAGCAGACTTAGTGGTAGGGTTGCAGATCCAGTGGAACTCTCAAAAGTTCTTTACTGTGTCACACGTTTCACTCCTGTGCAATCTGTCAGCTACATTGAATGCTATCACGTTGGTGACAATGTCATAGTTGAAGTTGACGTAGTTCTCCCACCGAGTGTTTCTCTACCTGTTGCTCACGATTGGGGTGAAACTATTCAGTATGTAATCGAATCTTTAGAAGGCATAGAACGCGGCTTTGTTCATCTCGACTACAATCCAACCAATCCTCCTGGTCACAAAATGCAAGCCTCGATGGCTGTAGAGAGAGAAAAGAAGAAACGTTTCCAAAGGCAAAATTCTAGTGAAAGTGTTCCTCAGCACTTTGATCAGGAAGGTCTTGCTAGAGTCAACGAAATAGTTTAATTATTGTAAGAGTTTTATTTATTATTATGATTTGTTTGTCTGTTTAGCATATCTATTTCCAAGCTGTTGATCTAGTATAATGCAATATCCAATCCATGGAAATAGATAAAAGTTAAAGCTATTTACTCTCCAATACGTCTACGGCGACGATCGTTACCTTGCTTTCTCGCTTGTATGATCCAATACCAGACAAGCAAAGCAATAAACCAGAACACGCAAACCAATCCTACAACTACCAGTCCAAATGCTACAAGTTTAGGTTCACTTCCATCTGGATTGAGCAGTGGTGGCCCGTTATCAGTTGGGTCAACGGGTACACCATTCCTAGGTTGAGTAACGTTCATACTAAACGCTTGGGTGATAACCATCATTGGTAAAGAACAGACAGTGATAACAGACAGTACGAGAATAGTATTGTCTGATCCACTCTTGGAAACGGCGTGTCCAAGTTTCAATTGAGCTAGGTAAGCCAGATGCAACGAGCTAATAACACGTTCATCGTGCATCAATGCCTGAGTTGATGAAACTACGTGATCCTCAATATCACCAAAATGTACTATCATGTCTCTTAATGCTTCTGATTGGTACGGGTTTTTAATATTCTTGCGTTTTTCCACCATTCTCGCTCTCAGTTGCCTAATTACATCAGATTTTGAGCTCAATAACCTACCCAATCCTGTAACAAGTCTACGGGTATCTGTTGTGCGTTGCAAGAGGTAAGATTGAGAAGTAGGGAAAAATGACAAGAAAGTAATCTCTTTTGGTATCAAAGATTTTGGGCCTTTTCCTGCATAATTTTCGACGGAAAAAAGCTTGCGGATTTTCGCCAAAATTCCCTCCTCAGTCTGTTTCTTCTCGGACTTTTTTGTTGAAAGCTGTTCCGGTTGTGAAGGTGGTGGTACATCTATCACGACACTTTTTGAAAGACTATTATCGGCGCTATACCGCGCAATTTTAGTCTGTCTTTCACGCTCTACCTTCCTAGTATTCCTCTTCTCGCGCCATTCTGACAGCTGTGATCCATCCATGATACCGCCAAGCAAGGGCGCTAACGGACCCATCTTGGTCTGGGAACGTTTAGGAGTTGTTGGTGGTAGCGGTAGCTCAAATTTCTTCGTATATGACATTGAATCAGGTGACTGGTCGTACTTATCTTTTTCCTTTTCAGAATTAACGTACGTATCCTCTGATTTTTTCTCCTCATGTATTGGAGCTTTGCTTCTCTTCTTCGCTAGACCACGTGGGTCAACAACGAGATCGTCAATCTCTTCTGTCTCCCTTTCAACATACTCAATAAAAGGTAAGAAAGCGTCCACCAAAGAGTCTAGCAGTCCATGAGCTATCCACTCAGGTGCTATCAACGATATATCTGAGTTCTCAGCAAACATGCGTCTAATTACACGGTCTGTGTGTGTAGCAATGTTATCGAAATGGAATGATATGACGCCCTTTTCGAAAATAAGTAAGTATACGTTGATACCACCAACGCCGACACCCTCAACGCCCTCCTTACCACCTACACCCTCCACGATTCGCATGCGCTTTTTTGCAATATTGTCATGAACAGTATCGTCTGAAAGTAAGTCTGGGGAAGGGTGCTCGACGGAATCATCTGCCTTTCGTGTTTGCCCCGGAGAGGGATCAGAGAGTCTGAAGTAACGCTCATCTACACCTCTGAAAACAATCAAGGTGTATCCCAATCCGGAGAACGTTTCCAACTTCTCGCGGGTATCTTGCTGCAAAATATCTTCTTGAGTGAGTGGATGTAGTGGAAATATCTGCAGAATGTGAGTCTGACATATATCTCTCGCTATAATCACAAACCTTAGTCAGTGAACGCATGTCATCCCACGTGGGAGACTTAATGTCGAGCCACCATACGCCGTTGTCGCCGCTAGATTTTGAACCACATGTAGATTCAATTGAACGATAGATGGGTGACAGCTTTGTGTGCCTCTCGATGACTGGCTTGTGGAGACTCTTAAGGCTAATCAGCATGAAATCCTGACTGAAATCAGGTTCTCTGAGCCTTGATCGCCTTGACCTCTTTTTCAACTTTTTCGATTTCTGTCTGCTCAAAATAGAAATTGATCTTCTTGGAGATAAGGTTGATGAGTTTGAACTGTCGCTTGAATCAGAGGATACAGAGAGTTTGCGAGCCCGAGAGCGCTTGCGCTTTCTACGTGGAAATGAGAAATTTGAGGAGTCTGAAGATCCTGAGTTGTCGCTGTCGTCCGAGTCTGAGTGCCCCAGCAAATTGAGCACACCTTCGACAAGCTGCCTACCAACACCTAAACTAGATTGCGTGGAATGTCTCGATAGTGATGTAGGTGGTTGCGTGTTGCGGTACACATCCTGCGTCTTTTCGTCGTAAAAGTCTCGCATTTCGACTTTATCCGATCATGGACGTCCTCAGTGAGGAATGAAATGAGGTAAATTGTGCAATAAATTAATAGTACAAGATAATTTATTCCTCCATATCTTCATCTTCATCTCCTTTCTCTTCATCCGACTCCATATCATCACCGTCCATATCAAAGACTAGACAGCCATAACCGGCGTTGGTTGACAAAGCAGCTATTCTACGACCAGGAAGTCCATTTAAAGCCAGCTCGTTAATCGGTTCATCAGATTTTGAAAGCGTTCTTTGCTTGTCCAAAGGTGCTATTATTCTGCTGCCGTCGTATGCAAGATCATGGTACGGAACACTGGCCAGTATATGCTCATCGTTATCCCTATCAAACACTAGGACAATGAGTGTCTCTCCATCAAAGTATCCATAATCAACTACACGAGTTGTAGGAAGATGTAACCGTTGCATTTGCCATTTTGAGTCCTTTTCGAGAGCTGTCTTAAGCAAAATGACTGAAAATTTTAGCAAAAATCATATCTTTCACAACTCACTCACTTTCTGAATCGTTCTGTTCGTCTGTAAGATGATATGAGTATGCAATGTTGTGATACACTGCCCCTTCCTCCGTCTGATAATCTTTTGTCAAAAATATCTCTTAAGTGACACTCAAGACCCACCTGTATGACGTTCTCTCTGAATGTTTGCACATTTTCAAGAGATGGCATCCTAGCTCGCATCTGTAAATCCAATTTGACATCGCAATTATCTACTGCGCCTTGCATTAGTGATTTCAGATTGTTCACTATCCAAGTTGTTGTTGACATGACGTCAGCCTGCAAACTCGACGTCCGAGGTATCTCAGAGGCTCTTCCTTGGCTGTGACGACCTCTTATAGGTAAACCTGAACCAGAAACACGTCTGTCATTACTTTCCCTTCCTTCTATGAGCTTGTTGGCCTCTTTCAAATTCTTTTGGGCTTTACCCAGTACTGTATCCATATCAACATGTTCATCGCTGTCCTTATCACAAGGCACAAGGTAGTCATTCTTGATCAGAAAGTCGTCTATCTCGGTCATGGCAAAGCCTGATTGAAGGTATTGAATGACTGCCATAATATCAAAGTCAGGCTTTGGCATACTGACGACTTCATCAATCTCCTCTTGATTGAAGTACGCGTATTTTGACATTTGATATTTGAGAAACTTGGCAAATTCATTAAAGTCAATGACTTTTTTAGATATTGTCGTGGTAAGCTCCCATATCCTACTTGTTAATTTAGTCGTTGTGCTGATAATCTGCCTAAGGATCGGTTCGTCTATTGGAATTCCTTGGTAATTACCAGGACTTGAGCGAGTGTAAGCAAATATCTACGACGTCAAACATACACTTACGTTAAAGAAGTGACTTGTAACTCTTCGAATATTATCAAGGTCCTTTCTAATGACGGCACAATGTGGTATAGTATTAAAGACTGCATTTGATGCAATGATGATGAAACTGTCGTTGTCCACTTTTCTAGTGTTCTGTCTGTCAAGTTTTCGCCAATGAATTCTCTCAGTCCTTTACTTGTTGTACCCATGAGCAGCAATTGAATGAGAGCCAGTTCAGGCGTGTCTGTTGCTGTAATGAGAGTTAAGAATAGTCAAAGCTATTTTTAAAAGTTAGCTTACAGTGAGGCTTCACAAATTCATGTATCTTGTCGTGCCATTTGATCGATTCAGAACGAGGACCACCGTTATCAGCATACAGTTTGGTGAGACGCAAGATACCTTCAAATGCGTAGCTAAGAGTGATTGACATTTGGCTAGATAGACAACCTAAATGATGTATATCGCGTGGTATAATGATTCTTCCGTAATGAGTGAGCGTATATACATCCAATTGAGGTGTTATGATTAGACTGTCGTATGGTGAGGCGTTGGGCAGAGGTATTCGAGGTAATTGAAGCGTGCCTTGTAAATATAACTGGAGAAAATCGTCGTACCTACAAGCGACAACCGAACTAGAGCTGTCGAGCAGGGATTCCTCGCGAACATGTATAGCAACACTTGAAGACTCAATGGGGACAGCTGGAAAGCCACTTTTTGTTAGTTTTTGGATATAATCGCCGTCGTTTTTGTCATTCTTTGGTAATCTGAATGGCAGGAATTGATTGATTGATTTACTGACGTCTGGCAATGCGCCTAAGGTGGGAAGGTAATCAAAGTTTGTGCCATCACGTTTAGGTTTTTCGACTTTAAACGCGTCTACGCTGCATCCCTCTTCACAGCTGAAGTGGTGTACTGTGCTGCCATCCGTGACATCTAGTACGTGTACACTATCATTTTTGTCCACAGCCACAATGAATTTACCGTCAAAATTCCATTTGAATTGCTGGATCGCCAGATCTCTCTCCCAGATCAGAGAGCCGTTTACTCGGTACAGCTTGGTCGACTGCTTATTGTACATGAGCAGCAGATCCATTCTAGGACATATACTGTCCCTATTAAGCCGTAGCCCATGTTGGAATTTTAGTTTGTCCAATAGCTGATACGAGCCCATGACGGAAGTTGACAAAATATAAATATAATCCTTTGAATTACAATTTAAACCAAGTAAGATTCGAGTGATTCTCCAGTTTCTCCTTCGATTTGTTTGAGCAATTTCTTAGCGTTGTTGATAACTCTTTCATCACTGTCTTCAAGGCATTCAGTAATGAATGAGGATACCGTCTCTGCAATAAATCCAATCATTCTGTCAGGAATGGCTTTCCACAACGCCTGAGCTGTTTCCAATGCTACTACCTTGACGAGCGCGCTTTCATCTCTCATGTTGAGCAAAACACCGCCGTTAACTTTTCGAAGACTTGAATCGGTTCTTGATGCGTTCGCTGCCTCTACAACTGCGTTCGACGCTACGTCTCCGCGTGCCCCAGCCTTGGTCATCGATGGCTGTATTTTGATTTGAGCAACCAACTTGTCTGAAACCTTAACAATACGCTCTTCGGTCCAGAATGTACCTCTATCCATCTTGACTGACTTTGCAACCATATCGATAGCAGCTTCCCATAAAGTTGCTGATGATACTGACAATTTGCTGGCAGATTCATCCAACAAAAACAAAGTGTGATCATAAGAAATAGCTGTGTATGGCGCAATAATTGCCTGTTCAAATTCATTAGAATGTTTTGGTTGTATTGTGTCAGACTCACCTTCAGGCTGTCGAGAAGAGAGTTGTAGATGCGGTAAAAGGTGATGCGACGAGCGTCGAAAGCATCCTTCTTTGTTGCATCTTCAGCAAGATCAATAACAGCCCAATCGTAAAGACGCTTAAAGACAGGTCTGAACGTAGACTCATTGATCTTAACAACCATCTCAGCGAATGCTTCAATAGCTGAATCCTCAACAAGCACAACATCCATGTTCTTCTCTTTTGCAATAGTTCTAATGTCGAAGACCTCCAAGAACATTTTGAAAAGCTTCTTATGGTTATCCATAATGTAGCTTCTGTCGGCCGAGTGAAGACCACGCTTGAAGAGGTAGAGGAAAGCCTCGACTGCGTCCTGACTGGATGTCTGAATGACATTATCCCACTCATTCTTCAAGACGTTGATGAGATCCTTGCTTGGAACTTTACGGCTGAGTGCATTGAGCAGAGTCTGAATTTCTTCAGTATATCTCTCAATAACAGACTTGTTGAAGACTATACGAAAGATATCTTGCAGATATGCACCCACGAATGTAGGCAAATTGTTCACAACGCTTCTGATACAGTTTAGTGCACCATCACCGCTGCGGTCATCCTCTACAGCCTTCTTGGACACTTGAACAATTTGCTTAAGTTGTGGAATCATTCTTGTCTGTAATTTTGGTGTGAGTGACTCGAGCAGCAAGAAAGCAGCCAGTGGGTTCTCCGATTTGTTTGCAAAGTCCAACACTGAGGATACAGATTTAGACAAAATTGACAGTTCACCATTTACAGCTGAGTCTGCAATAGTCTTGAGCGCTCCCAAAGCCAACTCCTTGTCTACTAATCTAGCATTGTCGGATTTAAGGAGGTTGAGAGCGAGCTGAGCAGCTGAAATAACAGCATCTGATACTTGTTCTCTGTGTGTATCTTTGACACCCTTCAATCTGATGCTGAGCACTTGAAGAGCACCCAGACGGACATTCTCATTTGAAGCATCAAGTAATTCCTTAACAATTTTTGCAAATGAAGTTACTGGAATGACGTTCAGAACTTCAACAAGCGTAGTCTTTGCAACTCTGTTGAGATCATCGTTGCTCGTCTCCTCTGAGCCAAGCAAGAGGAGTTGGTTAATGATGGACATAAGCTTACTCTCGATAACTTTGTCATTAGAGATTGACTTGATTACACCCATTTTGATCTTAGTGATTTGAAATGCTTGTTCAACAAAGAATAACAGGGCGAGTGATTGGCGCTTCCATAAGGAGTTCTGATCTTTCGTTTTCTCATCAGGAGGTCTTTCTAAAAAGATATTTTGCTTTGGAGCACCACTGAGACGCTTGCTGAATGCTGAAACCTCACTGACGATTCTCTCCAAAGAAGTCAATTGTTCTTGAGGACCAAACGCAGTGACAATACCCAAAGGAAGGATGATTGGTGCTTGCCTATCTCCAGACGATTTAACTACCTTGTTTGCAGCCTTATCAACAAGCAGCATCAATATTGTTGATAAGTATTTAATAGGATCGAGCACCTCAACGAGGAAGCTGAACAGCAACAATCTTCTGTGCTTTGGTATATGGTTTGATGCGTCAGTGAATGTCATTAAGAACGGTTTAGAAGCCTTCATAAGTGATTCTTGATCCTTAGCTTGGTTTTTGAGAGAATCAACCACAACTGGCACCACACCTTCAATGGTCTTTTGCACAACGTTAAACGAGAAGCTATCATCGCGTTGAAGGATGTTTGCACCCATGAAGGTGAAGATTGGCATAACGTTGTGTAAAACATTGTCTGGTGCCAACTTTGCGAGGGTTGAAATGAGCAGTAAAGCTTGTTGGAAAGTTTGAGGGTTCTTGGAGACTGTAAAAAAGTTAGTATTGCAGGGTTATACAATCTATTATAGTACACACCTCTAATAACGTTGACAACAGTGTCAATACGGATAGCTTGAGAGAGGTTGGACCAGTCTTCAATAGACTCACTCCAATCTTTCAATTGACTCAAGCACATTTGTTCAACGTAGTCGACCTCGCTATTGTCACTCCATCCAGCAACAGTAGCGTGTATTTCTGTAACCTGAGCCAACGTTTCGAACGTAGAGATAAGTGCTTCTGCGGATGGCTGAGGTGAAAGCTCAGCTGACAATGCGCCAACCCAGTCAAAGATGCTGGTCAAGCGAGTAAGAAGACGGTTTTGAGATGGTTCACTTGGCGTCCTGGACATGCAGTTAGTTGTTTTACCAACATTCATCTCGATACTCACTTATCAGTACGAGAGCGCTTAGATGTAGGTGGCTCAGCCTCTGATGCACCACCAAGCTCTGTTCTGGTCAATTGCAGAAGAGAGGTGTACGTGACTTCATCAAGTGCGATGCCTTTGAGCGCGTCGCTTGTGATTTGCGCAAGACGGATCTCTGGTCCCTCGATAATCTCCATTAACAGCTTTGACACTTCCATCTTCATATTGCCATCTAGTACACCAAAGACACCGCCTTGCATACATCTGAGGACGTAAGGAGTGTATTCGACATTCTGGAGAGATTTTTTGAAGAGAGTGTAAATCTCGTCGTTTTCATTTAGTAAAGACTTGGAAGCGCTTCTGCTGAATGATGAGAAGACACCATCAACAAACTTATCCTTATCTTCAACTTCAGTATTCTTGACAAGCTTTATCTCTGAATCAGTTGCTTGCGACTCTAATAAAGATTTGATAAGTGGTGTTAAGGTAGCTAATCTGTTTGCATCCCAAATATCAGCAAGTGATTCCATAAGAATGCGTCTAGCTTCCAAGTTCTGCCAACCAACAACATGTGAAAAGAGGTAGCAGATGATACTAACTCTCAACTGCTTCGAGAGTTTCTTGTCACTTTTACTCCTACCGAGTATGTTTGAGTGATAAGTAGTCAAATATCCGCCATCGTTGACAAAGTTCTCACTTTCGTCGTTGAGAACTTTGCAGTACTCTTGAACTTCATCTGATCCGAGGTACTGTATCTTCTTGGAGCTCTCGCCGTATATCTTATCAAAAGCGTACATGTTACCAGTCGTGCAATGCGACTTCGACAGCAGTTTTATGCAGTGGGAAGCACCTGAACGGATATCCTTCACTGGGTCTTGCAATCCAATTAGCAATGATGGAAGAATAGTCTGGTAATCAACACTAGCTTTAGGATGGGCAGATACTTGCAAGAAAGCTTCAGCGTGCTTAATTGATGCATTGCGGATATGACCACTTTGGCTCCTGTCAGTGTAGATAGAAGCAAGGAAAGCGAGTGAGGAGTCTCTCAATCCTGTGAAAATTGATCTGAGCAATGTGGTGGCTAAGCTGGTCAAAGTAGTTGGTGCATTAGCCAGTCTGTATGCAGCGTAACAGAACTCAGTCTCGAATGTGTGCGCTTCTCTAGACGCCTTACTGAGCCAAGAGATTTCTTTGAAAGTTATGTTGCTGATACCAACTGACAGTGCCAATGCAACGACCGAGTGGATAGTGGTTTCTGACTCTGGTTTTTTGTACAACATGGACGAAACCTTCTCAGTGTTCATAACAGCTAATTCATTCACTGATGAGTTTTCGAGCGTACTTCTGCTAGTATTCTCCAATACGCTAGCTGAAAGCTTGAGTTTGGGTTCACCAGATAATTGACTAAGGAGATGGGATGAAACGAGCAAGGCAAGCATACGCGTATTGTGTGCTGCATCAACTCGAATAAGATTGAAAAGAACGTCATGATCTTCCAACATATTCTTAGCTAACGATTGAGCTATGACGTCGTTCACTGTCTTGTGCTCTTCTTGAATGAGAATCTTGACGACAGGCTCTGCGACTCCCTTCAAAGCGCCTTCTTTGATGTTGGCTTCTTTTATCAACTGCCACAGCCTTTTTCTGCTATTTAAAGTCTTGGATGTGACTAGAAGCTGATTCCAAATGACAGGAAGAATGAGTTTCGATGAATAACGACGTGCAAAGTGGTTCACAAGGAAGCTGACGTGAGCCAGTACGACCTCTGATGGTACGCGCTTAGCGTTCATTGATTGGTCAACTGCTTTTAGGATAGCTTCAGCGCTGACGTGATCAAGAACTATGTCAGGCTGGGTGTAAAGCGAGGTGATAATACTTGAGACGTCATCTCCTAGCCTTGCTATTAAAGTATCTTGAACAAAATCCTTATCATCGATTTGACCTGCTTTTATTTGATCGAGCAGCTGGGTTACGGCCAATGCACGGGTGGTGTTGTCTGCAGCGTTAGTCGACAAGAATAGAGTGGTTGCATTGTCACCAGTGTCCATCGTCTTGTGCATGCCGTGAGAATTGGCATTGGTGAGTGCAGTGAAGAGTTGCTTGCGCTGAGCGTCATCGAGAGTCTTTTGATACTTTTGTATCGAGTTGTCAAATGTTTCTCCCCATCTCTGGTAAGCGAGACTGATAAGTGAGGCATACTCCTCGGCCTGTGCGTGTTGAATGAGGACGTCGCAAATTGATTGACCAACTATCTTTGAAAGCTTTGGAGATTCGAGGAGAGTAACGAGTGTTGATTTTGCAGTATCACTATCCTTTACTTTTGCCATGAGAGTTGGAATGAGGCTGGCGATACCTTTGTCGACACTGTAGTTGTCTAGGTAGCTTAAGAAGCGGTTGCCAAGATCACTATTGAATGGTGTGGATTAGATTAAACAGAGCTAGTGCAAACAACTCACTGGATAGAGAGGACACGTTTGGCGTAATCTTCATGAGCAATTTGAACACCCTGAGCGTCAATGATTGCAAAGAGAGTGAGCAGAATCTGATCAACCTCACTGTCAATTTTCTTGTCATCTTTAAGAGCTTTGAGCATGGATACCATGAGAGAAGTAAGGAGCTTATCACCGAGAGGCATCTTCTGAGCTAAGACAACGAAAACCATTCTTGCAGCATATTGAGCATCCTTGCTGGATTTATTACGAAGGGTAGCTCTAATAGAGGCGTAGAGGGTGGTCAATTCACCGTCTTGAATTTTTCTAGCTTGCTGAATGTATTCCAACAAAGTGATAGTCCAGAATGAAGAAAGTGGTCTATGAGTGGAGACGACTTCGAGAGCGGAAGGAAGGGATTGAGAGACGAGCTTGAGAACCTCGTGATCAGATTTGATTGCTCTCAGTAGGATTGATCTTTGCAGCGCCTGGTGAGATTTCTTGACAGGAAGCAAGAAGGAATACTTGTTGCTGCTCGATGCAGGAGGCAAATTGAGCAGCTGCAAGATTTTTGAAAAGCTTGTAGAGTCGTGGTAAGGGAGGAAGGCAATTAAAGTTGCGTCTATATTGAATTCGTGTACTCTTTGGAGGGGGATATGAGAAAATGAGAAAAATTTCAGAACAAACGCACCTGAACTTTCTAATGAGCCACTCCAAAACCTTGGCAGCAGCTCTTGTAGGCAAGTGAGGGCTGAGCTTAACGAGGAATCTGTTAAGGGTAGTGTTAAGCAGCTCGACTTGGGATTTGTTGAGGGAAGTTCTATCGAGATCTTTGACGGGGTCTGTGAAAAGGGTGGACTCAAAATCTTCAAAAGAAGAATCAAGTTCTTTGAGCTGATCGTAACCACCGATGGCTAAGAGGTGTATATCACTGATATCCAATTCAGCCGCATGATTTGGTTCGAATAGATAAGAGTCCCTTTTCGAAGGCTTATTTATCCTTGCAGCGTCATGGCTTGCCAATTGAGCGATTTGGTCTTGAAGACTGCTCATGGCGTGAATGAAGAAGACTTTTCAAGGGAAACGACGATGGCGACAACGAATGCTAAAATTGTTTCAAGGGCGATGCAGAGAATTGCACCGTTGGAGTTGGCAGATAAAAGCTGGGATAACGTTGGTCTCCTTGTGGAATCCCCTCAGCGTAATGGATCTGGACAGCATGTTGTCATCGTCAATGATTTAACAGAGAAAGTGTTCGATAGGATTATCAGTGATAACCCATTCGTATCCGTCGTTGTCAGTTACCACCCACCCATCTTTAAACCATTGAAATCCATTACAACCGATAATCCAATACAGCGCACACTTCTCAAGTGCATTTCAAATGGAATTAGCGTATATTCACCCCACACCGCCTGTGACGCTGTCAGGGGCGGTGTAAATGATTGGATGTTCACTGCTATCACCGGTCACAAGACTTCAAACGCAATCATTCCTACCACTTCCACCATAGACAGTCATCACGATGCTGGAATGGGTAGATACGGCACATTCGCATCCCCACAGGATCCTTATCGTAACCCCATGAGGATAAAGGAGGTTATAAACCACATAAAGTCTGTTTTCAATTTAGACACACTTCAATTCGCCGATGGAGGTAAGAAACATATCAATAGCGTGGCCGTTTGTGCCGGTTCAGGTTCCTCTATACTTAGCAAGGCTCCTTCAGTCGACTTGTATGTCACTGGTGAAATGGGACACGTAAGATTCCATCTTTTCATCTATTAAGTCACTCACATTTAGCAGCACGATGTTCTTGCAGCTGTTGCCAATGGCACATCTGTCATTCTTCTCAATCACAGCAACTCTGAGCGCGTATACCTCCAAACAAGCCTGAGAGACGCGTTGACCGAGGCTATCCAAATTGAGCGTGAAGAGGCCAAGCTCGAACCAGTGAAGTGGAAAGTGACTACTTGTGTCGAAGACAAGGATCCTCTTGTTTCAGTATAACCCGGAAGGATTGCGTGTCCTGAGTACAATCAGGCTATTCTCATCTATTCTCATCTATTCTCAGCGGTACGCCAGGCTTAATGTCCATTAGTACAGAATCTATGCATATTTTGATATTACAAGTCGTTAATGAGTTCTAAAAGTAGCTGTTGATGCGATACATTTGCTTTGTCTTTGTCCACGTCCATTTGATTGTCGGCGTGATTGCAGTGAACTTGAGATTCCTTGACCCTCTTAGTCACCCTTTCTATCACAGCAGCTGATGACTGCTGTATTTCTGCCATCTTATCCCTTATTTCCTGATGCTTTGCTTTGATTTCCTCCGTCTTGGCTTTGCGTTTGTCCTGCTGCTGTTGCTGTAGATGGGAAAGAGTCTCTCTGGCCTGCAAAGATTGTGAATATGTGTTGAGAAAGATTAAGATAGCTCACCTGCATCGGACGAAGCTCGTTGATGATATGATGCATGTTGATACCAGTCAGCCTAATGTGCTCAATCTGAGTAAAGAATAGTGTTGGGGTGTTGTCTGATGAACGTTCTGTGTAAAAAACCCACCTTATCCCTCAGTCTCGATAACGGATCAGCGTCGATTGGAGGAGGTGGAGCTGTGAGTTCTTTGGTGATATCCAAGTGTGTAATCAGGATAGTCCGCAGAAGTGCATGTAATGCTGGTCTCTTATCTGCTTCCAATTAGAGAGCTACAACGAGTGAAAAAGAAGCCCACCAGTCGTATCATCTGGGTAGAGCTGCTTGACGCCGCTATCCTTCAAAGAAGGCAGACTCTCTTTGAGCTGGAAGTGGTTTAGCACATACGCAGATACGCATCGCAGCAACACCACCCACAGGCCAGATTTCCCCGTATGCACTGTAATAGCCATCTTCGACAATCCAATCAACGCGAGGCTTGGACAGCGTATATCTGAGATCAACGCCTATGTCATCGCCGCACTGCTCCTTGTACCACTCCCGGAATCCGTCTGTCGTTGGTGGGATATCGGCGGGGACGCTGTCGACTAAATCGAGATTATGCTGCGTAAAATACTTGTAAAAAGAAGGCGGCGCTGGGAATGTGCTTCCGACTTCGACAGTTTCATTATCCATCTCTCGGTCTCGTCGTCGTCGAGCAGGAACCCATCTCTTGCTGCACAACGACGAAGACAGGAAGATGAACTCAATAAGCGGGGCAGCGAATAGAAAAGGAGGCGCATTGGAAGTAGACAACTACAATGGACTCTATAAGCACAGACTTAATTTGTAAGCCGCGCTGCTTGTCCCAATTCCAATACGCGTGTTGAACGCGACGCGTACAGCTACCAACAAGCACCACTACTTGAAGTGAGTTTGGAAGAATTTGAAAGCTGGGCTATAGACAGGCTCAAGAGTGCGTACACCCCTATCCTTATACCACTCCTCTCACGCCCAGCAGTCCTCGCTGAAATTGAGGCTTCTCAAGTGAGGAATAGACCGTTCAATGATACAAAGGCTGTGATTAAGAGCCAGTCTGCTAAGCTGCTCAGTCTTTCTACCAATTACACTAGAACTGCAACGTTGGAGGCTGAGAGGAAGAAGGATCACGTCAGTCACTACGTTCTCAGACTGGCTTTCTGCAGATCTGAGGAACTTAGGCGGCGGTTTGTCAAGGCGGAAACAACACTTTTTAGAATCAGATTCGATGACGCTACGACGGCTGAGAAGAACGCCTTCTTGCATTCGATGAAGAGCAGCCAGTCGAGTAAAGTGGATTGGGAGGAGGTGTGTCAGGGAATTTTACAAACCCTAGCCCTCACAACGACCCACAGGTAGACGACGTCGAGAAGGAGAGCTTGAGACCTTTCCTTATCAGCTCGAATCCAGGTATCGCAATCAAACCAGCTGAGTTTGAAAAGGAGCTCTATTACAAAGTCAGCTGGGTTTTCTTATCTCTATGCTTTGCTTACACTTTGCTCCCAGGTCAAATGGACTCAAGTTCCTGAGCTAGTCGAGAGACGCCGCGTCTTCCTGAAGCAAGGATACGCTTATGTGCCAATGCGCGAGCAGACATCGCTCATCCTCAACTCTTTCTCCTCGCAGCTGCAGCAAGCTTTAGAGGTACGTGAGGCGCCCTTGATCTTTGATTCTTGACCGACGCTTTACAGTTCACAGCCAAAGCGCTTCCACGTCTCGACGAAGACAGTCGACTGCTACCAGTACTATCGCATCTATCCCTGTCATTCCTCGCTGGTCTTTCATCTGAAGCTTTCGACCCCGCTTCCTTCAACTCAGATCGCAAAATCTCAGCCGAGTCGATCGACATGCTAGCCAAGAAGCATTTCCCAATGTGTATGCGCAGCTTACACGACAGACTGCAGAACACCCACCACCTCAAACATTTCGGCAGGTTGCAGTATACACTTTTCTTGAAAGGTATTGGTTTGAGTGTAGACGAAGCCATAGTGTTCTGGCGCAAGAGCTACGGTGCCAATATATCAGACGACAAATTCAACAAGGAATACCGATACAACATTCGTCACAGCTTTGGTTTGGAGGGTGGTCGTAAGTCGTATCCCCCACGTTCATGTCAAAAGATTATCACACAGGATCAGCCAGGACCCCAAGATAATCATGGCTGTCCTTTCAGACACTTCTCCTTAGATCATCTCGTTCCTTCTCTACGCGCTACATACGGTATAACAGATACGAACGATCTAAATGAAATCACAGGTGCTGTAAAGGCGCAGCACTTCCACGTAGCTTGCACGAGGGTCTTCGAAATAACCCATGCTAATAAAGGTGTCAGAAAGGGCGATGGTTTGGGCGGTGGCGAGAGCGTCAACCATCCTAACAGATACTTTGAGCGATCGTTGGAGCTGTCTGGAGAAGCACAGGCTGAGCCTATGACTGTAGATGGTGCTTAGACCTGTCCAATGCCCCAATGCTGCTTGTATTGTTTGTTTGTCGATACCACATCCTTATCTATCTACCTATAAATGTCATGAAGATTGAGGTGAGAATGCATAGCACAAGAAATCCTTGTATACAAAAGCAGAAAGAACGTGAAAGAGATTAAATCCTTCTAGGTTGAAAGTGAATTGGCGATGATGCAAGATTAAGCAGGAGTATGTGAATTAGTTATTTTGTTGATGTTTAGGAATAGAGGTGAGATTAATTGAATAGAATTTGCCAGATACGCTTGTGAATAGGCGCATTCTTACGAGCTTGGCGTTGTGCATTGAGGTAGTCAGCCGTAAGGAAGACCTTTCTACCCGTATCCAAATCAATATCTTTACTCCTCGTTGGCCATGACGTCTTTACGAAGAAAGATTGACCATAGAAGAGCAATCCGACGGGCAAAGCAAGATAAGCCTGGAAGAACTCTGATGCTCTCTCCATTCCATTCATGCTACCCTCTCCGATAGGGAAAACACCGATGTAAAATTGTGCAATAAGGATGAGGATAATGACGAAACCTGCGAAATAGCTGCCGAGGATACCTGACGCGCTCTGGTATGGGATCTCGTCTTTAGTGTGACCTTGCTTGTACCAAGCAGTACGGAATCTGATGTGACAGACGCAAATAGACAACCAAGTGAACAAGGTCGACAGTGCACTGACGGCGATCAGCCAATCCAAAACCGTTGATCCGTTGCTAGCCAGGGCTAGATATGCAAGTGGGCCGAAGAGTAGCGAGATAAATACTGCATTCAGTGGTCTACCAGCTTTATCAACCTTAGAACACCATCTCGGCAAAAAACGCTGTTGGGCCATAGCTTGTATGGTACGGGATCCACCGTAAACAGACGCCAATGCGATAGAGGTGCATGAGAGCAAGATAATAGTGTTGATGAGGTGGTCCAATCCGTTCACGCTAGCTTTGCTCATCATGATAACGAATGGGGAGGTAGCCGATGGATTTTCGCTACTCATCAGTCTAGAATCGTCGTATGGGACATTTAATCCTATGATGATGACAGATACGAAGAAGATGATGAAAATTCTCCATATGACGGCCTTGATTGCTGATGGCATCACCTTAACAGGATCCTTGACTTCTGAAACGGCGATACCGACAAGCTCTGAGCCAGCAAATGAGAAACCAGCTGCAACGAAAACACTGCAGACGCCCTTGAAACCATTCGCTATACCGTTGTGCAACCCTGGTCGATGGTAGTACTCACCGCCGAGGTAATTGTTGTAATCACCAGAGTCAGGACCACCACCGCAGTTGAAGACGATTCCTGAGATGATGAAGAGTAGAATGACAGCAACTTTAATGATAGCCGACCAAAATTCCTCTTCTGCATAAGCCTTATTGCCGAAGATGTTGATAACGATGACGACAACGAAAAAGACACTTATCCAGACAGCGTTCGATGTGTATATATCAAATATATTGCCATCCCAGTACTGTATCGTCTGCGCGATCGCTGTGAGTTCGAGCGGAAGGACGACGACCCATTGGAGAGCATAGAGCATGCCCATAGCATAACCGACATTCTCATCTATAAACCTATTTGCCATAGCATAGAAACCACCTTCAGCTGGGTATAATATTGCGAGTTCACCGATAGCGTTGACAACGCAGAACAGCGTGACAGACATGATGAGCCAACCGATAATCATAGAGACTGGGCCACCCTGTGAGTTTGTTAGGGCGTGCTATTGATATCCGCGACTCAACCCACGTTAGCCAAAGCACCACCTGTGCTAATAAACAATCCGGTACCAATAGATCCACTGCGGGAGCGTTAGAAAATACTATTAAGCTCAACGCTTCACCCACCCGACAGCAATCATCTGTAGAGATCTGCCAGGGATATTTTTCTGTAAGACACCGTCCGACGCTGCACCTTCAATTTCTTCTTGAGCAATATCACCAGAATCGGTAGCAACAGCCACACGGGCAGTGGTCGCAGGGGCCTGCAGAGAAATCAGAAATGAGCCAAGAGTACAAAGAGCCACTGACACTCCTGAACGAGTTGAACGACAGACCGAGTCTCGTCCAGATGGATTCTTGGGAGGGATCGTATGTTTCTGGGGCATTGCTGACATCCGGCGTCGAAAAAGACGTCTCCTTCTTGTCGTCTATTTTGGGATTGGCGCTGGACAAACCAACGATCTTCTCCTCGTCGTGCAGCATTTCTTTCTAGTCTATCACAAGTGTTTTTAAGCGCTGATTATTTTAGAGCACTCGTTTACTCGATCCGATTTGGTCGTATAGGCGCAACACTCTGATAAGAGTTTTTGCACTTAAGGAACAACGGAGTCACTGGCAGATAAAATTTGCCATCTGAGGCCCTCTACGCATAGCCTATCTTGCTGTGTAGAGCGCGCTGATCATTATAGACTAGGTCACGCTTCTCCTATTTGCGGATTTTTTTCAGCCTAGCAAATGATGCGTCTGCTAGCGAAGGTCGCTTAAATAATGGTGTAATAGATGGAGCCAGGGGTGCTTGGAGATACTGCATAGTTTACACACGCATTCTGACATCTATACACGCTCGTACGCTCGCACACACATCCGGCGCTCTTTCCATATTGGTAATTTGTTATCAGTATCTCGGTAGTATAATTTATGCGCCAAATTTAAATGATTTAATTCTCAATTAGAGGTATAGTGTGCTCCTGCTCGCTATAGCGTAGACTACCGATTGGATGTGCGCAGAAACGTGTAGTGGTATCACACTCGCATCAACCTATGACGAGTCAGGCATTTTACAAGGAGATAGTAAGCATCTACTCACAATATGTATGTTCTCCGTACCATGCACCTTCAATTTGCTATCCACAACTGCCCCATCCTCTACTCTGCCCATCTTCGCAGTGCCTATAGGATGATACTCTCCAGTTACCTTTTCCCTCACAAACGCCTCCCATTCTGCATTACTGGTTACTTGCGGTCCTGGTATGACCTCCCTCTTCACCAACTCGCTCAGTGGAGACTGACCAGCTATCTTGCGCGTGTACTTCAACGCAGCTTTTTGTAGTAGCACGTCGATAGGTTGTGAGAGATACTGATGATCGATATGAGGTTGTGTATATGGGTCGGTGCTCTTTATGTGCACACTACCTCTCGCAAATGCGTGCTGGTTGGCTGCAAGTAGTGTGGCATACGTCTTGTTAGCTTCTGGAGCATGGTGCACATCAGCGAAGAACCCGACATTGATGTATTCACTCTGCGTCACTTTCCCGCTTCTAAGGTATTCCAGCTGCTTCTCGTATTGTTCTTTGTATTCGCCCTGGTATGTCTCCATCTCCTTCATCAGCTCAGATAGCAGCCGTTTGTCGTCGTCGTCCAGTATCTGTTCAGGTGTGAGATACGCAACGCAAACATTGGCCTGCTCGAGAAGAGAGAGCTCCTTTGAGCGCAGTTTGGTGAGTTCTTCCAATGCTATCGATGGGTCGGAGTGTCTGTGCGCTAGTCAGTGGCGTTCTGAAGCCATATGCATCCCTCACACTAAACCAATACTCCGCACCGAGTTGTCTAATTCGAATACAGAGGTTGAGTATGTGTGGTCTTGGAAGTTTTTTCCCACATTAGGCTGATGCATTACCGTTTCGATTCCATATTTCTCTAGTATCCCTCTGTCTCCAATACCACTCAGCTCCAATACCTGCGGTGTTGAAATAGCCCCCGCCGCTAACACCGCCTTATTGCGCACGCCAACATTGAGCAGCTTCCCTTTGTGTATATACTCTACCCCAGTAGCCCTAACTGAACCGTCAGAATTTTTTTCGGTGAGGATCCGAGACACGGTCGCACCATCCAACACTGTCAGATTGGACATGTGTCGCACAGGTTTGAGGAACGCAGATGCGGAGTATGATCTTGAAAAGTCGCTAGGGTCCATTGTAATAGGTGACACAGTTGCTCCAACATTATCACCACTGGCTGAGTTCACGTTAGAGGGATTTCCCAATCTCTTCATTGACTCCAGCCACTTTTTATCTACCTCTGTTGCAAAGCGTGGGTAGCTCAGATGAATTCCGCCGTAAGAGCCGAAGTGCTGCGAATCCACTTGCTCGTCCAGCCCAAACAGTTTGCTAATCTGTTCGGAGGGAGGGTGAAATGTCTCAATTTGTTTCATCGCCTCGAGAAGGCTATCCCAATTCCAGCCTACAGCGCCCATCTCCTCCCAAGCGTCTATTTCAATGTCTGCCGGTCTATTCCACAATCTGAAGTATGATGTGTGATGTGAGCGAGGGGTGTTGGAGTTGGAGTGCACGCCGTGCCTACAGGAAGTTTACAGCACTGCTACCACCTAGAGTGCGCCCACGCGGCATTGGGATGCTCAAACCCAAGTCATATTTCCAATCGATGTCGGAATTCAGCGTTGAGCCGAACATGCCTGCAACATTCACCGCGTCACGGTGCGCAGAATCAGGACCTGCTTCGAGTACGAGAACTGAAGCGCCACGCTTCACGAGTCTGTTGGCTACTACGAGCCCCGATGTGCCTCCTCCGACAACCACCTATCCAATGGCACGCGATGAGATACGACGAATAGCGTTGCAAATAGCCAACCTACATAGTCGAAAACTTGCGGGGAGTTTTGGGTGTACAGTAAGCCGCAGATTAGTACCGTCAGCGATATCAACAGTACTTTTGCGGATGTATTCATTTCTTATGATAGCTGATACAGCTGAAGAGAAACACATGCTTGGAAGTACCCGAAAACACAAACAAAAAGCGCATTAACAAGGTAAATAGCATGGCAGGAATATACACTTTGTATTTTTACACTAATTCACAGCAAAATCTCAATTGACTTGGCATCGCTGCAGATCTGTGAGCAGAAACAAAGCAGCGCACCTTGACATTATGGTTAAATAAGTCACAGATTAGAGTGCGTAAATATGGAAGGGTACACAAATGAGCCACGTGATAATCCCACCGCGATTGTGGATTCGTTATCATATCAACTTCCATCACCACCATGAAAATAATTCTAGTCGGCGTAGGCGGTAGCTCTTCATCGGGGAAGACGACGCTATCTAAGAAGCTGCTCAACGTGCTTCCCCAGTCGTTCATAATCCATCAGGACGATTTCGCACCACCAAATGAGCAAATTCCCGTAGATCCCACGCACAATGTGCAGAACTGGGATGATCCAGATAGTTCAATTGAATGGGATAGATTGATTGAGGTGTTGCAGCATGTCAAAGCACAGGGAATGCTGCCAACTTCCCACAAATCGCACGATCACTTGCACCCGCCTTCGCAGACTAATCTAGTAAGCAACGAGCTCAACGCTAAAGAGATAGCACTGCAGAAGAAAGCCAAGGAGATGTCCGATGATGTCGTCTACGCACTCTTAGATGGATTCCTCTGCTTCTATAACAAAACGGTACTCGATTTGTTGGATGTGCGGATATTTCTCAACGCAGATAAAGGCACCCTCAAGCACCGCAGATCGCTTAGAGAGGGCTATGCTACAGCTGGTGCGTTGCTCTGCGTCCGCATTCAACGAGCTAACTGGCTAAAGAAGGCGATGTGTGGATAGATCCGCCTTTTTATTTCGACGATATTGTCTGGCCAGCGTAGTAAGTGATGCGAAATCGTAAAACACACCGCCTCACCAGAAATACCAGCATCAAAGCTCACAAAGATGTCTTTGTTAATGGCGATCCAGAAGCTGGTGTTCCAACGCCATACGTGCGAGACATCCACATCTACGACTCTACCAAGCTAGACGTAGACGAAATACTCAGCAAAGCTACTATAGACATAATAGAATATTCTAGGATAAACTAGGCGATTGTCATACAACAAAAATACATTTGTAATACAAGTATTTAGGAAAGAAGTTTGAGGACCTTTTAATGCAAGTTGCGCTCATTTAATTTACTGATTCTTCGGGTTGCTTTGAGTTCATTATGCTGGCTTCGTCAACAGCTGAGAAATCCAGCGAGTCAAGTTGCGACTGGTCATGTATCACTGAACCTTGATGAGACGTTTGTTCAAATGATGGCAATTGATTCACTGGGCCATGATCAGGTGTTGGCTCGAATGACGGCAACGGATTCACTGGGTTTACTTCGAATGATTTGCCATCTCCATTGTCATTAGCGTATCCCCTATCAATGGTAGGGAATGATTTTGCATTGCTAATCTCACTTCCATGATGCTGCATTGAGGGAGGGAAATGTATTTGATCTTGGTTGGGATGTGGCAAGGCAGATGTCGATGGCTCGGGTACATTGAATGGAACATTATCATCCGGATACCCATACGCATCGTCCTCTTCTTCAACATCGTCATCATCATCATCGTCATCTTCTTCGTCACCATAATCATCTTCTTCTTCCACATCGTCGTCGTCGGCAGCCTCTTCATCTTCATCATATTGAATACGCCTGGAGGAGCGTCTAGAAGAGCGACGCGTACCCTTTGGTTGCTTTGGTTGTGGCGTTGAGACTGATTGCAAATTGGACTTGCCAGCAAAACCGCCTGACGCCTCATGCAACCTCCTAGCTGATCTTCCGTGTGCGCCTGAGTGATCCATGTGGTATCTGAAGCCGTTGGCGTTCTTCCAGCGCTTGTTGCAACCAGGGACTGGACAAGCATATGGACGTTCTGAAACAGCAGCTTCGTCGCGACTGAGAGTTTTGAGTACACCGTTGCAGTTGCCGTGATTGATATGGTACTTCAAGCCATTCCTATTTTTCCAAGTCTTTGAGCACTCTGGGTTTGGACATTTGAAAGGACGGGGATCAGCCTGGTCTGGAACCTGGGAGAGTGCATGGGCCATTGCCTCCTCAGCGGTATTGTACTTAGACTCATCGTAAGCAGGGAAATTTGATCTCCTAGCCATCATGTTCTCGCCCTTGATCTGAGTGTCTGGAGACTCAATCATCCTGAATCCCAGAGTCTGGTCTTGGAAAATAGGAGCAACGGTAGGCCTCATGGCTGGTGGAAGAGCGGACATGGAATCGTCGCCTACGCCGTCTTCATCATAAGCAGCGTCTTCTTCACTGCCGTTCTCTTTAATATCGTGGACATCGTTGAGAAGGTGATGGGAGGGTTCAGCGTGAACAGAAAAAGTATTTTGCTGTCTTTCATTGGCATTTGAATTTTGGTCACCATACCAAAGGTTCTGAGATACGGCGATGTCGTTGCTCGCGCCTAAGATACGTAATGAGTAAAAAACTTGACTAAAACAGCGACCAACTTCTCAAATAATCAATCTCTGCAATTGGCATAGTCTCTGTACATTCCTCTCGCAGATGCGCTCGAAGATCGCCTTCATTGACGAAAGCCTTTGAGCACGAATGGCAGCGTGGATTCGCGACTTGAAAGCTATTTAACTGTTCAAAATATTGCAGCTGATCGTCCATTTCGCACCGGCGCTCTTTCTTTGATAGTTGAGTTGAGAGAGATGAATTTTTTTGCAGCCGCGAGATTTCATGAAAATTGTAAAATCGAGCGATGGCGGATTGAGGTGTGGTACAGGGGTTAAGAATCTAAATGATTTGTATTTTTAAGAAAATATTTTGCAAAATTTGTTTAGTTAAATTTTAATAACGCCATCCAGCAGGTTGTGGTGGGATAAAGGGGAGGTCACGAGGTCTTTTAATTGGTGCCAATAGAAGCACGCTTATATCCAAAGACTTTGAAGCTCACTTAAAGCTCTTTTCGCGTCGCTAGGAAGTCTTTCTCTAGATGTATTTCGGGCTATATGTCACACACGCACTAAGAAATACATGAGAAGTACTCTCGCCACATAACCAATACTCTACAGACGCGTATAAACATACTTTCAAAATTTTTGCAGGCGTAATATTAACATAGTGAAAATCAATGTGAAAAGCAGGTGCAAAGATTTTCAAGTGGGGGCTTTTGGGGGAGATATAAGATGTATGTGGGAGATTATAAAATATCAATCAACTAAAAAAATCATGTAATGGCCTGGTTTCATTTGGTCTTCTGAGGTGGTTTCTTCACAGAATAAAGAACTGATTACGTGACTGCTATCCGATAAACCACTAAATCTAGCTACATATATCTCCAAGCCATATTACACTTAAAATCCACATGATGGTAAGACGCTAAGAGATGCGCAACGTGTAATCAACCTCAGTAAGCCTGAATTGAATAATAATCCCAATAAGCATTCACAGCATTACAAGTCGCTGGAATTTAATGTGTATTCGCTTCTTGACCAACTACCGTCATCTGCTCAAACAGGTAAATCGATGCCAGCTCGTACTTCATCGCCTGAATCAAATAAAAGATACCGCCGCGATAGAGATGGCGAGCCAGACTACCACAGATCTGGGCGTGAACGTGACAGACGTGAGCGCGAGAGAGAAAGGGAGAGAGATAGAGATAGAGATAGACGCAACAGAGATAGGCACAGGATGAGGTCAAGGTGAGCTGATTAACAGCCCAGCTTATCTTTCCCATTCATCATTCTTCCAGGTCACCCCCACGCTCCGATAGACGTGACAGAAGCGATAGACTCCCGGATAAGCCTGCAGAGGCTGCCTCACAACCTAAAGAAAAGACAGAAGACAGAAAGAAGCGCATGGAAGCCTTCTTGGCTGCTCGTAAAGCTGCAAAGGCTAAAGATGGCGCAAGTCAGTCTCCAGGCCCATCAGCCACTGCATCTCCCATTCCTCCGAACAATCCATCTCAACAGGCTTCATCACAAAAACCCATCTCTTTAGGATTGAAAGGCTTCACAAATCGCAACATCACCACAAAAGCTGCGACTATGGACGATGACGAAGAGTCAAGCGGCTTAGCTATGCACACTTTACCACCAGTACAATCCTCAGCACCAACTGAAAATATCGGCGGCGATTTAGAGTCAACTGAGGATCAAGCTGATAAAGGTGACAAGATGGACGTTGACGAAGCTGCTCAAGAGGAGGAAGATGAAGACCCACTCGATGCTTTCATGAGCGGTGTTAAAAGTGAGGTTAGCCGCGTCAACGAGTCTGACAAGAAGCGTATGGGTGATGTTTCAAACTCTTCAACTACAGCTGCTCGTTTTGACGACGCAGACGATGAAGAGGAAGAGGAGAAGAAGGAGGAGGATGTTTCCAAAATGTCAGCTGAAGATATTCTAGCTTTAGCGGCTAGCAGAGTCAAACGGAAAGAGATCGCCGTCACTGATCATGACAAAGTTCAATACGAGCCATTTAGGAAGCAATTCTACAATCCACCATCTGAAGTGCAAAATATGTCAGAAGAAGAGGCTGACAATCAGCGTTTAATTCTCGACGGTATTAAAATTCGTGGTGTTGAGTGTCCAAAGCCAGTGACCAAATGGTCGTTACTCGGTTTGCCTTCATCCTGTCTCGAGGTGATCAAGTTCCTTCAGTATGAGCAGCCGTCATCCATACAATCTCAAGCTTTGCCGGCTATCATGAGTGGTAGGGATGTCATTGGTGTTGCCAAGACCGGTTCTGGTAAAACAATAGCCTTCTTGCTGCCACTTTTCCGTCACATAAAAGATCAGCGTCCAATTGAGAATCTGGAGGGTCCAATAGGTGTGATAATGACGCCAACCAGAGAACTCGCCGTACAGATCCATCGTGAATGTAAGCCGTTCCTCAAAGCATTGGGTTTGAGGGCAATTGCAGCATATGGTGGTTCACCAATCAGTGAACAAATAGCAGAGATGAAGAAAGGTGCAGAGATCGTTGTCTGTACTCCTGGTCGTATGATTGATCTGTTGACTGCAAACTCTGGCAGAGTTACCAATTTGCGCAGAACTACGTATTTGGTACTCGACGAAGCTGACAGAATGTTTGATATGGGTTTCGAGCCACAGGTAATGAAGATTATCAATAATGTCCGACCAGACAGACAGACAGTCCTATTTTCAGCTACTTTCCCGAAACAGATGGAGTCACTAGCTAGAAAAATTCTGCAAAGGCCACTAGAGATTACTGTTGGTGGTAGATCTGTTGTCGCGCCTGAAATTGACCAGCAGGTTGAAGTTAGAGAAGAGTCTTCCAAGTTCAACAGACTGCTAGAAGTACTTGGACAGACATACAATGAAGATGATGATGCTAGAACACTCATCTTCGTCGATAGACAGGAAGCAGCTGACAACTTGCTATTCAATTTACGTATGAAAGGATACGTAGCGATGAGTTTACACGGTGGAAAAGATCAGGTGGATAGAGATCAGGCCATCACAGACTTCAAAAATGGAGTTATACCAATAGTGATAGCCACTTCGGTCGCAGCGAGAGGATTAGACGTAAAGTTGCTGAAATTAGTATTAAACTACGACACACCGAATCATCTAGAGGATTATGTTCACAGAGCTGGTCGAACTGGTAGAGCAGGAAACAAAGGCACGTGCATCACCTTTATTACACCAGAACAAGAGAAATATTCCGTTGATATTGAGAAAGCTCTCACAGCATCGGGTGCAAATGTACCCTCCGAGCTGAAAGCCATGTCCGAAGCATTCCTGATGAAGGTGAAGGAGGGCAAAGCGACAGTAGCCGGCTCAGGATTTGGTGGTAAGGGTCTTGACAGATTCGAGAAGGAGCGTCAAGACCTCGAAAAAGCGCAGAGAAGTGCCTACGGCGAAGAGGAGGAAGTTAAAAAGGATGGCAATACGAACGCAGCTACAAATGAGAAAGTATCCAAAGAGACAGAAGATATGTTTGGTGAGATCAAAATCCAGAAGGGTCCAGCACCTGCTGATTATAAGCCACTCAATACTGGTGCTGCATCTGCATCTACACCCGACACTAGCGACATTAAACCAGAAAACGCTAACTCCGCAGTCGCGAAAGCTGCTGCTGTTGCGGCTAAGATTAGTATGCAACGTGGCGCAGCTGCTGCGCCGCCACCTAACGGTCCGATTAAGAACAAAGATCCTGATGCTACCGATTATCATGCGATCGTACCAATCAATGACTATCATCAGCGTGCAAGATGGAAGATCACCAACAAGGAAACTATTGTCTATCTCAATGAGACAACTGGATGCTCGATCACTAACAAGGGTATCTATTACGAAGCTGGTAAAGAACCAGCACTGAGCGAGCATCCGAAGCTGCACTTGCTAGTTGAGTCGAACGAACCGGAGAGGGTAAGTATTGTGTTGCAGTGCGTCCTATGGCTTACCCAGAAGTACAGGTCGAAAAGGCAGTACGTTCAATTAAGTCGATACTTATTGAAGCTACACAAGCAGCCCTTGAGTTCGACGGCAAAAACCAAACAATGGGTCGCTACAGCGTGCTCTAAAAGGAAAAAGTAATGTATAAAGTTAACTTATGAAATCATGTTCCTTAGAGGAGCTGAAGTACAACTATTGATATGACAATGTATATATATCTAAAAGAAAACAGCGAAGAAACCCATTCTATGAAGGTAGTCGGCGAGCGTACCTAGCCAAATGAAACCACCCAGTTTAGAATTACTGACAAACTTTGCCCAGCAGTCGGTGGGGTTATCAAGATTGACTGTTCTGAGTTGCCATGCTAAGTGGACAGCTGCACCGCCAGGCGCCAGAAGATAGAAGGGAAGGGTAGCATCAGCGGCATAACCAGCGACAGACATGAGACCGACGAAACCACCCGAGAAGAGTGTGAGAGCAGGTTTAGTCTGCTCGCCAAAGAGAAGCGCCGTTGACTTTATACCTGCGTATACGTCGTCCGTTTTGTCTTGATGTGCGTAGATGGTGTCATAGACGATTGTCCAACAGAATGCACCAGTGTAGAGTGGCAGTACAGTCTGCCAGGCGCATGATCCCGCGATAGCTGAGTAACCTAGTAGAGCACCCCAGTTAAATGCCAATCCGAGCACGGCTTGCGGCCAGTATGTGATACGCTTCATGAAGGGGTAGATAGAGACAAGAGAGAGCGATGATGCACCGAGCAGAATGCTATCATCTATTTAGAGATATGTGAGAGTCAGTCTTGCACCCACCTGTACACGTTCAGTTGAGTAAGAATACCCAGACCGGCTGATAACTGCAATCCCAAGAATCCCACTGCCTGAGTGGGAGTCAAATCACCTGCAGCTAAAGGTCTTGTCTTTGTGCGCTCGACTGCTGCGTCTAGTTTACGATCCCAGAGATCGTTGATCACGCATCCAGCGCCTCTCATAATAAGAGAGCCAGTGCCAAACAGTGCGATGTATTTGAGCATCTCTGTCGGAGTCGTTTGCGTTGCACTCGAGGCAAGAGTGATAGACCATGCTGCAATAGTTGAGATGGAAAACGCAGTGACTTAGGGGAAGGCTCACCACATGGCCAGAATAGCAGGAAGCTTCCGATTGGCTTGTCTGCTCTGGATAAGAGGAAATATGGTCTCCATTTGGTAGGAAGATTGCGGAGGATGACAGACTCTTTGGGCTGTGCCGCGTTGGCTGGTGTCGTAGAACTAAGACGCGACTTTACGCGCAGTTTCAGCAACAAGCTCGTATGGCAGCTTTTGTGCGGCCTTGCTAACCCCGCGAATCTTATCATCACTCACTCACTCACTTCGAAAGAGCACCGTATCAAATATTTACCCGGTACACGCCAAATTTTGTCTATTTTTCCACACTCTTTGACTAGACTGTAACATAACATGTGAATATAATTTTTATATCCGTCCTTCCAGTTCTCAACACGCTGCCGACAGCGTAGGTATACATTCATTAGGGCTTTTTTTGCTACGTTCAGTGGATGCTTTTTAATGTAGCATTTAATTAAGGCTCAAAGCCCAGAATTAATTCCTTTATTAAAATACCAAATGCGTGACTCAATTGAACGCAAATTAGTTGTTTCAATTGCATTCAGCGCCTTAAATGGAAATGAACAAGCAATTCATGTTCGCAAATATCGCCGTAGCTGCGAAATAAGAAACGCACCAGTATGATCTCCTCTTTTCATCAACAACTACATCTTCCATCAACATGACTCGTGCTACCTCAATCGCTCTCATTGCTTCCCTCGCTGGTGCCGTCTTCGCTACTGAGAAGGTCGGTGACTGTGCCGTCGAAAACGTCAAGTGCTGGTGAGTATATTGATCTTTTTCGCTCAGGAGTTCGTACCTAACACAAACGTCAGTAACGAAATCAAGGACGTCAAGGATCTCGACGAAGGAACTGCCTCTCTCATAGATATCCCAGAACTTCTTGGTCAAGTTGGTCTCCAATGTAGCCAAGTACCTGTCCTCAGTGTTGCCATTCAAGATATGTGTAAGACTACCACCAGCTGTTGTGAAGGTACCACCCAAAACGGTCTCATCAACATCAACTGCTCTCCAATTCCACTTGTTTAAGGTGCGCACAGAGTCGATGATATCACTCGGATAATTTGTACTTTTTCATTGAATGTTTACCTTTTTGATAACTTTTCTCGTAATACTTTATATATTTTATTGTGATGCTCAATATTATGGTTGCACCGCACCACCAAATTTACGACTCGGCTCTATGTCACTGTGATGACTTCAAGATGTGTTAATGACTTTAAAGGGTACGTTAGCTACTTTTTTTTGAAACTATTGAACACTTGAAACATTAATCGGTTATTCTATTAATAATATCTGCTCGAAGTACCCTGAAAAACCAAGCAAGTGAGAAGACGGATACAGGGATACTGTGTACTGACAATTTGAAAGATTCAGCAACACCATAATTTCCATAGTATCTTCATAATTACAAATACGTCTGCATATCAGTCCTCTGCTCAATTCCCACCGAGTTGGATTTCCCGACTAATACCTATTTCATCTCAGATGGCTGATTTACGAGTATTGTTAATATCCAATTAAAAAGGCTTTAAATATACTTCTGAATGATCTTTTTAAGATTAAGCCAGAATTTTATCTCTGAGGTACCAATGGCGCCCTGTAGGCTGTTTGGAAGTTTTAATCTGAAATGGCTCTGGAGCACGCTTAAGGGTAGATATGGAGTATTGTACATGCATCACTGATAAAAACAAGTATGGCTAGCCGATAAAGACCAGCTCCCAATATTTCACGGATTCATCCTTTTAGACGCGATTTATGTTTTCTGAAAAGTAGCGTCCACAGGACTTAATGCTAGCTCCAAGGAAAAAAGTACTATACATGCGATCGTAGCATACCAATTAGATGCAATTCATGTAAAGAAAAGTGGGGGTCAGGCCAACTCTGAAATTGGGAGTTTGGCTTCTGAACAGTGTGCATTTCAAGATTTCAAATGATGGGGGTAGAGGAGTGATTGAGGATGCTTTAGACTCTCAGAAGCATTTAAATGCAGACTTCCATTTTTGGGACATTAATTGGCTTATGAGATGACTTTACTAGGTATCAGAGCTTCTTGAGGGTGATTAGGGCTCTGCACAACGCCTCATATATCGTACACAGCTATATAACTCTCAAATATTCATTGTTACAGATAGTTATCAGAATTGGCCATATTCGCACCACTAACACTCAGCTTGGATTCAAACATGCCATTCCTTGGTTCCAGATCAGGGAAGAAGATGGATTTGGCGTGAATAAGACTGGCAAATACATTGGGCTTTTTTGTTAAGAGTCTATAGAATTATACTCGATGGTTTGGGACATTGCGAACAATGGATGACGAGGACGGCGTATGGTGCGAAATGGAAAATGTAGAAACAGGTTAAAAAACAAATAGATGCATCCGCAATTTCCGAGGGGGCTTCTTGTAAACACATCTTGCCAAGCAGTCATTGTTTTCTCAACGCGTATTCTGCATAAATGTGTATTGCACAAAGTTTTTAGGAAACATAGCATTCCAATCTGATGCTTTGTTAACTCGCTTTACTCTTTTCCTGGTAAAGATGGAGATGGTCTGCGGATGGTCGTCTTCTATTGCGCAAGTGATTTGCTAGAAAGAGAACGTCATTTCCAGTTAGCCTAGAAAAAATGAGACATCTGCGACACCCTCAGACTTGGGGATATTAAGAGACTCAAAGATATTTGGGGTTACGTCTATGTGATCACTGTTGCAACCCGGGCAGCAATCGACAACAGGTGCTGAAATTGTGTTCCCATTGCTATTGATTTCGACATTCATTCCGCTTTCATTTGAATTTTAATTGGAGGCTTCAATTTTTCGGAAAGACTTACCAAAACGCTTTGCAGTTCATTTCAGTGCTCAAAGCCACACCCATGTCGGACTCGTCAAGTTGTCTTCCACATGCACCAATTCCAACAGAGGCCTGATGCGTTTGTTTAGACAGGAAAAAGGCAGTACGTATACTCACATTGTAAAACGTTGCTTTTTGCCCATTGACAGGAGCAGCGATAACTCCAGCAGCCAACCCTGCAATTGTGATAATATGTGCAAACTGCATATCTTTGAAGCAACGATAGTGAGCCTGATAAACTCTTAAGTAGCATACATACGCACTGGATTTAACCTAAGACAATGATCTGAAGAGACTGTTTGCACAGAAGAGTATAATTAATGATTCCACTTATATTAGATACATGGAATGTTCTAAGGCCCAATTAAGATATTTGGAAAAATCAAAGGCATACATCTCCTAAACCAGCGCCAATGATAGCTCAAAAGCAGACAATGCATCACAGAGATGATCAGAACGTCATATGTATATTGTCTTCGCTAGTGCTAATTGAATCTAGTAATTAATTTACTTGTTTCCGAGCGGGTATACAGCATACGGATTTGGATGTTGGTAATAGACGCCGTATGTAAAGCCCAATTTGGAAAGTGAGAAGACACGCAAGCAGGTAATTACGGAAGTATTAGATTAAACAAGCTGAAGAGTTCAAAGATCCATTGCTTAATGATACATTATTGCGCTTAAAAATTTAGGTACCATTGATGCGCTTTATCAAAGAGTAAAAAAATAATGCAGAGAGGTAAGTTTCGAAAGCCTCATTCAATTTTCTTTCTCATAGTCACTTCCACCAGTGTATTCTGAGCCTTAATTATCTTGTTCAATTACCTCATCCTCACTATCTTCCTCAACTCTGGACGTGTACGCTGTCTTCGATTTGCGAGGGCGCAATGTGCGCATCGGCTGTGGCAATTGACATGGAGGCGGAGGCGAAGCCTTCAGAGATCGTACTCGAGGTTGCGCGCTCTGCGGACATGTCTCACTTCTGAAATCGCTTTCCCGAAGTAAGGCTCTGCGTTTCAACCACATCGCATCTACATCGACTTGCGTAAGTGTTCTTAAGCCATTAAGATGAGGCTATATCGTTGTCTTGTTACCTCTGAATGGAGACTTAGAATAGACTACGGCACCATTTTGCAATGGGGACAAAGAGGAGTCATACTCTTAGAGAGTGTGCCACTATCTTCCCAGAACACTACTGTACCGTCTTCATGCTGGTCAAACAATTTCTCAATATGAATCAAGTATTGATCCTGGACCATGTAGGACCAATTATTAAACACCATTGTTTTGCCTAATTTGTGTGTACATTCAGTTCAAGAGATCAATGTCGCCGAGTTCTCGTCATCCAACGATACCATGCCAAAGTCAAAACACAGCGTTTTCAAAGCAGGAAAACAAGACCGCAGACTAACATTTCGGAGTAGAATTTTTCCTCATTAGTATCGAGAACCCGCCTTTACAAACGATCAGATCTTTCTCATCGTTACGGTCCTCAAATTTCTTCAGATTGGAAAAGGATCTTACTCAATTTTTTACATGAAATCAATTTCCTTTCTTGAGATGGTTTGATTAACCTTGGTTAGCGGCCCACTGAGGTGAAGATCGTATAATATGAAGTCGAAGAAACCTGCACAAATGAGGCTAATTGAGCCACTATCCCAGCCAAAAAGAAATTTAGTTTTCGCAGATATGAGCCCCAGGGGCAACGTCTGAAATTTGCTGATTCTGATCATCACTGCAGATAAGGAAGTGAGTCGCGGGAAGTATAGAGTGTTTACAATTCAATGCGATAAATATTTCCCTGAAGAGTCCCAGTGGCTGAAAGAATACTTTTGGACTGCATTTAGTGCACGAATTACTTCGTAAGACCTCCTATCACCTTCTTACCGCCATCTTGCCGATAGATAGATAGAAATCATAATATATAGTCAAAAGCGTTACAGTAATTAATAATATTCGTCTATCTATATGCCTTCTTACCGCCCACCCCCCCCTGCGCTGCTTCTGATGATCGAATCATTTGCTTCATAAGTAGCAGTATTTAACTAACAATGTCCACGCTTTTCTTGCTCGAGAACCTGAATGGCTGCCTAATTTCATTATAGCTGCTTTTTGAAAATAGAATATCCAAAAAAAAAAATATGCAAAAGTCCTTATGAAATCGACATTGAATGAATACAAGCTCATTTATTTTGTGTGATAGTTTATATTTAAGTATGAACCAAGAGTTTGCACAGGTCTCTTAACTCAGTTGGTTAGAGTGTGGAGCTAATATTAGATCACTCCAAAGTCGCAGGTTCGAGCCCTGCAGGGACCAATTCTTTTCTTTTTTGTTCAGCAACCTTTTGACTTTTATGTGCTACCTAAAATGCCATGAAAATTCGAAAGACTGCGTTTTTATGCGTAAAGTCTTATAAACATTTTGCATACTGCGACAATGATACAATGTCTCAATTACTCATTGCGTGTGCTTGCGGCCGCAATGTGAGACAGAGCCGTCGACTGTTCGATGAATAATCCCGGTAAGCGGCGATTTTGAGTTGCTTGTTAGAAAGTTCTAAGAATCGTTAGTATAGTTGACGGATGCCCGTGGCTGGCGGAAGCAGTTCTGGATCCATATATTACACAGACAGCTAAGCTGCAAGAGCGACAATATGAGGCCAAAATGAAATTAATTGTACTGCATGAATATAACATACAATAAAGTATCTCAAATGCGCACCCAAAGCACACATAAAGTTTGCAGCTTGCCCCACAAAAGGTACCTTAACGAACAAATGCAACGAGAGGAACATAGACGGTATGGTGTTGAGCTACGGCTGCAATGCAAGCTAAGCTGGCAAACGGCTCACCTAACAAAGATCATCCGCTCCGGCTGTCACACGCAGCCGGTAGCTTCTCGACTCAGTTGATCTGAATCACAACGTCAAGAAGTCTCGAAAATCTGGCAAATAAATAAGAGAGCTGTGAATAACTCCTTCTTCTTTAGCTACAACTCAATCTTTTTTTAAGCGCCAGACGCAAGTTTACAACACTCTCTAAACAATAAGTGGGTGAGCCACACATGCTGCATGGTATTGCTAACGGCGTGCAGATATGTACTTCACACAAATCGCTACTGTTGTCGCAATTGCTGCTGGTGCAGCTGCTTCTCCTGTCGCACGTCAGAACAGCGGCCAAGCAACATTCTACCAAGCCAACGGCGGCACTGGATCATGTGGACAGCAGCTCAGCAACTCACAAATGGGAGTTGCAGTGAGCTCGAACATGGGTTGCACAAGCATGTGGTAAGCTAACAGCAGTACATTCTTTATATCCACTCACTTTCGACTCAGTGGCCAGAATGTCCAAATTGAAAGCAACGGTCAGACAGTCTCGGCGCCAGTCGTCGATTGCTGTCCAAGCTGTGAAAGCAACCACATCGACCTCCTTCCAAAGGTTTTCGAGTCCCTCGGTATCTCACAATCTGAGGGTGTTGCTCCAGTTACCTTCAGCTTCAACTAAACGCCATATGATTGCAATGTGTGTTGATCACACTATATAGACAGGCTGTCGCTCTTCGAAACAGCCTTCCTCAATATTCAAGAAAATCTCATATAAAAGGAATTTCTCAGCTCGTTTGCAATTCGAGATCATGGATTGATCTACGTACTACTCACTTCCCAAAGTATATTTTATCTCAGTTTCTTCGCAACTTGCGTCCAACTGAATTGTGTTATTGAACATCATTCATTTTTCATTAGCGCTTATACTTGCAAGTCTCTTGTGTGTTTATTGTGCATTGTATATTGTGTATTATGCAGCCTATGTTGAAAGGAAATAGTTATTGATTAGGTTCGTCTACAAGAATTTAGTTTGATGCGGCATATTCATTGGCTTTTTGAACAGAAAGTCTTGCACCCTCGTCAAGACCAGTAGTAGCAAAGATTTTGAGTCCAGATTCCGAGATGAGTTTTCTGGCTTCTTCCGACTTAGTACCTTGGAGACGTACGACTAAAGGTACCTTCAAGTCAAGTTCTTTAGTGGCTTTGATGATACCTTCAGCAATCATATCACAACGCATGATACCACCAAATACATTTACGTAGATTGCACGTACTGACTTCTCAGTCAAGAGGAGTTCGAATGCCTTCTTAACTGCTGCTGGGGTAGCTGAACCACCAACGTCAACTGGGTAAAAGTTAGTATAGAGGACAAGCAACAACTAACCAACCCACGGAAGTTGGCAGGACTACCGCCCTGATGAGTGAGGACATCCATGGTTGCCATGGCAAGACCAGCACCGTTGACAAGACATCCAATGTTACCATCAAGCTTGATAAAGTTGAGACCGTGCTCAGCAGCTTCGACTTCTTGTGGGTCTTCCTGTGTTGTGTCACGGAGCTTAAACACTTCCTCTTGACGGAACTCAGCGTTCTCGTCGAATCCGAACTTGGCATCCATGGCCAAAACAGCACCATCCTCAGTCTCAGCGAGAGGGTTGATTTCAATTTGTGTCATGTCCTTCTCCTTGAAGATCTTGTAGAGGTTTTGGAAGATACCGGCGGCTTGCTTGATAGCATCTTCGGTAGAGAAGCCTAACTTCTTAGCGACATCCAAAGCTTCAGCTTGTGACAAGCCATTTTGGAAATCGATTGGAGTTTTGACAATCTTTTCTGGGGTGTCTCTGGCGACCTCTTCTATAGACATACCACCTTCTGAGGAGGCGACGAGGACTGGACCGAGAGAAGAGCGATCGTTGAGGATAGCGGCGTAGTATTCCTTCTTTGGAGTGCGACGCTCAGCGAGCATAACTGCTGAGCAGAGCTTACCAGCTTCACCCGTTTGCTTAGTGATGAGCTTGGCTCCGATCATCTTTGAAGCGAGTTCTTGAGCTTTTTCAGGACTGTGGGGGTGATTGGGTGGTTAGACGAGTGAATTGGCCAAAATAAATGAGAAAAACGCACGAATCGATGAGATGGACACCAGATTGGAGACCGTTGCTGAAGTGACCCTTACCACGACCACCAGCGAGAACTTGAGCCTGGTGTGTACATTAGACGGATAAGCCGCGACGAGCAGCCACACGCACCTTGATTACGAGCTCGTTCTTGTCAAACTTCTTTGCAGCAGCCAAAGCCTCCTCAGCGCTGAAAGCAGGGATAGATTTTGGTGTGTTGACTTGGCCATTGGCGAGCATGGCTTGAGCAGCGTACTCGTGGATAGATAAACATCTCTTCTGCTGTGCGACGGCAGATCTGGCACTTGATGTCTGATGGATCGGTCAATGACGGAGTGGATGCAGCTGCGCGGTAATCTCACTTGAGCGAAAACTCTGCTGGCTTGTTGTCTAAACATCTGTGAATTGTGTCAGTATTCCTGGCTGTGGGTTTCTGGGTGGTAGAATTACAGTGAATGTTGGGTGTGGTAAAGAAAGAGGCTTAACGAGGTAAAAGGAGCAGAAATTTTGTGATGTTCTTGTGAGCTGTGGGTGAGGGTATATTGGAGCCTTTAGGCTGCTTCGGTTGGCTTCTTGGTGCGTGATGGATGCGTCACCTTTTTTGAGGCACAGAAGCACGAGGAGAATGAGGCTGGAGATGCGCGGGCCTGTGGTTGCGCGCAAACACCTCCAGAACTCTATTTGGATGTATTCGCTGCTCAAAAAATGCAGCAGATGAATTCGCTTATGCGGATAGAGCGAGGCGATCAAGCAGATGCGATCAAGCAGATCAAATGGCCGGAAAGTGCGCGTATATGTCACCGTTTCTATCCATCTCCAACCGTCTCTGCCAAAAAGCTGCTTCTGATGACTTCACTCAAAGTCAAACGGATTCGGACAACACGCCAAAGTCGACAAGCCAACCCCTAAAGATCTGCAGAGCTATAATATTTCATTAAATCTACTAAACGCGTTTTCAATCACGCGTCTGAACGATATGCTCACTGTAATAGTTTCAACCACCACCACCACGGCAGCGCACCCAACGCAAACCAAATTACGCAGAAATGGAAATCCAGACGAATCGCTTAAAGAGCTATAATAGAGCGTATCATAGAAATACACTGCATCTCGATATCGAAGAATTATCGAAAGCGGGTTTCTACGCAATGGATTCAAAGTCTGATAATGTTCATTGCGCGTACTGCGAGCTTCAACTACGTGATTGGAAACCTGATGATAATCCACACAGGTTGCATATTGATTTCGCTCCTCAATGTCCGTACGCTAAAGTGGTTTGTGGTGTGCATGTTGATGCACTCATATGGGGCGATATAGACGCTGGACGGGATAGACGCAACTACTACGAAGACGAACCTCTTCAGAATGGTCGTGTTCCACGTAGTAGACCGATGATCGACGCCCGTAAACAGACATTTGTGAAATGTGTACGACCACTCGTTGTATCTGTACATAAGGTGTGATTTGTTTTCTTCTCAAGTCAATTCCAGTTTTGTTAACACACTACAGCTCTCACTTGCCGGATTCTCTTATGCACCTACTACCGAAGCGTTTGATTGCTGCCAGTGCGTACTCTGCGATCTAAGTCTTTCAGACTGGCAGAAAGGCGATGATCCAAATGAAGAACACAAGAACAGATCGCCACAATGCTCATTTTTCGACGCGAAATCAGTCAAAGGGACTTGCCCTCAACCTAAAATCACAGATACCAAGATAGATACCACGGGGGTAGAGCCGGAGCCAGCAGCGAAAGGAGGGAGGAAGACAAAGGGCAAATCTACATCGAGAAGCGCTTCATTAGCTACCGACAATGATGAAAGCGAGATGAAATTGCCCAAGAGAGGTACGCGCACACGCTCACAGTCGAGACAACCCGAGGAGTTCCAACAGCTCGCACAGCCGAGACAGCCGCCATCGCGGAGGACAACATCAAGGACAGTGTCACAGCAGAAGAAATTGTCAACGAAACCGACACAGCTGGAAGATGTTGTAGAGAGTCCAAAGAAACCACTACCGCCAACACCAAAAGAAGACAAGAAAACTGATCCCACGACAAAATTATCACCATTCCCTGAACTGAGCAATAGTAATGGAGTTAGGTCATCGCGAAACGCGCTTAACCAGATGAACAAATCACCAAGTCGATTGAAGGAGGTTGTCAATAAAGAAACTGAGGAAACGGATGAAATCAGCGCAGATAACAGCGGACAGAACAACGACAGGACTCTTACTTTAGCGGAGTATATACGGAAGTGTGTCACAGACGAGGCTAACAAAATGCGTCAAACGGGTGAAACGCAGATTAACAAGTTTGAAAGTAACGCTAAGCGCGGTGAGGATGAATTGCGAGCAAAGTTATCGCAAGCTAGACTTTAGTTGATAATCTTTGTTTATAACTTATTATTAATGTAATTGCTGTGTTAATTCGCGGTTGTGAGGGTATACAAGAAGACAAGTGATTTTGAACGAGACGTGGAAAGGTGGATAGTGATAGCTATAGATTCCATCCATGCGATTACACTCTCACTCCATACTGTCGAGGAGATTGTACTGCTTAATTAGCGTACATTCACCTCCATTCTCGAGATCTATCGAATATGAGTAGAAGAGTCCTTGAGAAGAGACTACCATTAGTTGAGGAAGGGTTGAGGATAAACCAACGCGCGTCTCTACGCCCCTTTCTGGCAGCTTTGCGAATGCAAAGTCACGAGACGGTTCCCACATTTCTGTGACTGGAAGTGTGTTAGGAGAGAGCACATGAACAAGCCTGACCCACCTCCACGAGGCAGATGCTTAGAGATGGAACCAGCACCACTAGTCAAAGCCTTTCCAAAGCTAAGACCTTTTTGCGATATGGACCTGAAGTGGGATGAGTAAGTGGGCAGTGAGGAGTAGGAGCTATGCACATACGTTCCGAGTGAAGACCTCCTCTTGCCATCAACAAAAGCTTCATAGCCACCAAGCATTCCAGCCTGGTTCGCCAGTCTGTCGCTTGTCTCAGAGGTGATATCGTCGTTGTTGGAGGAAGCACCGTCGAAACTTCTTCCAACCTTGAATATGTGTATGGTATCAGTAGCCGAGCTGACAGCGAGCAGAGTAGAGACCTGATTGAAAGCGATAGAGTAGACTCTGGCTGGGTATGAACCGCGTCGGAATTGATAGAGCTTATCGGCGGATGGGAGACTAAAGACGCGAATGACGGTGCCCTTATCGGAAGCAGTTGCAAGCATTGAGGAGGAGCTATTGAGAGCCAGGGAAGCGACGGGAGACTTGTGTGCAGATAACAAGTTTACGGCTTGTTGTGAGAGTGTGTCGAAGATAATGACGTCGCCGTTGTTAGAGTGAGAATTAGCGTTAGGCAGTGGCGGAGGAGCAGCAGAAGAGGCGGTTTGAGTGGAAGGGGACTGTGACGGATAAACGAGATAAGAGGGGTCAGAGGAAGACGACAGCGCAACGACAGCGTCTGGGTTTGGGCAAGTTTCTGAGTTCCAGATGAGTTTCATGTTCTGGGAGTGCGATTAGAGGGATGAAAGTGGCTCATGTTTTCCACCCACAGATACATCGTACATGTATATCTCCTTTTCGAGGATTACGATTAGGCGTTTGCGATTCAGCTTGACGCCAAGGATCTTTGTGGGGTAAAATAGGTCGCAGATAATGGATTGACGCTTAGTGTTGACAATTTGTAGCTTTCTGTCAGAGTTTCTGTCCAAACCGCCTACGATTGCGATGAGCGAGGTGCAGAAGAGCATCTCAACGAGAGAGGTGGCGCCATCGTCTGCTTGAGGATTAGAAGGGTGTGTCGGGTGCATTTTACAGGCGCTGCTCACTCTTTCCGTGGATTCTGCCAAAAGGCTCGCAGTTCGCTATAGCGTATCCCTTTGTAGTCCCGACAGAGACGCAGCTGTGTTGGCGTGTTAATTTGTGTATGCATGCAAATATCTCATCTCACCTGTAATCCTGGTTTAAAGATGCAAATAGAAGCTCGTTGTTAGACTTGGGCATGATTGATAATGCTGGGTGGTTGGGTGGATTGGTCCAAGCCGTTATCGCTCAATATTCTGAGATGGTGATTGTGATGGCGTGGATTTGGATAGGATGTGGAGACGGTTATTCAAATCGCTGTCGTCGCTGTCATCTTCCCTACTGGAGATGTCCAACTGCTTGTGCGTTTGATATGAGTTTGATAAATATCTTAGAAGCCACAGCACATACACGCTTGTAATACACTCACCAGTACTCACCAGCACTTGCAAAACTCATTTCCATTTTCAGTTGTGCCCCTAGACACTCCCCCCTATAAAACACTGCGCGCTTCTTGTTCTCAAACCACCACGTGCTTCTTCTTGGTTTTCAGTGGTGAAGTAAGCTAGCAGTAAGAGCAACAGCAGCTTCACCACTGAAGCACTTGTTACTGTGAGTTGCCCTTCCCAGTAAGAGGATTTGTGCCGCAGATGATGAAATTTTCAACATATTTGGAGCGAGCTGCGGCTAAGAGCTACCAAGTCAACCATCTTTCGGGGCAATATGCGCACATTTCCCTTCAACATTTAACATCATTTTCTAACAAATCTTCAGAATGCATGTGTTACTACAATTACACTCACATCGGCGTGCATATGTCTGCCCAGCTATCCTGATACTTAGTTGGATTCCTGGTCCTGTTTTTTTGCGCCAAAAGAAAACTTTTCCCAACGTTTGACCTTGAGTGGATGCTCGTGAAACTCAGGGATAGGTTAAAGGGATAAATGCATTTGTATAAATTGATAGAATGAAATTTTTAGCTTAGTTTAGATATCTAGTTTTGTCTGCTTGTCTTCTCTGCCAGTGCATGCTAAAACGTCTGCAAATGACATTAACAGATTCATTTAAAAACCTTAGCTTGTCCAAGCAGGCGGATTCAACAGCCACTAAGACTCTTCTATTCAAGTCAAAGAAGTCTCCCGTCCCTGTCCTCGTCCTTGCAGACGCAAATGCACCAACTTCAGCCAGCGACATTGGAAAGAAGATTAATTTGAAGGATTTGAGAGCAGCAGATGATTCCTTGTGGAATTCTGTTTTAAAATCAACTAAAAACGATGGTTAGTCGTCGATCCATGCTTTCTCCTTGTCTTCTCGCTAACGGTGCAACGACACACACAGCATCACCATTCAGCTTGGATTCTGACTGCCACATCGTACTTGATCAGTCACTCTCACAACTCTCTACTCCTATCCAAGTCAAGGGGCTAGACGGTCAATTCACTTCGATCGATGCAAACACCTTAACAGACATTTTGCAGTCGAATGCCTCAAAATTCGATAAGCTCGATTTCACAGCATCTCCAACAGCATCAGCACCTTCTGCAGCACCTTCCCCAGCTGCTCCTACCTCCCAACAACGCAAGCAGGCAGGCAAGATCGAGGGAGCAGCTGAAGTTGCAATCGGTATTCGCAAAGATGTTGATTTCCCCAACTGGTACACTCAAGTTTTACTCAAGGGTGACATGTTAGATTACTACGATGTATCCGGCTGCTACATTCTCAAACCGTGGTCTTTCAAAATCTGGGAATCTATCCAGAAATTCTTCGATGGTGAAATCCAGAAGATTGGCGTGGAGAACTGCTACTTCCCACTCTTCGTATCATCACGCGTACTCAACCGTGAAAAGGATCACATTGAAGGTTTCGCACCTGAGGTAGCCTGGGTGACGAAAGCAGGTGAATCCGATCTAGACGAGCCAATAGCCATCAGACCAACTTCTGAGACTGTCATGTATCCATACTACGCCAAGTGGATCAGATCGCACAGAGATCTTCCACTGCGACTTAACCAATGGAACAGTGTCGTTAGATGGGAATTCAAAAATCCACAGCCATTCCTTCGCACGCGTGAGTTCTTATGGCAAGAAGGACACACGGCGCATATAGACCACGACAGCGCATCGCAAGAGGTTGACTACATCCTCGACTGCTACAGACGTATCTATGAGGAACTTCTCGCTGTGCCTGTCATTCCCGGTGTCAAGTCGGAGAATGAGAAATTCGCTGGAGGTTTCTACACAAAGTCTGTCGAAGGATACATCCCAACGACGGGTAGAGGTATTCAGGGTGGAACATCGCATGGCCTTGGACAAAACTTCTCCAAAATGTTCGATATTACCGTTGAAGACCCAGAGGTTGCAAGGAAGGCTAGAGCAGAAGGTCGTCAACTGAAAGAAGGCGAGGGCAAGAAATATGTGTGGCAGAATTCGTGGGGATTGTCTACTCGCACTATCGGTGTGATGGTCATGATACACGGTGACGATCAGGGTCTAGTCCTTCCACCACCTGTCGCATCGGTTCAGGTCGTTGTCGTCCCATGCGGTATCACGGCTAAGACCACTGCTGAAGATGCAGACGCTATCGAGAAAGGCGCCCAGAGCATCGCTGATAGACTGATTAAAGTTGGTGTACGCGCAAAGGCCGATCTCAGAGAAGGGTACACGCCGGGATGGAAATTCAACGACTGGGAGATGAGAGGTGTGCCAATTAGAATTGAGTTCGGCCCTATGGACATGAAGAAGGAGCAGGCTTTGTGTGTGCGCAGAGCTGTAAACCCTAACCAGGACAAGGACCCATTGCCATTATCACAATTGGAGGACGGTATTCCAAAGATGCTCGACAGGATCTACAAGATGATGTTCGAGTCCGCCAAGGCATCATTTAATGACTCGCTCGAAGTGGTCATGGAGGACTTTGACAGAATCGTTAAGGCTATGAACGAAAAGAAGATACTGGCTATTCCGTGGTGCGAGGAGGTAGAGTGTGAAAAGGATATCAAGGAGCGTACGGAGAAGGCATCAGATGGGGAGAAGGATGAGAAGCAGCCTTCGCAAGGCGCCAAGTCTCTTTGTATTCCCAATGACCAGGACCGTTTCGGTAAAATTGAACACGGTAAGACTCTCTGTGTGGCATGCAAGAAGCCAGCCAAGAGATTTGCATTGTTTGGTAGATCGTATTAGAGGGAGGCGTTTGTTACAGCTTAAGTTTGTTGATATATATTTGATAAAATTGGGTATTTGGGTACATGATAGAGTGAAATTACGAAATCCAAGAGTGAAAGTCGTTCGAAATGTGGTTGTGTGTGTACGTATACATATCTGTCCATCTGTCCATCCGTCTGACAATCTCAGGTCAGAAAACCACCTCGAGCTGACGCTGGTGTTCCACTTTGGCCATTATCGAAAGGATTAAAGCGAAGAGTACTTTATCTCTATCTGAGGTGTTTTCTGCAGAGTAGAGGCGGATAATTCCCAATTTCTTCCTCGACCAATGCGAGTAAGTGAACGTCGCCAGTACGTGATTATTGTGAGAGTTTACGATCTGAAGGAAGCCTCGTACGACACGCAGGATTGCACAATGTACACCCTCACAACTAACGAAGTTCCGCTGTGTCTTCCACCACCTCAACTTGGATAGGGAGTAGGCTCTATCGTGGATGATGAGCTTCACATCGCTATCGCGCCAAGCGAGCATCTTTGGCATTGAGCTACGAGCGAATAATTTTGACTGCCTATCAGTGAAGCTTATGCAACAGTCGTCGTCGTCGCACTCGGGACTCTTTTCAGCTATGTACAGTGGCTCTGTTGCGTCCTTGGTCGATGCTCCCTCATACAACATCCAGCCATTGCTTGTCGATTGGACGTTCATCTTGGCGACATTCTCCATGTCTTTGATGACCATGAAGTGACTACGATAAGTCGACGGTGGACGAAGAAAGTCGATTTTAATGGATTCTTGCAATTGTTACCTTTCTTATTTCTTACATATACTGGGGATTTAAAACCTGGAGATAATTATGTTTTCTTTGGTCTGCGTGTATGTCTGCTTATTGAACTGCTGGCTGTTTCTGGGCTATTTGCATAATTCGGAATTGGTGTGTGGATGAAAGTTATAATACAGTGTTATTCCAATACACACACGCATATCGCTTATTTCGGCATCATCGGCAGTGTTCTAATGTCATATTTCCCAACGATTAATGCAAAGCGATATGGATGAAGCGAGCTGAGATTTTACAGAATTTGACTGACAAAGAACCTCCAGCTAAAGAGCTCAGAAATCCATCCCAAAGTACCACGAAAGACACGCTCTCGAGACGTTGAAGCCAACGAGAGACGCTAAGTAGAGTACGATAATGACTGAGGCGAGAAAAAGAATAAGCTCGCTGTTGTTCACACTCGGCAAGGCAGCGTAGCCGAGGTACGTAACGTGTACGTAGTGCAATAACGCGACGACATACAGCGTGTTTCCGAACAAGGTACAGATCCACTCATCCTTCACTAGCAGCGGGTAGAGAAAAAGCTGGATGAGGTATATGATGAGGACAATGACGAAATAGCCATTGGTGTGGACATCGACCGCGTACCTGAATTCTATGGACTGGGAATTGGTAGTGGTATAGGTGGGCGTTTGGGTCAAGAACTTGTTAGCGAAGAGCCTGTATTGTAAAGTTTTATAAGTTGAGTGCTGCGCATGCTCAAAACAACCAAGACATACCAGAAACACGTGGATATAAGCCCACCAATGAGCACATAGTCGACTAGTAGCATCCTGAACAACAGCTTCAACAACCCTCGCCAGCCCAAATGCAGGGAAAGGGACCAGCCAAGACCGCTGACTGCGAGTGTAGCAGCTATGATGACAGCTATTGTTGGATCGTCTCTCGCCCATCTGTTCTTAGTCTCTGAGGGGAGTGGTGAGTAGGTGCACCACAATCAGCAGCCACTCACGCTTATGATAGTATAGCTGGCGGTAAAACCTCCTCGGGGATATCGTCAAATAGAAGAGCTGGAGGAGGGCTAGATCAAAGTTGAATTTATAGCTCAAACTGCGTATAATATTTCTCCGCCTGTATTTAGAGCTGGAACCAGCGCTCGAAGAATTTATAGGTCGTGGGAGCATTTGCAATCTTCTCCTCTTCGGGTGATTGTTGTTCGCAACGACGCAAGACGATTAAAATGCAGGATCAGGAGGTTATAGACTGGGGAGAGGATATAGAGGATGATGGCGATGTAATTTCGTTGGGTGGCTCTGATACTGAGGTGTTGGGAGGAGTGGGAGAATCAATAGGAGAATCAGCGGTAACTCTACCACCAACAGACACTCCCAAGAACAAGAAGGACACCACCACCACCACTGATCACAATATGCTCTCCTTCGACGGCCCACGTTTGGATATGGGCTGGATCCTGCGCATTTCGAGCGTCGGCGAGCCTTATTTCTACAACACACTTAATCACACTTCTGTATGGCGGTGTCCTGGGTACACGCAGCCGGCAGTGGGAGCGGGAGTGGCAGCATCAGCAGCGGGAGAGAGTGGGGAGAAGAGGAGAAGATTGTCGCATACATCGGTATCAGCGGTGACACCGAAAGCAGCCACACCGAACGCAGCCACACCGAAATCAACACCAACACGCCCAGCACAACGTTAGTTCTATAATCTACCCCTCGAATTATCATTCATGATACAATCTGCAGGCGATACGAGCAGTAGTGATAGAGAGCCAGTTAATGGGAAAGCTAGAGAAGAAGCTATAGAGCAAATTGGAGAGTCGACCAAGGAAAATCCCAGAGAGCAAGCAGGAGAAGAAGGCAGAGAACGCGACAAACGCGACAAAGAACGTGACGAGCGGGATATTAGGCAGTTAGAAAGAGTAAAGCAGATAGAGCGAATGGAGAGATCAGATGCGGAAAAGCAACAACATTCGCAACACAATCGACAGAGAAGTACTGGAGAAAAGCAGCATTACTCGCAGTACCCTCATTACAATCGACAGCCACCGCGTCAGCCGCGAAACAGCTATCAAACCCATCAAAGCCACCAATATTATTCAGGCAGAGGAGGGAGAAATGCAAGACAGAATAGTTCTGCAAGATTACCGGATCGGCCGGCAGTAACATATGCACCTGCACGCGGTGACAGAGGCTACAGGTAATACATATAGTGCAGACAGAGATACAGATATGAATAAAGAAATACCTCGAATTGGAATGTAAATGAATAAAAATGTAAAAATATTCAAATTATTCAAATAGAATTATCTCTGGAATGCACTCAGACTAATTTCATCACGCTTGAGCTGCGTATTAGGCAGGATCCTCGACGACGACGACGAGAAACCAAAAAAGAGATGACAACGGCGACAGCGACGACGGTGGTGAATAATGAAAACAGAATGTTCAACCAGCCCACAATAAAGCATGTGAGTGGGGGTGTGTTAGGTGGTGAATGACACATTTACGATACCAAAACAGAAGAAATCAAAGCAGTTTTTGACGCCATTTAACGATAGCAGCAACCTCAATATGAATAAAGGTGGTGGACACAAAGGCCTTAGACACTACGCGTCGACATCGTTCATCAACCAGCAGCCACCACCACCGCCACCACCAATCACACCCCAGCAGCCACAAGCGTCTCCTACGTATGCCTACTTCCCACTGCCCAACCACCCACTTGATCCGTATGCATTTGAGCATAACTACAACAACAGCAGCTACTTCCACGGATCACCATCACCTACAACGACAACTTTTGCTGATTTTACAAGATTTCTTCCACCACCACCACCACCACCACAGCAGCCACCAAACAATTATCTTGTGCCATCATCGCCAAATGTATATCCTGTCAGACAGCCAGGGCTGCAGCACAAGCATAGCATGCCCACGCTAGGCTCGCAACAGGCACCTCTATACGAGAATTACCTGTATGCACATGCGCACTCGCCCCAGCAGCCACCAACACGGCAAATACCCCAACTACACCAACACCCACATCAACACCAATACCAGCCACCGCAGACGCGCATGAGGAGCATGAGGTCAAATCAGCACTTGTCGACAAACAGGTCGGCAGTGCTTGAGGATTTCCGCGTCAATGGCAAGCATACGAAGCCGGAGCTGCATGTGAGTGTGAAACAGGAGACATAGGGGATGTCTTGAACATGTCTCATTAATCTAAAACACAAATACTAACATTAACTCATACAGAACATTTTCGGTTACGTGACGGAATTCGCCACCGACCAACTCGGATCACGTTTCATACAGCAGAAGCTCGATAATGCGCCATCAGAGTCATTCCTGCGGGTATTTGAGGAAATATTCCCAAACGCGGTCGAGCTATCATCTGACGTGTTTGGGAATTATGTAATACAGAAGTTATTCGAGCACGGTAGTGCAGCTCAGCGACGCCGTCTCGTTGCGCAGATCGCTGAGCACATTCCCACGCTAAGTTTCCAGATGTACGGATGTCGCGTAGTTCAGAAGGCTGTAGAGTGCGTAGGAGAGGCGGAGCAGATGGAGATAGTGGGTCGGATGGAACAAATGACAGAGCGCGCGGTGCAGGACCAGAATGCCAATCACGTCATACAGCGCATCATAGAGCAAGTTGATCCTGATCGCCTCCTCAGCCTCCCCGTCGCTTTTGCGGAGAATGCTAAAGAACTCGCTTCGCATCCTTACGGGTGTCGCGTCCTGCAGAGATCTTTCGAACATATTGGTCAGGCGAGAAGCAGGTGTCTAATCGAGGCACTGCATGAACACGTTGATAACCTGGTAGTGGACATGTTTGGCAATTACGTCATACAGTATTTACTCGAATTCGGTGACGATTCGGATAGGAGTAGGATTATCGTCAAGATTAATCACCGCTTTTTTGAACTCGCTAGACATAAATTCGCCTCTAATGTTTGCGAGAAGGCGTTAATTAGAGCGGGTGAGAATGATAGGGAGATGCTTATTCATAGACTGGTCGATAGATCTGATGGTGGGGCTAGTTTGGATGGCATACCTGCTCTAATGAAGGATCAGTATGGCAGTGAGTTTAAGTATTCCTCCTAGTCCATTTCTTACACACGCATTCGTCAGATTATGTCCTTCAGCGCGCTATTAGCGTCGTTGGGTCAGCACAAGCAGGCCAGCTAATCGAGACTATCAACGAGGAACTCGAACATATACGCAAAAGTAACCAGATTCACAACATGTCGTCGGCTACGGCTAAACATGTGCTGGCTATAGAGAGGCTACTGAGCCAGCATTTGGGTGTGTAGAGGTGACGTAGCCAAGAGGGGAGAATGGAGAAGAAAAGAAAAGAACAGAAGAAAAGAAGAAAAGAAAAGAAAAGAGGTGATATTTATAATATATTTCCCGTTAATCAGAGAAAGAAAACGACAAAGAAAAGACATAGGCAGCTATTATAGCACAACTAATAATATATCCTAATTTATAACAACGCTCATACATATTTATTATTCTGCACACATTCACTTGGTCCCCGCACACCACGATATGCCATCAGTGCGAATAACAAATCAAACGGCACACAAGCTGAACATATGTTTGAAGCACGTAGCAGCGCTGCATTTTGAAAACAGTGTTGAAGGCGGGAGCACGATCAAGCTACGACCGGGCAAGGTTTGTGATAAGCCTGTGTGGGCACGACGACGACGGCTCATATTAGCATAATGTGCAGGTATGGTTCACGCTCGAGGTGAAGATGGACACAGGGAAGAGTTCGCAGTACAGCGCGACGAAATCGGCCATGACGATCGGGATAATAAGCGTGGGTGGAGAATGGAGAGGAGTGGCGTTAAAGGAGCACAAGCTAACGACACACAATGCAGCTGGCTAGTATCGCTACAGTCGTTGGATATGGCGCCCCAGCGGCTATTGCTGCTAGTGGAGCAGCTGCTGGCACTGCTGCCGGTGGCACTGCTGCTGGAACGAGCGCATCAGCTGGTGCTGTCAAGTTCTTCACGTCACAGAGCGGTAACATTGCCAAGCTTTCGAGCTTCTTGGTGGGGAAGAGCGCGAAGAAAGTGTCGGAAGAGTATGGCGGGATGAGCGCTGTGCAGGAGGAGGTGCTGTCGATCGTCAAGAGCCCGGATGTGGACAGCATGACTCGCTCAGAGGCACTCAAGAGCCTCGCCCAGGTTGGTAAAGCGTACAAATCGGATAGGAAGAACAAGAAGGAAATGAGCGAGGAGGAGCAGTTGCAGGAAATGGAGAAGAGGCTGACAGAGGAGGTTAATGAGGCGAGGAAAAGTCGAGGAGAAGCACAGATTGTTGAGAATACACAAGACACACAGCCTGAAGATATGGTCAGCAAGGACAATAGGAAGAGCGTCGTGCGTGTGCATGGCTTATACGTGAAGGAGAGAATGGAATTGGAGGTCTTTGTTAGGGACGGGAAGCTGACTATCAAGGACAAGCTGAGTGAGAAGGTGTACTAGTTGTCGCCGCTAGTGCTAGCATAACGATCCCTGAATTTGTATTAGAAACGACGTAATGAGATATAAATACCCACTCTAGGTCTTGTTGGCCGCCAAAGCCAGCTTCGTAGGGGAGTTGCTGTCTGTCTGTAGTGTCTGTAGTGTCTGTGGTGTCTGTGGTTTCTGCGTTGTTTGTGTTGTCTGTGTTGTCTGTGGTGTCTACGCTGTGTTGTGATGTGATATCAGTTGAGTGGCTTGTATTGCTGCTATCACTACTGCTATCACTATTACTATCACTAATACTCCCACTGCTAGCACTCATTACCAAATTTGGAAGTTGTTGGATATTTTGAGCTGTGGAATTGAAAGACAACGAGGTTAAACCGAAACCGCGTAAAACTGAAACCGCGATTTAAAATAATTGGCTGGACCAAATTAAGCATGAACACAATACAAGGATCAACACAGATGGATAATGGCGGTACACAACGCATTAGCCAGGGTACACAGGTTACACAGGGAATTCAACCTACTCAATCCACACAATCACGCGCAGATGCTACAGCATCACTTCCAACGATAGCAACGGTAATGTCTGGCACAAGTGTTTCACCAGCCAAACAACCTAAGCCATTCCTACGCGGTAGGGGATTCGTCAAGACGAACGAGACGCGTCGTAGAACTACGCCGACACTTGATGAAATCAGACTGAGACTGCTTCAAAAGCATGGCAGCGATATTGGTACACCTTCAAGACACGTCAGTGAAGGTAAGACGATGATTGCGACGCTGGGCAGGAGAGGTGGGGGTGTGAGAGCAGCAACGACAGCCGAGTCAACGCCACCACCAAGAAGAACAGACATTCCATCTATTTCCATCACGGCAGTATAGTATTACTATGTGGCTATCTGTTTATCTGGTTATCTGGTAATTCGAGGAGCTGGCTCTCTCTCAGGATGACAAACAGCGATAAATTATTCTATTCCTTCTTGTAATAGTTCATAGCGATAAAAACACACTCTTTCCAAATTTATTTGACACGCTTCCACTTGCACCAAACACGCGGAATTGATCGTCAAGAATGAATTTTGTTAATAGAGCGATAGAGAGCCTTGTTAGCAGTTTCTACAATGGAAGACGGGATATTGGGGGTATTGGTAGTGGCAGAGGTGGTAGTACTGCAAGTACTGGTAGCACTGGTAGCCCTGGTAGTAGGCCGAGTGACAACAGTATCAGGAGTGTTAGTGTGGCTGCCAGCTCCATCCCCCCAAGACAGAGCAGACGGAGCAGCGTATCCCACTCCAACACCAAAGACATAGTTGAAATCAGCAGCAGTAGTGAGGTCAGTGAGGTTGATAGTGAAAGCGGGGGTGATAGCAGGATTTATATCGATAGCGATAGTGATACAGAAGACCTGAGCAGTGGGAGCAGCCGCAATAGCGATAGCGATAGCAACAGCGATAAGGAATCGCCCAGACACACTCACAGACGCAAAATAATCGTAATACCTAGCGACAGTGAAGCGAATAGTGATAGTGATGGTGCTAACAGTGCTACCACTTCCAGCGACTTGGAAGATGCGAATGAGTCAAGTAATCACGCACAAACACACACACACACACTACCACCCCCATCCCCACTGAAAAGCATCAGAAATGTTCCTCTCGGTAGACGCACTCCGGCGCCATCGAGGATGTTTGGGCTCGATGGAGATGAGGCAACATATACGAATCACGAGAATCACACACAGACAGCGTACAAAGAGAGTGAAAGAGAGGCGCGAGAGAAATACCTCACGCTGGCTAGACTCTCGATGCAGCCTGAACCTAGGCGTTTCGCGGAGAGGAAGCGGATGTATGAGGAGGTGGAGCAGATTGAAAAGACGGAAATTCCATCCACACTTGCCCCACCCGCACCACGCAAGCAAATCCTCGAATCACTCGCAGCTCAGCGCGCTAGTAAGCAGAAAAAGAGGAGGTTGGGGAGTGAGTTGAAGGGGTTGAGTGAGCACAAGGAGCAGAAGCAACTCACGCAGCCCACGCAACCCACGCAATTGCAAACAATTCAGGACTTGCGTCAGGATTTACTAGCCAAGTTTAAAGACAGACTGACGAAAACAAGACAATCAACACTATCAACACAAGCTCAGCGTAGGACATTTAATGAACACGTTTTTATACTTGAAAGAATACCCAATACCAAGCCTAGCTTGCGATACCCATTCAACGCTGACAAATTGTGGATACACTTTGCTCGACTCAATTATCAATTGAGATGGTCGAATAGGAGGGCGAAAAAGGCAGACAAGGCAAGCAACCCAGGCAAACCTCAGAAAACACTCCCACCTGTATTGAAAAGAAATCTAAATAAATAAATAATTACACTACTCCTCGCCTGCTCCTGCTTCCATCTTCCTCTTCTTGTCACGTTTGCGCTGTTTTCTGTCATCCATTTCTTTTTGCTCTGGGGTGCGTTCATCAGGAGCGACGAGATCATTTCCTCTTTCAGCCTTTCTCTTTTTACTGTTCTCCTCTTGAGAGTGCTTACGTTCATCCTTCTCCTTCCTCTTTTTCTCGTAGGGTTTGAGGAAGTACTCACCCGATTCAATCTGCAAGTCGATCTTACGAGGTTGTTGAGGTGGCGGGAAGGGTGTGTAGACCTTCTGCTTATCAGCGTTAATGTGCTCCTTCTGACGGAGCTTATCATCATCCTCGTGGCGGAGAGTGTCAGCATCGACACCTCTAGCCTCAGCTCTGTGGTCAATTCTGCGATTCTTAGCAGCTGTCTTCTCGCTGGTTTTCTGATTCCTCTTTTTGAATTGAGGGAGGAACCTACTCCAATTCTCTTCTACAAGGTTGGGATCTTGTGCAAGCTGTCTCTTGATCATAAGCTCTTTGATGTGGTAGATAGGGTGAATATTGTGCATGCAGTCAATGATAATTCTGCGAACATTTTTCAATCCACGGTAGGGACCCATTGCAGAGACGGTATTACCCTGTACGAGTACATAGCACTCAGTGAGCAGCTCAACAGCCTTTAAAGTGTTGCCATTAGGACCAATAATACGTTGACGCCGTTTGACGAAGCGGTCTTTATTGCGAACCATGCCGCCAATCTTGATGATATCAGCCGCGTACTCATCCTCTAGAATGCGCACAGCCTGGTTGAAAGGAACAGAACGTGAGAGGAGCTTAATCAAGTCACGCGCTTTGAGAATCATGTATGGATCGTAGGTTTTGCGCGTCGTTTTGACAGTCATGCTACCTTCAACCATATCCAATACACAGCCAATTTTGTGCTTTTCTAGTGCACGCGTTACATGCGGCCACACTTCACGTAGATATTTCTCGCGGTATTTGGGGAAGAGAGTAGCGAAAGAACTCTCCTCTGCGAAAGAACCAGCTTTGTTGTCGTCGGGAGTGAAGGCATCAACTTTCCAATGCTCGATACCATCATGATCCCAGTCTTTTGGTTTTCTATAGCGCTTGTTTTTGTTTATAGTGGGCTGTGAGTCGTGTGTGTCGGCCATTGGTGGTAGTGGGGAATCAAGGAGATAGTGCTGTAAATTAGAATATAAAATATAAAATAATAAAATAACAGAGTAGACAATTAGATTAACCATTCCATTCTCATTCCTCAGTAACTGTCAACGCCCATCCATCACAAAACCTCCATTTCTTCAACGCCCATGAGTAGATGAAAGATAATATTCTCGATAAGACGAGTGGGGACGGGAGTGGTAGTGCTGAGCAAAGTACAAGGCGTATTCCCAGAACCAGGAGTAGCACGAGTACAGCGGAGTGCACGGGTACATCCACGAGCACAAGCACAGCAACAAGCACGAGCGCAAGCACAGCCACAACGAGCATGAGGACAACTTCAGCCATAGCTCCAACCTCAAACACACCAATCCCGACACCGACAAACACAAAATCGACTCACACTGTTTGTTACTGCGAGCACTGCGATAAATCGTACACAGGCAGACACGCACGTTCTATCCTCAGAAGACATTACCAAGAGAAACACGGGATTCCATTGACTGCTCAACCACGACGCACACGTTGGGATAACAGCCACGATCGGCCTAAGGATGACGACGATAGGCGTAGGCGTATGCTTGAGAGCAAGCGGAGGTGGGCGGCAAATAAGCGGCAAAGGAGTCGAACACTTAATGAAGGTGGTGACAGTAACATTGAAAACACGGCTGAAAACAACCGAAAGAACCCCACACCCACTCCGACTCCACCTTCTCTCACTCCAATCAAACACACGCCTTCACAATCCACCCTGCCTCCTCTCACTTACCCCACCCGCGCACCACCTTCGATACCCAGATTTGAGATATTCAGGGAAGACGGTAATGATATCACACCATTCAAGCTACCAGCAATAACACCCTACCGGCAAACAACGCGTGTACCAACAACCGAGAATATGATGTTGAGCGGCACCAACACACCTCCACCAACACTACCCGCTTTGTTTAAAGAGAAGAATCGGAATATCAGCGACACTGTCAAGACTAACAAGTTTGAATACTTGAGTTCTCCCGCTCACTCAGATCTAGCCACCAAACTCGGTCTCGCACCAACACCAAAACATATGCCTTTCAGTCCACTGAATAACCCACATACTCCACGTGCACGGTACAAGGACAACGATAATGATCAAGATCATGATAACGACTCACCCGTTAAAGTTAGATCTAAGCTACCGTCGTTGAGAGAATTGACCGGTGGTGGATGTGGTGAGAAGGCAGGCGCTATGGAGATGCAAGGTAAGTTGGTGAGGGGAAAGCAGCGTCTAGGTGAGCCTGGGCCTGAATGTGAAACGGCCGATTAGTTCGATAAGCTGGATAAGTGTAAATAGCAAACTTTCGTCCTGTTTCACGCCCCATGTCTTACTCAACCTTTTCATCGTAACACCATAACACCATAATTTTCACCATGTTTTTTTCAGTCCCACACATACCCACGTTATTATCTAGAATACATATTTACAATTTGACAATTGAGTTTGAGAATGAAAATGAGAATGAGTGAAACAGCTAGCCAGCTAGCTAGTATGTTTGTGTGTGTGTGCCTAATAGATAACTATCCTTGCTATCCATTTTATTCACCTTCTGCTTGTCCTCCCTTTGCTTATAATCGAGATTGATAGTGTAGAGGAGTGCTCTGATGACGTGCACAGCGCGAATTGTGCGATTTGTCTGATCGGAGTGCTTCCTGTGCTCCGTGTTCTCGCCGATCCCACTCGATTCTTCAGTTCGCGTCGCGTTAGCCGTTGCAGCAAGAGCGAGGGCTTCGAGACCAGTAGCGGGGGAGTGACTGGGCGGGTTTGATTTTTTGTTTGATTTTGGTTCAGGCAGTGACTGCGAATGCGGTTGCATCGCCACATCATCCCCATTTCTCCAATTACCACTGCGCGACGTGGAACTTGGTCTGGGGGTTGAAGTGGAAGTGGAAGTCGAAACGGATCTAGACCTAGACCTAGACGTAGATGTGCCACTGCCAGTAAAATCCTCATTACTCGATGTTGGTCTCGATTCAGTCTTTATACCTCCGTGTGGCGTCGGAGATAACGCACCCGCTATCTGCAATGGACTGAGTCCGGTAGATGCAGTCGGTGGACTAGGTGGCGCTGTGATGATCGGCGGAAGGGTGAGATTGGGGTTAGGGTGCATTGGTGCGTTTGTGGAGTGCGAGTGTGAAGATGTATCTGAGTTGGTCTCTATTTCCATTTCCTTTTCCTTTTCCTCCAGATTTTCGAGTTTATCTAATTTCTCCGCGTCAAATTGATTGTCATCTTGGTCCATGGGCTCATCGAGTAGACTGTGTATACTGGTTGGACTGGTTGCACTAGTTGGACTACCCACACCTTTCACACTCCTCACACTCCTCACACCCCTCACACCCCTCATATTAGCCTTGGTGAGCTGAGGCACTTTAACTTTTTTGACCTTGTTTTCTGATATACTCCCACTGCTGTTGCCATAACCATTTTCATTGCCGCTGAGAGCAATTTGGGGAGGAGAGAGTGAGAATTCAGGGAGGAAAGCAGGGTGAGAGTTGTTGGAATTGTTGGATTTGTGTTTCTTCTCGAGTTGGGGATATAAGGAGGAGTCGATAGCAGGGAAAGAGGTGGAGAGGGAGTGGGAATTAGGTTGTGGATGAGATTGATTAGTTGGATAATCATTATAATCACCAAAGTCACCCGAATAATCAGCGTAATCAGCATAATCACCCGAATAATCAATGAAACCATCACTACTTGAGTCACTCGGTGATAAACCAAAAGTAGCAAGCGTAGCTGGATCAAAAATGTCTTCTGAGGAGTGTGGGGAGGAGGAGTTTGAATTGGAGCTAAGAGTACTGACAGCTTCCCTGCCTAGTTGAACGAGTAGGCTGTTAACACCAGCTAAGTCTTCACCGCTGTTGATGTGATAATTAAGGTTAGTGATTGTTGGTGGAGCGGGTGGTACAGGTGGAGCTGCGTGTGGGACAGCAGGTGGGGGAGGTATGTTAGCGTAGTTGTACATGTGGCAGAGAGAGTCGCAAATCTTGTTGTCGAAGAGGGGGTTTTGTTGGTGTGATTGAGTGTGTGGCTGTTGTTGATTGGACTGTGATTGAGTGTGGGGCTGCTGTTGAATCACCTGCTGTTGAGCCAACTTCTTTCTCATTAAATCATCAACTAATTCATCCATTGATAGCGCTTCAATGCCTCTCTTCTGACCAGATTTCAAATCATGAAATTTTGGAGGAACGCTGTAGTTGAAGGAATTGAGTTGATTTATGTGAGAATTCCAATCAGGGTAGATGGATTGATAGGAGGGGGAATTGTTAGTGAAATCGTTTGTCGAGATAGGCGCCGGGTTAGAAGCCGAGACATTTGCCGAAATAGGTACCGAGTTGGATTGATTGCGGTGGAAGTAGTTGTACAGGTATTGAGCATCCTTTGATTTGCAATTGTTTGTGGGTTGAATGGGTTGAGTGGGTTTATTGGAGGGTAGCGTAGGGTAAATGGGTGTGTTACTAGTAGTATTACTATTACCACTAGGATCAACCACCTCGTCACCATGTGTCTTCTCATGCTTCTTCAGATCCTGTGGGCGCTTGAACTGCTTATTACACAGAGAACACTTGTGCGGTTTTAGTGGAACGTGTACTCTGATATGTGAAGTCATGTGATCTCTCTTTGTAACTTTAACAGAGCAATTGTGCCATTTGCATTCAAGTGATAAATTCCCCTGTGATTTCCTCCCTATATGGTTATTCGATAGATGTTCAAATAGACTGGAAGGATCGTGGAATTGTTCTGAACAGCCAGTCCATTCACATTGGAGTATTTCATCTGCCTGAGATATCTATTAGACTATTTATTTATTATTACACTATACTCGCCATTCTCCCTGTTGACTGTATCTCAACAAGCCAAGGTTTTTTGCCAAGATGATTATCATCTATTTGCCAAGAATGTTTGAAATTCCTAAGTAAATTTTACTCATTTGTCTATCTTATATATTTCTTTGAATTTAATTCACGACCTTCAAAACATTCCACTCTCCCACTTCCCCTGCGGCTTCTTACCACCACTGACATAGCCATCATCCGCATTAAGCGAGTTGTTGTCAATTACGTCTGTGTATTCTCCATCTCTTATCTCCATCTCTATTGCTTATCTCCATCGTTATCTCATCTTCCTTACACCCACACCACCATGTCATCTGAAGACATCTACCCGGAAAACGTGGACATGGATAGAATTTATTTATCTCTTAAATCAGGTTTATTAGCTGAAACTGACTGGGCTCTCTCTCAATTACTCGTATCCTCCAATCAAACTCATCATTTCAATGTAAATCATTTTCATGGTTTATTAGACGCGTTATTTGATTTCCCTATCGAGGCCTCTAAATGCTTATCTGATAACAATCTAGATTACAATCACAGTTCTTATCAAACGCTCAACCACCAAGCAAACGACGCTCTCACGATCATCAACAATCTATCAATCACCCACTCTAACCTCCCTATCATCCACTCTCACCACAAAACCATCCTCGCTTTATCTCAGCGTTATCTACGCTTCCTCTACTCTTCCGACACCGCCAACGAAATCACCCTGAAGCTACTCTCCATCTTGGAATCCATCGGTGACCTCCTTCAAGAGCCACCAAAGAACCCTTTACTTGGTATGATTGCAGATCTCATCCACTCCCACGACAGAGCCTACGTTCTCCTCTCTCTCCGCCTTATCGCCGTCTTCGTACGTAACAACCCCCACCTTCCGCGCGTCCACCACCAATCCCTACGCGTCTTCTCACCCGCCATCGACTCGGCTCTCCTCCCTGACGCTCACCTCCGCGCTGCTGCTTTAGAATTCATCTACGCCAGTGCATCCACATCCCCCGCCATACTCACCCACCTCCTCACCCACGCCCACCTTCCAATTCTCGTAAAATCCCTTGCTTACATGCTCTACGACGAGACTATTGAAGAAGAGCGGCGGTGCGAATTTACAGATACGACCAACGCCCCTCCTCTTGTCTCTCTCTCGGACGAAGAATGCGAGCGTATCGGTATGATGACTGAACCCAACCGAACGCGCGAGTGGTAAGTGTGGTGATAGTGTGTTTCATTTCTCTCACTCACACATACAACAGGATCAAAGCGGTATGGGCTCTAAACCCCACAAATCTTCCCTCCATCCCACAGTCCCTCCTCACTCTTTACCGCGACACACTGTCTAAATACGCCTACCACACCCCTTTGCTGGGTGATGAGGAGGTGTGTGCGCGAGTGCAGGAGCATCTTCACGCTCACCGTGACTCGCAATCACAAGAAAAATCACAATCGCCCTCTCCCTCTCCCTCCTACACTTGCTACTGGGGCGACGACCGCACCACCTTCGCTACCCCCGACGAGTTGTATGCGTATATTTCGCGCACTTACATCGATATCCCCACCCCGCCCGTCACATTCACGTGGGGAGGGGTGCTATTTGCCGTCGACTCCACCTCTTCCGTCCCGCGGGGGACGCAGCTGAAGGGAAGGGTGTTGGCATTGGTGGGTGGGGGCGGGAGTGCAAGGTCGCGCAAACAGCAGAAAGTCACAGCTGCCGACGCGCATGCCAACGCACGCCCACCAGGCGTCGCCTACACTCTCCTGCACGTGCCATGCGATGACGATGCCTTTCCCCGCGGCATCGCTTACCAGGCTGCACTCCTCCTGCGTTTGCTCGCCCAGAAGGCGAACCCACTCGCAAAGAACGTCCTCCAAACTGACGAAGCTAACAGACCAGAGTCTAAAGGCTACTATGGTCTACCTGTGCCGCCTAGCCAGGCGCAGGTACAGGAGCAGCAGCAGCAGCAGGATAGTGGCGATGATGTCCACTCAAACGCCCTAACCCACCCTCACCCTCGCGTCACCTCCCTCCTCTCCCTCTTTGCTAGAAGACCCCTCGCTGACGTCGCCATGCGCAACTCCTCCCTCCTCAGAGATGTCTGTCGAGAGGCGTTTGAGTTTATCCAGAATGACAGTATTGGTAGTTTGGTAGTGGAGAGTGTGTAAATGTCAACCTTTAATTTAGAGTTATTTATCCATCATACACGTACACATTCATATTCACTTAAATTCACTTAAATCCACCTCATATACCCACCCTTCTCCTCAGCACATCTATCGAGCACCTCCTGCACCTTGTCTGCAACGGCCTTGCTCTGCTTGTTGCTGTGAGCGGATTTGAAGAAGGCGAGTACCTCGTCGCGCGTGACGGCATTAGCGCCCGAGGCTGGATGAGAGCCGCGCACGTAACTCTCGACGGCGTGTTCGGAAGGTAGGGTGAAATCCCTAAAGGCATGCAGTGGGCGTTTCTCCGAGCGTAAATCGAGTGCATTCGCACCATGGACGCGCTGCGTACCGGCGAAATACGCGCCAAGGACGTCCGCTTTATGAGTATCTCTGAGCGAGCGCGGGGACCAGTCAGGTGGGTGGGTAGCCTTATCTACCAAGACTGCCTGCACGCCTTTCGCGAAATCTTCATTGGCGTGTAGGAACCCATCTGCGAATGTGTGTTCTTGGTGCAAGGCTTGCGCAACACTGTGCATCTTCATGCCTCGACGCACTGCCTCGAGAGCGACACGAAGCGATGTAGGCGGGCGTTGGCGGAGTGTGTGTAGTGTAGAGGTTGCCCACACACTTACGCCCTTATTTCCACCCTCCGCCTGGTGTTGCAGCACTTGCACGATATCCTCCACAGAGGCCTGTCCGAAAGCGTCGTCAATTGCGCGGCGGTGTGCTCCTCGCCATTCTTCGCTTAAGCGGGGAAGAGGGTGCGTGGTGTACTCCTCCACCGCCCCACTCACAGCCGCCGCGGTGACGGGTGTCGGGAGATCGCTGAGGCGTGCGAGCAGAGCAGGAAAAAGGGAAGGCGAGACGTGGTGCGTGGATAGACCAAGGTGGTAAGCGTCGCTCCCCGACACACCCGCACCTGTCAGACTGAGGTATGTCCCCAGCTGACCATCCAGCCGCGAAAGGTAGTACGATGCACCGACGTCGGGCGCATAGCCCAGCCTCGTCTCAGGGAAAGACAAGTAGGTGTTGTCTGTAGATATACGTACCGGTGCAGGTAGCGCTATTCCTGCCCCGCCCCCCATCGTATAACCATCCATTAGCGCTATGTACGGCTTCGTTAGCACCGATAGCTCGTGGTCGAGTTCGAACTCCTCCTTGAGAATCTGGAGCGCTTCGGCTTTGTTCGCGTTGAGCGCTATGGCTTGGAGTGGAGTGAGCGGTGGATGGTCCACTTGTGACACACTCACACTTGACGTCACCGCCAGCACAGTACGCCTTGCCGACGCCTGAAGAGACTATAACGCCTGTGGATGGATTAGCATCCCATTCCTACCATCATTTAGCCACTTTCTCCGCCAGTAATCCCACTAACCCCTATACGCCTCCTAATAAGCTTCATCATATCCCTGTTGAGCGCATTGAGCGCTCTGGGGCGATTCAAAGTAAACGTCTTGAGACCAACGCCCTCTGTAAAGGTCACTGGGGACTGAGGCTGCTAAGTCTAATTTGATCATGACGCACTCTCACCCACCTCCTTGACGCTATCGTTGATAAGAGATTTAGTGGAAACTGGCGATGTTCTACTCGTCGACAGCTGCCTGGACAGCATCTTTAGTCTGTTGCTCGCTGTCGCAATCGATATTGTCATCGTTGTCGTGGTCCTAAAGAATTAAATTTATATACAAAGTCAAACATTAAAGATTCATCATTATAAGCTCATCTATCTAAATGCGTTGAATGGGTTTCCTGTTGAGCCTCTAAGTATCTGCTCAGGCACTGGTGGCGATCCATGTCCTAACACCGCTGCTTGTGCTTGGGCTTGCGCATGTGCTTGTAGTTGTAGATTCATTAGACTCGCAGGTGGCGTCATTCCACCATAAATGGGCTGCATTGGTTGCAATTGTGGTGAAAATGTCGTTGTTGGTGGTGTTCCACCTGTACTCCCACTCCCACTGCCACCTGTTGTCCCCGGTAGCGGTTGCATTATATTTAGCTTGTTCATAGGCATATTGATCTCATCCAATAACCTCCTGTATGCGGCTGGGTTTGTTATTTTTACATTTCCATTCGTTAGTACTCGTTTGATTGCTTCCATATACTCCTGTCTCTTATACTCGTCAATCGTCTGTGATACTATCAATTTAGTTATTACTGATACTCCCTGCGCTGGATCCATCAACGCGTCAAACAAAACTCCATCACTTGGACTTTCAAAGATTGCTTCTAATAAACTATTCGTTGCTTCTCTATCTAGCTTTTGATTTACCAACCTTAACACTGTCAATGATGCCAATTTGTGCGTAATCAGGTGCGCTGCATGTGGTGTAAATCTAGGTGCAAGTAACCCATATCTACCTGGTAAATTTGAAGTGTCCAGCAACCAAGTCAACAGTAACGCCCCATTTGGATTTGTTGCTAGTGGAATCGAATTTAGTATTATTGATATTGCTAAGCGTTTCTGTTGACGTAATGTGATATGCGAGCTCTCTAATATCGCCCTCATAGAACGAGCTCCAAAGCGTCCTTGTGCTATATCCCATATTCTATCACACATTGCATCAAAAATAAAGTCATTTGCTGGTGGTCCAAATCTAAGACAGCACTGAACTACGTAATTTCCAAACTGGTCCAACAACAAAGGTGGTGCGTATGGTCTAATGTGCTGTACTATCAAATTGATCTCCTCAGCAGTTGAAGCACAATCAATTATCTTTTGAGCTGCCCATGTTCCATTCTATAAGATGTCAATAAATAAAGTACCAACAAGCCATCAAACTCACCTTGTGACATCCAATCATAGCTAAGTGAGGTGCAAGATCATTCAGCATACACATTTTGGCTTGAAGTGTACAAACTTCAAATAATTTCTGAATGATCGTGTTACCAATGTAGTCACTAGCAAGATCGACTATGTTATCAATAAGTCCACCTTCAGACATTGGTCTTGTAGCCAAAATTTCTGGATCTTCAGAAAATGGGAATTGACCATTCTCGTCATCGTAATACTCGTCATTCATTTCATCGGCACTGCTTCTTCTCTTATCGGAATTACTTCCGTCTTGATTTTCAAGCCTCTTTCTCAATTCGCGCAACTTGGATGAATCAAATTTGCGGATTGGCTGGTTATCAATACCATTAACAGCTGGTAGTATTGGTGGTATAGAAGTGTAATAAGTAGCTGCTGGTCTAAGATCTGAGACTGATCTAATGTCGTCTTGATTTCCACCGCTGAGGATTGACATGATCATCTGCTGATCATTTACACTAGGTCTTTCATCTGGATCGACCTTTTCTAATTTCGGTGAGAGAGAGTTGACGACGCTCTCCTTTGTACCATTCTGAAGTAAATTCATCATAAGATTTGATCTGTAGTTTTCCGTCTGTCCAGAAGCTATTTGTTGTTCAACAGGTATGTCAGAAACGCCTTGAACACCGATCAATGAATTAGCGAGAGCCTGTGGGTGACCACCATTTGGAGCTGAGGCGGATGATGGGAATATGATTGTATTTGCACTATCATCAATTCCAGTCGACTTAACAGGCACTTTAGCAAAGCCGACTCTGACAGCACCAATCTCAGGACCGAGAAGTTCGCGGCCATTGAGTGACTTCCTCGCGCGAACAGCATCGTCGAGTCTTTCGTAGTTAACGAACCCGCAATTTTTGTGAGTGAGAACGCGTGCTGATTCGATTGGTCCAAATGGCCCAAACAGTGCAAGTAATGTGGCTGGAGTTGTGGTGCTTGGGATGGAGCCTAGCCAGAGTGCACGCGTTGGTTGCTCTGTTGTACCGTCGAAATTGATCTGATTTGGTACACTGTTTGGAACTGAGAGGGTGGAATTGTTGGTTGAGTTCAAAAGCGAGGAGGTTGAAGGAGGATTTTGAGGTGAGTCAATCTTACCAAAACCTATTCTAACAGGTGTTGAGGAGTTTGCACCGCCATTGGTTGTAGAGATGGGTATTCTACCGGCTAATCTGTGCATTACATCATCTCTAGCTCTGAGAGCATCTGATTTTTCTACGAAATTAACGAAACCACATTCCTATGTAACAAGTTCTAGTAGGGGTTTTATAAAACACAACAAACTCACCTTATCCGTTAACAAGCGTAAACTTTCAATTGCACCGTAAGGTGCAAAGACGTGCATGAGCTCTTGGGCGGTGGTGCGTGGATCTAAACCACCAATCCAGAGAGATCTGGTTGGAACTTGCTGAGTGTGAACCTGATTGAGGGAACTATAGGGGTCATCGAGGTGAGACATTTCCAAGTCATAAGAGTTGAAGGATTGTTGGAGTGGATGTGGATGAGAAGAGTCAGGGAAAGGCACACCAGATCTTGCAGGAGCTCTGATGACGTCAGGTTCATCGAGAATGCCCATAGAGATAGCGCGTGGGCGTGAAGATTGAGTGGAGTTGGAGTTGTAAGAGGGGTTGTTGAAGCTATTAAAGAGAGGATCTTGAGGATCTTTCAAGAAAGATTGGTAATCGTTAAGATTGGAGTTATTAACCAAAGAAGCAGAATCTGGGTGTAAATGATCGTTAGGAGGTTGACATGAAGGTGATGAGGTGGATGAAGATGTTTTGAAAGGATCAGCAGCTTTTGAAGTGGAGAGAGTGTACGCTCTTGATCTTGTTGGTGAATTTAGAGAGATATGAGAAGGCTTTGGTATCGATAAAGAAGGATTTGAATGATTTGTATGTGGGGAGGATGGAGTTGAAGGAGGGTCATCAAGGCCGAGGTAATCAAGGGTACGCAGACAAGCGTCTTCAGAGGGCAAGTCAGAAGACTTGAGCTCATCACCGATGGCGCCAATTTGTGAATTTGACCTCGAGTAGAAGAATCTGCTACCGAAAGGATCAGCGAGTCTTTGAACCGAGGGGGAAGAAGGGGGTAGGGTAAGTGAGCCAGATCTAAGCCTTGGAGACTTTTCAAAGTTTAAAGCAGAAGAATGAGAGTGCCTTAAACCAGGTTTCTGTGGATTGGAAGCGTAGTCAAGTGATTCAATCGCTGCGGGAGAAAGACCAGCTTTTGAAAGATTTAAAGGGGGAGGTTGGTTGAATTGAGTGGGATAATTAGGAATACTGGATAGATTTGAAGGCAGAGTACCAGCTCTAGCTCGTCTTACGGGTGGTGTGTTGGCAGGGGAAGGTTTGTTGGGAATAGCAGCGACACCTTCATCATGCTGAATCTGCAACGCCCGCTTTGAAAGATATTGTAGATTTTGATTGGAATTTGAGTTTGAGTTGCTCGATGACATGACTTGGTTGTCTGGGTGACAGCCATCAAAGATAATTAAATTTACTTTAAAATTAAAATAATAAATATAAATATATAATTATGATAGATTTACTTGGTAGTTTAAATTCAACGAGTAGTCAACGTCCATCAGCTCAACCCAGATGGCATCCTTATCGTATACACGAGCAATCACAGCCATCCTACGTAGATCCAACGATGGTCGATAAAGAATCTAACGCTCTCGGCGCTGTTTATCAACTCGGTATCGACTCACGCAAGCCAAAGAAGACGATTGAGAGGAGGACTGTCGAATACGCGGGTGAATTAGCTGCCTGGAATAGAGTACGTGGCTACATCCAACAATTAACACTCTAATCCCACAAAGGATCGTAGGAATATCACAAGTCCTCGTCCAAATCAATTCCTTAGACCTGGTTTGGATCATATTGTTGAGGTGAGTTGCGCGGGCGTTGGTTTTATAACCCCTTAACACAGACAATTTCCAGCTGCGCCCCCCTGAAGCTTACAGCAATCCAACTACTTCGATTGCTGCAAAATTCGTTCAAGCATCCGTCAATAAGATCAAGTGCTCTATCAATGTTGTAGCTGTGAGTATATTTAACCTCCCAATCTACCCACTAAAACTTCCACTACCACAGTGGACCCCAGATGGTCGTCGTCTACTCACTGGCTGTCACTCTGGTGAATTCGTCTTGTGGAATGGCTTAACTTTCAACTTTGAGACTATCTTACAAGCTCACGACTCCTCCATTAGAGCCCTCGCATACACTTACTCTGGCGACTGGATCATTTCCGCTGATTCTGCCGGTACTGTCAAATATTTCAACCCCGCCATGAACAATGTTGCTGCTTGGCAGGCACATGGCAACAAAGATACCGGTATGGACACTGCCATACGTGGTGTAGCAGTCTCTCCCACTGACCAGCACTTTGTTACCGCATCCGACGACCAGACGCTTAAAGTTTGGGCATTTGGTGAGCATCGTGAAGAGCGTACCCTCACAGGCCACGGTTGGGACGTAAAATGTGTTGATTGGCATCCTCACAAAGGTCTTATAATGAGCGGCGGTAAAGACAATCTCGTCAAATTCTGGGATCCAAGACGGCCGTCTGATCTATCTACCTTGCACGGACACAAGAACACAGTACAAACGTGTAGATTCTCTCCTGATGGTTTGCTAGCTGCCACTGGATCACGTGATCAAAGCGTCAGAGTTTTTGATCTACGCGCAATGAAGGATCTTACAGTTTTGAAAGGTTTCGATAGGGAGGTATGCTCACTGGCTTGGCATCCTATTCATCCGGTGCTTGTCACGGGTACGGCGACAGGCGCTATGGTTTACCATTCCCTCGCTCACCCTCACGACCCAAAGAGTACAACAAACCCTATAGCGAGTGTCGACTGGGCCCACGAGAGTAGTGTGTGGTCAATGGCTTGGCATCCCCTCGGTCACCTCATGGCGTCAGGCTCTAACGACTATACTACACGCTTCTGGGAGCGCGAGAGACCGGGAAGAGCCGTTGGGAGGGATAAGTTCCATCACGGTCCTATGTCAGAGGAGGAAGAGAAGGCTTTACTTCAAGGTCCTTCCATCTCCCCACAAACCAACAAGTCGGAGGACGAGGACATGCCCTTACCTGGACTCGGGAACACAAACACTGGCATCAACAGTATTTATGCTGTCGGTCCAATTGAAGGCCCTCTGCCTGGCTTCGACGGGTAGTTGGAGTTCGGTTGAAGTTTGTTATTCCGTCTTAGTAACTATTTCTCATGTAATTTTAATATTTATAGTGATACACATGCGACATCTACTGCCTATCCAAAACACACCAACATCATCTTTTAATTCATTTGGTGTGCATTTAGTGAAATTCTTTTATCTAGATGACAAGGAGAGATGCGAGTGTAGCTTCCGTTTCAATTACCTGGGTGCTTCGTTAGAGGGTTCGACGGCAAAAACCTTCACTCACGTCAAGTGTCTGCTGTACGTGCAAAGTCTTACGCGCCTCGTTGAGCCAGTCGGTGAGAAGGGTCTTTGGCCATCCCGTTAACTGGTTCAACTCGCGTGCAGCCATGTCTAGATTCTTTTGCGAGAGGTAGTAATCTGCGCGCGACAGCACCGAAGCAACATCACTACCTTCAACCAAACCCTGCTTTTTAAAAAGCAACAATGAAGACATGACAGATGACACTGCAATGGAAAGCGGTCCAGCACCTACTTCAGGTGCCAATGCAACTCTTCTTACTTTTGGTTCTATCGATTGTCTGTACCAGTCTGAGAGGTCACCGACGCTTTCAACACCCTGGTCTGGAATCTTAGACTGGGTGAGTGGCTCCAATGCAGCTTCAACAACTGCTCCACCAGCGCCATCTTGTGAGCTATCTTTGGCAACCTTGGCCAGCGCGTCAAGCTCCTTTCTGAATGGCTTTTTCTCATCGCTAACTTCGGTCAACGAGAGCTTCCCTACGACAGCCCTCTCGAGAGCTCTGTAAGTCGACCACAGTGTATGTACTCTAACATTATCATCTACGTAGTCAGCGTTGTCGTATGTGACGCGCTCGAGGTTCTTGACGTCATCAGCGAGTGACTCCAACTTGGCCAATCGTCCACCACGTTCTTGCTCGACTTTGAATTTGATATCGCGGAGCCAGCGTCTCTGCATTTCGACACCCTGCGCAACAACCTGTTCGCGTAGTCTCTGGTTGATGATCTCCGACTGTGTCGCGAGCTCCTCCGATAACTTCTTCTTGAATGACTCAGCTATCGTTTTGCGCTCGACATCAAATTGATCACGCCAGTCTTGCTCATGTGAGTCGACGCGGTTTTGGATGTGTCTCTCGTGTTCGATCAGCATCTTAGAATACTCCTTGGCTTGGGCGTCGAGACTGCTCTCCAACTTTCTCTTCTCTTCTTCCTTCACCGCTTCGAGACGCTGTCCGAGTGCTGAGAGATCGCCCTGGGCGGTGTTTATGACATCCTTCACGGAGCCGGCGGCATGTGGAGTGTCTTGGATGAATTTTGAGAGGTTGTCGATAGTCTCAGCGAGCTGAGAGACGATTGGTTCAGATGCAGACAAATCTTTCACAGATGGTGCAAGGAGAGGGATAGACTCGACTGGCTTGCTCTGCTCTTGCTTAGGTGGAGGTACTGGAGTTGCCTTTTTGGGTGGATAGACGTATCCATCAGGCAAAGAGTGACCAATTGGGAGAGGTGGACCAGTGTAGATCTTCTTTCCATCCGCTGTCAAACCACCAGCATTGGGATCATCGACCGTATCAACGACCTTCTCGCCAGCCTTCTCAGCTTTGTTGCCCAAGTCTTCAAGCTTTTCTTCAGCTTTGTGGGCGACTTCGCTTGCCTTCTCGCCGGCGCTCTCGACGCCATCCTTGGCCTTATCGACGGTTTCATTCATTACGTCCTTGGCCTTGTTGACGAGACCAGAGTCAACATAGAGACTCTCATCAGCATCCTCTTTAGTCGACTGCGCTGTCTCCTTTGCCGCGTCCTTGGCGTGGTCTGCCTTGTTGGCATATTTATCCACCAAAGCGTGGAGACGCGCGTAGGCGTCCTTGCTCACTTCAGTAGCGTGAGCAGCCTGTGCTCTAATAGCGTCGTAGTCGATATTGTCTATTCTGTCCTTGAGGTTTGCGTCTTCGATGGCTTCGAGGACGTGGTGGGCGCCCGGGAACGTCGCCGTGAAGAACTCAGCATATGGCGGGTCCTGGAGAGCGTAGTAGGAGCTGCCACCATAGAAAGCTCCGGTAACGAGTGCGGTTGTGACGATGAATCTGCGTATTGGGCGAGCTGGCTTCGCGGAGCTGGAAGCGTACTGTGGGGGCTGTTAGAAAGGTGCATTTTATACTGCCACGTTTTATCCACTCACACTCCGCGTGCTGCGTGCTACTTGCGCGCTGATTGAGCGGTTCGCTCTGAGCATAGTATGACGGGTGGGAGTAAGAGTAAGAGCAACAGCAACAGCAACAGCAACAGTTGTCACAGTGCAGCGTAGATATATGTCGTAAGAATGAATCAATTTACAAATAAATGAAATACAAGAAGCTTCAATCTCATAATTTAGCGTTTCTGTCGTCAAATTCAGCTAATGGAGGTTAGGGGTGGATTCAATAGATTTCAATTTGATTTCGTTGGGTAATCCCCTTTGTCTGCTTGGAGCTCTTCTTGACTGGGTGTCGAGTATTTCCCGCCTTTTCCTTTGAGCGGACCGTGGACAGCATCCGCCTCATCAGTCTCAATGGCATCGTGGATCTTGTCGCTAGACGTAGTGCCCTGGCCAGTGTTGGCAGTTGGAGGTGGTGTCTGTGGTTGCTCTTGGCGCTCTGCTAGCTCCTGCTCGCTTGTGCGGTCTTGTCTGTTGGACTGGTTTCGATGTATCATCAGCAGGACAGGTTTCGACGGAGTCCACGCTCCTTGGCGGGCAATCACTGGTCTAGTCTTGGAAATAATATTAGCAAGCATCTTCGGGTGTTTGTAAGGAGTGTTTATGGCCAAAGTCAGTTGGAATGAACAATTTTCACACTTAGGCGTACGCAGGCTAACATATTTCAAAGCACTTCATATCCACGCTATTCCACTACTAGAATGATATACATATCCTTTAATACACGATTCTTGTTCCCACGACTCGGGTTTTTGGAATGGCTTGTACAGCGATGAAGCAGACAGAACAACATCTATTGCATATTCGTTCTATCAGTTTCATCGCTGTACAAGCCATTCATTAACCCCAGTCTGCACCTTAATACGTGGTAGCTTCGCTGTCTCCAAACTCTCCACAAAATTCTTGTACAGCCTCATCAATTAAACGTTTTATTGCTGCCCCTGATTTCTGCAGCTGATAATGTCATCTGCACTGTTGTCAAAGCTACCAGGCCCAAACATCTCGCCGTTCATACTCGTGCAGCGAACCGATGTGCATATCTGTACAAGAAAGCGTGAGCATGAGTTACGGGAACGATAAAAAGGATTGGGGCTTCTTACCGTTCATTAAGCCAAGGCTGTCCTGAGCCACATGCCAAGTGCCATCCGTTCGAAGATGAAATTTGGCGATGTATGAAATAATATCGATATATAATTCCAACTGGATATGAGACTTTCTTGAAAAATGCGCACCCACCATGTCCGACTTGGAGCGGAGGATGCGTGATCATCACAAGAACTAAGCGACGCCTATATAATTATGGGAGGACGTGACCAATACATTAAGGGTATATTCAGGCTACTCCAAAGCTATCTTACTATGTCCGCGCTCGTACACAGTACTCCTACTTGATTGACTCGCTTAGGGCCCGCGGGCCTCGGAATCCTCGGAACAGAGACAAAATGTTGTAAGCATCTACAAAAAAATACATGCATACCCCGCATCCCCATGAAAAAGAGTAACCTGAGTTGTCCCTTTCTCATGAACGCGTACACCTCTTGAACGCTCAGGCCAAAAGGCCCCGTGTTCCTAGATTGGAGCTCCAGGAAGTGACTGGTATTTATATCCTCAAAATCCTGCAGTTCCCCGCATTTGTGGAATTTTAAACATAAATATTTTTAGGTGTTTTAGAGCGGAATTCCTGACGCAGATAATCGACTCCGAATCATCATCATCCAGGCACAGCTCAGCTGATTTTTCGAAGCTTCTCCTCAAAAAGCTTTCGCTCTCCACACTTTTCATCCACAACTCTCTCCACCAACAATTAACAACTCATTATGAGAGACTTAAGCTACATTTTTAAGGAAGGATTATTGTCGCCCAAGTACAGGACCCCGCTGTTTTATGCTTCTATAGCAGTCTTTGGTGCTGTTCTTTATGGTTACGACGGTACATACTTCACCTCTGTCCTTGCCACACGTCAATTCAAGCACGACTACGGAGCTTGCAATGTAGAGGGTGAATGCAAAATTAGTAGCTCAGATGAAAGTATCTTTACTAGTATCGTCTTCGTTGGTATGTAACCATAATTGGAATCATATAAAGCTAATATTTGATCAGGTGAATTCGTAGGAGCTTTGTCGTCGGCACCGATAGGTGACTACTTCGGTAGAAAAGGCTGTTTCATAACAGCTTGCGCTATGGGTATCATCGGTACAATCTTGCAATCTGTTATGGTCGGAAATCACCCTATCTTCATTGTTGGTAGAATGATACTTGGTATTTGTGTCGGTATCATGTCAAATGCTACTCCTCTGTACCTTAGTGAAGTTGTAAGTGGCTCGTTTGTTCGTTGAAAAAATTACCTGACTTTCGACACAGGTTCCAACTGAAATTAGAGCTGCTGTAGTTGGTAGCTGGCAATGTTTACTCGCATTAGGTGAGTTTACACTCAGCAGATCTGCTCTAAACACGACTCTGACATTGGAAAAGGTCAAGTCATCGGTTCGGGTGTCGGTCTTGGTTCAAAAAGCCGTAACGACACAGGCGCATACCGTATTCCAATTTGCCTTAACCTCATCTTCGTTTTCATAATCCTAGCTGGTCAATTTATCATTCCTGAATCACCTAGATGGCTTGTCACTAGAGACAAAACTGAAAAAGCTGAAAAAGCACTGTGGAAGATCCATGGAGCCAGACCTGATGCACAAGCATGTGTGGATGACGAGATGAGGCAGTACAATCAAACGAAGGACGATGAACTCCAATCCTCAGGCAAGGATGCCACATGGGCCAGCGTTTTCGCCGCCGACAATCGCAAGAAGCTATTTGTCGTTTGCGGTGTTCTCATTTGCCAACAGATCTCCGGTATACAGATTGTCTTCAGTTACATCACCGTCATAGCTCAGGACTTGGAACTCGGCAGCGACCCATTCGTTGTGACAATTGGTGTCACAGTCGTTGAGCTTGGGGGTGTTATCTGCTCTTTCTTCATTGTCAATCGCTATGGTAGACGCCCTCTACTTATGTACACTGGTATGATTATGGCAGTGTTCCTGCTGATTATGGGCTTCATGGGTGTGGGCAACTACACAACGCCATCAAAGAGTGATACTTTTAACAAAGTCGTCCTTGCGATGTACATACTCTTTACATTCGCGTTCAATTTGCAAGTATCAGTTTATTGAGGTAATCACAGAATCTGACCATATCAACAGGGCTTGGGGACCACTCGCATGGGTTTGTGCTAGTGAGCTTTCTGGCGGTCGCGTCAAGAACAAGATCATGAGTTTGGGAACTGGGTGCTTCTGGGTAGGTAAATATTATGACAGTAGCTTTACTTGCTAACACACTGGCTAGATTTCAGCATTTGTTGTCACTTTCACATTGCCATACCTCTACGATGAAGAATATGCAGGTATCAAATCAATGGTCTCGCTCATCTACGGATTCCTTTGTTCTCTCACTGTAGTCTTTGTCTACTTCTGCATCCCAGAGACACGCGGTAGATCACTCGAAGAGATTATTTATATGTTCGACAAGATGGTACCAACAAGACATTGGGATGAATTTGACACCACACACATTTTTGCTGTCGATGAAAAGGGTCAAAGATTTGGCGGCGAAGAGATGGAGCACGTGGAAAACAATGAGAATGAGCATAAGCTGGAAAAGAAGGAGAGCGCTTAAGGGAGGGGTTCGCACATTTTCATTCACTAATTTTTACGGAGAGCCAAAGTTAGCTCATAAACTCTTTCAATTTTACTCTTGCACTTGTACAATTAATTCCGGATCATTTATAAACAACTTATAGATGAAATATGCATGTAATTTCATATAAATCAATTTTTGTTTTTGGATGCCGTTTTCATCAATGTTGAAAGTGTGACAAAGGTCTATGCTGGAATTTGAGATACGGTTGAGTCTTGCAGGCGTCATATCACCTTTCACATACAGCAATTTCGCAATGTACGATACAACTCTACATCGCTAATAACCTCGGGATGAGTTTATGAGATAGCAGAGAGATCTAAAGATGTATTTCAGTGAATCAATCTTTTTCCTCTCCTTTAATTCAAACGCCAAAAAAAGTTAGGTGAAAGTGAGACTTTGACCATACGAACAACGCTTAGGTCTGCACTAGTGTGTTTTCTTCAGTGCATAAAGATATTAATCCTGAATTTGAATACTAGAGGTTTCTATATGGGTAAACAGTCAACGTAGACCTTCTATAGGCTTACTCACTGGCTATGTTTTAATATGTGTTGCGAGTTTTGCTTTTTTCCAATTGCAGATATGGTTGTAATTAACGCTGTCATATATATACTGTAAAAGTATCACGTTCTCACCATGCAACGAAACTTTAATGAAGCTGGCTTATTGTATCGATAGATGAACACAAAGTATAGAAGAGGAAAAGGATCAAATTTTCAACTTGAGCTACAAGTTCTCAGTTGTGAATAATCATAGATATGAAGTATTATATAAAAAATATCCAAGAGGAGATTAAAAAGATTTTTTTTATATGTACATTACTTAAACATTGCGTTTTACCAGGCTAGTCCATCAGTGTAAAACTTACAATACATGTCTGTTTTACTCTCGTACAAAAGCTCTATCTGATCGAAGGTTTTGGCATAATGACACGTGTGTTCCGAAACATCTGCAATTAATTCGATAGTCTTGGCGTCACCCTTAAAAGTGTTGCCTTTCCAAGTAATGACATTGGCACAGCTGAGACCGCCTTCGCCGTCTGTGAAGAGATTGGTAGGAGCAGTAGTCCTCCAAATTTCATCGCCATGTATTGTTATATCAGTGTCTTGACAATGACCTGCTACTCCGGTACACCAGGGACCAGCCCCGTCTATCGTATAACAAAAATCAGATCAAGAGCTAATTACCTGAGTATGTCCAATTCCTAGAGCTGGTTTGAGATCCTTTAGACGGTTGAGTTGCTACGACTTCACGTCCTCCTGCATATACTAAAGAGGGTGAATCGAGGGCAAGTAATGCGAATGACATTAGAAGGCTGTGATCCATATTAAATATCAAGGACTTTGGTTCTTGAATGAGTGGATAAAAGGTAGTAAAAAGTCCTTTTATGACCTGGTGTTTCAATTTTAATAAAGGACTTATCAAATACCCCCTTTCGAGTTGGCCAAGCAAATTTTCTTAAAGCCACTGAGTTGGTCGTCTTACTGTCTTCGTAGGACTTGCTCTGAATGCCGAATACTGAATTGTCAAGCATCACGACTGATCTACTAGACGTTGTGATTATTTATTAAGATATTCCATATACCAATTGATTATTCTATGCCGAAATCGTCATATGACTCGGTCTTGCTGTTCATAAATTGACAGGAAGCGTTTTCTTCATGATTTTTTATTAGGGATAAAGTAAGGTGGCGTGAAGCTTCTCTGCTCAAACTTGATCATATTGCAAGACTTATGAGTCTCACCTTAGTGGAACGCGACTTGATGTGCGATAAGAGCTTCAATGAATGATCCAAATTCAAGGTGATAGAAACCTGCTATCAAAGCAGATAAGCCGCAATATTATATTCGGAAATTATTCGTTCTTTGCTTACAACGGGCTCCAGCGCAGAGACGAGGCAAGATATGGCTGGAGGCAATAGAAATTGACACAGCTAGTATGATCTGTAAAGACGAGAAAAACCACAGCTTAGACATACAGGCTTAGCTGGACTCGTTGATACGGTATTTCGCCAATAGACAAAGTCAAGACGGTTTAGCAAGACCAGTACCAAGTCAACGCAGTGAATAAATTGACAATTTTTGCGAAGAAACTTTTACTCTTTTAAGCGTGAAAAGGCGTTTTCTTCTCTTAACGGGTCCACAAACCCTTCAAATGCATCAGGTGCGCCAAGGCCTGTATCACTGAAAAGATCACCAGGAACAAGAGACAACATCGCCGACGGACCTGATATCCTCACAATTTCATATAAAGACCTGCTTGGCTTGCTTCCCGCCGAAGCTGAAGCTACCTGCAAACGCCATGAGTAAGGAGTATTCGGAGTTGGAAACTATTTTTGAAAAAATGAGAATAAAATGGATGCATTTGTATAATTAGATAATGATCGTCTGCTACTGCCTGCCTTAAACAAATTCAGTCTCGAGCGAGCGAATGAAGCGAAGAAACCGATTTAACATTGAGACTGACAAGAAGACGAACAAAACAAGCAGAGTGGATGACGATATACGCGCCAAGCTGTGGATAAACGCGAGCGAGGAGCCTTCTAGCAACCTCTGCGCAACGCGGAGCATACCCCCATCGACGCCGTACAGCTTGGTTGAATTGTGTTTGCTCGTCGTGAGGGACAACTTCAAGCAGCTCTATCAGTCGTATAGGGATGCGTTTGTAGAGTCGTTTCGGCTGCTCCCAGAGACGCACCGCGAGCGATTAGGCAGAAGTATTCTGAAGGAGCACTCGCAGATAATTAGCCTCAAGCTGATACAGGAGCTCTTCACTATCCCACCAAATATAAGCCTGAACCAGAGCATCCCAGCACTCAACAGCAATCAGTACCCGAAGCTGCTGCGTGAGCTGCCTGGCGGGCTAACAACGCTAGATTTAGTAGGATTCACTGAGCTCAGTGATCTTTCCGGACCGCTATTTGTAAAGAAATCGCCCCATCTTCGCTTCCTCAAACTGCGTGGATGTCTTTCTTTAGGTGAGCGGACTATCGAGGCCACTTCGACACTCAAGGAGCTGGAAGAGCTCGATATATCATTCACAGCAGTACCTCTGTCCGGCCTCGCAAAAGTACTCACTAGCTGCTGCAAGCTCCGGCGACTAGACATGAACGCCGTAGGAAGAGTAAGCACAAAGAACACGGCGCAGTGGGACCAGATGCTCGATGTAGTGGTGAGGTCGTCGATAGATGCCAATCTCCAGCCCCTCTCCCATCTTGAGCATCTCAACGTCGGCGAGTGCAACATCTCCGATGCAGCGCTCGGTCGCTGGCTAACACTCACACCGAGTCTCAAGGCACTTGACTGCCACGAGTGCGAAATCACCAACCCAATGCTTTTCCTTCCTCCCAACCTTCACCAGCAGCTCGTGAAGATAGATATCTCGCGAATGAGTCTTGACCTCGCAAATTTCAGGTTCTTCTATAAATCCCTGCTCACAAGTGAAAAAATAAAGGTGCTTTGGATGTCCGGGGTCGTAAGGAATATTAGCGCGAGTGATAATGAATATTTATTGACCAACGAGCTGCTCACCCCTGAAGACCAAGATAAGGCGATCGGATTTGCACCTACAGATATCAATTGGAGTAACAATCCGCGTTTGAGGGGAAAAGAATGTCTCAGACATCACATCACCAGCAGTCTCAAGTACCTCAATCTGTCTGGATCGACGTTCGAGGGGAGTGCATTTAACGAGGCTGTCACTCAGAACAAACCAGTGCGGCTGGAAAATGTGCAGCTCAACGAGTGTGTTATCGATGACGAGGTGGTTGAGGGTATACTTAAGCTAAAGGGGTTAAAGTCACTCGGACTTATGAAAACGTCGATTGCGGAGGACTCATTGAATCGCATTATCGACAGCTGTCCATTGCTAGACTCAATTAATCTCACACTGTCGAGAAATATTAATGTTCGACACCGCCGAACTTACTTTGAGCAGTACGAGCAGAGCAAGAGAATGTAATAATACAAATGTAATAATATCTTATCAATCCTATTAATCCTATAATATTTCTCTGGAAGGAGTGCAAACCAAAACTACTTCTGAGTTGCGAGAAACGCACTCAAGCTGTCTGCCCAAATCTCAAGTACCTTGATCCGTCCCCCAACGTCCAATTCTAGCCTGTACAGAACAGTCTCATCCCACCTGTGAAAAGTTTCACATATGAGCCAGCGGAAATTAAATTAGACTAAGACACTCACTTCTTGCCTGTTCTGCGATTCAGAAATGTTGCGTCGCCTTTACAGGACGCTATGGCACCGAGAGGATTGTCGTTTTCACCCCCGCAATCGCAATCGATAGTCCAGCCACCCCACACCGGCTCGTTGACGATATTTAAGTACTTGCCGACGAGTTTGAAGTAGTCAGCCAGTGTTCGCGATTCGTCGTTGTCGTCATCTTCTTGCAACCCTTCGAACTTTTTGCCGAGATAGGGAAGCTGCGGGAGTGGGAGGCCGTGTTCGATAATGTGGGAGTCGTTGCAGAAGTAGCTCAGCAGGATGGGCAGTTCTTCTCCCCTCCCAAATGCCTCGCAGAAGGATTTGGCTGATTTTAGAAGGCGTTCTGAATCGGCCATGAGGTTCGAGAGAAAGAGATGGCGAAATGGTGCTTTTGGATGTTAAGTTGATTTCGCGAATGCAATACGTCTCTTGTGACCTGCTGCCTGGTGCGTCCACGTGAGCCAAGCACTTGGTATAATTCGTTTGACGGTCCGAGCACGTTTTTACAAAATAGGAAGGAAGTTGTGTATATGGGTATGTACAACATCTCCAACATCATCAGCTATCATCTTAGCTGAGCGCGCCGAACTAATCGACCAAATCATCTTCAACTGAGTCTCCAAAGTATTTACCCTTTTGGTCTCTTTTGGTCTCTTAGTAGACCAGCTCACGCGTGCCGTAGCACATTCATCACGACAAAGCTAGGCAGATCTTTATCTTCACTCCGATCTATACTCTTCAGGCAGCTGTCTGACACGCTTGCCTGATGTCGCGATTGCCTTCGTCTTCGTAAAATCGACTTTAGGAATTTCGTTATATGACCAGAATCGTGGAGTTCTTGTTGACGGTGTCAATGAGCGCGTGTGACCCATTGCACGTTAGATGCGCATCGCGTATCTGGCGAGCTCTCCAAAAATGTCTAGATGCGTTTTCGTGCGTTTCAGACTAGACAGAACTCGTTGTCATCCGCGCATGCTCCTACAGAGTTGTTCTTTGATGAGTAGATGTTGATCTTAAAGAATTTGCTCATTTGCTCGTTTGGCCGTGTCAATTGCGTTTGTGAGACAAAGACACAAACACAATGCAAGGCTTTAAAGACAACCTGCATTACCCACGCGCACAAGGCACAATGTATATTGCCTTCGCCTAATTGCCGGTGCCTGGTTCGCATCTGTACATGGATATTGCTAAGAACTTCACTTAAATTTCAATTCGCTGGGATGTTGTGATGTGGCTGCAATTGGACTAATCTACTCTGCTTATCAGTTACATCGGCCATCTTTCGGTGAATACTCGGTTCCACGCGCACCGATTGAGACATTGTCCACTCCTCACCTCACATCCACAATATTGATTTCGTGCAAAGCTCGCAGGGACAGTGCCAGATTTGGGCGCTACTTCAAAATCGCAGTGCACTCCACCAAAGAAACATCGCTGTTTGTATGTGCCGAAGATAGCCCGGGCAGTGACAACAATTACTTTATCTGGGACACAGCAGACGAATGGACTATGCCATTTGAATTTACAACACAAGCAGCGAGGATGCGCGACGCTCATCCCACTTTCAACGCTTCGTGGGCGCGCTTGGAAAGCGTGAAGCATCTGGGTAGGTCTGCCAATGCTGAAAACAACCAAAAGTCCAAGAGAGTGGAAATAGAAGAGACGAATTTCTTGTCGTCCCTTTTTAACGGCAAGGAATATGGCGAGGCGTGCTGCAACCACGCGATGGCTTGTTCTGGAGCTAGACACGAGGCTGTGAAGAGTATTCTGGAGCATTCCAGAGCGAGAAATGAAGCCATTGGCAAACCTCTCGGTCTCCTATTCGCGAAGAGCAGACCCAAAAGACAAGAAAACGTTTGTGGGCCTGAGATGTTGCTTAGATAGAGTAAATCTTAATTTAGTAAGGTTGTCTGCTTTGAAAAGGTCGTGCGAGTTGCGCGGACCTTCAAGGTTGATTTTTGACGACTGCTTTTTCATGCGTAGCGTGTGTCGAGAGTGTCATGAGCAGATGGATGCTCTCCACCGCAACAAAAGCGGTTTGTTGTCACTACACGAGGCTAATGACAGAAAGCTTTGTTGCGACGTTATGGCATGCACTTCAGAGAAATGTCTCAGAAGGGAAATACACGAGGAAGAGACCCAATTCGTCGTTGTGAACGTGGCGAAGAACCATGCAGCTGGTATGGCACTGGTGAGCACCGCTAGTGAAAGACCAGCTGCGTTAAGAAGGAAAGACGAATTTGATGATGAATCAATTTCACAAGATGAATCAACAGACACACAGGATGAGCATGTAAACAGTGAATGGTTGGATTCAGATGACTCTTGGGAAGATATTGAGTGATTCAAGGCTATTTAGTATAATCACATTGACTCCAATAAAAGTTGTAAAATTGAGCAAAAAACGAAGCTAAAGATATAAATGGCATTTACAAAGCACCTTATCAATATTGCTCAAGTAATTGTACACTATCCCTTCCCATGCCAGGAATAACTTGCGTCATGGGATAGCAGCGAAAAAGAGCAGCGAAAAGATTTAATAAGCGTAACATTAAGCAAAACCCCGGCTACTCCACCACTAATGCAAATTAATCCACACCCACTCATGAAATTAAAAATCTCCCGCCTTTCAAACCCATTTCGAAGATTTTTGGTATCCTTGGTTAAACCATCAAATTCTTAAAAAATGGGTAAGTTTGAATAGTGGCGGGTTTGCAGGGGATTTTAGTGGAGATGAAATTGTTGACATTGGGGATCTTCTTCTGGCAGTCCTCGCGTCTTTTTCCCAATTCAAATGATCGAGGATTTGCAGGGAAAGCAAAAGTCACAGAAGTCTAGGAAGTCCCAGCACTCAGTAGACACGTATATATTACTCTTAAACACACCTTATTCCCCTGCCAACGCCACATCGTCATAATCTCTCATCTCACGCCTTCCATTAGTTCAATTCACCATCGACGAGCTCAGAGGGCTCATGGATAAGCCTACACAGATCAGAAACATGAGTGTTATCGCTCACGTAAGTTTCGTCTTAGTCCATTTTTTCATCTAATTTTTTCCCAGGTTGATCACGGTAAGAGTACTCTCTCAGATGCCCTGGTTGGTAAGGCCGGTATTATCGCCTCCAACAAGGCCGGTGACATGCGTTTCATGGACACCCGTGACGATGAAAAGGCACGTGGTATCACCATCAAGTCCACCGCCATCTCCATGTACTTCCCTCTTCCAAAGGAAGACATGGACGCCGTCAAGCAACAAACCAACGGTAACGAATTCTTGATCAACTTGATCGACTCTCCAGGTCACGTTGATTTCTCTTCCGAAGTTACTGCTGCCCTCCGTGTTACCGACGGTGCCCTCGTTGTTGTCGATTGTATTGAAGGTGTCTGTGTCCAAACTGAGACCGTCCTTCGTCAATCCCTCCTCGAGCGTATCAAGCCTGTCGTCTGTATCAACAAGGTCGACAGAGCTCTCCTTGAGTTGCAAGTCAGCAAGGAGGACCTCTACCAATCCTTCTCTCGTACCATCGAATCCATCAACGTCATTGTCGCTACCTACAACGACCCAATTATCGGTGAATCTCAAGTCTACCCAGAGAAGGGTACTGTTGCCTTCGGTTCCGGTCTCCACGGTTGGGGTTTCACCCTCCGTCAATTCGCTGGCCGTTACGCCAAGAAGTTCGGTGTCGACAAGGTTAAGATGATGGAGAAGCTCTGGGGTGACAACTACTTCAACCCAAAGACTAAGAAGTGGACCAACAAGGAAACCGATGCTGAAGGTAAGCCACTCGAGCGTGCCTTCAACATGTTCGTTCTCGACCCTATCTTCCGTCTCTTCGACGCTATCATGAACTTCAAGAAGGACGTCACCCACAACATGATCGACAAGCTCGAAATTCCTCTTACTTCCGAGGAGAGAGAATTAGAAGGCAAGCCACTCCTTAAGGTCGTCATGCGTAAGTTCTTGCCATGTGGTGATGCTCTCTTGGAGATGTGTGTCATCAACCTCCCATCCCCAACCACCGCTCAACGCTACCGTGTCGAGAACCTTTACGAAGGTCCTCTCGACGATGAGTCAGCTATCGGTATCCGTGACTGTAATCCAAAGGGTCCACTCATGCTTTACGTCTCAAAGATGGTTCCAACCTCCGACAAGGGTCGTTTCTACGCCTTCGGTCGTGTCTTCTCTGGTACCGTCTCATCTGGTCCAAAGATCCGTATCCAAGGTCCAAACTACGTCCCAGGTAAGAAGGATGATCTCTTCATCAAGACTATCCAACGTACCGTCCTCATGATGGGTCGTAACGTCGAAGCCATCGAAGATTGTCCAGCTGGTAACCTCATCGGTTTGGTTGGTGTTGACCAATTCTTGCTCAAGTCTGGTACCCTCACCACCTCTGAAACCGCACACAACATGAAGGTTATGAAGTTCTCTGTATCACCAGTTGTTCAAGTTGCTGTTGAAGTAAAGAACGCCAACGACCTTCCAAAGCTTGTCGAAGGTCTCAAGCGTCTCTCCAAGTCTGACCCATGTGTTCAAACTTGGATCTCTGAGACTGGTGAGCACATTGTCGCCGGTGCTGGTGAGCTTCACTTGGAGATCTGTTTGAACGACCTTGAAAACGACCACGCATCTGTCCCACTCAAGAAGTCCGACCCAGTCGTTGGTTACCGTGAGACTGTCAAGGCAGAATCATCAATGACTGCCCTCTCTAAGTCACAAAACAAGCACAACCGTCTCTGGGTTACTGCTCAACCAATGGAGGAGGAACTCGCTCGTGACATTGAAGACGGAAAAATTACTCAAAGAGATGATCCAAAGGCTCGTGCCCGTTACCTTGCAGACACTTACGGATGGGATGTCGCTGATGCTCGTAAGATCTGGTGTTTCGGTCCAGAAACCACCGGTCCAAACGTCATGGTTGATATTACAAAGGGTGTTCAATACCTTAACGAAATCAAGGACTCATGTGTTGCTGCATTCCAATGGGCTACCAAGGAAGGTGTTTGCGCTGAAGAAAACATGAGAGGTGTTAGATTCAACATCTTGGATGTCACTCTTCACACTGATGCCATTCACCGTGGTGGTGGTCAAATCATCCCAGTCACCCGTCGTGTCTGTTACGCCGCCTCATTGTTGGCTGACCCAGGTCTTCAAGAACCAATGTACTCTGTTGAGATCCAATGTCCAGACTCATGTCTCGGTGGTATCTACTCCACCCTCAACAGACGTCGTGGTATGGTTTACTGGGAGGAGCAAAGACCAGGTACCCCAATGTACACCGTCAAGGCCTACTTGCCGGTTCTTGAGTCATTCGGTTTCAACGGTGCTCTCCGTGCTGCTACTGGTGGTCAAGCTTTCCCACAAGCTGTGTTCGATCACTGGGAGCTCATGAACGGTTCTCCACTCGAGAAGGGCTCTAAGCTCGAGGCTCTCGTTACCGATGTCCGTACACGTAAGGGTCTTAAGCCAGAAGTTCCACCACTTGAGAACTTCTACGACAAGCTTTAAGGGTTTGTTGTGTGTAAAAGGGTTGTTTATTTTCTTCTAATTTTATTTTCTCATGAATACAAAATATACAAAAATTTCATGTGCAACAATTTTCGAATTTTGTGAGTTGTAATGTCATTAGTGCATATGTGGAGTGTTCCACTGTAAGGCGTGCTTATGGTGTTGAATAGTGCCCTCAAATCATTTGGGTTGATTTGACATATCGCAGCACGGCAGCCGCAAAGCTATGATGAGGATTAAAATTCAGAAACAAATAAACGAGTAGTCTTTTATTCCAATAGAACCTCCATCATTTTTTTACCATCATTCGACTTTGAAATGACAGACATTCGTAAATGACATATCAGGTACAGCAATAATACTGACATTCAGATTCTGTCAAGTCGTCAAAGTGGATATTAAAATAACCTAGGTTGCGATTCATCGCGGCCTGTCAAGTCAAATGTTTGATCCAGATGCCGATTTCGTTCATGAATGACGTTCGTCCGGCAGAACAAAAATAAAAAATATGCCGAGCACAACGATTGTGCAAGTTGAATTAAAACTAGCAGCATAAAATGTTAAACGTATCTGAATATGACAAAAACAAAGTATTTTCCGTCAATGACATCAATGAGTACGCTCAATTAATCTGCTACACACAAAATCCTGTATTCGTCATGTTCAAGTCAGAAAATCATGACGCTGATATAAGCAACTTCTTTGCTGAAGTAGTTGAGAAACTGGCCGATGAGACTAAAGATGTTACCTTTATCTCTGTCAACTACGTATATCGCAAAAGACTTGAAGAGCCTGTGCCTGGCAGTAACTTAATCTGTGCTTATGAAAACACGAGGTGGTTGCCTTGCTTCCGTATCTACCAAAATGGTCAAAGGAGAGGAAGTCTCTGCCATTTTATGGGAAGTAAGGTGAGTGCTGTTTTGTTCGTTACTAACAGATCTAACCTCTCAAAGCTGGAGTTTGAAAAAATGGAGCTAGATACCAAGACACTTGTCGCTGCCGCTAAGAACATGGTTGGAGATGATGAAGCCGCTATCGATAAATATCCTCTTCTTCTCCCCGATAATCCCAAGGATAGGGAGTCAAAGGAAGGTCTTTTCATTATCTAAGCATTGAGCATTAGGATTCGATGCACAGATATGAAAATATGTTTATTATGTTTGTACCATACACGAGTTTTGTTTGTACCATACACGCCACTTAATTGAATTTAAACATACATCAAAATGTTAAGCGCGTGGCTCTGGAGAATGAAACTAGGTTATCCGATACCTGCCGGTCCTTTGATTTGCATTCACTTCGTCTGTTTTGTTTTAGTGTACATATGCATAGTATATTTACAGATATCAACAGTTCTAATCCTTCCACGGAATATCGACTCTTTGTCGAATAGAGTCCCACAAGAGAGGATAGTGATGAACAAGAGAAAGCCTGAGAGCGTCGAGTGCCTCCACATCTCTCGAGGCTCTCGTCAACCTGAACAAGACCTCAATAGAATTAGCATCAACAGAGAACTCGCCCCCCTGTAGCACCTTCCAAGCCTCATCGAAACGTTTCCTTCTAGCGAGAGCCTCGATGAGAGTTTCCCAATTCTTCCTGTTTGGTGGTATGAATTTCGCAGCGTTGGAATAAACGGCCAGTGGATCAGCGGGGGTGCTTCTACTACCTGCTGAATCGAGCGCAATAGACAGACTAGCGTTATCAGCGCGCTGCGAGAAAAGAAGGGCGTTAAACAGTTCAACACAACGCGCACCACTTCCCACTCTGTTATGGGCATTGAGGAGAGCATTGCAGAGATAGATATCTGGTCGTATCGATCTGTCAACATTGAGGAGTGTCTCTATTTTGCCCACACTGCGCGCATCCCGCACGCGCGCATAGTAGTCGAGCAGTACAGTGTAAGTTTTGCAACTGGGCGGGTGGCCAGCCTTGCGCATGTCGTTGAGAATCTCACTGAAGAGCAAGGCGGGGACAATCTGCACGGCATCGGCGTCATTCTCCTCAGGAAACCGCAGTCCACAGAACTCAGCTATAATGCTCTCGAAGCCCCTTCCGTCGATGAAGGAAGCGCGACTATCCACTACGTTCGCATAGAAGCGGAAAGCCTGAAAAAAGTCCTGGGAAGAGTGCAGGAGAGCGATGACAAACGAAGTCTGGAATTGCGTATCGAGCGTTACGTGAGCCTCTTTCATCTCCACCAGCAGCGCCGTCGCCGTAGAGACATCCCCCTGCTTAGCACTGACCCGCAGCATGAGAGCGAGGAGGGCGGAGTCGAGGCGTGTGCGCGCGTCGAGCTGGTCGTATATTGCTACCATGCGTGCGAGGTCGTGGTGCTGCGCTAGCGTGCGCATAAGCGGCAACGTCGCGGCGAGTGTGCGCTGCGGAGAATCCATGTAGAACTCATAAGCTGCGTCGTGGCTCCCGACTAACAATTTCTCCACCATCGCTTGGTACGTGTGCTTGGACGGGTCGACACCAGCTTCAGCGGATAGGTCGTCAATTAGCTCCCGCGCTGCCTGACTCGAGAGGGGTACGGGCGAGAGCGTCACTAGGTGGGATAGCGTGATGTCGTTCGGGTGTAGATTGGCTTCAGCAATGTCTTTAAGTACCTTTTTGGCTTCGTCGATGCCGTATTGGCGTCCGCGTGCAACGAGAATGCATGTGTAGCTGGGCAGGTCTGGAGAGAGAGCGCGGAGGGAGGATTCGATGGAATTGGACTGCTCCCACAGCTGCCACTTGGAATAGCCATCTAAGAGGATGGTATAGGTGATTAGATCGGGTTGCAGGTTGAGAGAATTGATTTCATGTCTCAATTGCTCGACAAAGGGGAGATCATGGAATTGGAAGGCGAGCTTCAAACGGGCGTTGTAGAAGGCCAAGTCTTGGGTGGTGTTTGTGGAGTGTATCAGCTGAAGAATACGCTGATAACTGGAGTAGTCGTTGTTTGTAGACGAACTAGCGAGTAAAAGAGGGAACAAGTGGGGTTTGTTGAGCTGGCTGAGGTGTTTCTCTGTCAAAGAAATGGCGTCATGTAGCCTACGTTGTGAGACATTTCCAAGAATCAACAAATGAATGTGATTCGAGGTAATATCGAACCCCCAGAAGTTACCAATGTCGTTATAAAGACGCTCAAACGCGATGAAATCTTTCTTATGAGAAGATTTTGAGAGTAGTTTGAGTGTGTGCAGTAGCTGCTGTGGTTCAACGCCAGAAGTATCCGAAGTGGAAGTAGATCTGAGCGACTCGTAGTTCTGCCATAGAATATCAAAGTTTGGATGCCTATTCTTTAATGACGCGTTAAACAAATCAATAGCCTTTGATTTTGATGGTTTTCTATCGGATTTGAAGATATCTTTGAATAGCCTGGTTATACGCTTATAATCTGAGATACGAGAGTTCCTGGGGGATGTCAGGTATTCTCTAAATTACCCAGTATGACCCACATTTATCTGAATTTATTTTTTATTTTTCAATTTTCACCGTCGTCGTCCCCAAAGCCCATCTTCTCTTCTTGATTGAAAAATCTTTACGAGCGGAGAAGGACGATGACCACGCTATCTGCAATACAAGCGCAGCAGGATTTCATCGTCAAGCCTAGTGAGGCTGCTGCCCCTTTGGATACGTCTCAGTGGCCATTGCTATTAAAGAACTACGATAAGTTATTGGTTAGATCGAATCACTATACGCCATTACCATATGGCTGTAGTCCTTTGAAGAGAGACCTCACCACGTATATTAAGTGAGTTTTACTCTCCTACTCCACTTGCTCGTGTCATGATGATCAAATTTTCTTGACCGATTTTTTTGACGAAACCAATTAATCTGTATCTGCAATTCTGAACATGAGCTTCTGGAGTTGCTTTTCTTTTTCTTACTCTTTTCCCCCAGATCCGGTGTTATCAACCTCGACAAACCTTCAAACCCATCATCCCATGAAGTTGTTGCGTGGATCCGTAGAATGCTGCGTACAGAGAAGACTGGTCATTCAGGTACTCTCGATCCAAAGGTCACTGGCTGTCTCATTGTCTGTATTGACCGTGCCACCCGTCTCGTCAAGTCTCAGCAAGGTGCAGGAAAGGAGTATGTAGCAGTCCTCCGCCTCCACAACAAGCTCGATGACGCAGCCACACTCCCACGCGCCATGGAAACACTCACTGGTGCTCTCTTCCAACGTCCACCACTGATTTCCGCCGTCAAGCGCCAGCTGCGTATTCGTACCATCTATGAAAACAACCTGATTGAGTTCGACAACGAGCGCGGTCTCGCTGTGTTCTGGGTGAGCTGCGAGGCTGGTACGTATATCCGTACGCTGTGCGTCCACTTGGGTCTCCTCCTCGGTGTAGGTGGACACATGCAAGAATTGCGTCGTGTGCGTTCAGGTGCGATGGCTGAAGATGACGATATCGTATCGATGCACGATGTTCTCGATGCGCAGTGGGTTTACGATAACACGCGCGATGAATCCTACCTCCGTCGCGTTATCCGCCCTCTCGAGGCACTTCTCGTCAACTACAAGCGTGTGGTGGTTAAAGACTCAGCTGTCAACGCCCTCTGTTACGGTGCTAAGCTCATGATTCCAGGTCTGCTTCGCTACGAGAATGGCATCGAGGTTGGCGAAGAGGTCGTTCTGATGACCACTAAGGGTGAGGCTATTGCCGTTGGTATCGCGCAGATGTCCACAGCTGATCTCAGCACCGTCGACCATGGCGTAGTTGCCAAGATTAAGAGGTGTATCATGGAACGTGACTGGTTCCCAAGGAAGTGGGGTCTCGGACCTCGTGCTCAGCAAAAGAAGAAGATGATCAAGGATGGCAGTCTGGATAAGTTTGGCAGACACAACGACGCTACACCGGAGAACTGGAAGAAGGGCTACGTCGACTACTCAGCTACAGAGACAGTAATCCCAACACAGAATGAACCAGCATCGGTGAAAGAGGAAGTCAAGGTGTCGAAACCAGCAGACTCACCAATGAAAGTAGAGAAAGAAGTCAAGGTGGAGAGTGCAGAAGATGACGCCGAAGCGCTGCGTAAGAAGGAGAAGAAGGATAAGAAGCGCAGACGCTCAGAAGCCAATGAAAATGAGGAGGAGGAGGATGAAGAGGACAGGAAGCGCAGAAAGGCTGAGAAAAAGGCCGCAAAAGCTGCTGCAAAAGATGCCAAGGAGTAGAGGTATTGAGAATGACTGTAATTTATCACTTTCCGCTTTCTAATTTAAATGTATAATGTGGCTCATTTACGTCATTTTGTGAGTCAACCCACGGGAGCCAATAGAAATGATTCTTGGAGAGAAACGACGACGAAGAATCAAAAATGTTTACAAAATTCATCGCCAGCCAGAGATTACAAACACGTACACTCACCACGACCCGCTCAGTGCTCTCGTCGTTAGATGGCCAAGGCGGACAAGCCAAGCAGGATCCATCCAAGATCGATCAAGAGCGCAAGAGACAGGATTTCTCAGGCAATAAGAACGCACACGGCGAGGACGTGTCTCCACAGTGGGTCAATTGGTTTACGCGGCCCACTCCCACGCTAATGTAATGTAAGCAGTGAGCATGCCCCAGGCTGGAACCCAACGCTGGCCACCGGTTCCGAGGAGGGCATCAAAGCAGACAGGGATCCACACGCTACCCCAGAGAATCTCGCTAAGAACGCCAACAAGACTGCCGACAAGGTGAACAAGGATACTGGCAATGTTTGAGTTGTGTTATTGCTATTGTTACAACAAATTTCTCTATGTCTTTTCTTTATTTTACTTCTTCTGCCTCTTTGCAGCAGCTTCCACGCTTTGATTCTTCTTGAGTTGGCTTACGGCAGCGAACATATCCTCGTTGATCTTGTTGGCCTTTTCGAGGGCTGCCTTGGATTCTGTCAGTTCCTCCTGCAGCTTGTGCATGTGTGTAGTGTTGCTGTTGTTCTTCTCCGGCTGCTTCTCCGTCACCACGACGTGATCCACCGGCTCATTTTCATCCCAGAGACAATCGAAGAAGGCCTCAGTGCAATCCTTAGCCCCGCCACGCATCTGCACGGTATGATCCTCGCGGTCGCGCTCGCCCATTGTCTTCTTGAGCGTGTTGAGCGGCATAATCGGTGGCAATGCAGACGCGGCTGCTGCGGTGGAGCCTGTAACGTTGGCCGAGATGGCACTAGCAGACGACACACCGCCGAGGTCCACGGGTTTCACCAAGGAATGCACATCCACGACGCTGGTCTTCCCATTTCCGAGGCTTTTGAGGTGCTGCTGCGAACGCACGTCGTAGCAGTCGACGAAACCATCTGCGCAGCCGACGAGAAGGGTGTTTGCGGAGACGCTGAAGGCGGCAGTATTGACGGATGTGTCTCTGCCCAACTTGATCGCCGCGGTGGTGTTTCCCTTGAGTGAGTGTGAGAGCGATGTCAATGACGGCTGCGTGGCGTGCAGATCTGCCCTGTAGAGCTCGTGCTTGGATGCAGCAAACAGCGTGCGCTCGAGGCTATCCACTGCAAGTGCAGAGAGCGCAGCAGGGAATTCCACAGTGGAGAGGAGCGATGGAGGATCGACCGACCAAATTTTCACCGTCTTGTCGAGCGCGGCGGTGTATATTCTGGCATGGGGAAAGGCGCCGAGTCCAACGTAGACATCGGCAATAGGGAGGGTGTGGTCGGTGAAGGTAGCGTAGGGCACGGGGAGTTGGCCCTGTGCATCCTCGTCGACCAGCCTCGCCACGAGCCAGATATTGAGGGCAGCGTCGTCGGAGATACTCACGAGGACACGCGCGCCCGCGTCGAAGCTGAGCTTGTTGATCCGCCTGTAGTGCGCGTCGAAACTGGCCAACAGGAGGCCGGAGCGTGTCTCCCACAGGAACACCCTTCCGTCCTCGGTGCCGCCGGCGCAGAAGGCGCTGCAGGGAGACACGCACCACGCCGTCAGCTTCTGCGGGAGGATAATCTTGCAGTGGAGTTGCTCCTGCGTGCGTCGTGAGCCATGACAGGGCCAAGCTGAGCAAACCCACCTTCTGCCACGAGTAGACGTGGACTACGCCCTTGTCAGACTGCGCCACAGCCACTACGCCGCCCTCCTCACCGCTGCTCGGCGTCGCTGAACAACCGCCTGGCACTCCATTCGAGCCTTTTAGCGTGTGCAGCGGACTGCCCGTGACGCTGTCATACACCACAACTCCCCCGCTCCCATGCACGCTGCTCGCTGATGTAGATGCCACGACGACCTCCGATATCATTCTGTGTTGGTGGTGGTGGTCCAAGGCAGAATTGTTATAAACATCCATCTTCTCTACAATATTCTCCGTTTCTTCCCTTTAGCCGGCCACCCGCGCGCTCGCCTTGGACTGCAGCTGCGCGGCGACGTCGTGCGCCGGCTGGAGGGTGTGGTCGTGTACGGCGTCGTAGAAGGCCTTGTAGTCCGCGTACTGCGGTGGAAACTCCCCGCAAGCAAAGTCCCACCTGCTCAGCCACCGCGCGCTGTCGCATTCGCCTTGTGTCCACTCGAGCGCATACACGAGTGCGCTGTACCTGAAGAAGACAATCACCGCCACAAGCGCAGTCACGGCGGCGATCTGCAAGCGTATGCGTGGGCGCAGACACCCGCTAGCCATGTCGAACACCACCGCCGTTAGCAGCACCGAGAAGAAGAGGGCGGGGAGGTAGTGGTGGACGAAGAGCTGCCTGGCGAGTAGGAAGAAGGGGAGGTAGTGGAGTGCCCACCCGCTCACTACAAAGGCGGTGATGAGAGTGTAGTGGAGTGTGTGGGTGTGTGCATTACCTGACACTGACACTACCCCCCGCTTAACACTTACTGCAAGACCTGCCAGCGCCAACACACTCACCGCCACACTCCCCGCACCGAGCCACCACACTACCGGGTTCCCTACCAGGTACACCTGCTTGTGGTCCTTGGTCCAGTAGTTTATGCCACGAGTGAACAACGGCCATGATATCGGCCGACTGTCGTACGCGTGTCGCTCCGTTAGCCCATTGTTTACCGCCCACATTACCCGCTGCAGCTCAATAAACTTGGCGAGGAATCCCATTGGTCGGTAGTTGACCATCTCCACACCACCTCTCTCCTTCTCCTTCTCCTCCAGCTGGCCGTGCGTGTTGCTCTCGATGTACCACACACTGTTCTCCATTGGCGACTGCTTGTTGCACGTCACCTCCTGCTGCCCGTACCCCCATTCAGGCAGCTTCTCGCGATGTGAGAAGAGATAGCAACCACTGAGCACATGTCGCAACCGGAAATGTGTCCTGATAGCCTTGAGTTGCTTATGCGATGCGCTGTCATATGCGTCGCCGTCCACGATCTCTATTTTGAAATTATCATTAGCGTCTCCGTTAAAGTCGTCGAAACCATATCCCGACACCTCGCTCTGGAATTCCGCCTCGCTGACCGGGGGCTTGTGATCGTGAGAGTGGAGGCGTTTGCCAGTGAGGAGATGCAAAAAGCGGACAACGGCTCCGTCGTGTATCTGTGAAAATGTCTCACTATGGTAGTCATGTGTATCAGCCTCGCCGTTGTTATGACTGCGTTCTACAATCTGCCAGATATTGTTGTCGTCGGAATACGGATAGAGTGTTATTTGCTGCTGGAATGAGCCGGTGGGGTAGTCGTGTTTGTGCGAGTGCAGATATCCGCCTGGTGAGTGCACATGGCGGATGGTCACTTCAGACCCCATTCCAACGGGCGCGTACGTGTCTTGCATCCTGTTGCCACGCAGTGACTGCTGGAATGCGGGACTCATGAACGTGTCCCCACCCCCAGACCTATTCAGGATGGATAAGTGGATGGCGAACATCCATAGGTAGAAGAGTATGGGCAGGACAATGAGACAGAGTGCTCGCGTGGTAAAGTGCTTGAATAGTAGTCGCGGTGGGATCTGTAAATCTCCAAGCAACTCCCACAACTCCCACAACGTACCGACGCCAATGGTCGCAACGGTGAAGAGACCAACCCACTTCACACTCACAACCGCACCCAAAGAGAGACCAGTGAGGATGAGCCACATCCACCACTCCTGGGTGAAGTGCGCGGCTTTTACCTTGTTTTGGTTGTGGAATCTGATAAAAGAGAGAGTGGAAAGGGCAGTAAAGAAGAGGAGAGGAGAGTCTAGTAGAATAAGGCGTGATTGCGTGGTGAGTGCGGTATCGAAAGTGATCAAAATACTCCCAAGAACTGCAGACAGCGGTCTGAGGTGGAGTGATCGACAGATACGATAGGTGAGTGGGGTCAACGCAGTACCCAGAACCGCGGGAGCGGCTCTCATGGCGACGTAAGGGACATCATGCGCCAGATAATCCTCACCTATCCGCTCAAAGGTGAAATTGCCGGTGAAACCAAACAACGCAGCGGCTGCAGTGAGGAGAAGCTTAGCGAGTGGCGGATGAACATCCATGAAGAATCTGAGAGCGTATGAGTATGGCAGATACACCAAAACATACCAACTCCCACCGCTGCTTAATGTATTTGGAAACCTGGCCACCGAAATGGACCTCATCGAATACGACAGACGGAGGACTACCGAGTCTATAGCACCTTACTATAAACGCCAGCACAGTCAATCCCACCAAAATCTTAATTTCGTGGTTTTGTATTCTCAGCGCGTGCATTTATCTTGATGGCAGACGACGTCCAAGAGATGGATGAATCGGATAAACGAGATAAACCAAAAACACAATTCAAAAGATTAGATAGATCACGTCATCAGTTCAATCTATACCAGCAGACACGCTCAACTGGCTCAGCTGGGACATCACCGATATCAACGCCGACATCAACGAGTATACCCAATATAAATGTAAATAAAAGTAGAAATATTGGAAATCTACACAACTCTCCAGCTAGTCCATCTCCCAGCTCATCAACAACCGCAGCTCATCAACCAGTTTATCAATTTGATCAGAAATCACGTACTCCTTCATTTACGAGTAATTTCAGTGGAATTAGTGGCAGTGGTGCTGCTCCTGGTGCTGCTTCTGCTCCTTACAAACGCACCCCTTACCGAGTGGGGTTCCAGCCTAAGGGCGTCGTTAGGGACAGATTCCATGACTTGGTCCGAGAGAGAGATAAGCACAAGCGTGATGATAAGGATATCCTCAATCACAGTCGTTTACTAAGACGTCTCGATAAGCTTGTTGAGCTGCACATCAATCACAAGCGCAAGCATGGCGACTCATTTGGGTTACTCAGTGATATAAAACTTCGAGCTAACGAACAAAACATCGTCAATTGGGAGGATGATAAGTTGGTAGACTGGTGTCCAATTGCACATATTCAGTTCAATCCCTTCAAATACCGCAAACATCACTGCAGATTGTGCGGTAGAGTCGTCAGCGCTGCGGAGGTGGCTAGAGATGCACTGAAAAGCAAGGCTAGCTTCGAGATGAAGAGAGATGACTATGGTAGAATGATGAAGCTGGATGATGAACAAGAACAAAAACAACAAACGGGAATACGAGTTTGTTTGGATTGCTGGAGAGTAGTTGAAAAACAAGAAATGAAAATAGTTATACCACGATATATGGGTGCATATGAGGTGAGTGTTGCTATCTCACTGTCCACGTTCCCCTAATGAAGCTATTTTAGGAAGCAATTGCTCTGGAAAAAGAGCTAGAGGTCATCACAAGTAATCGTACACTAAACACAAGCGTGGTTATGGAGAAAATTCAGCGGATGGAAGAGTTAATGAGATCTTTCAATGAACCCACGGCACTTTGCCGAGCGATAACGACTCGGTTCAGGGGCAAATTGGGCAAATACACGGCGGCAGTGAGGAGTGATTTGGAACAGTCTAGAAGAGTGAGAAGGTCAAGTGGTTTGAATGACAGCGGCGAATCGCGCGACAGACACCTCCAAGCGCTGTTCGTGCAGCAATCGCAGTTACTCAAGCAGATTGACTCTCTAAAAGAGGAGAGAAGGTTTGAGGATTTGAGCACTTTACAAGAAAATTTAGAAATTGTAAATAAATTTATCCAGGAAAATTGAAATTTAAGTACAAATATCATCTGATAACGTGCGTTGAACCGCAACCACCGCAATAACACAAATGAATTTGAACATGGAACCCATGGAAGCAGCAGACACAGCCCATAACAAAAAACAGCGGGGGAAATTATTCTACATATCAACTTCAGCTTCAGATGACCAGCAGCCTTCGTCTGTAGACGCCAACCAGCAGATATCCGACGAGGACGATGACTCTTCTTGGTCTGAATATTCTGATGACCAAGACGAGCCAAACCAACCAATCAGCTTTGAGAAGCTGCCGAAGAGATCCATGTCCGCTGCCGGTGGTTTTACCTATTTTCTATCCAACAAGCCCATTTACCCGAGCCAAGACAAATTGAGTTTATTGTCAACTATGTTCAATAGCCAGCAGAACCTCACAAAGGCTACGGAAAATCACTCTCCTAATAACTCCGAAGACTCCTCGGATAAAGACTGTGGTTTGGAATTTAACGCTAGAAATAGCAGACGTCTACAGAAAAAGTCACAAAGTGCTATGAATATTCCCCACAAAGGCACTTCACAAGATACGAGCTATGCATCCACTCTTGTTGGTTCAGAAAGTGGTGCACAGGGTGATCAACCTCCCCACAGTCCCCACAGTGCTCCAGGTCCTTTAGAAATACCAGATGCTCCTCTTAGTGCACGTCCACAGTCACCACGCACCATCAGACGCAACATGCTAGCATCAGAATTGAGTGAAAGTCTACGCAAATCCATTCTCTGGGAGCGTGAAACCAGGGCTAGAATGCTGCTTGGTGGTCACAACAACAGTTCTGGGATGCTCAATGCAAAGCTCCGCGAGAAATTTGCTCGTCAGGAAGCTGAAGCTGAGGCTTTAGCAAGGCAAAGAGAGGATGAGGAAGAAGAGTATTTTGATGATGATATGGACTTAGATTCAGCTGCGCACAATGCGCGTATCAAAAATAGAGTCGATTCTATAAAGAGTAACAATAACACTTTCCCCAACACATCCAACACATCCCATAGGAGATATAAATCCACTCCTGAACGCAGCGATAACCAATACCCACACAAAATGTTATCGACTAGCACAATCAACAATAACCCATCAAGCTCGTCGATTGCTGGTAGAAATCTCACAGAGAATGACCTATCCAAGTATCGGAGACCGCGAACGAGTACAAATAACTATTTGTCGTCATCACCTGACTATCATGGGTAAGTGGGGATGGGGATTTGTAGAGGAATACTAACAAGATCAACAGGTCTGGGTGGTGAATTTGATCAAATGAATCAAACGAAACGAATCAAATTTTCAGGGCTATCAGAACCATTAAGGCTATCAGTGTCGATCTTAGCTTGATTGACAGTGTATTTCTAATTTGAATTGAATATACCGTGGGTATTTGCGTCGATCGCGCGACACAAGACACAAGCCAGCAACTCACACAAAGCACAGACGACGCGTGAATCAATAGAAGTTAATATAACAAACAATTGCTCAACATTTCGCTCAACACTCAGAACAATATTGTCACCATAAAACATAATAAGTTGTAAATTTTATTCTAATACTGTATGTAATCTACGGGATAAATAGAGTGCTATAACTTCTAATAATGTAAGAATAGATAAACCACCATCTGATGCAACCTTCAGTCCGCTACAGTCACGATGACTTGCGATAACAAGCACATGGAAGAAGACGTTTGGGGAGGATCTGATGATGAATTGGATACCAAACAGCGCGATAAAGAGTGGAATAAGATGGAGGATAGATACATGGATGTTAGTCTGCCTTCTCTTCTGCGAATTGAATAGTGATATCCTCAAAGGAAGGTTACAGAGAGGGAATTAGCTTTGGAAAGGAATCACATCTGCAATCAGGATTCGATGAGGGCTACACAGTGGGTGTGGTGTATGGTAGAGAATACGGTAGACTGCGTGCATTTGCGAATCAAACACTGTCGCTGTTGGCCGGCAATGACAATGGCGCAGATAATGGATTAGTTGAGCGCGCTAGAAATTTAGTAGGCAGCGTCGGTAGAGTGGGTGCTCAGCAAATACTGCCCAAAGATATAGAGGCTATAGAACACGCCCGTGAGCATGAGCAGGCAGAGCAGGCAGCGACACACAAGAGCAAGATATCATTTAATGAGGAATTGGGCGGTGAGCGTGGCAGACAGAGGGATATCGATCATATCACCGCTGAATTGGATAGATTGGGTGAGGCTGTCGATGGCCGTGTGTTGCTTGATGGGTTGTGGATGGAGCTGAGATTGCTGGTTACGGAATCAGCCACTCTGCGCCCGCTGTTGGATTCTTTGTAGCTGTACATCTCTTTAACCCAAACGATCATCTACACCAACATTCAATCATGTCTATAATGGAATACAACGGCGGCTCAGTAGTCGCGATGAGAGGAAAGAAATGCGTCGCAATCGCCGGTGATTTGAGATTGGGCAACAGGAACATGAGTTTGGCGGCAAACTTCGAAAAGGTGGGAATTGGCGTGTGAGGCGTGTATACCATCTCATACGCACGCAGGTATTCCCAATTACGCAAAAACTATACGTTGGATTGCCTGGATTGGCTACAGATGTCCTCACTTTGTTAGTCTTGGTGGTGGTAATGACGCGTACACTCACACCCGCACAGGAGAGACACGTTCAGATTCAGAACAAACATGTACAAGCTCAAGGAGGGCAGAGAAATTGAACCGAATACGTTCGCTCACTTGGTCAGCTCCACTCTTTACGAAAGAAGGTGGTCGCCTTACTTTGTTGAGCCCGTTGTCGCAGGTTTAGACCCAAACAACAGTGAACCTTTCATAGCAGCCACTGACCTCATCGGCTGCCTCAACTTTGCTAAGGATTTCGTCGTTTCTGGTACTGCTTCTGATAAGATGTTTGGTATGGCTGAAAGTCTATGGGAACCAGATCTTGAAGCTGAGGATTTGTTTGAAACTGTCTCACAAACTCTTCTTAACGGTGTCGATCGTGATGCCTTGTCTGGTTGGGGTGCAGTCGTGCACTTGATGTGAGTGATGTAGCACAAAGACACTGAAAACACAATTCTAACCATTCGATAAACACAGAACACCTGAGAAAATTATCACTCGCTCCCTCAAGTCTCGTATGGACTGATTTCCCTCCTTCACCGAAACCTCCATGACCAAGTGAGTAGATAATTATAAGCAGGACAAGGCAGTTGTTTGATAGGATGAGTTACTAGAGAAGTACCACAAATAAGATATGTTAGACTTCATAATCTACATTGAATGAGAAAATGAAAAACTGACTAGATAGACATGGCCTTGTCCTGGCGCATGTCTTGTACACCAAGCTAACTCAACAAAAGCAGATGAAAGTATAAATATACATTGAACACATCTATACATTCCTCATTTTAATATACTTTGGTAATGCCTATGTGCTTTGCAATTAGTTTGAAGATTCTCGAGTAGCAAATTTTACCGACATTTCTGAGGTACTCGAGGTGCTTGGCTAGTAGTGCTCTCTGGTGTATTTTGCCCACAGCATCACCAATTCTCCGATCCGGGTTCTGCCCGTACACCACTGTGTAATCTTGCAGTCGTTCTCTGAAGTCTTCTCTTTGCGGGGATGTGTATGAAGGAGTAAGAATGCAAGCTGGGCCGATAGAGCAGTCGTTAGGGATCTCTATCGACGAGATAACTCTTGATTTTACGCTGAATGTGTTGCGTGAGCCTACAGAAGCAGCTTCTACACGTGAGCCAACTTCGAATACGTTTTCATCGCCAATGAGCATGGGTTCTTTGCGTCTGTGAGGGTGTTAGAGTGGTATATAAGACCACTTAAACCTACCTATTCACAATTATCGCAGATTCTTCAATTATACAGTTTTCACCAATAACTATAGCCCCTGGTACAGCAAGTATAGTGCATTTTGGATGTATAACGGTACCACTGGAGATTGTAATGCTACCTCTCAAGTCAGCGTCCTGTGAGTGTTGTGAGTTGTTTACACCACTACAAACTAGCAAATCCTACACACCTGGCAAACCAAAGCATTTGGATGGATCGATATCTTATCGACTTTATCAACTGCTGTCGTCATCGCCGTTCAAGTTTGAGACAAAATTAATTTATAATTTCGTAATAGCGATTCGATAAGGTTATAAACGACGCCGATGAGCAGCAATCAGAATCGATCAAAGGATAGCGCTACAGCGGGATCAGTGACCAGCCATGTACCTTGTAAGTTCTATAAGAAAGATCAATGTAGAGCGGGTGAGTGGGGTTGTTAGCTACGGCTTTACGTACAGCTTACAAGTGCTCATCACAGGATCAAGTTGCCCATTCAGCCACTCAAATCAGGTTAAAAATAAGACTACTTCACAGCCTTGTACTTGGTACTTGAAGGGTAGCTGTCGATTCGGACATCGTTGTGCCCTGAGTCACGTAATGCCCGGACAACCGCAATCAATGGATAAAAAGAATAAGAAGGAGGCACTACAAGTACAGAAGGATATCGTAAAGGATAGTTTGAATAAGGCTGATGATATGTTAAACCTACCACAATCAACTTCACTTGGAAATGTTAATCAACAATCAAAACCAGCTATGAACCCAGAACAGCATCAATTAAGCCAATCCTTGAGCTCATTTCAAAGGCCATCAATGTATTATAACTGGAGATCATTTTCTTACACTGACATTGACGATGATGACGATGATCATCACGAGACACTCGACGATTTGGAGAATGGCGAGGAATTCTTACCTTCATCACTTGATGAGCTATTGACGCCGTTGGAAAGGCGTAGAAAACATAGCTCAAGAACGAGTTCAATCTCTTCTGCGTTCACTTTATCACCTACCACAACAACAACTACTCGAAAGTTGCCATCAATACAACCACTCAACAAAACCGATATGGAGTCATCTACAATTACTGTCAAACCACATGAAGAAGATTCCACTCAATTCGATTTGGATTTGGATTTAGAGTTTTGAAGGGTTTTATCATTCAAATGATCCAGCGAAACGTGAAAATAAAAAGGTCATATGGATTTTATATACCACGCTCATTATACTCTTTTCACTTAAGTCAGTCACCTGACCCACTTTATCTCACTCATTTCAACCATTTCAACTCAAAAAAGTGATGAATGTACTATTCTCCATCTTGTAAACGATCATTTGATTCATTGTATATTTTCATTTCAATTACGCGTTATTTATAAATTTCCACGCGTAAACGCTTCTTGTCCTCGACCATCAAAACAATCGATGAATTGGGCTACGAATATACAATCAAAAATCCAGCAGGACGCCCAACAACCGCTATCAATATTAGAAGATTTAGTTGAAGATGGCTGCAACTTTGTTGATGACTTCTTATCTCGATTCAATTCAACTCAATTAGCTCCAACGACTGAATTAGTCAAGACGCCATCTAGGAGACATGGCAGTACTAGGCGTACAAGAGCAGCAATTGCTGCTGCACAGAAATCTGCTAAAAAAATTCATCAAATTAATGAGGTGCGTTTTGTCTACTCACACACGCACGGCAAACACGCTAATAACTAATACAGGATGTCTTCAATGATAAGCGTGATGTTAGTGATGGTCGTGAGCGTGACGCTGAGTCTGTGGAACAACCAAAATCACCTTCATTACCGGCAAAATCACCCTCACGCCTTCCAATCACAAAGAAATCTGTTAGAATGCCTCAAGATGAGCCCAGTGAGCATAAGTCACCTAATTCGCCTAATTTGCACAAATCACCTAAATCACCACCCGTCAATACTTTCCATAAAGCTCTCCTCAATATTCGGGACGAGAAGCCTGAACAGAACGCGCAAAACAATCAAAACATTCAAAAGTCGCAGAATGACACGAACGATGCTGCTCAAGTTGAAGAGGTGCTCGATGAACCAGAAGAAATACTTATGCAGCCACAAGCACAATCACAAGAAGAGCATAAGCAAAAGACCAGCACAGACTTCACAGCTCCAATTAGAAGGGATGATGATGCAAAAGATAAGACAAAGAGTCCTCCACGCAAATCATTAGCTTTCGCCTCCCTCCCCAGACGTTCACCATTGAAGAAATCAATATCAACAGCCAAAGACAGCAAGGATCCATCAATATCACGTGCTTCGTGGCTCAGCCATTCTGTCAAACCCGGTCCAAATGGTTTGGAATCTGAACGTAGTAGCTCAATTGCGACTGTAACCAGTGGTAAACGTAAATCTGATAAAATGGATGAGAGTACTGTTGAGAATGGCCAATCGCGCAAATTTAACAAGTCAATGTCACAAGAACAGCAGCAGCCACATCAAATCAATGAACCAAAGACTCCTGCTGATGCTCTAGCATTAAAGACTGCTGAAATTCGTAAACGTCTCACTCAAGTCGCGGGAACTCAGAAGAAACCTAATCTGTTTGACTTGCCGCCTAAGGAGGCACCTGTAAGTTTAGCAAGTGAGCCAATAATGCAATCGGAAGAGGATGTGAAAGTTTCACATTCGCAAAGACAATCGCAGTCACAATTGCAACCCTCTCAATCGCATTCAAAGTCACAGCAGTCGTCTGTCAATGCTCCTTTAGTTCCTGCAGTACCGATCGATGAATCTACCACCCCTCCTAATAGCCCACCTAGGAAACGTGCTGTTGATAGCTGGGACAGCAGAATGTCTGCCAATTTCCCAGGCGCTTATCCTGCTTCTGATACTGGTGCTGAACAGAAGGAAACTAGTGATGAGCAAGAAGAGGAGCAGGAGCAAGAGCACGAAGAGGAGCCAATTGTAGAACATGCAACAGAACAACAACAAGCACCTACACCAGTACCTGAAGCCGCTGATTTAAATCAAGTTGACCATATGATGCCGGATGATGAAGCTGCACAAAAGCACACAGAGGAAAACGAAAACTCCCACAAGTCCTCAGTCAAACATCAAGATAAAGATGAACCGATGGATCTTTCGGAAATTACGCAGCAGCAGAAAAAGCAACAAGAAAAAGAAAAAGCAGAGGAGGAGGACAAGAGTAAAAATAAGAGGAAACATAACACACACGAGGAGCTGGAGGAGAATGATGGTGATGAAGAAGATCAATACAGGCCTAACAAGCAACAAGCAACATTAAAGCAACCACAGCCTAAGCCTTCGCTGAGTGTGAAACCATTGCAGACTACCAACAAGTTCCGTCCACGCGCTGGCAGTACGGATAATGACAAGAAGAATCAATTCTCTAACATGCTCAACTCGAATGTTACACAGATGGGCAAATCACTCAATAAAAAGCCATCAGCGGTGAGGATGTCAAGCAGCACAACAGGACACCAACGTATGCCATCGCAGGTTTCTGTGCAATTAGCGCAGAAGGATGCGGCTGAGAGGGTAGCAGCTGAGAAGGAGAAGGAGAAGGAGAAAGAGCGCAAGGCAGCGCAACGTAAAGAGCAAGAGATGAGGCGCGTTCAAGCGCAGAAAGAGGCGCACGAGAAACAGGAAGCCGAACGTAGAGCTCAGCGTGATGAGTTGGCAAAGAGGAGGAGAGAGAGAGAGGAAGCGGCAGCGGCGAAGAAAGCACAGCAGCAACAGGAGAGAGCGCAGCAACAGCAAGAGAGAGCACAGCAGCAACAAAAAGATAGGGAAAGGGCAGCTGCAGCTGCGAGCAAGAAAGCGAATGAAGATGAGAGTGCGAGTCGCAAGCTTGGTACATCAACAACAGGCGCAATGAGACCTATGCATCAGCGTACAACAGCAACGCGCGTCTCTAATGCACCTGTGCAGAGAGGACTCAGACCTAGTGCATCGAACGGTACACTCGGGTATAAGGCGATGAACAATGCGCAGTCTGCTAGCACGGCAGTCAGAGATGGCAAGGAGAAGGAAAAAGAAGCAGAAGCAGCACTACCACTGCCTAAACCAGTACCACTGCTCAACAACAACGCATCACATAATACCGAATCGATAGAGTTACCTGACATCAACAGTGAATATAGCGATAGCGAGGATGACGCGCCGAAGAACTACGATCTGCCACGTTGGGCTGAGTCGCCAAATCTGAAGGCGCAACTGCAGATGCAATCAACTATTAACCCCGATGAGGTGTTTGGTATGATGCGTCCACTCAGTATGGACGATATTTTTGGGGTCGGCCAGGCAACGAACCCTAACCGCCACAAATTCAGAGCTAGGACGAGTTCAGCTAACTGGAGCGGTGCTGATAAGCTCACACCGGCAGAGGAGCTGGCTTACGCGGAGAGAATGGGTTTCCATGGGACGACATCGAAGGAGAATAACGGGAAGAAGAAGTAGGTGGAATTAAAAGTTTACATATTAGTAGAATAGAAGAATGTGTATGCATTTGTAACAATAACAAGTTTTTATAATCTCAATTTTTGTGAAATCAAAACGCTTGCGTCATTGCGTCACGTGGTTCGATGCTATCACGAGCACTTCGATCGACAGCAGCAAGGAAAATGAGAATAGTACCAGTGCCAAACCAGAGCGACAACTACGCGTACTTGATTATAGACGAGGCGGGGAAGAAAGCAGCGTCTGTGGATCCTTATGCAGTGGACAAGGTGTTGGCTGCAGCGAAAGCCGAGGGTGTGGAATTAGCAGCGAACATTAGCACACACCATCATAACGACCACACTGGTGGTAACATGGAGCTGCACAAGCAATTACCCAACATTCCCTTCTATTCCGGCTCACAGAAGGCGCCAGCGACGACGAATATTGTGAGCCACGGGGATGAATTCAAATTTGGCAGCTTGGATGTTAGGTAGGTGGTATTAGATGAAGTGGAGCATAGTTGAGCTCAAGTATCGCAGCTGCCACTCCACGCCATGCCATACGCAGGACTCTACTGCGTTTTTGGTCCACGACAAATCAACTGGCCAAAAAGCAGTGTTTACGGGGTAAGTTGGATTCTTTTGTGTGCATATAGCGTGCTCACCTGTACACCCCCAGCGATACGCTCTTCACCGCTGGCTGTGGCAGATTCTTCGAGGGCACTGCTGCTGAGATGCACAAATCCCTCAATGAAGTACTCGCAAAGCTGCCATCGGATACTGTTGTTTACAATGGCCACGAGTACACGCGTGGAAAGTAGGTTCTTGTCTTATTCAGGGTAAATAGCTTAATGACGACATTGATAGCGTCAAATTCGCCCTCACAGTCGAGCCAAAGAACGAGGCGTTGAGGAAGCTGGCTGAGGATACGGCTGCAAATTCGCAGACTGTGGGCAAATACACTATCGGCGACGAGCTTGCACACAATCCATTCATGAGGGTGCATGTGAGTGAGGTGCAAGAAGCCACCGGGGAGAAGGAAGGCGCGAAGGTTATGGCAAAGCTACGTGAGATGAAGAATAAAGGTTAGCTTGTGTTTTGTACTCTAATCGATTTCTTCATTTCTTTTGGAATGTCGTCATTACGCACAAGAGCATGGCTGGATATATCTGCTGTGAGTGATTGTATGTTTAAAGGCACGCTAACAGCTGATACAGCTGTCTAATGAGGAATTTGCTGTGTACGCGCACTGTGGACTCATATTGGAAAGAGAGGAAAGAATGTCAAGTGACGAGTGCGCTGGAGTACTTATAAACAGATTCAGCTTCTCTTTCAGCAACGTCAGCGCTGCATTTAACGCTCTGTTTGGCTCAGAGCGCACTTGCACACTCACATTAGCTCGAGAAGAGTTACTAGCGGTGATTAGGCTACTGTCACATGCAAGTAACTACACGCAATGGCAATATTTCTTATTCGAACAGAGTGGGTCGGCGTATTTGGTGGGTGATTGCGTGGCTGACTCAAATCACAGCACATCCGCATCCCAACTTCAGACGCAGTAAACAAAGCAATACCATTCAAGATGGAAAAGGCAGCGAGAATAAGGCAGCAGAGAAGCATCCGCCGCCTCCGCCACCGCCTCGCAGAACCTTCTCAGACAAAAACCCATTCAGCAATCTGTTGCAGTCTTCGAAACCGCACCTGCCACCGCGTCAGAGTGCGCCAGATACTCAAACGGAGACGGCGTCGACAAGTACTCGCAATCAAAATGACGTCAGTTGGTTTAAGCCACCCCCAAGGCCACCTGCGAAACCACGCCTTGTTGGTCTGCAGGAGAGCAGACGCCCGAATTTGATGCAGCGGTCGCGGAGCTTGCAGATATCTGCTAGCGAGATACGTAGTTTGTTTGGTGGTGAGCAAGGTGATGATAGAAATAGGGGGAATGAGGAGAGTGAAGAAGCGTGGTTGCTTCGGAACAATACAAACAACTCAAGCAACTCAAACAATTCAAACAATTCAAACAATTCAAACAATTCAAACAATTATACCGCATTGCCTTGATGCATTCATTTACGTGCCTCTACTAGCAATATGTGATACCCAAACTCAGATTTAACCGGATCAGATGGCTGGTTGACGGGCAGGTTAAACGCTGTCGATGAAATTGGCTCAACGAGATCTGTCTTTTGCTGTGAGGGCCGTGTTAAAGCGTCCAAGCAGACAAAGCACAATCTCACCTTCAATCCAAGCAATCCACCTGCTCTGGCCTTGTCCTGCGAATACTCCATCGCTATTTTTGCAAAGTTTTCGCCATTCTTGATCTTATCGAGAGCCTCAACAGCTTTTGAGTGCTTATCTGTGAGGACATGACGGAGCTGTATCGCTTGAGCGCCTGTTTGCTATGTGATGTGAGCGAAAGCAAGACATTCATATTCAAACCCATACTTACTTTCTTGCCCATGATTGTTTTTCCCTACCACCACCAATGTCGCTCGCAGAAGATTTCTGGAACGAGCGTAAAATCAATGATCCAATACACGGGTACATCACTCTAGACACTCTCTGCTTCACAGTTATCGATTCTCCTCAATTTCAGCGTCTGCGCTATCTCAAGCAACTGGGTTCTTCCTATTTCGTTTTCCCTGGCGCAACACATAACAGATTCGAGCATTCAATCGGCACCGCATTTTTAGCCAATCAGCTCGTCACCCTCCTCCAATCACGCCAACCTTATCTAGGCATCGACGAACGTGATGTCCGCTGCGTCACTTTGGCTGGTCTCTGTCACGACCTGGGTCATGGCCCTTACAGTCACGTATTCGACAACACCTTTATTCCCGCCACTTGTCCACACCTCACGTGGTCTCATGAAGTCGCGTCTGAAATGATGCTCGAATCTCTTTTCGATGGTCTTAGACAGAGAACTGATTTCGATTTCCCAAAAGATGAGCTTGAGTTCATTCAGGACCTTATTCGCGGTCGTCCTCGTCCAGATAATCAACGCAGTGAGAAAAATTTCCTTTTCCACATTGTCGCCAACAATGAGAGTGGTTTAGATGTCGATAAATTCGATGTGAGTTAAGGTTTGTCATTATGTTAACTATTCTGATTCAATGATTCAGTACATGGCTCGTGATACTCGCAATTTGGGTGTCAACAGCACACACGACACATCGCGTATTCTCCACTCAGCGAGAGTAATCGATGATTCAATCTGCTACGACCACAAAGAAGTTATTAATATTGCTGAACTATTTCATACGCGTTGGTCACTCCATCGTCGTATATACACCCACAAAGCATCTCAAGCGGTGGAATATATGATTGTTGATGCTCTAGTTGCTGCTGATGCCTATTTGGGCATTTCCAAGAAAATCTCAAACCCTAAGGAATACCTCCACCTTACTGACTCTATAATTGAGGATATCAGCAGATCGAAAACCCCAGAACTCGAACAGGCGAGAAGTATTCTTGAACGTCTATACCTCCGGGATCTCTACAGATGTGTCGATCACAGCGTATACCCTTCTAGCGATTTTAGCAAAGAGGACATTGCGAATCTCAACTCTGAGCTCGTTGCGTCACATGCACCTGACAATGTGGAATTGTCTGCTGATGATATTATAGTTGACTGGTAGGTTGTCATGTTGATTTCATGGACCAAAGTAACTCACTCTTCTAGGACTCGCATACACCATGGTATGAAACAGGAGGATCCTGTAAGCAAGATATGGTTTTTTAGCAAATATGGTAAAGGGCCAGATTGTGAGTGATGATGTTGTTAAAAACGTATAATATGACTCACTCAACTCACTCCAGACAAATTCAAATTACGCAAAGATCAATCACTTTATGCACGTCCAGAGCATTTTGAAGAGTTATGGTTGAGATGCTTCACTAAAGGTAGGTTAAAACACCTCTCAATTCACACTAATAGAGAAAAACAGATGCCAGCAAATTTGGAGCTGTTCAACATGCATTTAGAGCGGCAAGATATGATTTAGAGAGAAGCAACGAAGCAACTTTAGAATCTTCATCTAGTCAAGGTACGATTGGGGAAGATAGTCGATTGAATACACCACTCTCGAAAAGCCAACCAGATGGAAAGAAGTCCAAGTCATTATCAAGGATGCCATCATTCCCCAATGATGCAGAAACAGTGCCGCTAAATTATGCACATCCTGTGTCCAAGTATAGCTCACCAGATGCGCAACAGATGAGTAGTAAAACGCGAAAGAGAGAATCGATTGGGAGTGCCTCGAAGAAGCCAAGGATGTAAAGTATTTGAGAAACAGAAACATTTTAGTCTAATTTATTTAGTTTTTTCATCAGTTCTTGTCTTCTTGGTTAACGGCGATGAGTTTGATTAGCAGTTTAGCGTGGGTTAAGAGGGGAATCGCAGAGGAGCATCCAAAGAAATATGAGTTAGATGATAAGGAAATGGAGCGTATCTCAGCGTTGGCTAAGGTGGAATTGGAAGATGCTCAGACTGAATTGGCCAGGGCGGAGAAAGAAGCAAACGAAATGGATGAAAGGAGAGCAAAGGACGAGGGAATGGATGTTGAGAATGATAAGGATGAGTAGGTTGTCTCTCTGGCGCAGGTTTTCCCTAGCAAATCTGACCAATTGATCCAGTGAGGAGAATGAGGAGAATGAGCAGGCTGAAGAGGATGAGAGCATGAGCGGTGATGATGATAACACCCACAAGCAACAGAAGAAAGATCCAAATGACTTATCCGAGTACAATTTGGACAATTATGATCAGGAGGACAACAATACGGGTGGTTAGTTGGTTCATTCTCCGGTTCAAGTACTCAACTCATACTTCCTTACAGCCCTCGGCGCTTTCTCAAATATGAAAGGCCTTTCTTACTACAAAAACCCTGAAGAAGACCCGTACGTCACTCTCACTCAAGAGGAAAAGAAAGAAGAAGAAGATGAAATTAGAGAAGAATTGCAAGTTCTTCCTTCAGATAACATGCTCGTGTCTGCAAAGACTGAGGATGACCTGTCTATCTTAGAAGTACACGTTTATGACGATTCCCAGGAGAATTTATACGTGCATCACGATCTCATGCTGCCATCGTTTCCTCTCTGCTTAGAATGGTTGGACTACGCTCCAGGTACAGGTGCACCAGGTAACTTGATTGCTGTTGGTACTTTCGAGCCTGAAATTGAGATCTGGTCACTCGATAAGATCGATGGGATGTATCCAGACACTATCTTGGGCAAACTTGAACAAGGCAAGTCTGCAAAGTTGTCTGCACCTGCTGCCGGTACTGGTAAGAAGAAGTCAAAGCTCACCAAGGCAAATGATGAGTACCACACGGATGCCATCTTATCACTCAGTTGGAACAAATTGCATAGAAATATTTTAGCATCTGGTTCAGCTGATCACACGGTCAAGTTATGGGACTTAAACACATCCAAAGCTCTTAGGAGCTTCAACCCACACAACGAGAAAGTGCAATCTTTGCAGTGGAACGAAGAGCAGGGTGAAGTACTTTTAACAGGTGGTTACGACAAAACAGTTAGGACTTTTGATACTAGATCACCTAATGATGGTGTTGGTTGTCTAGTTTCTGCTGATGTTGAAGTGTGTAAATGGGATCCATTCATCAGTCACAACTTCTACGTATCCACTGAAAACGGTTTAGTACAGCAGTTTGATGCTAGAAATCTTTCATCCGTCAAGCATGGTGAGAGGGTGTCCAGTGAATCACAAGCTATTTTCACATTAGCTGCCCACGACGGTGCGACATCAGCTCTTGACATCAACCCACACTTCAAAGGCTGTTTGGCTACCGGTGGTACTGACAAACAAATCAAAATTTGGAACATAGATCAATCAGAAGATAACCTTAATAATGTCACCTTAACTACATCAAGAGATATGGATATTGGTAGAATATTTAATGTTTCTTTCAGTCCTGACGACCCACTCGTCTTGGCTGCTGGTGGCTCCAAAGCCAAACTGCAAGTATGGGATATTGGTACAAATGCAAATGTAAGAAATGCCTTCTCAGGTCGTATCAGCAACTATCAAGAACGCCAACGTCAGAATGATGGTGTCGTTGGTGTACAGTCGGACAATGATGAGGATGATTATGAGGATGAATAGACTTCTTTATACTAATACAATTATAATCTTTTACTTGCATTGCTCTCTCTGTATTTATAATAAACACAATATTCTTATATAGCTTTTTTCTTACGTGCGTAGAATGGTGCTATGTTCTTAATGGCTTGTGGAAATGTTTGGGATACTGTCATACTTTTGTTGATCCAACCTGGTAGCTTGTTTTGAATTTGCGAGGTACCAAATCGTTTATCGATTAGCACTAAACCCGCCCAGTCATTCTGGTGTCGAATAGCTCTACCAATTGATTGATTGACGGATCTCATGCACTGATTCATTACCAATTCATTCCCCGCATCGTGTTGTGATGATTTAGTGAAGCTTCGAACGTAATTCTTTCGCTCCTCTAATGCAGGTGAAGGTGAGGGGAATGGGAGGCCAACCATGACGACACAGCGTGCGAGGTTATCCGAGAAATTGATACCTTCAGAAAGCTTCGCGCCTACAACAGCGAAGAGGACGGATCCAGTAATTTTACCAGTTTTGCATTGAATACCCTGTGTATATTTATCCAAAGTGATCTGCACATCCGCCGCTTCTTTAGGTTCACGGAAGAGCTTCTTTTTCTGTTCAATACGTCCTATCACACCGCTCTTCTTCCAATGAGCTTCGACAGAATTGAGGTATCCATACGAAGGGAAGAAGATAACGAGCCCATCTGGAACTAAATTGATTAGATTCTGCACGATCATTCCCAGCTCATTCATCAGCTCCGGTTTAGATCGCGCCTCGTATCTGAAATCCATATCTAGGCCACTAGGACCCTTGCTTAGAGCTGTAGCGAGGAGGTGAGAAGGAGGTATGACATGAGCGCAGCTGAGGCTGGTGAACCGGGACGGGGGCAGTGAAGGCATGAGGAATGTCTTAAAGTCAGTTATGGGATGCATAGTACCACCAGCGAGTATAACAGCGCGTGATTCATCAAGTATGCTCCTGAAATGCTCAGCACCATTCAAAAGCTGGTAGCTGAGTCGCACGGTGTCCGCTTCGAACGTTACCACTACTCGCCCATCACTGTCCGGATAGGCGAGAGCGAGTAGCAGACTCTGCACGTGATGCATCGAACTTGCAGATGCGAAGCTGACGTTATCAGTGCTTGTGCTGTCTTTACTATCTTTGTTGTAGGGCTTTCTTAGGCTGTCTTGCTTAGCTTCCCTCTCGGCGAATGCTCCCAGCTTGGCAATTGAGTCAGTACGCTGATTTAAATTCACTGCAAATCATACATTATACACACCTTCTGAGACATATGCGAATCGCGCAAGTAAGCTTCTACACTACCGAGATTGACATCCTCGCCGAACCCTTCGACGACGTCTTTGGGTTGGAATATTTCTTCCTGTGTCTGTGTCTGTGGATGTGGCTGCTTGTCGTTTTTTTGCCTCGGCGTTGCTTTTTGCGTCTCGCGCTGCGCTTTCATCTTGTCGCAAAACACTATCAGGCCCTTAAGTGTTTTGGCAAACAACTTGAGCGATACCAGGTGCTGGCCGCTGAGACGCTTGCCGTAGCGCTGCATGTATGTGGACAGTGCATTGATTGCTGCATTGAGCGTACGCATTGTGACGCTGCATGAATGTACTGCGAGTATTGTCTGATTTTCGATTAGTTGGTTAGATCGTCTGATATCACTTCACGTTCAACGCACGTCGATAAGGTTGTGTGCTTCATCTATCACGACTATGTCTGTGAAATGATGAGCGAAGTGTCTATGCGTGGCGATAGACATACGGTTTTTCAATGATATACCCAGGGACTCCCGCGCTCTTTTGGAAAGAAGGAGGTTGTAAGGCAGAGTACATATCTAGACAGTATGAGAAGGTCGTTTTCAATGCAAACTAAAACTAAACTCTCACCTCTGACTGCTTGATTGCTCTCCTCGACCCGTAGTATGGACAGACGTGCAGTGTCTTACCAAGCTCCTCGAGATCCTCTACATTGCGTATAGAAGATAGAGCGTGATCGCGGAACTCGAGCAGTCTCCCTTGCTCATCTATCTTAGGATAGAACTCACACCTTTTTTCACTCGATGCAGGCGCAGTCCTGAGCTCGCGACATCGCTCATTAAGTCCAGCGTCCCCGCCCGGTGCATTCCTTGCCTTGCTGTTTATGCAGAGATTCTTGCGCGATGCTAGCGATATCACCCGCGCGTTCTCTTGATATGATGTCTTGCTTATCTCGGAGATGAACTGAGATAATTGGGAGTGGGTGCGCGATGCGAAGAAGATCTGCAAATGTTTTGTTAGATAGCAGCGTGAGCGTGTGAAAAACACACCTTTGTTCTGTCCACTTCTTGCTCTTGCAGTTCTGCTGCTTCCATGTACTTGGAGCGGTTTTGATTTTGGTTTTGCTTGGAAGAGTGTAATTTGGAGGAGTTGAGATCGAATCTGATTTGCATTAGCTGTGTTCTGCTATCACCGCTCACGCTCACGCTCAACTCACTCATCAAGCATTGCCTTCGCGTCGGCATTGATGTCGTCATTTTCGGATTGGCAGTTTTCGTCTGGCAGAAAATGGTCGTCATCAGCTGCATCGTCGTAGTCAATTCTCTAGCGCAGATTGAGCATTATTGTAAACCCGCATAAAGCAACACCGACAATCTTCTTGCGTGCGTTGTCGTCATCGTATTTAACAGTATGTTTGCGCAGTAGCTGCTCTTTTTCCCTGACAGCAGCAAGTCTTTCATCCATAAGCCTCAATTCGTTGTCCTTTTGAGTATTTAGCGGTGTACACGCTGTCACCGACCCAACCCACCAAATCTTCTCGCTTGAGTTTGAGAGAGTGTTCAATGACCCAAGCAGGCTTGTTGCCTTTCTTAGCCAGCAAATCCTCTCTCAAACGATCAATTGTAGAGTCCCTCGACTAGAATGATCGCATCAGCTGCCGATGTAGCCACTAAAGCTTAACCAACGCGTATAGAATAATCCCTTAGCCAAGTCAGGCATCCAACTAACAAGCTGAGCGATTTACCCTACAAAACATGTACTTAGCGGATGCTTGTACCGGACAGTCCATCCACTTACGGTACCTGTAGGTGATTCGAGTACTGCGACGGATGAGTTCTCGCACGCGTCGTAGCAAGCGCTCATGAAATCATTTTGTATTGCGTATGGGCTATACGGGAAAGCTTGAAATTTAGTCATGTGCGAGCTGATAAGCCAAGCGCGATCAACGTTTGTTGGATTTCGAATATCTTTCAAGTGAACAATCAAGAACACATGAGCAACGAATCAACGCCAACGAGTAAATTACTTGTTGCTGTATTCAATGTAAGTATTAGCCTTTTCCTGGTGCTAGTGCTGCTCAACTCACACAACCCCTAGAGCGTCATTGAAGTGATCGTGCTCTGCTTATGCGGGTATTTCCTGGCTACGAGGAAGATAATTGACAAACCAGCAACGAGGCTTCTAAATAAGCTAAATATCGATCTATTCACACCCGCTTTACTCTTCTCGAAAGTTGCCTTCTCTTTGTCTCCTTCGAAACTTAGAGAGCTGCACGTTATTCCTATTGGCTTTGTTCTTATCACTCTCGCTTCTGTCTTGGCTGCTTGGGGGCTTGGTCGTCTCGTCGGCCTAAACAAGCGCCAGAGAAATTTCGCAATCGCTTGTGGCGCGTTTCAGAACTCTAACAGCCTTCCGATCGCCCTGATGCAGTCTCTCGTCGTCACAGTCCCCAGTCTTAAGTGGTCCGTACACGACACAAAGGAAATGATGCTTGGTAGAGCACTCACTTACTTGGTCGTCTACTCCACCATGGGTCAGGTACTCAGATGGAGTTGGGGTGTCAGGCTCCTCGCAGAAGCTGACCAAGCTGACGAGCCTAACGAACAACTCGAAAACAATCGCTCCTTTGACGGTTCTGAAGAAGCTACAGTTTATAACGACAACTCAGCTACTCCCTACAACGACAACTCAGCTACAGAGAGTGATCCAGCTTTAGCGTTTGCACAGAACAGCCACTTCCCTTCCTCTGGTCGTCATCCAAGCATTACGTTATCACCTTCAACACCCTCAACCAGCGTACCACCTGCTATTAGCTACGGAAACGACCATAAACTATCTACGGGATTACCACACGCTCAAATACCTCCGCAAACCTATCAATTTCAGCAAGACGACAGCAGTTCTAGTGATACAGACGATGACGACTCTCTCGGAGATAGAGAATGGGGTCTTCCTAGCGGGACAGGAAAGATGAGCACCATAAAGCGCCTGTGGAAGAAATGTGAAAGACGAGTGAAGCCAATTACTAGAGTGATTGGTGTTGCTTGGAGGAAAATAGTAAGTTGAGAGCTGCATTGAATGAAACAATCTAACACGCCTAAGCTTTCTTTCATGACACCCCCACTTTGGGCGGCTTTCGTTTCTCTTGTGATTGCTTTGATCAGACCTTTGCAGAGTTAGTGATGAAAATAAAGTAAGAATCTTTCTAACATATACTCAAGATGCGCTCGACAAAGCAACGCCTTTGAGAGGTGCCATCAAGAGCGCAGGAAATGTCTCAGTACCACTCACACTTGTTGTTCTCGGTGCATACTTCTATTCATCCGCACCAGAGTCGAAACCAACAACAATACAAGCACCAATCGATCAATTTGAAGGAGATTTGCAGAGGCGGCGACCAAGTTTCGTTAATAGCGTTCAATCATTCTTCACAAATGGAGTAGTAAACATAACAAAGCCACGTACACGTACAAGTATGGACAAACGCGGAGAGAAGAGGACAGTATTTGTTGCTGTGGTAGCTAGGATGATAATAACACCAGCAATGATTCTACCATTGTTCTTATGGGATGACCTCACAAGCAAATATCGCGTATTGGATGATCCAGTGTTTGTAGTATCGGCATGCTTACTGATAGGCTCGCCACCAGCCCTGACACTAGCGCAACTAACACAAGCCACAAGTGGAGACGCATTTGAGAAGCTGATATCGAAGACGCTGTTCATAAGCTATGCACTAATAACGCCGATAACATCGATAATAATTGTAGCGCTTGGATTAGTTTTATCTAATCAAGTTTAAAGTTAAATTCATTTCATCCTTATCAACGTCCATGTCCACTTCGTTATGGAGAAATTAAAGAAAATTAAGCGTAGCAGGAAGGGATCTACTGCGTCAAAGGAGGATAAACAGGCACAGCAGCCACAACAACCAGCTCAACCACTGGAAGACTCAGATAACCCAGTTGCTCCATGGCTCAGCTCAAATCTCGTCCAATCAAATCTCAACATGAATTATCTTCCTCCAGATACACCGCCGATCAATAAGGCAATTAATTTGAATTCCTCCACTGCAGATCTCTCCGACAAGGCCGATATCGACAACCACCGTTCCTCAGCAGAGCACAAGCGCAAAGGCTGGAAGAATCTTTTAAAACCCAAGCATTCTACGTCCTCCGTGCTTTCCAAAGATTACGCTGATCATCATTCTCACACTCCTTACACCCCTAACGACTCTCCTGCTCTTTCGAGGGCCGCGTCCTACGCCGATATTCAAAAGGATCCCCATCCCTCGTCCTCTAAGACTCCCCGAAATAAGCCTCGTTTAGGCTCCTCCCACGGTAAACAGGACGAAAGGCCTGGTGAACCTGCTATCTCACTCGATACTGATCTCACTCACATGGAAGGTATCGTAGCTGGCGTCAAGGATCCTCAACCAAATCCGAAACGTGAAAAGAGGCAAGGCTCTGCTTCTACTGCTGGCCATTCTTCCAACTCCTCAAATAGGAATGCCTCCTCCAATTCTTCTACTAGAGGCCGTTCAAGAAGCCGAAGATCAAGCACTGCCCACAAAAATCAACCACCAATGACCCTACCCACTCCCTCCTTCTTAATTGATGGTCAGTTCGATCTTGATCTACTTCCGCGCTCCAAACGGCCTGGTGCTCAGAAATTGTCTTACAGCACTTCTCCGAGAACTCAAGATCCCCCTCAATTGGCTCCAAGTCTGTCCATGTCCCCACCTACTCCCGCAAAGGAAAAGCAGAGATCCGGCTCAAATGATCGCGGTGACAGCAAGTTCCCTGCTGATTCCAAATGGCGCATTAATCCTCCGCCATCCGAGTTTGATATACCCAAAAAGATGGGAGGGAAGCGTTCTGGTCCTCCTTCACCACGACAACCTGACCATGTGCAATTAGGTGGTATCAAGACGGCGTTCAATCAGACACAACCTCAAACGGTTGCAAATAGTGCTGACAATTCTAGCCCGGCTGGCTGGCAAGCACCCGAAAGTTGGGGAATAGTACAAGCACCTTCCAGCAAAGAAGAGTACGACTCAGGTTCTTCCGAGGAAGATGAGCAAGGAGATGGTTATTATGACGACAATGACGATAATCATCAGCGTAGGGTTTCTAATTACTTTGACTTTAATCCAGAGGAAGACAACTGGAATGGAGCTTTTGGTGAAGCTGCAACTTGGGGTTCACCAGCTTTCCAGAGGTCATCAGCTGATCAGAATGCAGGCGTGAGACCGATTCGGCTGAAACCATTAGATCAAAACAATCCATCTACAACTGATGTGAATGAGTATGTGGACGAGGAGAGTCGAAAAAATAGCGATACTGGTAATAACGGTACCAGGTCGCGTCAGCAGTCGAAAGATTCAGGCGGACAGACGAACAATCTGACGCCTAATCATACTGGTGAGCAATTAGAGATAGGGGAGGATATTCGGAAAGCATCTCTCCGTAGAGCTTCCTCGGCGAAGCGACCTACTAGTTCAAGTTTACAACGACCTTCCACTGCTGGAAGTGCATCTCAGCAAGGATCGAAAGGAGCTGCAGGAAATGTACGTCTTCCTTAAGTTGAGATTATTGCAAAGCTAACACCACTCAGTACTGCATCCGCGTTTACAAGTCTGATGGATCATATCTCACTTTCTCAAGCGCATTACATACGACCGTAAATGAACTTTCTCATATGATTGCCAAAAAGTTGAGAGTTCAGCCAGCAATGCATCAGTTATATATCCGTGAGAAGATGAAAGAAAGGGCTATGGGATCTTCAGAGAAGCCATTGTTACTGCAAAAGCGCAGACTCGAGCAGCTTGGATTCACTGACAACGATCATCTAGATGAGCTTGGAAAGGAAGATCTAAGCTTCATTTGCAGATTTATTTACAGGATCGCTACTGTGACCTACTACGAAGCTGAGGATGTTGGCTCATTTGGTAGCTTCGAATACATCGACTTGCAAGCCAAGAATTTACAAACAGTGCCAATTTTCTTATATCGTCATGCTCACTCAATCATCTATCTCAATCTTTCGAAGAATCCACTCACTGATCTACCTTCTGACTTTATTCAATTGTGTACATCACTGCGCGAACTCAAATTATCGATGGTATCGATGAAGAGATTGTGGCCAAGCGTGCGTCTCTATTGTCGCTCACTTACGCGGTTGGACATGTCATGCAATCGTATGCCAGAACTTGACCATATCGATTTCAAGTGTCTGCCAAAATTGCGTAGTTTGAAAGTACAGAATAATAGGTTGACGCAACTGCCTGAGTCTTTGTCAGAGTTGAAACACCTCAAATACCTCAATATCTCTAACAATAAGTTTGATGTCTTTCCTCGGGTGGTTTGTAAACTGACAGGACTGGACGATCTCGACGCTTCATTCAACACATTCCAGACTCTACCTGAAGAGATAAGTGAATTGAAGGAGATTCATAGGGCTGTTTTCGTCGGTAATCAGTTGGCAGTACTACCAAAAAGTGCTGCCAATTTGATCAGTCTTCGAGAATTGGATATAAGGAGAAATGCACTCACTGATATATCAGTTGTTTGCGATCTCCCTAATCTTGAGGTATTGCTGGCAGATTTTAATCATATTGGTGTGTTGGATGTCACGATCGGTCCAAATGCCAACAGATTCAAGTCACCAAATAATCCATTAACCTCATTTTCGCTATCAACAGCTGATAACAATCCAGCTCACATCACAAGACTTGACTTATCTAATGCCAAACTAGCAATGATTTCAGATGATGCGTTCAGATACTTACCTAATCTTTTACATCTATCACTCGACTACAACCAATTCACAACTCTTCCTGGCGCGATTGGAGAGTTGTCAAAGTTAGAAATTCTTTCATGCACCAACAATTTGCTATCAACGCTACCTGAATCGATAAGCGATCTTTTCAATTTACGTACCTTAGCATTACACAATAACAACCTCAAAACAATATCAACGGCTATTTGGCAATGTCAGAACTTGGAAGTGCTGAATGTGTCAAGTAATTTATTGGATGATTTCCCAGATCCTCCCTTGCATCACGATGCGACATCAGCACCTAACTTAGCAGCAGCAGCAGCAGCGGCCAATGCTATGTCGCATCAAAGCAGTACGAGTGATTTGAACAGTCGAGGTGGCAGCGCATCATCAGCGCTGACTACATCAGAGAGTGATCGCAAAACATCAGCCTCATCGGCTGCTCCTCAAATTGGTACACCTGGGACACCACAAAGCAGACCTGCGTTGCCATTAGTTTCAAAGCTTCAAAGGTTGCTTATTGCAGATAACAGGCTGACAGATGAGGTATTCGATCCCATCAGTCTAATGACTGAGCTCAGAGTACTCAACCTGTCATTCAACGAGATTGATGAGATACCACCACACCGTCTCGGCAAGAACAGTGGCTTACAGGAGTTGTATCTCTCAGGTAACAATCTCCGTAATTTACCTTCGGAAGATTTGGAGAGACTCATTGCACTGCGTATCTTGCATGTCAACAGTAATAAAATTCAAGTGCTGCCTGCTGAGCTTGGTAAAATAGCCAAACTGCATGTTCTAGACGTTGGTTCCAATGTACTCAAGTATAACATTGCTAATTGGGGCTACGATTGGAATTGGTGAGGTCGTTATTATCGAAGCCTTTTTTACTAACAAACTAAAAGGAACTGGAATTTAGACCTTCGCTATTTGAACTTTTCTGGAAACAAGAGACTCGAAATTCGTGAAGTGAAAGACTTCGACAACAGAAATTCAACACCGGCTGGTAGATTGAATCTAGCTGAATTCTCTAGTCTGAAGGAATTGAGGGTACTCGGTCTGATGGATGTCACGTTGCGTGTGCCTTCTCTACCCGACGAGACTGAAAATAGACGTGTGAGAACGTCGTTTTCCAACATCAACAATATGGCCTATGGGATAGCAGACTCAATTGGTAATTCTGAAAACCTTTCAATGTCAGATTTCGCTGTCCCGAGGTTTAGAGGCAAAGAGAATGAGTGTCTTTTCGGCTTTTTCGATGGGAAGATAAGCACGACAGCAAATGGGTGCCACTTGTCCAAGTTTCTTCATGACAGCTTTGAGTCGCAGCTAATCAAGGAATTGTCTCGACTAGGACCTGGAGATGACACTCCCGATGCTCTTCGCCGTGCATTCCTGCGCCTCAACAAAAAGTTTTTTGACACGGCGCTGCCAAATCTAGTAGGAGTTCGGAGAAAGACATCGAATGTGAGCGACGTGGTACCACTCTCGAGTTTGGTATCCAAGTCATCGAAGAGTGACAGCCGCAAAGCATCTCAAGTATCAGCCAACTCGGTCATGGCAGTTGTGTCTACACCGACAGGCACGGCTAAGGATGCACCTGAAATGGGTATGTTCGAGGTTAAGTCTGGAGCAGCAGCCGTAGTCGTGTATATAGTGGGCAAGACTATGCATGTAGCAAATGCAGGAGACTCACTCGCAGTAATATCACGATCAGGATCTCCGAGAGTGGTATCAACAAAGCATGAGCCACTATCGCGACCAGAAACGGCACGGATTCGTGCAGCAGAAGGATGGGTGACACCAGGAGGGAAGGTGAATGATGAACTTGATGTTTCCAAGTCATTCGGCTTCTATCATCTTCAACCTGCTGTCAACGCTCGTCCTGCTGTTCATACCATCAACCTCACTGATATGGACGAATTCGTTATTGTTGCCAATAAGTCGCTCTGGGATTATATGAGTTTTCAGACGGCTGTAGATATTGCTCGTACAACTCGGGATGATGTTATGACAGCTGCGCAGAAATTACGCGATTTTGCAATAGCGTATGGTGCACAAGGCAATCTTATGGTTATGGTCGTTAGTGTTGCTGATATCTTCCGGCCAAATAAACTACCATCGAATGATGAGAACAACAACGAAATTGATAATTATTATGGAGGAATGAGACGCACAGGACAGCGCAAACGTGATGATGCAGTTGTTGGTGATAGAACATTGGCCAGATTAGATAGAGAAGTATCACCACCTGTCGGACATGTCACCCTTGTGTTTACAGATATTCGCAATTCTACAATTCTCTGGGAGAGTAATCGCGGGATGCAATCAGCGATGAGAATACACAATCATTTGCTCAGAAGACATCTTCGAACAATTGGTGGATACGAAGTGAAGACTGAGGTGGGTTTAGTGGATTACTTTACTTGATAAACTAAATTTGTTCAGGGTGATGCGTTCATGGTTTCGTTTCAAACTGTTACTTCTGCACTGCTTTGGTGCTTCACTGTTCAACTGCAATTGCTGACTCAGGACTGGCCTAAAGAGATACTGGAGACAGATGAAGGTAGACCTTTGGTTGACTTTAATGGTAATTCGATAGCACGAGGTCTTTCAGTTAGAATGTGCGTTATAGAATAGAAGTAAAAGGCAAACTAACACACAATCAGGGGTATACACGTAGGGTATCCAGTCTGTGAAGCCGATCCAGTAACGCAGCGAATGGATTATTGGGGTCCTGTTGTGAACAGAGCTTCTAGAGTGGCAGCCGCAGCTGAAGGAGGACAAATAATGGCTAGTGGAGATGTAGTCAGTGAGCTGCAACACTACTGTTCGATTGACCCAAATTCTCCCGAATCAGAAACGGGCATGTCATCGAAAGTGAAGAGCGAAGTAGCAGCATTGCGCAGAATTGGATTCGGAGTGTCTACTGTCGGAGAGCGTCGTCTGAAGGGGGTGAGTATGTTTTTAGGACGAAGATATCAGCTAACAAAAACATTTAGCTCGAAGTACCTGAGCATCTCTCTCTCCTCTATCCCATTCAGCTAAAGGGACGTTTACAGCTGGACAAGAACAGTGTAACTATACCAGGCTCGCGTGAAGAGACGAACACTAGTATGTTTGAGTCAACACCACCGATTATCAATCCAGACGACATACGCAAGCTTGCGAGGGTGGTTGTCAAGATAGAGAGTCTAGCTGGCGGGCGCGTGCATAAAGAGCCTTCAGAATTGATGGAGAAGGATGGTGAGGAGGAGAAGGACAAAGATGATGGCGAGCAGCGCACGAAGCACTATGTACAGCTCGATACAGATCTTGAGGATGAAAGTGACAGCAAATCTAGCAAGTCTGGTAAGGAGAATGATGATGACGCTTCAACTATGACAGGAGGGACGGAGACAGAGAAAGGAATGAGCCGTGCATCTTCGCGTACCAAGTCGAAAAAAGAAGACAAAGAGGAGGTCTTTGAGGATTCATCACAATCAGTTTACTCGATCGTGCCATCAAATCTGCTAGCGCCAGTAATACAGGATGGGGCAAGTGATGAAGAGTTGGTGTCAATTCTAGAGGCATTAGTCAGTCGACTAAACAATGCAATCAATACGATGAATTTCCAGAGAGTGCGTATGACGTTAGAGGGCAGTGAAGATAAGGACAAGGATGAGTTGATATCGCGGCTGCTGAGGATAACAGGATGAACAGTATAAGTGAATTGTTGTATTTTAAGTTTAAGTTGAATAAAAAAAAATAAAGTTTCCACTTGACTGTTGATAGTGTGACTTGAGTTACGCACAACGACACCCATCAGAAGGCATGACTTGGTTTACTTATGGCGTGAATGCAGCAACTGTAACGGATCCAGCACTTGCTGCTGAAATTAATTTTGGGAGCAATCCAAGGTCACGAGATGTTACGAGACCTCCACCGGCTGGTGCCCAGAACTCCTCTTCGCAATCAACAACAACAGCCCAAACAGCCCAAAGCGAACAAGATACAAATCAGAGCAACCACAAGACTCTTATGACGAATATACTCAACTCTTTCAGACGATCGTCGTCGCACGGTCACAGTTCAACTGCTTCCGCGGGTGGTAGTGCAAGTGGCAGCGCTACTGCCTCAGGTGCCCGTGCGGGTATCCGGCGTCAGTTATCAAAGCGGAGAACCCCTGGACCTGCGACGACATCGTCCTCGAACCAGAGTGAAAGCGAGGTCGACGATAAGGATACAATTAGACATAGATTGCGACTTCTGCCACATTTAGAAAACAGCAGAAGTCCTAATTTCAGTATTACTACACGCCAACTGAAGCCTGGCGCACGGCTGCGTGTAGGTCGCTTCACCGATAAGCACGATGAAGGAGCTAGTCTTGGGGTAGCAGAGGATGACAAGAAGCTGATGGGCGGTGGCGGTGATCCTCTTAGTCTCTCGCTCGCATTCCGCTCTAAGGTAGTGTCTCGCAACCATGCCGAAATATCTGTGAATGACGACGGCAAGGTGGGTAGGAATTGATGGAGAAGCAGCGGCGCTAATGCGACAAACAGTTTTATATAAAGGACTCAGGCAGCTCTAGTGGGACATTCCTCAATCATCGTCGATTGTCGGGCAGCACTCACGCTAGTAAGCCGTATGAGATGGTCGATGGAGATATTATTCAGCTGGGCGTAGATTACCAGGGCGGTAAAGACGCCCTCTATCGCTGCATCAAGATTAGGGTTGAGATTGGCGATAAAATGAAGAGTCCCGTCGCTTTCCACGAGAAGGCGCTCGAACAGGTGAAGGAGATGAGCGGGAGCATGCGCGCCGCTAGCGAGAGCAAGAGCAACACGGATAACACGACAAATACAAATACAAATACAAATACATCGAGTGAGACCACGCACAATACACTCGACTGCGCTATTTGTTTGTTCCCGGTGGGGATATGCCAAGCGCTGTTTATAGCGCCTTGCTCACATACTTTCCACTACAAGTGTTTGCGGGGACTGCTCAACACGCACTACCCATGCTTCAGCTGTCCTGTGTGCAGAGCATTTGCCGATCTGGAAGAGGACGTGGAGGAGGAGAGTGAGGGACCTGAAAGGATAGATATGAAGCGCAGAGATACGAAAGTTGAGGATATGTCAGGCACACCTGCAAATGATATTCCCATCCCGAGGTTGAATGGCGTCATCGGAGGTGTACAGGAAGAGGAGGAGGAGGAAGATTTGACATTGGGGCTAAGTGGGTGTTAGTAGAGCTGTATAGTGTTGTTTTTTTACTTTTACTTGATTTGTTTATACGATTTTGTAGCAATTTTTAATATTAAAGTATTATTGGAATTTTATAGTGTTTGATGGCGACTGCACTAAAAGAGCAGGGTGATGAATGAGTTTGCAAGCGTTGCCATGTGATGTAGGTGCAGTGGATGTTCTGGCCATGGATTAACACAGTCCAGGCGATTCAGTCAATCAATGCAACAGCAGGGAATCCAGCGCTGAATTTGGTCTGTAAGGACGTACATTTGGCGGTGAAGGAGAGTTATACGGCGGATAAAATGAGATACCTGATAAATAATTTTAAGCAACGATTCAAAGATCGGATGAGCGATAGATTGGTACAAAAGAGGTTGATTGATCACTTGCTTGGGTTTAGAATACTTAACGTGGATATTATCAGGAGAGTTGAGAGTTTATACAACACCATTCAGTTGGAATGTAAATCATTAACCAAAACAGTTATCAAGTACAGTAATTATGATGTAGTCAAGTGGTTGATTAATATTTATAACGCGGATGTGAATTGCATGGGTGGCTACCCAATAATCAAAGCGATATCAATCAAGGATAGAACCATGACAGATATCTTGCTATCCACCAACAAAGTTGATTTGAGTATCAGTGGATATAAACCAATTCAATATTTGATATTAAATGGCGACTTGGAGAGATTAAAAGAGTTGACAAATGATGTCACTCACACTAAGAAGAAGAAGCTGAAAAGAGGTAGCAAGTTGACATTAACGTCAGAAATGTTGTATTGGAGTACAAAATTCAAGCAGTGGGATATAGTAGATTGGATGGTTGAGGAAAAGGGAGTTGTAGCCAACATTAAAACGATTCAATTATTGAGTTAGTGTTGCATCTATTTGTTTCAGTTGAGGAAGCAAAATTTTCAATTTACGTCTGTATGAGGTGTTGAGCGAGTGTTGAATGGGATTGTGTTCCAAATAGATAGTGTGCAAGGATTGTATGTGTTGAAGTTGAGACTCAACGCCATCTAGATTATCAATCTGATTTGAGTTAGCCCAAAGTTCTTGTAGTTTCTTGAGATGTGAAAGGTTGTTTATAGATTTAATTTGATTGTTAGATATATCTAGTACTTCCAAGTTAACTAGATCATCTAAACCAGAAATATCTTTAATTCCATTATGTGATAAGTATAGTTCTTTGAGATTAGACAAACCACCCAAGCCATCGATGCTAGTTAGTCTGTTAGCTTGAATTGAAAGAAGTTCCATTGACTTTAGGGAATTGATGTTCTCAATCTTCTCAATCTTGTTCTTCCCAAGCCATAATTGTTGGAGTTGATGGAGATTGTGTAAATTTTCAATATGTCTAAGTCTGTTACCGCCTAACTCCAAAACTTGAAGAGTAGGAATGTTCAGATTTTCAATTTTAGATAGCTTATTCTGAATCAAGTATAATTGCTTCAAAGGTAATTGCTGTAGTGTGGTGTGTATCCATCTGATCAGATTAAAAGATAAATCCAATGAATCTAATAATTTCAAGTGCTTCAGATTGATTAAATTTTCAGATTCCAATTTATTATCATATAAATCTAATTCCACCAAATTATCAAATCCAATCAACTCGTCTTGTAATTTCAATAGATTCTGCCTTAAATATAATTTTGAAATATCCTTGACACTGCCAAAACCATTCAACTCCTCTAGTAGATCTTCATCTTGTAATTTCAAATGAACTAAATCAACCTCCATGATTGTTGAATATAGACTCCCATGGCCACCAACGACGCAGATAATCCACTTATAAATTTAATTAAAACTGAAATAGATTTTGTTGAAAATTTAGCTTTGATCGTTAGAAAAGTCGCTTCTGCTTGGTCAAGGAGTAACTTCCCTCCACCTGATATCGATAGAATGTTTAGAATTATCGAATCAGTTTATAGAATTAATAGATCTTTCCTTAATAACTTACAATCAACTAGTAACAACTTTAAATTGATCGGTGACAGTTTGCTCAATTTCATTGAAGGTTTTCACCAGCCATACTCAAAATATGTACAGCTATACACTCAGTCTCCACCATTTTCTTCACATCCCGATATCAAGTTTAACTCAAAACTACATGAAATATTACGTAATATTGATAAAGATATCGATCATTTATTCAATCTACCCGCGATTAGATTGAATTATTACTTGGACTTATACTCAAACTTACTTTCATCAACAAATAGTTCTAAACCTGATTACAATTTATTATTAAATAGCGTTAATATTTTACAGTCTTTGGTTGATCAGTTGGATGTTTCTAATCGAACGCCTAATAAAAATCAAGACATTGTCTTAGAATCTACTCAAACTCCTTTACAACATCAACCTTCAGTTAGATTCAATCAACTCGACGATCCTCTTAAACTTAGAGCTGCTGCTTCAAATAATTTACAATCTGATTCTTCATCTTTATCTTCAGATAGCAGCAACCTCAATGATCAGTCATCCTCTGAACAACATCAACCTGTTCAATCTGACCATCACTCAAATCAAGTTCAATCTACCGACTCTCAATCTTCCTCAATCACCTCAAACAGCTCCCAGCTATCAGCCCACTCTAAAGCTGTCAACCTTACCCATCGTCTTGATACTTCACGCACACTCGACATCTTCTCCATGCAACAGAAAAAGTGTAAATTGCAAATCCAGCCTTCATTCCTCCCATTCAAGAGGGGTTTGGTCAAGTCTGCTGATGTCGTTCTCTCTTTCACTCCTTCTACTGCCCCTCAATCAACAGAAGAGATCATTATGAGAAGAGCTCACATCTTTCTCCTCTCTGATCTCTTCCTGGTAGCTGAGCGCATGACTCAAAGTGAGAAAGAAAGTGAAATATCTGCACCAAACACTGACATGTGGTTGTCCTTTCCACCCCTGTCTGGCAAGTTCCTCAAAGCGTTCAAGAATAAGCAAGACAATGCTTTTGACCTGAGTATCATGAAGAAGGAGACCCTAACCATTAAAGTGGAGTCTGAGATAGCTCGAGATGAGTGGATAGATGATATAGGCAACTGTACCAACTTTGCTTTCAATGGTGGGAGTGTTCTTGTCTTTATCATATATTAAACTCAATTCCAACAGGTCCTGTTAACAAACCACCTAATAGACAATCAGACGAATCATCGCAACTTCCACAAGCGCACATTCCTCCACTTATCAACTCCCCACACACTTCTCCACCTATCACATCCCCTAACATATTCCCAAATAATTCTCCACCCAAATTTCCTCATCCACCACCGCGCGACACATTCCCTGCGTTCGATAACGTTCCCATGATGGGATTGAGGCAGGTGGGTAGCAATGGAGCATTTGCAACACCACCGCCTCACTCAATAGACCATCAAATAAATCAACTATCCGCTGCCAACCTATCCAACATGCATTTGGGACCACGACCCGCGCAAATCCGGCCGATTTCTCCTGGAATGATACCACCACCACCACCACCCTTCAACAAACTTGCACCGCGCTCAGATGGCAATCAGCCCGCGCATGCTGTTTTGTCTGAAAGGATACCTTCCGTCGACACACTTCAAACGGAATCGAGCAAAAGCTTGAGTCACGATGTTAGTGGTAAATTCACCATGCCATCGAATCTCATTGGGGATATCAAGAGCGGAAAAAACAAAACAGACTCTTACTCTCCACCTCAATCACCAGAGCTAGATACCAAAGCGCTCAAACCGGAGAAAGTGCGCCTTAGTGCGCAGATGAGATGTAAGGTGTTCCTTAAACACGGCCATCAGGCTTGGAAGTCGTTAGGTAGTGGTGGTCTTAAGTTATACACGGAGTCGCCGTCGAATTCTAAACAACTCGTCGTCGAATCTGATAAAGCTAAGTCGTTGCTTATAAGTAATTATGTCCTCCTCGACGCTGTGGAGAGGGTGGGCAAGACAGGACTCGCGGTGGAGATGTCGGATAATGGGAAAAGGACTGGTATCATCTATCTCATTCAACTCAAGTCAGAAAGTAGCGCTAAAGGTTTGTTCGACGAGCTGGTCAGGAATTCAAGTAGAGATGTGCGGTAGTCAATTTACGACTGAGCTATTCTACTAGAGGGATTCTATTGGCTTCATATTACTTTTCATTAATATATACCGCACCATGTACAACCACTTCGAAGCATTTGCATCTAATGAATGTGTGTATCGATTGCGAGTAGAATATGTACAAGCATATTATTAAGTATATGTACTTTAAATTGTTCTGCGACCTCAAAGAAGAGAGAAAAAAGTGGAAGAGAGAAAAGTGGAATATAGCAAAGAATCCTTTTCGAATGAAGAATAAGAAGTGAAGGGAATAAGAAGTGAAGGGAATTGCGTGGTGAAAAGTGTAAAAGCAAAATAGTTGAAGAAAATGATTAGCAGTTACCGCCAATGATATCACCTTCATAGTAAGGCGATCTGTATCTATCGCAGCCTTCAATAGCAGAGTAGAACGGTGTGTCGTCGCTATCGTCATACCACCCATTGGCATTATCAACGCTCTCCAGCTCGCCATCTTCATTCATGTACTCGACAGGACTAGGTTCGAGCACGATGCGGTCGCCCGTCTGTGTGTATTGTGGCAAGCTATCAACGTCATCAACATTGAAGAAGGATTGAGGAGGGAAAGTGTTATAAGCTGACGTGTCACCAAATAATTCTCCAGCACCTTCACCACCCAACATCCATTCTGGGTAGTCTTGTACAGGGTTGGAATTCCAATTGCGTCCTTGGTCCTCTTGGCTCAACTTTTCGCACGTGCCCCATGGTTCACTGTGTGGGTCGGTGGTCATGTAGTCTTGCTGCAAACCGAGCTGATAAGACCAGAAAGGATTGACGAAGTCGTTTGTTTTGCTACTTTTGCCGATTCTCCACGTCCAGAAGAAGAAATTCTGGAGAGCGTCCATCGACGACAAACCAAATGTTTTGATTTGAGACTTGAACTGGTCATCCCAACCCTGCCAATTGTTAAACTCATCACAGGCTCCTTCACCGAAGTTGGGTTGAAGGACGTTGCCTTGATCGTTGGTGTACGTTCCCTCGTAGCGCGTGCCTTCATCGACGCCATTCACGGTACCGCAGTCATTGATAGCGAGCGAGAATTCGCCTGCAATAGTGACACCGTAGCTGAAGGGTGAATGAGCATTGAAACTTGTCAGTAAACAGATACGCACCTGTTCATGGATTGGTTGGTTTGTGCTCCCCAGTTTTCGCATGGCTTCCACACCTGCTCAGACATAGGATCATTGTTCTGGCCATTGAAGGCTACGTAAGGGTGGATGTCGAGCGCGACACGATCAGCACCTCTCAAGAAATCAGACCATTGTGCACCGCCGACCATTGCATCATGGAAAGCAAGCCATGGACCTTTACCCTCGCCTGTGCCTGTGATTTCTCTGATTACGTTGTATGCTTCAAAGTAAAAGGACGCAACAACGTCGCGTCCGATAGTAGGACCAAATGGCTCGTTGATGACCGAAAACATCGCCACTACATCCTTGTATTCATCCTCGGTGATCAGTTCAGTGATCGTGCGAATGTAGTTGAGCGTGCGCTGCGCATTCACGAGACCCATGTACGAAGCCATCCAGTGAATATTACCCAAGTGACCGCTGTGGTTGTAGCCGTTCTGGCTACCCGGTACAGCGTGAAGATCGAGGTTAAGACGCAGACCGTATTTGCGAGCCCATTTGACGGCTTTTTGGAAGTACTTGAAACAACCGCCTTCGTAGAATGGCTCGTCGTCTTGTGTCTCAATCATCCAGAATGGGATTGGAAGTCTGACCCAGTTTAGACCAGCTGCGGCTATATCAGCAAAGTCCTTTTCTGTGATAAATGTGTCGTAGTGTTCGTCTAACACTTCTTCCAACTTGTTTTGCGATCTATAGTAGTTGGATAGGGTGTACTCGTCAACGCATGGTGTGTCAGCGTCTTCACAAGCTTCGTAAAGTGCAGGGACGATGAAAGGCTCAAGCACAAGCCATCCACCAAGATTCACACCGAGGATCCTGTCATTGTTGTAATCCCATGTCTCACTGAGCGGTTTCGTGTAAGATTGAGCTCTTGCTGTGTTGTTGAAGGGGATGCTCGTCCAATTGCCACCGAATGTGTTATTGTAAATAAAGGTATCACCATTTTCAAGCGTCACTTCACTTCCGTCACCACCTGACGTCTGAACGAGGTTACCGGAAGCATTGGTTTTGGGCTGTCCATCTTTGTTTTCGGATGAAGACGAGGATGACGATGAATCGTTGTTGCGGGTGAGCTGGAATACGCGTAAGCACATTAACTGGAAATTACATGTCAACTTACCGTAACTGGTAACGCTATGACCAACACGATTACAACAACCGCGGCTAAAGTACTCGCGCCTGCTATTAACCATTTGCGCTGTTTGCGCGCACCTCCCAAAGGAGCCTTGGATGATCTATCGGGCTGCACTTCTGGCAAGCCTTTCTCTTGAATTCCTTTATCGAAAAGTTCCGAAGATGAAGTTAGATTAGCTGACATGGATTTCTGTTCGAATGAATGTGTATATGTGTATGGTGGTTGCTGTGCTATTTCTCCAACGCCTGTGACTTCCGCTGATTGTCTCGGTAAAGAGCTTTGGGATATGTTGCGGTAGCTTGTCTTGTTGTTAGCTGCTTGCGGTGAAGAAGGCTGTTCAGGTGTCAAATAGTTATTTTCTGAATTTGACGATGTCGTTGTTATAAAAGACGCGGGGCGACCCAAGCTCTTAAAACCGTCCGCCTTATTGGACGAAATTTCGTTGTTCCTGGGGGCTGTACCCTCGTAACTTGGCCTGTCATCAGCTGACAGCCCGTCATTTTCTTCTGTGACAAGTCTAATTGAAGGATCCGATCCGTTGAGACGCAAGCTAGATTCTATCGAAGCTGAGTCAATTGGTGGGGTTTTGCGTTTTGGTGAAAATCTCATCGCTTATGGTTTGTGGTTGCTGTGCAAAGAGATATTGTTCTTGTCTTTTTAAAGCAACAAGCAATATATCCTTTTCCATAATCGTAGTTAATTAAATTAATATTTGCCTTCCTATTTGAGTCTAGTGTGTGAAAATATTTATATTATTAAAAACCGAAAGCGAATACAAAATACATAAACTGAATCTGACAAATTTATTCCATCTCAATAGTCGCTGGTGGCTTCGATGAGACATCCAACATGACTCTGTTTACTCCTCTGACTTGGTTTGTGATTCTTGACGAAATGCGCTTGAGTACATCATGAGGGAAATCAAACCAATCAGCCGTCATAAAATCTGTTGTTGTGACTGCTCTTAGTGCTATTATTTGCTCATATGTTCTCTTATCTCCTTGAACACCAACTGCTTTAACCGGTAATAATGCAGCATATGCTTGCGATATCTGGTTGTATAATCCCGCATTTGTAATCTCTTCCATATATATACTATCGGCATGCTGAACAATCTCCACTTGAGATCTGGTGACTTCACCCAGAATTCTGATTGCTAAACCTGGACCTGGGAATGGTTGACGATTGACTAAGTGATCTGGAATCTCCAACAATCTTCCTAAAGCTCTAACTTCATCCTTGAAGAGCTCTCGCAGTGGCTCAATGAGTTTCAATTTCATGTCAGCCAAAAGACCACCAACGTTGTGGTGGGTTTTGATTGTAGCTGATGGGCCCTTGAAGGAGATGGATTCGATAACATCTGGGTAAAGTGTTCCTTGTAATAACCATTCAAATTTACCTTTGCTAAATTTACCTTGTTCAATTTCCTTCTCAGCTTCACCTTCTAATCTTGCAGCTTCTGCTTCAAACACTTCAATGAAAGTGTTACCGATTATCTTTCTCTTTTTCTCTGGATCAGTGACACCTTCTAATTTGCCCAAGAATAAGTCGGCTGCGTCGATAACTTTGAGATTTACACCGAGATCTTGTCTAAGGGTTTTGTAGACTTGGGAGGCTTCATTGAGACGCAAAACGCCATTGTCAACCAAGACAGCTTGAAATCTGTCACCGATAGCTTCATGCATGAGCTTGGCAGCGACAGTTGAATCAACACCACCAGATACAGCGCCCAAGACCTTGCCCTTATCGCCACATATTTCACGAATTCTTTGAATTTCCTTTGAGATGAAAGACTCCATCGTCCATTCGCCCTTGCATTGACAGATATCATGTACGAATTTACCAATGACTTCTTTTCCGCGTTGAGAGTGGGTGACCTCAGCGTGAAATTGAATACCGTAAATTGGCTTGTTTACGTGTGCTATAGCAGCGAATGGGGCGGTGTTAGTTTTACCGATAACGACGAAATCTTTTGGAGCTTCTCTGACGGCATCACCGTGTGACATCCAGACTTGCATAGAGCCTTGAATGCCTTCGAAAAGCTTATTAGCGTGTGGGTGTTGATCATTGTGTACAATGTCTAATTGAGCGAAACCATACTCTCTGTGATCACAGGCTTCAACTTTACCACCAAAGACGTTTGTAGTTTCTTGTAAGCCGTAGCAGATACCCAAAACAGGTACACCTGCGTTGAAGACATCAGGATCAACTCTAGGGGCGTCAGTATCGTAAGTTGAGTAGGGAGAGCCGGAGAGGATGATTCCTGGGAGGACAATTTAGATCGGAGAGTGTAGTTCAGCTGAGTTATCTACCTTTTGGCTTCCATGACAAATCTTTGAGCTTTTGGGTGCAAGGTAACATTTCACAGTAAACGTTAAGTTCACGACATCTTCTTGTGATCAAGTGAGAGTACTTGAGTGATTGTGAGTAGATTGTGCTTGTACTGTAGCCTCAACTAACTTGAGAACCAACTGAATCAAATCGTTAGATGTGTTTAAACTGGGTGAAGTGCTCAACTTACAATCTAAAATAAGAATTGTTGAGTAGAAGTCGTGTACAGCCTTTGTTTGATCCATTTTAGTGTAAAGATGGGTGTTGCAGGTCAAAGTGCAGTGTCGGTTGAAATACTTGAACTTAACTCCGAGGAGAAGTGAATTGAGTGATATTTGAAAGCGGATTAGATTAGATATCGGGTCTATTATAGATATACTAACATCCGATACCCCTTTGCGATTCCTCTACACCCTCTTAACTCCGTCTTCTCTCTTCAAAATAAACTGTGATGAGCACATCTGCACACAGTCACAGGCCAACGCTTAAGCAATCGAATAAGAAATTCAAGTCAAAGAATTCTACAAAGAGGTCAACTAAGAATGTCAATAAGGGCAGAATAGATTCAAAGCAATCTTCTTCAAAAACTTCATCCTCTAATAATCAATTGAACAAGCAACAGCGTAGAAATCACGCTAAACAAATTCAATCTAATAAGAGAGAATCAGTTTTACAAGGAAAGCGTTTATTTGAAGGCAGATTCGCTGCACCTAGAATAATACTCGTTTTATCACTTACAGAGGATGTAAATGGTTTAAACGTTGTAAAATCGTTATTAGAATCTGTTGGTGAAAATGATTCTGCTTTGGAATATCAGGGTTTTGGCATTTTTAGATGTAAAGTTGAACGATTCAATCAGCAATTTCAATTCATAATCCCTCAATTCCCTTCAAATAATCAAACTTTCATGTCCATTCTAGATTCAGCAAAGATTGCCGATTACATTTTACCCATTTTATCTGCTACAAATGAGGTCGGTGAATGGGGTGAAACTACTCTTAGGTGTATTCAAGCTCAATCTTGTTCCGAAACTTTTGGTATTATTCAAGGTTTATCTAATGTTGACAAGAAACAAGATACAGGAATTAGACACTCTTTACACTCCTTCTTGAGCTACTTCTTCCCAAATGTCTCAAAATTAGCTTCAGCAGATCAACTCAACGAACTCTCAAACACTATTAGATCTATAGCTACAGGTACTCCTAAATCACCAAGTTGGAGAGACTACAGGTCTTACATGCTCACTGAACAAGCAGAGTGGGATGGCACCCTACTCAAGCTCACAGGCGTTGTTAGAGGAGAACACCTCAACTCTAACAGGTTAATCCATATTCCAAACTCTGGTGATTATCAAATTGAAAAGGTTGGTTAGTTTCTTTTACTAAATACACCCCTTTCACAACCCATTCAGATCACAAACTCTCCTCATCCTAGCCAGCTCAACCACAAACCAAATGGTAACTCCATGTCAGTGGACCAAGTAGACACAGGTTTGCTTGCCAAACCAGACCAAGAAGAGCAGGATGATCTCGTGTCTGAGAACGAAGCTGATACAATGGGCAATGAACAGACCTGGCCAACAGAGGAAGAGATGGCCGAAGGAGAGCGTCTTCAAGCGCAAGCTGAAGCAGAAGAGGAAGCTTCTAGATCTAAAAAGGTTCCAAAAGGTACATCATCTTATCAAGCAGCTTGGATAGTAGACGACAATGATGACGATCTCAGTGACGATCAAGATGAAGACAGCGAGGAAGAGGAGGAAGGTGAAGCCGAGATGGCAGAAGATGACAAACCAGTACACGACGATGCTGATGAGGATGATGAGGATGATGAAGAGATCGAGATGGACACCCGTGACCAAGAATTCCAAGATTTCGACGACGCCGAAGAAGAAAAACAGTACAAAGAATACCTCAACCAAGAGAAAGAAGATGCAGAGTTCCCTGATGAGATAGACACCCCATTAGACGTATCAGCGCGTGAACGTTTTGCAAGATATCGCGGTCTCAAATCTTTCAGAACTTCGCCTTGGGATCCTTACGAGAACTTGCCTATTGAGATGAGCAAAGTGTTCGAATTCGAAAACTACGACCAGATGTCGAAGCGTGTGATCAAGAGGGCCAAGCTAGGTGTGGATGAAGATGAGCAATCAGTCTCAGTTGCTCCTGGTAAGAGGGTGACACTACACATCAAGAATGTCAATCGAGATCTCGAATCCACACAATCGCCAGATCTGCCTCTTGTCATATTCAGTCTCCTGCCCCACGAGAAGAAAAAGTCATTGGTAAATATGACAATTACGCGCAACTCTGAGTACAGTGGTATAGTCAAATCTAAGGAGACACTCACGGCTATTATTGGTCCTAGGAAGATCCAAATCCAGCCGATATATTCACAGAACACACCGAAGGGTGTGAATAACGTGCACAAGTTCGAAAGATACCTTAGACACGGCGATGCGAGTGTAGCTACCATCTTTGGTCCAGTCACTTGGGGCAAGGTACCTATCGTATATTTGCGTGAGAGAGAGGATGGCAAACCACCTTATCTCGTTGGTAGTGGTACATTCAAGGACGCAGATCCTACACGTATCATTGCTAAGAGGATTATCTTGTCGGGACATCCATTCAAGGTGCACAAGAAGACTGTCACTGTTCGTTATCTTTTCTTCAATCCAGGTAAGTGAGCTGGTAATAAGCTATTCTATTGCTAACCAAAAGAAAAAGATGATATTGCTTACTTTAAACCGATTGAATTACGTACCAAATATGGCAGAGTGGGTCATATAAAGGAGAGTCTCGGAACGCATGGATACTTCAAGGCGCACTTTGACGGCCCTGTCACACAAATGGACACGGTTCTTCTGTACTTGTACAAGAGATCGTTCCCTAAGTTCTCAACCCAGCGTATTGAAGGACGTCAGCATATAAGCAGCGACGATCCACTTCCAGAGAAAGAAAAAGGCGATGAGAATATAGAACATACAGTCAATACGGGTAGTGACAGACAACACTTTATGGAAATATAGACAAGATGCTTCTATAAATTCTAACTTATTGTACAAATAACACTGATTTTAATCCAATCCTACGTGCTTTTTAACGTGGTTCATGGTGTCGCTGGCAATATAGGCAGCCTGCTTCTGACCTTTTTTGGCCAGTTCATCTAAATAGTGATGCTCATTTGACAGACGATGGAAGGCACCTCGTATAGGTGAGAGTGATTGAACAAGCGCCTCAGCCACTGCCTCTTTCAGTTGCGATGAGTTTTCTAAACCGATTGATACTTTCTCAGGCGTGGATTCTTCGCAATCTGCCAAGATAGTGAGCAAATTACTCACACCTGGTCTGTTCAACGCATCGAAATTGATTCCACTGTCTGAATCAGTCACTGCAGACTTGATTTTAGAAGCTATTTCTCTATCCGAATCTGTTATCATTATGCGGGAAGTGGGCAGTGGATGAGATTTAGACATCTTAGACAGTGGATCTCGGAGGTTCAGAATGCGAGAAGCGGGAGTGATCAGGTGAGTTGGTAAAGGGAAAAACTTGCGACATTTAAAGATCCTGTTAAAATGTTCAGCCAAATCGCGCGTCAATTCAAGATGTTGTTGCTGGTCTTCTCCGACAGGTACATGTGTAGCTCTGGAGAGGGTGTTATACTAGGAGGCTTAAACCAGCGCGTTACCCACTTGTACAACATTATATCGGCCGCCTGCAACACTGGATAGGATAGCAGACCAAGATTGAGTGTACTGTCGTCAATCTCACTGACATCATTAGAGTTCTTCAGCGTTGCAATTTTAGACTGAATTCCATTCAGATTTAATGAGCTTTGAGAGCCTTGCAGTGATCACGACCCACCTTCCACGTCGTCATCCGCTGCAATTTATTCACCGGAGTGAACGAATTGAGAATCCAGGCGAGCTCTGTGTGTTGCGCGACCTTTGAAAGTGACGCAATTAGCGTGTTGTTTAGATCCATCAGTAAACTTACTTGGTCTTGATGGAAGATGATTGACCGGTGAGGATCCAAGCCGATAGCGAGCAATGCAGCCATCATTTCGCGCCTCTCTTGCCGCAATATGCCTGGCTGCTGTGGGAGTGTGATAGCGTGATAGCCGACTATTGAGTAAATCAGCCGCGTATCCCTTGCCTCGCTATCCTGAAGCTTCTTCCAGTTCTTGAGCGCACCGAGGTAGTTACCCAGCTGCTTAATTAGCTTGCGTCTTCAACATCTGCCTCATCCTTACATGGGGTATTCCCGTAGGCTGGATTCCTGAGAAAATAGTCTTGGGTATTCGAGCAGACATGAGCGTATGGCAGCAACAAGCCGTTCAAATGAATTATGATTAAACGCATTGATAAGTTAATTACACTACTTTCAATTACCCAGTAAGCTACTCAATCACCCTCTCCATCTGCGTGGAGGTGAGTCATATCTTCTACGTGGAGGCGAATCATATCTTCTACGTGGTGGAGAATCATATCTTCTACGTGGTGGAGAGTCATTCCTCCTGCCTGCTGGAGAATCGTCGTATCTTCTTCTCGGAGGTGACCTCGACAATTCGTAACCACCTCTGCCCGCATATGGACGTCTTCTCGGTGAAGGTGGAGGAGACATCGATTCATGGCGGTTATCGTAGCGTCTACGCGGTGAAGGCGAGCGACTGGTGCGCCCACCGCCGTATCTCCTCCTAGGCGGGGAGGACGAGACGGACCTAGTGTATCTCCTGGGAGGGGAGCGTGATGGTGAGCGTGAGTATGAGCGTGGGCGTCTTGGGGATCTGCTCAGCGATCTAGATCTCGATCTCGATCTTGGTCTATATCTATCCCTCTCTCCAGCAGACACTGACGATACATCCGACGAACTGGAACTCAAAACGCTGCTCGAATCACTATCACTGCCGCTTCCATCATCATGCGTTTGAGGTGGTGGTATATTCTTGGGAGCATGTTTAAGATACTCGCGCATCTCCTCTGTTATCGCACCCAGTCCAATAGCCGTAAAGTAATTGATGGCAAAGCGTGTATTGGCAGGGTGGTCAGTTGGGAAGAGACCGCTAAAGTCTTGTCTGAAAGCAGGGTCGGCAAATCGTTTACGTGCGTCACTTAAACCCATCATTTCGACAATCTCATTGAAAAGAATTTTGACGAATATTCTGCTGCTCGATGTGGTGTCCTGTTGGGTTATCTTGATTACATTCATACAACCCCAATTTACACCGTCAGATGCAAATAGGTGACCGAAGAAACGAGCTATGTTGCGCAGTCGGTTAGTTTCGTAGCGGTGGATTGTGTCGTAAAAACCTGTGAAAGATTTTTGGAAACATTCCTGCCACATTCGATTGATTTTAGAGAAACGCTCGCCTATAAGACCGTAGAATTTGTTATATGTGCGTTCTTGGGAGCAGCACTCAACTATCATGTTGCATAACTCAATTTCATCTCCAGGTGGTATTTGAATGCGCATTAGTTTGTGAACAGCTTCATCAAATACTAGTGAATTCATTATCGTTAGGTAGATGGTACGGCGGAGGTTAACAAGATTGGTGCCTGTATGGTCAACAATACCATCTTGGTTTGGAGGTTGAACTGCATCATTCTCTTCTTCACCCTCTTCCTCCTCCTCTTCTTCTTCTTCTTCATCTGATGAACCTAAGATCTGGTGACGGATGGAGGCGTATTTTTCCTCATTTTCTTCATAATTGGGGTCAAATTTGAAGATGTTGAGACCATCTTGAGTGTTGATCGGGGCATTGAAATCAATATCGTGAACAATCTGTTCATCCTCTTCAACGAGATCGAGGTCTTGAGGGATGATGACGTTGTCTTTGAATTTATCTTTGCGAATTTGAAAGAGAACTTCAATCATATATTGAACGCGTTTTGAAATGTTAGCGTCATGGAGAAGGTTTCTGAGTTCTTCGTAGATGAGATTATTCATAGCAGGTTCGCGTTCTTGTAAAGCAGCGCCAACTTCACGAATATATTGAACAGCAATTTCAACGCCATCGTCGCCACCTTTAGAGAGAAGGAAAAGGGCTAATTCTAAAGCAAACACGTCGGATATAACGGACTGATTAACGAGGTGTGCAATGAAAATGACGGTCGCGTTGCACGTAAGTTTATCATTACGTCTATAAGATTTTCTAAATTGATTGATTAAACGTTGAACTAAGAGTTCGCCTAGTTGAGGAAGTTTAGAGTTTATGATGGCAACTAAAGCAGCGAAAATAGGAGTAAAAGGGAGAGAAGAAGACTGGGCTCTAATAACAGATCTAGCGAATAAGCCACGACCTCTAATTAGATTCTCTTGAAACAATTGAGGAGAGATAAGTTTAATATTTCCAGTGTTTACTTTGTTTATGAGACCATTTATAGATTTTCGAAGTTGATCCCATTTCAATCTTTGAGTATCTGCAGAGGATGAATCTAAGGATTGTTGTTCAAGCATGGCTTTGAGCACTGGACGTGGAATGTATCTACCAGTAGGTCTATTCAAACCTAGAGTGGATAGTTCATTGTTGAGATTAATTGGTTTGTGTTGTTGGTGGGTATTTGGTGATGTTGACCTAAGCCGTGTTGGATGGTGCAAATGGTGTATAAAAAGTACTCACCTCTTTCTCTTCAATTCGGGAGTTTCAGTAGTGGACATGGTTGATGATAGTACGTGATCAAGAAGAGTTATACATAAATTCAAATCTCTTTAATTGTAAATCTAAAATGTTCAGATCGTTGTTTATCTTTATAAATTCATTTGAAGTTTGATTAGTTGAGTTGTTATACGTTGTGATGATATGATAAAGTTTAGGTTCAATGATTTCTAATTGAGTGGATATCTCTTGGAGTTGTGTGTTTAAATCCCGTATAAAGTTTGAATTGTTGATTAAATTGCCCAAATCACCATTAAATTCACTTAACAAGTCAATCTGTCTTAAGTTATAGTCTAAGGTGGGTATATCGCTATCGAATAAATTTATCAAGGTTAATTTATCTTGAGTTGAAATAGAATCATCTAAATCACCATTTAAAACACCTTTATAACTATCAAACGTATGAAGAAAGTTATCGACTAATTTTATTGATTTCACGGTGTTTATTATATTTTCTAATCGAATTTTGATATTTTCATTAGATTCACTACCAATTAAGCTCTCAATAAATCCAATTCTCAATTCCAAGTATTCCATCGTTAATCTTCAACTTCCATCTCCATGATTCGTCGACAAGCACGTCAAAGGAGAGAATTCATTTATAAGAAATCTTTAGAAGCTCAAGAGAAGGAATCTTATCAAAGAAAGCAGAAATTGAAATCTTCTCTGGCTTCTGGGAAGGTGCCCACGGAGTTACAAAACGATGCTCAAGGCTTAGGCTCTGAATTGCGATACGATGAATCTCAATCTGATCCAACTCAACTCCTCGACGATGAATACAATAAAGCTGGTACTTATGATCCCAAAATTCTCATCACAACTGCCAGAGACCCTTCCTCTAGGTTAACTACCTTCTCAAAGGAACTTAGACTGGTGTTCCCTAACTCTATACGCTTTAACAGAGGTAACTACGTCGTCAAAGAAATCGCAGACGCCTGCAGAGCCAACAACGTAACGGATTTGATCATTTTACACGAAACTAGAGGTAAACCTGATGCTTTACTCTTATCTCACTTTCCACATGGCCCAACTCTCACTTTCACCCTCTCAAACGTTCAACTTAGGCATGACCTTGCCGGTGCCTTGGATAGCACTGTCTCCGAGCAATTCCCTCATCTCATCTTTGAAAATTTCTCTTCCTCACTCGGTAACCGCGTGATGAACGCTCTCAAATTCCTCTTTCCCCCTCCAAAACCAGACGCTAAGCGTGTTATGACTTTCTACAATGACGCTGATTTCATCTCCTTCAGACACCACGTCTATGTAAAAACCTCTCACAAAGATGTTCAACTTGCTGAAGTTGGTCCGCGTTTCGAAATGAAGCCGTATGAAATAAAACAAGGCACTATTGAAAACGCTGCTGCTGATACTGAGTGGGTTCTACGTCCTTATCAGCGTACCGCGAGCAGGAGGAAGTTATTGTAATATTATTTATTTATCAATCTATCATTTATAGAAACTAGGTCAAATTTTCACGTATCCCCTTCTCCATCGTCAATGCCCAATACTCTCCTCGTATCGAGCACTCTCTGTGCCAATCGCGACAGGTTAGCATCAGCCACGACGACGCTTGGTGTGAAATCAACGGAGCAAGCGACGCGAATGACCACTGCGATTCTTCTAGCCTGTTCGTCATCCATGATGACCATATCGTCGTCATCTCTATCAACATCTGGTGTGTTTCTGCGGTATGAATGTATGGTGTTTTCCGGCAGATGGTGCCAGCTGCTCGCGGGCACGAGAGCGGGGTCACAGTTAAGTGCGAAAGCGACACAACGCGACAGGGTATTCCTAACGCTTTCAAAATCATCCCCGTCCGTTGGTTTGTCGACATACAATTCGAGAGGACCACAAGACGCCATCACATTGTGCTTGCCGGCATGGTGGTAGCGCAACTCGTACCGACCCACACTCCACGGGAGTGAATTCGAGCAGAAGGAAACCACTCCTCGCTGCCCTTCCTCTTCCTGCGTGGCTGTAGCTGCAGCTGCAGATGACTTACCGACATGCGACGTCGGTCTGTCGGGAATAGGACGTGCGCCGTCGAACTCTCCATCGTGGATCGGCTGCCATTTCCCACGTGAGGAAATACGTGTAACGAGATGATCTGTATTAGCCCCAACGCGATATATCTGAGGATTGGGATTCGTCAGCAAAGCAAGGACATCACCACTCGTATAAAACCTACACCTATCCAGTCCTTGCGCGAGTGGTTTGCAGGTGCTGTCCACTCCACTTCAATTGGCTCTCCCTGGTGGTCGTGTTCATGTCAGTGGTGTTGGCTTCACTCACCACACACACTCAACTTACAAGATGATACGAGGTAGGCTGGCGTGGCGATATGGAAGGTTTGAGACTGAGAGAGTATTTCGATACATCGTACGCCGATAGATCCTTGTCAACGCGCCTGTCAGATATCAGTCAATCTACTCTCCATCACACGTGTGCAAACCCACGTAATCACAAGCCGCTCGCGCGACTGATGCAGCAGCACGCGCGTATCCTGCACCATTTTGTCAACAGACGGCTTAGCGCTCTTGAGGAAATCCTCGACGACGTCCACTGTCTCTCCGTACACTCTGTGGACCTGGCCCTGTACGTCTTTAGCAACGCGGTCGAACCGATCGAGCGAATTCTGGTTGAAGAGGGAGGAGCTACTGCGACGTCTGCCGTCTTTCACTGCCTTTGTCAGAGTACGCGCGGCGCCACCTGTCGTACGCACTCCACTCCCGAACAGCTTCTTTGTATGTGGGTTTTCGACGCAAGACAAGAACCACCAGTGTAAAATATAGCTGAAAACAGCCAGCGCGAATGTCGTCGCTGATCCACTTATCAGGCTGATACCGAACAGGGCCGCTCCACCCATCGACCGCTCTGGATCATTCACGTAGCGGTATATGCCCGTATAATTGAGTCGCGAGGGAAACTCCTCGAGGAAGAAATTGCCGAAAAACCACCCAAAGTTGCCTAGTACCTCATGACTTTCGAGAGAGCACCACACTTGGAGGATTATCAATAGTATCCCAACAACATGCTTCAACAACTCAGTTCCGACTGTCCACTGTTGAGGCAGAGTGTACGTCTTGAGCGCGAGGCCGACAAAGGATACATAGACCATAATCAGCGAGAGATTGTATACGCGTTTCCAACTATCAAATGCACTCCGTTTCGCTTCGTTCGCATTGACATGCGCATAGTACTTGAGATAATGCTTGATTAGATACTTCTCTTCGCTCTGCGCTTTGAGCAAATATCCTAGGCCGACTGAGTGGAAAGTACGCCATGCGATTACGTGGCTTATGTGTAGTGTTAGACTCGTCCCGTAGCTAAAATTAGGCATGAATGAGCCTACGACTGCATAAGCCACGACGAGCGCTGTTGAAAAGTCATTCGATCTGAACACATCAAAGTTCTTGAATATAATCAAATCGCGGCTGAAGTATTTGTGTTCGAGGTCGTGTAAATTGTTGGGTGAGTGGGGGTATCCTTCTACCTTAGTTGCGGGAGTGGGCTTGTCGTCAAACTGAGTGACGCACTCGTCGACATCGGTATCAGTGTCAGTTGTAGCGTCTGTGGCAGCAGGTGTAGGAGGGATGTGTGCGTCGTGCTCAGCGTGCTCAGCGTGTACAGTGTCCTCTCTCAACGCAAATGGTACGCGCTCAGCCAGAGGTTTCCGCTCGCCGTAAGTGCGTTCGATATGTGGATTCTCGAACCAGAGAAGGAAGCCAAATTGGAGAGCATGTGCGAGTAGCGACACGCAAAGCACCTGATAGCTTCCCACAACCAGCGAAAGACCATAAAAGCCAGCATATCCAATTGAATACATGGGATGTGGCGCGAGCTCAAACACGCCATCAAACTTGAGTGATTGGATTTGTTGAAAAAACGTATCACCCCAATACCAAGCGTAATCATGAATAACACGATGAGCATCGATTTTGACCCATAGATTGAACAGTATCATAGTCCATCCAGCTGCCCAGCGCAGCACATGCCACAGTACGCCGTGTCCCGTCGGTAAACGACAATGAGCCCAAGCGAAGCAAACATACGCGACGAAATCAGACAACAAGATGATATCGACGGCGTGGCGGAAAAATATCCACGTGTTGAACTCTGGTGGACACTTATCGAAGCTGTAGCCTGGACCCATTTTAGTCTTTATTTGATTCTCCACCCAGTTTCGCATTGCCGGGCGCTTGTTTGCATCGAGAAAGCCGTGCTGCTTCACCCAGTTGACTATCCACTGCGAGCGCGACTGGCGTGAGAGCACCCAGCCCAGCCCGACATTGTACGATAAGCGCCAGAAGATAAAGACGTAGAGGTACACCACTCGGCTCGTACTCAGCGGCATCAATGCAAATCCAAGTACCTGGAGACCGAGAATAGCCAGTGTAAGAATATCTACGTGCGTCTTTGGGTATTTCGGGTGGAATAGCGACGAGATCACATCAGCCGTCGGAGGAACTGCGAACATGGTCCCATCGGGTGTTTTGCCTAGTATTTCCTCGCTGTGTGTGTGTGCGTCTGCGTTAATTGCGTTATCTGCATCTTCTTCCACTTCCACTTGCCCTCTCTGGCGCAGTGTGCTCTGTGTGCTCTTTATCCTCTCTTCTGGTTCCATTATCGCTCGTGGTGACAGCACAAGACGCAAACAAAAAAAGGTATAAAAAATATATCGAAAATATAATCGATTCTACTTCAATATATCACTAGGAAGCTCCGAGAAATCCACCTGGTTCTGCACCTGTCTTCCGGAAACTTGAAAACTGATGCGAAGCCGCAGGCGTATATGCTGTAGGGGCTGTGCCATGACACGCAACAGCTGCGTCTCTTCCCTCTCTGTTCCCACTGTCGTATTTGATATAGGCTGCATCTGCAGCTTCATAGACTTGGGCACAGCAGCCTGAAAATTTACTTTTTCGCATTCGACAAGTCCTGTCGCGCTAAAAGTAGCCATGATGTTCACAATGTTCCGCTTACTTTCGTCCGGTGAGGGTGTGAGAGTGATGAGCAGTCCATTTGCGTCGTAAGCTGTGTACGTCTTCACCTCCTCGCTAGCCTTCTCGCTCTCATCGCCATCTGGAGCAGCTTGTCCGAAAAGCCCCATTATGTCGGTCACCGATGACTTTTCCGACTTCTCTTGCGGGTGCACAAGTGTATTTGCACCAACACTCACACTCGAACTTGCACTCGCATCACCAAGTGACTCACCCGTACCAAATATATCAGCTAGCAGGTCATGCGCATTACCCCTAGCACCACCAGCAACCGCACTGCCACTACCATTACCGACACTCGGCGACTCGTCACCTAGTACATCCACGAGCGATGAATCCGTTATAGAACGTGTGTTGCCGACCGGCTTAGCTTCTGACGCTGTCCCACCCAAAATGGATGCACGAATCTCAGGTGGTGGCATCCGCTCCAACACCCCATCGACCAAATCAGGCATATCGAGAAGCTGTGTGAATTCTATTGAACGTTGCTGCAGTTCGAGCTCGGGTGATGTTTCATACGATGTTATTAGCCAGCGCAATTTATCTTGAGACTCGTTGAATGTCTTCCCAAATCGGATAGACAGCTTGGCTGCAGACACTAATACATACTGACGTATCACCGTGTTGGCATATGGTGAAGCGTTGATCGATTCGAGTAGTTCAACTATGTCGTTTTCTGTAACATGGACTGATTTCTTTTCACTCACTTGGATGATGTCATTCTCTGTCACTCGGTTCACTTGGTCGTCATCTTCGTAGCTGCCTGCGGATAAAAGCACATCGCCGTACTCTCCAATAGTCCACAATCCAGCCAAAGTAAGCGCTTCTTGAGAAACATCCTTTTGTAGTGCTGAAAATAGCTTTTGGACCGTATATGCTTGCAGTTCCGGCGTATGTGATACTAGTCTCACAAATGCAGAAAGTACTTCTTCACGAACATAGTTGCCAGCCTTGAACAGTAATAAGTCAGTGTTGCATTAATTAGACATATCAACTCACTACTTTGAGCATACGGAGAATGGTATCGATGTGCCAGCGCTTGTTGGGTGCGAAACGCTCAGCAGCGAAAGAAATCTGCGAGGTAAGTCCGTTCTTAAATTCATTATCTGAGACCTCCAAGAAGGAAAGCAATTCGCGTGTAAGCATTCTGACGTTGGATTGATTGATGAGCGCATAAGAGAGCTCAAGTGCACGTCTACGTATAGATACATCACCATCGCGTAAACAATCAATGATGATATTCCTGTGTCGCTGTACAGCTTGAGTATCCATCCTGACAACCTTGTTGAGGGTGTTGAGAGCAACATATCTAATGTTATTATCCTTGTTGCCGAGGAATTTACCGAGAATATTGATAGCCATCACTCTCAAACCAGATTCAGCTTCAATATCAAGAATACAGAGGACAGCTTCGTAGAGGATGGAGTTGCCCACGTTTTTGGTATTATCGGTATTGGTTGCAACTTGGGCGAGAATATCGTTCACTAACTCAGACGAGGCGACATCGTTGATGCAGAGTAAGCGAAGGAGCTGAAGAATCTTGATTTGTAAAAAGGGATCAGTGATTCCGGAGACATCATGCTCGGGACTGTAACCCTGGGTGATGAGAGTCTTGAGTTGTCTGATGAGCAATGGTATAGCCTTCTTGAGGTCAGATTGAGTGGAAGGTTGAGCGATAGCAATGTTCGTGATGAGAGTGACTGCACAGAGGAGAACGCCGTGGTTGCGATCGGTGAGGAGGGATTTGGCTGGGTTTAAGTAGTAGTAGTGTAACTCTGGGAGCTTCCTAACAGTACGCATCGCACAAAGGGCAGCTTTTTTACGTATGTAGGAGTTAGTAGAGGATAAAAGCTTCTCAACCTCTTGTGCTAAGTCTCTAGCCATTTCTTGTGAAGAAATGTTTGCAAAAGTAGCCAAAGCGAGACCAACGACGAACATATTGGAATGATTCATGTCATTCTTCAAGCTGTTTGTGACCAAAGTCAAGACCTCCTGAGATTCATCGAGAAGTAACATAATTCCCAAGTAACCAAGTCTCTTATCGATGAATTTCGACGAAGCAGCTAGTTTCAAGCACTCAATCTGACCGAAATGAGCGGGATAACCAAGCATATGAATGTAAATAAGTTTAGCGACGTTGGCGTGTCTCATAAAGTGATCTTCTTCCCTGAAAGCGGTACGTATAGCTGCGGATTCACGCTGAATGAGGGACCTCTCATCAGCCAGAGTTTTCTGTTGCCTTAGAGATTTAATCATAGATTTTAGATTAGAGAAGGACATGGTGGTCTGGGAGTGAGGGAAGTTAGAACGAGATGGACACAAACGTTGAGAATGGAAATTGGATCGATATCGAGCTTGGATGGGGAGTGTAATGAGCTCAAGAATAAATATGATGTTGGTGATGTGCATTGGGTGATATACAGCCACGACTAACATACGGGTATAGAGCTGCTTCAATAAATGGTTTGACAAGTACCTCGAGGAATATTCAAAGCAGAATATAAACACCAGTATGCAGACATATGATAAGGACTGTGGTGGCTTGTTCAAATTATACTCTCAGTGCTTGGAAGTAGGTAGTGCTATTGAATTTATCATTTGCTTACATTTTACTAAGAAATCTATAAATTCCAAGCCAAACTTGAAAGAATTGATTGATAATAACAAATTATAAGTGTTTCCTCTAGTCTGTTGTACTACCACCAATGTCTAATAGATTACCTTCAATTATTCAAGCAAACACTAGGATCTCAAGGTTTCTGAAATCTAAAAATGGATTCTGTAACGCTCTAAACTTCATTTCACAAACTCAGCTGGAACCCAACGACGAGACTTATTCTATTCTTCTAAAACTTTGTTACAACGATAGGCTGTTTAGCGAATCGAGTGCTTTGTTTAGTGAGATCAGTACTCCAAATATCGATCACTACAATCAATTGATTAGAGTTGGTTCCTTGTAATCCCCCTTAGCTTCTCTCTAACATTGATATCCTCAGACAGCCATAAGAACGCAACAAAATACCTCAACTATCTTCAGTTTACTCGGTAAAATGGAACAATCTGGTCACACTTCCTCTACAGCCATCCTAGACGAGCTCATCGCTTATAACACCCGCAGACGCTCTTTAGAAGGCTGTTTAAAGCTCTTACACTCTTTTTCCAATACCTCTCAGCCTTCTATCCAATCCATTACAAACGTCGTCTCTCTAGCTTCCCAATTAGCCTCCCCAAGGCTAGCCTTCGAAATCGCGATCGAATTCGAATCTTCCTCACCAAGATCTTTAACTGTGGATACTTGGCTCACCATTTTGAGATCCGCTGCTCACCACCACTACATGCCTGCAATTGAACACGCTTGGTCAATTGTTGTTGCTGAGAATGGTACTGCCGTCGACGAAGGCACTTGTATCCTTGTGTTAAACGCCTGCGCTAGAACTTCAAACCCTCAACTATCCACCTTAGTAATTGCATCTCTCAGGAACCAATTCATTCCCCTCCAAGAGCACCATTTAGCACCCGTAATAGAAGCCCATGCAAAAGCTGACAACATCAAAGAACCTTTCATCTTGCTAGGTGTTATGAGACAGAACAAAATCGCTCCGCAGCTAGAAACCGCTCAACCTATCCTCGATGTCATTTCAAAATCTGTAGATAGCGTCGACGATGCATACTACATGCTCCAAGACCTTCAGAAGGAGGGTGAAGCGATTGACATATCTGCACTCAACGTGATAATATCAGCATCTATCAAATTGGGTGATATACATCGTGCGCTGTCCACGTTCCAGGAAGTTGACACATTCAATCTCAAACCATCAACTGAAACTTACAACATACTGCTATCAGGCTGCATAGACACATCCAATAGAAGTCTCGGTGACAAGCTGCTCACATTGATGAAAAAACAAGGTATTCAACCCGATAAGAGGACATTCGAGAGGCTGATTGTCTTGTGTTTGACGCAGAGTACATACGAAGACGCCTTCTACTATCTCGAGGAGATGAAATCAGCGGGATACATTCCACCACAGTCTGTTTATGAGACGCTTATTCGTCGCTGCAAGAGTCTCGGTGACTCACGCTACAAAGTTGCTCTGGAGGAGTTGCGCGAGTGCCAGTACAAGCCTAGTAGATCCTTGATGACGTTTGTAAATTCGTAGTAATATTTATCTTTATTTGGCTATTTTTGTAATGCTGTGCACGTAATCCAAATCCCAAATCAGCCGTTGATTGACGATCCCATGTTTTTGCCTGAAAATCATTTACATAGAAGAGTGCGATATTAGTCGAGCTGCATACGCAGGCTTACAAAGGCATACTAGGACAACAGCTTGAGCGTGAACAGCACTCAGTGAGGACGTCTTGCATTCTCATCACGTGTCTGACCAGTGATTTACCCAGAAAAGAGACGCTTATCGTAGCATGTATCTACGTCGTCGCCATAGCCATTCTCTGGCACGTCCCTTTTCTTGTTAGTGGCTTGGTAATCTGAAGCCAACACGTCGATAGCAGCATCTAGTTTGAAATGACGCGTTGGTATTTCTATAAACCCTCTAACATCCCCCAGAGATGGATTATTTACCCATTCAAACTGCTCACCGTCGGATTCCACGAGTTCAGCCACGCCATTGCTGGTAAACTTACGGGAGCTAAGATTGAGAGTATAAAGCTGGATCCCCATGGAAAGTATCAGCTTGTTTGGGTGGGATAATTACTCACATTCCTACAGAAGGCGGTGAAACACGTATGAGAGGCGGTTGGTCATTCATTTCACTCCCGGCTGGCTATCTGGGTAGTAGCTTGAGTACGTGCAGCCTTAGTCTTCCTATAATGCACCACCCCTAATTCTCAACAGTCGGCGCCATTTTAATTGCCGTCGGGTTTGACTCGTTTGCTTCAAAGATCGCCTGTTTTGTTATAGCGGCGTGTTTCTTAGTCTGTATTTATTGGGCTCGCAGAGTGAGTGCCTTCACTGACTCTACTCGTTGGAACATGTTTAATGACGTCATAGGACTGGTTGTGTGAGTCCTTATCTTTGACTTGACTTTTTTCTTCAACCTCACACCACGCAGGCTATGTCCTACTTATTGTCTTTGCGGCACTCCTTATCGCCTTTTGGTTCATTGAGTTGGTTGATATGCTCATCATTTGACTTGCTAACGGATCAACTAACCAGGCACGCAATATATCTCGTGAGCACGCGTTGAAGTGAAAACGACTGAGAGGTACTAACAAAGTGTACAGCGCTACTTCATCTTGTTTGTTGGTGTGATGAGCTGTCTAGTGAGTACATAGCACGACTCCATAGCTGTCTAACAAGTCCCTCTCAAGTATTCCATTTGGGATATCATAGACGATACCCTGATAAGAAAGGTGCCCAGCTCGGATGCCGTTCAGATGTCCTATGCCTTTCACTGTATACCTTCCAGAGGTTGGGGTGTACTCTGGCTTCTGCAGAGTGTAGGATTCTTCGCTTGTGGTGTTATAGTCGGCATCGTAGCCTTTAAATATCAAGATCAGAGGTGAGAGTGTGTCACCTGTAATCACACTCCTAATGCAACCCAACAGAGCTCGCGCGGATATCATTTTAGCGACCTAGATGGGTCTTGTAACGTAGAATGTAACTTAGCTTGTAACGTAGCTTGTGACACAGCTTGTAATGTGGTAGAATAATTTATTTAGACTTTTCTAGTAAAAGTGTGCATGTGTATGTATTGCGATAGACAAAGAAATGGGTACTGGGAATGCGACACGAATAGAAGTAAATAAACTCAAATGCTATTGTTATTGTTATTGACATTGTTATTATCATGCTTATATTGTTTGTAATGCACATTCTGATGTCTAGTAACTTGATCAGGCCTAGCGAAACGTTTATCGCAGCTCGGGTGAGGGCATTCAAAAGGTCTATCACCAGTATGTGTGCGAAGATGTTTCTTAAGATTAGAAGATTCAGAGAAGGCTTTATCGCAAAAAGTGCATTTGAACGGCCGTTCGTTGGTATGAGTGCGTTTATGAATGGTCAGTGCGCCTGCAATAGCGAATGCTTTTCCACAACCTTGGTAATCGCACACGTAGGGTTTTTCTCTAGGCGTGTATTATCAGTTATTGTCATTTTCTTTGTCAACACAAGACGCAAATACACACTCACCTCGTATGCTTTCGCATGTGCTGCTGCAGCGTCGCAGCCTCGCTAAAGAAGCGGTGGCAGACTGGACACTCGAACGGTCGATGACCAGTGTGGGATTGGAGATGACGCATTATTTTCTGTCTGCTGGAAAAGACTCGTCCGCGTGTACTGCTACTACTACTCCCGCTCCCACTCCCACTCTTTTCGCAGCCTCTCCACATACAGGAATACTCCGCCTTGCCAGACCCAACATGCTCGGTAGAGAGGTGGGTCATGAGTTCCTCCGTCGACCCAAACTCGACGTCGTGCTGCTTGCAATTGAGCCAGTCGCACCTGTACGGTGGGCCAGCGATAGTGCATGTGTTTGGACGTGGGTATGGATGGTGATGGTAGTGCGGTGTGTGGTAGTGGTGATGGTGGTGTGGTTTGGGTGGGTGAGGCGGGTGTATTGGGCGTGCCTTTTCTGTTTCTGTCTTCATATTCGTGTTCATATTCGTGTTCATACTCGCGTGCGTAGCTGCGGGACATATCGACGGCGGGTGAAGATGCGGGAAGGCTGTCGCGTGAAGATGGTGAGCATATGGATTTAGATCAGGATAGTCGTGATGTGCAATTGCGATAGAAAGGTTATCGGAATTTTGCAGGGTATGCAAGTTGTTTTGGGTTTGTTGTGTGCCTTGGGTGCCTTGTGCACCCTGCCCAGCTCCTGACAACGCCAGTGGATCGTCAGCCACCTGCAAATGGTCCTGCAGGACGTGTCGGAGAATTGAATGCGCGTCTGGCTGCGTGTTAGTTGACGTAGACGGTGGACAAACATTGCAGTCTGTTCCACCCCATTTACAGTCCAAATTTACGAAATTGAGGTGTGAATTGTGCACATGCTCAATTAGGTCATTCATGCTATCGTAGTGAGCATTACAGCCTGCCCATTCGCATTTTATGAGTGGTGGTATAGTGCTTGTTGAATTTGGAATAGAACAACTAACATGACCATTATTGTGAAAATCAAAGTCATTGCAGCAGTTTTCCAGCTGTTTTCATTCAGCGATATACTCCAAGACAAAACATAGAACTCACAAAAGACTGAAACTGCTCTTCAGATTCACAAACTGGCTCTATACAATCATCGTCATCGCATACGACATCGACTTTGTGCATTTCATCGTCACAGTATTCTGAGCTGCAATCTGATCGACCGTCTTCTTCTTTATCTTCTTTGCCAGCCCCTTCTGATAAAGCATTCATTATTGAAAACGCCAATCCTTCATCATATGCTGGAAGCTCCGTTGAGATTTCTTCCGACAATCCATTCATTGCAATTTTTGCTCAATTTTGCTTGTCGTCGTCTCTCACAACCGGAGAGGTCGTCTTGATTGCATCATAAAAGATATTGGCTGCAGATTTTTATGTCATGTGGTGTTAGGTGGATATTCTACTCGAATTTACTCTCTATGTGTTTTATATTCATATATACATTACTGCTCTTTAATTGGGTCAAATTTTCATCAGGTTTAAGTCATCAAGTAAACAAGTAACCAACTAATAATGCATCAAGTCATCGTCACAACTTCCTCTGCAGCTGTTGGATGAATAGCTACAGTATTATCGAAATCCTTCTTTGTTGCACCCATCTTGATAGCTACTGCAAATCCTTGCAACATTTCATCACTGCCTTGTCCTACAAGGTGCAAACCAACAACCTTTTCTTCCTTGCCGACGACAATCAACTTGAAAGCACTTGGCTCCTTCTCCTCTTGAGGGAACATTGAGTAGTACATGGAAGTGAACTTGGACGTGTACACCTTCACACTATCACCAAACTGCTTTCTGGCATCATCCTCACTCAAACCGACCGATCCAGCTGGAGGATGTGAGAAGATGACAGATGGGATGTTTTCATAGTTGAGGTGATCATCCTTGAGCTCAGCAGGTCCATATAGTCTATTACCGAGTCTTCTACCAGCGGCCAAAGCGACTGGTGTCAATTCAGCTTTTCCTTGTACATCACCCAAAGCGAAAACGTTCTTCGAGTAAGTGTTCTCATCTAATTGGACAGACTGGTACTTGTTAACGAGAATGTTGTTCTTTGAATCAGTCTGTGCGCCTGCAACTTTAGCTCCAGCTTTGTCAGTTTCAGGTTCTCTGCCAACTGCCCAGAGCAGACAGTCAACTTCTAGTGGGTTTGTGGAGCTGTCCGTGTGGACCAACAAACCACTACTTGTCTTCTCTATGCTCTTAACATTTGTGTGCTTGACTAAGTTGATTCCTTGGCGCTGAGACTCACTCGTCACAGTATCCTGGATAATAGAGTCGAAATTCCTCAACACCTTATCTTGTCTTATGAGAAGGGAGGTTTCAGAGCCGAGGGAGTTAAGCACGCCGGCCAATTCAACGGCAATGTAGCCAGCACCGACAACAGCGACTCTGCGTGGCTGATGTTCTAATTCGAAGAAGCCATCTGAGGTGATACCGAGGTGTGCACCTGGAATTTCGTAAGGGATGCGAGGGTGACCACCAACAGCAATGACGACATTCTTTGTTGGAATTTCGTAAGAGCTGCCGTCGTCCTTTTTAACAGAAACTGATGTGCCTTGGTGGTTGTTGATAGCACCCCAACCATGATGATACTCCACGCCGTCCTTTTCAACATTTCTATCATAAATGCCGTTTAAGCGATGAATATAAGCGTCGCGTTTTTGCTTAAAATCAGACCAAGCGAATCTGGGTTTGTGGGGAGTGTATGATTCAGAAACGTCCTGAGCCAGTTCGTAGTAGCGGGAGTGGTTCACATGGTGTGCTAGATCTGCAGCGTGCCACATAATCTTCTTTGGAACGCAGCCAACGTTGACGCATGTGCCACCAAGTTTTGGTTGAGCTTCGATGATTGCAGCCTTAGCGCCATATTGAGCTGAGCGTCTGGCAGCGCCCAAGCCACCAGAGCCACCGCCGATAACGACGATATCATAAATTCCAGGACTTGGTTTGTTGATCGGTGGCATTTGAGGGATCGACGATGAGTGGAATCTTCTCTGATGGGAGTTAGAGGTGAAGAGGGATTTAAGATATTAAAACCTACAGCCACACGTGTGAAAGACATTTTATAAAATAATTTTATATTACCGTTGATCGTTACTCCCAACAGCCATGCCAGCCAACGAATCATTGAAACCTTGGATAGAGAAATATAGACCACGCACTATCAATGACGTAGCTGCACAGGATCATACAATACGAGTTCTTAACAAACAACTCAACAACGCTAATTTACCACATATGTTATTCTATGGTCCACCTGGTACTGGTAAAACATCCACTATTCTCGCTTTATCCAGGCAATTATTTGGGTGGGGATTGGTTGTTTTAATTTTATACACCCACTCACCCCCAATTGAAGCCAGGATCTCGTAAATAGTCGCGTACTCGAGTTAAACGCGTCTGATGAGCGTGGTATTAGCGTTGTTCGCGATAAAATTAAAAACTTTGCAAAACAAGCACCAAAGGCTTCTTCTTCATCCAATACTCCTTCTTACAAGATTATTATACTCGATGAAGCTGATTCTATGACTCAAGATGCTCAATCTGCTTTGAGGCGTACAATGGAAACTTATTCCAAGTCGACTAGATTCTGCTTAGTCTGTAATTACGTTACTAGGTGGGAAAAAAGCATTTTAATGCTTTCTAGGCTTAAATCCCTTTAGAATCATCGAACCTGTCGCTTCTCGTTGTTCAAAATTCCGCTTTAAGCCACTTGACGATACTGATACCAAAGCTAGACTCGAATTTATCGCTAAAGAGGAGCATATTGATTATGAGGATGGTGTAATTGATGCACTCATAAGCACAACCCATGGCGACCTCAGACAGGCTATCACATACCTTCAATCAGCTACACGCTTACATCAAGCAACATCGACAAAAATAATTCCAGATACGATTACTGAAATTGCCGGTACTATACCTCAACACATAATTGATAACATAGTGTCTGTTTGTTCGAACAAAAAGAATTTTAAGGAGGTACAGAGCACACTCAAGCAAATCCATTTGAATGGTTATGCTTCAGCTCAGATACTTGCACAGCTCCATGACAAAGTTATAGACAGTTCTAGTATAGCTGACTCCTCAAAAGCTAAATCAGTGTTAGCCATCGCAGAAGCAGACAAAGCGCTAACCGATGGAGCAGATGATGAGCTTCAAATGCTCAACCTCGCAATGAAACTGCAAAAAGCATTTAACCGTGTCAACTGAAACACTATGTAATTTATATCAAATCAAGTAGACTTGTTAACAATTAAAACTGGATTGCGTGATTGTTTAAGTATATAAGTTGAACATGCACCTGGTATACCTCCACCACCTTCATCGCGTCTTCTTCTACCTACGACAATCAAATCAACGGCGTGATGATCAGCTATTCTACAAATAGCTATTTTAGCATCAGCGTGGTTAATAACTAGAAGAGTGGTAGTGATCTGTGTCGTTTGTGAGTGAAAATTGTTCAAAAATGTTTCAAAATAGACAAACATGGAGGTTAGAGTGGAGGATATCATTTGAAATAGCCCGTAGATTATCTAAGACGTGGTCACGAATTTGCTTTAATTGAATAAGATTAGATTCGTGTGTTTGTTGATCATCTGCTGGCATTTCCAATATGTGAGCGATGAACAAATGATCACCATTCCTGAGAATCTTATTCTTCAAGTAGTTCAGCGTATGAATAGCCTCCTCAGTGCCATTAAATGCTAACAAAATCTTTCTTGAAGGCGTCGAAAGAAAACCTGCACTTGGGAACTTCTCAACAATTGGTGATAACGAGGATGCATCATTTGAAACAGCTGCTGCATTCAAGGCAGAATGAAAATCGATAGATGATTGCCTTCTTCTGTGTGTCATGACTGCATAGGTTGTAGAGATATCACGCGTATATATGATGCGTGAGAAGTTGTATGAAAATTTTCTATATAGATGGAAAGGGAATTGAGAGGTTCAAAAGAACCTTCATGATTCAAATGATATTTATTACCTATTTAACCACTCAAATTAAAGAATAAAGATTCTGACGTAATCACGAAGCACCATCGTGTCGTGCCAAACCATCATCCTTTCAGCGACCAACAAGTATTTTGAATAAGAAAAAAGAAAATGTCGAATCCACTGGATGAATTTGAGCGATTCAGTTATAACGCCGGTGAAGACGATCTAAAGCCTGATTTCCAGCTAATTGAAGATCCCATTTGGTCATTTAGAGAGAAAGATAAGCAAGATAACGATAACGATAAGGAAAAAGGAAATTTATTGGATAATTTGGATAAATCACCTTTAAATCAATCACAAGATCCACAACAACATCATTTATCCAACTTATTCAGCCAGAATTGGAATAATCTACAAACAGTTTCACCACAGCAAGTAAGCCTTGATTGGACACCAACTCAATCTACTTCAGATTTTCCTCAGACTTCAATTAAGACATCTAGTCCTGCAACTGCTGCTTTAGCCAACTTTAATGAGAATAAGGGGGAAAATACGGGAAATGTGGAATATCTCCAACCTTTGTTTAAGCCAAAAGTTGATTCTGCTGTCGATAGACCCCATTTATCAGCTTTCAACTCTTCTTCTAGCGATAGCGATGAAGAAACTAGCTTCAACTCTGTTCAGCAGCCCACGCAACTCACACAACCAAAACAACCAACACAGCCATCCCCTCCTTCTCCATCTTCAAACACACACAAACGTCCACATGCTGAAACACATTCACATCCACATACTCACTCATACTCTCAATCTAAACCACATTCAAGACGGCAATCAACCGCTCATACTGAACAAAATATTCAATCTCAATCCCAAGACGTCGACAAATACACACCTCCATCTTCACCTGGCTATGAATCTTCAGAAGATGAATACGACGACAGCTACGGAGCACAACCTACAAGACAGAGACGAAGGCAAAGCAGCACAAGTAAAACACAAAGAAATCAAAAAATAGCTCTCGATCAGATTGACACAAAACACATACCATATGCTTTTGAATTGACTGATGATAGTCTCGTTAGATGCACCTACTCCTCCCCAGTACCTCCTCATAAAAAGTGTAAAACTTCCTTCCAGCGTCCTTACGATTTAGCCAGGCATGTAGAGACCATTCACTCAAGAGACGAGGCTCAGTTGGTGAGAAGTGGTAAAATCTCTCCTGCTCAAATCACCATACCTGGTCTAGCCAAAGATCTCGAAGAGGCTGAAAAAGATCCGAAAAAGGCTGAGAAATTGGTCGCTGTGCAGGTTTACAAATGCGATGGCGAAGAGGGTTGCGGTTATGTGTTTTCGAGGAAGGATGCGCTTATACGACACAAAAGGATAAGAGGTCATGGTGTACCTAAGCAAAGCTAACAATTGTTTCAAGTTCATAGCATCATTACATTATTTCATGCATTGGGTTTTCTATAGATTTACTTAATCGACCTACTTCTTCAGCCCGGTTGCTATGAAAAAGGGAATCCTACTCAAACCACCAGTCTCTTCATAGTCTAGCAAAAATGCCGGCCTACACGAATAATCTATCAGACCAGCTTTGGTGATAGCCGACTGCACTTTTTGTGATGATATCGCGTGTCGGTGAGGATGAGTGTTGGGTGAAGGCTTATCGATGTGCTCTCCAGTGAAGGTGGAGTTGAGAACAGCTGAATCTGAGAAAGGCTGATTACTGTAGTCTACGATAAGCAACTCTCCGTCGCTGTTTAGGTGTTGAGATAGAGTGTTTATCACTCCATCGACATCGTTGAGTTTGTGAAGAAGTTGTGTGCACTGTCGTATACCTTATAAACATCTATACCCACCAACAAACACAAAGCAGACTCACCACAATTACGTCAAACTTACTGTCAGGAGGAATACAAGTATGTGCTTCCAACTTGTCAGACGATATGCCTCTGTCTCTAAATTTGCGATTGAAGGCGTTAACTAAATCGGAGTTGCTGTCCACGCCTGAGAAGAAGGGAAAAGGAAGAAAGAAGAGAGGGATCAGCAACAACACCAACACAACACGCTATCACTCCACCCACCGGTGATAGATCGACTGTTGAATTGCAGCGATTCACTCACAATTCCATCCCCACAGCCATAATCAAGAACACTGATATCGTCACCCATAACGAAATGGTCAGATCTGGCTAGAAACGCTTGACTGGCCATGGATTGAGCGTGTATCTCAAGCAATTCATCAATAGAGATGGGTATATCCATATTCATCTGCATACTCATCGCTAATGGCACCGCTGATGAGAATTTCCTTATTGATGTGCGGATGAAGGTGGGAAGCATGGCTAGCTCATAACCAAATAATAGACACATTCAAATGATTCAATCTGTGCTTATTTTCAACCAACAAGGAAAACCACGGCTTGTAAAGAATTTTAACAAAACTCTAAACAACTCTCAACTTGTGAATCAATCATTTAAGCTCGTCCAAGATAGGAACCAGGCTTGTAACTTTGTAAGCCTCGGTGATTATACGCTAGTTTATAGAAATTACGCTACTCTCTTCTTTTGCTTGGTGATCGATTCAAATGAATCAAATCTTGGTATACTCGACTTGATTCAGGTTATGGTTGAGGCGTTGGATAGGTTGTTTGAGTCAGTCTGCGAACTAGACCTTGTTTTTCATTTCGATCAGGTCCACTTTATTGTTGATGAAATTATTCAAGGTGGTCTTGTCATCGAAACCAACGTGAATCAGATTGTGAACAATGGTATGATACATTGCACTAAACTCTTTCACTTTCTCACACGCCACAGTCAACGAACAAACTCTGAGACGCAAGAAAAGTCAAGAAGCTCCTCTGATACCCAACTCTAGCTGGTTTAGTAGACTCAAAAAGACATGACCCAAAATATAAATATATTATTACAAAGCATACGTTGTTTCTCTTATTTTTATTTTTTCGCGTCTGCGATCGCCTCAACTACCGTGTGAGTATGGTTTGAAGACGGTCTAATTGCGCAACTATCCAACGACTGCAACCACTTATCGCTAACATAATCACTCCGTCTTGCTCTCTGATCTGCAGACTCTGAATCTGGTTTGGACAATTCACCATACAAATCCAAACCTTCTGTCGCGTCAAGAATTTCTTCACCTCCTCTCAGTAGCTCATTCAGCGTCGATCTTCTCTTTGGCTCGGGACAGATCATCCTCTGCAGGCAATCCCTAGCTTCGCGTGGCAGCAGTTTGAACATGGAATCTGAACTACCATTGACATAAGTCGTCTGTGAAGCTGTCCTGTCCTTGATCGATGGTCTCTTTGGTATCGATTTTGGTTGCACTTCATTTACTCTGCCCATATTCGATATCGTCATCGAGCGCACCTGTGCAGCAGAGCGAAGATCGTCAACCTTACTCTCTTTAGGCGAAGCAGGTAGACTTGTTGGTTCTTGGCATGGCTTAGGGAATATTCTATCGCTGAGATCTTTGTCTCTCTCATCTGCGGCATCAGCAGTGCTGCAGCCGCTAATGTTATACTCCTCAAACGTTTTCTGTAGCTCTGTCCACTCTGGTTTGTCATCCAGGTTAGGTGACTTTACTCCACTCTCCTCATCCTCAACAACTGGACAGCATAATTCTGGATGTGTTTTGAGGAATAGAGCGTAAGATTGATCTGATGTTTCGTCAGGTATCTTCCAAGGGAATCTTCTCAAAAGCATGCAAATGAATATGATACCAATTGACCAAATATCAGCTAATCTTGGATCATACTCGTTCTTGTGTTCCCGCTTAGCTTTTTCTGTAGATGAATAGAGAACTTCAGGTGCTAGGTAAGGATCAGATCCAACTACTCCGGTAGCTTTCACTGTCCGTTTTCCAGGATACTTGAATACCGTAGCTGTACCGAAATCGATGAGTTTGACGGTAGAGTTATCGGTCAAGACGCAGTTATCCAATTTCAAATCTCTGTGTGCCAGGCCCATATTGTGAAGATAATCGACGCCGTCGACTATCTGTTTGAACACGCAGTATATCTCGCCTCTTGACATTTTGCCTGACATGACAACGCTGAATAAATCGTATGGAGCATATTCCATGATCTCGTAATAGTGACCACGTTCAGAAATAATATCGACTGTTTCGATTATGTTTCTGTGCTTGAGGGTGACCCCAACGCAAAACTCTGCGGTGACTTTCTTTACGTATTCCTTTTGACTTTCGCCGTTTCTGCGCTGTCTAAACTCCTTTACAGCGTATACGGATGATGAGTTGAGCCGATTGGACCGAGTTGAAGAAGAGCGGGACAGAGAGTGCGACAAGGAGCGAGACTTTTTGGCAATCAGCCTAACGGTGCCACCTGCACCTGTGCCAAGAGTTTTGACCCATTTGCCGTACTTTCTGTTCAAATGTGCGTGTTCCTCACCCAAATTGCATGAATCATCGGTATCATAGCTGTGTAGGGAAGAGGAGGATGCAGGAGAACGAGGAGAAGGGGTATTCGAGTGCAGACGCCTCTTCCAACCGTGAATCGGGTGTAATTTGGACTTTTTGTCAAACTGGCGAATGATAGGCTTATCGAATATGAACCTGGAGGGAGTAGAACGCGCGTGCTGCGATTTGGCCTGTTAGAAAGGTTTATATGTGAATAAACAGCCACCCACCCTCTGATCCTCATCTGTGGATTCATCAGCGCTGGCAGACGTGAGCGAAGGCGTGTTCTGTGTGTATATCTCCAGCGCTGCTCTCATTTTTATTTTTCAGTGATGATCGTTTACTCCAAACGCTTATAAATCGATCGCTTCAAAAACACCCGGTCATCCCCTCACCGCTTTCCGCCAGTCGGCCCCCTGGATTTCGCACGAAAGTAAAAATAACAAAGCTGTGAAAATATTCTTACAAATAATACGTGCCTCTTTATGTAACCTGTCCATATACCATTTCAGCTCGCAAAGTTTTCCGAATGCGCGTAGAGCGTCGTGGGCATACAACTATCCTGAGCAGCGATCTGCAGCTCCATCTCTGCCACCTTATTCATCACCTTCCAATTAAACAGCTTCGGCCCGCAAACTTTTTACTCGTTAGTAATATTCGATATCTCATTCAGGTACGCACCACTCAGGCCCAGGGTGGTGCCTGCCGAATGTCTCGCAGCTTCATTGAGCAACTTTTCCAGATCCGGCCTCCCCGTTGTTATCTCATAAACCTTCTTCTCTGTTATAGAGGATGAGCTGTCGGTGGATGCCAATGAAGTGATAGATGATGACGTCGCCGGCTCAGTCTTGTCCCCACTCAAAAAGATGCGAACTCTTACATTGTCGTAGCTCGCCAGCCGCGATAATGCTCTGAATGTCGCGTCAAACCATTCCAGCGATTCTGGGGTAGTGATGACATGTCAGATGTGTGTGCCTGGAAATGACCCACTCACTCTTGCTCCTTATACTCCATACGAGCGTTATATGCTCACAGATGGTGGCTCGTGTTTCCATGCGCTGCACAAGATCTAGCAGGAGTGGCATGTTGCATGTTATACCAGTACCCCCCGACAACAGCAAGACATTCCTATAACCATCTAGCGGCACCGCCCCGCCATAGCTCCCGTCGACAAAGCATGGTATGTACGTATTGCCCTGCTGAGCGCGCTCGTGCAGTATCTTGGTCACGCCTTTCTTGGCACGAGCTAGTAGCTGTATGACCGAGTGCTCCGAGTCAGTCGATGGGATGCTGGTTATAGTGAACGGATGCGACTGGAGCGGCTTCAGGAAGGGGAATCGGATGTATATGTGTTGGCCTGGACTCCACCGTATTTTGGTCTTGATCGATAGACGCGTCATGCCCTCGGTGAGATTCTCCAACTGCGCGTGCGACGTCGACAGCTTGTTCGAATAGATTGTTATTACCAGCCTCCCGAACCAGCTGTACAGCACCAGTGCGACAGTCGCGAAGAGATAGTTCCACGCGTCCATGTATGTCACGTTCACATGAGGGAACAAGTTGGCCAGGAAGGCGATTGTAGTGACAATGTGCTGGAACACGAAAAACTCGTAGCTTATCCGCCGGAATATCCTGAGGGTGCTGATGTTGATCCATACGAGAAATACGATAAGAACCGTGCCTGATTCAAAGTGGGCGTTGTTGTCCCATGCGTATTGCAGTGCAGTCCGTCCAGCTGCGTTCCCACCTGTTCTGTAGCCTTCGAAATAGGGCGCCAGAAGCATCGGTACGCCGTGTACCAGGCTTATGAAAAGCAGCAGCCTCGATCCGTACTGGTGGTACGTCTGAAGCTTCTCGTGCGATATACCCGTTGCTAGCGAGATGGGATTGACTCGGCTACCGAGTGTGAATATGAACGGCACTAGCGCCATCGCTAGTGATCCTGCTCGTGTCGCCAGTGGTGGTTTTTCTGCGAGGAAATTGTCTGTGTAATATGGAAGCGTCGCCAGTGGCCACACAGCGAGCCATATGAAAAGGAGAATGATTCCTACGAGAGGAATAGTGTGTGGTAGGTACCATTTGTGGATTTTAATCTGGTGGTACTTTCCTGCTCTGCAGACAGCTGCTATTTGTCGTAAGAATGACGGTATCTGCTTCTTTCTCTGGCTGTTGGTGGTGTGAGGAGGGTTGAGAGTTTATAATCTCAGCCTACGGATGCTTAGCCAGGTAGTACTTGGTCTGCTGCAGTATTACAACAAACAACACCAATCCAAGCAGCGCCAACCCAACAACCAGTCCGTATATGGGCTTTTGAGGGTCGTTAGAATGGCTCATGATCATCTTACAATCAACCCACAGCTGCATCCTGGTGAGACAAATCTTTGTAGTTGCATCTCCATCCTTTGCAGCAATAATTGACAATACAAACTTCTCCCCGTTTATTTATAGCCATCAGAGTGATTAAAGAGGTACGACGATCTGCTCTCCCGTTCAGCCACAGTCCTCATACTTCTGTTGAGATATGCGACGCGGTATGGCATGTACCGATTCCGATTCCGATTCCGCTTCCTGGTTTGAGATATGATATGGGATGAACTATTTACAATTGAGATATTTAATTCTAGAATTCAACACACCCATGTTCAAGCATATCTGTCTTGATTTTTGATTGATAATGAGTGGTGTATACAATGTCCAAAAATAAAGCAAAAAAAAAAAATCACGTCTACAATTCAAACGATTCAGAATGAGCGAAAAGACTTCTTGGAAGTTCACTCTCTCCAGCAGCGATTTTCAGCTCGATTGCAGCACAAGTATTCATGACGCTAAAGTTCATGATAGATGGACCACACACCACAACAGCGAGATCCACTCCTTGTGCAGCTTTTGTAGACTCTTTCACGATATCTTTCACATCCGGCCTGCCTTTGGCGAAGTTGTACAGTTGCTCATCATAAGCGACGGGTTCATTCGAATATCTGGACTCGCTCTTCTCGACCGCCACAGTCTCCGCTGGATTGGAACCTGTGACGTGGATGACAAGATTGACGTTGCTGAAAGTGCTGTGTGTTGACAAAGACTTGAAGGTGTCGTTAAACCACTCCATCGATCCGATAGATCTAATAGTCCAAACGAAGTCTATGTGTTCTACCAGCGTCTCGCCTTTTTCCATCTTGCGCACGAGATCGAGCAGTATTCCGACCGTGGCGTTGATACCAGTGCCTCCTGAGATCAGGGTAACATGCTTGTAATTGTCGATTGGATTAGACAAGCCACCGTATGGTCCATCAATTAAACAGTAGGTGGAGGATACACCGTTTTTGGCTTTATCATGGATATCTTTCGTAATACCACCCTTGCCTCTGATGAGCAGCTGCATGACATTAGTGTTGCTATGAACATCAACGTTAGGGACAGAGGCAATGGTAAAGGGGTGTGACTGGAAACATTTCATCGTCGGGAATCTAAGATATACGCTCTGTGCGGGTGTCCATCGAACCGGCGTGACGATCCTTACGCGAGTTATACCCTCTGGAAGAGGCTCCAGTGTTGCTCTGTTGAGCTTGAATTCATTGGCCCAGAGCGTCCACAAAACTCGCCCGAACCAAGACCAGATCATCGTTCCAACAGCGACAAAACAGTAGTACCAAGCGCTTAAGAGGGATACCTGCACGTGAATGAGCATCCAAACTAGGAAGAAGAGAGTAGAGATGACGTGCTGAATGACAAAGAATTCGTATGAAAATCTTCTGAAGTATCCCATGCTGGAGATAATAATCCAGACCAATGCAACGAGTGGTGGTATACCGTTCCAGAATTGTTCTGTTTGGTCATAGTAGTACTGCAAGAAGTATCGTGCAGTCTCACGACTGCCATCATATTCCAGTCCTTGTTGGTAAGGGGCCACAATGAATGGAATAGTGTGCACGATTGACATGAACAGTATAAAACGTGCACCATATTGATGGTATACTTGCAGACGCTCGTGCGAGATGCCAGTAAGGAACGTGACAGGATTGACGCGAGACCCGAGAGCGAATACGAGAGGAACGAGGGCGGTGGCAATGTAGCCTGCGCGTACGCCTAATGGGGGCGACCTATGAAATTTTTGTTAGTTGGTTTCATTGGTAATGTTTTCGAATTACCCATATTCCATACCCGGTCGATAATAAGGAAACGTCACGAAAGTCCAAATTGTGATCCAAGTGAACATAAACGTAACGAGAATTAGTGGAAAGCTGTAGGGTAAAAAGTAAGACCTGATTTTAAAGCGGTGGTAGTGTAGCGCGCGAGCCAGTGCTGCCATCTTGACAAAACAACCATAGGGGCCACCCCAGCCGCTTTTCATGACGCGTCTAGAGGAGAGAGAGACGTGCTTGATAGCTTGAATAATTATCACAACGATGAGTATCGCGGTGAAACACATGGCTACTGCTAATGCCCATTTTGGCTGCATTTGGTTTTGATTAATATGTCGATTGAATGGCTCGGAGCGTCTCGCTCACAGCATCATACCAGCTATCACGGTCTGCTGTTGCAGATTTCCTTTCGTCGCTGCTAGGGCAATAGGACACAAAGGGTTTTACGCAAACTGCCATATAGCTTTTTGCGAGATGGCTGATCTGAAGAAAGTTCGCGGCCTACTCAAATTTAATATAAGGGTCATGAAAATTACTTTGCAGCGTTCTATTGTTTCAAGTTCCAGACAATGTCTCAGTCAGATTGCGTGCCCATCAGATCGTCTAGTTTGTCAGATTTGATGTACATAGCACCTTTGAGTGCGCATAAAGTGTGCAACGCACCAGTATCCACACAATTCCCAAACGTGTGCGACGTATAACGGATAATCAGAGTAAGAGCCAAAGTCTGTGATATCTTCACCAATACCAACGAAATATACACCAAAGAGATGCCGAAGATGAGCTATTTTTAAAAGCCTATTTTCTACGACCTTAGTCTTTCTACTTCTTTATTACGCATCACTGCTGGCATTCGCGAACCGAGATTCTCAGGATTGGGGGTGTGGAAATGGGTGAGCGGTTTTTTTAAAATGCCAAAAGAGGCAGGTGAGAGATATTTTAACTATTTATTATAAGAAGCTATGCAAGTGCAGCTTGAGCTTTGTGTACAAGATCGTCAACCGCTTTGGAGTGTGCAATAGTCGCCTCGTCCATCATTTTGTCGATTGTGCGCAAATCTCCGGACGCTTTGCCATCTTTTTGCTTGCTTATTGTCTTTTGCAAGGCTTGCCTGCGTAGCCTCAAGGCGATGCGAGCGTTCTCAGCTATTCCTGCTGCCTCCTTGGCCAATTTACTTTTTGTGTCGGCTGCAGGTCTGTTGGGTAAGTAATCAGTTTGCGTGTGATGTGTAGTGGCGACTCACTTGGGCACCGGACATTTGAGGACGTTTTCGGCAATCTTTTGAGGTGTGAGACCTAGATTAGCAGCGAATATGGCCTTTTCTACGTCCCTGATCATCTTTTGGGTTGTAAGTAATGGCTGGCAGAATATAGCAGCCTATAGCAGCCCATATCAACCCACAGAAGAATCGAACACCGACACTAGCAAACTACTGCCATCCTTGACGGATACAGAAGCTACCGACTGCAAATTAAACATTTCTTTATCAATTTCAACACGAACAGAGTCGAGGAGATCAGGGGTGACTCTTCCGACCCTATTAACCAGTATTTCGAGATCCTTTTTACACTTGGCTGTGATATCGTTCTGCTTCGAGGTGAAGTCATTGAAACTGAGATCGAAGGAACCCTCAGCTTCCTCCTGCTGGTGGGTGGTTTCTACTTTAGCCTCCTCCCAGTCTCGTGACTTGTCTTGTTTCTTCCCTTTAGTTGGGAGTACGACGGTGGAATCTGCCCTGACGGCGTCATTCTTTGTAGATTTCGCAGCTGAGGTCTTTACGGCTTTCTTTTTGAGGAGAGTGGAAGCTGTGGAGAAAGAGCGTGCATGTGTGCTACGTGCAGCTCTAAAACATCCCAAAATCAAGCTCATCAGTGTTTTTGAATAAAAGTACAAATCTATGTAGATTTTAAGAAATTCTTTGCTTTTATGTCTATTTTATGCTGTTTATTGATCTTTTTGCGTTCTTCCGCGGGATTGAAGGTCTGATCGCCTGGGGCAGTGGCATCTTTAGGTTCAAGTACAGTCCACAGCCAATCAGGATACGCTTCGTCTTCCTTGGCGACCTTTTCGACGTCATCCTTGAGTATCTGTAATCCAGGCAGTGGTGTGCCCGCAACGCAGCTTGATTTCTGTGTGTCGACTGGGGCATCTGTGTGAGTTTGAGTACACTACACCAATACACGCCACTCACAGCAAGCTCTGCTAGTGGAAAATAGCCGCCTTCCAAGTAAATTTCTAATCATTTTCAATTTAACCCTAATGATGGTTTTATTTGAAGTTTTGAAGTATCACCGACTTCTTCTTGTCCATCAACAGCCATGTTCTCCACAAGTGTAAACTTAGGCGGGCTAGTTAGGTGAGTTGGTGTGTACGCACCCACACCACGCTCACAGCTAGCCCAGGAAAATTCCATGGAGGTTGTCATCCACTAGGAAATTTAGAGTCAGGGAGAGACTGAGGGATGTCGATGAAAACATTCAAGCTATTAAAGACTCTGGCGTGCAGTTCAGGCAGCTCGACGTAGCTAGTGGTCTTCCCTCTGAGTCTAGCATGCCTCCTCGTGACAAGTACTTTACATTCAACAAGAACTCCCCCACTTATCGTAAAGGTGTTCATAAGGTGCCCAAGTGGACTAGACTCACTCAGCGCACTAATCCAACTGGTTTCTAGTTTATCCATTGTGAGTGAAATTTTTCACTCCACCCACCACAGCACGTATGTGAGGATGTTAATACACGGATGTAAAACCAAGAGCGCAAAACCCCATGTGGACCACCCGTAAACTGTTGCCTTCCGTCTGAACTACTTGCGTTGCTGTGGTTGAAGGAGGTATATGGCGGCATTGCTGACGTGACAGACAGATACATGATCACTCATACACACCCACACATCCCATGCATTCAAGACATGCATTGTTGTACAATTAGTCGAATATAATTCTATCATACCAATATCTTCTCACTTTTCCTTCTGTTTCACCCGCATCGATGAGCTCAAACGGTAAGACAGAAATGGCAGAAGAAGTCGACTACTCTTTAAGTGCATCTGATAGCGAGTATGAGGTAAATGAGACGCTTGTTTCACCGAACCAGACGGTTGAGGCGGCTGCTGAGACTGTAGAGGATTCACAGCAAGGAAACCCATCGCAGCCAACCCAGCCAGCCAAGAAGAATGCACCACGCAAGCAACGCAAGAAATCAGCTCCTGGGACATTCTCTGATGCCACCAACGTTATCAACACGACTGGCCAAGTCGTCGACACAGCCAGCAAGACGGTCGATGTAACTCAGCAGCCACTGGACGTTCTTAAAGAAGCTACCAGTGTTGCTCAGCCAGCCGTACAAGCAGTCCAGGGCGTTCAAGGTGCCGTTCAGACCGGCAAAAAGAACGACAAAGGCAACAATCCCATATCGCTGAGACTCGGTGGGTGTGAGTAGATTGTATCAACGCACATATTCACATAGACACAGACCTCAATTTAGAATTGGAGATATTCATCAATAAGTGCTGCGCTGCACAGCCTCCTTCTCACTCATATCACTTCACAGGCGAAACTGCACGGCGATGTGTGCCTCAAGCTTCTCGCATAGGCTCAAGGATAGCTATAGCACCACATTTGTAACGATTTAGGCATGACATTGATGATTTATTCCTTCGTTCAAATGAAGTCAATTTTTCACATCCTGTACGTCACCCCCCTGCCTTGGCCGAGGGGAACTTCCAGACGCTTTTTAGCCATTAGCAAGCATCAATACGCTAAGCAGAAGCATGTCGCTTGAGAAAGGCAAACAGAAAGAGAATGTCGATGTTAGCAGAATCGACAGGGGATTGATGGAAAGGTGAGTGTGGAGTACGAATAGGATCACATAGGCATACTTCAATGCACAAGTACACGCTCACACTCCGACAGCTACGCAGAACTCGGCAGACAGGCTATCGGTCCCACACACACGGACCTCACCGCCGACAAGAACGGCGGGCCACTCAAAGAGAGTAGAAATGTCACGCAGGAGGAAGAGAGAGATGATGCACTCGGACTGCGTCTCGATCTCAACTTGGTAAGCAGAAAGCTAGAAGACGAGGAGAGCACAAACTGAGACAAGCGCAGGACCTCGAAATTTACATCAATGAGTTGTCTGTGGGATAAGCGGGCTCATCTCACACTCTCACACAGGCTAAACTCCACGGAGACGTCGTTCTTACGCGTGAGTGCTGGCTGGCTTCTGCTCTCACACACTCACAAACAACCCTCACAACAGTTCTGACTAGCTAAGCTGAAATAATGAAGAAGCTCATTGATTTGTTTTTTGAATCATGTTATACAAGAATCAAATAGAGTCAATTGTTTGTTATACAGAGTGCAATACAAATTGGTTTAAGCTGGAGTAGTGATCTAGTATATATTCTGTCATAATCTGTCATAGTCATAAATAATAAGCATCATGTCGTAGTAATACACTACCATTACTGCCTAGCTGCAGCTCTGATAGATTCAACATAGTTCAAGCTGTTGAAAAGGTCTCTGTCAACCAAGCTATCTGCTCTGCGAGTGCGATTAACTTGGTGTGTCCAAAGAGTGTCTAGCTCTTCGAGAGCATCGACTGATAAATCGTCAGATAGTCTTGGTGACAGTGGTGGAGTGGCTAAGTTGCATATGACGTCATCTTTCGACTCAACGCAATCCATTTGGTTGGATAGCGGTGATAGTTCATCGAGTTCTTTCTCGAGTGATGACATGCTGGCAAGTTTTGTAGATTTATGTGGTTGGTAATTGGTGTTTTGGTGGGCGTTTTGGTCGGTGCTTCCTGGTGACTTTGGTAAGTCTGGTGAGCCTGGTGGATCTGAAAAGTTATCCGAAGGTGACATGATTGAAACCAGAAAGTCATCGTCTTGTTGTTGAGAAGTTTGAGATTGGGGAGGTGAAGGAGGAGTAAGAACAGGATTATCACTGACGACTGCAGGTTTATTTGACCTATTCTTAGGTTTTGAGGATGGTTTTGGTAAGTCATCCAAGAGGTCAAGGTTCATGTCGACGGTGTGATTAGATCTCAGTCTACGATGTGTTTGTGGGTTTTTATCTTCATGATCACTGTTAGCAGGTGAAATCGGGTACTTCGTTAATTTTCTAGATTTGATTGGTTGATTAGTTATTCTGTCTGAAAATCTTCTCTTTGTTGGATTTGAAGGGTTTGAACTGTGTGTAGGTTTGGAGCTCCTATATGGATCTATAACACCTGCGGCTTCCCAAGGAGATTTCTGATCAAAAATTTCACAGTTTAAAAAGTAAATTACGCCTGCTCTATTTGATTTAGTAGATACGTTTGAAGAGATGCCAATGTGAGGGAGAATTTTATCATCATTCGCAGTACCAGATAATTTATGCTTTCTGATAATATTTGTTGATTCCCTGTGACGAAATATATTATTTATCGAGGTAGCTGGTGCGTTTCCACTAAATCCACTCCAATTCCTCTGTTTAAGCTCCTTTGCAATCTCTAATGGACTCAGCGCTCGCTTGTGAATTGCAAGAATCCCACAAATAGCCATAAATGGACTATCATTAAAAGCCTCTGCGGGTAAATTTAATTTTTTGTTTTTAGCCAATTTAATAAACTCTTCCATTCCCAGGTTATAATTGATTTTAAATTTTATCTTTCAAAACTAGTTGGTGGTTGACTCGACACGTTCATCTGGGTTAGCTGATGATGGATATGCCACCCGCTTTATTTCGTAAGATTTTAATTATTTATTTCATCTCTTTATTCATCTCCATCTCCAGGCTCAGAAGATATCAGTCTTGTTCAGTTCTACGTACCCACAGAGATTGCTCACGATAGCGTACTTCACTTGGGAGATCTCGGTTTAGTCCAGTTCAGAGATCTCAATCCAGACTTAAATCCATTCCAACGCAGCTTTACGAACGAAATTAGGCGTATTGATCAAATGGAGACATCTTTACGTTTTTTTATCTCTCAAATCCACAAAGATAACGTTAAAATTCGTCAAATTGAGAATATTCTCGAATTTGACCTTGATCAGTCGATCGAATTGGATAGATCCCACCAAGGTCCTCAATTGCTTGATGAGATTCATGTTAAACTGGGTGATCACGATAATAGACTATCACAGCTCAATACGTCATTTGAATCTCTCAGCTTGGATTGCTACAAGCTACAGGAGACTAGACAAGCAATTAGAGAAGTTTCTACCTTCTTTAACAACGTTAATAGCAACTATAAAGACGATATTAGATCTTCTATCGATGACTCCTCTCTCCACGAAGACAGCAGTCCTTTATTAAACCACGATAATGATATTCAATCTGAATCCAGCCACTTTGCTAACCTTGAATTGGATTTCGTCGTTGGTACGATCGATAGATCAAAATTGGCTACCTTTGAACGTATTCTTTGGAGAGTCCTTAGAGGTAACCTCTACATGACTCACAATGACTTGGATCAAATCACCCTCCCTTACGGTGCAAATAGCGCACAAGACAATTCAAACAAATCTATCTTCATCATTTTCGCTGATGGTCAAGAGCTACTCAACAAAATTCGTAAAGTTGGTGATGGAATGGGTGCAACTACCTTTTCCATCTCTTCAAACTCTGATCGTCGTTCTGAAGCTTTGTCTCTACTCAATCAGCAAATTGAGGATATGCACACTATCCTTTACCACACTGCTCAATCTCGTCGCACTGAATTGTCTACTATCGCTTCTGACATCGCGACCTGGTCTTCAATTGTCAGAAAGGAGAAGACTGTATACGCGACTTTGAATCTTTTTCACTACGATGAAAGACACCACACTTTACTGGCAGAAGGTTGGGTCCCATCTCATGAAATTACCGCTGTCCAGCAGGCTCTTAAGAGGGCTTCATCCAACGTTAACTCCAATGTGTCTCCCATCGTCGACGAAATCAAAGCAAAGCGTATGCCACCTACTTACCACCGTACCAACAAATTCACTCAGGGTTTCCAAAACATTGTCGACGCATACGGTATCGCTACTTACCAGGAGGTAAATCCTGGTCTGTACACTATTATCACTTTCCCCTTCCTATTCGCCGTCATGTTTGGTGATATCGGTCATGGTATACTTGTCTTTCTCACCGCGGCAATATTGGTTTACTTTGAGAAGAGTATATCCAAGAGAAAATTGGATGAAATGTCAGAGACTTTCTTTGGCGGCCGCTATATTATTCTCCTCATGGGTGCATTTTCCATCTACACTGGACTGCTCTACAATGACATGTTCAGTCGCAGCCTGCACATTTTCACGTCAGCGTTCAGCTTCCCGGATCCATCACCCGGTCAGAGCACAGTTGAAGCCGACCAAGTACGCGACCCGTACATATTCGGTCTAGACCCAGCTTGGCACGGAGCGGAGAACAGTCTAGTATTTACCAACTCGCTCAAGATGAAGATGTCGATAGTAATGGGGGTGATCCACATGTCATTCGCCATATGTCTCAACATACCCAATTACCTGCGCGAGAAGAAGCCGGAGTACATCGTAGCTGAGTGGCTTCCGCAGATGCTTTTCCTCAATTCAATTTTCGGTTATCTGGTGGTATGTATAGTGGTGAAGTGGTGCACAGACTGGAGTAGCTCTGAGCACGGCCCACCGGGGCTGCTCAACATGCTTATTTACATGTTCCTTAGTCCTGGCAGTCTCGATCCTTCGCAGCAGCTGTTCCGCGGACAAGGTTTTGTGCAAGTGGTTCTGCTTCTCATTGCGGCCGTGTGCGTACCGTGGATGCTTCTCGCGAAGCCCTACCTTGAATGGAAGGAGCATGTGCGGACGACGGGTGCGGGCTATGCGGGTGTCAGTGAGGGTGAGGATGCAGGAGCAGACGCCGACGACCTCCGTTCCTCAGCTGCGAGTGAGCGCGGCGATGGTGATCACGACCATGCGCACGAGTTTGCAATTGGCGATGTGGCTATCCATCAGATCATCCACACTATCGAATTCGTCCTGGGTTGCATCTCCAATACTGTTGGTGGGCTATTTTCTTTCCTAACACGCACTCACACTCCCCCGTCAGGCATCTTATTTACGTTTATGGGCATTGTCGCTCGCGCACGCCCAGCTCAGTGAGGTCTTGTGGACTATGATACTCGCACCAGCTTTGGCGACCAGTGGGGTGAAGGGGGCTGTAGCTCTTGCCCTCGCTGGTACATTCTGGTTCGTACTCACTATCGCTATCCTCTGTCTCATGGAGGGCATGTCTGCCTTTTTGCACGCTCTCCGTCTGCATTGGTAGGTTGGATATTTTATTATTCTGCGCATCCCTCACTCACTCGTGCTTGCAGGGTCGAGGCTAATGGCAAACATTATAAGGCTGAGGGTTATCCATTCGAGCCTCTCAAATTCGAGCTGATTGATCTGGACAAGTTTTAGTCCTCACTAATTAGCACGACTAGCATGACTATCTACTATTTTATATTATATACCTCAACAAAGTACACAATCGTTACGATATATGCACACAGCGTCTCTATTCGGTTGTGCACACAAGATCGCTCAGCTCCGCCGCCCGTTGCGGGTTGGCAGCGTGGAGGAGGCGATGGTATTGAGTGAGGATGTGTATGTTGACATGTTTGAGCACATGTGCGGCCTGTGCGAGTGTGAGTGTGAATGTTTAGCACTAGCGTCCATAATACCTTCCTGCGCAAGCTGTAATCGGGGTGATCGAGAGTCTCCATCACATACACTGTTTCCTTCTCGCCCAGGATACTGTTGGCAGTGTGGGGCGGGAGGGCGAGTATGTGTGCCAGCACACCGTGTCTGTGGTTGGGGGTGTTTGCGCGTGTGTCTCCCACTAACTGGGCGATGTAGGTGGAGAGAAGAGGGAGAAAAGCCGCGTTGTCCGCTGCATTTCCCCTCACCGCTACCATCGCTATCACCTTCATCACTTCCACTCCTATAGCGTGTTTGTAGGGCGAGGCGGTCGTACTCAGCTGCTCCAGGAGCTCCTTTGTGGGTATCGTTGCGAGCTCCTCATTTTGCCCAGGTTGCACTGGCTGCTCAAGGCGTCGTGCAAGTGTGTGTAAGAGGTGCAGTGTGTAGAGAGGATGTAGTGCGAGAGTGTCTCTGTTGTTTTGTTGGTTATCGTGACTATCGTGACTATCCCGGCTATCTATTAGATGACGTAATTTGCGTGCGTATATCGCCTGTCTGGGCTGCTCATCTAGTTGTCGTCTGAGGTGGAGTTTCGCTACCAACCAGCCGTCGCCAATCTCATTCTCATGAACGTTATCGTTATCGTTATCGTTATCATTATCGTTATCGTTACCGTTATTATCCTCGTTATCATCACACCATTCACGCAGAATATCCCCGTCAAACCCGCCGTCGCCTACAGACAAAAGGCGGGATATGGCCTGCGCGGTGCGTATTCGCACTAAAGAGGTGGAGTGATGGAGCAGCGCCACCATCGTCTTGCTCACGGCCGGGACGACTTGCGAGAAAGGGCGGTGTATAACGAGGTGCAGTGCCATTAGTACGCGCGGAATGCACCCGCTACTCAGATCCTTCGAGAGTGTGTTGACGAGCAGCAGGAGATCGTCCGTGTGCGCCTGCCCATACTGTGCTATGTACATATATCCCACACGCTTCTCGCGCAGTGTGCCCCGCTCTGCTAGTGATATGGCGGGGTATAGTGCGCTATGCATGGTGTCGTATGTGCCGCGCGTGTTGTCGTAGATATCCGCGTTCATTAGCATTATTAGTATCTCGCTTATCTGCCCACTCTCCGTCTGGCCAGCGAGCAACTGCAGCAGCGCCGCTTTCTCCCGCTGGGCTTCGGAAGATCCCGCATCGGATTCTTCCAGCCTGCCTATCAGCGCGTCGTGCGCCTTGCTGTGTGCGCCGGTTGTGAATAACGTGGAGAGTGAAGTCATGGTGGTGAGATGGGTAGGTATAAGATATGAATAAATTACAAGCCATTTGAATATTTTTATATTTTATCTCCCTTTATCTTCTCCATCACCAACACCACCACCACCAAATGGCCTGCGAAAATCCAAAAGATTGTTGCGGCGGATCTTGCCTGCAGAATAAGCTGCCAAAAAGGAGCCAGGATGTCGTTGAGAGAGTGGAGAATGAGCCAGTGTGGATGACCAGCCACGGTAACGACGCGAGCGACGACAACGACGACCCCAACAAATGCGACAAGCACGCGCGCGGCGTGTGCTGTAGAGAATTGAAAGGCGAAGACGAACGCGATTTGTGGATTGATCCCGACACAGTCTCAGATCTTGTCATAGGTTTGAGTGATGGTTTGGCTGTACCGCCTGCGCTAGTTGCTGGTTTGGCCGGTTTGGGCGATTCGAAGCTCGTTATTCTCGGTGGTCTCAGTGAGGTGCTAGCTGGATCCATTTCCATGGGGCTGGGTGGCTTTCTCAGTTCAGAGGCTGAAATGAATCACTTTAAATACCTGCGCAGAGTTACGCGTCAGAGAGTTGCGCGTAGCTGTGCGGGTGAGATGGAGCGCGAGGTTCATGATGTTCTCGGCGCTGTGGGTGTATCGCAGGAGTTGTCCAATGGCGTCGCTGCACAGCTCTCCCAACTGGAACCACCTGCACCACCTCAACCGCCCTCTTTCCTCAGATCGCTCGCTATCAAGTTTGGTAGGAAACCTACGCCTCTCCCAACCACCAATCTTAGATGGTCTGATGAGCACGGCCTCACCGCTTTCCTTCTCAAGTATGGCGAGAATGTCGAAGAGGTACCCACCTCCAAACTGATCAAATCTGCTCTCACCGTCGGCATGGGTTATGCTCTTGGGGGTATGTGGCCACTTCTCCCCTTCTTCTTCATCGAGGAGGCACACGAAGCCTTTAGAGTGTCCATTCTGGTTACAGGCCTGGTTCTCTTTATGTTTGGAGTCTTGAAGCAACATTTCACGGGTGGTACAGTGAGTGATTGATGCTTTTTAAATGCTTTGAACTTTGCTAACTCACTCTTTCAGGGCGGAGTTGGAGGTTATTTGTATGGTGGTGTAAGCATGGTAGCAGTGGGTGGACTTGCCGCCGGATCAGCGTATGGACTAGTCAAAGCGTTTGATACTCGTGAGTGAGGAAGTGAAGTTTTTCACTTTAAAGAGAAATAATATTATTATTGAATTTGTATTGAATAGAATGTTTATGTAGTAAATTCCCTGGCATAAATTGGTTGGTTTGCTATTGGTAGGTAATTGCGATTCCACCGCTTACAAGCGCTTAAACCAAAACGATGGACAAAGCACTTGATTTCAAATTCGAGGACGAGAAAGTGAGCTGGAATACGCGTGATTTGCTATGTGAGCTTGGCAGTAAATAATAATACACAGCTAACGACAAGAACAGTATACGCACTCGGGGTGGGATCCAAAGCCAGCGAATTAAGTCTCGTCTACGAGAACGACGCAGCGTTTGCTGCACTCCCCACGTATCCCGTTGTGCTTAATTTCAAAGGTGACAGCAGCACCGTCGTTGATTTCTTCGCTTATGCCAGCAAGATGTCCGGCAATGTACCCGGTCTGCCTGAGATGGATCCAGGGCGGATATTGCACGGCTCTCAGTACTGCGAGATGCTCAAGCCCCTGCCTCTCGACAGCCGCGACGACGGTGACGTATTTGTGATGAAGAAGCGCATCGTCGGTGTCCACGAGAATGGTCGGTAGCGGTGGTATTGATTTATCCACTATCTAACACCAACGCCAGCCAAAGGGATTGTCGTCGATACTGAATCCACTCTCTGCAACGGCAGTAACGTGTACGCCAGGATGTTTGTGAGTGGGACATACTCTCATATTCCAAATCCCACTCACTAACGCACCCAATCCACTTGTTCGTGCAGTCTTCCACATTCAATGTCGGTGCAAAGACAGGAACGCGTTTCTCGCGCGCTGTAGCTGGTCCTCCTGCCGCACCGCCCGTGCCAGCGCGCGACGCCGATGTCGTCATCACCGAGCAGACGTCCAAAGACCAGGCAGCGCTCTACCGACTCAGCGGTGATTATAACCCCCTTCACATCGATCCCGCTATGGCAAAGATGGCTGGTTTCAAAGCACCCATTTTGCACGGTCTCGCAACTTATGGTATCGCAACTCGCGCCCTTATCGTTGGTATCGGCGGTGGGGATCCCGGCGCTATCGTCGCTGTTGGCGCTAGATTCACTTCACCTGTCTCCCCAGGCGATACTCTCTCCACGCGTATCTGGGATCTTGGTGAGGTGCTGGCGTTTGAAATGAAGAACGACAGTCAGGCAGGAAAGGTTGTCTTGGGAATGGGGTATGCGAGGAAGAAGCGCGACATACCCCAGTCTAAGCTTTGAATGGTTGTAATGGGTAGAGCACAAAGAATCATGAATCTCACCATCTTGTATCAGCTACGCGTTAAAGTAAAGTGACATGTATAATTATACGAAGTAGAAGTAGAATATAAGAGAAAAGAATCCAATCCGCAGACAAACAACTGCTCAACGCTTAGTTGACAACCAAAACGGGCACTGAGACCTTGTGAAGGACGTGCTGCACGGTAGATCCAACAGGGTGACCCATGAACACCTTTGAGAGACCCTTTGCAGGAGCATGACCCTTCTTTCTGCCGAGGATGATGAGATCGACAGAGCGTCTGTGAGCGAGCCACTCAATAACATATCTACGCTCTCCGTGAACGATTTCGAGGGATGCCGTTGCACCCTTCTCCTCAATAAGCTTTATCTTCTCAACGGATAGTGTCTGTGCGTGCTCCTGCATATCACGCAAAGCCTTACGCTCCATTTTTCTATCATCCGTGCCGAAGCCAGAAGTCTTGAAGAGGGACGTAGGGAGAACAACGAGGAGGATGACGTGGTCGCCTTGTCTGCAGACCTTGTTGAGGTAGTGATCCAGCGCTTTGTTTCCTTCTGGGGAGTTTTTCCAACCGACTGGGGAGGTGTTAGGCGGGCGTAGTAGATAGTGAACTGCACTCACTTAAAATTTTGTTAGAATTTGGTTGCGCGTGTTTACCAATCACTTGGTGCACTTCATCCTTGTCGAGTGGAGTTTGCACGTTCTGAGGGGCGTTGGTTAGTGGTGGCTACGCACAGCGCATAGCGACACCCACCTCCATTGGGTTTGGCCATTGCTTGGAGGGCGATGTTGGTGCTGAGGTAACTGGGCTAGTCGTTTGTGACATAGTAATTTGCTGGTGACTGTAACGGATTAAGAAGTGGTTTTATACCGGAAAAAGGAAGGAGGAGGCGGAGTGGGAAATGGTTGAGGTGATTTGATGCGGTAGTGGCTAATCTACTCAAATCTCTTATTTTACTCACCCATCTCTTAATTTGAACGACTTGCACCTTACATCACCTATCACCCACAATAACCCAATGGTTGATAGCACCCAAGAAAATTCACTCAGCTACAATGAAAACGTGGAACTCATTGGGGATATTATAGAGATTAGCCTGCACTCCATCCTACAGATACGGCAAGTGTATCCACAATTCACATTCGAGAGGAAGCAGAAGTGGGGAGCAATTGTGTACAAGAGTAGAGTGGCAGTGGTACAGAGCTATATAGCAGAGCTAATCAGATGCGTCAAGGTGGAGCTGCACGAGGATAACGTGGAGAATGTAATCATACTAATAAAGAACACGCAAGATGTACCGATCGAGAGATTCATATTCAATATCTCAAATGTAGTCGCAGGTGAAATACCGGAAAATCTCAAAGACGAAGAATTTGTCGGCGGTTTGAAAAAGTCTGAGATTGGCAACTACGCAAGATCAATACTGGTGAGGTTGTCGAGCTTAGACGCTTTGCTTGAACCAATAAGTGAGCAAGAAGACTTGACATTTGCAGTTCTGTTGGAAATGAAGGATGACATAACCCAGGACAACAAGGCGTGGATGGCTACTGCAAACACCCCCAGTGGCTCAGAGATTATACCAATAAGAGGTCTTGACACAGGGATTATAAACGTTAAGCTATTGTGTCAAGAGCTGCACTAGCGCGATCAAACGGAGTACCTGGAATTTCCTTGATGTATTCAATATCATAAGCACCATCTTAATATAAATTACATTGTACTTGCATATGTATTACTTGATAGGGAATTAATATTTGATTACATGGAGTTGTGTTCCAGGCATACCAGCCTATCCTTCCGGCGCGACGATCAAGAAGAAAATATAGTTGTGCAATGTATAATACGCCACCGCTGTCACCACCACTGAGTCCATCGAAGCATATAAAGCAGCCGCAATCGACACAGTCGTCTAGAACTAACAGCCAGAAGAAACCAAAGATGAAGCGGATACTCATAGCGCTATTATTGACACTTGTTCTGGTTATAGTCTGGAAGATATCTTTGCAGCTGCTTAGAAGGCCTACGCTGGAGATAGTATACGCGTACTACAACGAGGATATCGACAAGTTTAGCGGCTTTGCTAATCTTATCAGACAGCGCCTGCACTGGAGGTTCAAGCTGTCTGATACTGTCTACGTGAAGCAGGAACCGAGTGATGAGCTAAGCAAGAAGCTTGGCAAGATAGTTGATAACGTAGTCTACCTCCCAAATGTCGGAAGAGAGGGTGGCACATACCTCCACCATATAATACAGCGCTACAAAGCAACTATCTTCCCCGACAATCTCAACACTTCACAAGATCTCGTCCTTGCAGACAAAACACTGTTTCTGCAGCCACACCCAGCCTGGTATTGGATTATGTACGACAGACTCAACTTCATTCTCCCGTCATCTGCATTTCTCAGTCTAGGTCCTTACGTCAGAGGCAACTGCGGCGTAACTGAAGGACATACCCTGCCGCAAATGAAAAGTATCTATCAGCTGTTTACAGGCACGGAGTGTCCAGATGATCAGGACCAGTTGGTCACATGGGCTGGTCAGTTTCTCGTGTCGCAGGATAGGATACTCAACAATCCACTTGGGAGGTATGTTGAGATGCTCAACCTGATCGAGGCTCCATCCGGTGATGCTATACATGACGAGACGCAATGGTGGTTTGCGAACAAGAACGACCCCAGCAATCCATTCATCGGCCACTCGCTCGAAAGGTCCTGGCCTGTGATATTTGACTGTGGGTGGTTTTTGTAGGAATGCGATAGAGCTAACAAAGATACAGGCAATCAACCATCTTTCATCAACGAACATGCTTGTGGCGGTCAACATAAGGCTGGCAGTAAGCACTGTCAGTGCTTTGACTGATGGTCTAAAAGTGGTCTAAAAGATAACAAGACACTGAAACATGCAAGCCTTAACACCCTTCATCGCAACGTACAGCTATACCCAAGCAACTTGTAATATATATCATCACGATTATCCTATCAAATCTCCAATGACGTTGTTGCTTCTGACGATCACGAGGATTATGTTGTTACCGCAATATTTTCAGGACCATTGGCGTGGGTGGGAGGAGGAGAATGAACTGAGCGCAACTAACAGGTCTAGCACCATTCGCCATATGCTTCGTGGGGTGTTACGGCGTTTCGAAGCTATCGGATGTAGTGTCACGTCGCTATTCCAAGGTTTATAGGCAGCTGAGCAGCACAGACAAGCTGGATTGGAATGCACACAGTGTATCGCTAGTGCATTCACTCCTTACAGCGCCCGCATCGCTCTACGTGTTGCGCGCCTCACCGCTAGCGCTCAGTCGCAATATACACGGATACGACAGGCTGATAGGAAGTTTGCACGCCTTCTCACTGGGCTATTTCGCCTGGGATGTGCTGTATGAATTGTATACCCGCTCTGCCGTCTTTGTCGCGCATGGCGCGTTCAGCGGGTTAGCTTATCTGTACAGCTTCACCCCAATGTTCATGAATCTTGGACCGGCGTTTCTGCTGTGGGAGGCGAGCACACCGTTTGTGAATCTCAATTGGTAGGTGAATGCGTGGTGGTGTAACACGTGGCTGACGTCGTTCCTCATCGCAGGTTCCTCGATCGCACTCATAAAAGAACCTCTATGTGGTACGTGGCTAATGGTATCGCTCTCACTGCTTCCTTCTTCCTCGCGCGCATCGCCTTCGGTGGCTATATGAGCGCTGTCTTCTTCGAAAGCATCAGGGAAAACTACGACAGCCTGCCTGGACATATAGTTGGATTGTATGTCGTAGGCAATATCACACTCAATACCCTCAACCTCCACTGGTTCTATAGAATCTGTCGTAAGATTAGACGTATGTTGTAGAAAATTTCTCAAGGAGAATAAATGCAAGTTGATACATAAAATTCATGTGCATGTGGATAAATATCGTTATCTTCAACTATGACGATGATGTCGATGATGTCGATGATAACGATGGCGATAGTGCGGAGACGAGCGATTGCAGTGGCAGTAGCAATGACTGTGGCATTGACGTGGCTGCTTTACGACTACAAGAGGATCGCTATCGATGCGGTCGATTTGGATTTGTTGCTGCTAAGGGGAACACACGACGCATACGACGCATACGACGCATACGAAGCAAACGACACACACACACCAAATCTCAAATCAACGCGCAAGAAAATCCGCCGACCAATACACACAAGCACCCACGACACACTCACCACAACAATATTCGACGATATTGATGTGAAAGTCCCAAACGTCACAGACAGGCAGACGCTGCTAACGATGGCTCGGCTAGCACAGAATGCCTATGTGACGCCATCCGACGAAAGCTGGATACCACCACCGAGTCCACTCACGACGGTGGAGTCCTTCGGGTGGCGTAACAGCGACGACGGGCTACGCGGGCACATATTCGCCTCATCTGACAACAGCAGCGTAGTCGTGTCCATCAAGGGCACATCCGCGGGGTTGATTGGGGGCGGAGGACCCTCTGCGAAGAATGACAAGTTCAATGTGAGTGGAGGTGGTGATTCTCGACGATACACACACTCACACTCACCTCCACAGGATAACCTCCTGTTCAGCTGCTGCTGTGCGCGCGTGAGCTGGACATGGACGCCCGTGTGCGACTGCTACGCGGGAAGGTGGGCGTGTCGTGAGCAATGTCTCGAGCGGGCAGTGCAAGCGGACAGTGTGTACTACCCGGACGCAACGCAGCTGCTCGACCGTATCAGCTTTGCCTACCCGCATGCCGATATCTGGTTGACGGGGCACAGTCTCGGCGGCGCCCTCGCTTCCATGCTAGGGCTCACTTTTGGCCTTCCGGCTGTTACTTTCGAGACACCGGGCGATAGGATTCCCGCGCAACGCCTTCACCTCCCTTCTATACCTCCCGAGTTGACGGCGGTGTGGCACGTCTATCATACTGCTGACCCCGTCGCGCAGGGCACGTGTAATGGCTTACTCTCACCGTGCAACGCCGTAGGCTTCGCTCTTGAAACTCGCTGCCATACGGGTATGAGCATTGTTTATGATACAGTGTCTAAACTCGGTTGGGCTGTCGATCTTAGACATCATCGCATCCTTACTGTTATAAAAGAAATTCTCGAGCAAGAATGGGAGGACGACGATGGCGTGGCTTATGTCCCAAAGCCAACTTCGGAGGGTGCGAGGGATTTTCACTATTAGCTGCACTAACACACTCGCCAGAAGATTGCATTGATTGCTTCAAATGGGAGTTTGGAGAGGTGGAAGAGGTGGAGTAGCAACTAGATACGGAGAAATACATGACGCACACTTCTCGCACACCGCACACCATACCCTGTTGTACTAATATTTCATTTATCTTCTGGGAATGTCGCCCAGGCTATCACAAGCTTGTTTATTTGGGACGCTCGTAAAAACCCAAAGACGAAAAAGACCAAGTGCTACACTTACTCTTCATCTTCCTCCTCCTCGTCTTCCGCACCAGGGAAGTCGACAGAGTAGAAGCGGAGAGAGTAGGTGTCCTTTGAGGTAGCAACAACTCTAAGCCACTCCTTAAGCTGTTGCTTACGGAGGTACTTCTTAGTGAGGTACTTAAGGTAGCGCTTTGAGAAAGGAATGTTGCTGGTAACGATGAGCTTGTCACCTGATCTACCAATCTTGACGTTGTCGCCGAGCTGGCCAGTCTTGCCCTCAACCTTGATGCGCTCTACAAGGTATTGTTCGAACGCTTGACCATCGAAGACCTTATCTTCAGCAGGCTTCGAGTAGTCGAGGACGAACTTGTGTTGTGGTTTGGCGGCAGCGGCTTTTGGCTGTGGGAGTGGGGTGAGTGTGGATTTATAGCCTGCTGCAAATACACACCATTTTAAGTCAAGAACTTTTTCGTAGCGAAAAGAGAAGGCTGTCGCCAAGTTGAAATTCTTGAAAGGCGAAAATTTAAATAAACTTGATAAGCAAAGCAGGCCATGGAATTGGAATATAAACGCGTGTGGGGAGGCGATAAATCAAAGGCTTGGTCAGTGGGCAAGCATCCATCTGTGGATGCATTCGTTTCACCTGCCAAGGTATCCATCTATCTACCGCTCTCATATGACAATAGAGCAACTGAACTGATTAGCGTTGATCGCGGTGTCAACTTGCATAAATTCATTTATCTCCACTACGCTGCTCATTGCGATTGGAATTATGCAGGTGGTTTGAATTATGTCTCTGAACCAGTAGGCAAAGCGCGTAAAGATCAGTATCTAGGTGGGATAAATGGGCGGTAAAAATAAAGTCATTAACCTAGCTACAGGCCCAGATGCACATATACTGGCGTACTATCAAATAGCACGCAACGTGTACACGGTGGATATATACGATAAAGCGCTGGATGAAGTTTGGAAGGTGTGTTGGAGTATCTACAAGGTAACATTCCTAACAATTGATTATAGGGAGATCTACCACTTGAAGATATTATAAAAATGCGTTCTTGACTGAATTTGTATAATAAATATATACTGTACCAATAAATGTTCAAATATCTATACGAATGTACTCAATATGTTCAAATGGATATTCATCTACGCGCACAAGCTACAACAAGCTACTTGCCCTCCTTTTCAGACTTTTCAAATTCAGCGACAAAGTTCTTAATGAATTCATCTTCCTCTTTTCTGTGAGTGTATTGTGAGCATTTCCGCCTGCCTCTTCACAACTCCACAACTCACGATGGGTTCGCACTACCAGCAGCAGCTTCTGGTGCAGCTTGCTTTGGCTTTGAAGGTCCAGATGAAGCCCAGGCTGCTAATCCACCTGTGATACCCATTGTGCCGCTGTGTAGTGTGAGTTGAGTTCGTTTTATTCAACTACCGACTAACAGCGCTAAGTACTCGTTAAGAATCTTCATTCCACCGATGTTGCTACGTTTTGTTAATATCTCCATGTCATCTCCCTCTCTCACACTCACTATGACATTTCTTTAGATGCTGATGGTCGTGAGGCAGAACCAATTGGTCTGAGTGGACAGCTCCAAGAGTTTAAAAATGATATTCATATGTATTTCGAGTGTGATGTTCTATTTACAGGCAAATCTATCTCCTTTTCTTCTTTTGCGTGGCTGCTCTGGTATATCCAACGCACGGCAGCGACGATTACGAGTAATAAAATCAGACAATATCTCAGCACACCCGGCGATTCCGACACACATAATAATTACACCACATAAATATTTATCTGTTGTACAACATGTCCGAAGAAATTTTGAAGAGCCAGCCACAAAGATAGACAGACACTTTCAGTGAATCTCCGTAAGTCCACTCTATGAAGAACGATAGATTGATTTGGTGTGGTTGCTACCAAACCAATACAATAATCTTCAATGTATGAGTAAAGAAGACGATTAGACGGATCTACTCAATTTCTACCCGATAACCCTAGAAATATTTGAATAAAGCAAATTCATTATAAAACTCTTAAAACACTATCTTTCTGATATTTTAATAAGCTGCTTCAATCCCAATGCCCATCTCATATCTGCTTCACCAGATCCCATAATTTCCACTGCGATATTCATTGCGTTGGGATAATCCCTCGCTGTCAATGCAGCTGCTACGTTACGCAATTTGTTCAACACCGCTTCACTCTGCATGCTCTGCGCATTGAGCCCATCAAACAAGCTGTTCAGTCTGTTCTGTGTATCATCCACCATTCTCCTGGTGTTTGGCTGTGCTACACTGCGTGCTTTCTCTATCTCCCGAGACAGGCTTTCGAATATCGGTCTGTCGATTGGTGGTATATGGCTGCGGTCGCCTGGTGGGAATGTGGGTGCTGCTGGTGCTGGTGCTGGTGCTTCACTCACACCCGGACTAGCAACACTTCCTGGTCTCGACACCGTATATGCAGCTACATTCGACATTGGTGGGCTAGCCACAGGTGGTGGACTGACTGCGCTCCTCGTTGTTGTGGTTGCATTGCCTGCTGAATCACGTGCGGTGGTGGTGGTGGTGGTGGTGTCTGTCTGTATCCTCCTGCTGTATTCACCCCATTCACCCCATTCACTGATCCAGGTCTCTGTATTCCATTAGCTGCCGCACCGAATGACTGCACTGGAGCTGCACCGGGGGCTGATCCTGGTGGACCTGGTGGTGGCGACATCTGCTGCTGTGCAAATCCAGGACTCATCATCCTTGCTGGTGGTGGGCCTGGTGGGCCTGGGGGTGGTGGCGCTTGTTGCTGAGCGAATGGCGGTCCACCTCCACCTTGCGGTCCCGGTGGTGGTACCTGCTGAGCGAATGGTGGTACACCCACTCTACCTGGCGGGCCTGGTGGGGCTGGTGGTCCTGAGCCAGCTGGTGGTGGTGGTGGTGGTGCAGCTACTGGTGGCGGTGCAGGCTGACTTTTTGGTGGTGGTGGTGGAACAGCTGCTGGCGGTGGCACGCTTCTAGGACCTGTTACTCTCATGTTAGCAACATTAATTAAACCAAAAACACATACCACTCACCTGCTTTTGGTGGCGGTGGCACTACCCCTCCCACTGCTGGTGTCGGTCCACCCATTACCCCACCCATGCCCATGCCCATACCTGGTGTAGGTGCTGGAGAGTTAGGGAATGGGCTTGTTAAGGGCTGCACGATTGGCGATGCTCTGCTGCCGCTCGATGGTGTAGCGCCGCGTTCGCGCTTAGGTGGTGGCGGTGGTGGCGCATCATTCCACCCTGATAGATCCCTCCTTTGTGAGGCTGGACGTTGAGGTGGAGGGCCTGTAGCTGCGCTGTTGGTTGGTGGCGGTGCTACGCTAGCTGGCGCTGCTGCTGCTACTGCTGGTGCGTTGTAGGGATTGTATGTGTCG